TAACTTTTTTTTACTTTTTTTTTTTTTTTCCTAAATTTCTTTTTTAATATATACGGCGAACTTCTTTAATTTATTTACCCTTTTTTTTTTTTCGTTACGATTTAATTAAATTAAATCTTAAATTATTATAAAGTATATAAAAATATATTAATTATAATTATAATTATTAATAAAACTTTTTAACCGATTTTAACCATCGTTCGTAAAAAGTTAAATCTTTTAATTAAACTTATTTTTTTTTATATTATAATTAATTATAATTTTTTTTTTTACCATATATATCCTTTATATTTATTTTATATATTAATATAATATAATTATTTTTATTAGTTTATTTAAACCGGATTTAATTAAAAATATATATTTTTACATCGAATACGAACCGTTATATAATTAAATTAGTAATAAATAATTTTATTCGTTATATAATAACGCGCGATAAATAATTACATAATAATATCGATATAATTATAAAATGAAATAAACGTAATATAAAATAACTTACTTTTTTTATAATAAAATTTAAATCGATAGTTTTAAAATAAAAATCGAATTTTCCTCGCTTTTTAATATTTATAAAATATTTTTATATATAATATTAATCGTTTATATAAATTCATTTCGTATTATAAGTAACTTATTTATTTATTTAAGTATTATTTAAGTAATATAATTAATCGTAAAAATAACATTATTTATTATAAGTTTTTTAAACGTATATAAAAAAAATTATTAATATATATTATTAAAAGTTTATAAAAATAACCTTAATTTATTATACGACATTTTCTATTTATAATTATTAAAATAAAATTATTCGACTTGTTTTTTTTATTATTACTTTTATTATTTTTCCGTTAAAAATAAATATAAAAACGAAAAAAAGCGTAATAAACTCGTTAATTTATTAATTCCGTAATTTATTTCTTTTTTATTAAATTCGTTATATATTATTTAGTTTATTACGTATTATAACTCCGGTACATCTTTTATAACGAAACACGGGCCGGTTAATTCTTTTTAATATATATAATTTCGAATTAATTTTACTAATAACGAGCGGAGTAAATATAAGTTAAATAAATAAAATAATAACGTTTTAATTTATATGAATAATATTTATACGTAAATATTAAATAAATGGTACGTTATTAAAAGGAAATATGTTAAAAATGTTATAATAAACGGGTTAACGTATAATAAAAAAAAAAATAAAATAATTTTAAAAATTATTTTATACGTTTACGAATATTATATTCACGAATATAAAATAAAAATAACATTCGTGGCAATTAAATATTTTAAAACATGTAAATTAAATTTAAGTTTATTTAATTAAAATTATTTTTATAAGTATTATTTAAAGAAAAATAATATTTTAATCCTTTTTTTAAAATAACATTTAATTTTATAAATTTAATTTAATATTAACATTATAAACTAGTTTTAAATTAATTAACGAAAAACTTTTAAGTATAATTATTACGTTAAATTTATTAAAAAATTTTAATCGATAAGAAAATATTATATTATTATTTCGTTAATAAATATTACCGGGTATAAATAAATAATTATTAATAATTTATTTAAGGAAAATAAAAATTTTTAAAATAAATTAAAATTTTATATTAAAAGTAATACTTTTAAAGTTTTCGTGGTTATATATAAAAAATAAATTAATATATTTTTATACGTGTAATTCGTAATAAATTTTCGTAATTTTTACATTTCTCGTATTTTAACTTTTATTATATTTCCATTTATAAAACGGGTGAAAAATTTAAATAATTTATTTTTCGAAAATAATAAAAAGAGTTAATTTATACGACGTTAACCGGTATATTCGTATATAAATTTTAACTTTATTTTATCGTTAATAAGAAGTTAAATGTTACGAAAGGAAATTTTAAATTAACTTAACTTATTATTACCGATTTTTAAAATAACGTAATAATAAAATTCGAGAGGTTTTACTTTAAAACGTTTTGAAATTATAAGTTTTATTAAACTATCTTTATTATTAATTTATCGTTAACGTTTTTTAAAAAAATTTTATATTAACCGGGCGTCTCGTAATTTATACAATGCGTTAATAAATTAACTTTATTAACGAATCGCCCGCCGTAAATTACAAGTTTCTAAGCTTTTACACTTTTAATTTACGGTAAAAATAACTTAGTTTTTCTTTAAAATTAAAAATAAATAATATAAACGAAAAAAGTTTAAAAAAATTTATATAAAAAAAACCGGTTACGTTTAATAAAAAAAACTTATTTATTTTTATAAATATAACACGAACCGTCGATATAAAAATATTATTCGTTTTTTACGAAACGCGGAACATTTTTAATAAAATTACCCGTTAACCTTAATCTTTTTAAAACGTTACTTTATTAAAATCGCAATAAAGTTTAATTATTTAAAATAAAATTTTTTTAAGTAATTAAAATTTAACCATTAATGTAAACCTCGTTATTATAATTACCGTTTTAAAATATAATGGTAATTATAATTACGTATTTATCGAAAATTTTTTTATATTTCTTTATAAAAACCATTCGTTAAAGTTTAAAGTAAATGTTAAAAAACGAAAAGTTAATTAATTTTTTATTAATATTATTAATTTTAAAAACGAAAAAAGCGGTTTAATAACGCGTTAAAAAAACAAAATCGTTTAATTAATAAACGTAAAAAAAAATCGAAATAACAAGTTACGTAAAAGTCGTAATGCTTTAAATTCTTAAATCGGTAAAAAATCGTTAACTTTTAAATATAATATTCGTAAACGATCGAAATTATTAAAATTTAAATATTACGAAAAGCTTATTAATAAACGATAAAGTATTATATAAATAAATAAGTTTAATATATCGTTTTAATTATTTTAAAAAGTAATAAACATTATATAAATAAATATTTCATTTTTAAAGATTTTTTATAATATTAATATTATATTAATTAATATTTTAAATATTAAAATTATATAAATATATTAATTTTTATAAACTCGTTTATTTATAATTTTATATAATATATTTAAAATATTCTTTTTAATAATACGTTATTACGTAATATTATTAAGCTTTAATAAAACTTAATATAAATTATATTATTTAATTACGTTTTTTATAAAATATTAATATTTTTAATTATAAATAAATTTAATATATATAAGTAAATAAAGTTATTTAAATATAAAACGGAAAAATTAAAACTTATTTAAATATAATAATATATTAAGTTATAATTTTTTTTATATAAATTTAAGTTAATTAAATATAATTAATTAAAAACGACGTTTTTTAATTTAATATAAAATTATATATATTATTTTATATATTTTAAACTTAAAAAAAATTTAATTAATTGCGATAATTATTTTTTAAATTTTATATACTTTAATTTAAACGTGTTTTTTTTACATTACGGTAATAATAATAATAACGATATTATAAACGACGATATTAATTTTATTTAATAAATTTTTATTAACGTTAAAAATATACCGCGATTTAATTTTTTAATTATTATTTTAAATTATAAAAATAAAAAAAAACCGTGTTTTTTACCGAAAACGTATTTAAATTATACTTAATAACGTTCGAAAAGTTTTTAATAATATATAAAAATATATAAATATTTTAAACCGAAATAAATTAAAATTATATTATTATTTACGTAAAACGAATAATAAAAAAATTAAAAATATATAAACGATCGTTTATTATTTATTTAAATAAATACGAAATAAAATAAAAAATTATAATTATTAAAAAATTAAGTTAAAAATAAAGATATAATTATAAAAAATAAAAATAAAAATAAATAAAAGTTACGTTAATAAAAAAAAATATTAAAATTAAGTTCGAAAAAACTTTATTAAATAAAGCTTTATTTTTTAAAAAAAACATTAAATAATTAATAAGTATTTTATTTATTAATTATAAAGTTATTTTTTTTATTATTAAAAAATTATTATTAAAGTTTTTTATTTTTATATTCGATATACTTTTTATTTATTTATTTATTTTCGAAAAATTACTTAATTAATCGTTAAATTAATAATAATTTAAGGCTTAAATTAATAACATATTAAATTATTTTTTCTTTACGTTCGAATATAAAAATTTTCGTTTATTTTAATATAACTAAAAATTTAAATAATATAATAAAATAATTAAATTAATTTATTTTTATTATTATAACCTTTAATATTATAATAAATAACGATTATATATTTACTTATTTATTAAATACTTAAATATAATAAAGTTTAATTTAATTAATAATTATTATAATATTATTAAATAAGTACTTATTTTTTTAATATTTTTATAAAAATAAAAAAACTTATTATATTTATTTAATAAATATTTACTTATACGTATTATAGTTTATAAGCTTTTTAATCTTTGAATTACGAAGTATAGTGTATTTTCGTCGTATACTATATTTATATAATATACCTTTTAATATATTAATTGAATTAACGGGTTAGCGGATTTGTCCTTATAGTCCGCCGTCATTCGGTCAACGTCTGGCTAATAAAAGTACAGAGATACCGCCGCCGATGTCATCGTGTAACCTTTCGTAGAGAAATTTCGTAGGCATGGTCTGTGATAGGGCTGCTGGGCCACCTGTCAGCGCTCTTTGGCTTGATAGTCCCCAATTAGCTTGTACCGTCCTTGAATATGACTGGTTGGCCGTATGTATCCAGCTACCAGGTCCGCATGTCGATTTCGGTGTACCTGTCTGCACGATAAATTTTCTCTGTAACCAACACCATACTGATCGAGTCTTGGTGGGGAAACTAGGGGAAGTAAGGGAGGCATACAACCGCACTCAATCAAGTGCAAATCCCACAAATGCTGGTAGATAAGATGCATTATTTGTCCATGTCCTTGAAGGGCTTCTCGACTTTCGCTTTCAAATTTACCTAGCTTAAGATATGCATCGCTCGAATCCGTAACCGTCGTACACCCGTTTCATCGAGCACAGTCAACGTTTTCTAACATATCTACCTATTCGAAAACACCACGAGGCTACGGGCGTATCCGAGTTACCGCCTTTTGTGGCAGCGGAGACAATGTCCTGAATCAATACCAGAGTCTACAATGTGGATCCAGCCGCACAGCCAGCTGAGGATTGAGAAAAGCATGGAGACGTACCTTTATTTCTTGGCTCTGATTCTTCGCGGTACGTATCCCTCAGATACAAGCCATAAAACTAACAGCTGTTGGATGAGTCACTGCTAATTCCATTAGTCGGACTCGCTGTCGCGGACTCTTGTGTCACCTCAACCGTTTCTCTCACCACACAAGCTGCTACCACCACAAATGCCCCAACTGGCAAAAATGATGCAAGCGAGATCAGCCTCGAGATCACAGGATGCAACAACATCACTGGTTTCCCTAACCTGACTACCGTGGCCCGCATCAATCTGTATAGGAACAACTTCGCAGAGCTCAACCTCACAGGCCTCCGCATCACGGACCAGATTCGTATTGCTAGCAACCCGAATCTCGAGACGCTCGTACTCCCGGACCCGAAGCCAGGCCATACCATATCCCTTCCGCCAACAGGCACGGACGCGCCCCAGTGGACGGTTGTCGAGATCGTGGATAATCCTTTATTGGACACGTACAAGATCAAGTATCAGGGTGGCTCCAGCTTTTGGGACTGGGGGTTACGCAATCTATCGCGGTTTACTTTCTCGGGTGGGAATTTCCATTCTGACTTCTTGTGAGTGGTTGTCTCCTGCCTAAATATCCAATGATGTAGCCCATACAATTGACTCGCGCCGCCTTCCTTCTCCTTTACTACCTCTTAATTTTTCATGGATGACCTGTTAACCCTGTGTGCAGCTACCCCCTATCAGGAGATGTTCCAGAATCCGGTCACGTTTACGTAACCGATAGTTTCTTCCTGAACTCTATGGACTCGACGTATGATTGCGCCTACTTGAATTCGTTGAGATATCATGGTTCTTTCAAGGGCAATTACACTTGCCAGGGCAAGACCGTTGTTCCCAGCCTGGCAGGTAGGATGCCGATCTCTCGTGTAAACTTTTTGGGTGGACTCGTGGTTGCTTTTTGCCTCGTGCACCTGCTGGAGTAGCGTTGAGGGGAGAGCAGTATCAATCGGCGGCAATATTGCGAGGAAAGTGTGACAGAACCAGAGCATAACTAATGCAACTGAGGCACTGCAGAAATCGCCCAAAGCAATTTTTGATTCTAGGAGCTTGATATGATAGCGTCCAGTTAGTGGTTCCATAGGTATGGTGTAATTGGAAATTAGAGGTTGATAGATGCCTACATAGTAGGTAGGTAGATATCACGATTCACTGGCAAGTGCAGAGACTATATGCATCTAATTGCTTCAAGGTTGCCTACATATGTAGTAGGTACGTACATGTAGGTACCTAGATATATGTAACCTTAGAAGTACTTAGGTACCTTAGTACCTTGGCAGGAGCCTTAAACGCTCTTACCCTTAACATTTATGAATTGCTAGATCTATATTCCCCATCAAGTCGATATTTCCCTATGTGCGCGCTGATCTGAAGAAGGAGCTTCACGACCAAGAAACTCTGAGTTTTTATCAGTAGGTTGACAATATTTTTCATTCTCTCTCTTCTTGTTCCTTTTCTCTTCCTTTCTTCTCCAAATCGAGGAAATCATTCGAAGCAATCTCATTTCTGATTCACGCTTCTCTTCGTAAATCTTTTCACACAATGTTGATTCTTGCAAATTTATTGGTCGTCGCAGGCCTTTTATGGGGCATCTTTTCCTCGCTTCTAGTCACTTTTCTCCCACTTGTACCCTCAATCGTGTCTTGGATCCGATACCTGTTCTCGCTTTTTTTGGGCCGACCGAGAGCAAGGGGCTTAAATATACCCAGAGCCCCCGAGTCCCCTGATCACCTGGCAGTACTGGCGGCTCTGACACGAATCGCTGAGAGGATTGAGGGGAGCACTAAAGTACAACAGACAATTCTCCAACGGCATGACTATCATTCCCGTATTAATTCATTAGTACAGGGGATGGATAGACTCGTTGACACTCAATCTGAGTTGCAATCTGAGATGAGGATGTTGCGTATTGGTGCCGACCATATCCTCGATTCGTTGAGGATGACCGCTGTCTGCTTGGACGAGATGAAGGATCGGACTGCGGAACATCACATAGAGACCTGTCGCACACTGTCTGCGATGAGTGATCAGTTGGCTCAGCTAACTAACTCTGCTGATGCTCATCGAATCGCCCGTGGTCTGGCGCTGCAGCACGGCACAGATGTACATGTAGCGGTGACATCTGGAGTGGATAGACTCTCTGAGGAACTACCACAGTCGATTCATGAGGAAGAATCCGAAGATCTTTCGGTCGGTACCGACTTGCAGGACTCGGCGTGAAGGGCTGACGAACAGCCTTACACCCCATGGGGATGGGGTGGGCACTCGGCTTTTGCCGGGTGTCTCCCCAGCGAAGGGATTGCATCTCGACGCGATGCCGGGGCTTACCACCTCCGGGTGAACTAAGACAATCCTATTGATGGCTGTGAAGGGTCTAGTTGGGTTAGGTGTTGGCTTGTGGGAGGGGTGATGGTGTAGAAGGGTGCTTGGTACTAGGTAGTAGACAAAGGGCTTTTCTTGTATATATACCGTATTCCTACAACATCTTCATCCTCTCTTCATATACTGAGTCTGGGTCTTTCTCATGACATTGCCTACGGTCACTTGAAAAGTAGGTCCACCAACCCCTCTAATTCCTCAGCCATTCGCTTTTCACGGCACCGCTAGGCTTATCCCGATTTTCTGTTATTTCGCGCCTGAGAGTCATGGCTTGCCATTTCCAATGGTAGGGCGAACGGCAACTGCCAAAGTCATGATATGTCGTAACGGTAATCATCCACCCGTAAACTGAACTAATCCATTCCATAGAAGCATCCCAGTCCGTAAGACAGTACTGACATGACCCTGTGCTGCGATGACCGGACTTTCTAGACAGGCTTCCGTCGATGGTAGGTAGGTTAAGGCCGTTTGAACTTCCTGTGTCAATAACTGCGTGCTGACACACTTCAATAAATCCACTCGTAAGGTAATCATGCAAGGTTTGGCTATCTGCCCGTGAGTGCACCCATCTGCGCCTGGAAGATAAGAAAAGCTCATCTCCTATTAATTTAGCCCTCCATGAATCCCTCGCACATACATTAGGCGACTCCTTTAGGTCCCCGAGGGCAAGGAATGTGTAGAAGGTATCGTCTTGAAATCTTACTTGATGGTATAAGGACGAGAATTGTGGGGGCCAGGGGGTTGAAGCTTCATAACGAGGGTACTGATAGGATAAGTAAGAGGGGGGCCAACCGTGCTGAGGTCCAATAATTCTGTAGTTTGTCACAAGTCTTGCCCAATGGTGAGGCAGTACGAATCCCGAGTTGAAGATATGAAACCCGTCTAAACGAGATCTATATACGCCCCCTATCGCACGATATGTGGAGGTATCGGCATGCCCGATATGCATCATCCATCTCCGGCTGAAAGGCGTGATCTTGTTGCAGAAGTAGCAGTAGACTACCCCGGGAACGTCCTTTTCTAGCCGGCAGAGGAGAGACTCTTTCGCGGATCGGTCGAACCGCGTCTTTTTCGGGATGCCTAGGACGTAGTACAGGTCTTTGCAGGTTAGGGCGAGGCAGGTCCTGTCTTCCACGTCGAGATGTTTTGAGATGGCTAGGACCATGTCGACTGGGAGTTCTAGCAAGGCTGACATGTTCTCTGGAGGCTTGGGTTTCTCTCGATTGGGTTTTGAAAATGCTATGGAGAATAAAAATTTTAGGAATTTGCGCATTGCGAGGAATGGATTGGGTAGGCACATATCAACCCCTTTTATGGTAATTACTATTGTGAGGTAGGTTAGTAGTGAGAAAGAACATTTCTACGTTCTAGGTAGGTAGGTAGCGATTATTTTATATGGCTTTGGTGCTGGCGCTTTGAACAGACTTCTTTGGATAATATTCTATTTGCCGTCCGCATGATTGAGTCTGACACCTATACTTGAGGCTCGTTGAAGGTTTCTGAGTTATGTCCCTGGGGCGGCTTGACCACAATGGGATGTGAATGCGAGTGCTAAAGCTTACCTCGAAGGCTACCTACTTAGCTCTATGAGCCTATAACATTGATTAAGTTCACTAAATGCACTTATTAGAAAAACTAGGCCTCGAGCACTGAATTGATAAGAAAGGGGCTCATCTGTTCAATGTTGAAAAAATTGCAAGGTTGGCGTTTCTGACAGCAATCTTTCCACTACCTCCAGTGCATAGCACCTAGGCTGCTAGCGCTCCAGCGCTGTGAGGCGCTGTGCTTCCTGAACTTTAGCAGTTATCCACCGAACTTTAACGGAGTGGTGACCATCGATTTCTTACCCGAATTTTAACCATACAATGTGTCAAGGCAGAGCGATATCAATAGCGCCGGCAGGAATTGAACCTAAAAACACTGATAACTGAACAGTACTTGTTGACTTCCAGGTTGATATTCTTCCGGTCGTGCCGAACACAGAACCGGTACCTGACATACTGGAGACCCGGATATCTATCCGCGATGTCGCAAGAAACGATGGTCTTTTAGTTCTCATACCTTCCTATTCCGCTTCTATACCTGCCATGATTGGTTACCGTCCCGACTTTGGCATCGCTAGCGTATGCCAGATAGCCTGTAACCAAGAGATATCTAGAACCTCCCCAATCAAACTAGGCAAGGATACCGCCGGCAATTGTGGCCACTCACAACACCAAAAAGGGTATTTTTGAAGATTGGACCTGACTTAGCTGGAAGACCAAGAATATCCGCTTGATGAGTCCTTGATTTCTGTCGACTTGGCCTGTCCATCACGATATGCTTATTAATGCAAAGCAATGCCGAGGCCAATGCCGTTGTCCCTAGCATCTTGGTGCATTATGTTGATATATAAATCATCGATAGCTCCAATGGTGGATTGAAATTCGCCGACGAATTTTGGATACCTATTCGCCCTAGACCGTTCGTCCCCAAAATGCGTGTAGCGACATTCTTTACCGTGGTTTCAGCGCCCTTGATGGCGCTAGGCGCCCCAAGTTGCGTCAAAAAGGATACCTCGCAGTTCTGCACGCGTATTACACCCGCGCCCCCAGCGGAAGTGACAGAGGCGAGGTTCAACGAATTCGCGTACCTGTTTCTGGTTAAGAAGGATATTTATGCGGCATTCCACTATATCCTTCCCGAGTACATTGTACGTCCGCAAGTCTTCATCGCATGCAGTGAAATACTCCGCAGTTTAGACTGAGCTGACCACAGTCGATGTAGAACCACAACCCCGCGGTGCAGAACGGCGCTCAGAACGCTCTCGACTTCCTCGGTCCGATCTGGGGAAACCAGTCCATTACCGTGCTGAATACGAAGATCGAGGGCAACATGTCGTGGTTGAATTACCAGAGCACGTTCGGTACGATCGTGGATCGATTCCGTTGGGAGGATGGTTGCATTATCGAGCATGTATGTGATGAATGAACTTGAGATACGGTAGAATAACTGACAACTAACTGGTTTTGATAGTGGGATCAGGGAGAGAAGTTTCCCGACTCTTAAATGATTTTAAGCTGAGCGCCTTCAGTGTTTCGGGTGGGTCTCTGAGGACCTAAATCATGCGACTTCCCGCTATTGAGGCATATTGTAAGCCATAGGTTAGGTGCACGCGGAACTTCGAGGTGCAATTTTGGGAACTTATTATGATGCAACATGAGGATATGGAGAACTGTGTGTATTATCGTGAAGCGATATTCGGGAGAAAGTGTAGAAGATTTAAGAAAATCATCTAATAACCTCGGAAGCTAACCTGTATTTGTCATGATTGAAGCTTAACCGGGCTCGTCTGGACTTTCATATTAACTAGTGCTGTGCCTCAGCACTGGTCCCCTGGATGTGCTTCGCCGTAATTCTAAAAGGATCCTCCAATCTGCACCATGGATTCCGTTACCGCAACATGGACAATATTGTTCAATAATTGCTGTTCGGCAGCTGCGAGAATGAATGCAACTTGGAATCTTCATCGATGATATGCACGAAACACAAGTTTACGAACATAAGATGCAGGTACAGCGCGGTTATATCGGGAATTAGGCGATATAAAGATTGGACTATGCTCGTTGCACGCTGTACTGAGATGATGCTGGTACCTTTTTAGGGCTGAGCGCTGAGATTAGCGCAGATTAGGTGTTTATTTTGGGGGCTAGTAAACCGAAGGATCGGGACCGAGCCCCTAGCTGAGATGCTGTAACTTAGGCTGTTAGGTCAGTTGCTTGAAGTGTCCTAGATACACGTTGAGGCTGAGTTTCAGGCACGTCTCACTGCATAACGGGATCGTTAGCGATGGGGTACTAATTCCCGTATTACTCGTCGATATTCAAGACGAAGCGATTTCATTGGAGAGGTAGGTCGGAGGATTCAAAGTATTCTCTGTTCTCATTTAGGTCGAACTGGTAGGACCACAGAGTCCCAGCGCTCTCGCTGTAGGACGTGGGTCTACCGCGAACAACGCAGCTGCACTGACCTAGCTGCCTAGTTGCGCAAATTATGGGAGCTGTAGGAGCAAGGGTTTACAATAGGCTTCTTCAGCCCTAGAGTGCCTATCGTGGCCCCCAAAGGCGAAACTCGGCCAATCATGAAATGATTTGTGGGAAGCCAAGAGGTGTATGCAAGTTCCGTATAGATAATTTATATGAACCGACAATCGCTAGGTAGGACTCCTTCGAATTTTTAGATCCTTCTTTAACCTCTGGCATGCCCCCTGAGACGCGAGGGGATTCTACTTCTTCCTCTTGTCTCTTTCGCCAATTTACGTCGGCGATAGACCACTTCGAATTCAACGCCGGGCACCATGACGCGATCTTTCAGATCGGCGGTCACCGCGCTGTGTCTTTTGGGTATAGCAGGAGTTAACGGGGACGATGTAAACAAATTCACATATCCCGCGAAGGATGGTCTCCAATGGAACTACCGCGATACAATTATAACATCATACGAGGGTAACATTTCTGCGCCGATAATGTACACGTTCTGCAAAAATGCTAAGGGAGCCGTTGAACGTGGGTTTTGCCGCACATCGGGGGCTGGGTGAGCAACGCCGCTGACAAGAATACAGAGGAACGGATCGATCATGTTAACGGCCCTAATACGACGGCGACGATAATTCTGAATTTTCAGATAGACAAGCCCGTATCGTCGTGCTGGTTCAACATAAGACTCGACGAGCCTAACAGTGCTGTGGGCGCAAACAGCGCAAGTTTTCAGTATAACTCAACTGAAGGAAGTCGGGTATGTCAAGTTCAAATATAACCCATTAATAGGGACCACGATCCGACGGAGTAGACGAAGGCATCGGGACCTCTTATCCGACACGGGTCTTTAGCGTGATTCTTGAATTCGGTCCAAAGCTAGACCGAACTGATCTTAGCAGTCACCCGATGCCTTTCCCGGTTTCTCGGTCGGATCGTTGGACGGAAGGATGCATGACTAACCGAAGAATTACCAAATAGAAAACGTTTAGTCTCTCGCCGACCTCCACCTCCACCTCCACATCCACAACCAGTTCCCCAACTTCGTCCTCGACGCAATCCGGGGTCAGTACCACCAGCCCCGCCGCAGCGTCAACAAGCGCGACGACCCCGTCTGCTAGCGCTTCATCTGGCCATACCCCCGGATTATCAACCGGGGCTTCAGCAGGCGTTGGCGTCGGCGTAGGACTAGTCGGGATAGCGATCGGCGCAGGTGCCGTCGCCTTTTTCTACCGACGAAGTAAGAAGCGGGGAGATGGAAGTGCAAGTGGAAGTGCGAGTGGGAATGAGAAAGGCCAAGGAGACGTCGACCCGACGAAACCCGAGTTGATGGGCTCGTCGCAATATCCGCCACCGTCGGCTGGTGGTGCTTCGCCAAGCATGATACCTTCAGAGTATTCCAAGGCAGGCTATTACGCCCAAGTCCCTAATAACGAGATACACGAAGCGCCTGCGTTCCAAGATGGTGTCGTTAAGAGTAATCTAGGGTCGCCGTATATCCCGTACCATGAGGCGGCCGCGGGGTTGGAACAGCAGAAGTTTCGCGATACACCGTCTGCTGTTCCTAGGCAGGAGATGGAGGCGACGTCTGTGGTGCATGAGATGCCATAGAGGGCAGAATCATGGATGGTTTATGTTGCTGAGTCGTTAGAAAAACTTATAATGTATTAATAAGAAAGAAAGTAAAAAAAGAGATATTGTCTTTCGTTGGACAAAGTTACCTTACCCAGCCGGTGTTTATTATGTATAGGTATTGATTGTACTTTACAAATTCAAGAGACTTGCTTTAATTTACAAGCGGTGAGAAAAAGACTGGGCGGACGGGTTGATTTGTATGTATGTAGGTACCATCTTAGGTAGGCAAATATATCTCGCTACCTCCCATCTCATTATTCATCGTTGATGCACGTCGGCAGCGTAATACCTAGCCGATGTCGTGGATCTGAGTGGTCGGGGGCTTGCCGAGACCGGGAGTACGTATGCGAGTTGGTGCTCAGCGTATCATTCACCAATCTTAGGCGTCTCTATCTAGCCACTGATGGCCAGTCTTCAACGGGGAATTCAGGGAAGCCGGGTACGTGCACATGGTTACAAGGGAAGGGTTACGCTCGACCATCCTTTCCCCAACTTCCAAGCTTTCTTCTCGATGTGTAGGGTGATCTTCAACCCATAAGCACGGGTGGTCTTTGTCCTATTCTGTGCTCTTCTCCCCAACGCAGACATTTCAGGCTATGCGCGTCATTTGCAAACCATGACCAGCAGCCATGAATGCCCTACCGAGCACCGTAGCCGAGTCGGTCTGGGGGGCGAGGATAGAATAAAAGCATTATTCTTCCCCATTCTTTGATTCTTGTTGATCGATTCTATTCCCCGATCGCCAACTTCGAGATCCCCACGTACTTGTCTAGGTATTGTACGTTACGTACTTTGCTGCGGAGTTAAGGTCCTAGAAGAAGAATTAGAAAAAGCAACGCCATGGCGGGCTGGTATTCCATTGGAATCGCGCTCTTCGCCGCCATCGGCACATTTCTCTTCGTGAGTATCTACCTACATTTACTCATTTCACTACGTGTGAAAATTATCGTGATTGTACAATGACTTAATAATATTCTAATCACTTTATTCTAGGGCTTTGACACGGGCATCGCTACTACGAGTAAGCTTCTTACATTACAGAGACGGAGATAAAAGTCCAAGCGCCGCTATGCATGAATGACTCACTAACCATTCCTTACTAATTAGCCATCGCCCACGAAAGTTGGATCGATTACATGAACCATCCCTCCAATGGACTCACCGGTGCGGTAGTAGCCGTGTACATCGCGGGCGAGGCCGTCGGCGCGCTCACCCAGACTTTCATAGGGGATAAGTTGGGTCGCATCCGATTTATGCAGCTCCTGTGCATCATCGTCACGATCGGCACCACCATCCAGACCGCCTCCGTCAACATCGGCATGTTCCTAGCCGGCCGCGCCATCGCCGGCATGGCTGTCGGCGGCATGGTCGCCACCGTCCCCATCTACCTCAGCGAGATCTCCGCCCCCGACCAGCGCGGCCTCATCGGCGGTATCTCCGGCTGCGGCATCGCCTTCGGCACCATGATGTCCAACTGGGTCGGCTTCGCCTGCTCCTACGCCCCGTACGGCTCCACGCAATGGCGCTTGCCTCTCGGCATCCAGATCCCATGGGGCGTGATCATGTTCACGGGGCTATCGACATTCATGCCAGACTCTCCGCGCCAGCTTCTTCGCAACGGGAAAGTCGAGGCCGCGAGGCGCGAGTTCGTGAAAGTGCGCCGCGACCTCGGATCGCATGAAGTGCACGAGGAGTTCGCGCTGATGCGCGCGCAGATCGAGTTCGAGATGGCGCGCGAGATCAAGTCGTTCCGCGAGGTGTTTACGCTCTTTGGCCGTCGCGCTTTCGTCTCGATCGTCGTGCAGACTATGACTAGCTTGACGGGAGTAAACGTAATCCAATACTACCAAACTACGCTGTCAGTATTAAAGCTCTCTATTTTTTGAGTAATTTACAATGTCTGATACATATTTTAGCTACCGGTCGCTCGGCATACAGCAGCAGACGATCCTTGCGCTGGCGGGCGTCTACGGCACTGTGGCTTTTATCTCGAATAGCATCACGACGCGGTATTTGACGGACCAGTGGGGACGCCGGAAGATGATTATATCGGGTACCTTGGGCCTGACGTTGATTATGATTTACGCCGCGGTGATGCAGCGGATTTTCCAGAACAGCGATAATAGGGTTGGCAAGGGTTTCGCGGTCCTGGGCATTTACTTGTATGTGGCGTGGTACTATGCGATGATCAACAGTACGACGTGGCTCTACGGCGCTGAAGTGTTACCTATCGCTCTGCGAAGCAAGGTCATGGGTCTCGCCGCGGCGGGCCACTTCATCGTCAACGTTGGTGTTACGGAGGCCGGACCCAGCGCGTTCGCTAATATCGGCGAAAATTATTATTACGTCTTCGTTGGGTGCACTTTGGTCTTTCTAATTCTCGCCTACTTGTACTTCCCAGAAACGCGCCGGAAGACTCTTGAGGAAATTGCGCGGGCTTTTGGTGATAAGGTGGTTCTTGTTGATGAAGGGCCGATCCATGGGGAGCATTTAGGGGGACACGATGAGGAAACGGCAAGCGTTGTGAAGGAGGAGAATAAGGCTACAGCATCGACTACGTCTACGATTCCCCCTAGCCACGGATCTGCGTCATAAGAAAGACTGCCTATCCCGAGTATACAGGAGTTGAGCTACTATATTAGATGTGTGTACCTACCTGGGTAGCTAATTTCTACCACCAGTAGTGTCTTTTGAAGAGTTAATCGTCAGATTAGTACCTAGTCTAGTGTTCTAGCTAACAGTGCTGGCTCCATGTTGTACCCTCATACGCCAAGCCCCTTAATTGGAATCAGTAAAACTTGATAGCGTGTATGTCACTGTTCTTTTGCGCACCGAGAAGACCATGAATACACCAACAGCCAGCGTCAGAACTTATAACCCCTGTCTAATATCCAGTGACCAAGCGAAACCAAGACAACGAGGGGTATTGCAACTAAGAAATAAACCCAGAAGAGCCTGTCACCCGGGGCAAAGGGGCCTTCCATGCTGAACAATGAACACACATATGTCATGGGGATGAAAACCAGTCCAAGAAAAGTGAGGACCTTCATGCGCTTAGCCTCAAGAAGCGATTGTTTCTGTTGAGTCATGGCCTGGTGATTTCCTACAATACCAGCGAGCGTTGTCATGGAAGCATTAAATGATACCGTCATTTGACGCAAGTTTCTAAATTCGGCGAGCAAGAATTGAAAGTCTTTTTCACAGTCTGCCCAATCTGTGATACGAGCATATGTTGGAGTGTGAGGCTCAATGTTCAGTTGCAACATCACATTTTCAATATCCCTACAATATTGCGCCGAACGTTTTTCACTAGACTGGGCGTCGCTCCAGTCTCTTTCGACCCTTTCCACGGAGAAGCCAGTCAGGTCCGACTGCTTGGAAAGTCTTCCTTGAGCTCGTGACAGGTTCATGTTTGCGAAATTGGCCAATTCCCAGTAATGTCCTGTTATGATCTTGTTGATAAATATCTGAATACCATCCGAGCAGGAATCATCAGCTATGAGATGGAAGTGATTTGTCAGATAGAAAGTCAGATCCTCAAGCATCGAAGTCCTAGGTGGACCTATCGAAGTCTTCAGCTGATCTTTTTCGGGTATGAAGTTCACATATCCACCTTGGAATGGACATGTATTGATTGGGATTGGCTCTTGGTCACCAAACGTCCCAAGATGCGTAACTTTAGGATCGCACAGAACAATAGCTAAAGTCAAATCAGCACTCTGTTCGGAGATGAGTCGTGGAGCACTTACTATCTGAAATGCCGTTGATATTTCGGTTCCAAACTGAACATTTTCGTCGAAGAATGCCGACAGGCAGGATCTTATCTCCAGACCTAGTTCCCTTGATATGACGTCCAGTGGTGTGGCAGTGTTGGTGAAATCCTGGAACACCTTGGTATATCTCAACGGGTTCAAAATATCTCAAAGTAATGTGATCTCGTGTTGATAGCGAGCTTGGGAGTAGGACGATATCCGCCTTTACCTTTGCATGTTCCACGAAAAGGGATGGGTGTAGTTGGAAGTGGTTGCCCAATACTTCCACTATTCGAGGATCGAATGATTCGACAAGATACACCATTTTCTGGCCCGATACTCTAGTTTGACTATCCAGGAACCTTTGTAAGGCATCAGGGTTAGTTAATTCTCCCTTGACAACGAAGTTCTGACTTTCGCAATGACCTAGAAGTCTAACCCGCATGGGCATATCCGGCCACATCGTCTTTCGCTCCACGCATATCGGGTCCGGTATTCTCAACCGGGGATCCGAGCTACATTGGCTCTTAGTTAATTCCGAGTAAGCCCCATGACCAGAAAGCCAATGCCCACTTGCGCTATTCCTAGCTTGTAGTGAGATCATATCTCTAAGATTGTCGTGTTTCGTTTTCTAATCTACTAGGTAAGCAATCCAGTTTTGGAATACTACTTTCTGTAGAAAGAAGTAATTCACAGGTAGGTATATTTACGACATTATCATAAAATTCGTAAGGCTCTGGTGTCATATTGTGATAATATAGAGATAACTACATACCTACTAGGTACCCAAGGTATATCATGTGACTGGCGTCTTGAGAAGGTACATACCTACCTATAGAGGAATAGATACCTACCTATACTTGAGTGCCCAGGTGGATATGTCGAATACCTAGGTAGGTAGATAACCTTAGACAATTTAAGATAGCTGTACGATTAGCTGTTATTACTACCTAGGTAGGTAGGTAATTTCAGGTAAATATGAACAGATTTTATCATATCTGAAAAGGTAGTCGAAGTTGTGTATGCGTTCAAGGATAAAAATGATAAATTCAACAAGCGCTAGCTTCAGTTTATTCTAATAGCATCACGAATTTCTTCCTACGATAAATACACTTGAAACCCAACTTTCCTATCTACCTAGTAGGTATATGGCCTAAAGCTGGATTATAATCGGCTTAATTCGATTTTTTTGCACTATGCTGCGCTGGTTCTGAGCGAAGCTATCGAATAGAAAGTTAGTTAGATAAGGACTTGTAGGTAGAAATGAGTCATTTTAGGGGGTAAAACTCACATAAAGCTCGACACCAAGGGTATTCAGAAATATTGCCATCCACCCTGACGTGCCAAATACAAGGTTTAGCGCTGCAGCGACTTGCACCGGATTTTCCCTGTGAAAAACAGACGCAAGCACGGCGATATGACGGTCAGGATCTTCCCCTGATAAGAAAGGGGCGCAATCTGGATACACCGCCAAAGTTGCATTTTCACCCTTCAGCATAAAATTAATCTTATCACAGGGCTCGACATAATAGAAACCTCCTATCATAGATATGACTACAACAGCCACGACCATGATAACTCTCATGGTAACAATAGAGCCTCCCTAGACGAAGAAGAGCATTAGCAATTTGTTTATCACTTACTAAAAAGCCCCTTCTGTGAATAATTCTTGCCGATTAAATATGGGAAACTTACATAGACCCAGGCACGCAACATCCAGGCCCGATGCTCCGCGATCTTGTGCCTCTTCACGCTAATGCAACCACGGGTCAGGGAAAAGAGGAACATAACACCGAGTACGGCCACCATAGATTGTGTATCGAGTCCGCCACCCTGGGATCGTGGCGCAATCATCAAAGCTGTAATAGAGCCGGGGACCGAAAGGGCGACAGTGATCCAGCCAATAATCCGATGCAGTCCCATCGCCTTGCGTCGAACCACCGGGATGAATTGAATGCATGCTAACAGGCTGGCAGGCAAGATAGTAGCTAAGTGCGCGACAATTCCGACCCCATAGTATCTCTGAGTTAGATAGTAAAAGCACTCTCCAGGCACAGCGAGATCACGACCGCCTGGGTTTGAGCTGCCGCAGAAGCTGTTGTAGAAGTCAAGATATTTCAGCCGCGAAAAGGAGAAACCGGAAAAGCAACCGCCAAGAATGAACCAGAGCCAGAAGTTGTAGCCTTTGGAAAACCCTACGGCACCGTAGACCTTCTTGGCTAACGCCGCGAGGACATTCTCCGAAGTTCTAGTCGCGGTCGACGCCACCATGATCGAAAACAGATAAGTCCAAAATTTTAATAATGTTGATAAAAACAAAATCCAAACAACAATTGCGCCTTGAGTACCGAGAATCAAACTAGATTTACGACTTTCCAATCATTTATAAAAGTGAATAACATGGCTTGAGAATCAAAACGCCATCCCTTATTCGAACATATGATGCACTGACACGGGAAATTCTGCGAGAGCGAGACTTTGGGCTTAGAGAATCCCATAGCTGCGCGGCGCGGAGGAATATGTTGAGCTTGACCGGGCCAATAGTGTGGCCTGAATTGATCATACAGCTAGGGTTGCTGGGGGTTACTGTCGCTTTCGGATATGAGCCGTCTCTGACAGGTCAAAATCACCGCCACTTTGAACCCTGTCGTCAGCTCATTTATCATAAAAAGATGGACCCCAACCAATGCTAATGTCGACTGCCTAAACAACGCTCTAACCCGCTGCACGTAATGATCCTCCGACCAAGATAATAGAGCTTTACTCGCCTATCCAAAAAGTAGATTTGGTGGTACATTTACCTGCATCTCAACCCGGAGTATGATAAGGCTTTGTATTCTTAAACCCGACGATACGCGATTCGAAAGGAAAGTTATCGCCGATTGATCATATATCTCACTATTTCCTGCTAATTACCTAAGTTGGTGGGTAGGTACCTAGCACCTACATTAGAATAAATGGCGACGTGTATAAGCCCATTTGTAGCAGGAATACTAGTATGTATGGAACACCTAACTTTTACTTTTAGTTAATTACCCCTTTTAAAAACAAGAGAGAGTAAGGACCTATATCTGGAGTGTTAGGTGACTCAAGTCGTATGATGAGCATCCTACCATACAGCGCAATAGGGAAATTCTTATGACGCCACCATCAAGTTGAAGTTCGATCTTAGTGATAAGCTTACATCACGATTTCTATAAACAACCCGGAACTTAACAGCTAGTTTCTCATCTCCTCGGGTGACACAAACTAGCTCCCTCACCTCAGGACGAATCATTCTAAATAAAGTTACACTAGTTACCCCTATTTGCATCCCTTTATTTTGACTACCTAGGTACCTAGGTACCTACCTACCTGTACTTACCAAGTAGGTATCTCAGGCGTACGCTTATTAGGATCCGACACGAGCAGGAGAGATCTCCTGGTGCTAAAGGCAATCGCGACTTTTAGAAGCACTGGGAGAACTTGGTCTAGTTAGATATAATTGGACAGCTAAACAGCCAATTAGGGAAAAGGGATTATACATAATGTAATACAACCTTTACGGTATTTGAATCTGCAGTAGTTCAGCCTGTCCTAGTTTGGAGAGACCCAAGGTTGCGGTCCCTGGTCGACGAAATCTGGGGACTTAGCCGCAACATCTCCCGGTCAGAGCCCATTGGGTGAAGGCTATCTATAGATGGTTATAATTGATGAATGCCGTCGTAAGACTTGATAGAGATAATATAAAGCCATGCATCCATGACTAACTTATATACGAACAACTACTCCCATCCCGCATTGTCTAAAAGTGTCCTTATTGCGGTTACGTGGACTCTCGGCACGGGTAATTGGAATGCAACGTGACTTTAATAGTGAATACGATGAATTGTAAATATAAGGCTATTGGTATTAGCTGTCGCAGACGATATTATAGAACCAGCCATGCTCTGTCGAGGTTTGAATGACTTCCGGAGCCTAAGTACCCCGAAACTTGTCAAGATGCTCGCCCCTTTCCTGTTCGTGCTTGGTGCCGTGCCATTGACATTGGGACTTTCGTCAATCAGATCTTCAGCTTCAAATGGCCAAGAAGAAGATGAATGCGCCGTGATATCTAAGCGCGTATCATGGTTCGTATCCCCCTGATTCTAGTCTGTATCAAGACGCTCATTGTGACCGTAGGCGAAACCTTACGTCGACGGAAAAGTCGGACTACCTGAAGGCAGACCAGTGTCTAATATCGTCTCCCCCAAGATCCGGCATAGTTGGAGCGAAGAATAGGTGGGACGAGCTGCAATATATCCACATCGCTCAAACCGATTATGTTCATGGTGTCGTGAGTAAAAGACTAGGCCCGCTGGTATACCGCGATCGTTTCCAACCTTCTTTAATTAGGGTGCATTCCTGCCTTTCCACCGATACTTCATGAAGGTGCACGAACATGTCATTAGGACGGAGTGCAACTACACCGGACCTCTGCCGTAAGCAATAAAACCATCTCCCATGGAGGGGTGATAGGGGCTGATAGGTGGTTGTAGGTACTGGGATGAACCAGCCGACATTGGAAACATTATCGGATCTCCCCTTTTCGACGTCGAAACAGGATTTGGAGGTAACGGCACGGGAGCCGGCAACTGTGTTGCCGATGGGCCATTTGCCAATCTTACCCTACGGTTCCAGGCCGACCTATCGATCGACGAGTACTGCCTTTCGCGATACCTTAACGACCGTGCGCTCTCAATGGCGACGAAAGAAAATGTTGACAAGTGTCTTGAAAGAGAGACGTACGTAGAAGCATGGAATTGCCTGGAGGGGCTTCCTCATGGGGCTGGACATGGTGCTGTGATGGGCACCGTAAGTTTTATCTGAATCAATCACCAAGAAAATCCACTCACCATAGGTACTAGATGATCAACCCCTTTACGTCGCCTGGTGATCCTATCTTCTATCTTCACCATGGGTATTTGGATAAGTTATGGTGGGATTGGCAATCGCGAAATTTGACGACGCGGTTGACTGAAATAGGAGGCAATAATACGGCAAGAGGCCCTGGCTTTGGCTTTGGTCCCGGCTTCGGCGGCGCTCCGGGCGGGGGTCCGGGTGCTGGCTTCCCCGGCGGAAATCCGTTCGGTGGTAACGGCAGCTTTCCATTCCCCGGATTCCCTCCATCGAATGGTTCGAATCCGTTTCCATTCCCCATTGGGAACAAGACGGTCAATAAGGCGTTTACTGACTACTTCAACGACGGCGGGAATGTTACGACGCTGAACCATACTCTGTGGTCGGCTGGTGTCATGGACAATGCTACGATAGCGGATGTCATGAATCCAAGTGGGAAATTTATGTGCACTGAATATCTATAGGTATACTGGGTCGTTATTTGGTCGCTTTGAATGAAGTGGCTATCTTAGAGTGGACCATAAGGCCGATTCCGCCAACCCGCCAATTCAATTAATGTATTGAAATGAATACAGTATAATACAGTGTAATAACGTACAGTTTGATACATATTTCACACAGTGCCCTGAATCTTACAGTGGGTCACATCGCTATAGGGCGCTGAAAGCCCTATAACTTATGGGCTTTATAGCGCATTAGCTCCTTATAACTTATAGGTGGCTTTTTAGGTATGTAAAAAGCCCTAAAGCTAGCGCTAGAGCCTTCTAAAGTTATTATTAATATCTGAACCCTTGCGAAACGAATTAAATCAATTAATTAATCTGATTCAATCGACTACTTCGATACAGTTGAATGCGTAATAGTTCTAAGTTCAAAACGAGGGGTATCACGTGATATATGCTGAGCCTTATTAGGTACGCTATACGCTATAACCCCTATAAATTACAGGGGCTTTTAGCGCCTCATAGCGCTATGACCCACTGTAAGATTCAGGGCACTGTGTGAGATATGTATCAAACTGTACGCTATTACACTGTATTATACTGTATACATTTCAATACATTAATTGAATTGGCGGGTTGGCGGAATCGGCCTTATGGTCCGCCGTCTTAGATAATTCTGAAAAGATTTGGAGAATTCATATGGAAATCTTCAATTCAGACCTAGAAAATAAAACACATCTACACTGTAGTTTATCGCTAAATCCCCTGTTGCGGGGTAACTACTAGGTAGTAGTTCCCACTATAAGCTTTGGACTCACTGCTGCTTAGATCTTTGCCTGGGCACTAGGGCATGCATCATTTCTCCCCCGCGGGGCACAACATCCCCTGTAAAGATAATTGCTTAGCGCTGTTCAGCCCAATTTTTCAGCAAAACCTCAACAACAGCTCAACAACGACTATAGATCCAGATTTTAGATAACTAAGAGTTACATCATTCAAAGCGCTTCAATTCAAACGAGTTCAAAATACATCAACTATATTGTAAATATAATTATAAGGATTTGTTTGAAGCTATTGGTAAGCTGTTATTGAGCTGTTGTCAAGCCATTGTTGAGTCTGAGGTAAAATACTACGATTTGGTTGGCCGATATTATAGTACCTAAAGAAGTACCTCCAGGGCTATGTAGGTAGTCACTAAACTCCCCTGTGATGATAGCGCTATTCAGCGCTAAGTCTGTTATCCAGCGGTAAAATATAGCGGATATATGAACTAATCACACCCTATTTTTTAAGGTTGATTTGATTCGGCGGTTTCGCGCATTTCACGCACCGTAAAGACCTTGGTGTTAATACTTTCACATTATATCAGAACATAATAGTTGCCTAATATCTTTGTCAGGAACTTATGGAAAGGCTGCGGCTAACGCGATAATTAATTGTGGTGAAAAATGACCTGTTAATATTGGCATAGCCTGCTTAGAACCCTTGAATGCTGGAATTGTAGCCAATGGTTGTGACTTTTCAGATGCATGCACCGCCAACATTCGAGCACTGCAACGCAACCATCTCGTAGCGCATGATTTATTACCATAGGGCTCCAACTTCATTATTTCTCTCATTCATTTCCTGTTTCCACCCCACTACTATGATGCATAAGATGGCATCTTACATGATAACAAAATCATCCTCTAATCTTCCCTAATTTAAATGTTTTAGCTGCCCGTTGACTTTATTAACGATCTTTTCTTGCCAGAATGGAGCCAGTCGCGGTGGTTGGGTTAATCAGCAATGTCTTGCAGTTCGTTGAGTTGGGATATAAACTTCTATCCGCATCAAAAGAAATGTACGGAGCGGGAAATGAGGCAACTCAATCAAACAAGAATCTTGAGTTCATGACTCGAGAGATGAAACGGTTGAGCCAGTGTCTAACCAAAGGCGGACCGCCGCCACATGCGACCGACGATGAGCAAATCTTGTTGGAGCTAGCAGACAAATGCGAAAGATGGGCTGATGATATGCTTGCATTTCTTGCTCGCCTAAAGAATAAGAACCCACAGAGCAAGTTAGCGGCATTTAAAGCTTCAGTGAGGAACCATACTACACGGCATGAAAGGAGTCGACTCAAAGAGGGCCTCGACGATTACAGAGTACAGTTAGACGTCCAGCTGAATATCATGACTAGGTAGGTATAGATAACTATGTCACTTCATTTATATAGCTATTTGATCTAATGAGGTACGCTAGGTCCGATATCCTCAAAAACCTCAATAGCATGACCCAGGCGCTGAAGTTGACCAACGAAGACATAGTAATCTTAAAGCGCAGTGCAGAGTCACTTCAGGAGTCTGTCCCAGGCATTGAAATGAAAGTCGGTTCAAAATTCCTAGACCAACTCAGGGGTATTCTGCACGTCTCAGAAGAAACGATATTAAAAGCCAAGCAGATGCTATTCATAAATGCTCTAAGAAATGAAGGAATGGAAGATCGGTTTTACCATGTGGAACCTGCCCACGAAGCAACATTTAAATGGCTACTTGAAGAAAACCCTATTTCAGATCGTGGATCTCCTGGGGATGGGACACCGGATAAACCCGATACCAAACGAGATATTCGAGGCCAATTCATAAATTGGCTTCGGAATGAAAGCGGCATCTTCCAAATATCGGGCAAACCAGGATCGGGAAAGTCAACGCTGATGAAGTTCTTATACGGTAATAAACTTACCTGGCGATATCTTGAGGACTGGTCAAAGGAGAAACAACTCGTATTTGTTAAGTCTTTCTTCTGGAGACTGGGGAATGATACGCAGACATTGATGAGTCTCGTTCGTTCTCTCCTTCACCAAATTCTTTCGGTTGCCAAGGACTTAATACCCGTCGCCTTTCCTTCTCGTTGGGAGCAAATTTATTCTCACGGAGTGACCATGGTCCAACTTGGGTTGGAAGAAATTGAGCAAGGGTTCCAGAACCTTGTCACCAACCAGACAACTTTTGAAGGCCATAAACTCGTCTTTTTCATCGATGGCCTAGATGAATATCAAGGCAGGCATATTGATCTTGTAAAAAGGCTATTCAGCTGGACTTCTTCTAGCGATGAAAACCTTAAGATATGCGTTTCTAGCAGAGAATGGAATGAATTCATGGTGGGGTTCTCTGAATGCCCCAAACTACGAATACACGAATATACTCACAAGGATATTATGGCAATGGTCCGTCATCAACTAAAGGCTGGCTGCAAATATCCAACGCTCGTGAATAGCTACCACATTGAGTTCTTAACTCAGAAGATAGCGTTTAAAGCTGAAGGTGTCTTTCAATGGGTCAGCCTTGTTCTAAACGCTCTCAATGATGGTATTCTCAATGGCGACAACGTCTCAGAATTGATCTCCAAAATTGATTCGTTCCCAAATGAACTAGAAGATCTGTATCAACATCTATTTAACTCAATACACGCAAAAGATCGTCAGAAGGTTTTCGAAACATTAAGGATGATTAACTATATGGGATCTGATCACAGCATACCCTTAATGCGAGTTTGGTTCCTCAACAAAGTGATAGACGAACCAAATTACTGCATGAAAGCGACTCTCGGGAGTGAATCCGATGAAGAAATAACTGATATACTGGAAATCACTCGAAGGCAGATCTATGGGCGCTGCAAGGGATTTTTGATAGTACACGACTATCCAGAAAAACATGTCTTGTTTAGCCCTCATTTCCCAAACGATGGAGGAGTAAGATTCATGCATAGCACCGCCTACGAATTCTTAGAACAAATTCATATAAAACAATCTATTGATCAGGTCGTGGGGAAGGTCGACCTTTTCGACCGTATCTGCCAGACTTTCCTCGCATATGCTAAATTCGCTAGACCAGAGTGGTACAACTTCGATCCATCAAAGAGTCACGATTCCCCGTTCAACGAGGAGCTAGGCTACATTCTTATGTTGGCACTCGAGAATGAATGCTTGTTTTCCGACTGCAAGGCTTCTATGAACAATGGTCCTCGATTCATCAAATTTCTAAATGAACTAGAAACAACGATAGTAGCAAAACGAGGCCCGCTAAAGACCCCATACAAAGTTCATGACTGTGTTCATATGAAGCCGTCAAATACACCACCCGCAAGCGTAACAAAAAATGGCTGCGTTGGTGCTGGTACCATCATTAAATTGTTCGTTTTTAGTTGGCTACTACCCGAGTTTTTCCACGATCAGGTTCCAACTTTTAATTGGGATGAAATTCATGAGGACCCTCTGTGTCTTCTGCTAGGAACTATGGGTACGAGGAGATCCCAAATGAAGATATATTACGAACGACTATGTGAAATGCTCGAGTGGTGTTTCTCAAAAGGTGTCACATCTCCAAACTACATTGGTATAAACCAGCCAGGATTGAGCCTTGTTGACTGCATACTCCTCTTACTCATGTATCGGCCATCTTACGATCTATGGTACAACAAAACTGATATTCATCACGACACTAATCTCTATCCACTAAGGTTACTTGAGACGTGTCTACGTTATGGCGCCAGGCCGCAGTTACAACTATGGTTTTATGATTGTTACCAAGAGAAGGATAAAGGGTTCGTTCGAGTCCGGCCTGTTTTTTCCAATAAATTCATACATGAAGGGTGGCATACTCCAAAAGAATCTCCTCTTGCAGTATTTGCGAAACAGCGGGAGGGTATAGTCACGATTCGTGATCTCACTGAACTCTGGTTTCCCTGCCACTACGTGGTGCTTCAAAAGCTGATTGACCGTAACGATCAGGCCACAGAGTCTAAAAGAGATACACACACATATGATATCGTTCCTTCACATCTTCAAGATGATCCGGGGCGAAACTGGTCGGAAGTTGAACTTGGAGAAGATCTATTCCAGTGGCATATTCAGTTGCCCGGTTCTGGTTATATTATTGAAAGCAAGTGTGCCATGGTTCCTTTCCGGTATGATGGAGTAAAAGGGTTTTTCTAGTTGCCGAACACCCACGGATACATAGAAACAACGTATTGCTAAGTAGAATGATCGATTACCTAATTAACAGCTTACTAATCCTGAATAGTTCAAGGTTATGATGATTCACTCATTCTTCTAACGAATTTCCCCATATTCAAATCAAAAATCTACGGGCCTATTAAAACACTGAAATGCACCATAACTTGAAAGAGAGACCTCTAACTACAAAGCCCCTATTCAACTATGGCGCCGTTCAGGGGAGACTATGGGCTTAGTCATCCTCGCTCCGGTCGATTTAAGGTACTGCCAAAATAGGCAACTCCGATCGCCCTCTCCACGCCCTTTGAGTCCTTAAGCGCCGATCCTTCCCCGGTTGATGCCGGGGTCAGTGACTCGCCGTTCGGCGAATCAGCTACCTTGTAAACTACACACCACCACGATAGCAGCTAATGAATGTTTGTATCCCCGGGCTGTAACAAGGTTTACTTGAACATACGCCTTTCATAGCACGATAAGATGGGTCTGGCCCGTGCCCTGCATCGACATCCATGGACCCCGCTGCTCTTTGCTGACCGTATTTAAGGTCGACCAACCATTGGCGATGGCAAGCTTCTCTTGTCCTTCTTCGCCTGAAGTTACAGTAATTCCATAGACCTATATGCGAGAATCTGATAATATACTGATAAGTGCTCTGGAAGAATTTCAAGCGCGGCCAACATGCAGCTCTCCAGCTTGCTGCAAAAGCCCTCGGGCTACATGCTAGCTAGCGTACTCTGCTCACTAGGAGGCTTTCTCTTCGGCATTGATACTGGTATCATTGGCCCCGTCACTGTAATGGACGATTTCACTACATATGCTGGCCACCCGTCCCCGACGGTTCACGGCCTCATCGTCTCGTCTATCCTCATACCTGCGGCAATTTCGTCCTTCTTCGCTGGAAGAGTCGCAGACGCGCTTGGCCGCCCTCTTGGAATCGCTATTGGCTCTTTCATCTTTGGCACCGGCGCTGCACTCGAAGCGGCCTCTGTTCACATTGCCATGTTCATCGTTGGTCGCATTATCGAGGGGATTGGAGAGGGTCTTTATCTTAGCATGATGGTGGTGTAAGTTCACATCTCATACAGAATCCCAAGTTTGACCATGCGTGGGACTAATCTAACCCTTCATAGTTATATCTGCGAGATCTCACCTCCAAGATATCGCGGCGCCCTAACCACCGCGCCACAACTTCTCACCACTCTCGGCCTGGTCACCGGCTTCTTCACATGCTACGGCACCGCCAACATGCAATCGTCATTCTCCTGGCGCCTGCCATTCATCCTGCTAGCCGCATACTCAGCAGCCTTTTCCGCCTCGGTATTCATGTGGCTGCCCCCATCCCCACGCTGGCTCACTCTTCACGGGAAGACGCAAGAAGCCTCCGCGGCATGGGACAAACTCGGGGTCGATGCCGCCGACCGGGAGAAGATCCTAGACCAATACGACGCGACCGTAGTCGAAGACGCCATCCCCGACGCCAGCGGCAACACCAGCGCCGGGCACGTGGCATCCACCACGATCGCCATTCCCAAGTCGAAGAAGGCGAAGATGCTCGACGTATTATCCTCCGACGCACGCCCCCGCCTCATTCTCGCCGTCTTCCTCATGGGCATGCAGCAACTAAGCGGCATCGACGGCGTTCTCTACGTAAGCCTCCTTTCCCCCATCCCCCAACCCCCCAAACTAAAACATTTTAGTACGCTCCCCTCCTCTTCCAACAAGCCGGCCTCTCCTCCAACGAATCAACCTTCCTCGCCTCGGGAGTCTCCGCAATCCTAATATTCGCCGTCACCATCCCCGCGACCATCTGCGCAGACCGGTGGGGACGGCGTCTAAACACGATTCTCGGGGGACTAGGCATGACCGTAACCATGTTCCTCATGGGCACGTTATACGCCTCGTCCTCCGTGCACGCGGGCACAGGGGCCGGACGCTGGGTCGTGATCGTGTGTATCTACGCGTTCGCGGTGATCTACTGCGTGTCCTGGGCCGTGGGGATCAAGGTCTACGCGGCGGAGATCCAGCCCCAGCGGACAAGGGCCAGCGCGACGAGTATTGCGCACGGGAGCAATTGGTTGAGTAATTTCCTCGTTGCGCTCGTTACGCCGACGTTGCTCGCGAAGACGAGTTACGGTGCGTATTTCCTGTTTGGCGGATGCACGTTATTGACGGCGGCTGTGTGTTGGGTTTTTATGCCGGAGACGCGGGGGATGAGTCTTGGTGAGATTGACGAGGCGTTTGTGAAGAAGAGCGGGTTGGCTAAGGTTAGTGGGGTGGGAGAGTGGGCGAGGTCGTTGCAGGGGAGGGTTAGGTGGAGGAGACCGGTTGCGGTGGATATGGATGCTTAAATATGTGAGTGTTTACAGAAGTCTGTTAGGTATATGCTACTAGAAGTTGTATGAAATCGACTCGGCAGCTTACAAAAAGTTGGAATATTAGGAAAAGGCTAGGTACTTACTTAGTATGTTCGCGCTGCTTTTGACGGAGGTTCGTTAACTTTTTAAGGATGGACGAATCACGAAGCGTTCAGGATTCTAGGAAGAACTTCGAAATTTGGGGTTGAAGTTGAGGGACTTTTTTTGCTGTATACCTACACACTGGCAGGACGCCGAGCTGCAAATGATATATGAACGACGGAGATTATTCGCAAGAGAATACGGATTAGGGAGGTACTTTACAATCCACGCATTGCCAATTGCACTCACGCAATTAACAAGTCATGGAGTAATACTTAAATAAATCACGGATGAATTCAGTAGGATTCTGTCTAATACATATAGCTAGTACCGCTATATCCATGAGAAGGTAGTGCTGAAAGGGGGATCTCGTATATGTGTGCGGAAGGGGATAGGCTATGTATATGACGTAAGGTAGGACGTAGCCGTCTTAGGGTTCCTATCGATCCTCGACGTGTGACTGACTCATCCATGCCGCCCTGTCTCCTTCATCGACCTCCGTCCCGTCCATCCAGTTATATGCAAGTCATGCCAAGCATCATTAGCGAAGAAAAGGAAAAGCCAAGAAAAAAAGGGAGCAATGCCCGCCACGCTTGGGGGTGTGGGTATTCGTAGACATCTCTCCCAGACAACGCCACCATGCCACCATGGTACGCCACACGCCTTCTCCTGTGCCCCCTGCCTAGGTCTAGAGGGAAATAAATGTGAAAAAAATATATCCCATCAGTAGGGTATAGAATAAGGATAGTAAGAATTAATCAAACACGCTGTAGTAAATTGCAAACACTGAAGAGGCATAGAAACGATTTTATCCTCGTTCTATGCTCTCTGGGCTCATCATGCCGGTATCATCCTTATCCGTCTGGCTATTGTTGCCTTGGCTCTGAGTGCTCCCGACACGTTCCATGGGTTGTGCGACAGGCAGGGAAGCGGCGCTCGTTGGTAGGGTTCCATTCGGCATAGACATGCTCTTTGCCTTCTTTGGTCCACCTTTCTCGGGGCTCTGATTCGCTGTCTTGTTGGCTTCGGCTGCCTGGGCTTCCATCTTCTTTTTCTTTTTGTTGATGGCATTTTGCTCCTTTGGAGGGCGTTTCTGAGGAGATACGATCTTGCCGGTTGCACCAAGTCGCGGTCGAGGTCGTCGCTGCTTGACAGGCAGGTCTTCATCTTCCACCAAAGGTGTGTCGCCATTAGCGTGCAGCTTAGCGAGGAAGAAGTTCTTGACAAGTCCGATCTGCTCCTGGATGTTCTCCTTGGTGACGGGGTCGGGAGGAGCAAGGTCCTCGAATAGGACCGCATCGGAAGGACCTTGTGTTTGGTTCTGGACCTGGTACTGGTTGCGAACCCTGGACTGGAGGAGATGGAGAGGTACAGAGAGCATGCCACCCATCTCTCCAGCGAGACCAAGTTCTTTGAATCCAAAGAAGTCCTCGCCTAATTCTTCAGCGAAGTCGCCGCCAATAAACTGCTCACTCCCATCATCGAACGCGGCGGCACCATCTTGTCCTCCCGATTCTGTCACAGCAGGACGCAGAAGATCGCTTAGATGAGCCTTCATCCGCTCGTGGATACCGGTCAGCTTGTGACCGAGCCTCTCGACTTCATCCTTGGCGTAGCTCTCTAGGCCCTCGACGGAATATCCCATCTCAGACAAGGTGTGCAGTAAGGCCTCCTCGTCGCTGAATCGAGGTTGAGCTGTATAACCACGTTGAACATAATCCGGAGAAGGGTCTTTCATTTCGATCTCCGTGTAGTTCTTGAACGTGGTTATGATCTTCCCGAAATAATCAGCGGCGATGTCAGTGATGGCGTCCATCGCAGATGGTTGAAATTCTTCAAAGCCAGCATGATAGAAGATCTTTGCAACGGATCGTTGCAGGCCTGCCCTGCAAACCTGCGGTGCCATCACAATGTTGTCACCACATACGACATGTGGCTCAACATCTTTCTCGTAAAATGGCTCTGGGTTGTACTTGGGGAACTGGTTGGCATACACCTAAAGAATGTTAGTTAAGAGTCCCTAATATGTCGTGCGACGAAATCATACCTGAGTCTGAAGCTGCATTTGCTTTATAACACCTATTTTCGAACAGATCTTCCTGGTTTCCTGCATCTGCCTGAGGTTCGCATCGAATTTCTGCGACATGATACTCTTTGGTGCGGTGAAATAACCTGGTGGTAGAGTATGGAGAAATTCTTCGTGTTGGTTAATGGCGTTGCCTTCCTCATCCTCGATCCATTGGAGTTTAGGTGGAACGTCGAGAACGATGGACTGCGGCTCGTAATAAAAGGGAAGACATTTTTCTTCATCCTCTTCCATACCCTCTGCGAGAGTCTCGGCAGCTTTTTCCTTCGTAACAGCTGACGAATCCTGAGCGCGACCGGCCGATGCAAAGGCTTCTGCCTGTTGTCGGCCGCGCAAGTACCGACGCATACCGGCCCTGGTTCGAAGTAACGCAGGCTCGTCGACATTCAGCTTATTCTTGTTAAATAGCTGGTATCGTGCCTTTGTAATTAAAGCACGGTCTTTCTTAGTCACCTGTTTCCAGATTTTATACTCGTCGTCCTCGTAGGCTTCCTGAGCAGCCTCGTTCAATGCCTGTCCCAGCACCATACCATTTAGCTCGGGACCATCAATATCCATGGCATCTACGTTGCTACCCATGCCCGAATGGCCGTTGAGTCCGCTAGGCGTCATAGAACCACCAATAGGGGGGGTCCCAAAACCGTTGCTCCCGTCGAGTTCAGAACCTTCACGATGAGCTTTTGCCAACAACCCGTTTAGCTGAAGCATAGGCTTCTGTTCCATATTAGGTGTCCCCTCCTTTTGGTCCGAATGAGTTTTTCTCGACTTCGTTCCCTTTACTCCGCCGGCAATTCGACCGCGAGACGACATTATCGGCTCGTCATCAGAATCATCGCCTCCATCATCTTCGCCGCCATTCTGCTTACGCCTCTCCTCGGCCTCGACTTCGGCACGGGGTCGGATGGCTAAGTCGGGTATTAAGGGGATAAGCTTCTCGGCTTCCCTGCGCATTCCATTGGCCATCCGCCTAAGGGGGTGATTCATATCTTGGTTGTACCGCAGGCAATTATCCCATATTAAGTTGAGGTCAGTGACAAAATCGGTTTTGGACTTGTAAGTCAAGGACTTGAGCTTCTTCGTCATAGATCCTAGGTCCATCGGCTGCTTGATGACTTGGGGAGCGTTAGCTTGTGTAAGGTTGTGTCATCTGGCAGCATGCAACTTACAGTTATAGTAATCAGGAGCATCCTTCTTGTTCACCCTTTGGAGAAATGGGGTGGAGTACTCGGTATGTGCCTTGAGCTCAGTCAAGACCTTTTCCAGTGCTTCGTACAACTCCTCCTGGTTGACGTTCTCTTCGCTAGCCCACTTGCTCCTATTCTTGCGGACTTCATTCATAAGAGAGCGCAACTCAGCGTCCGACGCGCGAACCATATCGCGCTTCATATCTATGCGCGCAATAAGGTGCTTGAGAGTCAAACTAGACGCGCCTAGATTTGCGCTACTGAGCGACCCATGGTTTTCGCCGGAGGTACCTCCGCTGACATTGTTATTGGTATTCTTATCCATTTCAGCTTGAAGCTGTTTTTCCGACTCCTCAAGCTGTTGCTGTTCTAACATAGCTGCTCGATCATTCTCCAAGGTATAAAAGACAGAATAGAAGCTACGCTTAGCAGCTTCCTCGGTATCTTTGCGCGCATCTTCAAGTTGCTTGCGCGCGTCTTCCGACTTGTTGGCTTGCGCCTGTGATGCTTGCGACCCTTGCGATGCATCTTCTTTTGTCCTGTCGTATAACTTGTCTGGCGACGGCGCGGAAGCTATAGGGGAACTTCCCGACTTGGAAGGAGAAGGGAGAGCTTTCGAAGCGGCGACGGCGGCGGCTTTAGACTTTATAGAGGATAGGTTGGTAGAGTTAGGTACAGGCTCATCTTCATCGTCATCGTCGTCATCATCATCATCCCCGTAATCATCTTCATCGATTACTCTCTTCACTCTTTTAGTAGGACGTTCTTGTATAGAAGAATGATCAGTGGTCGGAGGAGGGGCTGCCGATGGGGTCATAGGTCGTCGCCATGATTCTAAAACTTCGTTGTTAAGTTCCCCATCGGGGCCATATAAAAGCGCAATCTTAGCCTCGTTCTTACGCCGCAATTCGGCGAAGTGAGCTCGTAGGCGTTCCTCTTCATTATCAGATGCCTCAGGCACCGACGCGGCGGAATTATCGATAACTTCACTGGATCTGGCAGTAGAATCATCAAGATTACGAAAAGGACGCTTCCCTACAACATGGTTTTGTTGAGAAAGTGGCCAAGAATTTTGGCCGTTCATGATGGACATGATAGCCTCGTAGGCGTGTTAGAGTGATAGGCGGGTGGCGGTAGCCATACGGAAGAAAATGACAGTCGCGTTTCTTCAGGAAGTAGGGCGTTGGAAGCCCCTAAATTGACATAGGAGAAAAGAGCGACATCGAATTAGATGAGAGAAGTAATTTTTGATGGAAAATTGATAAATATGGTGATGCCTCGATGGGTTGCATTCAAGGCGATTTCGCGTATGATCAAAGGGTGAGGTCTGCGAAGTGAGGTTTTGAGCGGATCACTTCCACTGTAGTCGTGCCAGTAGTTGACCACTGTTTAGTCGCTATGGCGAACGTAAAATCGCACTAACGGATGTACCCCGGTACTTACTATACTTAAAATGGCCTATTGTTTAACGTTAAATCCAATGTACCCTACCAGCCACTAGATGTATCCAAGTACCTGCCATTCGCTACTGAATACAGTCTTTTTCCTTTACAGGGGATATCAACCTGTCAACCGACCGCTAGCATCCACTATAAATTGTCCATTCATCCCTATTCGGGACCTACGCCGGTCGCGTACCTTCCTTATTAATTCAGTATTCGTCGCGTTGACGTTCAGTACATTTGAATTTGTCAGGTACAAGTGTGAAGGTAATCGCAAATAACAATACAAAGACAGAGGCAATTAACCCTATCATAAAACAGCAACTGATCGAATTCAGTCTGTCATCTTTGTTCATAGTGTTTATTACTATTGTTTTATTCTATTTATGATTTTTCTCTGTTGTCTACAAGTTTACTCCGAAGTGCATCCTCATGTTGAATTCTTGATAGCTCTGTATCTGAATAAAAACAAATAATACCTATTCCTGGCAGAACATTTCGGAAAGGTCCCCGCAAACAGTGAACTTCCAGAAATCGAATGATCTAAATCACGGTATCCATATGGTTAAGTCACGTGCTATTTGCGAAGTTTGCAACTTGGACCGCACCAATTCTAAGCGCACAGCCACAATGTCAGATGGCCTTCAAAAGTTTTTTTGTAAATAAAAACCTCGGTCGGCTATCAATGGTCACACAAATTTGGCTAGAAATTGTGCTTACCACAGCACACAGACAAAAATTCATGAACTTTGAAAATTTAAGCCTCAATTCTAAATGTGATAAAGATACGGCTAGACCTGCATGTTCCGAAATCCGACGTCACAACTGTGGAGAGTACCTGAATCTGATAAAGTGCGATAAGTGGCTAGTGGATCTAACCCCAGCAGCTCCAGGCGTGCAATCCAGGCGAGACGGCCAGCTGCAGATGATATATGTACATGAATACATCCATCCAAGATTATGCATTCCTTACGTAATGTAGTAGGCACTGACCAAACTTAAAATCGAAGCATGCCCAGTGGGGCAGGATTCTTTCAGGCGGCTTAGGTAACTCAGCTCACAGCCGCGGCTGCGACGTCGGGAACTTTCTAGATACTTAGGTACATCTGCCATAGGCTTCAGTGAGGACTCAGGTGTGACGAAAGAAAGAAAAAAGTGGAACCTCCCTACTATTCCATCGGGAAGCAGCTAAGCTTACCCTTGCAGCCCTGGCACCAGCTTCTTCGTTTCGTCGTTTTGTCGTTTCGGAAACAGATTTCACACCTCTCACATTTTACACATCTTACATCTTTCACAATACAATACAATAAAATACAATACACGGAGTTGACGAGAACAATACTCGAAACCATGTCCATGCAAATCGTAACGGCCTAAATACCTAGTACCCACCGACTTGAATATGCGCATTCGTCTACCTTTTGCAGGTTAGTTTCGCCGCCTTCCTCTTTGTTACTACCATGCTACCATACTCCGTTTGATACGTAGCATTCTATAAGATTAACTTGCTTTTATATACCTACCTTAATAACCTAAAGACTCTTTAACTAACAAATACATTCACAGGTATCTTTTTCCTGCTATGTCTACTCGCAGGCTACGCAGGGCTCTCATCCCTCCAACTCAACACCATCGTCAACGATAAAGTCCTACACTGCGTTACCTTCTTCCTTCTAACGACCGCCTTCTACTGGATCATCGATACCAACCGTCGCCGCACCCTCAACTTGACGATCGTAGTATGCACGATATGTCTCGGCATCGGTTCCGAGTTCCTCCAAGGCTTTCTGCCTAACGGCCGTGAGTTCGACCCTTACGACATTGTCGCCAACATTGTCGGCAGCGTAGCCGCCCTCGGACTGTGTTCCTGGTACCATCTACGGATGCTAGAGAGAAAGCGACAGCGTAGACAGTATAACGCCGTCCCCGGCGAAGACGTCGAGGACCTGGAACTCGGTGAAGGGGTTGGGCCTCAAGAGGAGGGCATCATGTTGGCAGCCGGAACCGAGCGAGCTGCCACGCTAGAGGAAGAAGTTGACAACTGGGATGAAAACGCAGTAGACGCCTGGGACGAGGCTGAAGACGAGGGCGACCTGGGAGTTACCAACGGAAACGGAAAGGCGCACGATCAAAATGGAGGAGAGACGGCCGACACCAAAAAACGAGTCGACTAAGTGCGCTACGAGAATACGATTGCAACGGTTGGACGGATTGAATGATACCTTTTTTCTTCCTCGGGCGTACAGTTAGGTTCCATTATACCGCATGAACTTCGTCCAGTTGTTGGCGGCTCCTGGGAATCATCACGGCATTGTACGGGTTAGGATGAGATTGGTATGTGATTCATAGGCTACAAAAAAACGCATTTGCTGGAGTTTGCTCATTTATTTTGGTGGAATATTAACCACGACACAGCTTGTGATTGTTTCATTCTATTCAGTCGCTTGACGTCGTCGACATTCAAAAAAGAGAATCCACCTATCAGGATACTATCTAGGTAGTATACACGATAGAGGGAGCTAACAACATTTAAACTTAAAGCAATCTACATATACCCAAAGCCCGCTACTCGTTTTCTTAGCTCCTTTTTAATAGTTCCCCATGCCGAAATTGCATTATAAATGCGGCGAGCACGCGATCAGCGTCAAATAGTGATCCGAGAAAAAAACTATTCAGTGGGGTCTCGGTTATTACGTAGGTAGCCTCTAAACAGAAATGAATGTCCGAAAACGCTGATATATAGAAATACGTAAGTTAAAATAGTAAAGCATGTAAATAGTGAAAATTGGGTCAATATTTTAGTCTCTTTTTTTATTCTCATTCGCGATATTTGGCTTAGATATAGCTGTTTAAGATGTCTTCTGATGCTACAATCAACGGGTACAGTAACCCTGAGAAGTCCCAGTTACACAGGGCAGATGAAGTTGAGGATGTAAGTCGAATTCCTAATCCTACATCACTTCAAAAAGACCCAACTTCTACAAACTTTCACTCTCATATATACAGCCAATCTTACAAATTAATTCATCTCTAGTTAGTTGACGCAGTAAAATCTCTCATCATACCATTTATCCGAGATGCAGACAACGCCGTCTCAACTCGAGCCAGTGGTTCCATAGGGGTTGATGCTCAAGGGGCACCAGGTCGAAATGTCCTTGTAGATTCTCATAAACCAGAGGAGTTGGTGAAGAAACTAGAATTTTCAATTCCTGATAATGGGACTGGGAAAGAAGGGTTACTGGATGTTATCCAGACCATCCTACGATACAGCGTAAATACGTGGGATCAGGGGTTCATGGACAAGTTATACTCAGCTATTAATCCAGTGAGTTCTCATTTCGCCCTCCCCCCTATTCCAATAAATACCTAGGCAACTGACTCAGATACCTAACTTTGAAGGTCGGCGTGGCATCCGATCTTCTTCTCACCGCATTAAACACCAACGTGAGTCCCTTCAACCCCCTAAACGACAATCATTCTTACAAAACACAGGTCCACATCTTCAAAACCTCCCCAGCACTCACCATCATCGAGAAGACCACCTCCCGCAAACTCGCCAACCTATTCGGCTTCACCGGCCCACGCGCCGGCGGGATAACCTGTCCAGGAGGTAGCGCATCAAACATGACGTCCCTCGTAATCGCGCGCGCCACCCTCTTCCCCGACACCAAGGACAGCGGCAACGCCAACCACGCCTTCGCCCTATTCACCAGCGCGCACGGGCACTACTCCGTGTCCAAGGCCGCAATGACCTGCGGCATAGGCTCAGACGCCGTAACAGCCGTCGCCGTCGACGCGAACGGATGCATGCTCCCCTCCGCACTCCGTGCCGCGATCCTAGAAGCCAAAGAAGCCGGTAAAACCCCACTGTACATCAACGCAACAGCCGGGACCACAGTCTGGGGATCCTACGACCCGTTCACGGACATCGCAGCCGTAGCCCGCGAATTCGGGATCTGGCTGCACATCGACGGGTCCTGGGGCGGTCCCGCCGTCTTCTCCAGCACTCAGCGACACAAACTAGCGGGCTCCGAGCTCGCGGACTCGATTACGGTGAACCCGCACAAGATGCTCAACGTGCCGATCCCGTGCTCCTTCCTCATCACCAACGATGTCGCGGTGTTCCAGCGCGCGAACGCCTTGCGTGCAGGGTACTTATTCCACGACCCGGATGCGGGCGGGGAGGTGTGGGATTTGGCGGATCTGGGACTGCAGTGTGGACGCCGGGGTGACGCGCTGAATTTGGCGCTTGCGTGGGTGTTTTATGGGGATAAGGAGTTTGAGAGGAAGGTCGATGGGGCGTTTAGCGCGGCGGCGTATTTGGCGACGCTGGTGCAGGAGTCGGACGACTTTGTGCTGTTGTCGAGTAACCCGCCGCCTTGTCTGCAGGTTTGCTTTTACTATGCGCCAGGGGGTGTGTTGGCGGGTGATGCGGAGGAGAATACGCGGCGCACGAGGGAGATTGTGGAGAGGCTTGTTCCGAGGGGGTTTATGGTGGATTATGCGCCGGGGGAGAGGGGGAGCTTGTTTCGTGTGGTGGTTAATTGCTCGACGTTGAGGAGTACGGTGGAGGGCTTGTTTAGGGCGTTGAGGGAGGCGGGGAGGGAGGTTGTTCCTGAGTGAGGTTTGTTTGCTGGAGAAGGCTTGATGATTGCAAGCACTTGGATTGCCTACCTAGTATATATGTGAGGATTATCGGTACATGTTTGCGCCGTGTTTCTATTTGATGAGTATATTCTGCTAGAACGCCTCTTATAAATACAGGATACCTAGTTTCTTTCAACGACTTCTATTATCAGGTTATGTGACACAATACAGAGTTAATCGGCTACGTTCATGTAAATATTTACTAGATTCAATTTCAACCGCTATCTCGCTCGGTTCGTTGAAAAGCAGTTCGGCTTGGTATTTCCACTCCACGAGTTCTATTCGATATCTCATTTACAGTTCATTGCTTCCAAGATAAATACAAGTGTCTCGCTTCATCAAGAGTGTTAGTAGGTAGATATGAAGACGACTTGTTTCTTCGTGCTCCTTAACCTCCTGATTCCTAGCTCGGGAGACTGTATTTTTAAATATCCCTCTACCTATTCCGCGACTCTATCAAATTACATAACTCAAGCCAATCAACCTTTTAATTAGTTGAGAAAGTAGAAGATCAGCACACTCCGTGTTGATACGACAGAATCCAAAAAGTTAAAGCCACACAAAGTTTAACCTCATCCATGGCTAACATGATTGGCTACCTAACCGGATTTACTCCACCCCACCTAGGCACACACAATTTTGGGTTATTATACTCAATAGTATTCTATATTCCCATAGCCGGTTCGTCCGGCCCGGTTAGCTCAATCGGTAGAGCGTGAGACTCTTAATCTCAAGGTTGCGGGTTCGACCCCCGCATCGGGCTCAATTCCCGATGCCTCTCAGTTCACTGAGGGTTGCAACGATTTGTTTTTTTCTTTTTTGATTTTTCCATTTTCAAATCCCATCGCAATTCACGTGATTTGTATGTGCGAATGTCTCAGCTAACCCACTCCAATTTCGCTAGTGAATATTTCAATCGCCAAAAACACATCTTCATTTTTAACATTTCAAAGCATCTGATCAATGAGATGGAGATGAGAATAAATTGACATTTAAGTCCATAGGCTCAAACGCGGACAATTATACTAATTCACCTAATTTCGTTGATCACAAGTCTTTTATCCATCGCATCCGTCCTGCAACGGCCATCTTGACACCATGAACCTCGGCAGCCCTTTCGAAGCCATGGGTCAGTCCCGGGAACAGATGAAATTCGACTTGGACATTGGCCGCCGCTAATCGTGCCGCATACATTGCGCATTCGTCCCTAAACAGATCTAACCCACCGACGTCCATATACGTGCTCGGCAGCCCTTTTAAGCTGCTCGCGCGTCCCGGAGCTGCGTATGGACTCACGTCCGCCTCCTCTTTACCTGCTTTATCCTTGCCCAGGTAGCACTCCCAACAAAGCTTGCTCAAGTGAAGCGGGAAATACACAAATTCGTCTAGGTCAGCGGCAGATGGCGCATTGAGGGACCTGTCGTCAAGCATGGGGTACATGAGGATCTGCTGTTTGATTGGAGGTTCTAAGCCTCGATCACGGGCCATGAGTGCCGTGCCTGCAGCAAGACCACCACCCGCGCTTTCGCCCATAACAGCGATACGCGATGGGTCAATACCGAGCTCCGCGCTGTGTGTTGACAGCCACTTCAGAGAGGCGTAACAGTCTTCGACCGGTGTCGGATCCGGATGTTCTGGCGCAAGCCGGTACTCAGTAGCGAAGAACTGAACTCCTGAACCGAACGCTTGCATAGATATGAATGGCGCAAATAAACCGACGCTTCCGACGACCATGCCACCCCCGTGGAAGAACAATACCGCTGGCTGTGGCGTCTGTTGGGCTGCCATCTGTTCCGCGGTGGCGAAGCGATCGATCCTAACTTCAGCGCCGTCATGAGAAATGCATTTGCACTCGGTTTTGATGATACCGGCTTGCAGCGGAAGTTGTGATAACACAGCTCCCATAGAGAGGTTGCTGTAATTCCGGAAATCATCTATCGATTCAAACTTGGGTAGACGCATCTTGTCCTTGACTGGCTCACGCCATTTCTCGAATTCGGCATCGAATTTTAGGGTCTTGCGCTCCATGGCTCTTTTGGATTCCCCTTTTCGTCAATGGGCACTTCAAGTAGGTCTTAAATATGATAACCAAGCCAGGTCCTTTGGTCAGAGTCTGGTTCGAAGTATTATTAGTAAGTTTGAAGTTATACCACGAGGAGGAAATGAATAACCAAGACGTTCAACTGCACGATATCGTTGCTTTATATCTATTCGGTCATGGCTGTGATGTTACTTAGTACCTAGGTTAGCTGGTTGAAGCAGGGGCACGGTCATCACTGTTTCTGCGCCGCAGAACCAGTTTACACAGCATAACAGGGATCCAGACATACTGCAACGACACTACAGGCTACAGCATCGCAACCAGTTCACCCCATGAAATAATGCTGGTTTGTTTGAATGACAATCCCGATTTACACCAGGGTATGGATATTCCAAGCAGACCCTTGACACGTATTTCTAAAAGAAAAGAATTTCCGATTTTTTTTTTTTTTTACAAAGATTAAAGAATAAGAGAAGTACATATTACAATATAAAAAGCCAGATGTTTTAAGTATAAAACTCCATTACCTTACTCGTCGTCATGTCTAACAAACGTTGATCGAATACCAAAACGAACATTGATACAAGGGGTCAACGTATAAGAGGCCCGGAGTATGGATCCTACCGACACCCCGATTATGTCTCCGCCTCGTCTAATTCGATGGACATTTTATTAATCCGGGCTGCCGGACAGGTTGGAGTGACGATGGAGCTGAAGTATACTGTGGGTAGACGTTGTGTTTTTGTTCCATTTTGGGAATTCATCGTCTCCTATAGCCATGTGACTCAATGCAGGCAGGATGAGCTGGGCGGCGTGTTACTCAGGCCTCCAATATTAGTCCATCATGTTTACTGATCAAGATCCTGGTATGTAATGTTCTTTTGCTCAGTCTGTGGGTAGGTTTTTCCCCCTTGATATGACTCAAGTAAGCGTTGTTCATATCTCCTCGGTGCTTACGGGCTACGGGTCTAAGCGGAGTTAGACCTCACGATTTCATGCCACAATTTTCCTTGGTTTACCCGAATCCCGCAAACCTCAGGGTTCGAGTCCACGATTTTGTAGGTAGCTTCATTCTTAACTCTACATCTACTTATTGATTGTGTAAAGCCAAAATTTACCAGCCTACCATCAATAAATTGCAGCCAGTGTTGCTATTATCTGATGCTATGCGTCGAAGTATTGTCATCCTATTATTTTGGTACCAGCTTGACCGTGAAACCCAACATTCTATCGTGAATCCCGGTGGCTTGTTATAAACCCGGCGGTTTCAATATCTCATGCCATGCACCTGATCTACTACAACCCCGTCATTAACAGATAAACAAATAATGAATAAGGATAGGGTAGGTATTTACTTTATTATGGTGGTAGGAAACACTTGGGGGATTGGCCCGAGGAGGAACATGTCGACACACTCTCTGAAAAATTGAAGAAGGGTTCGGAGACTATGTCAGCTAATAATACATGAGTCACCAGAACTAACCATGTATGTCACATCAATGAAACTAGGTACCTTGAACAACATTTAGGGTACAATTTTCCAGGACTTGATATAGGCGCTGAAGCTGACAGGCTCGGGGCTTTGGGGTGAAAACTTCTCGTTTTATCTTGGGTCATACGTCGTCACGCTTTTCCTTAGGTAATTAACCGTTAAGAATATTTCACTTTGATGTAGCCAAGTTAAAGACAGAGCCGGACGCGCGGGAACTGTGATCATGAGATCTTACATCACCTCCTACACTTACTCCAACAGATCGGATCTAGAAGATCCTCTACATACCCACGAATCTTTGGCATTATTAACTTATAGTCTCTACATAATCCCTCAAGAAAGTCCCCGAAACCTCCATAATAACCAGAGGTTTACTTCAATCTTTTATCCTAAGTATCATACCTACCTAGTTAGGCACGGCGGTTCAATAGTACGTCTATCCACTCCCATCGCCTCGGGCCAACACTCTTGATTTGGAGGAATACAGAAAATAGTTCTGCGGGATTGTTCTTCGAACAAGGCTCTCTATCGCTAGACAAGCGCCGGTAGGCATTCGAGATACCAATATCATGAACGATGTTATGTAGGTAAATTTGGTTGAGAAAAGGGGTATGTCCCACTTCTTCCCCATCTCCAGCCAATCAAAGTACGGTTTCGGCTCCTATCTTACCCCTTATTATTCAATACCTAGGTAGGTAGGATCGTCTTGACCACTATTCTGTTCCGCATGACCTGTATCAATATTAAAAAGAAGCAGATGTTAGTAGCTGCCCAGTGGATTCCGAGTTATGTTTTAATATAAATTTCATTGTTATGAAGATTGTGGATGGCGATCTATTCGTAGTGAAGTACCGCAGTAGTTTTACGCCAACATGGTCAAAGTGAGGATATTTTCACAAATCGATCTGATACGTTGTATCTAGAGAAGAAACGAAGAGACAGTCATCATGAACACGGCAAATTCAGCTTAGAAATCGAATCCAAAACGTCAACGGAGTCCCGAACTAGAAATTCGTGGGTGACGCGCTACTTACGGGAAGCACGTGGCAAAAAGAAAAATACCAATATTGATAGATAAAACGTAATGATTTCTATGGTAGATGTCAATGATACTTCTAGATGAACGTTATTGTCTGACGTTAGACTATCTGGCAGTCTGGGTAGTCTGTGCTGACTCCGAAGACGTCGACGCGGGTCAGCGTGAGTAAGACGACATCTAGACTACACGAGTACGAGCGCGCGTCTTGCGCGTGGTCACGGGGCTCACATGCTGTTAGTACCTCGCCCGAGGCACATAATCGGAACATAATCGCACATAATATTCGCCACACGTTGGGGTGAGTAACAGTGAGGTCAGAGGACCATATTTCCAAACTTAGAATCACGTTCCTAGATATGGGGGGTGCCAGATCTGAAGAGCACATGGCTAAGTACGACTACCTAAACGGCCGGATCTGTAGGTTTTGGAGCTAGAGGTACCTCTAGCCTCTATCGCATACGAAGCTAGGCAGAGAAAATTTCATCGCTTAGAAATCATCTCGGAAGGACAATTACCCAGTCGGGGTAGTTGCTTCTATACCGGGGCCAGCCGGCTAACTAATCGATCTAAAAGGGAGGTAGGTTTATCTTTAGCTTTGAACGATCATGGCGGATAGCGATGCCGGGAGATAGATCAGGCAATGTACATAGGATCACAAGGTACAAGTTATTATAATGTAGCGAGTCAAGCAAAGTAGATGAGGTATACCAAGGTAGAGACAATACGAATAGACCCAGGTTTCGTGCGAACCAACGATTTAGAACCAGCATCGTGGGTCAGAAGCCTTAATGCTAAGCTTCGTAACTACTAGGTTAGTGATCTTTGTTAGATAACTACCGGACTATTAAGCTCCACTTAGGAGCTCTTCGACGGTTAGAACCCCGGGAACTACTCCAAACGTGTCTAGTCAGGGCAATCCGGTGACGATTCTCTGGTGAATTCTGGGGTGAAGGAATCGCGATTATGGCACGCCAAAAACCAAGCGGAAAAGTAGAGGCATCTTCGTGATGCCAACAGCTTTGAGCTCTAAAAACGTTGGGGGTAAAATTCTAGAGACGGATTAATAGAAGAATGCCATAGGAAAGCTTGAGGACTAACATGGCTTGGTAACCCGAGAAATGAGTCAAGAGAGTTGAAGCTACTCTCAGCACATGGTGTGGGAGGGCCGAGGGTATGGGTTTCTCGGGACGAAGGCGCGGTAGTTTTACTGAGATGTACCTACGTAGTAGAGGTAAATAAGTTACATGATCTGTGAACCGAATGTGATACGTTGGAGAAATCAAGTTCTCGAGCATCGATGTGCAATGTTGTATACAAGAGTCTCGTCGTTAGAATTGACGAGTAGTCGTTTAGCTTCTTGAGGCTGTGTCGCTGATTCTGATCTTGTACGGCTATCTTTCGGGATCGTAAGGCAGTACCTGGTCAACCGATCTCTCATGATGGAGCTTAAATAGATAAGGTTCAACCGGACTTGGGGGTGACGGGCGTACTGCTCACGCGTAAGTAATTGACACTATAACCTAGTCTGGTCGTGTATCTCATGATAATTTTTATAACACTATCGGCCCTTTAGCTTTCCAAGACAAGTTCGAAGTGGACAAGGTATAGTTAGAATTAGTCTACTGGAGACTAGTAGGCTGAATTGAGGCACTACGTGAATGTAGCTTCCCCATGGTGGAAAAACGCTCAATAATGCAAGGCAAAGATTGACCCAAGGATCTTGCCAGAGATCTCATTAATATAGATCGGTGGGCCCTAAAATGCTTAGGTAGTGTATAGCAATGCGACTGAGACTTAGATATCGTATAGCTCAGTTTGGGGATCGAGACGATGTAGCATAGATCATTCCAGCTACCTGCTCCTAGAACTATTATTAAAGAAAGGTATGCCGTGATGACCTAGGTTTAGAAGCTGGAGTAGAATAGGTATGGGAATGCAAGCATCTCATAGACCGACCGAGATTTTCTTGTCAACTTTCGATGTACCGTGTTTCGCAAGGAACATGGCACTGTCTACCTGAATGATTTAGGTATTAGATTCTATCAATAGACTTCCAAGTAGACTGATAGGGTCGCAGAGTCACATTAAGATTACCTGAAACTGGCAGATCAATAGTTGTGGAACGCGTTTCGGTGGAAGAGCTGAAGCGATTATTAATAGGTAAATAAACTTCCTAATTGGAACCTCCCTTGAACGAATTCGATGGTTCGTTCGGAGGGACTGAAGGATACCCAGGACTGCCAGGCTGTCAGGTATCAAAACATTCGTAATCGAGGTGGCAAAACAACAATTAATTAGAAAAGGCATGGCGTCAAATAGGATGAGAGAAAGAAAATCCCATGTTTGTTGGGATGGGATTTCGGGCAGATGAGGCAAAAATCCCATAGCCATGCGGTAATATTTTAGGTTTTAGGACAAGATCGACAGTGGGGGAAAACATCCTTGGATATCCGCTCTTGCACTTGCTCCTGACTGCTAATTTCCAGTAGAACTACCGAAAATTTGTTCATCTCTACGTCAAAGTGTTGAACCCGTGTGACGCGACTAAAGGGGAAACGTAATTAGCCACAACGCCACGTATGGCTTGTGAGAAAGTTGCCAGGTGGAAGTGGGGTATTTCAGAAAAAATTGTTAAGGTTAAAAGTATCAGCGCCTAGAGCCAGTCAGAGCAATGCCTGCGGAAATTTTGCTCCGGAGCATCTAGACAACATTCAACCCCAAAAGTCAAAGGACGACGATATTTCCTAAATAGGAAAGGAGCGAATGCCAGTCTCACCTCTCTTCTTTGGTTTGTCCGTTTCAAGCTCTTCGAGCCAATTGACTCCGCTCTCGGATTTGATGGCTGATGTCACTGATCGAATATTATGATGGTAATCGTGAAAATGCCTTATTGATCGAATATTCTCCGAGCCACCCCCTGCAGCTAGTTGAAAATCTTCATGCCGAGCTAGCAGACGCGTCTGTCCGTACGCTCGTAGTACGCACGCCTGACACTCGTAGGCCATGTCGTTAGTCGGTGAGGAGCTATTCCCGTAGCTTTTCTCTCAAATATGATTGGATGCCTGATCAACACGTAGAGTCGTGATCTCCAAGCCTGTTATCTGTCTATATCATCGGGGTTAGTGAGATTTTTGCTACATTGTTACTGTCTCTTTAAAAGATATTCAAGATTTGATTGGTTTGCCCCAAGGCTGGAAGTCGACGGTAAACAAAGGCCTCACAATATCAAAAGACAGCCCCGGAGATGCTTGCAGGAGGTGTCCATTTGTGTTACCGTGTGACGATGCGAGTTCGCAGCAAAAGCTCCGACAGCAGGCTTGTATGGCGTTGAGGTAATACAAGGCTTTGGCCCGACTCCCCCTTAAGAAGAAATTGGGTAGTAAGCTCAAGGACTTAGAACGGAGCTGATGTCCGAACGGGGCCAAATTATCCCTTTCTTCGTAACATGTTTGCATTTTAACTTTTTTTACCTCCCCTTGGAGGAACAAAAGCTACAAGTCCGTAACGTGAGGTCCTGAACCAGTTGGCTAGCTTTGAATATTGGACCAAAAAACTGTGTTAGTTTTCCCAGCGTATTGTTTAGGGCCGGAGGAAAATGATGCCAGGGCGAAGAGCAGTGGAGTTGGCGGAAACGACGCGGGATGGGCGGAGACCCGTTAAACTTTAGCAGATCGACGCTTATTTGAGGCGCAACATAGAAACTGTACCACAATTGACGTTAGACTTAAGTAACAATTATGCCCTGTCAAGTTTATTTTTGTTACTGAGCTCCAAGGTTCAAATGTTATGCATTTATTTTTTACATCATTTTGCCATAACGTTTCCTTGACTTTGATACCCGGATGTCAGATTCACACATACCAAGGTGATATTCCTTCGCGAATCTCTCTATGTCCGCCTATGATTGGGTCTCCGTACTATTTTATGCTTGGTTTGGGATAGCAATTTATGTAACGTACACATCTACGTCGTCCAATCCCAAGGCAATAATTTAGACCTCGAGACATGCCGCGAACCGTCGATCGTTGCGGACTTACATCATTTGGGTGAAATTCACTAGATACGCGTAGATCTACCTAACCATTCAACCGGGTGTGACTACGTACGTAGTAGAGTAAGCTTAGCAAGTAAGAACCTAAGTATACTCGTCTGTATGGAGAATATAGCTCGCTGGTGTCTGTCGTGCTTATAGTGATTAATATATTTAGTTGCAATTAGTGTCTCCTGTTCAGAAGCAAAGATATCCATAGTTTTGGGTAGCTTTAAATTTAGTAAATACCAGAAGCTATGGCCGATAACATTGAAAAGTATTTGTATAAAAGCGGGGTGAGGGCATGGAGCTCAGATCAGAAGCTGTTGAAGCTAATCCCTTTTAAGGACTACTTAGAGCGCTACCACCAGCTTTGACAGCATAATCCTTGTCGTATCTTAGAGCTTTCTCCAGTAAAATGATTGGTCCTATGAGGTCTCATCGCGATCGATCGCCACTTCCACATTCTTCCCGCATCAGGAAAACTTTGAATCCTGGCCTATTATTCTATTGAAGGAGCTTGTGTTCCTATGTTGTTCCTCAGTACTTTGATAGACACGCTTAATTGCGGATGTGTTGCGCAATTGGGACTATCCACACTAAGTACCTCTTACAACCTCGCCATTCCGAGCATGGGGGAATTTCATTCCCTTATTTTGTATATGTATATTGTTTCCTCTTCCATATTCTTACATAGAATAGCTACTCTTCCACTTATTACAATTCATACTATTCAAATAGGTACCGATTTGTGTCTGTGCAATTATCATCTCCCTGTTCTTTGTCAGTATCATCAGATTCCAGCCTATCTCATATGCAACGTCGCAAGTAAACGCCAACATCTTACGGTTGCTTTGTCCGACACAACTATCCCGACTGCTTACAGAGAGCCTTTTGATGAGTCTGTTGGCTATTTAACCACTTGAGAGACAATATAACCTTACGGATCATATACTTTAACGACTCCAAATAAGTCGGTATTCTGCATTGGGATAAGACGATAGCGGCAGCGGCAGCAGACAAACAGAAGAAGCAAACATTACAAATTAAGCTATAATTGTGAAGACAAGTTCTTGACTTCAGCACCGAGAAACCAACGTTCATACACAAAACCTCACACCCAATTTACAACCTAGTTCTCAGCTTCTACTGTCGAGAACTATCTTTTCCCCTAACCCCTCCCATACCGGGGGCAACTTTCTTTGGCTTAACTTTGAAATTCGCCAACCGCTCCAATTAACAAACATACGGCAAATCCCATTTGTCTTTGTGGCTGCATATGACAGCGAGGCCCGAAACCCCACTTACCCTACTTACGTTACGGCCCCGGAGTCATATTAATCTACGTACAAGGTACGAGTCAGCTTTAGACCAGCTTCAAGGCCTAACACATACTCCCGCCACACCATCAGCACTCGCAAATACCAACATATATATTTAACTCTCTATCCTTCTGTGGACACCATAGTTGTTGTTCAACTTCAAACTTATGCCTAAGAGATCTTATGATACATCATCCGCAATGGCGGCCAACCAACGAATTCCGCCTGTCAAGGTCCAAAAGGCAAGCATTGTCTCTTCCCTTTTGCATACCTGCCTAATATCCTAACCTTTAACCATAGACAGAGCGATCTCACGAAGAAAACCAAGAGAGGGCATACATTGCTGCGTCAAGAAGGGCTGATCGAAGCTTAGAGGCCAGGGTACAGTCCGCTCGTCAGGCATCTGAAATTCATCGAAGACGAACAGGGCGAGGCCTCAAAGTCAGTGAAGAAATTGTCTTGAAGGAAGAGATGTACGAGGAAGAAGAGGATGATATACCGCGCCACTATAAATATCTTACGGCACACCTACAAACGAATTCGCCAGACATGAATCACCGGGTGAATGCGTACATCACGACACAGACGGCGATGGCTACGATGGCTCGGTATCAGGAAATTAATAGACTTTTCAGTGAATCGTTTCCAAGTGCGATGGCAAACCAGCAGCAACAGCTCAACAGTTCTGCATATATGGCCTCGCTTATGGGCAATGACGGAGGATTCCCACATAGATTATCCGTATCTGGATCTAGCCAGGATTCTCCTTCCACCCGGACACATTCTGTCTCTTCACAGTCGTTATTTGACGGGATCGACAGGAGGGGTTCCGCCACGGTTGGGAGTCCGGCGCCCAATTCAGCTACGACTATATCATCGCCACCAGCCCTAACGCCTACATCCTCTTCGACAGATGCTGATGCAGCCGAGTCAAAAGCCACGCCGTACCAGACCCCATCGGCGTTTGCACCCCTTCATCTCGATCCGCAGCTAGCGCAACAGTCAACATCGTCTTCTGCGTTCACATCTGAACTGCCCAATGAGGTCAAGATGATGGCTAACATCGATATGAATGACCCAATGGCGATGCATTTCATGGGAGATCCTTCAACTTATCAAATGTTCGGACAATTCCCTACCAGTGATTCTACAACGCAGGACGAAAGCTCGAGGGTCGACATAAAGCAGGAAGTCCCAACATTTTCACCCCACGAAGCCCATATCCAGGATGATGATATATTTTCCACGTCGGACAATTCGATGGTTGATAACACACTAAACCTTCTGGATTTTAGTGGCGAGGGTTATGACCAAATAGGCACACCGATTGGTGGAATAGGGGGCGATGGCAACTGGGAGAGCTTCGTTGACTTCGGATCGGAGCAATAATTGCCCCCATTCTCAACCTAATTCTCCTTATCTACACATAAAAATTAAAACCTTCTTCGGATCGACCGGGCACTCATGCCATTGGAGATACCATGCAACATGCATTTTCTTCTGTACCTATCAGGGTTTCGGTAGTTACTGGTTCGGCTTGCATGAAAGCGTTCTCTACTGGGCTCGGCGTCCGATATTCACGATTTCTACGCACACAATTCAATCTAGGGGGGTTATGGAGGTAAACGTCACATGCTAGTTATCATTGTTGGGACTGCCCAATACACAACACCTCTAATACGGGGTATTATCTTCTCATGATACCAAAGGGAAAGGAAATATTTGGATGGTTATGGCAATCCTATGATTTATGACTTTGACCGTTGGGTCACACATTCTCCACTCGGCTGCCCAGTTTGATTTCGGAGTATTGAAGTATTTTGAGGTACATGAGATCAAAAACTGGCATGAGAGTTTGCCACTACATCTTTTATGGCAGAGTGGGTCGAAATACCCTATGGCGTTGAGAGAACACGGAGTCAAATATACGGCTGTGAGACTGGTGAGGTTGCTGAGCTACGGGCAGGGGAGAGGGTTTATATGAACTCGATGATACCCAAGATGGAAAGTAGCTGGTAGAGCCTTGGGCGAGAAATTATCTGGGATGATTATGCTGAGGATTGGGTGAGGTGAAACTCACATCCTTTTTCGGAGCATATCAAAAAATAGTTCAAATGAGTTAAAAATTAGAAAAATTAGAAAGCAACTTAACTATTGCCTGCTGCTGTTAATTCTAGGATACATCCCCTAGTGATTAACATAGGTACCCGGTATTTACGTAGAGCTACGAAAGGTCCAAAAAGGTTCCCATTCCTTTAGGGCATTACACGTTACGGCTTCATCCCTACGGCATCCATCAATCGATTTTACCCCACCTAACAACACAGCTCCACCCCCGCTTCACCCTGATACCTATCAATCTCTACCAACATACCAAGATCACATATTCATTTAATTGTAGATATTTGGTTACGAATGTTTGTGTAATAATTATAGTTTCGTTAGAAATATATTTGGAGGCCGTATCGAATGGATTCAATTTCAGTTTCTAGAATATTCTATTGGGTTTATTAGTCTTGTTTGAAAATACTGGTATAAAGTAGGTGCTTAAGTGCCTACCTACCTACCTAGCTGAGGCCTAATTAATACACGCCAATTTCCGGGATACCTTACCTACGGGTATGTACCTAACCATTCATAAACTTGCTAAAACGAGATGTATCATAACCTATCATAGCCATAAATAAACACACCATTCGAAGCACTTTTGGAAAACGAATTAAATAGATATAATTGAATGTTATGCGACTGGATTAAGGATACAACAGATGTGATGAAAGGTACAAGTAAACTGCATTAGGGTGGCAGCTCCATGGCAGCTGCTGTCAGGTGTTGTAAGAGGCACTACCTATCTTTGTGCGCATCGTGAAGAATGCTTAGAGAGAAAGAATGATTAACAGCGCTCATGATGTTGAGGTTGGCAAGAGGTGCGAATAATGTGTCTTTTCCAACCCTTCCCTCATCCTCCACCATCCGTTTCCAATTTCCACCGATCAAACCATCACACGCCCAAAACACCAGACGAATTCCGGAGATTCGTGAGTTACCCCCCGGAGAAGATCGGTGCCAGCAACCATCTCTTTGCGCTTGTGGCAGTAATCACACCTTGCCTCTCGCCATAGCTTGAGTGAACAGGATACGTCGAGTGTTCTGCCTGGGACAATCATATGCCAACCAACGATGAGCCTCGGATCGGCAATTTTGTTTCTTCCTCCCTCTATGTAGACTATTCGTACATTCGGGGATCTGAGCTCATCTACCCATCGTGCGTATATTCCCTCTGCATTTGGCGAGGTGAGAGAAAGTTTAAATGGTTTGTGATCTGTGTAGCAGACCCAACAATGAGAATACTGCTAGGATAATTAATTAGGTGTAGCAGAGCTACCAAATTGAGAGGCTTCAGTGTAGTTGATTGAATAGAATGATGAATAATTCTACGTTCGAATTTAAAAATATAGGGTGAAAGATCAGGCCTTTATGGCTTAGGGATCAGTAACCCAGGATATAGTGTCTGGTGGGTGGATGGAGAGCAACATGCTTTGGTGGATGTTTCTTATGCTCTGTCCGTAGTTGGTTATTGGGCTGGAGTTGACGATGAGGTAACGATAGGTGATGTACGACTCTCGTGAGGGCAGTGTGTCGGCGACGGAATGATGTGGCGTGATAACTCATCTCTGTAGTGAAAACATGCTATATCGCTTCCATGCGAATAGGTCTTGGAGTTGGGTTTGGTCGTGTGGTTATCTGTACCATTCAGACGCCAAGAGTCGAGATGTGGTGCATCCAAAATGTCGAAGATTGACCTGACCTTATGAAAGGCTTTGGTGAGCAGCATACTGCACGGAATATGCCTTGTGGTAGAATGGATACACCATTGGCGATTGCCTTCAACTAAGGTATTACTGGCGGAAGATGGTTTGATGATCCCTGCAAGTGCCGTGGCCGATGTGCATCGGCGATGGATAATGTCCACAATCAGTAAGGTACTGCTTGGGGTTGATGAATATATCGCATCCTTTTAATGAGAGAGTACGAGCAGAAATCACCGTGTTCATTACTGCCTGGACACACCAACTGTAGCGCTGACTGGGCACCAAGGGGGTAACAACAACTGCTTCGTCATGACTTTGTGGACTTTCGGCGGAAGAATCCATCATCTCCAAAGACCCATACATTGCGCAGTGTTGTTAACATAGGTACATATCGGCCTTGCCCTAGTGCAAAGGGACACCATCACTTATGGCGACGTCGGTACCGACCACAAAGTTGAGGAGGCGGTAAGGCTCGGCGATAATATGAAGGCCACTAGAAAGGGGCGGAGGGGCTCTAGGGTGTTGGTGAGGTGAAGATTCGATAGCCATAGTCGTAGAGGTTGACATTGACGAATAGGCTATAAAATGATTCAAAGAGTTGCCGCTTCACTCCTGCGTTTGCTGAGGAGGCTCACGCAGAGCTGTTGTGACACTAAACTGAGAATACTCGATATTGACGATAGGAAGGTATGGATATCCACCAGCTGTAAACATGTTAGTTAAATGCTTGATGTACACATAGTTACTCATTTACTTGGATACTTACTATGCACCTTCTCAGCCACCATATGTATCTTAAGAGAGCTCATGTGTTGTAGTGGTAATTGGTATCAACGCCGTAGAATCAGGCCAAACAACCTTGGAAGCTTCTGGATGGATATTAGCTATTGACTCTACATATGGTCGCCGACTAAAGTACTAACTGTTGTGTTTTACGATCCGCCGTCAAGTGAGGGAGAGACCTAGAGACTTTGACGCAGCTCCCATTTTCTTAGCGGGTTCACGGCATTATGGGGTACCACAGCTGTAGAAGAAGGAAGGGCTCTGAAGGACGCGGTAATCTGGACATCTTAGAGTATGTTAGCGAAGGGTCTGAAGTATGTTACAATCTAAAGTACTAACCTTAGCGGCCTCTAGTGCAGCCGATTAACACCAAATCTCATTGCCGCAGCTGCACAAGAAATACGATAACAGTGTAGAATGGATGAGCTAAAGGATACAGTACCCGTGGGTTTAGTGATTGCAGACTAATGTTCCTAATACCAAACTCGGTATGACTTAGGGAGAATGCATGACAAGTATTAGTCATGATGGGTGACTGGTGCAAGAAGGACCTTGGGGTAGAAGTAGAGACCGCCCATTCTTGTGCTTCGACGGTGTTAACGGGGTTTTAATGTAAGTTACGGCATGGGGGAAACTTGGATCAGTGGGCACTTTGGTGGTGACCACTATGTCGCCGACAGTAATGTTGGGCGGTGTTATGTACTGGCTCCCTTGAGGCATGGGAGGTCCGGGACCCCTGGACTGGAAAGAGTCGGCGATTAGATAAGCCAATCACCCCTGGTAACTGGAATGCTTGCATTATTCTCGTCATCCGAGGGTGCAGTTAGGGTAATCTGAGGTGTAGGCTTGGGTCGCGGTGAGCCAAGGCATTGGTCTGCCTTGTCTATGTCCTCTCCTGGGGCTAATCTGGTAGCTGGTGTAAAAACATCCGGCGTAGGGTGACTTGGTAGGCGTCTTGAACGGCGGGGATGGGGATGGGGAATGGGTAACATGGAAGGTGGTGCTAGGAACCCCCCTACTATGGTCGGCGATGTTATGGCTCTGCGCCGCGCTAGGGAGTGCAATACCTTTCTGCTGGCACTTGTAGCTGGCCTGTCATGCCGATGTTGTCCCCTGGCATTGTGGCGAGCAGTGAATAGGAGGTTGATAGTCTTTGGGCGAGTATATTCCAAACCACCATGAGTGCTGCTATTCGCGGCGGTAGTGAAGGTTGGGTTGATATTTGAATTAACATTAAAGTTAATCAATGAGTTCTCTGCATTCATGTTAGTATTACTTGCTTTGTTAAGGTTAGGTAACTAGTGTTTATCTAAAGTCATGCGTACCTTCTGTCTTAACTTCGGCTTCACATCCGATCTTGCATTCTAGAAGAGGGATATTAAGATCCAAAGTGTCGGCGATGTGGTTGTGGTTGGCAAGTGCATCGTCCTTGGCGTCTATGGTTGTTTCCATTTTACCGCTGCTTGTATTGATAGTCCTTTGACTAGGACGCGTCAAATCATGTTGAGGTTGGTGAATTGCTTGAGAGGCGTGATCTGTGGCTCGACCTGCCCGCCGCCAGCCACGACCGGTATGTTGATTATACAACGTGTATTGACCAGAGGTCGTGATGTAACCGGGACTCAAACGTAGAGGTTGCTGGGGATTGTCTCTAGAAACATCATGTTGTTCCAAAGGAACACCTGAGACGGGGATCTGAGATTGAATGGATGAATCTAGAGGGGATGATGATTGAGAAATGAAAGAAGAAGTGCTATTACTGTTGGAAGGAGTCTGGGTCTGTCCTTCTTGAAGATGTGATTGAATAGGTTCTCGTGTTCGAGATCTAGTTTCCTTACAGAGGTGGGATAGGTCGTAGCCCTTCCGACCGGACATGTTACCTTATAGGCTAACGTATTAGTCTTGGAAGCCATGATTGGGAACTGACGGGATTAATGGCCGACGAGAAGTAGACGAGAACGAGTAAAATAAATTGAAGATGGAAGATCTTGAAGATCTAGAGAATGTAGTAATGAAGTAGCTAATCTCTCTAGTGTATGGAATATTCGGGTTCAATAAGGAATTAAATAAATTGCTGAAGCTATAGAGACAGATAAATAAAACAAGTAAGAACATAGAGAAGAGGGAAATAAGCTGGAGCGGCTGAGCCGCCCAAGCTGTGGAATGCCCATGCAGATTGAAGAAGTTGGAAAGTTGAAAAGTTTGGAAAGGTTCAAGTTCTAGGAAAACCTGGGAGGTTGAGGAGGGTGAAGGTGTGAAGAAAGCTGGGGGGGTAGAGTGGATTATGTAGACTTCTGCTCACCTTCTAGGTACCCTAGTAGAGTTAGGCAATATGACCTGATCCTGCCGACTGAAGATCTCGTGAGTCAATATGCAAACTGTAAAGCCAAGGGGGATGGAAGCGAATATAGGTGCCTTAGGGGCAACAGTAGGGAAAGAAGATATCGTCGAGGGAAGGAAGGGGCCTCTTCGACCGGGGAGAAATCCGAAAAGTGGGGCCGAATATCTGCTGAAATGGAAATCACGATCCCTACAGAAGAACCGTATAGTGAGCAAATATTGCCAGTTGCTGGCCGCGAAGGTTTCGCTAAATTCGGAAGGGAAGGTACGGGTTTCGGCTGGAAGGTGCGATAAAAAATAACTAGGGGAAATGAAAGACGAAGGAAGTCGTGATGTTGGATGAGAGGCATGTATAGGGGGTGATTTCTAAATGAAGGGAACGAAGAGACTGAGAAGGTTATGCTGACTGGGAAAGCACGATAATTAATTGATGTCGATGGAAAGGAAACGATGGGAAGAAGAGAGTGTAAAGGAAATTTGACCAATGATTAACGTGTTGAAAACGTACCTAGTAGGCAGGTATTTGGGTATTTTGGTAAGGTCATCTATCTACATGGTAGCTTTTCGAGGAGTCACTCCAAGCGCAAGTTTTTACTATCATCCCATCATAGGTACCTGCCTAAGTTTTAGGATGTGAAAACAGCAAACAATGGCATACCATGCTATGAGGTTCCTTCAACTTCCCTCTTCCGTTTTCCTAGAAACTCATTACTTCTTACTGTACTGCCGTAGTTATTGCCGTTTCTTAGTCCATAGCCCCCCTTTGACTGGTTCTCTGGTATTGTTTGCCCTGATATAGTGTCAAGATCCTTGACCCAAGAGATCCACTCCCTACGCCTATTCCTCCATAGGTCTCCTTTCCATATTCTCCACACACGTCGACCCTCAAAAGACTCCCTCAATTCTTGCTCATGTTGACCAAGTAACTCTATGATCGATTCCTTGATATGGAATGGTACGGATATACCATCGCCCTTGGAAGGTATGAAAACAATCGAATTTAGGACTCGACTGCCATGTTCCGACATAGCGAGCTGAAATGCGTGGGGCCGTAGTGCAGCGACTAGTGTCTTGTGGAAGATCTTGTTTCGCGTTGGGGTGGAAAATGCATTCACTAGGACGTATGATGTAGGTGCTGAGGATGTCGCAAGTTGGAGAATAAGCTCTTCGGGTAGGGAAGCTAGAGATGTTTGAATTGTGCTGGAGGGAAGCCCGGGTATAGCTAGCATAGCTGTCGTCAATTGAGAACCATGCGAAACTAGCGCCGAACGATTTTTCTGCGGTGGTTCGTGATTCTTCTTCTTATCGTCAGTTTCCGGCGACTGTGGAAGACAAAGTTTCGGAATCAATGACTTGGGGTCTGACCCAAATGCTTCAATTAACGCCTTTGTTAGACTGTCAATCTCGTTCCTAGCTTCTCGGGCCTGGCATCGTTCAAACAAGGTCTTGATTACGTTGAACCTTGATAGCGTGACAAACTTGCCAATCTCAGGTAAACTCTTCTGGACTGCCGCAACTAGATCCTCTTTACTGAGTCGGTTCAGAACGCGTATGGCTGGATAGGAGGCGATGTCATTGCGAAGAAGACTGTGGATGCGATCTGCGAAGACGTGCTTATATAAAGGCTTGAACACCTTCCCGGGACTGTGGGTAATGAGTGTCTCAAGAAGCCGTGAGCCAATATGGTCGTATAACATCGAGTTAACGAACTCTGATGCTGGGGTAGTACTGTCTTTCAACGAACCAGGGGCTCCGGGTAGAAGCTGCCACAGCAATGTCATGTCTTCAGAATCGTCATTTGCTTTCGAGTTTAAACTAATGTCTAGCTCCAACAGCAATTGTAGAACCGGGTTTCCAGTGGGATGTATTGCTAGGACGCGGAGTTCTGTTGGACTCATACTAGATACCGAGTCCGCGATGATTTTCTTGGCGGCCAAGTTAAATGACATAGGCACGGCCCGAAGTTGAGAGTTTGAATCAGTTGGGTTATCAGATGTCCAAGGGACCGAAATCTTTTCCTTCTTCTTGCTGTGTATAAGAGACTTGGTTTGGGATTCCTCGAGGGGTCGTCCAGATAGAATGATCAATAGGATTCGAAGAGTGTGAGAGGCAAATTTATCGGCGAGGAGATATCCGAGGCGTCCTTCGAGTTCGTCGAGTGTGAGGAGAAATAGTTCTTCCATGAATGGAAGAGGTTGCTCATCCGGGTCGTCTCCGTCTGTAAGAACATCGTCACGGTCTCCTCCGAGCTCTCTGGTAACAATTGGAGCAGATTGCAGGAAAAGAGTTTCACAACAGTGACTCGCAAACCGATGTTGGATGAGGTTTAGGAAATGGCTCGCAAATTGTAGGAATAACTTCTTCTTCTGCCTCGTGTTCGACATCAATATTAACCGCTCCATCAATCTTGAGCATGACTGACTGCATGCGAGCTTAAGTTCTTTTCCTTGAGCTTCGGCAAAGACACTGGCTAAGTACAACTGGCGCTCTTCTTGGGAGGGAAAATCGTCTATATCAAGGTGTTCGTCTACCGAGCGAAAGTATTCTTGTTCTTCATCCGACAACATCCCAAAAAACTCGCGCTCGGTGGGTGGCGGACCACCAAATTTAGGTTGGTCGTATCCATGTTCAAATCCAGCTTCTTGGTCACCAGTATTATCTTCGTTGGCCTCGTTCAATCGTTGTCTTTTAGTAGGTTTTTTCTCTTCAGAAGCTGCCAATGCTTTCTCCTGTCGCTTCGCCTTCCGCTCGTCGCGAATGGCCTGGCGCTTACTTCGTGGCTTCGGCATCGTGATCGGTCTGGCCGCGATAAATTCAGCGGGGGGTTGAAAAGCTTGAAGGTGAATTGATTGAGCTTGGATCGCAAACCACCAAAATCTTTTTTCTAGGGACCGTTGATAACGACCTTATCTTAGTGTTATCCGATTATATGGCCATGCTTAACTAGATTAGGTCTAGTGCGCGTATGGCTTGCGCTAGACTCTTGGCGATCGCTTCAATGTTTCTTGCATCTTTGAACTTCCTTCTAAATCTTGTGACTTAGAGGCATCAATCATCTTCTCTAAAACCGCGCAGATATCATATATGCTAGATAATTTTTATGAATGAACACTAATGCCTTTTAACATGATATCATATTAGGTACTTGGTTTACCAAATAAATTACATATGGTTAGTACCCGCCTTGATTGCCCAGACCGCGAATCCCCCAAAACAACGAAAGACTACAGCGTGCTAGTGAGTTCCCATTTTAGCAAGATTCCTTCCATGGGGTAAATATCATTGGTGGGTTATGAACACTACGCAACACAAACCATTGCAATATTAAGAATCAACTTTAAGTTAAAAGGCTAAGATGTCTGGGTAAAGGAGCTTCAACATTGAATATATGTATAAAATGTATTCGCGACGAGCAAGAGAGCGAACAGGCGAACTACGCCGCTTTCTTACTGAGCCGTTCTATATCTTCGCTCCTATCTCCGGATGCTTTCGTATTAAGGTACCTGAATATCCTAATACAGTGGATAACAGAGCTCCTTCATCTCTCAACTGCTTCGGAAGTTGTCCAATACGGTATCGATATCCGTCATACTAAATTCACTTTACATTTCAATATGAGTTTCGCACCAAATAAATTCCTCGGACGATGCAAGGCCCGCCAGATCAGGGACTGTCCGGGGAGCCCCTATTCCGAATTTGGATTTGACCAGGGTGGCACAGCACCATTAATTTCTAATTCTGTCGACGTGAATGGACAACAATATCGTTGGTCCGTACGGCACGGAAAATAGCCCTGGCGACCAAGTGTAAAACTTCAGCCCTATAAGGTAGTGCCTGGCCGCCCTTCGTTAAACCTTCAATGTTTGAAGCCGCGATTGATGATACGAGCGGTTGGCATTGTTCTCTAAGAGATCGGGTGCGAATAACTACCTACCTAGGTAGATACGCGAGTTAAGATGGAATCGCCTTGGTTGGTATTGAACGCCTTTGGTGGCGTCTTATTAACCATCGCGATTGTACGGGTTATTGCTTTCGTTTCTGAATTATGGAATCACCGAGTCTTAGTAAAGAATTTGGAGAAAATGGGAAAGGTACCTAGGCATTCTGAATATCCATCTCAACGCTGACAATACACTAACAAATATGTTATAGCCAATGTCAGCGCATAGTAGTCTTCTAGGCCATCTCCTCGCGGCAAAAACTGCTAGCGACGAGCTTCCTCCCGGTGCTCACAGCAGTTATATTTTAGACCGCATGGCTAGAAAATTGGATGGAAAGTATGGCCCGCCAGCCTATTATTTTGACAGTTACCCTGTGAGCACACCTATGCTCATAGTGAGAGATCCATTCATCGCCAATCAAGTCACCGGCCACTCCTGGACTTCTGCCCAGAAACCACCAACTCTCACGGAATGGTTTGCACCTATCTCAGGGAAAGGAGGTATCAACCTCTTCACCCAAAACGACCAGGAATGGAAACACGATCATAACTTGTTCTTGCCTTTCTTCAACAATAGCAACCTCGATGCTACGATGCCTATTATCATCGAACAGATGCTTATTTTCCGCGATATTCTCCGAAAGAAAGTCGAAGCGGGAGGGCTCTTCCGTTTAGAACCATTGGCGCTCTCGCTCATGAAAGACATCATCGGCCGAGTAGTCTTCAACGCCGAACTAGGAAACCAGACTGCTGGCTCTCATCCTCTTTCTGAGGCCATGTTGCGCCAACTTGATTTAAAATTCGGCGCGAACAATGTCATGGACAACCTTGGCCAGCTCAATCCATTCCGGGCATTTAGAATTTGGAATAACGGCCGCATCCTTAATCGAAACATCTACACTCAAATGGCGAAGCGGACTGATGCTTTTCGTGAAGCTAAGGCGCGACAAGAGCAGTCATCCTTCAACTCAGTACTCGACCAAGCCCTTGAAACCTATTACTCTGAACCAAACCATAAGCTATCCGACCCTCTCGATGCGGATTTTATGGATATTTTATGCGCTCAGTTACGCATGTTTTTCTTTGCCGGCTACGATTCCACCTCTAGTACAATGGTCAGTTGCTGTTACATGATCTGGACGCACCCTACCGTCTTATCCAAACTCCGCGCCGAACATGACGAAGTCTTTGGCACAAATATCGCAGCGTGCCCAAGCATGATCACCGAAAACCCCTCTATTCTCAATTCCCTCCCGTATACCCTAGCAGTAATCAAGGAGGCACTGCGACTTTTCCCTCCCGCAAACGGTATCCGTATGGGATGCAAGGACTTAGTACTGAAAGACCGCGATGGAAACGAGTACCCCACTGAGGGATGTGGCGTGCAGATCAACCACTTGAGCATCCAAAGGAACCCCGCATGCTGGCCCCGACCACTCGAATTTCTACCCGAGCGCTTCATGGTAGGTCCAGATCATGAGCTCTACCCAGAGAAAGGCTCCTGGCGTGTTTTCGAACACGGAATTCGTAATTGCACAGGCCAAGCTTTCGTCATGAAGGAAGTAAAGGCCTTCCTCGCCCTTGTGTGTAGGGAATTCAACTTCCAGGAGTGCTATGATGAGGTTTACGCCGGTGAGAAAATAGATCTGGTGAATGTGGATAACGAGAAAGCGTATCTTATAGAACATGGCGCTGCGCATCCGCGGGGGGAGTTCCCATGTAAGGCGTCGTTTAGCGGGTACGTGCCCGGCGAGACACGGTAAAGTGAGATTTCTAGGTACATATCTTCCCCCCAAGGCGTATTTGCAGCATATCCAAGTCATTGCATATACTTTAATTTCACGGCGTTTCATTTAGATGTAATACACACCACCATCCATATTTCATTTCCTATTCCAAAGCCTTAACTCAAGCTCAACCTAGTTATGAATAGCAGCATGCAACCCCGGCAGAATCTCCAAATCCTTCTTCTCATAAGTATACTTCCCATCCTCCGAGATCTTCGCCTCAACACGCGGTCTCTGCTGCTGCGTCTGCCGCACCTTAACCCACTGCTCCGTCGTCAAGTGTTGGCCCAGCTCCGTAAACACATTCGACGTCAACCCCAACCGGTTTAACAGCGCACTGTTCTTAATCGGGTCCAGTACCACATGGTTATTCGGCCGCGCGAAGTACAGAACCCCCAGACGATCCACATGCGCCTGGTCCGCCGGCGGCGCGTGCACGCGGTGAACACTCGACTTGATCAGTCCCCCGGTAAGCGCCGTCAGCGCGTCGCACGTGTTAATCGTGATTGTTCCGTCCTGCGGCTTCACCCACTTCCACTGGCCGGCCGAATTCAGGATCTGCAGCGCCGCCACCGGTTGCCGGAATAGCAGCGTCACGGTCCCTAGGTCCGTGTGTCCGACCCCGTATAAATCACCCACGAGCTTGTTCTCTTCCGCGCTCCGCGCTGCGTAGTGCATGTACCGCAAGTGGTCCTCGCCCCGCGCGTCGTAGAGGTGGTCGCGCACTAGTTGGTCTTCGGAGGGCAGCTCGAGGAGGATGGCGAATAGGCGCAGGAGCTTGACGACTACTTCTGAATGGCATTTCTGTGGGGGTTAATGAGGGGTGTGGGGGTGGGGGGTAAAGAGACGCACTCGCGAGAATTCTTCGATCTCTTTGATGTTGTTTTGGAGGACAGGCGGTTGTGCGCGCGCGTGGAAGCCGTCGAATTTCGGGATGTTGTAGACTTGGACATTGTCCCTGATACCGTTTCCGAGGCTATTCGTCTTGTGTTAGTAGGATGAGCTGGATTTGTTGGTAAGTTGGCATGCTTACACTCGGTGTCCTGCTGGCCTGTAGCCGTTGTACTCGCCGCTTTCTAGGTCGGCCTGGTTGTGGTACTTGAGCTTCTCCTCTAGGGGAAGGGCGTAGAACTCTCGTCCGAGAGCGAACTGCCTGTCAACCTCCTCCTGGGAGATGTTGAAGTTCTTGACGTAGAAAAAGCCTATGTTGCTCGCGTTAGAGTATGTATAACTGGGGAAGTGTGTCATGGCCAACATACCGACATTTCGGACCGCATGGTCAAGCTGCTTTACTAATTCTTCTTTGCCCCCCGGTTGCTCATATAAACTTAAGTCAAGAGTGACAAGGTCGGCCCAGTCGACTAAAAAGTATTAGAACCCGAGATATTTATCATGGGTAGGGGAGTTAAAGCTTACGGTCTTCCTTGGTAACAGGTACCTGCTCGTAGCGTTCGATAGTTGATGCTGACATTTTGAGCGATGTTATTGGTCGATAGTCCTTGATGCCCAGGTAATAGTAATGTTCTTGGGGCCAAGGATGTTGTGAGGGTCCGAGCTGCCGGGGATCTTATACTTATTCATTCCAAGCCGCTCGCATCTCTGCCCATAAATATCCAATATTTCTTATTCATTTCTCTTATGTTTCGGCTCCTATCACCCTAGTCTGGCTGTATAGAAGCTATCCATAACCGAACGTTGGTGGGGGGCAAGCTCTATCGATAGACTATACTCCGCGATGCCTACCAATAAAATGGAGAGATACTATGACGCAACTCGGGGTGGATATGGTGTATGAGGGGACGTGAATGTCGACGCGTCCGCGTGGTAATATGGAGGTCTGTTATAAGATCCGACACGCCCGTGACCTCCACTTACCCCTAATCGCGGAGAGCACGCCATCGCACATCATCGGGCATCGGGTCCCCCAACCCGAGCAATGTAACACGACGATGTTATTGATTAGATATATCCGATAAGTCAGGTGAAAACCACGAATTATTGAGGTTCTAATTACTTTCTAAGCAGATAGCTAGCCAGGTATTAAGCTAGGGGAGGTTGTTAATATCTTTGCGTTATATGGATACCGTGAGCACGTCAGCTGAAATAGCTGAAAGTCTCATGTTAAAAGGGACTAAAATGCCTTTCATATAAAAACTACGATTCAATAATACTAAGGTACCCAAGTTAAAGTCTGCCGGTGTTATTCAAGAGAGGCGATTTTCTCATTGCCGGACTTCTGACGACGCCGTCAAACCCCTCGCCGCCATGACCGAAGTCAAGAAGCAAAAACCGGGAAATTCGGTATTGGGTCTTTTTAAAGAGATATTTAATTGGTATCCATCGAGTTATCCTGCAGCTGAGAGAAAGTAAGTGAATCCACCTTCGAAGAAAGTCTCTGGTTTTCCACTGAGGTATTCGCTCAAATATAAATACTAATATGGAGAGTACAGGCTTTTATTCAAGCTTGACTTATCAATTCTCATATTCGCCTGTTTATGCTGTTAGTTACTTAAACCCATCATCCAGAACTAGAAATAATTCTAACCAAAAAAACAGTTTTCGTAAAATTCTTAGGTCAGTCATATTCCCTTACCGATTAGGGGTATGTTAGAGAACTAACTGGTAGCTATTTTTTCAAAGACCAAACAAATATCAGCAACGCATATGTTAGTGGCTTAAAAGAGGACTTTGCCTTGAACGGAAATGAACTCAACTACTTCAACGTTTGCTACTATGTAGCCTACGTGATATTCCAAGTTCCGGGGATGCTTCTTATGTCGCGACCTCAACTGTACGTAACCGTTTCGAAAGATGGGGCTATGGTTGGAATGAACAGCTGAAACTAACTTCGTGGAAAGATCTCGCTGGTTATTGCCGACACTTGAGGTTCTTTGGGGGATTTGCACATTCGCCCAAAGCCGAGTTACGAATGTCCACCAACTGTACGCGTTGAGGTTCCTTGTTGGCATGTTGGAAGCCCCAGTTTTCGCAGGAACACATTTCATCCTAGGTCCGCCAACCATCTCCTCCTTTTATGGTAGGATTTATTACTAATAACCCGATAGGCTCTTGGTATAGTGGACCAGAGCTCTTTAAACGAGCAGGGACTTGGTTTATATGCAACCCCTTAGGATCCATGATCAGCGGCTACCTACAGTCAGCGGCTTATACTAACTTATCAGGGGTCGGCGGTATGGAAGGATGGAGGTGGCTTTTCATCATCGACGGCATTTTCACCCTTCCGGTTGCGTTACTTGGCTTTATAGTTTTCCCCGGAGTGCCAGATTCGCCGAAGCCATTCTACTTCACCTCGGACGACATTGCCCTTGCGCGAGCGAGATTGGCTCGGGCTAAAATTCGCAAGCCTGGGCCGCTGAATCTGGACGTCTTCAAACGGTCCCTTGCGCGTTGGCATATCTGGATATTCGTGCTTTGTTATATGTAAGTGATTGATCACTACGATTTGACACCAATTTCTGGGACACAGACTGACCATTATGCGGATGATGTAGCTGCATGATTATCGGTGGATATCCTACGTCGTACATGAATCTTTGGTTGAAGGCCGAGGGGTTTTCCGTCGTTCAGATCAACCAACTACCGACGGTCACATACGCGATTAACATCCTCGCATCGTGGCTTGGAACAACTCTGGCGACTATCTACCCCTCATGGACCATCTACACTGGAGCCACCGGGGGCATGGTTTTCTCCGGAATATGCATGATTGTGTGGAATATTCCGAAAGCTTTAAAGTACGTGTTGATATGAACTCTGACATACTTGTTGTTTTGTGCTAATCGGAAAAATAGGTTTGTTGCGTGGTACGTCTTTGGGGTGTCTGGGTGTCTAAGCCCTATTCTCTACTCCACAGTCAATACAGTCGTCAAGGGAGATTCTGAAGAGCGGGCTCTCATCATGGGTTCAATGATGACGTTCGGCTACTCTTTTAACATCTGGGTACCCCTTTTGCTATTTCCAACTGCCGGTCCCAATGGCGCCCCTAGATGGAGAATTGGTTGGCCCGTCGCGATGACGTTTCATATTTTATTGTGGGCTGGATTTATCACGTCGCTATTGTTACACCGCAGAGAGTGAGTTATTTACCTTTATTATATCTTCAATGTTAAGTTGCTAACAATGATCTCGTAGTTTGAAGAAGCATCCTATTGATGACGATGCGGCAAGGGCGGGGGATGATAGTTCATCTGGAGAAGAACCTGTTCTTATTCAAACTGCTGCTCAGTTTAAAGATTGATAAAAAGGTTAATTAGTTAGCTCAATATCCAAAAATAGTGTATTTACATGATAAAATGAGTCTGTGGTAAGCCCAAGAACAATTCCCCTATTTCAAAATGGCATTGTGTGGCCTAGGAGGATTGGGAAAATAGTAATTTTATGTTCTAACGGTGAATGCATGTATCGTCATTGAATAGGTGTAGTTGCGATTGCTCATTGGGTGTTTTTATTTTAAAGTAGGTTTCAATATTATACTATAACCTGGAAATGTCCACGCGAACCTTTAGGTGCCTCAAATTAAGTACTTACCTACTTGAATGTCAAAATATGCCGATTTGTAGGGATATATGATGACTAATGCTCATAAGAATATCCATATCGTAGATCTTCGCGTATTGCTGAAAAACTCCAGAGAAATCTCCACTCATCTTTTTGGCGGTCGTCGGAGTTCAAACCGTGACATAGAACTTAGGAAAATTGACCCAACTCTCCTGTAATAAGCTCCGTACTTCCTAGCGGCGTTCCTTGTCTCAAAAGATCGAACAATCCCCAAAGTCAAATCCACCTACCTCGGCCGAATGGCATTCGTTCAATTTTCATGATACCTCGCGAATAGTATCTTCTTTCGTCAGTGTCGAATCCCCCTCATCTTCTATCCACCACGTGTGGGTTTTCTCGACAAATCAACTAATTGGTTATGATTGATTCGTCTCCCCGCTCGATTCGTGTACTTGATACCGTGCGAATTCAAGTATATTGCTTAATTCGCACTAAGACTTCATGCGCGTATCTTGCGTACTAGCTGTGCTAGGTATTCGAGATCAATCTCACGTCGCTATGTGTCCGAAATCGATAAGTAGAGAGTTGGAATCCTGTGGATCGATGGGAACAGTTTTTGCGAGAGAAATAATATTCTCATACGTGTAGGGACATTCGCTTCTCGTCGCTCTTCGAATTTTGATTGTCGTGAATCGGTGGTTGACGCGGAACTAATAAATCGTAGAAATCAGCACGGCGGCGCCGGCCGCCAGCCCAATACTAAACGCCAATTCCAACCAGGGGTTTTTGCGCTGCTGCCAATGATAGAATCCTTCATATCATTCGTCCGGACCTTCTCGCCCGGACCTTGATCTCACAGCCGCTCTAAGCTTGGCTAATGCCCTGCAGCCCTCAAGGTAACCGGATCTTATCGTGTGTCGTAGGGGGTTTTTATGTAGGTGCTTATGTACCTACCAGGTAGGTGGACAACGTAGCTCAACTTTCTTCGTGCTAAGAAACCAAAAGGGAGCTGCAAGTTTTGGAAGCGAGGGCGAGGAGATAGAATATTCTAAAATATGCTGAGCGATTAAAAACGTTAGATTGAGACGGAGGGGGAAAATGAATTGTTCACGGGAATAATTGGGATTTTACCAAAATTAGCGGTGGTCGCTCTTTGACGCGACAAACGATAAAGAAAAGGAACCGAGGCTCAAACTATTCTAATCGTATGTTTAATCGTTCGTATATTCTCTTCGTCTTGATGCTTGCCTACATTCGGACGGTAAAATTGTAGTCAATCGGGCCGCGATTGTCCATGATGCTGGATGAAGAAAGGGTTCTTCTTTTCTTCCAAGAATGCAAAGCCGATCCAGAAGCAACATTCGCAGATCTCCTACAGCCGGGGGTGAGTGAGAATATGCCCATTCATAAGTGCCAATCTAAACAGGCCTTAAGCCAAGCTTAGCTGGTAACTCTGATCAGGTCATGCATAGTCGACTGATACTCGCAGGAGAATAGATTTTGAGACCACGTGTGTTTCCTATACCATTCTATACTCGGTAAGGATGGGAATCTAGATCGAAAGAGATCGGTATTGTAGGAATAGGATACGTAAGGCGGGTAACAATCTGGATTCCAGCTGAAGGGATTCTTTGCAGTAGGGTTACAACTAGGGGGTGTGGTGATGTAACCGTGTGATTGGTTGAAAAGGACGAAGATGCATCGAAATGGAGATTGGGGAATGGAAGATGGAGACATCCGATAATCGATAAGAATGAAATGCATAAACGAGAAAGTCTCGAATTTCGGACGGCGGTCGCGGTCGATTGATCGGAGTTGTCGGCGCCCTAGAGAAGAAAGGATAAAATAATCCATGACGTAAAGTCGCCGTACCCAGGTACCTAAAGTACTCACTGTAGGTGCTTTTTAGGTGGGAAATCAGCCCACCAAGTCGTCCCACTCCACCGTATCCACCACTAAGCACCATCAAGATCCACTACGATGCCGTCCTCCGGATGCGAATCTGTGTAACTTACTTGACTTTCACTATTCTTTCCGCGCAGAACCGCTGCGGAACGTCAGGTAACTGCTTTGTATCAGGCTATGACCACGCTATAATGTCACAGTTGCACGTTGTTCTGGTTCAATGCTCGCTCAATACTCGGCTGCATATCCGCCGTCTTGGGTATTCCCATCCAACCTTTTTCCTCTCCCCAGTTCCCCAATTCCCACAATATCGCATCCCGCCGGATCCAATGATAACAACCACATGCATTCGTCTAGGCAGAGTCACTCACATGGGACGAACTAGACATGCGATGGCTAGACCCTGGATCCCAAAGCTGAACCCAACTGTCACCCTGGAGTCGTAATTCATTTATTTTCTCTTTCTCTATCTAGTATACTACGTAAGTGCCTTTGGTGCCACCCATATAAGTAGCCACCATCGTCAACTCTCTTCTGCCCCTATTCCAGTAGACCATCATCACAACAAAGCACAACTTCACTCTTATACACAGCTTGAGTTACTTCTCAGACTTTCTAGAGTCTCAAGCTCTCAACCACTTTACCCCTTTAATTGACAACTCCGATAAGTAACGTCAAGTCGGATACCCCCCTATCAATCCAAAATGGCAGATAGTCACCAGGCCGAGATCGAGGCCATCCGGCCATTCGGCAAGGCTCGATCTACCGTTAAGGGTGAGCCTCTATCCAAAGAGGAAATCGAGCAGTATACCGATTTCTTCAAGGCCAGTTTATACCTCAGTCTTGGTATGATCTATCTTAAGGAGAACCCTCTCCTAAGAGAACCCCTAAAAGTTGAACACATCAAAAAGCGGCAACTAGGTCACTTCGGATCTGCTCCCGGTCAAATCTTCACTTATATGCACTTCAACAGATTGATCAAGAAGTATGATCTTGATGCCATCTTCGTCTCCGGCCCGGGCCATGGTGCTCCCGCTGTCATATCCCAGGCTTATCTTGAGGGTACCTATTCCGAAGTCTACCCTCAGAAGTCTGAGGATCCGGAAGGCATGCAAGTCTTCTTCAAGCAGTTCAGTTTCCCAGGAGGTGTCGGATCACATGCTACCCCCGAGACCCCGGGCAGTCTGCACGAAGGTGGAGAACTTGGTTATTCCATCTCGCATGCCTTCGGTACCGTTTTCGACAACCCGAACCTAATCACCGTCACCATGGTCGGTGATGGTGAGGCCGAGACTGGTCCATTGGCTACGGCCTGGCACAGCACCAAGTTCTTGAACCCCATCTGTGATGGTGCAGTCCTTCCCGTCTTACATCTTAATGGTTACAAGATCAACAACCCCACTGTCCTTGCTCGTATCTCGCATAAGGAACTTGAGCAGCTCTTCATTGGTTATGGCTGGCAGCCGTACTTTGTCGAGGGTGAAGACCTCGAGACCATGCACCAGGCAATGGCCGCCACTTTGGAACACTGTGTTCTAGAAATTCGCAAGTATCAAAAAGAGGCTCGTGATTCTGGAAAGCCCTTCCGTCCACGGTGGCCCATGATCGTCCTTCGCACGCCGAAGGGTTGGACCGCCCCCCGCAAGGTCAATGGCCACTACCTCGGAGGCTTTTGGCGTTCTCACCAAGTACCCATCACTGGCACTACCACCAACCCCGCTGACCTCAAGACACTTGAGGAATGGATGCGTGGGTATGAGCCCGAGCGCCTCTTCGGCACAGAAGGCAAGATCTCGCCCGAATTGAAGGCTCTTTGCCCCACGGGCAACAGACGTATGAGCGCAAACCCAATAGCCAATGGTGGACTGGTTTCCGTACCTCTCAAGATGCCAAACTTTAAGGATTATGAAATCAAGGTAGATCAGGCTGGCGCTACCGTCGAAGGCAGCATGTCCAACTTCGCCAAGTTCCTACGTGATATCATCAAGAATAACCCGAACTCATTCCGTCTTATGGGCCCCGACGAGACCGAGTCTAACAAACTCGCCGCTGTCTATGAGGCCGGTAAGAAAGTGTGGATGGGTGAATACTTTGAAGAAGATGAAGACGGTGGCAATCTTTCGCCCTTCGGAAGAGTCATGGAGATCTTGTCCGAGCACACCTGTGAGGGTTGGCTAGAAGGATACATCCTAAGCGGCAGGCACGGTATGCTTAACAGCTACGAACCTTTCATCCATGTCATTGACTCCATGGTCAATCAGGTATGTCTATCAACTTACTAACTTGCTTCACCTCAAAACAGATACTAACAAGCTGTTTAGCACTGCAAATGGATTGAGAAGTGTTTGGAAGTTGAGTGGCGTGCCAAGGTTCCCTCGCTTAACATCCTCTTGACTGCAGTCGTCTGGAGACAAGACCACAACGGCTTTACGCACCAAGATCCTGGCTTCCTCGATGTTGTCTGCAACAAGAGTCCGGAAGTCGTCCGTATCTACCTCCCGCCCGATGGAAACTGTCTCCTTTCAGTCATGGACCACTGTTTCCAGTCTCAGAACTACGTGAATGTCGTTGTCGCAGACAAGCAGCCCCACATCCAATATCTCACGATGGCACAGGCTGTGGAGCACTGCACAAAGGGTATCGGCATCTGGCCCCAATTCTCCACAGATGCAGGTGAAGAACCCGACGTCATCATGGCTAGCTGCGGCGATGTCTCCACTAGCGAATCATTAGCGGCTATCGATCTCCTTCTGCAGCACTTCCCCGATCTAAAGATCCGTTGCGTCAACGTCGTTGATCTGTTCAAGCTGATCCACCACACAGACCACCCTCACGGTCTTACCGATAAGGACTGGGTCGCCCTATTCACAGCTAACAAGCCCATCATCTTTAACTTCCACTCCTACCCATGGCTCGTCCACCGCTTGACCTACAAGCGACCGGGTAACCAGAACATCCACGTCAGAGGTTACAAGGAGAAGGGTAACATCGACACACCACTGGAGCTCGCTATCCGCAACCAGACAGATCGATTCAGTCTGGCCATCGACGCCATCGACCGCATGCCACAACTAGGAAACCGTGGCGCTACCGCTCGGGATGCGCTCAAGAGTCAGCAAGTCGCCGCTTCTGCCTACTCATTCGAGCACGGCGTCGACCCCGATTTCCTCAGCAACTGGTCGTGGCCTCAGGAGACTCTGAAAGACAGGGTAAAGAAGTTGACTCTCTCCAGCTAAATTGTTGCAATCATGATAAGTTAATAGATCGGGTCTGGGTAATGTTGAAAAAGGGTGGTTTTGGGTTGCATGAATAGGTGGTGTTTTTCCGGCTTTGGTTTTTTGGGCGGGTGTTTTATTACTTGATACGATATGTGAATCTCTTAGGAGCTATATATACCTTATTTTTTTCAATATTGAAAGATATTTACCTTGACTGCTTGATTCATTCTTTTGATGAGCTCATTTTGTTTATGAATTGGTTTACCAATTGTTAGGTAACTAAAAGCGGGGGCTGGGAGACAGAACATCGGCTTATCTAAGCAGAAAACCCCCACTTACTCCACCGTGGGGTAGATTTCGCGATCTTAAACTTCTTCCTGATCAGTGGTCAGAAATTCGATCTTTTCTAATAACATCTTGTTTTAGCTTTTCCTGGCTGATTCTAATTTAGGAGGTCGATTTTTTTCTAATCACCCAAATAATCTGCTGGTGAGAATCTCCTCATTACATGTGCGGAAATGGCCACCCGAAAACACCACTGGTCATCAATTGCCCCGACTGAATATCACCAGCCTGCGACTTAAGCTCTTCTACGTCCCAATTAGCCCATACCGAGCGACCGTTCAAGAACGCTCCCTCTGGACTGGAAAGCCAAACCAAAAAGTGCGCTGGTAGTTCCACTGGAGAGCGATGTTGATTAGCAAGCCCCCTGTGACGCAAAATGCAACATTTATATGTATCGCCTTGAGAAGAGTAGGTAGGTACAACTTACATGTATCCAGAGGCAATCGACTAGGATCCCCACCCGATTTTCTGAGAATGTCGGTGTCGACCATGCCTGGATGCACGGTCGCGGCGAAGATGTGCGGTTGTTCGAGAGCGAGGAATTCCATCAGTTTCACCTGTGCCAGTTTCGAGATCATGTAAGATGATAACGGGACGAAGTTCTTCGCTGGCGCTGTTGCCATGCCGGATGTTAGGGTTAGGATCGCGGTGTGCGATGGGTTGGCGGTGGGGAGAAAGGACTTGATGGCTATGAATGCTCCTTTTATGTTGATCTGGATTGGGGTAAGATTGGTTGGGTTGGCTAGGTTGAGGGAATAGGGGTGGTGTACCTCGAAGCCTTTCCACCATTCCTCTGTATCCGCTGATGCCATCGGTCCGGGGTCGGAAACATAGCCCGCGGCGTTGATTAGGACGTCCCATTTACCAATGGACGCCGCGGTATCTTTAATGCTTGTTTCTCGGGTTATGTCTACTGCGTGGACAGACACAGAGGTGTTTTCGTTGGCTGCCGTAACTTGGGACTTGGTATCGTTTAGCAACGCTTCTCTGCGACCCAAGAGAGCGACATGAGAAGCTCCGGCGGCAGCAAAGGCTCTTGCAGTTTCTCGTCCAATACCGCTGCCCTATGAACAAGGAGAATGAGTTTCAGTTCAGGGCATTCGCAGCTGGGTTAGACTCACGGCGCCAATTATGACGATCCTCTTCCCTGATGCGCTGAGCTCTGGGCGACTCAGTGAGATGGCATCATACGTATCGTTGCGCCAAGTTGGTGTTGCGGACGGAACTGGGGGCTTCATCTTCAAAGAAGTCAATTGACGATTATATTAAATACTACCTATGTAATCGAGTTATAGGAAATTTTTAAAGATGATTGCAACTTCCTTTACATATTTTAATGACGGCGAAACCGGCACGACGTTCATTCTTATCTCCGCAGCACCCCGGAAAATAAGTAGGTAGATGTGTGGTTATACGGCAACTGCATCCATGATTCGCCCGCACTTTACGGTCACCATATCTCCGGTCGGTCAGCTTACCTAGGTAGCGATGCCTTAGTTTTATGGGCCAACTCATGGATCTTACCGAACCCACTCGTCGGACGAATAAAATGAATAGCTAGCCGTTTTTATTGGTGATAGTCTAGATTTTTGATTCGCATCTATAAAAAACAAGCTATCTAGCGTGGCAGTCCGACATGCTTCGGTTACTAGAGTAGGCTATTTGGAGAGATATCGTGGTTACACAAATACCCAGTACCCTTTCTTCTTCTTTCTCTTAGGTGGAGGGGCTCGCTTGCCTCTTAAGCGTCCGAATTGTATGGGGTTGCAGAGATATCGGCCGAAATTACTAAGCCGGGTGCGTAAACCCAGGAGACTTAGGAAAAGGTCGGAACTCGAGATGACTCTTCTTTGATATATTAACATATTTACACATTTCCCCATGAGAACCCTTACCTTACATTAATATTAAAGCTAACCACTGTAATTAGGACTAGTTGCAGCGCTGTTGTGCGCTGTAATACAGGGAAGTTGAGCGCTAAGAGGGGTCCTTGTAACTGGAGTACCTAATTTGAATAAAGGTCACTGTATTATAGTGAGTATTCTAGGTAATCAAGGGCTAACCTGGAAACTGCCCAGGTGATCTAATTGGAGGGGATTAATCAGCTATTTATAGCGGTAGCTGATCGCTATTAGTAATCCCTTTTCAGTGGAAACGGCTAATAATCCATTTTCAAGTAGTACAGTAGTGTACTAAATACAGGACTAAGGCCCTATAATTCAACAATGAGGTATGTTGTCAACTACAATAAATCTAGGTAACTTCATCATTATTAGGAGTATAATTGTGAGTTTGAACCCCTTGATTGAATATCTTACCTATGATTACCTATATGGCAGACATTGATGAAATCAAGCTTTGATCGGAGCTAGACATCACTATCCCAAAATATTACGCAGTACACGAAAATCCTTCTTGGACAACATCGAATCAGCAATTCCGAATATGCACATAGATTTAAATAAAACAATCACGCAATTGATATCTTCTAAGGTTATCTTCATGCTAGAAGTTCATTTCATGACGTACGTGAATGAAGAAGACGTATGTTCACGATGATGCCTCGTATTTGCCATATACAATACGAGGATAGAGAAGCTTATCGAGTCAACAACGGAACCGAAGGCATGCGGCTCGAATACGATGACGCCAGCAGGTAGCCTGAAGGTTGAAATATGCTTTTGATTCCACGCGACACCCTTGGTATTCAGCCTTATATATCCCGGAATAGTGCATAAGCGAAACCTTCGTACCTGAAAAAGTTCGTATTTGGGTGTCGGTCCCGTTTTGATACTCGGGATATATGTATAGCAAAACTCAGTACAATTCGGATCTTGATTCGTTTTTTCTTGCATTGCAAGACGTCAATGATTGCGTGTATTGAACTCATTTACACTAGGCTTTGGTGAAGGTGGGTGGATCAATCTTATCAAGGGCTTTGAGAGTTCAATGGCAGAAAAGGGGGGTTAACCTGACGAGTTGGCATAGAGAATGCGCCTGCAAGCACAGGTGTTGGCTACCAAGCAGAATAATACGATTTAGGTGTTTGTACAGAGGAAGGACCTTAATTGGGCCACCCGAGACCTTAAAACATATCACAACACTCAAGAGTCCAGGTGCACATAGAAGTCCGGAGGATATTGACTTTAGTTAACGAGCGTGTGTTATATGTGCGAGTTATATGTACATGATACCCAGATTCCCATAAATGCTATTGACAGAAAAATATATACATGAAAAAGGTGCTATATACAATTGCGGATTCATGACTGTCGCCATGATGAGTTCAGGGGCTGGTATCTATGCCAAGATACCAACCCCTTTTTCTTCAACTCTCATCGTTGAAGATTGGTCTCCTTAGGAAGTAAATCCACCAACAGCGAGCTGAAGAGTGTTAGGGTTAAGGCCTGCCACGACGCCGGCCGAGTTCTGGCCATCGGGGTTGACGTCGTCGTAGGAGAAGGCGTAGCCCTTGTTGTCGGTCTCGTACTTGTGCACGATGCGCCCGTAGTGGCTCGTGGGGCTCGTAGTGTAGTACTTGTCCTGGCCGAGACCTGGTTGGAGGTTACCGCCGTCGAGCAGAAGCGTGCTACGGAAGAATGCGGCGCAGAGGCGGGGAACCACGGCACGGTGGACGTCGTTGTCGCCATCTTGGATGCCGAACGGGCCCGAGTTGCAGCCCCAGATATCGATCATGGTAGGCTTAGGGTACGCGCGGTTGTCTCCTTTGCAAGACATTTTGTTGCCACTAGCGCGGCAGGTGACATTACCGGCGGCGGCCTGAGTGTTGATGGTTAGGTCTTGGCTGGTGTACTTGGTCCAGACTTTGTTGATGTAGTCGTTGTAGTAGGTCGACATGGCAGTAGGGTCAATGGATAGGTATAGGTTAGGAGCGAGGACGCGCAGCGGTTTTCCCTTAGAGTCCGTGATGCACAACTTGTCCCATGGCTGGCCATCCGCAGCCGCCTGTGTCTTCAGGTCTGAGCAGATGGAGGAGATGGCGTTCCCTTGAAGACCCTTGACTGTTTGAGTCTCGCCGCTGCCGAGTTTTAAGGTCATACCCATGACTAGACCGACGAAATCGACGAAGGAGATGTTGGCGTAGATGCCTCCCTTCTCCGTGTTGGTTAACTCGACGAATCCCCAGTTCACAGCCGCTGAAGGGTCACTCGGGTTGGCGGCCGACGGCTCGACTAGCTGAACTTGTCCATTTCCATCAACAACGGCGAAGAACTGAAGGTTACCTTCGGCAATCCATATGCGGCCAGAGCTGATGTAGTCGGGGAGCGTGAACTCGGTAGTCTGACCTTTAGCTTTCATCGGGAGAGCAACATTTCCTTTTACTGCTACTGGAACCTTGCTACCAGCAGGGTCGGGGTAATACCAAGATCCATTCGCAGAGAGCATAATATTAGCACCATTGGTATCTTTGCCCGACACGTATACATTTAGTTTTCCGCCGCCGAAGTTGTTGACAAGAGATATCTTGAGCGCGTTAGACTGGACCCTCTGTCCAGACTTTATAACGGGAATGTGTGTGCTGTTAAGTGTGTTTTTATCAGTGATAACCAGATCCATCTTAGACCCCGGAGTAGCAACAATCGGAGCAGCGATGGTTTGGGCGACGAAGGCCGTAGCAACAGCTACGGCTAGGTTGAAGAAAGCACGCATGATGTACTGTGTGTATACCCCGAATACTCGCAGGGAGGGGGCAGAGTTATTCTCAAAATGACCGAACGATAGTAAGGAGTGTGTGTATGTATGTACCTAATCTAAGGAATGGACGCCTGCGGCCTGCGGCTTTAGAGCGAGAGAGAGAGTGGACGTTCTGAAAGAGAACCGGTATATCCGTGTCGTACACCTAGGAGAACATCCTGCAAGAGAATCGTACGGGGTGCAGGGCCCGGAAGTTATATACGTAACGATGCTCTAATAGACAGGAAGGCTTTAACTTACAAGAAACGTTACGAACCTCCTCGTTTTAGTTGCATGGAAGTGTATAAGGTTCAAACAGACCAATGAGGGCGCAGAGCATCAGCGATGACCTTCCTTTTGGGGTCAAAGGATCTCCCAGAGTCTGAAACTAACCTCATGGAGGCGTTGCTGCAAGTAAGGCGAGTGAGCCTTGTCCTACTACGTAGTGTGGTTTATTTCATCCCATGTGTGCACTAGACAAGGGCTTTATTTCCGAGGGATCTGACGGGAGCAAGGGTATTGATCTGGTAGTCTTGGGAGCTCTGTTCCAAAGTTGGAGAAAAGAGAAATGCCACACAGCCGGGATCTATACTTTTAGCCCGCAGAACCTCCGTAGAAGCGCCCCTCTCTAACACTTTACCTTCCCTTAATTACCATTTCCAATTTCCTGGACCGCTAGTCGGCCAATAAGAGGTCAGAACCGGCTTCGACGCCACAGCTACACATTCGCATTAACTACCCTACCCCAAGCATACTAAGCCCACCACAAGCTTGAACCATCCGATTGGGAGCATGTGATATGATCGTGAGTATCTTCGTCGTACAAGCTTGCTATAGTAGCCTCAGATATGATGTTTCAAGCCTTTCTTCACCTACCGACTGCTAAACAGGAAATGTACGGAGCCTCGTTCTACGGCGTAACGTAGGTACTTACCTAGGCCTAGGACCTAGGTGCATTGATATTGGGAAATTTATATAGATACCCCAGATTCCGACTGGTTATGGCTTGTTGAAATTCCATTCAAACCCATTTCGTCTCTGAACATCTAATAATCCAACGCAGGGTATGCCAATATTCCCTGACCTGCAGCTATGAACGTCGTGACGATCACAGTCAGAGCCGCCTACCTTCCTCTATCGAAACTTTTCGGTGGCATGTAAGACCGAGCTGAGCTAACCCGTGACGATGAGACCAATTTGGCGGAACTCGAGATGCACCAACAGAGGCCTTAACCGTTCGACTTACTATTTTGAACTTATTCCGACGAAAGGGATAACGTATCTATCTGCGAAGAAACGCCTCGTGCCTCCTGTTTGGCGGCTTTGTTGGAGAGAGTCGGGCACTCGCATGGCCGAACGGATGTAGCCTGCTACGTAGCACGTAGTATGTAGTATTCGAAGAGGTCTCACGGAGTCTTCGGCAGCGACCATAACAGCAGCCCGGACTCCAAAGACCGAAACTTAGGTAGACACATCCATGATAGTTCGTCTGATATCTTAGGTGCAGCTGACACCAACAAACATCTCCAGCGACAAGATGACGGTAACATAACAGTAACATCTTATAGACTGGAAAAGGTTACTCTTATGCTGATCTGTTAGAATAAATTATTCCTCTCTCACAGCATCGGCATAATTGTCAAAATAGGCCCCTGATTCCGAGTGGAGAGAAAGTAGTAGCAGTACCTAAATTCCGTGTGGCTCTACTATTTTTAGGCACCGAGGAACAAATCGGCCCCGGACGACCCACATCATATATCCTCTGCAAGACGCCGCTGTAGAAAAAAGAATTGGGTGTCCAGCGTTGTTTTTTTCAATTTTTTCAATATGTTATGTTGGGTCCGCGCTCTGATTGAAACATCGAAAGGCGCCCAACAGCACGGGCTGACATTGATGACGAAAGTTATTCGCCGGAGCGAGACACGGCTAGGGACAGCGAAATTTCCGCCAATACAGCCATGCGCGTAAGACGATTATTAGTCGAGATTGGTCTATGAAGTCTTGAACGAGTAGGGGGACCGAAGCCACGACACGTGATATAGTGATCGTCGATAATTGTGAGTGTTCAGGAAGGAGAAAAAGAATATGAATGGACGAAGCGTCGTAAGAACTTTAGAAGAGTGCCTTGCCAAACAATCTATATGCTTGCAGTTTTGCTTTTTTCCCTTGGTACGTGGCCCCCGAGTCGTCCTATTCTTCCGTCCCCGCTGCCGATGTGACGCTGTTCCTGCAGCCCCCGACTTGTCACCTACCTGATCGAGCCTATCAAAGTCCAAAACGACCCTATGCCAACCCGAATATTCTGCAGTCGTCCGACTACAATGAGACATGCTTTAATTAAGGTTAAGTGAGCCTTCGCCTCTCACAGTCTTCCTACGGTCCTCCACTCGTTTCCATTCGCTTATGTATGTCTGGCATTTCTGCTTAGCCTGTCGCACATACATACATAGTACCCAGTGTCCGTACATAGATTGGCGATCCGGGGCACGGTACCTACTGGTGGGAACATGGTCCGGGGTACAGAGCATTAATGGGAGCGTACGCTATCGAGCGGGCGGGTGGGTTACGCCAATCAATGATCCGCGCACATCACTCAGCTCCCATTTCGAAACGAATTTGTTTCAACCGGGTCAGGGTCGGAATCGGCCGAGGCAAAACCACTACGGCGTAGCTATAATACTTCACCTAAGACTCAGCTTATTTAATACAAACCATCACCAACCACATCAACGTGAAGGTAGATAATTACCAGTAGCCAAATAATGCGAATATCGCAACACCACTATTTTTTTATTGCTCACCACATATCGACACCTTCACTTTCTACAGAATATTTATTGTACAATTGACAATAAGTAAATGTTCGTAGCAAATATTTGTTAGGTAGTCCACTTGGACTTATTAAAGGATCAATCCTCTAGGTATCGACCTACCTAATCCAGAGTCGTGTTAGTGCCGCTTATAGAATTAGAAATAATCACCGCCTAGAAAGTTATTATTTGAACAAAATCCCAAATCTCCCAAAAAGAACTAACAAGAGGATTCACCCTGCCGAAAAATAGGCAATCACTACAGGGCTATCCTTCGTGAGACTCTCAATATTCCTCTGCTGCGGTACGACATATCCACGCGACAAATATTTATAGCTTCGGATGACGATCTTGATTCGCCTTATTGAGTCCATATATCTATGGTTCATCCTGCAAGAGAATATTCAGCTCTGTGCCTCTGTGTTGCCTTGTTGCAATTTCGCGTTTTTAACCCTTGACCAATGTGTGGAATTTGTGCGTTCGGGGTCGACATCGTGTATCCCTAAGAAAGCGTACATATTTATCTCCAAAATAATGCGTTGGTGGTCTGAGATGTAAGAATATTGTCTGAGTACTACTTACTTACCTACCTAGTAAAAGTCAATATAACTACAAGTGGTTGACAGAAATCATGTCAGACACATTTTGAGCTTGGGTAACACAAACTTATAGTTGATTTCCAGCTCTGATTCAAGACTCTTACCAACATTTTGGGGTTGGAGGTAGCAGTCTCCTACCTAGGTAGATATCTTGCAATGTTACATTTTTCGGTGATTTTATGTTTCGTCAACTACTGAACCGCCCTGGATTTGATAGGGATATTGTAGATCAGCAACGCAGTATCGTAGGCAATTTCGGGAAGGCCGCGATCCCCTCCCTATCCCTTGCCGAGCTAGAAATCTCGTCGAGTTGGGGTAGTTCAAGGATATGATGAATATTACCATACAGGTGCTCGATATAACCTCTTAGGGGAGCATACTAGGTGGTATCTGATCCAAACACCGCAGGTATTTCATAGATATGGTAAACTCTGCACCGGATAGAACCTCGGCTCGGAATCGGGTACGGACATGGTACTTGGGGGATCTTTCATAGTTAGTTGGGCTTGATGGTATCAATAGTATCTTGGGGGACCATCTCTGGAGGCGTATCTAATAAACTCGTAAAATTCTAACCCGGGTTATAGATTTGTGGTTTACTTAGGCATCAGTGTGACTTCGGGTGCATGTGCTAACCTGATCTTCTTCCTGACCATTAGTAGCATCCTCCTTTGCGTTGTCACTTGCTTTAGTCTTATGCTTGGGGTTTGCCTCCGCCTTCTTATGTTCTTCGGAACCTTTGAAAACGACGTGCTTTCCGTTCGTGTCATTACCCCTTTTCGCTTCTTCCCTTGCCTCTGTTTTATCGCCATCAGTGACATCGTCAACTTCCTCAATATATTCATCGTCGTTGAGTTCCGCTTCACCCTTCCCTTCATCCCCATTCACCTGTTCTCTCTTCTGCTTCTTATTAGCCTCCTTTCCACCCTTCTTCACCTCCTTGCCCTGCTCATTCTTGGTATGAGGCCCTTCGTCATCTCCCACTAGATCAAGGTCGCCATCAGCGTCTTCCTCACTTACATCCTCACTCTCATCATTCTTTCCATCATCCCCCCGTGCATCCTTGTCGGGATCCTGACCCTGTGCCTTGCGCTTCGTACCCCCTTTGCCGTTCTCGCTGGCCTTCTCTTCGACAGTAAGTTCTGACGACCGTTTAACCACATCATTACCCGATCTCTCCACGCGGACAGCAGGATTTCCTGGGTCAGCTTTTCTTTTCACCGTGTTCCCGCGTTGTGTCTCAATCTCGATTGCGCCTTTTTCTTTGGTCTCAGCTACCGTGCCTGCCGGGGCACCGCCGCCCCAGGACCAGGATACTACATAACATCGTTAGTTAAAGGTTGGACTTGGACTTGGACTTTTTAAAGTGAATATAACAACTTCTCCGTATATCAAAACGTAGAAAATATGATATCGGGTGGATGAAAAGCGTTGCCTTGCTTAGAATGGAGCCAGAGTGAGTGCCCCATGTGCCAATGCTACCGTATCGCACTGTGATTAGAACTATCCCCTATGTTACACAACTAGCTTCCACAGCTTGCTGTAGCGTGTGTAAGTTCCCTGTACAGAGAGAGTAGGGGATAACTTGAGTGTATAGCCCAATATTGTAGTACCAGCACATAGGACACCCGTTCCAATGTCGTTCTAATATATGTGATGTAGGAATCTGGTGGTGTACCTTTATCGCCTTCTTCTGGTGCCTCGTTTTTTCCCATGGCGTCAATTAATGGCAGATACGATGCGTCGTGATTTATGAGTTGAAAATGAGTTTAGTGTTAGACGGCTAGGTACTAGGTAGACTTTTGCTGTAACGCACCCCCGAATGCAGCTTCGCAATAGAATAAGTTTTCGTATTGTGTTCGAATTGTGTAGTCGAATCGCTATTATATATGGACAATTCTTTGTCATCTTACCTCATTGCGTCACGTTGATCATGATTCATCATCGCCCTAGTGCGAATATCCTCGAAAGTTAGATCGATTGACGCAGATCAGGGGAACCTTGATCTGCATGACATTCAGAAACATGCGCCATTTGCATACCTACCTCCACACAGATGTTTAAAGAAGCTTGTAGAGCTAAAGCAAGGCTGCGGTGTAGTGATTTGTATCTGCTCGCTCCTAGAGCAGACAGATTCCATAAAAAGCAATTCCAATCTCAAGTACTGATTTTTGGTAATGCAATCACTGATACCTATTTAAAATCGAAAGATCCGACAGATGGATTGAAGGAGATTCTCGAGTTTGCGAACGACAGATTCTTCGAGCAAACAGTAGGTACAAAGTATTGTCTCAGGGGGTATCACGTGAGTAACCAAAGTTCCAACATACCCCCTTTCTCCAACTTCTAGAACACGTGACAAAGGGGAGTCATCAACCAGTGTCCGATTGGGCGTTGTCGACCTCGATGCATTTCAAAATCGTATTGCTATTAGTCTAAACAACCCAAAAACCTCCATGGTGTTTAAACTACAGGTACCTCATAAGAAAGAATGTCATCGATTACTTCCTTTTAGCTATATGAAAGCTTGCGTACCTATTAGTTGCTTACCTAGCACTAGGGAATCGGCGAGAAATGCGTGACTTATTTTAGTAATTAACTGGAAAGTGAGGCTCACGATGTGGCGTACTACCTATAAATTTGGTGCTGAATGAGATGTTGTAAGGGGGAAAAGCGCGCACTAATTTGGGTGAATCTCAGGTAAATCTAACGCAGTCCCGGAGGCAATTGGTTCAACCATTAGCGCAGCTTTAGCGGAGTGCAAGCCATTTGATTAGTCAATCTTCGCTGTCATGTATGTTGTCACTTACCGTCGGTATACCAAACACACCGAAGGCATAGGCTTCGCAGCATGAGCTAAAAAGCGTCGTATACGTCATAGACCAGTTAACACAGATGAAACCAAAACCTAGCAAATAGACCTTCGCATCCAAATGCAGCTGTGATCATACCATCATGTGAAATGTCCTAGAACCCTCAACATCACATACCCCCTCACCGCCCCTTAAAAACCGGCCTCCTCTTCTCCCCAAACGCGACAAGCGCCTCATCCCTATCCTCAGTCCTCACCACCCTCTCATACGCCGCATTCTCCACCTCCGGCTGAGCCCAACTAACCGCCTCCAGCGCAGCCCTAACCGCCACCGGTCCGCCCTCGCAAATCTCACTCGCGAGCCTCACGGCCTCTGCTAACGTCGCGTTCCTCGCGCGCGCGGGTAATCCCTCCTCTTCCTCTCCTGCGCCGTTCTCCTGCGCAACCCCATCCCGCTCATCCTCGGGCAACACTTCTACCAAACGGTCCGCGAGCCCGAGGAAATATGCTTCAGGGGCGGATACCCGGCGTCCGGTGAGGATTATATCGCGTGCGCGGGGTAGCCCGATCAACGCGGGAAGTCGATATGTACCGCCGGCGCCGGGGATGATGCCGAGTCGGGTTTCAGGGAGCCCGACGGTGGCGGTAGATGCGAGGACGCGGAAGTGTGTGCATAGCGCGAGTTCGAGGCCGCCGCCTAGGGCGAGGGAGGATATGGCGGAGATGGTTGGGATAGGGAGGGCGGAGAGAGAGGCGAATGTGCCGCGGAGGACGGAGAGGAATTGTTGCGTTCTGGAGGGTTGGTAGGCTGGTGTTAGTTATCGATCGAAGTATGGAAGTGCCTGTATGCGAGGTTTTGTTTGTGGTGGTACTTACTCTTCTTCCGTGAACCCGCGTCTTTCTTTTAAGTCCGCGCCGGCGCAGAAACTCGCGTCGACGGCGCTGGCGAGGATCAAGGCCCGGGTTGGTCCCTTGTCATCTAGGCCCGCGGCTCCTCCAAACCGCGGAGCTGGGGGTATTTCATTTCCTTCTAATGTATATTGCGATCGGACATCTTCGACTTCGGCTCGTAAGGAGGCTAGGAGGGCTTTCGATATCGCGTTACGCGCTGATGGCCGATTGAGCTCGAGGATGCGAATGTGGCCGGTGTTAGAGGTTGGGAGATTTGTGACTCTGATTAATGGGCCGGCATCGCTAGAGTATAGGCGTAAAAAGCGAATTTGCGGAGAAATCAATCGACTATTCAATCGCGGTGGCATTATTCTGATGACAAAATCGGTCTGCTTAAACTGGATAACGTGGAGGTTCAATTTGTACTAACAGGTAGAGATGATGTAGTACTAGGTAGTGAATTGAATGGATTGATCTACCAGAATTGCTATATATAGAAGATTATGGTTGGTCGTGTCAATGTGTTCACAAGATCGCTGGTTAGAAAATGTGTAGAAGTGAAGAATGGTGCATGAAAGAAGGTTTCAACGTCAGAGGTAAAGCTCTAGGGCTACTAGGAGGGGATGACGATAGCGGGTATGGTACCTCTGATAACGGATTACAGCGGCTATTAGCGGGGAAATCATGTCCCACCATCAGCGTCTACTCATACTACACAATTCCATATACGCAGGTCTTTTAACATTCTGTTTGATATCCATAAAATAGATGTGCTACGGTTTTCTACGCTGCGTAATTGAAGTTATTTGTGAGTAAAAATGGACATCTGATGTGCATCGGGTTAATTGTGAGGAGTACGAAGTACGGAAGACCAATTAAAGGAAGCTAAAATCATCTTACGCGGTTTCCAACCGGCAGTGACGGGTGTAGTAGTAGGGTGGGTAGCACCGCCGATGTCATCGCAACCTCCCCACCTATCCCCGGAGCTTACTCGGCTTGCATCTTTTACATCATTCCAAAAGGAAACAACAATCCTATTGGAAATTTAAGCTTAAAGCATATTTCTTCTCCCTCCGAATTTCTCATTCATATATCTTCTCCCCATAACCCATATTCAGTTTCTCCACAATGGCTTCTACAGACTCCTCAACCATCCCTCCAGAGGTCATCGAGTTTGCGTCTCGGATGTACAATGCTGCACGAACTGGCGATAAAGACGTATTCGAACAAGCATTGCCGAGAGGATTACCACCTAACATGACTAATGAGAAGGGAGATACTCTTGTAGGCAATCATCAATTATCCATCAAATATTCCGCGCCCATTGCTGATCATCAAACGCATACTCAAAGCTTATGCTTGCGGCATATCATGGACATGCTGATCTTGTCAAGCTACTCATCCAGCATGGTGCCGATCCAAACCGGATAAATGATAGAGGCCAAAGCCCTCTAGCCGGCGCTATTTTCAAGAAGGAAGATGCTGTTGTCGAGGTTCGATACCTCTTATTAAGAGATTCACAAATACTGATAATTCCGTAGGCATTACTAGAAGGAGGTGCTGACCCAGAATACGGCTCGCCTTCCGCACTTGCATGCTTAGCTATGTTCCAGCAGCAGGATAAATGGGGAGCTAAGTTTGAAGGGGCCCCTGGGAAAGGCAAGGCTGGGAAACCCATATCCGAGTGAAATCATATCAAACATTCACAAACTTCTAATTTAGATTCTGTTGGGAGAAATAGATGAAATTTTTATTTCTAATCGAGGACAAACGAGATCTTAGATTGGCAGATGAATGAAATAATCTAGCGTTAGGTGCGGGATGGTCATAGGAAAGAGAAGCCAATCTTCACATTTAGCTTAACATTCTTTTCAAAAAAAAAGCAGTATTCATTGACTACCAATACATCGGTAGCAGAATAAAGATGATGGTACCTTAACGCTTACATAAGTGTTACATAGGTGGGAGTTCTATTAATAGTAAGTATGAATAGGGGGGTTCTTGTGAAGAACTGCCGTCGTAATATTAGTATATCTATACAAGCATATCACATATTAGTAAATCTTTGGTTGCTCAAATTTTTGTATTTGCAAAGAAAATACGCCTTTGCTAAAAAGGACCATCTGTGCCCTTCCGTAATGTTCTAAGAGGGGATATTGCTGAAAGTACCAGCATACTATATGAGAACGGTACAAGGTACGTGTTTATATGCAGGTATGCCCAAACTTCAGCAAAAACTTTTCTTATTACAACTTTTGCTAACTTATCATGTGGTTGAAATTTCACTATAATTAAAATTAACAGACACGTCTTTATGTCAATCTCAAGGTAATTCGTTAACAACTATCATATTCAGATATTCGCATTTTCTTTTTGGGATCCGGTTCATGATTTATTTATATACTCACTTTTATTTGCTAAATACGCAAGTGTGATTGTACCTAGTAAATCGGAAAAAAGCGTTTCTCTCGGCGGCTTTTAATCAGAGACACCAAAAGGTGAGACCAGCAAGAAGTCCAGATACCTGTCTGCCAGAATTGTCAGTGATCGTTGCGGTCAACGCATGGGAGAAACAGGAATCACGATAGTCTCATTGGAGGAGCTCTCGTCTTGCATCAAGAAGTTTCTATTGGGCTAGGTTGGCTCCACCGCCTTGAGAGCAACTTGAAAATCGCATAAGACGGAGCTACCATGTACCTACGTGATGGCACACTTTTCATATTTTCTTTTATATCTCGGCATCCATCAACAAACTTCACCTTCTGTTCCCTACTCCTTCAACTTCAGTTAAAACCTGAGAAACTTTTACGGAAGATCGAGACGTACTTTGCAAGCTATTTCTACATCGGTATTATATACCTTAAGTACCTACCTAGTTGTTTATTCGAAATATCTTTTTCGAATTATTCGCCTCAAATACCTTCAGCCTGATACCCCCAGACCAAGAACTCATCATTGAACATACCGACACAATGTTTGTATATCCAATACGTACCTATCTTAATAAATGAATAGTGCCAAGTATCTAACAATTATATCTATCCTAGGTGTACTTGGGAGACAACAGTCAGTATTGTGGTTAAGCTTAATGGAGAAAGAAAGGAGACAATCAAAACTGTGCAAAAGGATTGCGGTAAAGTGGTGTGTGCTACGTCTGGTTCATATATCCAACCAGCAGCTCAAGCACTTTTGTAACGGCAAGCTATAATTATTCAAAGAGACGGCATCTTGAATTCCTCTGATGGACATTAAGAGGCAACTGGTTTGGTCGGGTTAGGGGCTTATAAACGAATTAGCGTATCAAGGCTCTCGCGAGTCATATATATGCAATGTCTTGGTAACATACTTAGATACTTCTGATCACACTTGCGAGTTATTAGGTATTTTTATCTATGCCTTTTTGTATCCGTTGGAAGCCCTCGATACAAGTAATACTGCGAACCTCAATGTCCCCTATTCTGACTCCGAGGGTAACCCGACTATGTTAGCGGTGTTAGTCTCAAGTGCTGGAGTCAAACATGGCAGGTACCTACCTACCTACCTACCTAGTTACGCTATACCTCAACTCGAGGCACTCAGCCGGTAAATCCAAGTCATTTCTCATGATAATAGGTACCACGTAGGTGCCCACGATGGGGGCGAAACTTTTGGCCTGGGTACATACCTAGGTAGCTAAGTATCGGAGAATTATACAAATTGTTATGGCGTACTTAGTATTTACTGATATGTTCCCTATGCATGGTTACCTGCACCTAGCTTACTTAGGCTAGACTCGCGGGTACCGCCTTTCTTCGCATATTCCGGTCCTTAACCGAACCACTTTAAAAGTGTATTATGCCTTTTAAGGGGAGCTTTACTTATTATAGTTAGCCTGAAAGTGAGGCTCTACTAATTTTCGTATCAAAAAGAGTCCAATAAGGGATTTTAAAATAATAAGAAGATTAGTAAGAATTTAATAAGTACTTAACCTGAAATGGTTATTGGCTCGTAAAAATTTTACTAAGAAAAGAGTAAAAACTGTTATTAAATCATCCCCAGATTCCATTAGTTAAAAACGGTTAAAGCAATTTTAAAGTGGTTCGGTAAAGGACCGGAATATGCGAAGAAAGGCGGTACTCGCTTCGCGTCTTGTGTATATCCCAATCAGAAGCTGGGAGCCAAGTCTTCTTTCTACCTATTCATTCGGTCGGGAATTTGATTGGCTTTACCGATTAGAGGAACGGACCCGAGGGCTTGTTCGATGATCGTTTAGGTCCTATTACCTAATAGTAGTATTTACAATACCTATTTTTCTTTTCATTCATTATATTTTGTCAGATACACTGCTCTAACTTAAGACTGAAATGAAGAAAACCTGCCGACCGGTGTGTACTTTGTATCTTTTTTCGATTGTCTTCTTGTCACGTGTTTTAGATTAGATTGGGATCAATCCAGGTGGTCTGTGCTATATACCTATCAAGCTGTCAGGTCTGTGCTCTAAAGACATTGTCCAAGTTTGGTTGCTCACGTGACCTTCCTGAGACAAGATGAACTTTTCCTTTTCGTAAACTTTATGTTTGTTCGTAAGAAGTTACATTTACTTAAAATCAAATCAATTGAATGCTCCATTCTCATACATTTCCATTTGCTTCATGAGCGAGTACCTTTTAGCGCAACAGCACCATCTACATAGGATGTTTTCCAGGCTGTTAACCAGGTTCTCCGCACACATCGCACTGTCGCATGCCCTATCTTCGCCAAGTATAAAAGTCCAGGTTCACCTACCCAATCCAGTAGGTAGTATGTAAACAGCAATGATAAGCACCGTAGCTGATTCCGGCATATCTGCCCTGTAAAACGAAGGCGGGAATGCAACAGGGCTATAATGTTGCCTAGAAAATAGGGGAAACCAAGAAGACATGCCTTTTCAGTTAGCAAGCCAAGACATTTTATGATCGGCAACACAATTAATGTCGTGCTCATTAGGATCACATAAAAAGCTCTCATGGCCCGGTGGCGGCTGTCTAGCTTTCTAGCTTCCTTCCTTCACGTCCTATGATATTAGGGGCGCGAGGGTAGATTCTGGTCTTGCACAATTTGGATGATGCATTTCACGAATGCACGCAAATGCCGCCAGACAGTCCTCACGACTGTCTTGGCCGGCGCGTTTCTGGCGAGATACACTCGCGCTGGACCAATTGTCGCACGGAGCGAACCGTTCCAAGTGCTTGATCCGCAAAATTGGGTAAATCCGGACAACATGACTTGGGCGGACTACAAAGTGCCCCCAGGAACATCGTGGAATGACCCGAGCCGCAAGGGTTCTAATCGGAACTTCAACATCGCCCTCGTCGCCGTCGATTACCCGGATATGCCCTTCGTCATCACGCAAGCGGTGAACTCGACCCCGTTCGGGAACCCACAGCCGATTCTTTCCGGTTTGAACCGCTCAGAGGTACCAGCTTTCTACCGGGATTTCCTCAATAAGCCCCAGGACCTGAACCACAATCGTACTTTGCACGAATACTGGATGGAAGATTCGGGAGGCCGTTTTGGCGTGGATTTAACTGCCTTCGGCGCATATCAGCTCCCCAGCCGCTCATATCAATACGGCATAGACGACGAGCGAGGAGGATTCAATGAGGGGGCTTGTCCTACAGCAGGGCCATGCTCAATCGACCTACGAACAGACGCCCTAGGGGCCTGGCGCGCCGACGTAGGTAACGAGACAGCCAATTCGTTCGAGCTAGTCTTCATCCTGTCCGCGGGTCAGGACGAGTCCTCCACGTGGCAAGAATTCGGAGAGATTAAGTTTCAGACTCCGCAGGATGTTCCGGATTCTTTCGGACCTCCGGGCGACGACGCGTTGCCTAATTACGCTGAGACGAGATACGTGAACTGGACCTCCTGGGCAGCCGCAAGCGCAATCTGGCCGAATGCCGGGGGCGGCTCATCGACACAGGCGGAAAGCTCGGGAATGTCAACTTACGCGCACGAGCTAACCCATCTCCTCGGCATCGGCGACAACTACAACAACCCGTACGGCAACCCGCCGCGTCGCGCGTACACAGGCCCCTGGTCCATGCTATCACGCGGCAGCTTCAACGGGCCAGGGGGTCCCCACACGCGCTGGCAGATCCCCGCAACGCAAGGCGGCTCCCTCGGCTCACTGCACACGATGGGCGACAAAATGCGCATCGGCCTCGTCGCCAACTCCAGCGTTCTCATGGTCTCGCGCTCCGCGCTCCCGAGCTCCGGCCCCGTCGTCGCCGAAATAACCGCGCGCTGCATCAACCCCGGCGAAAACGAATTAATGGGTCTCCACGTCATCATGGGCGACGACCTCTCGCCCTCGTGTAATACCAGCACAGACGCGCTGTGCGATGGCGGCGGGTACAATAACTACGATATCGAAGTGATCGACCGCATGGGCGCGGACTCGTTTACGCCGGACTCGGGGGTCATGATTAGTAAGACGAAGGATAGAGATAATGCGCCGTTTCAATGGACGATTGATGCGAATCCTCAGGATATCGATGTGATTGATTTCTTCCGCCCTGATGGCACGCCTTCCCCGCTGAGTATTGGCGATTACCGACAGCTTGCTGATGCGCTGTTCCATGCGGGTACGGACTCCGGGAGTGAGTTCGAGTATGTTGATGAGGCGAATAGACTGCATTTTTATATTGTGGATATCCGCCGCGATGATGTTGGTGTCTTGCATTATACCGTGGGTGTACGGTCGTTGGATGGTAGTGGAGCTAATACTTATGGCGTTGAGATGGAAAAGGGGCTAGTTGCGGAGGGGCCACTTGCTAGAGCTAGTGTCAACGGCGTGACTTGCGCGTTTCAGCTGACGAATTCCGGGTCTTATACGGCTATCAATGATGAAGCGCAACACCCGCAAGACATGTCCGCGTACTTAGGCTCGGATATCTATCGGCTCAGCGCGGAGGTCGACGGCGAGGGATGGACTGTAGGGGTGGTGAACGCGTTGGCCACGGTAAAGTTCGGTGCGGTGACCCCTGTTAACGTAGCTGTTAAGGCGGAAGTTGAGGCAGCTGGCACGGCGGTTGTTAAGTTGACTGCTACGTCTGAGTCTGATCCGACTGTTTCTATTACGCAGGAATGCCAAGTCAAGAAATGAGAGGATAAAGAGTTGTAGAATGGTCATTATAAATAATTCTGGGGTTATATGCCAGGGAATCGAATGTGACTTTGTTTGATCTCAATATCTATTACATATGCATGTCATGTCATCCGTCATGTGCAATAAGCAAGACTCGGATCAACTACACCAACTACACTAAGAGGATACCTTATTAAGTAAATTAATCCTAATCCACCAAATCCTCTTGTAGAGTGAATTATGGTGTACACCAAAAGCTCTTAGTGGACGTTGATTGATTGGTGTACATCAAAGTGAATATGGCCCACTTTTCTGGTTTTTGTTTAATAAAGCCATTCCCAAATACGTCGTTGTCAAAGTCTGGTTACTCACGTGACCTCTCTGAGACAAGAAGAACTTTTCCTAAGAGTTTCTATTTTTAATAAATAGAATTAGAATAAGATATATCTTTTATTAATAATTGAATGGTTTAATCCAATAATACCCCTTATTTTAAACTATTACGCGTATATGCTTTTTAAGTACCTAAATACCTAAAAAGCCACCTATAAGTTACAGGGGCGTTCAGCGCCTTGTAGCGCTATGAACCCCTGTAAGACTCAGAATACAGTGTATAATATCTATCAAACCGTACGTTACTACACTGTATTATACTGCATACATTTCAATACATTAAATCATAAATGAATTCGCGGGTTAGCGGATTTGTTCTTATGGTCCGCCGTCAATAATCCAATATGTCTGATCAATGGGTAGGATTAGGGATCCAAATAAGCGTTAAGGTTATTTCGTCCCCCCCTACTAGTCAACCTTGAGAATAGGGGTCACTAGTACCTATCAATCTGGACTTTTGCTACCAAAGCTACCAATAGCTGGAGAAAATTCTTCATATGAAGTTAGCCATGCCGCTGTAAATCGCTTCAAAACCTTTTCATAATCCTTTTCACTCCTGACACTTTCCATACATGGCTCGCAGAAGTCCACAATCTTACCAGTTGAACAATCTGATGAGACACAACAATCTATAGACGTCAATCAACAGTAAGCCAAACCTGAATATCAATGACAAGAACGAAAGAGGTGGGGGACAATGATAGATAACTCACGATAGAACGTCGTGTTTTCCAATTTCATTCCACACTTATCACAGGACCAGCTTCCGTGATAAGACTTTTTTGCGATGAAAGGGCACCACTCCTCGGGTGCCACGCCTGTAGCTACAGGTGTATCGGGTGCGAGCAATTCGCGCACGTCAAGATTGCTAGCTACGTCAAAAGCTGTTCTACCCCAGGAATCCTGCTCGGTCTTGTCGTAGCCTGCTTTCAGTAGTTGCTGAACCCTCAAGACCTTTCCTTGTGATGCTGCCGCAAATAGGACTGATACCCCTCTGTCTTTCATGATGCCTCGAGGATCCCACAAGATCGAAGCCATGGGACTATTTTCCTTGATGGCATAGTATAAGGGGGAGTAGTCTTCGCCGTCCAATTTATCGATATTGGCGCCAAATCTCACAAGGGATTTCGCTATGTTCTCGTCTTTGCTTTCTTTGATGACAATGTGCAACGGTGTCATATTATTTCCATTCAGCGCATCAACGTCCGCGCCGAACTCAAGAAGTGTATTGACTGTCTGGGCGTATTGGGTGTCGTTCTGTGAATGATATATTGCAAGGTGTAGAGGAGTATCCCACATCGGTTTCTTGAGTCTCGCATTCTCCGAAGAACCCGCTTCCAGCAGAACTCGAACCAGAGGTTCATTGCCCTGTCGGGCAGCGATGTGAAGAGCGCGGTAATTTGCCGAGTCGGTTGCAATATGATCTGGATTGGCTCCCCGATCTAATAAGACCCGGACTGTCCTCATCTGTTCTCCAAGACAGGCCAATAACAGTGGTGTAGCATCCTGGCCATCCTGACATTCAATGTCAGCCCCGCTATCTAACAATTGCTCCACAGCTTCGGCCATATTTTCTGTAAATAACTATCCATTAGTGATATTGCGAAAGTTTAAGGATGGGGTGTCTGAATATGTATACTTACCCATTGTTGCATGGTGTAGGGCTGTCCATCTCCACGCACCTCGCGCGTACTCGAGATCTAAATGAGGTGCTAAAAAGTAGATGCACGCGGCACTGCCAAATTCTGCGGCTTTGAAAAGCGCATTAGTTAGCCAAGTTTCTTTACGAATATGGTCACTGTCCCCTTCTTCATTGCCTTCTTTTGTATCCAGCGTCTCTTGGGCTGTCTTATCAGGTATGTCATTCGTATAACCAGCATCCTTGTGCAATAGGAGCAACTCAGAGACAACACCGTCCCGCCCATTTTCCGCAGCTACTTCAAACAACTTTTTTAATTTATCTCTCTCGATATTTCTCATCAAGTCTGGAAGGAACACTCGCAGTTTTGAGATGATATCCCAATAGCCATATTTTGCGACCAAGTGAAGGCAGTCGTTCAACTTTTTCTTTGACAGCTGCTCAATGCCTTCTGGCCACCATGAGATTATCGATACCACCAACTCTGTATGGCCGCTTTGGCATGCTATCTCGAAAGCAGATAGCCACAAATCATTGTCGCTATTGGCGGCCTGATAGAGAACTTGGGCGGTCCCCACATACCCGCAGCGAAGCGCTGTGAAAAAAGCAGATTGGATACTACTTTTTTCGTGGATTTTTGGCAGTAGGATTCTGATTACCGATTGGCAGCCTAGGGAAACAGAATAATGGAAGATTTCATCGGGAGTTGTTGAGTCGTCTTTAGGAGAAGGCTCAGCTTGAACCCGTATGAATTTCTGAAGCCACCAAGATCTGGCATCAACATTGTCTATGAAGAGAGACAAAGAATTTCGCGCGGCTGGGGTAAACCAATCGTTATTATCGCCGTCTTTAGCATTTTCTGCCAGATGGGTCGCCAAGCAGGAACCTGCATAGAAGGCGAAACTATGGGGGCGTTCACTAATAGGCGGGTCACAGAGAGTATCGAAAGGTCGCCTTTTTGTCGGAAAGCCGCTAATACCCCGAACTTCCGGTATAGAGAGCACGTCGAGGCACTTCTGGAGCATGTATGACCGTCCTTCGGCAGATTTATCTTCGAGGTTATGGTCAAGTACGAGGCCGCTCAGCCAATTCCGAACAAAGTCACGTAGTGTGCCGTGCATGAAACGTACGAAACCATTGTCCACGCGGATCAAAGGGTATAAGGCGAATCTAAGGTCTTCCTCTAAATTCTTGGGCGCTCCAATCCGAATCCTCTGCAGCGTAAGTTGACCATTGCCGAGCATATTATCAGGCTCCATCCATATTGCGCCCGCTAATTCACAGACTGCTAATGGCCGCTTAGCGAAGGCAACGGAAAGTAGCACTTGTCGAAGCCATAGTTCTGGTGCATCGATTTGCGTCATTATCTGTTCATATACTGTGTTGTAGTCCAGATGTTCAGGTATCTTATTCGCCCCTTTTTGCTGATAAAGGACCGAGACTAAGTTGATCAATAGCGGCGTCATGCCCACTCCTGAGAGTCGATGTCGAATATCTGCAAATCTCTCGTTGCATAAAAGGGGTTTCGTTACTTCTTCCAAATGTTCATCCAGATTAATGCTATCAGATTCCTCGAATGGCCCTAGTAGAGCCACTATGCTATCGGTTGGTTGGCAAGTTATGAAGACTTTGTAGCTGGAAGAGATATGGAGCATTAGTCTCCGAAGGTCGCCTATAAGCTGACCACGGGAGCCCTCGTCGCATTCGTCCAGGGCATCAATAACAAAGATAATTTCGAACGAAGATAGCCTTTTGAGCATACCACAGAGTAGTTGATAGAGATCAGGTGACATGGTTGCTGACGCGTTTCCCGAAATCCTCATTCTAGTATATACTCCCTGAACATATTCACTATCAAACGGGGTATCTCCCCAATATAGGAGCTGAAGGTTGAATGAGAGAAGCAAGTTATGGTATGAGCTCCTTCTGTAATCGCCAGCATTGAAGTAGTAGGAAAGCACGATGATATTCTTGTCATCGAAGCAGTTCGCTGTCGATATTTGGCTGGCAAGCACAGATTTCCCAGATCCCGCACTTCCATATATTGTGGTTATCCCTCGTCCTCGCTCATGTAAATCCGAGTAGAATTGATAGGTGATAGGTGACGAGGGTCCCGGAGTCATCTCCCCAGGGTTCCCATCTTGCTCACAGAAGCTCGCAAGGGCTTGACGACAAGCAACCGCGCTATATTGGTAAGCTAGGACATGTTAGTCGTAATCTGCTATGTGGGTTAGATTTTCCCAACCTTTCTTCTCCGTTGCCGTGCTTTGTATGACAGTATTAACAACATCGTCTGGCAATAAATCGATATTACAGAGTTGATTATGAGTTGCCCGTAGAAGGATGTGTGATTCTTTCGCTTGATTGCATGTAACCTTCAGGGGTTTTATATTAGTTCAAACACAAATTTATCCCTATATTTCTCTAGAGAAGTGATGACTTACAACAATTCCAATCCCAACTGTAGGAAGCTCCTCGAAAATTGAAACAATCTCATATTGATTCTTGATCATATCGTATCTAGCGCAAGCCGCACTCAGAGCATTTGCCCCTCTGTCTATGAGCTCTTTCCGTTCTTTTTGGTGAGCTATTGTATCTTTATGGGCGTTGGAGTCGGTAGTCGCTAGGATCAGTCTGAAAAGGACATCATTCCAATCGCAAGAGGAGTCCGGGGTGCCGAAACAAACCTTCTCGGTATCAGACAAAGTGGCTTTAACTGGGTACTTTCTGAAGATCAAACTCACCAGGGCTCTTGTTGCCAGGGCAATATCCATGTAGTTTTCGTCATGATTAGCAATCCAAAGTAACTTGATGATATTTAGTATTGCTACCTAGGTACCTAGGTATATATATTATATCCCCAAGTTGGAACTAGTTCCTTACCTCTTTCACAATTATTCCAGCCACGTTGTGGCAAAGGAAGACCAAAGGTCGCTAATGATAATATTAACAATGAACCTGCCTAGTAAATAGGCACCTAGGTAGGTACTGACCTTCTTATCTTCCCTTGTAGAAATCGATTCTAATAGCGAAGCGGCAGTTTTCTCTAGACCCGATTCACCTAGCACGGTTCCCTCCTGGATGTCACCGTCGAAGGCAAACACTCGAGCCGATGACGAGAATTGGCAAAGCAGTGGACCCAGTCCTTCGATTTCTTCGTCTGGCATGCACCAGGTTTTGGTGTATGTGCTATGAAGTCCGTGTACCGCGACAATGCTTTTGTTTCTTCTTATTAGCCTAGATTTCACTCATTTGTATCTTGTTGTGCTTGACTTACTCTATAATGGGATTGCTATTATCCTTGGGAGGCTCGTAGATAACTCTAAGGCAATCGCCAACACCATTCCGTTCTTCATCCATCTCTGGCTAAAAACCCCAAAGCCTTAGAAATTTTGAAAACATGGGGAGGATTCGGTCGGTTGCCCTGTTAAGAGATAAGCATTAATAGATCACCTAGGTACCTAGTAGTGTTAATGCCAGTTATGCAACTTAGGTGAAAGAAAAACACCCCATGAAGCAGTACCTATCTACCTACGGTAGGTACTTATCCGGCTCACCCCTAGCGATATCTTTACGTGGGATTTTCTTTCTGATGTTACTTTGTCTGCATATATGAGAGCGAAGCACCAAATACAGAATTCCAAAGGCTACGTCGGCAAACTAAAAGAGAAACTAAGCGAACAAATAAAAGGTCTAAAGCTCAGAACGTATCACTTCCTAGACCCCAATATTGGAAAGGTTGTTCAGCTGGACAGGGGTCAAATCACTCAGCAGCAGCAGGCTCCGGTCGTGAAAGTGATTTTTGATATTACCGCTGTTAGATCATACAATGCCTAGTAGGTAGTACACCGTACACATGCCAGAATATAACAGCCAACGAAAAATAGGTGATATGAATATTAAGCCTCAAACTACTACATAATTTAGAACTCATCCAATTATACCCCAATACCTCATGCAGCCCACAAGCTGAGTGGCGTATATGAGACAATTTTCGACCCATTCGGATTTGAATGCAGGTCTCATATGATTGTCTTACTTTGTTAAAGCCGCGTCAGCTAAAGTATCATTGGATTAAGTGTTCTTATCGCTTCGAATTACCTTAGCACTAGGTACTTTGGCAGAACCAAGTTCGTCGAGATTGCAGGCGCTCAAATTACCCTTATCGACATCATGTAGGGTAGGACCTATGTTGAAGCGTTGGTCCTCTGAAGGGTCAAAAATGACAGGATCCAATCCAGTTCGAGCACCAACCTTCCGCTTTACCTTTTGGTGGAAGGTTCCAATATCTGCAGTCACCTGCAACTCGGCTCTAAATCTCGCTTCATCTGGCAATTCTAAAAGAATTGCAGTACGTACGTGTGACGGTACGCCAAACTTCGACTTCCTGTTTTCGGTAATGTCCCAGTGGACTGCGTTCTTAGCCCCTTCGTTCCGTCCTTCAATCCATGACATCCCATTGAGGATGGCATAAGATTTGATGTCAGTGGTCGTTACACGCTGGAAACTGCTGCCGATACCAAGCGTTGCCAAGCTAAACCCACCCTCCAATGTTACGTTAGCCTCCACTGTGTCTACCCTGTTTTGTGTGGTTTCGTCCATGCTGAAGGCACCACAGGGCGCAAACTGCCTCACTGATGGCTCATTTGGTCCGCCAACAGCCTTGTTTTCGCGTCCAAAAGCTATCGAGATTTCCACTCGCTTAAATCGGCGTTTTTGAGGGATCGATGTAAACTTGAAGTCGGTCACAAGAAGTAATCCATGCTGTCCGCCTGGAGTAATAGTACCATGAATTACAGCAAAGATGTCGGCCTGATACTTGACATCTGAGCTCCTGTACTGATCGATATGGGGTCGTTGGAGCTCATTCGCCGTATTCTGCAGTCGAAAGCCTGCTCCTTCAGTTCCAACGTCGAATAATGGAATGTCGTAGTGCGTTCTCCCGGCCATGGTGGTTGCGAGTTCGAAAGTCGTAGGAAATCTATAATATCCTCAAAAATCTAGACGAGGCACTGCCTTCCTTATATCAATACCTACCTAGGTACATGCGCCGGTTTCAACCAGCTCGGCTGGTAAGCATACATGTACCTACCTCCCTACCTACCTAGATAAGCCGATACAACCACACCAGTTAGACGTGCCTAATACTTTATTCATGGAGCCCCCTGCCTTCCATTACCTAGGTACCTACCTATATTATACGCAAGCGTACCCGCTTCGAAGTATGCCGTTTTACTTTGTGTGCTTAGCTGAGATTGCTGTCCCTCCCTCATAGGTTAGGTAGTAGAAATAACCCCTCTAGAATACCTACCTACCTTCAATCGATATTTCTGAACTACTTCGAACGCTACTCCATGGCATCTTGAAGCTATGGCGACCAATAAACCTGGAACAACCAAGTTAATCTTCCAACAGCCCGGTCATAGACCAAATGCACTATCTTCAGTGCAAGAGGAGTCAGCTGATGATGCCACAGCCCTTGAAGATGTTGACTATTCCTGGAATTCAATTGCGAGGGCCTTCAGGGCACTACTGGCGACGAAAAAGTGTACCGTTGAGGATATCGATGAACATTTTCGCAATAAAATACCTGAGCAACATCTGCTGGATGTAGACAAGAGGGGAGGCTGTGCAATATCGTTCTTTCATTTTCTAGCCCAAGTCCCCAAAACTCTCGAGCAGAGATTCCCCCTTTTTATATGGGCAATGGAAAAGCATCCCGAACTATATCTTAGAGGGGTAGATGAAAACGAATCTATCTTAGATAGGCTATCCAGAAAGTGCAAAGCTCACAAAACCGAGGAACCCTTCCGCCTTTTTGTCCGCCACTTTCCCTCACAGGTATCGAATATTCTCAAAAGAACAAGAAATCAAGGAGAACTGCTTAGCGCTACCCTACCTTTCATCCGCAACCTAGACGCCCCTGGGTTTCTCGAGTTTTTCTATGAGACTTCCGAGGCATCAAAGTCAACAGCTGTAAGTATTCCCACCAGTACCTACCCAAGTAGAAGCTCAATACTGAATTCAATAGGATCAGTGTGATTGCCTAGATTCAAGTACAGTCGCCGAGAAGAACATGTTTTCTCAAGCTAGGCTGAATATTTTGCATGAACGGCCCGGAGATATCAATATCTTGAGTTGGTCCAGAGAGGATGCCACGTCAACTGAACAACAAGGCTTAGGCAGCAAGCAGCCGATAGAAGGACCTGGAATGTATAAAGATGGTGATGGTCGGACACCGCTCCATATAGCCTCAACTTATGTCGAGTGTGATGAAGCCGAGGAAACGGCCCAGTTCAATCTCGTGAAGCGGATGATTGCTTGGTGTCCTGCTGCACTGGAATGTACTGATAATTTTGGAAGGTCGCCCTACCTTCATCGTGTCTACGAGTCTGGCAAAGCCAACGATGGGCCGGTCCAAGATAAAATCACATTCTTGCTCAAGGATAACATCATGCATTTAGAAGATCGAGATAATGTTCTAGCCCTTCTATATGGACGAACAGTAACCACTCATCCACATAATGGGTTAACCCATAAGGCATCCGAGCGAGGGATCCATTTCGACCTGCGCGAGCTACAAGACTTGGAACCGGCTTCAGAGCCACAGTTCCTGTCATTTATTGAAACATTGAATTTCGAAGACATACTGCAATATGTTCGAATTCCGCAGCACCCATTTCACATATCCCATTCGCCTGGGGATGACATGAAACTAAAAGGATCCGGGCGGAGGGACTTCGTTCCAATATTTGATACATTGAAAAGAAAAGGGGTCAAAAAGATCCACAAGCTCGTTGTCGACGATGACGATACCTGCCTTCACCAAGACGATGTTATTGAGAGATTAGACGAATTCGAAATTGAGGATTTCGATTGGGTGAAAATTGATTTGTCAAGTACGGTGCTCAAGAAAGCAGTGCCTCATGCACGAACTCTTCGTCTCTCTAGTAGTGGTAATCACTCTGTACTTCGAGACTGGTCAAGCACAGAGGGACTTGCTGAGATGGGCATGGTAAGTTTACTTATCTATCCCTCTATCTTATATGATACCCTATTCGTATACTGACAAAAACCTAGCTGGAGTCTATATTTGTGAAGATTTATCCAAAAACGGAATCTGATGGCAGGATAGAAGGCTATGCAAGAGATTTTATTGCGAGGATGGTCAAGAATTGTCCCCGGATTAAGTCTATTGTCATACGTCTCGAACCACATAAGTTCATGGTTCACGAGGAATGGGTAGACCCCACAGTCCTGGTAACTACGTAAGACTCTAAGATGCGCATTTACCAATCCCGCAAATTCAAGACACACGACAGACAAGAGCTAATGGCAGTTTTTACGGCAGAAATAAATGGATCCATACTATAGAGTCATTTACTGGAATCATGGCGAATTTCATGCCATCAGAACCATCGGCTAGTAACGGAATCCAAGTAGCTGTTCTCGACGACGGAATTGACTGGCATTTTGCCCAAGAAATCGGATGTATTAACGACAGGTGTAGGTCGTTCTACGCTGATAAGAGTTCATCTGACTTCATTGGTCAGAATTCATGGTTTTCGTCTTCTACTGGACATGGGACAATAATGGCAGCACTCATCCGAAAGATCTGTCCCAATGCCACGTTATATATCGCACGCCTAGACCAGACGCAATCAGAGCAAGGCGTGTTCCAGCCCACTCATGATTCAGCTGCAAAGGCAAGATCAGCCCCCTCCCCATTAGGTTTATCCTTGTGACGAAAACCCGTGAACTAGAATTCTCTTGAATAGTAGCTAACAGTTTCAATCACCCATATAGGCGATCAGATGGGCCATTGAAAAGAGGGTCCATATTATTTCGATGAGCTGGACCATCCCAGGAGAGCACCTTGGACTGGAAAATGCAGTCAAAGAAGCTCGGGCGGAAGGTATTCTCCTGTTCGGAGCAGCTAGCGACCAAGGCGCAAATAGTCCTACAAAGCCATATATGGCTAAACTGAGTGACAAAGGAGAGGGAGCGCATGTCATCTGCATCGGTGGTGCTCGTGAGGCTGGATATGGCGATGACAGAGCTAAGTCTGAAGCAGAGTTCTTTTTTCCTGGCCAAGTGAAAGGGCTTGCTGGCTCGTTGCCGTCAACAAGATATGATTTTCGTGCAGCTGCTGGTAGTTCTGTTGCCACCGCCTTGGCAGTCGGGTTTACAGCCCTCATTATGCTCCTTGAAGATACGTGGCCGGTCGAAGGAAACCTTCCCAACGCGAAATCGACGGATTTACGAAAATATCGACAACAGTTACAAAATCCGAGAAATATTCGAAAAATATTCAATAATCTGTTGCTAGACACATCACCGGATATGCCAACTGATCAGCGTAACGCCATCATCCCCGTCGAGAAGTACTTCTGGCTCGACAAATTACGCGACGCGAAGAACGGCGTAATATTACAAGAAAGAAACAAAAACTGCACTCAGATCTTGCAAGACATTGTGAAAAGACTGTTGCGGTAAGTAAATTCCGGATGATCTGTATATGGTTTCACTATTATCTAACAATATTGCTTATATAGGCCTCTTACTGACACTGCCGATGGAAAGCCCGATAGAGCAGCAGACAGTAGTGATGAGGATGAGGGATAGGGGAAATTGGGATTGAGCTACCCAGGGACTGTAGGTAATTAGGTAGCTTATCATCAAAGACTAGGGGTACCTATCACCATATTGTACCTCAATCCTATCAATAAATTTATCAAATGGATAGAAGATTTCACGCATCACCTACGCTCCTTTGAGTTAGACCTAATAGTTATCGGTTCACCTATAACTCTACTGAAATACAGCGGACACCTACTAAATTCTAGGGGACGAGCCACTAAAAAAAGAGCACCATGCAAAACTTTCAACCCAAACCTTGGTACTTCAAACAAGACTTAGAATACCTAAACACGCGTAAAACACATTAAATCACAATCACCAAATACCAAGCAAAACCAGTAAAACTGGCGGGTCGTGAAAAGTCGAATTTATATTCTTCGAAGTGAGAAAGCTAAAATACTCTACGTCATAAACAATTAATTAAAAGATCGCTACTAAAGAAAATTCGTAACCCTTTTTTATATAAACCAGTCTAACCAGACCTGATATCCTCAAGCCGCCCCCTCCGTATGTATGCAATAAACCCCAAGCTTTCCTATCCTCCGAATCGAACACCGTTAATTTCTCTCCTTCCCTTCCTTTCATTCACCATGTTACATGAAGAACAAGAAGGGATTCGTCAACACCAACGCCTATTCGTCATGTCCCTTATAGGAGGGCAGCGACGACAACGGCGGCAGCCACACCGGCGAAACCGCGCTCAAGACGGCCAGCAGCGGCGGTGGGGATGGTAGGGTAGCCGGAAGGCGTGGTGGGGGTCGTCACAGCCGGGGGAACGGGGCTGCCAGTGCCAGCGGGAGTGCTAGGGCTGGAAGCGGGGCCGCTGGGGACGACGGTGGGGTAAGGAGGAACGACGGAGGTCGAGAGAGTGCTGGAACCACCGGTAGGGTAGCCAGTGGGGTACACTGGGTACGAAGCCGGGGGAGCGACGGGAGACGACGGAGGGTGCGAGGCAACCGGGGAGGAACCGGGGTGCGAGGCCGGGGGAGGGACCACTACGGAGGTAGGATAAGAGGGAGGAGCAGCAGGAGAGCTGGGCTTGCCGACAGGCGTGGTGGCGCTTCCGACGGGAACCGAGGTAGAAGTGACCGGGCAGACGGTGGTACCGACAGAGATAGTCTCAGTGGTAACGTGGGGGTAGCCGGGGGTACCAGGGCAGTTAGTGACTGAAGGAGCGCAAGAGGTAATAGTGCGCACGGTGGTCGAGTAGAGAGTCGACGTGGTGTACTTGCCAACAGGGACAGACGTAGTTGCGGCCGGGGTAGTCGCGGGGACGATAGGGGAGGACGCAGGGTAGGTCGGGACGGTGGTAGCAGAGGAAACACCAGTCGAAACGACGGGGGTGGTCTCAGTCACGGGGCAGATAGTGGTGCCAACGGTGACAACATCGGTGGTCACATGGGGCTTGCCAGGAGTGCCGGGGCAGTTAGTAACCTCAGGGCCGCAAGAGGTAATAGTGCGGACAGTGGTAGAGTACAGAGTGGAGGTCGTGTACTGGGGCTTGGTAGCAGTGGAGGTTAGGTACTTGGTGATGGTAGTGGAGCTAGAGACCGGGTATCCAGTAGGGCCAGTGGGAACACCAGGGACACTGGTGGTGGGCTTCTGCTGGCTGGTAGTAGAGATGACAACGCTGGAGCTGGGCACGGGGTATCCAGTAGGGACAACGGGGATGGTCTTAGTCTCAGTCACAGGGCAGACAGTGGTGGTAAGGGGAATAGTCTCAGTGGTGACATGGGGCTTGCCAGGGGTGCCGGGGCAGTTGGTGACCTCAGGAGCGCACGAGGTAACAGTGCGGACAGTCGTTGTGTAGATGGTAGAGGTGGTGAGCTTAGCAGTAGTGGAGCTGGAAACCTGAGGAGCGGGTCCGGTAGGGTATCCAGGAACACTGACGGTGCTGGAGCTCACGGGGAGAGTACCAGAGCTAGAGACGACAGTGCTGGAGCTAACACCCGGGATAGGAACGGTGGGGTATCCGGGCACGCTGGCAGTGCTGGAGCTGACGGGGACGGTGACAGAAGTCGAGCTCGAGGCCTGAGGAACGGGGCCAGTGGGGTAGCCAGGGACGCTGGTAGAGCCGGTAGCGATGGTAGAGCTAGATCCAATAGGTAGAGAGGTGGTGCCAGTGGCAAAAGTGGAGCTAGAGCCAATGGGCACAGACGTAGAGGCAGTAGGAACAGACACAGAACTAGGACCAGAAGGGATCGAAGCTGAGTAGCTGGGCACACCAGGGATAGACTTGGTGTGAGAGGGCTTGGTAGGAACGGGCGTCGTCTTGGTCTCGGTCACAGGGCAAACAGTCGTAGTAAGAGGAACCGTCACAGTGGTAACGTGAGGGGTACCAGGGCAGTTGGTCACCGTGGGGTGGCAAGAGGTGACGGTAATCTCGGAGGTCGTGTAGATCGTCGAGGTCGTGTACGCCGTGGTGGAGGCGGACGAGAAAGAGCCGACCGGTCCGGTAGGGTATCCTACAACGGGGACGGAGCTGCTCTTGGTGGCGGACGAGACAGAAGTAGCAGAAGAAACCGAAGGGGTTCCAACTGGGTAGCCCGGTACGGAGCTGCTAGGGACAACCGGCTTGGAAGAAGACGGAGTAGCAAGAGTGCTGCTGGATCCGAAGCTGGAAGATCCGGCCGGGTAGGTGGGGTACGACGGAATGGAGAATGTGGCCGAGCTGGAGCTGGGAACCGGCTTAGACTGAGAGCTAGAGCTCTGAGGGAAAGACGGGTAACCAGGAACGGTTGAGCTAGAGCTGAAGGCAGCAGTGGAAGAGGTTGAGAAGATGCTGCTAGACTTAGAGCTCGCCGGGTACGACGGCTGGGGGTGGGGGTGGGTTGCGCTGGAAGTAGCAACAGTGGTTGAAGCTGAGCTGAAGCCACCGGCAGGGTAGGTCGGGTAACCAGGTACGCTGGCGGTGCTGGAGCTGACAGCAGCACTGGTGGAAGTGCTGATGATGATGGTGCTGCTAGATTCGCCGCCCGCAGGATACGTCGGGTACGATGGGATGGAGACTGTGCTAGAGCTTACCGCCAAAGTAGAGCTGGTAGACTCGGAGCTATGGCCGCCAACCGGGTACGTAGGGTAAGACGGAACACTCTGAGTCTTGGAAGAGACGGGGAGAGTGCTGGAGCTGTGGACGAGCGTAGACGAGCTCTGAGCCTGCGTGGGGTACGCCGGAGGAGGGCTCGGCGGAGCGCTTGAGGTTGATTGCTCCGGCTGAGAAGGATACGATGGGTATTCGGGGTAGGTCGGGTAAGACCCTTCGGATACGGGGTAGTTACGCTTCTCCTCTGCACTGGCAGCGCCAGCCAGAGTGAGAGCCCCCAGGCTTAAGAATATTCCACGCATTTTCGACGACCGGTACGATCCAAGGAAATAATTATTAAATTAGAAATATGTTAGCGAACGACGAGAAGCGACCGAGAATCAGGGCGAGCCGATGCTGCACAAGCGAAACGAGTGACTTGAGCAACTGTTTATACGGTTGAGCTGCCTAGAAGCTGATGAGGGTGGAAAAAAACATTTCGGCTGGGTGCGTCTCTTTATGTACGAAGTTAGAGTACAGTAACATCGCGCTGCGGTGGACCGTAAGGGGTACATCTCAGCTGGGGCGTCGATACCAGTCAATCTCAACGTTCCATGGGCATAACCAGCCCCGTAAATTCAGTTAAGCTCAATCCATCACCTATCGACTCCACACGGACAGTGAAGTTGGCTGACGTTGAGGCTGGCGCAAGGTTCTTAGAACTTCGGTCTTCGGTACCTCGTGTCCCTGTCGTATTGGATTCATGAAAGCCAATGCCTGTCGAGCATTGGTGCAGATCATGCGAGGGGTTGCATGCCAACTTGCAGACTTTGCCGACTACCAATTGTCCCAACCGCTGGTAAGTTGGTCGTAACGCCGAATGTACTGTTACCCAACTGCCCAAGTCGGAATGGTGTCGAGAATGATTGGCTATTAGAGAAGCCCATGCAGATTTCCCAGAACGGCGTTAGCGCAAAGAAAGAGACCAAAATTAGAACCCCCTAATTTCCCTACGAATACGATATTGGGAATCGGATATATGTACATATTAGTACACATAATACGGGGTTCATTGGAAATTCTATGTCCAAACAGCGGTGATATTCTTTCATAACTGTGGAACTCACAGGATAGCCCATCCGATAGCGTTCACGGTCTTCCATGCGACCCGTACAGTAGTTCCCGTGTGACAGTCCCGAGAATCTTGTTCTCTTGACAACCTAACAACCTTCTTGCAGCGCTCGAGATACTACGTAGTAGATGAAGCAAGATCTCGGTTGGCCAGCCGATCCCGGATAGATGTTCGTCCCATCTTGGAACAAAGATAAAAAGACACCAGAATCCTCTAGAACGAGTGGTGATGTGTCTCTTTTCTCGTAAAGAGAAGAGACTAGTAGTTAGTTTTCTCCTGCCATCATATGTATGTACCTACATACATATGCCATAGGTATCTTGTCGGTCCGTATCCCACCGGCAGAAGTTTTTTGAAAAACTTGTTCTTTTACAGTTGCAATACTGTGACTTGGCTGGCTGGCTGGTCAAGATCGCGGTGGCTGTACACGCCATGTTTGCTTACTTGCATCATACGTACATAAAATTGACGCAGGTCGAATTACTGGCTGCTTCAGGGGCACCTCGAATCCTTAAGTCTCATTTGTATTTTAGAAGCCGACTCCTCGAACAGTTCTAAACCTTCTCTTTTTGTTTATTCTGTTTGATTGATGGATCATCATGGCTTCCTTCCAAGTAGTTAGTGGAAGGTCTTTGGCCTTTGAAACATATTTCAAAAGAAAGGTTGGGAAAAGACGGGAAGTTAGCTGCAGCCAATATTAAGCCACCAGATGCAACCAGTATAACGACGCGTGTAAATACCTCGCCGCTTTTCCCCTGCTTTGTTTTTTCTTCTTTCCTTTTCTGTGCTACATCGTATCGTAGTATAATAACTACTGTAGCTAATGAAGTAGGCAGCAGGTATACGCTGTAGTAAGTAGTGCTGGCAGTGGTGAATAGGCTATTACAGAATGCTTGTTTACGATCGAAAGGAAAAAAGGACGTGGAATTGTGGCTCAGTAAGAATATGCATAAGTGATATTGGATCGATTATCCGCCATTCGGCCATCGGCTCCGCTAAACATCGGAAATTATAGCTTTCTATGGTAAGCAATAATGGACGAATAATCGATGGGTATTTGTGTATGTATTTGTGCCTTCGTGTCTTTGTCATCCGTATATGTATCTATACATGAGGCAGTAGAAATAGGGAAATGCGAAAGGGTGAAGCTTGAAAGAAAAATGAAGATCGAATGACGATTATGTCGGACTAAGAGCTCCCTAACACTGCTTTAGCAATTACTCCCGCGTTCTTTCCTGTAATATTTACTTTTGTGACGTCACATTTTTGGGTATCGTGTTTCGCCTTTTAGTTTGCATTAGCTGTAGTTATGCAGTATTAGTGGCTCTTTATTCCAATTTTTTAATGATTAAGCCACCAATTATCAAAAATCTTTTCCAATTGAATTCGGTCCATCTCAAAAAATCTTCTCGTGAAAAAAACAAAGCAAAGAACACTAACAAAACAAAAAACACATCAAATCGGAATCTCCCACAGCCCGATCGTATATAATTAGTTGCACAATCCGGGCATAGCGCAAGTGTCATACGAGCCGCACGTCCCTCCCGTAGAAGAACGATGGCTTCTGGACCTCTGAATGGTACGGAAAGCCAGAAAACCCGCATATCACAAAGTACAACTCATCTAGTCTCCCCACAATTACGAGGCTAGGTAATTACAGTAGTGCTTATTACACAGTCGCACCGAATGAACGATACTAACTTGCATAATATGGCGTAATATAGTCTTTAAGCAACCCCTTAGGCTATTCTCTCGCCAGCCCGTGACCGGCTTCTTCCGCGACGGCTACTGTCGCACCGGAGGCGGCATCGACCCGGGGAACCACGCCGTGGCCGGGATTGTCACGGACGAGTTCCTCGACTATTCGGCCTCCCGGGGCAACGACCTGAGGTCTATCGGGCTCAAGGGCGGCTGCAAGTGGTGTCTGTGCACGGCCCGGTGGCTCGAGGCCTACCAGGCGTACCGCACCGGCAAGGTCACCATGTTGGGCGTCCCACGGGTAGATATGGATGCCACCGAAGACAGTGCGTTAAGTACGGTTGACTTGGACACCTTCAGGCAGTTTGCTGTCAGGCATGATCAGTCGAACGTAATTGGAGGTGGCAATGGTAGTGGAAATGGTAATTGATTCCACTTCTTCAATGTTGGGTTTCGATTCAAGGGATATATGTAAGTCATTAGGTAGAATGCTGGAATATCAACGTATCACAAACAGCTCTGGTCTATCGTTCATATTACCTTAGCTGCTTTGGCGCGTCAGAAGCAAACAGCATTATCTCGAATCTCATTCTAAACTACTACTTGATCATGATCGTGGGTTATGGCTCCAGACTAGATATGGCTACATCAATCGAACATCTCAGCTATATTTTATATACAAGATTTTCTAAGACATGATACGATAGATGTGTAAGCATGCATTTGAATTTTCTTTTTGTGGTACACTCCTACACGAATACCTACATTAGTACCCAGTACTTGATGAATCTGCGTAAGCATGTCGTCTCCGTGAAAAAAACATAAGCACGGCAATTGGCGTCATTTCCACTTCGATCCTCCTGGATGTCAGATCAGCAATGAAGGAAGAGCTTATGTCTCGGCTGATCCCGTTAATTTCCCATCCGCCCTCACGCATCCATCTCACCGTAGCATCATCGGAACGCTTACCGAGACATCGTCACGCAAGATTACGGGTTGCCGTCCTGGTTGCTTACGCTGGCTGGTTGGCTTTAAGGTCTCGATAGGCCAGTCGGGTCACAGCCCGATTGATAAATCAGATGAGATGAGAAAAGATGGCCTCAATCTGCCGCCTACAAATATCTACTTCAAGTGCCATGTGCGGTTGATTTTACGTCACATGCAAACAACTCATTCAAGAACAGATCTACACCAATACGCGATACGCTCAGATTTCACGTGGTGACGTTTTGAGCGGCTAGCTTGCCGTTGGAACGTCAATTTAGCTTAGCCGCCGACATCAGTCACTCCCTTAACCTAAAAGCGCGGAGGTTACCTCGAGCGCAAATACTAAAATATTAGCACCGAGCGCGCGCCTGGAAGTGGTAGTAACATGCGCGGCAAAAGCATACTGCCTAATTCCCAACTACGATCTAGAGCGAAACTGGAAAAATGAAGAAATAGGGGGTAGCTGTTCTGCAAAAAGTGTAGATCGGAATAAGAACCTCTAACTCGGTTGCGTTTTTGCCGGGACGATTAATAGTCTATCTAACTGGATTTTTGTCTTGATCAGAGTTGGAGAAGCTTCATGGCGCCCGCAGTTAGCTTTTGCGCCCGGTGGCCTATCCGACTCTACGAGTTGAGTTGACTTGGCGGATTTGGCGTATTCGGCATTCGCTACTTCTGCAGATAACGGCCACGCATGGGAGGCACCTTAGGTTGTGCGACACATACCCGAAGTATCCGACGGTCGATTGGGCGCGATTCTCTTATTGCCACAGCAATTGTTGACTATTAGGTGACAGCATTAATGATTGATGGGAATCTACCGGTTCCCGTCATTGATGTTCCTCCCTTGACACTGAATTGTTATCGTTTCTGGGTGCTGATCAAGAAGAAGCGGATTGATAGGTGACGATGATGCGTTTTGCATGTTTTTTGCATGTTTTCTTGTCATGATATTGGTGCCCCTGAATTTTTTTTTGGTAATGGTGCAAAGGTATCTAGGAAGCCTTCCAAGTTTATTTCACCCTTTTAAGTGCATGATGCGGATGGAAGCACTCAACTTGGCAGGTGAAACGATACGATTACCCGGGATTGGCTAAAAACTTCCAAGTTCTCCTTTCACGGACATTTGTTAGTAAATGGCAAGTAACAGATTATCATCGTCGACAAGAAAACGGCGGTTCTTGGCCAGTTCTGTGGTATAATCATGGTATAATCGGTGCGGAAGTGAAGTGATCAAGTATTTAATAGGAAAATAAAAGAGTTAAAATGTGCCGACATCGAGAACATGCAGATTAGAAGTTTCACATCGAAGGACAAGACAAGATTTGAGTGACGAACTGGCAATTGGGTCCTGTCCACGCGGCTGCAGGGATTCAGGGGGGTAGCATCGTTGATTCGTGGCGCATCTACAGATTAGGCTTGAATTAAACACATTCCAACGCCTGAGGAAGTTTGATGACTGTTAAATCTTCTCGGTATGAAACATTTTATTACTTGTAGACGTACTTGGCTGTATGTGTTTGTCTTGCTATGACGCCTAATACCCTCATAGGATGCTCGTAGGTTTCTCGGAATCCCTTAAAGCCAATGCTTGATGGCCTTGGCATAGGGGTCAACGTCAATGTAGCCCTGAGGTAAGTTATGGATCAGACGTGTCCGGCTACATGAGTGTATCATAAGTATCGTAGCCTTACTTCAACCACTGAAGCCAATACCTACCGATTACGAATATTTCAGAAACATCCCTCGACCTGAATTGAATCTTCATATCAACAGCACTGCCAAATTATCAATCTTATATATGATTAGGGATTGCTCTTAGGCGTCGAATATATGATCTAAAGATGCGCTATCTGTCTTAGCTGCAGTTTTCAGAAAAGGGAGATCGTCAAGTGTGGATGCGGTTCTGGACCTAACCTAAGACAATCCATCTGTCAATGTCAATAATAGCTGTTTGGTTAATAGTCGGGGGAACAAACAGAATAAAGGATATAATAATATACCTATGTAATAGGCACATTAACAACATTTGAATGATGGCATTGAAATCATCCAAACTACATGATATTAGGTAGATATAATATATGAGGGTTATGATGTCGAATGAGATCGAATAACATGAACTGATCTAAATTTATTAGAAAATGCCGAGCTTCCAAGGTTCCGTATGGCAGTTGAGATCTGTGCTGCACTGTACTTAGATATTTGAGTTCTTAGTCGATAAGTACAACAGATTATTCTGTATTCCGTACAGAAAATGCGTGTATATTTTGTGGGGTTGACGTGTTCCTGCTGGTTCCTGCGCCGAACTCCTAAAAATGGTCCAATTAGATGAGATCGTTTGATCATTGCTGGTACCTGAAGACCCCACATTTAAGTAGCTACTAGCACACTTCGGGCGTTAGTGAACCCAATAGCGTGCCTGAGTCTGGGTACGGAGATACCTAACCTGGGTAGCTAGCCTAACCAGATTAGACCAAACCTAAAATTCCCTAAAACATCCAACACTGGGCAAGATCATGTGGAAGCGTGTTATCGGGTTCTCATTTTTAGGGGATCGCTGAAGGCAGTGACGAGTCTAGTCCCCTATTTCCTATCTCTAGAAGGTCTCACTTTTGACTTTTGAGTTCGCGTACATACGATTCGGACAAATTGGGGTTTGATTGACTTTTCCCCAAGTTTCGTCCATGAATTCCAATACATTGGACCCTTGAAGTCTTGATCAGGCCAATCCTTCTTTTAGTCCCTTTTTCTGTCACTTTTTTTTCCCTCCCCTTGTTCCAACGGTCGTTTCTATCCTCAAATCTTTCCGGGAGCGGTGCTCCAAACACATTCTCACGTTTTTACCGACTCTTTTAATACGTTAATACATTGCAATTTCTAATTACAGATGCATTTCTCCGATTCGTTGTAATTCATAGTCGCGGATTTTGGTTCGCTGACACAAATCGACCTCTTTTTCTTATCGAGATTCTCACGAGGATCGTCAATTTATATTCAAACAAGAACCAACAATCAAGAATCCACGATAGCGGACGAATCAGGCGTTGGTCCTTTCGGGACCTTGCGCAATTCTCGAAAGGATTGAGGGGAACCAATTATATCGCGATATCGATTGTCGAATAAGAGCTGAAGGAGGAGGAGTGAAGATAGACTCAGGACAAATACTTATGATTAATTTGTGCTGCGTATGGCAGCCCCATTTCTGCTGTCGTCCGACCTTACCCTGCCAGCCTGTCCAACTCGTCTAACCTGTCCGACCTGTTCGACCTGTTCAACGTCACTCGAATCTGACCGACTTGACCAACCCGACCAAATTTAGATCGAGTGATGCATTCCTCCGAGAATAGTCGACGGTCACAAGCCCAACGTTGGCGACCAGACTTAAATATCAATACTTCCAGTCCTGCAAACAGAGGTCGCGATTCTGTGGCTGCAATGCCCTCCACGCCCCCAACGAGGTCGAAAACGAAACCACCCGTATCAGGTCGAGCATCATATCGAGTACCTACCTCAGCATCAACACCAGCCTCGCGCGATTCCGAAGAGTCCTTCCTAGATAACGGTTCTGATGAAAATAGAGGAAACGAGCCTGATCTACCCAATCTGCCTAGAGGAAGAAATGCGAGAGACTCCCACGATCTATCGTTTCCCTCCCGTCAATTCACCCGAGACTCCTTAGTTACCAATATGTTGTCCTCTCTCGACCAATTCTCTTTGGGTCAAATTCATACTCCAAGCACCAATATGTTCGAAGATGATCCTCTCAGCCCACCAAGACAAAACGACTATTCGAAGTCTATGACGAGTAATAACCCTCGACCGGGGCGTATGTGGAGTAATAGTATGAGCCATGGCCATGGATATTCGTACAGTTCTGATTTCGATGGTACGGATGACGGAGCGAGTAGGGCATCAGATCAATATTCCAGGGGACGACGCAGTAATAGCAGTTCTGGGTTCCAATCGAGCTTAGGCCGGATCAATAGCTTACGGGAGCGAAGCCACCCTGGTACATCTGGAGGAAGAGTGTTACATTCGAGAGGAGGCAAGACTAGCAAGAGCAGCAGTACTAATAGTATCGATGCTGGCTACGCGCAGGTTCTTACCACACAACGATGGGCCCATGGCATTGGTGGTAGGTCGTCAAGTTTTGACTATGGACAAAGGCCCTCTCTCAGTTCTCCTCATGCTTGGAAGACTGAATTTTCTAACACGTTTCTCGTTGATGATTACGAAGCAGCTCCGACACCAACTGTTCCCGTTGGACCTCGTCGTCCAAACGTGCCTTCTACTGCCGCCGCACCGCCGCCGATTCCTCCCGCGGAACCCGAATCGAAGATTCCTGACCGCAAAAATTCAGCCAGGTCGAGAACTGGTACTATGCGAACGACTCAGTCTAAGTACGCTCCGTCGACGCGTGAGCCACCTCCTCCGATGCCTCCAACTGAAATGGATTCTGCTCCCGCGCCGCATATCGGGTACGAGAAATCGAAAGAGGTTGCACATGGAACCCAGGCACCGCCACCCCCGACGAAGCAAGGATTCTTCAGTAGAATATTCGGCTATAGAAACACTACACCAACATCGGATCCTAGACCGTCGCAACTTGCGTCCACGTCGGCAGATACCGCTGATCAAAGTGGAAACAAGTTACAGAATGTCTCATCGCAGACCAAGGCCCAGTCTACTCCCCCGTCTAGGGATTCTCAATTTAGGGAATCTCAACGGTCAGCATCTCAACCTCATGTGATCCAGAAGAAGTCTTCATTCTTCAGAAGAAGAAAGAAGTCTGTAAATGAACCACCAATGCCGCCTCCTCCGATACCTCTTCCAAAGGAAGTGGCCCAACTCAAAGAGAATTCAGCTCCCCATCGAGAGTCTAGTCCTGTCAGCAGCCTACGTGAGATCATGAGTCCATACCTGCAAGGCGTTACTACAAATATCCCTGGTGGACTCTTGTCGCCGTCGCAGGAGAATGCACGTGCACGTGGCTATGAGTCCCAGGACGAGGATAATTCTCGCAATTCTCGTAGATCTCGAGGCTTTTCCCCAGATTATGAGCCGAGCCCGAATGCTACGATACGCACCGTAAAATCCACTTCTGCCTTAAGGAACCAGGAATCAGCTCGAAGACGGTCGCAGATGGAAAGTTCGATGAGGGATCTACCTGAGTTGCCTACCAAGAAATTTGTTGAGAGTCGTGACACAACATTCTTCCATGATAGTAGCGACGAAGGGGAAAACCCACGGGTGGCTGGGAAGCAAAAGCAAAAGCAACCTCAAAGTAACAAATCTTCCCCGATGATCAATGAACCGAGAGACAGATTTGAGAGTATTCAGGAGCGCCCAACCACTGGAATTGAAAACGAGGACAGGCTGTCTAAGCATCAACCATCACCGAAATTGGTACTCCAACATCACTCCACATTTGAAGAGGCTCGTCCTAGACCTGTCGAAGGTCGTGACGGACCTAGGAGAATGTCGACTTTTCCCAGTTCTCTCAATAAACCCGATAATGGCTTGCCTAGTGTGAAGGTGGATAGCGCAGAAGGTAGCCCCAAGATCGTAGGATCGCCTCTAGACGAACCTGAAGTATCCGTGGGCGAGCCAACAGAAGATGATCGGCAAAAGGCTCAAAAGATTTTTGACGGAAATGAAGATTTCATTCAGAAAGAAAAGGCAGCATCTTGGATGGGAGAGGAAGGGCTTGTGAGACAACGAACATTAACGGCATATATGGAGCTCTACGATTTCACAGACCAGAGCGTTCTCACTGCTTTGCGACAAATATGTAGTCGTCTCATTTTGCGTGCGGAGACACAGCAGGTTGACCGGATCTTAGTTGCGTTCTCCACGCGGTGGTGTGACTGCAACCCCAACCACGGTTTTAAGACTATGGGTAAGAGACTAAAATTCTAGGAGATGAAGCCATTGCTAACACGCCATAGATGTTATTCATACAATGTGTTACTCGATCATGCTCCTAAATACAGATCTTCATCTTGCAGACATCGACCAGAAGATGACAAAGAGCCAATTCGTCAAGAACACCATGACAACTATCAAGCATGCACTAGTTGATTCTGCCCCCGAAGCTTTCGATCGCTCTAGTGTTCTGCCTGGAAAAAATAGCCTACTTAGTCCTTCTGAATCAGAAACGATTATGTCCTATGAGCCAGAACCGGAGATAAAACTCAGTTGGAGAGCATCCTTTAAACCTTTACCGCTACCAATACCACGATCAGAGTCGTCGATGGGCAATTACTCGGATGGGCCAGTAGATACCTGCGGTCCACTTGTGAAGACACCCTTTGAAGGCACTGTGAGGGCCTGGATGCAACAGATGGAACTCGTATTGAAAGATATTTATTCATCAATTCGTGATGAAAGGCTCCCTCTTTTCGGAGCCGAACCAAGTCAGCCGCCGAGTCAAACACAGAGTACTCTCTCAGTTATGGGTGTGCTCAAACGTAGCCCCAGTGTCTTGTCAAAAGCACCTTCTGAGGGCCAAATTCCCATCCGCGGGAGAATCAACGACCCAGTCCGTCCCCCTGGGAGTAGATGGAACTCGAAGAGTCGATCAAGACCGAGATTTCCAGGCAACGGGATGTCTTCAAGTCGTACTAGCTTTGATGATGGCAATTCGGTCTGGAGTCCTACCACCTCGTCCGCCACTTGGAGCCGTTACTCGTTGGGTAGGACCCAAACTTCGATGTCCGTGGACTCCTTTAGCTCATACCCTCACGGCGACTATCAGCAATCTATTGGCTTTGCTAATGCGTTGAGCCAAGCAATAATCCGCGAAGATATCCCTCCTGGCACTAGTGGACAGTCTATTATGAGTGACGACTTCCAAGCCAATCAATTACTCGAAGATGAAACCTTGGAGCTTGCAGGTCCTCCTTGGGTCAAGGAAGGCATTGTCATCCATAAGCATCATCTTGATGGCATAGATAAGAAGGCCAAAGATCGGAATTGGACCGAAGTCTTCGCTGTTGTTCAGAAGGGGAGCATGAGCCTCTTCTCATTCTCGAGTAAATCAATGCGTCAGAAGTCTCGTGGTGGACGTAAACCTCCTCCAGGTGCCGTCGTTGGGGGCGGAAATTGGCAGGAAAATGCTACCAGCGTTGGGACTTTCTCGCTACGGCAGACACTCGCTTCCGTCCTCCCCGCGCCTGGGTATTCTCGAAGTCGTCCGCATGTTTGGGCTCTGAGTCTGCCCACCGGCGCCGTGCACCTCTTCCAAGTGGGAACTCCTGATATTAGTAATGAGTTCACGCTTGCTGTTAATTACTGGAGTGCTCGATTGAGCACACACCCGCTTGTTGGTGGTGTTAGCAATATTGAATATGGTTGGAGCGATGCCATCATCAACAATGCTCTAGTCACAGCTATTAATGACCCACCTCCACCCCCACGCCCAGGCAGCGCTGCAGCAGGGCGTTCAAGCATGCACAGCCGCCAGGGCAGTCTGCAAAGTAGCATCCGATCATCATTCGAAGTTGGTGGCAGCTCACGAATCAAATTACCTGGCGATCGGATTCACATTGCCGAATGGACGCCACCAGCACAATCGTTGCGACCCAGCAACGCATCCGAGGCTGAACAGCTGGAGACGCTTGATGGTTACGTCAAGTCTATAGAAGAAGACTTGAAAAAGCACAACCAACTCCGGTCACCTATGCTCCTAGCATTCACCCCTCGTGGTCATAACTCGACAAAGGCTATGGCGAACTGGGAGCGGAAGTCTAGTTACCTGCTGCGCGAGAACGTCAAATTTAGTACATATGTCGACTGCCTGCGGATCGCTAAGACCAAGAGGGCCGAAATCTACACCGAACGCGATAACGCTAGGCGTGCGGCGCGTGGTGAAGACCTAGATGACGACGAGAGCGTGCATGGTGTGGATGCGGATGTGACGATCCACGTCGACGACGAGGAATGAAAACTTGATTACTAACAGAACATGAGGGGCAGGTCACAGCCCCATCTCCTTTTCCACATTATTAATTCCTATTTAGAAGGACTTTGACGTCAACGGGTCGAGGTTGCAAAACACAGTGTCACGGAACGGATGGGTTTACTTTGTATATTATCATTTTTTTTTACCACATGTCTGCAGAAGACCCGGGGGGTAAGCTCAATACCCACAGCCTGGCGTACCCTCGGCTCTGTCTATTCGTACCGGTGTAGATATCGCGCTTATGAGTTCCGTAAATAGGTAGCTAGTCGGCAGCTATTCTCGGGACGCTTGTTCCCTGTGGATATTTATTGATTGAACGATTAAATAAATCAGTGTGCTACCTTGAAAGTGATGGGTTAGTGATTACAGGGGCACGAAATGCCTGAAACCGCCAAATCAATCAATCTCCAGGGCTTAGAAAATAGTGTGCAGTTAGTGGCGTTTATGATTGCATACACGCTGTATTTTCTGCCAAAGCCCCTGTTACTGATACAATGACAGGGGACTAAGCGCTATTTAGCCTTGTAAATATAGGGCATTCTACTGGGTGGTTATAAGGGGTGATTTTATCCCCACTTCTTTCAACAACAGTTCAACAGCTTAAAACGACATCTCATAATTCCACTTACTGATACTTAGGTTTAATGCAGTTAATATGATTTAGCCTAACTTAAATTAAAACGGTTTGAATGGAGAATTGAATTATATAATTTTTACTTCTGTAAAATCAAGATTTATGCACATTATTAAGTTGTTGAGCCATTGTTAAAGGAAGGTGCGCTGAATAGCGCTAAGTCGCTTATTCTTACAGGGGATTTAGCGGTAAAATATAGTGTGTACAGAGTAAATGCCGCTAATAACATCCTAATGAATCTTCTAAGATTGGATTGATTTAAATCACCTGCCGTCCACTAGTTCGCCCCTATATTCTACGGCCACGCCGATAGGTATTTGCCATACCTTAATACTTGCACCTCGAAATTAATTTTTGATTTTTTTTAGACAATAGAGGACCTCTATAATCTGTCAAGAGTGAAGTTAGAAACTTTCTAGGAAGATTTCGAAAATTAAACAAATTAAAACAATAATAATGCTGCTTACCTGAAACTATCCAAACAACGGCCCACTACTGAGAACATCAAAACGTTTGAAGCCGTTTATACCCAGAAGGAGAGTAGGTAGGTAGGTAAGGAAAATACAAAGTCAGTGTACCTACCTACATGTGTATATGTCACCTAGCCAGGTAGCCCCCACAACATCTACGACCTCCCTTATATATCCACGCCATCTAACAGGTAGGTACCGCCCGAACGTAGAAGATGCTTAGGTATCAATTCGATACCTACCTAGACAGGTGCGTATCTCACAACTCCTCCTCGGGTGCGATGTTACTTAAGAGGTACCCGATAAACTACCATAGATACTCCCTCAAACGATACAACGCGCCGTCGGCAAGAATATATATCCCAAAACGACAAGAACGGTCCACATAGTCCAGCTTTGTACGTTTTTCTCGTTCGCCATGCGGCCGTTGGGTTGCGTGTATGGCACATACCGCCGCTCGTAGGGGTTGGACTGCTTGCGGAAAAGGTTGCTGGCGAAATTGTAGATGGCGTTGAGGACTTCGTTTATGAGCTGTGCGATCGCGAATATGGTTAGGATGCTGCTGATGAGGATGAGGATCGCGGGGAGCGGGTACTTCATGCTCAGGTTGTAGGAGGCTTTGTAGACGGGCTCTAGGATGTCTACGAGGTCTAATATTTCTGCGAAATTCATGGTTGCGGTTGGTTAAATTTTTTGGGTGGGGGTTTGGGAGGGGTTTGGGGTTTTCGGGGTTGGTCTTGGGGATTGTCAGATAGGGCTCACGGTTGATGGGAGCTGTGGGTGAGGAATTCAAAGAGAGGATATAGATTTATATATCACTTGTTGTTGGACGATAGGGGGTTAGTTAGGTAGGGTACAATCGTATTGTGAAGAAACACAGTCTTTGTTAGTCATTTCTATCTTCCATGATGCTTAATCTTGGAAGGAAACAAAGGGCACCGAGAATCTAGTCGTAGGTACCTAGTCCGACGAACATTAGGCATTCACGTAGTCATGTTAAAAGATAGAGGTAATATCATCGCATTCATCATTTAGCAAATATCATGTACTCCGCTCACTATGTTCCCATTCCATAGGAACCCACTCGAGAACTGTTCATCGAGCATCTAATGTAGGTAGGGAGCCGCACCTTAAGGCTGAGCTGGCTTTCGTTTCCGGTATCTAGCTCGGTTTCGGCGTTCCTCCAGCATCTTCTCCACCTCCCGCGAAACCAGGTCGCGACCCACGGTACCATTCATCAGCGCCGTTGACATGATGTTCTTCACTAGGGTCTCGATATCGCGCGCATTACCCCAGAAGGGCAGCTCGCTTAGCTCCTTAAACAATTGATCGAGCTTTTGCCAGCTCGCCATCCTCTCCATATCAAAAGCAGTCTTCGGCCTAAGCGAATTAAACAGCAGATCGCGGCATTCTCGGGAAGTCAAGTTCTTGAAGTCGATGGTGTCCGGGAATCGGCTGCTAAGACCGGGGTTGGTTGCTAGGAACTTGTTCATTTCATTGTGGTAGCCTGCGAGAATAACGACGAGTCTGTTTTTGTACCTTTCTTGGGTCAGGAGACTGATTATCTCGCCGACTGCCTCTGAGGCGTACGAGGACGTAGACCCGGATGAGAGGCGATAGGCTTCGTCGATGAGCAGGACCTTGCCGAGTGATTTCTCAAAAACCTTTCGAACCTTGGGTCCGGTCTGTCCTATGTATTTTCCGATCAGATCTGACACAGAACACTCGACAATCTCGGCCGATGCGGTAAATCCGATGTCGTAAAAGACTCTGCCCATCTTTCTGGCTGTTGTAGTCTTACCGGTGCCCGGAGGGCCGCGGAAGATGTAGTTGAAGGGAATAAACTCTCTAGGATCGCCGAGATTGAGCTCCTTCGCGTTCTTGACAATCTTCTGGTATCCTTGCAATTTCTCCACAAGAGATTCGGTACCGATCATGCCACTGAACAACTCCTTAATATCGGCCGCCGCGCCGTCAATTCGGTTAAAGTCCTTATCCATATCACTAGGCTCGAGTGTCTGCAAGGATTCTTCAGAAGGATTTCCTAGGTCAGCAAGTCGAGTATGCTGTCTTTCCTTTGCTCGGGTCAAGAGAATATCGACCTCTCCAGCATTGGCAAACGTTGGGGAGTTTCGCGCGCGCTCTAGCACTTCCATGGCAACTTGTTTCGCTTCATCGCTAGCCTTCAAGCCATCTTGGGCTAGCTTCAGCTCGAGTATCTCGCGAATCTCCTCCTTTGTGTAGTCCTCGAATTGGAATGCCGACGACATGGGGAATCTGCGAGCAAGACCTGGGTTGCTTTTTCGAAACATTTTCTGCATTTGCTCGCGGTATCCGAGGAGCAGAACACATCGGTCTTCGTTATTGTCGCCCTGGATTTCGCCGACGAGAGTATCGATCACGGCAGTTCGATAGCTATCGACACTATCATAGTCACCACTGCCTAGCATGTATGCCTCATCGATCACCAAAACTTTGCCTCTTGCTTCCGCTAGAATCTCTCTGGTTATATTCTCTGACTCGCCGAAGTAAGTGCCGAGAAAGTCGGAGGGGTTTCGAACCATGACCTCCGAGGTTGATAAGAATCCGGCAGCAGCCAGCATCTCCGCGTAGAGCTTGGCAACGGTTGTCTTTCCCGTGCCTGGGTTTCCTAGGAAGACTCGATTGAGGGAAATCTTAACCGGTAACTGTTCTGCAAGTTCTCGATTGTAGTTCCAATGCAATTGGAGAATCAAAGACTTGACCGCAGTCTTCACTGATTCTAGGCCTATCATGGAGTTAAGCTTCTTCCAAGCTGGATGATCTTCTAGGGCTCGCGAAGGAGGAGGACCGAGTAGATCTTCTTGGGTAAGGACACGAGCTCTGGCACGCTTGTTAGTCTTGATCTCCTCAAATAGTCGAGTGTGTTGGCGCTTTATGATATCGAGAACAAGACTCTTGATTGCATAGGTAGTGCCATTCTTGAGAGCTTCTTGATTCTTAGCAATCCGTTTGATGAGTATCTTTACTGGCAGGCCGTTGATAGCGAATCCTTGGAATTCGACTCTGTCTTCGAACTTCTGGGATAATTCCTTCACGAAGAGTTGGTAAAGCTCGTACTCGGCAAAATCCTGGAGATAAATAACCATAGGCGGGATGAATTGCTTGACTACATTTGATGTTGGATCATTATCTTGTGGAGTGACCAGGGTGACAGCAACACCATCGTAACTTTTATCAATTGTAGGAAGGTAACCATAGGTCGGTTTGAGGGGGTTGTTGCCCGTCTGATTAGATGATCCTCCTTGATTCACGTAAATTCGGTTGTATGGTCGAGGGTGGCGACATACACCCAAATCCCGAAGAGCTTGAACGTAATGGTCTGCGATTGACTTTTTGCCGACTCCCAAGTTTCCTTTGAATTCGACGCAAAGCTCTTCTGGCAAGGGGACAACTCCTCTACCAGCAATTGCAGTCGTAATTCTGAAAGCAATCTCTACCACGCGAAGCTTTGCCTCTTCGATACCGAGCATGTTCATGATGGATTCCATACCCTTACTATTCACATCGTAACTTTTCTTGATTCGTTCCCAAGTATCCTTGGCCTCGGAGTGCGGGGTGGGGAAGGGCGAGGGATACGTGGTCAAGTCGACTTCATCATCGCCGAAAAGAGATCGCAATGTGATTGCCCAATCCTGTTCATCATCCGAAACCAGAGGCTCATTCTCCAGACGAGGGTCGTCCGATATGGCCTTGGCGCCACCAGGTGTAAGTTCTTCGGGAGGCATGATAGCTAGAAATCTCATTAATCTTTTGGGGGCTTATTCATGAATGTGGTTGTAAAAAGAGAAGGGAAAATAAATGTCTTACCAGAGTAGCCCTCAGCCTCTAGATAAAAGTAGAAGCTGTCTCTGGTATGGAGTGTATCTAGTATGAGATCTTCTTGTTTTATGAAAATTTGCTAAATAGTTAAGATGGGGAAAATGTGTACTTGTTGGTGGAAAGCTTTTGTCAGGTTCATGCATCTGTGTAGATTAATTGTTAAATGCGTTGCTGTGGACAGGTTTCGATGGAAGCGGACATTGCCTAGACAAGGTGGATTAGGAAACTACCATTGAATTAAACGCAGCGGGAGCACTGCTGGATATGGACAGTCTTAAGACAGGGTGGGTTAGGAAACTACCATTAATCCAAACGTGGCGGGAGCACTGCTAGAAGCATACTGAAGATCCGCTTTGATCCGCTTTTGTATTCTCGTTTGGCCTTCTATTATAGATGTCGTATATCTGGTCGACTTCGAATAAAGACGGGACCGGTCCTAGCACTCATGCAGGAAGGATAGAAGGAACAAAGTGTTACGGGGGTATAAAGCACCCGCCTCATCTACCTACCTTCCTACCACATAAAACGAAGACGATGAAGTGCACCCGCCACGAATAGCCCAGTTTCAATGTACAGTAGGTAGGGACTTGGTAATCATTGATGAAAGTGCTCGGGGGTATCTTGAGAATTCGTAACCTCATACAGCAACAAAATAAGACACCATAACCTTTGGGACTATACCCCTTTCCATGAACGCCCAATACTACAACCAGCTGACTTAAGTAAAATAGACATAATTACCGATCCTTACTCCTGTACCTCGACGAGCTCCATACACATGTTCAGAAACCGATCCCGATATTCCTTGCTGTCGGCAGTGATACTCATAGGCCCTTGATCGTCGATAAGATTATAGCTCCTGACCAACCCCGTCATCGCCTTCGCATGAATTGTGTGTTTGGCCCAGAAAAAATCCAGTATCGCCGCTCTATATACCTCTTTGCCGTTGCTTGACGCTACCCCGGTGCGCCAGGTTGGTGGGTTAGGAGGCGTGAAGGGGGCCTGAGCTGGAGGAATGGATTCGTTACCGATCTGTCCCGTCTCAAGCGGCGATTGGGACCCGCCCTCCGACGCGTCTTCGGCGGAAATCCGGACGAGGAAGAGTGAATAGTCGACAGCATCGCAATTTGCAAGGAGCAGGGTGTCATTTTCAAGCTGACGCTGGAACTGGGTAGCTTGAGCCTCCGAGAGTAGAATTCGGTCGTTGAATTCATCGGCAAGTTTCGATTTAGTTGCCTCAGATGCTAGGGCACCTCCAGCGATATCTCTCTCGGGAAAGAAATACGAGCTGGGCTTGAGGTCCCACGATTCCCATTTTGGGTTGGAACTTCCTTGAGCTTCTTGAGGTTTTCCGTAGAGGATATTCTCCATTATGATATGGTGGCTTGGCGTAACGCCTAACATCACACCGATGCTCTGATGGGTATTCTCCAGGAAGTCGGTGATACGCACTAACAGACTGGAACGGTTGGCGCGAACGTGGTCGGCATATGGTAATAGCATATCGCTCTTGAAGAAGTTGTGCTCGAAAGGTCTGGGAATGGACTTCACCAGGAAGCAGTTGTCGCTAGTATGGTAGAATGTAGAGCCGCTATAACCCATATCACCCATAGGGATTAGCGCTCTCTTCTCCTTTCTGTCCCTCAGCTTTTGTTTCCTGATATCGAAACTATCCCTGTAATCTTCCTCCTTGATCTGCCAGACGCCACGCAATGCCTTGAATAGATCCGGCTGTACCGGCCGAAAGGTTAACCAGTAGATATAGAAGAAACGAAGAAATCGTTTCAGACACGAGGGATTACGAGTTGGCTTGACGTCGTCCTTGCTCGTTAGGATCGCAAACACTATGGAGCGTGCGATCAATATATCGCGCCGAGCCATGATGAAATGCTCCCTTCTCCCACGCGCACATATAGACGAGAGAATTGAATAAAGGACGGAGAAATTGTAAAAGGTTACTTTTGAGTAAAAGACTTGAGTACCTACATTAGAAGCGTGTACGAAGTACCTCTTCAGCTGGAAGAAATGGTCCGGTGGTTCGTACAAATGCGGGATGACGTCACCATTGATAAACACAGGTCAACAACTTTATGAAATAACTTATGAAATAACTCATGGAATAACTCAAGAAATAAACTCATCATCTTGACTTTGCGCTTTTTTATTATTTCGCATCGATAAAAAGCAACGCAACTCCTTAACTCCCATTTACCTACTAGGTAACTAACGCATTTATTTCCCAGATTGGGGGCATATGGCATGGTTCATGGTTATAATACACCACAAGTACCGAAAACGTTCACGGACCTTTTCTCGTCAATCGTCGGGCGCCGTCGTCGACCATCGCCCTAGCATAGTATCGGTGGAGTAATTCAACCAGGAAAGGAGCTGGCTTCTTCCCTGTAGCCTCCGCGCTATTAAAGAAGACTGTCTTTAATCCAACGTCAACCGTGCCGGCTTGTTTGTTCAGCTTCGCGTTTATGACAAACAGCCCGTCTACTTCGCGGGGTCCGGGTTCCAGTGGTGATCCGCCACCTCTCAACATTACCGAGTTGCGCGTCCTTTCTACCACTTCGAAATGGTCCGAGAATCGGGTTCCTAGCTCGTATTTGGAAGATGCCAATTGCTGTTCGTCAAATAGTTGATTCTCCGTCTTGGGCCCTTTGTTGGTGTATGCCATGATGGTGCGCTGAGGCGCATATGCTGAAGAAGGCTAGGTATTAATCTGGTTGCCTGTCTGTATGTTTCGGTTATTGATCGCGAGACCTACCGTATCCAGCCCATGCGCCGCGACAGAATTCAATTGTCAGCGCCTCTTCATTGTCGCGGAGTTCCGGTCGGACATCTGATATAGGTAGGCTTTTCCAGCAAATGTCTTGTATGGACGGGTTACGATGTCGATTGAACTTTTTGAAGCTCTTGCTGGACCACAGCTCGTCATCGGCTGATAGTGGAGTCGTTAGATTGGTTGTCGCGTGCAGATAACTGGCACCTCCGGTTACAACCATCAGCGTCGCGCCCAGAGTTTTGCGAATCAAACCCATTTTTTCTCAATCGAATCGTTTATTCAAGATAAAATTTCAAATACGGATACTCATATTCATGATCAATGAAGTCAAGTTTTCCCATGTTAGAAATGGTTCGGAGCTTGGAATATGTTTTGAGCCGAGAAGGAGCCCCTGCATGGATACGAGTTCTGCACAGCGAACCATGCAATGAAACGCCAGATCACTCGGCACTGGCCAGTGGGTTGCTGGTTCTTACCAACTCTACCAGCCCCGCTCCCGTCTTCTCGGCCGTCTCGTCGCCGCATCGTAAGGCCGAGACATTATTACCATGTATTGCTATAAAAATCATGGTGATTTTTCTTATTAGATCCAGCAATCGGTTTTTTTTTTATTGTTGTCTTTTACATAGTAGTCATTCTTTATACACTCACAGCACCTTCTTAGGCGCCTAATGTGTCTAGGTCATCATGATTAGCATTTTCATGATCATTCTTCATCCCCAAATATACCAATAGCCCACAATTACAACTAATCATCCAGCCCAATTCCGGCACTCTGTTGAAGTCTCTCAAGTCATTTAACAAGATAAGTTATAGTCGCATTCCACACAGAAGCTGGAGTTGAAATAAACTTATGGATACTGTAAGCGAGCGGCGCAGAGCTGCTTGGGGTTCTTTGACGCAGATGTCACGATTTAGATCTTAGATAAATCCATGTGCTTGCGTAACAATATGTTGGTTCTGTTGGTTCTGTTGGCTCTAAAAGATCTAACCTTACGAAGCTTGCATGGGAACGATGCTTATTAAGGACATTGTGATTACATAAATGATAAGTAAGCCAATAATTCCTTACCTACATCCATTTATTCATCCCACTCCGCTTCGATGCGTTTTACCGTGGCTACGAGAATGAAGCTGTAACTTCTTTGTTTACATAATATCTACAACGCTCTTAGGTAACGTGATAAGGTCGAACAGGTTCGTTATTCCCATGGTACCATTGATCGAATGATGAGCAATATTACCTCCTGGTATTTACAAGTTCCACACAGTTTGAAAATTAGAAGCTCTTGACCCTTTTGCGAAATAAAACAGTTTGATTGGATGTATTTTGTTACTAAAGGGTACTAGGTGCCACCTTTTGAACCAATCAATATCGCTGCGCTTGCAAGGGTTTCCACAGCCCGTTCTGGGCCAATCAAATGTGGGTTTCAGCCCCTTTTTCGACATGGCTATCCAGCTAATTTTGTACTGCATTAATTTCACAAATACCAGGTAGCAGTATTTCAAGTTGCTAGGTTACTAGAAATCATTTTGGCCGTAATTATCTTGTAGTCGAAAATAAATAAATTTCCCTTGAGTTTAAACAATATCATTGATTAGTAAGTTGTTAAGTCATAGATCTTGTTCTTTCTATAGAAATAATTTTGGTAGGTGACTACCTCTACTGAATATATCAACTTCAGCGCTACGCTGGCGAAAAGAATTGTCACAAGTTCGGCTAAGTGGGATAACCGAGGCGGGTAACCGAGGTATTGAAACTGTATATCAATTACATGATGCTTGTTTTCAACCATGTCTGACAGGCAGAGAACTCGTGGAGAAAGAATCGAGTTAGATATAGGTAGGTAAGCATATCGAAAAGAAGGACTTTTTGGAAGACAGGCTATGCGCGCTCAAAACAGTAATATGTCCAATTTTTAACTATGGGTGACCGTCCATTGCTTTTCCACTGCAATGGCGCGTCCGGGAACTTCAGATGGGGCGGTCAAGTTCTTCTCGGACCCGGATTCATCGCCAGTCGTCGTTATCGCCGATTCGTATTTCATCTCATTGCCCTTCGGGTTGTAATCGTCCATCTCCCACGTCGTGAGGTTCAACGTGTCGTTTCCAGTGATCGCACCCTTGCTTCTTTGGTTTGAACTCTTGCCCCGTCCTCCTGATCCACCAATCGTTTGATTTTCCGAGAAGTCTTCTTCTAACTTGGAGGCACCGCGTGTTCGCTCCCTGTACCTGCTGTATAAAGGTCGAAGCATGGGAATACTGACGCAGAGAATGGCAAGATTCGGCTCCAGGATAAAGAGGAATACTGTTGTAGGCATCGTTCCTGTAATGTTGGTGGTAAGGTCGACTGTGGAGATATAGATCAACCTGAAGATAGCACAGATGACACATCTTGTAATGCTGTTAGTAGATATCGCTGTGTAGTTGGAAGATGGGTTACTTACGCAATACCTAGAGCGAAACATGACATGATACCGATCTTATCAGTTGTCCGCGTTTGTAAGGACCAGATAGTCTTCATTGGTAGAGCCATGATGATGATGTCACCAATTGCATTTGTCGTGATCAAAGACTGAATCATCGGCATGTACGCGCCGCATTTACCAATACCTGTCCACTGTCCTGAGATGGGAGTGCAGAGGAAGATGCATGCACCAAGGTAAGATACCATCCACGCGGCCAAGAACCCTAAGCAGATCCATGCAGCGCGTTGCATAAAAGGAGTGACAAAAACTCGCAAGAAGAAACAAAGCATGCTCGCTTTGACTGCTGAGAGGAGAGTGACATATATGATTTGCATACAGAATGTCAACTTGTATTATGTAAGTAAATCTTCGGGAAAGGGGGAGCAGTTGGATAGATAACTCATACCTGGAGAATGAAGGGGATATTGGCCGCAACTAATCGTTCACGAATTAGCTTTTACTCGACAAAGATCCAAGCATATTCGAAGCTCGGGTTCCGACTGGAAATCGAGTGGTAACACTGAATTCTGGTCTCGTGCGCTATGATATGGCGTCGCTCTGCACTTACGTTGAGGGTGTTCCATTAGATTATAGCCATTTCCTACTGGAGCGACTGTAGATAATTAATTAGACTGTGTTGTTACCTGAATTTCTGATAGTTGAGAGAAACTTACAAAGGCCCTGGCAGATTAACATGCCAACTCCCAAAGGCTACTCGATTTGTTAAAATACGGCTTCATGGCGATAGTGGGTCCGAGTGAAAACAAACCGTCGCAAATAGAATTAGTCCATCGTCCCAACCCAGGCCCGGCCCGTTAACTCGCGCCACCACTCTTAGCGTAATTGTGCATAACACCAGAATGACGAAGATGATATTGATGATGAGCTCTGCTCGCACGAAGCCCAAGATGGGCATGTATAATGCCGGAACCGCCATGTCGACCGATGAAATTTCGACAATCCAAAGAGTGGTTGATTTTTTAACATCGAATAGTGGCTAGGAATCTTTCTTTATAAAAGTCATTCGAGGCCTGGCAGAAATGCTCAGACTCCATTAAAAAGAATGCTACCTTACCAATAAACTTGCGAATACCCTAGTACAAGGTCTGACAACGGCAAGGATTTCCAACCGGGATATTTCTCAAGTCCCGGGGGTAACATTAAATCTATGCTCCCATCCATTGCCACTGCACTGGATTCTCATAACAATCGAAAATATAGCATGTTCGTTCCCTTTTCGGGTGGGTGTTCCCTGGTAAATCTTAGGTAAGTCTGGTATGTGCACTGTATCGTGCACAGTCGCTACCTATTCATGCGATTGTATGGTTGTCATATTGAGGGCTTGACCCGCAGATGTTTTGGCGATGTATTCGCAAGATCTTGGCTTTGCCGCTTCGCAAGCATCGAACTTAGAGATAAAGTGTGTTTCTTAAGATTGATACATATTAGTTCGCCATAAACTAAGAATACTTAGGTCAGCGTCTACGACTTGGACGGGGAAGGGAGTTGACACCACCCGACTATTCCATGGAACGCTAGTGCTTGGATGTCACGCACGCGAGTTTCCGGGGAACTGGGAGCCTCAAAATCCGTCACCGGAGTAAACTTATCTAGGCTTAGTATCAGCTCTTAGGCAAATTCGCCATGGTGTGTAAGGCAGTTGTGAACTCTGCTGCAGCAAAGCAGTGCTTGGAGTCTAGAGTCTAGACTTAAGAAAAGGAGAACTAGCTTAGGAGAATAACAAGCCAGGTTTATCTCCACTATTCTACGACGGTTTCTATGAAGCTATGCTAGATACAGCGGGCCGCAAAATAGTAGCGACCGCTGCTCTGCTGGGTGAAGAAACGTTCTAAGCTCCTACAAGTTAAGATTTCGCAGCAAGAGGTGACATCGCACGACGCCGCGCTATTAGATAGTATCTCGTAAATAGTGAATGGGTCTATCAATTCTGGTGCTAGCATGGTTCAACGAAGCCTCAATTCACTTTAGAGGCTTGGGACCATAGGAGTGCCCGTGATGATCGTCGCCACTAGCTTATTGCTGTCACGGACGAATTTGCCGTACTTAGAGCCGGACTAATGAGAGATCCCCAGTTCCTGGATTGGTACCCAAACTGCGATTAGCGCAGACTCCGCTTCGAAGAAAACTAGTGGATCCGCGACGGCTTGGGTACACGTTATTATCTGGATGGAACAGCCATTAGTATGTAATAGGTTAGCGAATAACGCATTCCTTTCTACCCGACATTAGGAAGGGTTGCGCCGTTTAATTAACACTAATCCCGTCCCGCTCCCGTCACTCGGATTCTACTGTAGCTCCCGATTCTCACCAAAACCACATGGCTAGCGGGCTTGCATGGACCTGGGCGACTCCGTGATACTCATTCTTGCCTCATCTTAGGTACATATAATTAGACATGCGCTTGCACACTAGCTCTATCTCGATCCCAGAAGTTCTAGTGGGAATCTGGAGTCATTCTCTGGATGAATGCGCAAAACGAAATCCCTGGCGCGGCTGGTCACAATAAAACATTACCACACGGTCGATTTGATGAAAAAATATCGTCCCATGTTCTAGATTTCGTTGTTGAGATTGTCGTTGATTAGCTCTAGAGCTGAGAAGTTGAATGAGCAATGGGTCACGGGTTGCCATAGAAAAAACCGTAAACACCTAGGCACCTAGGCACTTATATCAATAATATCACCTGTTGTGTGTAGGATCTCGATCTCGCTCGCTTAGGAGGTTGCGCTACTCGAGTTTATCGTAGAAAATCGAGACGTCGTCTGTCTGATCATGACCCTGAGAGCTATCATTAGAGTATTCTCCACCAAATGAAGTAAATTCTTTCACTCCTTGGTTTCCACCTGAGGACACTCGAAGTCATTGCGCTCAATGCTCTCCGTCGCCAGTGACAACTTCACCGGAATAACTGGTCCGACTACCCTGTATGACCCCTATATAGTAGGCACATATCCACGCAGGGGCTGTAAACAACGCCAATGGATGAGTCGATACAAGAATATTGTCGAGAACCATTTCCGCTGTCCCAAGAGAAAGTCTTGAGTTGTCGTTTATGACAAGACATGGGCAACTGCTAAGAAATTCGCCTCACTCTATGCTTGTAGTGAAATTGATAAGATAAATTACGAGGATGGAACATCTCCGGCGTTACTCAGTATTGAATTATATAAATTTTTCCTTTTATGTGCCATCGTTGCGCCCGATGATACCACGACGTGGTTGGTGGACTCCGCCATCGAACCACTACAAGCTTTCTTAAGTATATAGCATCACAAACATAGGAATTCACGTCTCTAGACATGCCCAGGTGGATAGCCCATGGAGATGATGAGATGATACTGGCGGTTGTCACCCTTGACCCGTTGTCAATTTTTATGCTTGCTGCTGTATTCTTCTATGTACCTAGTTAACATTCGATTCCCGCGTAGAGTGATTATTAGATGTATCATTCGCTCGTTCTTTCGTGTATAGGTAGGCAGGAAAATTCTTGCTTTTAATTCATCATTTCTTTCAAGTCTAACTCTCCTTTCATAATCAAATCAATAACGATTTGAAAGTTTCCGTTTGTTACCAAGACGGTTTCTTACTAACCCCTATGTTAATATGCATAGTTGATAATAGTCCAATGACAGTCACGGTAACTACTAGGTAGTAATAAGAGTTTGAGTGTTTATTACTGGAGCAAAAATATAAGATTATATCAATTTCACAGACTTCATAACGTGTGCCAAGTGACCTAACAGTATATTGAACCTTAAGTGGCTATCTTCGGGTAGGATATATGTGTCACGATGCGGACCTCGGGACTTAATCAACGTGGCAATAACGACGTTGCTCTGTGAGGTGCCTGAAACCTACCTACCTAGGTACGTTCTCATAATTGTTGTATCTATAGGTATGCTAAGTCCTTTTGACATGATGTCTTATAATTGACCACCAATAGATCTTCTCCTAAAGCATCAATCTCTAACGGCCGAGTCAGGATCCGACAAAACTTCTACCAAATCCTCTTGATCTGCAATCCCATACTCCTTTTGTCATATGTATAAAGTCTCATCTACTAGAATGAGGCAGCTCGTGTGGGTGATAGTGGGCAATAGCAGCCGTAATATCCGAGACTCCTTTCTTTTGATATTGATAGTTAGAAGGTAGTAACTATTGCCAACGCATCGTATCCAAATTTGAAGGACATATATGATTGCTAATAAGAACCTTAGACAACCAAAGATTTCGTTGCACGCACCTAAATTCCTGTCAGGAGTGTTGACTCCGGTACTACTATTAGATAGGTAGGCATTTGTACTCTTTTAGTGATCGTGCGGTGTATTGATGGAGTAGATAGATCCTTATCGTGGAAACTCGGTGTAGCTCGTTTGCAATTCCTCCTAGATAGATATCTGATAGCGCACATGAAGTCATTGTGAAGTTTATATCAAAGGATTTATATATCTTTGAGATATCGTAGAATCGATCCTAGATAGGAAATATAGATCACGATGGTCGCATCCGCTACGACCAAAGAGGCATCACGCAAGCGATTATTGGGTTAGGTGAAGAAACTAGTTGAAGTAGTTGTGCCTAACCATCCATCGCTTTTCGGAAAGATGGATTATCTGTCACTAGTTATATTTCGCACCATCGTTTCAAGATTCCAAGACGAACAGAATACTAGAAACGTGGGAATGATGTGAGGCGGTCAATGTCGGACCGAAATAGCACGAATATTGTTGCACGTGGTGCGCCGGACCTATGTCTTATTCTAGATATTTAGATCCGTTCTCAGCCAATCTTTCGAAGCGATAGTCTCCTTCGGGGCGGGCTATCGCCTAAAGTGGGCACGCACACTTGCGGTGTGGGTGTGGATAAACTAGTATCGGTATAGCTAATACTAGTATCTCTATAGCTCCTGTGATTCAAGTTATATACCTGGAGTACCGAGACTTGGGGGAGCAAGGGAATTCAAGATCTATCCCCTAGCAACTCCCTTGACATCAACGACAATGGCCTCATCAACGTCTTACACCACCAAGCAGTGGATCCTTGCATCGAAGCCTGTCGCCGCTCCGGTGCTCTCGGGACCTGATGCGACATTTAAACTGGAGACCGTCACGCTGCCGGCATTGAAGGACGGCCAGCTCTTGGCTAAGGTGCGATATTTCTCCAACGACACCGGCCTGCGAAATTTCATTCAGAGCACCGTCGCGCCCGAGCGCTTCTACGTGCCTACCGTTCCCCTCGGCTCGCCTATGAGATCCGGCATCATCGCGGAGGTCCTCGAGTCGAAATCGCCGAAACACAAGGCCGGAGATCTCGTCCTGGACTTTCATCTGGGACAATGGAGTGAATTGGTCGTGTTGGAGGGGGAAACCTCTCAACAACTAACCCCGCTCCCCAACGGTCTCCCCCTGACGCACTACCTCGGTGCTTTCGGTGCATCCGGACTAGCAGCTTACACCGGATTGGTCTACGCGGGAGGTGCTAAGGCCGGAGACACGATTGTGATTTCGGCGGCGGCAGGCGCCACGGGATCCATGGCTGTACAGATCGCGGTAAAGCTGCTCGGTGCGAAGCGCGTGATTGGAATCGCCGGGTCCGACGAGAAGTGCGCGTGGGTGCGCGATCAGCTAGGCGCGCACGCGTGCATCAACTACAAGAGCCCGACGTTTGTGGAGGATTTGAAGGCTGCGACGCCGGATGAGGTGGATGTTTACTTTGACAATGTGGGAGGCCATGTGCTAGATGCCATGCTCACTCGCGTGAAGAAGCACGGGACAATTGCGGTGTGCGGTGCGGTGGCTGGATACAACTCGGGCGGATCGATGTCGTTGAAGAATTGGTTCGAGCTTATCTCCTGCCGGATCACTATCCGCGGCTTCATCATGCTGGATTATATGGACAAGGCGCCCGCGATTCTGCAGGAGCTTATCGGAGCTGCTGCGGACGGGAGGATAAAGTTAGGTGAGGGCGAGACGGTTGTGGAGGCGAAGATTGAGGAGCAGCCTGAGATATGGATGCGGTTGTTCACCGGTGGAAACCAGGGGAAACTATTGACAAAACTGATAGTTTAGAATAGGTACCTATTCATGGATGGAGGTTTGTACTGCATGCCTACTAAGAGGTTAACATTATTAATAAACGTAATATGTGATCGTATTTGAATTTGAGAGTTTGGTTGATGGCTTACGTCCGTTGCTACATCATTCTTCATCCATAATGTTATTCACGAGACAAACGACTTTGTTACTCTGTGTAGGTATTTACTATAAACTTGGGTCGACTCTTTCAGTCGATATAGCACCATGATTTCTCTAAGATAATCCTACGTTATTTATCGAGAAAGTGTAGATGCTATAAGACGTATGGAATATAACTGGGTTGTATTATTAATTTAGCAATGTTACTAAAAACAAAGACTCGCTTGCAATGTTTCTATATATAGCCTTCGTTAAGGGGCAAATTGAAGATGATCCTTACAAAGGGTGCTAGACAAAGGCAACACAAGCTACAAGATGTTTAAAGAGGTACGCCCCCACCCATATTTCCATTTACACAGATACTAATTACCAATAACCATCACAAACTATGAAATCAAACATAAAACTTACCGTATACGTCGTTACTTCGACTATGAGCGAAGCGCTAGCATAGACAATCGAAGCCGGGAATCAGTGATAAGAATCCGCTGTTGGACTAATGTCTACGCGAGAGCTTACACGGAGGGAATGGCAGCAGAATAACCATAGGCGTCGCAATCGACTCATCAGAACAGAGCGCCTTTTGAGGGAAATCGACCTATATCTCGAACTATTGTGTCACATGGGTGCGCAAGCGCAAGCGCAGGAATCTGCAATTGGAACTGGATGTACGTTTTCCGTATAAGATAATAAGTGCCCGGGTGGGTGTCACTAATCGCCCATAGTTTGGGTAGTTCGTAACCCATTCTTAATAGACCTTGAAGGTGTTTGAAGGGTCTAAGGGATAAGACAGAATGGGTTATGCCAAGTTAAAAATATGATAGGGGAAATAGGTATTTGTTCAATAAAGTGCTGTTAATGAAAATATCATCCTTCCAATATCGTTACTGCTGGAATATTAAGTGGCTGGGAATCTACGCCCTGTACTCAAGGGGTATATATGTAGGTAGGTACTATTTACGAACCACTACCTAGAACTAATTAGCAACTTAACCAACTAATCAACCAACATGATACTCATAACCTGCATCTATTTCAACAGTTATCATTACCTTGAAAGATGCATTTGGCAATTCTCGAGGGGCCGGACGACATGTCGCCACATTTCCTTTCTCCAATTCTCAGGTTCGGCGTTACGATACCCCTCAAAACACCACTTGATCGCTCTGTCAAATTCAGAACCTGCTTCGTCGCTTACTTTTTCATTCCACCGTCGAGCTGCGACAACGTCAAAGATGAACTTTTCCGACTCATTATTTCCAGCAGGACATTGCCTGCGAATGGAATGCTCTTCCAGCAACTGACCGAAGCATAGTTCCAACAAGACGATGCCGATTAACTCGAAGGGTCCAAAAATCTCTGTGTTCTCTCTTTTATTGGTAGTATTGTCGATCATTGGTGGCTTCTGTCGCTGGTCACTGTTTAGTCTGGAAGAAGTTATAAACGAGTGTTTCAAATATGGTTGGCCTGAGAACAACACATCGGAAGTTTTCTCATCGCCTATGAACACGATGTCTGACTTTTTCCATGAATAAGGCAACCAAGGAGTTTCGAGCAGTTGGATGAATGATGAAGCAAGAGTGAGAGCGAGAGCATATCGTTTTCGGCGACTTGGCGGTGACAATACCTCTCTTTGAAGGATCTGATCCATTGTAACACTATTGAACTTTTCGCTCTGCTGACGTGATAATCTGCATACATAGTATTTGTAGTCTTTCTCGGTAAGATAACCATAGCATCCATTATCGTCTGAAGTCAAAGACCTGCAGAGACAAGGTATCTCTTGTTCAAGCCGAGGAGCAATTGGAATGGATGCACATTCTATCTCGGGCCTAGCATTGGGTTAGCTTTAATAACATTAATGAGGGAAATCCCGACTAACATTGGACTTGCCGGAACTACTTGGTTGTTGATTTTGCCACCTTTTTTTGGTGCTGATCTTATTGGGGTGGTTTTTTGACAATGCGATTGAAGAACAGTAGCCTTTATGCTTACTGGTGGCCTTCGGCAATGAGGATCATTACCCTCTGTTATCAAAGCGCTCTGTATGTGCCAATTCGATGCCGATTTTTGGACAAACAACATGTTGAATTCGTTCTTATTAGTAGTTCTATGCTGGAGTAATAACTCCGTCGGGTGCTGACCTGTACAGCAGCACTTCCATGCAGACGACATAGCTTTGAATAAGGCATTGGCATGAATCCAGGTGTTACATAAGTCTACACAGGATGATGGGTTGATAGTCGGCATCGTCGTATGAAAAGATTGCGGTTTATGATATACCATATCTAGTATCTTCTCAAGCTGTGAATTGAATCGTTCGAGCTCCTCGAAATGCCTATTTCGAGCGGCTTCACCCATGCAAAACTTGAACCTGTATATTAGGTTATCTTTTGAGAAAGACTCAGAAATTCGCGGTTCCTAATGTCCGCAATCATCAATAATGTCCATCTAAATGTTCGGGTTGCTAGCTGATAGGCACTTACCGGGTTTTCGAGGTGGTCCTGCAACGTAGAATTTGGCACTAGTTTGCGTTTGAGTTCTTGAATGACGTTGTTGATTCCCTCAATACAAATTATGAGAAGTTCAGACATTTCACCTAGTCGCAGTTGCAAAAGGTCCGCAATATCCTGGTCGACCCAAGAGCTGCCCCCTGGATTAGATAGTAAATAGTTCATCTTATCTTCATCCGCAATCAAAGGTTGCAGGAGTCGCCTAAGATGACTCTTAAAGGTCACTTGGGCGAACGAAAGATGAAATTTACACTTGCTGTATTCGAGTCTAATCTCATGGAAGAGATGGAAGCGCCTAGAAACCTCATCATATCCCTTCAGAGCCTCAAGAGCTAATGGAAAGGCGGCCAAAACAACGCCGATAATCTCAAAACCTGACATTGGATATGGCTGCACGATGAGGGTATGCCGTAGAATGTACTAAGCAGGTAATTGATATAATTAGGAAGAAATTAGGAACAACTAAGCGATAACATCTAGTGTGGATTGATAGAAAACAAAAGTATGCCAGAGCCGAGAATGAATATTAGGTACATGGCAGGTAAGTGAGGGGTTTATGTCTCATAACACGTCACGATGCATATATTATATCCAATCACGCATCTTCAGCATTATGGACATACAGAGAGAGATATCTAGATACTCTCCTCATGCTCCGTCTTTTGTCTAGCCCCTCTTTTGCATAAAATGTAGCATCTGATTCAATCCTTTCGAAGATGTATGACTTTACACAGAATAGAAGTATCTCTGACTTGAGCCAACTTGTGAAAACTGATCTCTCTGATCTGAAAGAAGGATTGGAAGGAGATAGAACTAATAAACTTCTAGTACAACCTAACATTCTTGAAGATGCGTTGGATAGATTCTTGCTCTGGGCCGGGAATACGGGAGCACTTCAGGAACCGACGAGCATGCTTTCCTTAGACCATCACTTGTCTATAGCACCCGAAATCTGGGAGCAAACATGCGAAGTTCTCAAGGATCTACTTGAGGCCATTAATGATTGTAGGGTGCATATAATTACTTAGTGCTATTATAACTACCTACTTAGGTACCTACTAATCAATACTTGCCTATTTAGTGGCAGCAATATTTAAGGGGAGACAGCCTAATCGAGAGCTCCAAAATCCCGTTATCCAGTACATCGACACACGTGTCGATTATCTCGATATTCCCTCCTCTCCCGAGCCATCAGATCTAGATGAAGCACATGCCATTGTGGAGGTTATATTACAATACATACAATCTCTAATCAGAATTGGTAAATTGATCGAAAAAACTAGTCCTAGGGATCGATTTGAGCAAGCTCTCCAACGCATGAACTGTTTGTTTCCGGCTTCCTTTGACGCTACTCATGCCAGACATACATACCCCAAACTATGCAAGTCCAGTACACAGACTCTTGTGGAAAGAATAGGAAATGCGAATGCAAAAAGGAGGAAGTTCATAAAATACTGTCGCGACCACAAGGCAAGACTAGAAATCGAAGATGACAGAGCTACAAAGCAGTCGGGGGAAGCCACCACGCTACACCCGTCTAGATCTGCTCAATTCACCCATCCAGAATGGGATACAACAGAAGACGAGGATAGATCATCGCTAACTACAGCATCGACCACGTTTGAATCAGCTGAAAGTTATACACTGCCAACTCTAAGAGAATTATCAGCTGACTCCGAGCCATTTGAATGTCCTATATGCTTTACTCTTCAGTCTTTCTCGGGAGACAAAGCTTGGAAGTATATTATACATACCTACATCGTCAATTATTGTTCGTAACTAACACAGTGTAGGCTCCACGCTTATTGTGACCTTAAAGCATACGTTTGTACCATAGGAGGGCCGGAATGCGAAGACGAACTATTCGCGAATCGAAATGCATGGTTTCAACATGAATTAAAGGTCCATCGATCAAGATACGTATGCGGCCTATGCGGAATAGATAGCGGCACCAAAGCAACTATGATATATCACATTGAATGTGCCCACAGAACTTTGACGGCGGAGCAGATCCCGGTTTTGGCTGAGGCAGGACGAGTGGTGCCAACTCAACTCGATGCCAGAGACTGTCCGTTCTGCGATGAATGGGCTAGGGAAATAATATCCAGACGCCTCGAGAATAGCCAGTCTCAGACACATACTAATGGTCAAACAGTTGTCTCGAGGTCGCGGTTCAAAAGACATGTAGCTACCCATCAAGAACAACTTGCAATATTCGTTATATCTACAAATGTTCTTGCAAAGGAAGTGAACAACCCCATTGTTACCGGCGACGACATAGGCAAACGACAAAGCGAGCAAGATGATGATCATGCCTTAAACGTGGATAAAACAGCGTCTATTAGTAATGCCCCCGGGATAACTAATAATCGCGATAGCGCTAGCAGTGGAGGAGATGGTATCCATATAAGTCACATCCGAAGTGACTATGTGGCTACGGGGAAACCAGACAGTTCTTGGAGATGGCAGTGTGTGAGTTATAAAACATTAAATTTTATTTAGTTAGAGCTAACCAATTTGGAGTGTTCCTGTATGAGATCAAATCAATCTTATATTTACAATAACGGTTGTACGGAATGTGGACATCGGAGGGAGGATTCATGTTGTGAAAGTTACGTTGCTAAGTAACGGGAAGCCACTACCAGAGTTTAACGAGGGTAATTAGACGGGAAAAGGTTCTTAGTTTTTTTTGCCACTTCTAGAATTCAGATTGGGAAGATCAAGACTTTGGCCGTCATGGCCTTTGGGGGGAAGTAAGGTCTGTGGCGACGACGGTTGCACTCGGCCAAGCCCGAGACATAGGTATGGCCCATACTCCAGTGCCAGTCCAGATATCCAATACCGCACTAGTCTGGCTATAGAGAGGGGATCCGCGTAATTGGCCGTCCATGGTTAACAGCCAAACCTGGTGCTGGAGGTCTAGAGAATGAGCTGAGTTCTTCAGCAGCTTGGACTCGGAAGGGCATACCAAGCCTGTCCTGCTCACTCTACATGTGATATTCACAAATTGGTGTCTATCTCTTGGCGATAAATTAAGGGATAATCATGTAACCTTACATCAACATCCGGCTGCGTCATTACGTAGACTCCGAGGTTGCTATCGTCGGCCATTTTTGCGACTGTTATATGGTTTCGCCCACTAATAGGAGAAATCATAAATCTGGATAGGATTCTATTTATGCGCGGCTTTCCTTAATAAATATTGAGCCTCTTTTTACGGGTCCACGATAGGAGGTACATGTAACCTAGGCCGCTGTAACTATAGTGTGCTATAGCGCACCCAAGCCCTGTAGCTCACTGTAGTTAAAATGGGTCCAGATTCAGGCTCCGATTACGTAAGTGCTATTTCAGGGGTATGTGGAGTTTTAAGAGCCCTCACTGCCCGTGTAACCGCTATGTTGGTGTTGGTTATATTTGTTACACAACTTCCCCTAGCCAGCTTATGATTCTGCTTCCAAGGTTACGGTCGCCTTTACCCCGCCTAGCCTTGCTCACTACTTTGTCCCCTACCTTAGGTACCTAGCCAAGGTCGAGACTACTTGACGCCGTCCAAGTGACTGAACTGTTTTCCATCGATTCAACTTCTCATGCACCACTACCTAGTACATATACTCTCATCGTCCCCCGTTTCCTTAACGACCTTAGTAAATTGGAAAAAGATTGGAAAAAGACCCGAGATGGGTTCACCCACGGAATCTCCTACCATTGTCATGGTCCAGGGGTCTTTTCAACTGCCAGACGCATACTATAAACTAGACGATGCCCTCAGAGCTCTCGGCTATCCTGTTATTCACCCACCCTTGCCAAGTCTGACTGACCAGGAGCAGCCGGACTTTTCCACTAAATCTTTGACTGACGATGCACTTGCCATTCGATCCGAGGTCCAGCGCCTCGTGGAACAAGGGAAAAAGGTGTTTGTTGTGATGCACTCGTATGGCGGGCTCGTGGGAACCGAAGCCGTGACCAGAGACCTGTCTTTCGATGAACGACGACCTGCTGGCCTTGCTGGCGGCGTTGGTAGGCATCCCTAGCCTGCATATCTCCCATTGCTTATGTACCAACACTGGTCACCACGACGAGAGCAACAAGTTTATAGGCCATCTATATACTCTATGAGGAACCATACATCTTCCTTGTAGGTCAATAGAAGAAAGAATTGCTAATTAGGGCTCCTGCAGTACACTTGTTCTACTTTGCTGCATTCATCCTCCCTACGGGCCAGTCGGTGCTAGAAGTGTTTGGCGAATCCCCAAACAATGACGTCAAGCCAGATGGCCGATATACGATAAAGAACGCGGCTAACATACTCTACCACGACCTTCCTGACGCCGAGGCACAAGAGTGGGAATCGAAGATCATCGACCAGTCTTACGCAGCACAGAAAACCAAGATGACCAACGACGCTTTTGGCTTTGTCAAGTCCACTTACGTTGTCTGCGAAAACGACCGTGGTGCGCCCCCAATGTATCAGGAGAAATTTGGCGAGATGGCGGGATCTAAGATCCAGAAGATCAGCTCCGGTCACTCGCCTATGCTAAGCCATACGGCAGAGCTGACGAGAATGATAGATCAAGTGGTGAAATCTGTTATCGAAACAGGAGCTCAGGTCTGAGTGTCGGCTCCTTTGATCTACCTGTCAGACATCGGTCTTCCTCCAGGTCAGTAGCTAGAGGTCTATGGGATCGGGATTCGGCCCGTTGAGTCCCCGTGAGGGTCCTGTTGGCCGCTAGTCCTAGGAGCAGGACAGACAAAGAGCTTCACCTGTATGTATACCGTGTTCTCCATAGCGAGAGTAGTTAGGAGCTCTTCGCGCAACAACGTCGTTGTTTCCCAGTCTTTTGGTTCCGCCTCGTGACACCGTCTCTATTTCCACCCCTTAGCTAAATTTCCTGCTACATCATGGTATGAAGCGTACTGTGATCTCGCAGTTAGCCCCGGGGGACAATTCTTCCATGAACTGAAAAGGTTGCATCGGCAGTACGGTAGGCATTAGCTGGTGCTATTCTACCTGCAAAAGCTGACATCAATCTCAGGACCAGGAATCCGAATCAACCCTAATGAAATTCACGTGGAAGATTCTGCTCGGGTCGATACATTGTACTGTGGTCCTGCAAATGTGAATCAATCCATATAGCCCGACCTGCAGCTTCGGCTAAACCAGTCTAGGGCTTTCGAGACAAGTATCCTCCTGCAGCACACATGACTGGTACGCCCAAAGGAAGTAGGTTGACCATCTGGTATCCTTCATTCGCTCCAAATTCTGATTCCTTGGCAGCTTTTGGCACTCTTGCTCATGATACACATCGACGAAGACGCGCAACCATCAGCCCGCTCTTCTCCAAGGGTGCTTGTGCTGCATCCGAGTCGAACATATACAAGAACATCGAGTTGCTGCTAGCCTATGTCGATGACCAGATTCGTACCACAGGAAGCGCTGAGATGCGGAAAATCTATCTCGCCTTCACAACGGATACGTTAAGTGACCACTGCTTCGGACGTTCCACCGGCTTGTTGCTCGATGACCAAGCGGCATTGAACTGGCAAAAGACTATCAAGGCAGTCGCTATTGTCACGAGGCGGAACTAAAAGACTAGGAAACAACGACGTTGTTGCGCGAAGAGCTCCTAACTACTCTCGCTATGGAGAACACGGTATACATACAGGTGAAGCTCTTTGTCTGTCCTGCTCCTAGGACTAGCGGCCAACAGGACCCTCACGGGGACTCAACGGGCCGAATCCCGATCCCATAGACCTTTAGCTACTAACCTGGAGGAAGACCGATGTCTAACAGCTATTCTTACGCCACTCGTTGAGATGTCCTTTACGGCCCAATTTGTTCGATGCTATCCTGTCAACCAGCTCGCTGCCAGATTCAGAGAGGTCATACGACAGAATTTCGCAAGAAGGTTTCGTAGCAATTGTAGCCGGCAGACTCCGGATAATTGCGAGGAGGTTCGGATTCCGGATGAGCTGGAGCTCACAGCTAAAGTCTGTGTGCATAGGCGCTGCTGGCATAGAAATCGTTACAATTTTTGGACAAACACTTGTTATATTCGGAGCTAACAGGTTTAAAGTGTTCTTGCGGGGTGGGAACGGATCTATAATATATTTTCTATTCGAGTTTGTATTGAATGTAGACATATGAGGATGGATTCCTGTTGTGAAACTTACTGGGTACATTGCCGAGTACGTAGTGGGAAGCCAGGCAGGTGCCTATTAAATATTTTAATAGTATTGTGGTGGATCTGAGGTTCGAGCGTGCGCTTTCTGATTGGTTGAAAATCATACTGGTACGCTATTACGACCAATAGCGCAAGTACAAATTAGCAAGAGGCTTGTATTGTTAGAGATACAAAAGAGGACGACTTGAAATATAAGGGGATATCATACGTACTAGCAGCATCCTAGACACTCCTACCGCGTTCGCCTTTATTAAGGTACCAGCATATTCGCTTATGCAGTGTGTAGCACTATGCATGCAGTATGACGTATGAGTCTTATCCATAGCGAAGAGAGGGGTACTCCATAGGTACCTATGAGCTAGAGTTTAACCTCAGCATTTCCCAAAGCTGTCAAGTTCCCTAAAACCTGCCAGTTTAATAAGCTCGTGACTGATAACCTTATTAGCGAATTAACAGGAACCAGACGTCGAATTAATAAATGGATGTTCCTGGATTGGTAAACCTTCGACCGTTCCCCCATCGTGGGTCCTATCAATCCGGGGTGATGGGATAATAATTGATTAATCCCCCCTCCCCGGGAATTCTCCACGTTACCATCAGATGCATTGCCTATCTACCCACTAACAACCCACTATCTAACTCCCCACCACTTAAGGTGCTTTTTTACATTCGAAGCTTCTTGAGCTCAAGCAAGTCCTATCGCAACGGGAGTCTCAACCCTCCGACGAAACAAATTCATAACCGACTTCTCAGGTGGCATTTCTTGAGATTACGTACCTAGTACACAGCAAATTGATTCTCAATTCCAGCTTCCAGTTCGAGGAGAAATGCTCCGGCGGATATGGGCCGGCAGATCATCCAGGTTCCCCGACCGCTCTTCTAATACGACTCGGGATAGAGTCGGAATATCATCTGCTGGCTAGCATGGTGAGACCTACTTGCATAGCTTAGTGTATGTAAAAGGCAAAATATCGCTGACAGCTGAACGTTAGTGGTTCGCATATTCACCCCAGCGCGTCAGTGACATCACCCGCTGCTCGGACACGCCAAAGTATCTCAACGATATCCACTTGTACCCACATATCCCCAGCAACTATTAGCAGGAGACTTTTTCGAACCTTCCTACCTTGGGTATATATAGAGAGTTAAGGTGCTCTAGGATGGACTATGTAACTTCTAATTGTCTTTATGATTTAGTGTCTTATACCCCCTCTTCGTATCCCAGCGTCTTTTCAATTTCCAATACTTGGTGATACTCTATCAGACAGTACCTACTCAAGAGACTAAGCCGATCAAGCCACAATCATGCCTCAACAAATACCAACACAAAGCAGGCTACTTGACCTCTTCAGCCTAAAAGGCAAGGTCGTCATCGTCACCGGTGCCTCCGGTTCTCGAGGAATGGGTCTCGAAGCTGCCCGGGGTTGCGCTGAGATGGGCGCCGACATAGCCATCACATACCTGACACGGAAGGAAGGGGCCGAGGAGAACGTCGCGGGATTAATTAAGGATTACGGCGTAAAAGTCAAGGCCTACAGCTGCGACATAAGAGAATTCAGCGCGTGCGAGAAGCTCGTCAGCGACGTGTTGAAGGACTTCGGCCGCATCGACGGGTTCATCGCCAACGCCGGCGCGACGGCAGACGGCGGCGTCATCGAAGCCACCAAGGACGAATGGGACAGGGTTGTGGCAATCGACCTGAACGGCACCGCCTACTGCGCCAAGGCCATCGGTCCCCACTTCAAGAAGCAGGGCCACGGCACTTTCGTCATCACCTCCTCGATGTCCGGTCACGTGGCCAACTTCCCCCAGGAGCAGACCTCTTACAACGTCGCGAAGGCCGGCTGCATCCACATGGCCAAGTCCCTCGCTAACGAGTGGCGCGACTTCGCCCGCGTCAACTCCATCTCCCCCGGGTACATCGACACCGGTCTGTCTGATTTCATCGAGCCAAAGACTCAGGAGCTGTGGTATTCTACCTTGGTCCCCATGGGCCGACCGGGCGTGGCTAAGGAGTTGAAGGCTGCCTATGTGTACCTCATCAGCGATGCTAGCTCGTATACCACCGGTGCTGATTTAGTGATCGATGGAGGATATACCTGCCGATAGATGTAAGGGGGGTGGGTGGCTTTTCGCATAGACACCTAGATCTGCGTCGCATCTTTGGCATCCTTGACATAGAGTAGAGCATACTAGATCATTGCTTTGGCGTCAGATAGAAGAATGCACTGGGTATTTCTTACCTCAATGAATCACATTTTGGCTTAAGTATCCTCAGATTCTGTTGGGTCATTTCTGATGTCTTCTCTTGATTCATTGGTCGCGTAGTGGTTAGAACTCGTGGTCGTGCTTTGGCCATGCACAGAACAAATAATGCGAGTAATTTCGAATCCCGCCGCAAGCCACTTAATCAACTAGCTGATCTAAAGCCTTTTCTTCAGGGTGTATTAGAGAAGATATGATTTAGGGAAGAGACAGGAGATAGAATAGATGACTTAACCAACCATATATTTACTTAACTAGGTAGGTAGGTACCTAGTATGTATTACATGGAAGAATGCCATCTTCAAGACAAGTGATAATTGTTCTGCTATGTGAAATGATGAGGTTGTGTTCGTACGCTGTAAGTTAGTGAATCCTACCCCAAATATTATTACTTAATTAAGCCCCACTCTACCATTGGAGCATTTGTTCGAGTTGATTCCTTTGTTTCCCCCTCAAACTAGCGTTGTAACATTCTAGATAATAATTCAAGTACAATCCAGGCTTATTTAAGCAATTGCGACGTTTCGCGTGACCTTGCTTAACTCTGAATTATGAGTGTTCTTAGATTCTAAGTTCGACCGGTTCCAAGCCTATCTCAATCCCTCCATCAATTAAGCTTTGTAAAAGGGGAGCAGTCACAGTCAACCCCCACTCTTGATGTTTTATCTTATCTGTCCAGGGGGCCTTGGCCCTTGGCTTTAGATCGCTGGGTCAAGATTGAATACTTTTTCCCCTCTAACTCACCAATCCCATCGGCTCGACCCGCCTAGCCGGCATTGTCAGTCAGCGCCATTTGGAGCTGTCTAGCTGCTTAATAATTCTCCATATAGACAATCAGCTGCGGAACTACCTAGAAGAGTGGTGCAGCTATGGTTATAATGCAGATCTTTTACTAGGATCAGGATATGGTTATCTGAAATGCGATGGTGGTGGCGCAAACTATTGAGATTCAGAAGCCCTGGAGGACACGACAAATTTCAAATATATTTATTTTGTCCCGCTTGTCAACAACGCGACGGACTACCTTCACCCGAGACTGTTCCACAGCGAAAATATAAACTAGCCATCGTATGTCACGGAAAAAATCTTATCACAAGTGACTCAACGTGGTGGATTAGACTGACGTAAGGTCGGTCTAGCTATCAAAAGGTAGTAGCGCGGGTAACGAATCTGGACTTCGGTGGAGCCGGAGCTTGGAAGTATTTTCTGATTCGGGTCGCCACTGTCTCATTCGATAATTACTTCTGTCTCAGCCCCGAACATATATCTGGAGTTTCCCGGTTTCATTCCGTCCGACTCGGACTTGCCTCATCTTTAATTGGAATTTCACTGTTCTTTTAAAGCTTCAGTCTCGTTACACAATGGCGACTGATACGCCGAATATGTCCGATACGAAGATCCAAGTGCAGGATACCGATGCGGAGATCGCTGCGGACCCGACGTTCGGGGTTGATGAGAAGAAACTCTTGCGCAAACTGGACTTGCATATCATCCCTCTTGTGATGCTTCTTTGTTAGTCGCCCGATGTTATTGCTATGCACTCAATAAACTCTCAAGCTTGAAATCTCATATTGATTACTATAATGGACCAATTTACTAATTTCAAATAACAGACACTTTCAGTTTCTTGGATCGGTACTTTACACTCTGTTACTTATTCAACTGATGGACATCTTGCTGATTTCTCCTTTAGTGTGAACATCGGAAATGCGCGTCTCTATAGTATGGAGAAAGACCTCGGGTTGGTGGGGAATCAGTTTCAAGTAGCTGTCTCTATCTTCTACGTCACATGTTAGTCATTCCTTTCCGAATAATAATTGACCTATAGTACCTGGTGCCGTTTATGCTGACCTCGATTACATAGACCTGTTGTTTGAGGTCCCGTCAAACTTGGTACTCAAGCCTCTGACCCCCTCACGATATATCTCCTTCGTCGCAATCGGCTGGGGTATCATAGCCATGTGCACCGGTTTCGTCCACAACTACGGCGCACTCATTGCTATACGCCTAATCTTAGGAGTTGTCGAAGCTGGTCTCTTTCCAGGGCTTAATGTGTACCTGACTTTCTTCTACACGAAGCAGGAACTCGCTTTGAGAGTTGGCTACCTCTTCGTCAGTGCCGCCATTTCTGGTGCGTTAGGCGGTTTGCTGGCTTATGGCATTGGTCAGATGGCGGGCGTCGCCGGGTATAGTGGATGGAGATGGATTTTTATAATCGAGGGGCTCCCTAGTATCTTGATAGGCGTTGCGGCTTTCTTCCTTCTCCCTAACGATATCGAGCATGCCTATTTTTTGACACCCGAGGAGAAGAAATTCGCTGCGGCGAGACATCTGCGCCATTATGGATTCACGGAAAGCGCGCTGAAATTTAGCAAGAACGACATGATGGCCGCATTTAAGGACTGGAAGATCTGGTTGTTCTGCCTTGGACAATTTGGTGTTGATACCATGCTGTACGGTGAGTTTTGGACTCCACATCATGACTTATAGTAATGCGGTTGCTGACTTGAGAACTGCTAGGATACTCAACATTCTTGCCAACGATTATTCGCGGTCTGGGAGAATGGTCGACAGCAGAGATCCAGCTTCTCACTATTCCATGTTACTTCGTTGGGGCCGTGACTTATATGGGAATTGCATTCCTATCTGATCGCATGCAGATGCGCGGCATTTTTTGTGTTATTTTTGGCGCTGTCAGCGTAGTTGGATATGGTGTGCTACTTTCAGATTCATCGGCAGGCGTACACTATTTTGGGTACGTAAATCGTGAAACCTACTACGCGAGTATTACTAACGGCATGAAGTTGTTTCCTCGTCGCCACCGGACTCTACGTTATTGTTGGCCTTCCGTTAGCTTGGGTTAGTTTCCATGTATCCCCCGCAATCGGGTAATGACGACTGATAGAATTTAGTTACCAAATAACACACCACGGTACGGCAAACGCACGACGGGTAACGGCATGCAACTCACATCTGGCAACACTGCAGGGATCATGTCATCATTCATCTAGTGAGTCAACAATGATCAAACCTGATTGTAGTTGAACGGCTAACTAATCCTTTGCTAGTCCTAGTACGGCTGGACCGCGTTATATTACGGGGAATGCTGTTTCTCTGTCTCTTGTAGGGATGTCTACCTGCTTATTTGGCTTCTTGTGGTTTTGGTTTGCTCGCGAAAATAGAAAACGAGACGAGGGTCACATTAAATCTATTCATGAGGGTTTATCGGAAGATGAACTTGCTGAGCTTGGAGATGAAAGCCCGAGATTTAAGTATACCATCTGAGATATCAGCAAGAATTGAGTTAGGATAAGTAGGTATCTTCATGATGAACGATCAATATAGATACCCCAATAGAACTAGCGACGGCGTTTATTGAGATTGCTATGATGCTTATACTGATGTATTAGGTACACTTATCTGTTATTGTATGGTAGGTAGGTAGGTATCATTGATTTCAGTGTTAGGATGAAGTTGATAGTCTTCTTCTCCTACCTGCGGTGTAACTTGCTTCGCGGAACTCAAGTTCCCCCTTAATCCAATTCCCGACTCGCTCCAGGTCTCTGGTAGTAAAATCTACGAGAGTGTCAAGAATACGGTCAAATGTAATAATGCCTTCATCATCGGTCAAATTTGATCGAGCCCGTTTCTTTCCTTTGTTTGGATTTCTCTTTTTGCCTATAACTTACATATTAAAGGGGGGTGAACGGTTGTTGGATCTAAAGAAATCTCACCTGTGTAAAATGAACAGTTGGTGGCCGTGCTTGAGAACTGGCAATTGTAACAAGCGCTATTGAAAACCTCTGGACCTCCAGAAACGCATTCCTTACATGGACCTTTCGATCTCCTATTCATGCATTGTTGGCATGGCTCTGTATTGACTTTATCAAGTGTGAGAAACGCAGCGAAGGCTGACATCCTTTGCTGTCGGCTTAGCTCCACGTTGGGCCAAACCTTACCCCCATTTTCTCTAACTTCTTTCAGTTCAATTAAACGTTTGATTTCCTAAACATGTTAGTTAATAGATATAAATACTAGAGTGAGGTTTAATTTTCAAACCTTTCCTCCTTCTATATAATCTCTCACGTCTTGTTTATCGCTCTTGCGGAGTTGATCAACGATCCAAGTTGTCAATGCGAGACTGTTCGATTTATCGACCGGCTCAACGGCGTTTCCGTGATCGAGAGGGACACCCAACCACTGCCAATTCGAGAGCGGTAGAACACCCGGCACTCCAGGTATTGGGACGGTTCTACTAAACCGTTCGACGCTCCACATTATAGTAAACCAGTATAAAGGTATGGAAAGCAGTTTCCAATGATTTATGTCTTATTTGATTTGATTTGATTTGATAATATTCGTGTTATCTCTTAGAAAAATTTGACAATTGGACTACAATGAAGAAATTACTACCCCATAACGCTTAGGCCACTTACTCCTGAGCCCTAGAGACACCTAACTGTATTGGGTAATTATGCACCTAGCTTCGTGCTCCCCCACTTTTCGGGATGGGAAGGCGCGTCGGCGTGTTAATTAAATTTAGGTCGCGTCAGTTTCGCACCTATCGTGACATCACTCCACTTAAACTTCTGCCTTTCTCATCTTCTGTAGGAATTAATAAAGTTTCCCCAAACTTCATTCTCTTACTTCCGAATATCAAGACAACCTACATTGGGATATCGCGGGAAGAAGCGATCATGGGTATCAAGGGCCTTTTTCCAATCATCAAAGATGAGGCTCCAGCTGCCATCAAGGAGGGTGAGATCAAGAATCAGTTCGGTCGCAAGGTCGCTATTGTGAGTATTTGAGTATCTCTTACTAGTTAACTTGTTTAATCGCCATGCTAACATAATCGTATCAGGATGCGTATGTATAAACCCGTACTTAATCGACTGAACGGACAAATACTAATTCACGAGCAGTTCTATGAGCATCTACAGTTTCTTGATCGCAGTCCGTTCCGATGGCCAACAACTCACGAACGAGTCCGGTGACACAACATCTCATCTCATGGGAATGTTTTATCGTACCTTACGGATAGTCGACAATGGCATTAAGCCTCTCTACGTGTTCGATGGTGCACCGCCCAAATTGAAGTCAGGTGAATTGGCTCGTCGTTTCCAGCGAAAAGCAGAGGCCAAGGAGGGACTCGAAGAGGCCAAAGAGACAGGAACAGCCGAAGATATTGAGAAGTTCTCTCGCCGAACTGTCCGAGTTACGAAAGAGCACAATGCCGAATGCCAGCAATTGTTGAAATTGATGGGCATCCCCTACATCATTGCCCCGACCGAAGCAGAAGCGCAATGCGCCGCCCTCGCCAGAGCCGGGAAAGTCTTCGCAGCAGCTAGTGAGGATATGGATACTCTATGCTTTGATGCTCCAGTTTTATTACGCCACTTGACCTTCAGCGAGCAGAGAAAGGAGCCTATTCAAGAGATCCACGTGGATAAGGTCCTCGAGGGATTGAACATGGATCGTAATCAGGTTAATTCAAGTCACCCTATAACTAAACGTGGGGTGGGAGCTGACCTAAATAGTTCGTTGACCTCTGCATCTTGCTCGGCTGCGATTACCTCGACCCCATTCCAAAAGTCGGCCCTACCACTGCCCTGAAGTTAATCCGACAATACGGCACACTTGAAAAGGTTGTCGAATACATTAAGGGCGACTCCAAGTATACGCTACCCGAGGACTGGCCTTTTGAAGATGCTCGAGCTTTATTCTTCGAGCCCGACGTTCGCAAGGCAGATGATCCGCTTTGCGACTTCAAGTGGGAAAAGCCAGATATCGAGGGACTTGTCAAGTTCTTAGCGATCGACAAGGGTTTCAACGAGGACAGAGTCCGTGCTGGCGGTGCAAGATTGGAGAAGGCCACCAAGAGCTCTCAGCAAGCCCGATTGGAAGGCTTTTTCAAGGTTATCCCGAAGACAGATCAAGAGAAGGCTACACACAAGCGCAAGCTAGAAGAGCAGAATGAGGCTAAGCGGAAGAAGGCGAAGGAGGACAAGAAGGAGAAGGCCAAGGCTAAGGCGAAGCCCCGTGGAACGGCATAATAGCCGCTCGTCATTGAGGTGTGGTAAATGATGTGTCTGCTTAGGAGGTTGGACCATAAAATATGTGTTGCTATCTAAGATGGGTTTACTTGATAACTGGCGTTGCTGGCTTTGCATCAAAATCGGAGTTTATGGCGATGGGTGGATAAGAAGTCATGCTTAACAAGTATGAATACCGGTGCTTCTGGATGTTGCTGATGAGGAATATGCCATATTGTTGGTATCGCATTGGGCTTAACCTACAGCTCAATTGATGTGTGTTTGTTTTTTACAGAAAATGTGTGAGAGAAACTACATGATACTAGCAACTGCGCCCTGTCACTAACAACGGCACCTACTTCGTAGTTCAACACCTAACATGGATAAATCGGATCGATGTGAAAATTCGACTTCAATTCGTATTTCAACCCCCTCGTTAGTATGTATTATGCAAGGCTAATTAACATGCCCGTTTGTACCTAACTTAAACTGCAGGAGAGGATACGGGAGAGTGTTATGCACGACGCCCCTTAGCTATCATATATACGCGAGTAATGAACCTGACGGTCGATAAACTTACATTCAATTTGCCTTTTATCGCGAACAGCTATCATAGGGGCTACTGGAATAAATATCAAATCTTAACAGGACGTCTGTAGCATAGTCATAAGCTATGGTGAGTTTTAGGAAGTCACGAACGTCCTGCCAATTATCAACCCGGAGCGTCGACGACACTCAGAATTTCAACACACACTTATCCCACACCAGCAAAAATGTCTAGCCAAGCAATTCCCAATACCGGAACTAGATCAACCCTCGTCCCATCCGTCAAAGCATTTCTAGACGAGCACCCCAACCTACATCTAGGCGGGAAAGAAGACTTTCACGCGGAGCGGCGACACCATCTCGAAATCTTCGGCTTTCACAACCTGCCCAAACAGGCACAAGCACCCATCGGCCACGTCCACTTCGATGGCGTGCGCGGCCGTCATGGGACTATTCCTGTGCGCCTATTCTACCCGCGCAGCTACAAGAACGGCAGTAACAGCAATAAAAAGCTTCCGGCACTAATTTACTTTCATGGCGGGGGTTACACCGTCGGCAGCGTAGACGAATTCGAAAATGGTCTACGCCTGCTCGCCGAAGCCGCAGACATCATCACCATCGGCGTCGAATACCGACTAGCGCCCGAATGGCCCTTTCCCACGCAACTCGACGAATACGAAGACGTGCTCTCCTGGACGCGCAGCGCAGGAGGCACACGTCTCGGAATCGACGCCTCACGCGTCCTCGGCGGCGGGGACTCCGCAGGCGGGAACATGACCGCGGGACTGTCCCTGCGCCTCAAAGACGAGGGGAAGGAGCCATTAAAAGGACAGGTCCTACTCTACCCCGAGGCAAGACTCCCGTTCGACACCCCCGCCGCAAGCGAGAATAACTCAGGCTATTACCTCGAATGCAACGGCATTTTCAGCTTCGCAGACCACTACCTCCCCCGCGCGCCGTTTAAATCCGGCTCCGACACCCAGGACGTCGGATACACGTACTACCCCCCGGCGCACCGGTACGTGTCCCCTGGCATGCAAGCGCCGGAGAAACTGGAGGGGCTACCGCCTGCTGCGGTGTTCACGTGCGGGTTTGATCCCTTGCGTGATGTGGGGGTCGAGTTTGCGGGAAAGCTGAGGAAGGCGGGGAATCGGGTTGCGTGGATGCATTATCCGGGCCTGACGCATGGGTTCTTGCAGATGGCGCCGTGGAGTAGGGATGCGGCGATGGCGGTCGAGGATGTGGGAAGGTTGGTTAGGGAGTTGAGTGGGCGGACGGAGATGTTGAATTGATTTCAGGGCCTGTAGGACTTGGTGGCTTCTAAGGATCTAGGACCCGGCTACTGGCCCTGGAATATAAGGGGGTTCCGGAAGAAGCACCTGTAATTCAATGTACGACGACCCCATGCTGCTCTGTAAACCTGAAAGGAAATACTGGTTACTTTGTAGGCTAGTATTCAAGCTACTAATATCAGATATAGCGGAACATGTTCTATAAGATGGGCTATTATCAGCAAATCTAAGCACTAACTTAGTGGTGCTTTAGGGGTCACTCACTTGCTTTACGCTTCGCTTCATCGCTACAGGTTGTCCATTCTCGCACTCCACTCCGGCCTCTCCACCATCCCCAGAAAGACCAGACATCTTTCGCTGAAGTTCCGCATCTAGTTCTGCCATGGTTTTCTTTTTCGCCGGCTTAGTGATAGGCATTTCTTTCTCCTTTGCGGGATCCTTCCCGTGACCAGACGTTGCTAGCGGAGAATGTGTCTGTGAACTGACGGAGCGACGATGATTGATAATGAAAGTTTCTAACAGTGGCGAGTTTAGAATTCGATTAATAACCGAGGCTTGCATAATTCGTTGCATTTTGTAGATGTGATGAAACTCAAGAGATTGACTTTTCGTTTGTATGGAGACTGAAGTTCAATTATGTAAGAGCAGGGAAGTGCTTACGTACTTGATGACATTATGATATGTATTTATGCAGTATTATTACTAGTACATCTTTATATACATAACTTTGTATAACTTTATATTCTTCTTTTTATACGAATAAAATCATCCCCCTTTCTAATTTTTTCTTTTTCACCAGATTCATCAAGATAACCAACTTCTTCAACAACCTCACCTTCACCTGTCTGTTCTTTAAACCCATCCCAATATCTATCAAGCACCTCTCCAGTTATATCGTATGCCGAATTTTCATCGATTTCCTCCCGTCTCCTTCCCTGGATTTTTTCCAAGTGAAGTCTTTGCACTTCGCGTGAGGATCTAACTTCGCTAGGTTAAAAGGTTATCCATGATGATTGAGTTTTTTCCTTTGATTTTCCAATCTGGGATTGAATTGACAGTTTCTATACAAAGTGACGGAGGTTTGAAAAGTGACTCACATAGAACACTATCAGCCATTATCCTACAATGACATCTTTGCTATAAAGAACACCAGTTCAGACTCATACGTATTCATCAATCTACTCTAAAAGTATTAAACCAGAGACATAAAACATGTTGATATGAAATTAAAGGAGTTGAAACGCCTAGGAGAAAGAACTCCTTGCTACGGCGTCTGCAAATCAAAGTGCCGTTGACCGAAATAAAAGAAATGTTTGAAGAAACAAGACGATACGAAGATATACCCCAAAAACGATGAATTAATCAATTCCAGGGGGTATTGGTGCTTGCATCTTCATTATGCTGAAAGGAGATTGTATCGGGGACGGCCAACAGGAACTCAATGATCATTACCATATATCCCAACAAGCTTATCAGTCAATTGTGGCCAATTCACGTTCTAGTACAGTTATTTCTATTCACATATCACAAATCACAGTGCGCAGCTAGCGAAAGGCTCCCAAGTTACAGCAGGGAAAGGCCATGTATTGTGCAATCTAGATAAGGAACTACATATCCTTTTAAGAACATACCGGTATGTCGTCCGAATATGTGAGAATGTGATAAGAAGATGGAAAAAGTGTAAGTAGAAAAGCCACTAGAACATGGGAATCGAGCTCCTAACCCAACGACCAAGTAGTGGGACCACCATCACCACTGCGATCCTCATCCATTTCCTGGCCCACCCAGAGAAAGGATCCGTATGGGTTCAAGGGGGGCTGGCGACCACATCAGCGGAGGTCGGCTTCACCCCCGTCATCCAGTTCGGCTGGCTGTCGGCCGACCACGAACCCCCACAGCCTTGTACCTGAGCGATCAAGAAGGTTGTGTGGTCGGCCAAGTTTCCGACAATAATGACAGCCAACACCGAACGCGGCCATATTGCAGACCCGCATTCACACATCCACCGATGTGGCGAAATGGATGAAGTGAACCCATACGGCGCCTCTAGGTTACGGCCTAGTCCTGGGCGCAGGGATCCACGCCGAAGTGGACAGAGACCTGGCTCCAGGCGCAGAAGTCCACCGGGTCTAGGTCCGAGCGCAACTTCTCGCGGTTGATGGCCTGGCGAGCGCTCTCGGCCTGGCAGCGGTAGCTACCGAAGCGCCACTCCTGGCGCGTGCGTGAGCCGTGGGTGGCAAGCGTCAGCACCAACTCTAGCTCGTACTTGAACTTGCTCTGGAAGAAGGCGCCTAGGAACCGCTCGTTGACGATGCTGCTCGGCCCCTCGATGTGCAGCACCCGGCAGTGCGGCCCCGCTGCGCGGGGTGTCGACTTGATCCGGTTCATCCGGAGCCGCGGGACGTAACCGCCCACGGAGAACTCGCCCGCTTGGGACTTGGCCATGAGCTTGTCAAGCCCGGCGCGGTCGAAGAAGACCAGCTTGGATGCCGCGGTGGAGTGGTGGGTTCCACTGGTGTAGTCTTCGTTGGTGTAGACCGGGGGGTTGATGACTGCGGCGTATATCTTGCCGCACCCCCGGATGGTACCCAGTAGTAGTTGGTGGGTGCAGTCGGGGGGAAGGTTGGTCAACCAGAGAGAAGTTGAACACTGCTCTGGGATGTTGGCGGACTGGTTCGACCGGAGGAAGATATTCCCTCCGTAGTTGGCGGAGATACCGGTGATCTGAAGCTGTCGATCCCAGACGGAAGGGTGTAAGATACTCCGGGTGTAGTTATTCGAGTATCTACCCATAGGGACGTATCCCTCTTCGTGCTGTCGAGCCTGCCGAGCAGCTACGGGAGGTCTTGCCTCATATCCGGATCCCCATAGGATCGGGGCAGGGCCGTCCGACGGAGGGGAATGTTTCCGAGGAGAGTTCCGCACTCCATCGGCATCGGCCTGTGGGGCCCGAGGTGGAATATGATTTCCACCACTAGGGGCGGTCGTAGCAGGTGCTACACTATTGAGGCCAAGTGTACGGTGCTGCGGAATGTCCGCGTCACCTCTAAGCTGACGCGCATTGGTCGTGCGGGTAAGTGGCGCTGTAGGCCAGCGACGGGCCGGGGCTATCCAAGCCCTATGGCTTGCGATGCGTAGCGGAAACGATATAACGCCCGGGTCATACTCGGGGATGGGCGATAGTCCATATAGGGCTAATGGGCTTCGCTCATCTTGGCCATCGCCGCTGGAGGGCGAAGGGGTAGCTTGGCCTCGGGGAAGAGACATCGTGTCGGAGACGATAATCAAAGGAGGAGCTGCTAGTAGAAGCAGAAACTAGTGAATAAGTTAGACGTTGGTGTTTATTTATGAAAGGGTAGTTCGTCTATGTGGATAATGAAGAAATAAAAAAAATAAAAGTCAAAGGAAAATTGTGCGGTCGGTGACGAGACGCGTCGCGTAATAGAAAGTGTGGTGTAGTACAAATATTGCAGATGGGTGTAGGTAGGATACATACTTCGGTATTGAGAAAGCAGGATATGATCGAAGAACGAACACGGCAATTGAAATGCAATTGGCGTTGTCTAGATATAGAGTGATAGATGTTATTTCCTTGTGGGCTGTGAAGGTGATGACGAGGAATGTAAGGACGTAAATGAAGGTTCGTATGATAGGATAGAAGTAATGGATGAAATGGCTGATGTGAAAAGGAAAAGACGAAGAAGGAAGATTGGAAATGTTTGAAGGAGAGACTTGAGGAAGAAATATATAGGGAATAGATTCACATACCTTGTAGTGTGCAGGATTTGTAAATATCTTTCACAGGCAAGCGGCATGTGAGGAGCTATGTTACTACCGTGCACTGAAAGTTGTTGAGTAGGAACAAGTAGAAGTTAGGGAAAGAAGGGAAGACGAAAGATGATTTTGATGAGGTCTGGGAAAACCTGTAGCGTCGAAGTTCCCGTTGATTTTATCCCTAAGGCTGTGGGGGCATGGACAGAAAGTGTTCACTAGTAAAAAACCGTTGCTTAGGAAGGTACCTAGGTATGTATTCGAATTCGGACACGAATGGTGTGGGTCCTTTCCTTGATTGTACGGGTGGTGACTGAGGCTGTAATCAAGATGGCCGTCGTAGTGTTCGAAACCCCACTTCAGGCCTTAGGGGTGCTTAAAAGAAATTCAGTTTAGGGTGGTTACAACCGTATATATAGACGGTTAACATAGATGCCTAACTAGCATGTTTACCTAACAAAGTATTCTGCGACTTGCGTAGTCGTAACTAGATGAGGCCAGTAGCTATTTCCAACTACAAAGATACTTAATTATGGCCTAAATGTACATATATAAACCTTGGCCAAGAAACAATACCATTAAAGACAGCGGGCTTCCAAAATATCTTAAGGTACCTAGGTATTTACCCCTGAAAACGAAAGAAAGTCGGTATTATCGTCCTAAGACGCTACACCTATTTGTACATAATTAAGTAGGTACCTAGGTATATTCCGTTATTATCGTGGGACATTTCTGTTAATGATCGTACCATGTTAAATATAATATTAAAAATTATGGCCGTGAAGACTGCCGTACCAACTTTAGACATCTACCTACGCCACTTGTGGGTTTGACCAAAGATCGTTCTTTTATAGTCTGTATTAATAACCGAATAATGACTGACCAATGTACTACGTAGATGTTGGTCAGTAACCTGTTGCTATTTCCCCTTCAGCGTACCATTCTAGCCCGTCTAAACATCGCGTCACGGTACGTACTGGTACGTACAGGATAAACTACTTGGTACTTATGGGAACAAAATGAGGCTGATTAACTCGATGACTCATGAGATATTAAATGCAGCTAGCCTAAATTTTTTGCCATTAAACTTCACGTCAAACATATAACATTTAATTCTTGAATCTGCTCAAGACACCAATGTCAAAGCTACCTAGCATCTATCCCTTATTTAAAGAAACAACATCAATAAGTGCCTAGTTGTTGGATCAGCTAGTAAACTGATAAAGTAACTGGAAATCCAAGAATACTTAGGTACCTACGTCTAAAAATGGTCGGATAGATCAGGTGTAGGTAGATATGCCAAGGTATGAAGTCAAAAGAGGCTCTTTGGATTTGTGGGACACGGGAGTGGAGAATGTAACATCATTGACTTCACTGTCGATATTACCGAGCACAGACCAATGAAGCGACTGGGTTTATGAACAGTCTTTTGGTTAAATTGAATACTAAGGGAGTTTTCTTCTTCTACATTTACATGGAAATATTTTTCGTATACACCTGATATCTTCGTAGGTGCGAGATGCTGGATGCTTAAGGGAGTAAGTTTTTATGTTTAACCCTTAAAGAAACTTGTTGAGTGCCTTCTACTTTTCACTATCTATCGGAATGTCTAACATCATGAGTGACTGGGTCGAATGAAACCGACAATCCTATTTATGGCAATAGAAACGACGACAATGAAGGATTTACTCGTTCAAGCCATTCAATTGGTGGGTTATGAATGACATGTATGGTACTAATTTAAGCCTCGAATCTTAATGCAAACCCCTAAACGCGCCGACCGAATATCCAATTCAATGCGCCCAAGTGCGTATAGTAACCAAAACTGCACCCTGCTTATGTACATATCGTACTGTCATTCGTCTTTCCTGCTATAATTACAGCTTCATACCCGTCATCTTAGCGACCCTCATGCTCTGCCTCATACTCAAGTCGAGCATAATCTCCTCGCTACCACCTGGGATAGCGTAGGCGCGAACATCACGGTATAGGCGCTCAACCTTGGCGCCCTGGCCACCACGCGAGTAACTCAGACCACCGAAGATCTGACTAGCCTCACGGGCGCAGAACTCGAATGTGAGGGTACTCTGTGCCTTAAGGCCGGCGATGGGACCGCCGAGACGGAGCATAGCCTCAGTCTCACCCATCTTCTGGCACTGGTAAATCAGGTTCTCAAGCCAGCTGTACGATGCCTCGATCTGTCTCGCCATATGTGCCAGCTTCATTCGGATTACCGGGTGTTCGATCAGCTTCTTGCCGAAGGTGCGTCGCTTGTTTGCGTATTTGACTGATTCCTCGTAGCATACACGCGAGAATCGCAAGCATTGGATGATGATACCAATACGTTCGTGGTTGAAGTTGGTCATGATGACTAAGGTAAGAGTTAGTTAGATACTTGGAATCACGTGCTGGTAGAAAGGTTCGCTATGTGTCTTACCCTTGAAGCCCTGGTTCTCCTTACCAAGGAGATTCTCAACCGGTACCTTCACATCTTCGAAGGTGATGTATGTGGTACCAGACGACCACACACCTTGGCAGTCCATTCGCCTCGTGCTCACGCCGCCGAAGTCACGCTCGATAAGGAGCAAGGAGATACCATTCATGCCCTCACCACCAGTTCGTACGGCGGTAGTGAAGTAATCACACCAGATACCGTTTGTGATCCACTTCTTCTCACCGTTGACGATGTAATGTTTGCCGTCTTCACTTAGCTTGGCCTCGCAAGTTAGGTTGGCAACATCGCTTCCAGCATCGGGCTCAGTAATCGCCAAGCAGATTCGCTTCTCTCCGGACAAGATACCGGGTAAAATTCGATCCTTTAGAGACTTCTTGCCGAACTTGACTAGTGGGGGACCGCCAATGCCAAAACCACCGATCATATTCCAGACAAAACCGCCGGATCCGACACGTGACAGCTCATCGGTGATAGTCAATTCGTGGAAAAGATCCCATTTATCCGGCGATACCGCCTTCACGGTGTTCTTAGTATATTCCACGGGGTAATGCACACCCAACAGGCCAGCGAGGTAACCGCGGCGGCCGGCCTCCAGGAATATTTCGCGTGGGACCTCTTTCTTCTCGTCCCATTCGGTGACGTTGGGTTCGATTGCGCTTTCGACCCACTCCCGGACTTCTTTTCGGAGTGCAGCGTGGGTTTCGTTGACGTATGGAGAGTGGAACTAGACTCGGAAGATTAGCCGAGGCAAGTGGCAATAAGCATGACAACAATCATGCAGTAGAAAGTAAGCAGTAAAGCTTGGAGAAAAACATACACCCTGGTACCAACTGGGGTCTGCGAATGGAATTAGATCGCCATAGGGTTCTAGCGCTTCGGCTTCTTCTTGCGCAGTTGCGGGAACCACGGCTTTTTGAATCTCCTTCGCTGGCGTAGCTACTGCCGGAGCCGGAGCCGGGGCTGGGGCTGGCTCTGGTGCTGGTGCTGGTTCGGCTTTGGGCTTGGTATCTAATGAGCCGACTTGAAGCGACGCCTTGTATTTCTTAAGGATACCATCGTTGTGGTATTTCCAAAATGGCTTGGACGCATCCTTTCCAGCAACTCGAGTCAGGATCTTCTTTCCACCTGCAATTGAACTTCCCGTTAGTTATTTGATCTTTTAAGCTTTTCGGATTTAGACACGTGCATCGCGCGTGGTTTTGACATCCCGAAAGCTAAATTGCGCGGATGCGAAACGGATTGAACGGGATAAATGTTGACATACCAGGGTGTTCATCTTGGAACTTGGTTAGATCGTAGACATCGTCATCGACAATGATCCACAGCGAATCGCCCTTGTTATGCGACGCGACGTCGCTTTTGGAGAAAGTCCCAGACATGGTAAAAGAACGATCAGATATCTGTACAGATGTTTACAGTTGTAATTATACAAGTGGTGTGATGTGGTATAGTATAGTTAAGAAAGAAAATTGAGTTGAAGAAAAGAAAAACGTCAAAAGCTTGAAGATCAAAGTTAAAGTTGGTACAGCGCCGTTCTAAAGCTTTAAAGCTCGGCCATTGCAGCTTCTTGCCGAGCCATCGACAACGTAATCCCCGTAGGTGCTTGTAATCCCGACATGTGATTCCAGGAATTTTAGGGAAGGGTCTCCCCATTTTCGAACCCATGCCGCAAACAGCCACTGAGCTAACTCGCTATGGGTACACTAACCAGCCTCCTAAGCCACTCAACGCATCGCTATTGGCAATGAGAGTCCACTGTATTACTATATCTGGGGCTGTATCCCCAGGTTAGCCTAGGCCGAACAGAAGACACTAATAGAATCTCCGGGGCTTTTCGTGGGGTAAGAAATCATGACTTAGGATGTTTCGGGTTTCCTCCGTCATTACTTGTCCTAAATGATTACGGTCGTATTTTTTCCATTGGCATGTGATTCAAATCCTGAACTCGGTGCTGAAATTTTGTGGAGTGTGTGATGATGTCACCTTTAAGAGGTTTCCGAGTTGTGTGCCTGTCGAAATAGGCCAATTAGAGAAGCGGGATTTCGATGATACCCGGGTTACGTCTGCCGAGGTACAATTTTCAGCTCCACCCATACTAGGTAGCATATCACCGGATCCCTCGCACTTTCCAATTGCAACTGGTAACTTCCTTATGCCGGCTCTAATCACAAAGATTTCGGGCAAGCACATGACATTTATAAAGTTTGCAGTTATTCTAAATCACTGGTCTGTGTTCCTGCATAATTCGTAACTTCCTGGACTCGCGATTAGTAATGTCCAGAGTTAATTTGATAAATTTCCCAGTACTTTTTCTAGGAAGAACATAACAAAACATAACCTGCGCAACAATTCAATAATGAGTCTTTCATCCATATCATCGGCGTGGTCATACTAGGTTTCATGAAGCCTTTCATACTCAATGTGTCACGATGTTGCGATTTTATATTCACAATACTATGATATCTCTCAATACTGACGAAGATCTCTAATCATTTAGTTTGAATCCTTGACGCAGTCAGGATCACAACATTTTATGTTGTTCATCCCATTACCAAACAACCTCATGAAATTGTTCTTGAGCAATGAAGATCACTAATGTCATATAGCATTACTAAATATTGAAAAAGACAACTGCAACGGATCGTCGCGTGTATTAGCGCTGTCGGGAAAATATCATGGTTTGAGATGGGACTATTAAGCGCCAGCGTCTCAGGTTCTGCGACATCGTGGCCAGTGATGTCTTTGTCAACGCTTGGCTAGCGACGAAAACCAAAGCACAGACCACTATTGACACAACACTTCATTGGCCACGATGCTTCAATTGGGAAACCCAGAAATAGAAGTCTTTGTTTCGGACTCACAAGCGACACGATATCTCAAAGGCCTGTCGGTCGCCTTTGTCAATTATCGTCGTAAGGGTTTCCACAGGTTGGGCGCTTGTTTGTTACTGAATCACGGTCTGAATGATGGCTATGTTTCTATTGTATTCTGACTTAAATATGTCCCAACGTCCCTGAGGTCTAGTGACTCTTTATTGTACACATAACACATATTTCCTTCATCTTCATCATCGGTACACGCATAGGACGCTGGATGTCTTCAATTCACATTGCATTTTTTCAATAATTCGTAATTTTTGTGAAATTATTTCTTTCAATTTTACTATTTGAATTCCAAAATTTCTAGGTTTTCCATCATCTCAGCGATACTATTCCTTGACCCAAAACCCACGCTCATTTAAGCCCACGATCATTAGAGGAGGAAAAAAATACAAAATGCCTCTCGCAATCAAATCCCTCGCCACCAAGTTCGGCAAAGGCGCCGCTACCAAGCAGATCTACATCTACGAAACCTGGGCACGCTGGGCAGCCCGCGGGGTGCAGTTCATCCTCGCCATCATCATTGTCGGACTATACGGACACCGCGTAGATGTGGACCGCAAAGCCGGTAATGCGCAGGCCGCCGGGTGGGTATACGCACTCTTCGTCGCTGGCGTGTCCTGCGTGACATGCCTCGTGTACGCGATCCCGAACCCGTTCAACCGCATGCAGCCCCATCGCCTGTTCGCCTGGGATCTGATCCTGTTCGTTCTATGGATCGCTCTATTCGGCACCTTCGCTATGATCTTCCTTAAGCGCGACGGTGGCGATTACGAAGGTACGAGCGTTGCGCTGATGAAGTGTGCTGTTTGGGTCGATCTTGTCAATGCACTACTGTGGTTGGGCACCGGTCTGTATGGCTGCTTCCGCACTTTTGTCGGTCGCAAGGTCAACAACAAGATTGACCACTACCAGAACAAGGTCGAGGATGGGTTTAACGCCAAGGTGGATCAGTACGCCGGTCCGGCTGTCAGCAACTTCAGCATGAAGCTCAACCCCCTACGAGGCAAGGAGACGGTGTAAGATAAGACTAGGGGTAGAGGTTCGCGGTTAAGCGATATGATTGTCGTGGAGATCGGTTTTTTAGGAGTCATGGATACGAGCATTACACACACAGCATTGCGGTCGGTTGCATATACATAGACACTTGCCAGGAAGGCTTTCCGGTCAAGCGATGCCTTCGATAAGTCCTCTTAGATTTCCTATCCTACGGGATACGACGAGGCATAATTAATAACATCTTGATTTTTTTATCACAATTATTCTCCCCTATTTCTACAAGTGGTGGACCCTGAAATTCGTGTATCTAACCCTTCAACCATAATCGCTCAATCTCACTGGTAGTTTCTGTCCATTACAACGAGCCCTCCGGCCACTTGTACGCCGGCCAAGGGAAATCTGGGTCGTATTTGTGTTGAAGACTAACGCTCCCCTCGGGAAATTCCTTCATAGTACCGTCCTTCAGCTCCCTCGAACGCGACTCGCTAACAAAGGTCCAATTGGTACCCCTGATTCCCACTTCCTTACCAACATCCTCCTTCAGCCGACCGACCCTTTCCGGCAAAGGCGAAAAGTCCTTCAGCACCTCTGGGTCGGTGCTAATCTCGTATTCACCCGGGTACGCCGTGAGCGAGGCCGGCTGGTCGTAGCGGTACTCCGGGATGTTCAGGTCGCCCTCAGTATCGCCAAGGATGACGGGCTGCTCGAAGTCTTCCTTCACCGGCATCTCGACCCCGCAGTTGTCCAGGTCTTCCCAGATGCTGATGTTGCCGATCTCGTAGTTGATGCTCGCGATAGGCAGGTTCTCGACTTTGGTCAGGATCTTCGATAGCACTTCCGTCGACTCCGCCATTTCGTCCTCTACTTCGTCCTCGCTGGCGAAGTTCTCTACGTACCATATCGCGCCTTTGAGCAAGAATAGCTCGTCGATTAGAACGAAGGGGCCGGTGCGGCCGGCTTCGCTTTCCTTGCGCCGGATGTATGCGTGCGGTTTGTCGAGGTAGTCTTCTGGCGCTTTTTGGATTATGAGCTCGATCATGGTCGCGAATGGTGCCATGGTGCCGAATTCGAATTTTTTCTTGAATGATTTGAGTTCACCGTCGGAGAGATCTTTCATGAGGTAGGCATTGAGCTTTGTGTTGTCTAGGAGGTTCTCCCATATGTAAACCATTTTGAACACGTAATTTGCTTTAGTCTGTAAGATCGTGACTGTAATTGATATTGATATTGATACCTACGTCGGTCGATAGAAGATGGTGAGAATTGAATGAAGTTGGATTGATAGGAGCTTATTTAACTGCTTGGAATTGTGGTTCCTGGAAGATCTCGTGGCGGTGTTGGAGGCACAGCTGTGGGGGAAAACAAATCAGACCCGACAGCTGCCTAGAACCTCGCTGTCTTTGCCGGGGTCTTCCAGATCGTGGTTCCCAATAGGAACTTTTTGTTCAATCATTGTGTTAGGCAGCATTGCATGGATTGTGAAGAATTGACATGCTGATACCTGGGATATCAGTTTGAGATGACATGCAGTTTATCATGTTATTATCTTATTATCTTATTCAAAATATCAAGTCGTGCACCTACCTCAAACATCACTCTTGACTAAGAGGATGTATTTACATTCGATTCAATTTTTCATACGGGACATTTTCAATATTTAAATACCTAACTAGACACATACCTATGAGGATAACATATATGAATCAAACTTCATACCAAAACTAGGTAATATTAACGACCATCAATCCTACCACGCTTTTGATATGGAGATATCATCAATTTGGCAAAATGGGTCCGGTACCTAGTTCAAGCCATAGAAGATCGTCTCCGTCCGTAGATCCAGATATCTCTGGACTCTGACTACCTCCAGGGGCTCCTTGAGTTACCCCGGTCTCCGACTGATTAGGAGGTGTCTGTTGATCAGGTTTCAGTACCAACTTGGAAAAGAACCTCCCTAAATACGAAGAGGGAACAGGCTGTTGAGGTTGAGCGGAATTTGACGTTGCAATTCTTACCACCCCATTTTCTTCATCTATGATTTCCAGTCCGCGTTGCTCAGCCATGTGTCTCTGTATCACCTTTGCTTCGTTATCTAGGTCAAGGTCAACAAGGAAATCAAACACGTCATACCACTCCCTATGCTTCTCTGCCATATCTAGGTCACATATTAGCTTCCACAGCTCTTCAGCAGTGGCTGTACTTGCGAATTCGCAGATACGGACAACAATCTTTGCAGTCGCTATAATTAGATCGACATTAAGCGTTCCAGCGGGTTGTCGAAACTCAATGGTCCGCTTGGGCTGGTTGTCGATATTTATTGTTTGGTCCCTATTCATCCTAAATCTGCGATAATGCTCATGATTGTAAGCATTGAAATTGTAGGCCAGTCTGTTGACCCACTTATACCCCATTAGATCTGAGACGATAGGTGCACTCACACAGGAAAGTAGCTCTCGAGCAGCTGGTATAATACCTAAGGGCGTTCCCTCATGACTCTCGGAATGTCGGTTGACTACATAGTCTTGATAACTTGCATCAAAATCCCTCCTTGAAAATGCGTATCCTTCTAGAGAGCCCCGCGGAAAGATGGATGTGAAATTCCTTGATCTCTTGACACTGGGTCGTGGTGTTTTCTCAACTTCCGGGACTTTGGATTCAGGTACTGTTTCAGGTTGCAATTCAACTTCTATCGGCCTTCGGGAAATACGAGTAATACTTTCCTGGGCATCCTGAGCACGCCACCCGTGTGCCAAGTTACAATAAAGACGATTGCTCCTACACCATCGTTGTCCTTCCAGTCGTCGAACAGCTGGTTGTATCTGTATCAATATCGGATCAGCTGCATATAACAGGGCTGCAATTCTGCGCAAGTGGTCTAAGGGGATCCAATCTTTGCATCGACCATAGTGGACATGCAAGCCTGCACTCCTAGGGGTAACTAACCAGAAAGTATCACGAAGCGTAGTGATGACATGGTGAATTTCAGCGTATGAATTTTCCGTGGCACGGAGGGCGGGTGAAGTTATTTCAATATCCACGAAATGGTAGTTATTGAAACCGGAATCCCTTATGGCGTATTCCTCATTCAGATACACACTTGCATCCCTCTTCACGTCCCAATTAACGGCAAAGTTTTTCAAGTGCCATGAATTCTGATCGCCCAGTAGTTCGGCTTCGGAGTTGACAATACGATCGCCTTCATGACCTGCCACTGCTTCCTTGATACGTTGCTTAATGGCATCTATGACTTGTGGAGGTGTGCCAAGATGCCACTCATAGTTTTCATCGTCAAATCTTATTGGGTTCCCCTTAGCAGTTTGAAACATCCGAGGTTTGGTTCTCGGGTTTTGTCCTACCTGAATGCCCACGACGCATTCAAGTTCCACCCCTATGCTACTGTTGATATTTTCCATGTCGAAGTTAATGAACACCGCTATAAACCTGTAATGATCGGTTCTGACTCGCTTAGAGATATCGTCGGTGAGGACAATCCTATTATAATAAATTTGAAATATAAAACAGTGACTCAACAACCCGATTGTTCACCCCATGTTATATGCGCGAAGAATAACATTATCTCTAGAACATGCATGTTTCTTTACAATACCTAGGTAGGTGACTAAACCCAACTAAGTATATGGAATTCGTACCCAAATATGTTTTCCATCTAATGTAAAGTTGAGTTCCAATTGGAAGACAGAGTAATACTGCCGTGTGGTTCAGTTTTCTATTCACATTATAGAAGCATGAAACTTACCTTGAAATCAAGTGTATCAGGCGGGCCTTGAAGCTGACATTATGAGATTCTTAATGTAATTACTCCAGGTTTCTCAACATAGATATTGTTTAAAACGAGCTATTGTATTTAACACCCAAGTCTATGTAAACAGCATTATAAACCATCAAAGGAGGGCATCGTAATGGTTGAGCCTCTGACAAAGACATATAAAGAAAAGTCCTACCAAATATAGACTAAAACAAACAGGATAAAATCGTAAAACTCATAACAGGATAGCCACCAAAAACCGAGTCTTTCAAAATACTCCCCCACCCAGATCTAATTGTAAAACACACCCAGCCGATTCAATTGATTAATCAATGCCATGCAACACGTCTTCTTTCCGTAATTCGTGGTATGTGCCGATATTCGTCATCTAGCAGGTATCTTTCGCGAGGCGAAGAGATCCGTTGCATCGATGTGCAGTCGTGACAGTAATTTCCGTAGTAAAGTTCCCGATGCTCGTAGCATCCATGGCATCGGCGGGTTGATGAATATGACGACCACATGGGAGACTCGTAGTGCGAGCTACGCCTCGTGATAGAAAGGGAAGAGCGTCTGGGATACGCGTACTTGTCACTGAACCGTAGAGAGGATCCCGGTGCGTTGTAGATGACTGCCTCGCTATCTTTCAGGCCATGCTTGTCGATGACTACCTTCCCCTCGTTCACGATATAGTATTGTGTCCCATAGCCGCTATGGCGGTGCTCACGTGAGAGCGAAAAGCGGTGAGCCAAATTGCGACTTGGGCTGTGGCTCCAATAATGGTCATCATAGTAGCAAGGCATTATGTAAGCTGTTGTTTCGATGTTGTTGCGATATTTTTTTCGTGGGATTTTATGTTATTTTTGGTGATTGGATTGATACTGATATGGTAATGATATGGCATGAAGTATTTTAAGAAAGTTTCTCGAGACTTGCCGAACTTTTATAAGAAAAAGAAAGCTGGCAATTGAGACGAGGCTCCGGCCCCCAGAGGGCTATCCATGCGGGCAGGCAAACTTTGGCATCCATGGATGTCGCACATGCGCAGGACGCAGGCCGGCGCTTACATGACCGCACACATGAGATGCATGGATGCCGCGTTCACCGCATCCAAAACATATGTTAGTAGATAGTTGAGCTCAGCCGCAGAGGGCGAGACGCCAGACGCCAGACGCTAGACTAGCATCTGACATCACTTTTCATGTCTTGACTGATCATGGATTAGGAGGCTCCGGAGACTTTTGAGGCTTAGTACGACTGCCTAATCGGAATCCATCTAGATATGCATGCATCCATTACCATGGTTCACCTGCAGACTTTGCAGTTCGCCACTATACCCCCCCTGCCCCCTTCCGTTAAGGCTGGCTGTGTTCAGAATGCGTATGTCATCTATCGGGTACCACCGCGCAGCATTACACTCCCCGCATGAGTAAAGCTGAGCAGCAGTTCCCCCGGAAATAAACCTTGCGGCTGAGTTGGATTGATCTTATCAGGGGGGGCGGTTTGCGAGACATCATGAACTTCAGTGACGCATGCATCCATGGACAAGTCATCAAATGACCTTAATCAATAGAAAGCAATCGAAAAAATAGCAAACAAATGAGCATGGAAATGGAGAAAGTGGTTTATACATGTTGAAAATATTTGTAGTCATTTAGAAAGTGTGGCGTGGTAATTCATACTTGACTCTTAGTAGGTATGATCTGGTAACGATGATAGCCAATCGAAATTGAGGTTTTATATTAAGTGCAAGTTTGAAAAGGGAATAACTACTATCATATAACATCCCTTAGGTACTAGGTAGATAAGAAATAAGAATAAGATCGAATCTAATTTCCAGGTACAGAATAGTCTCACGCGGTCTTGGAAATCGCATTTTCGGAATAGGTAGGAAACTGCGACCCCATTTTTATGCACGTGTTCCCGAATATTTACAGTGGTCGGGCGGAGCCCCGAGAGGCCATATTTCTAAAGTTCCGAGTTATTTTGTTTGAGTTCGTCCTAACAACATTATTCATTCGGCAGCTGGGCAGCTTCTACGTTTTAAAATCTCACAACGAGCCGACCGGGCCAACCACATGAATCATTCATAGGTATTTTTTCCACCTATTGTTGTTTTACCAGTTATTAAGATAAACATGAGGATTGTGATTGTTTCTAGAAGTACAGATGTCACATGCACAGGCTGTAAATATTAAGCTACAGGACTCCAACTACCCAACACCCTCCCAACAGCAATGCCCCCTAACCAATTGGATCCCATCCTTTCGGTGTACTCCGCGATTACCTAATGCTTGGCTGCCTCACCATTGGATCCCGAGTTACTGACCCCGCGATGATAACCTGGTAAGTGTTAATAACATCATCAACATCAAAATCAATAAGATTCTTGTTGGACATTTTCAATTTGCCAAATGAGTAACAAGGGACGGTGATCTCTATCCATTAGACCCTTATCGGCCCGCCACTTGGCCTTGTGCGGGCCGGGTATCAATTCGGTTGGATTTCAACATACTGATTGCGGTGTTCTAGAGCGTGGGCATGACAGAATGACTGTTCTTCCAGTTAGGTATCAATGACTTAACAACAATGCGGCTATTGAAATCTGGACCTAGAATAATAGCACTTGTCTACGTATGTCTAAGTTACGTTTCACATATTTACCTCTTATGGGTCACATTCGTGTAATTGGAATATCCTCAAATCGTGTGGCGTCTTTTTTTCAGTGGCTGTGCTTCCTCAGCTCTAGCGGTTGTCCCCTAAAATTTAGCGGACAGACTAGGTACTATTACGTTCATGTCTTAGCCTACCTACCTACCTACTTATGTAATATCTGAAAGGCTAGGAGCGTGGCTGATGCGCCAAACTTTTGACTGAAACTTTTGTATCGGAAGGAAGACGAAATACGAGCAGCTAGAGCCAGAATAAATTTCAAGACGGATAGTATATCATAGCCAAACTGCATGTTTGATTCCGCTTTCCAAGCCCTCATTTAGACTGGCAACTAGAACCCACACATCACCTCTCTCCCCACCAATATCATATATTTCTACCCCGCTCCCCTCTTGTCCAACCACCACAACGTAGTAATCATCGTCGCTAACGCGCATACCGCGGATAGTATCGAGGTTAGTCCGTATAAATTTGATTTCTTGCACTTTCCTGCCATCGTTCGAGAGCAATATTATAGCGATAGCATCTCCTGGCTGCAGCTCTTGTGAGACGTTTTTAAGATGCGGTTCGCGCTCTGCAATATGCCTTTCCCACCTATTGGTAACATATAGGACAGTTGGAATATTGGGATGCAGGCAAATTTCCGAGGAGTCCATCATGGACTGATGGTCGGGATGGACACTCAGAGGGATAACGTTAGGCGAAAAGCCCTCAATGGGCTGGATGTTTTCCGCGGGAGAGGCTGACAATTCGAAGGCAACGACAGTGTGTGAGAGCTCCCCGATAACATACATAGTTTTTCCTGTCATCTATATTAGTTGCATCTTGTAGGCTGAATCTTGAGAGTTCCGATATATACCATCGGGCGTTATCACAGCGTGCCGAGTGCCCGTTCCCGGTGAGCATTGAAGCCAGCCAGATACTTCCAGCTTCATCTGATCGCGGCAGAGAATCCACACGCGATCTGCCCCCAAGTCTGGAACGTAGAGAAGACCTCGCCTATCCTCGAGTATCTGGTGTGGGTGGCATTGACACTGTCGACCTTCATCTGGACCGTGACCGGCTGATTTGTAGGGAAATTCTAGTAGAATTTCCGTTCAGGGAGCATCCGCAAGTAAGAGCCCGGCATTCTCAGTGATAGAGATAGGATACAAAGCAGCAGATTGTCCTATATACTATGTATTGTGAGTGTATGACTCTAACGATGTTTATCATCGTCTGTTACTCACAGTACTGAGTGCCAGTCCGGAGCTGTCGTGTAGCGCGATGACTATCCAATGATGATGAGCAGCATATCGAGGATGATGGTAAGGCACATTATCACATACAATGAGCAGGTGCTCCGAGAGTTGGCTGTTGACTCGTAATTTTGCAAGTCTCTTGCGTGTGGTCGATTTCAAATGTGTACAAGAGACCGGATTCCGAACGCTCAGATATGCCTATCAGACGATCAACGTCCCTATTTGAGAGCGATGGCTCAATCCAGGAGACATTCGGGGGAGCTGAATAATTGGAGACAACACTCAACTCCTTTTTTTCTGGGTCGAAGGCGAGCTTGGTGATATTGGCTCGATCACCAGAGATAAGAAGCATGCGTTTCATGGTATGTAAAGAGAACTGCGAACAGAACATGAGAGTATGCGATGTAGGACTTCCATTGAAAATGATTATGTGCGTTGGAATGATCGGATGAATTGAAGGGGTCGGAGATAATGCTTGTACATAGTTGGGTAATTGACGACATGGACGTACGCCATGACCGAGTGCAGTGCTTATACTCCTTGTATCAATTATCGAGGTAAAGGATATTCCACGTGAACCTTGTCCTTCGATGATTTCGTCGTCACTAAACGACTCGTCGGTCCTTATGAAAATGCTTCTCCCGATTCCGGCTCCACTACCGTAGGCGCGCCGGGGATAATTGCCAGAAACCACCTTCCGAGGAAGAAAACTCCGATCGGCGATTTTGCCTCGCCCCGCCAGTTCCACTTGGCAAGTCCGATGGCGTACGCCCCTGAATGCATCGTTATATGGGGTACGGGGTGCGCTTGACTCTTTTGGCCTAAATGACGACGTCAATGAGGGGATGGCTGAAACAACTTTTCTTTATATCCTCGGCTTCGATTTCTCTTCCTATCAATGTGAACCGAAGCAAACAAATTTGCATTTCTCAGGCATAATGGCGCCGCCAACTCATTTCACACTCAATACGGGCGCGAAGATTCCGGCTGTTGGTCTCGGTCAGTATATAGCGTTTGCGTTAGTGAAGGCTTGATTGCTAATGTTGTCGGTTCGCAGGAACCTGGCAGTCCAAGCCCGGCGAGGTTCAACAAGCGGTGGCATTCGCGCTCAAGGATGGATATCGTCACATAGACGCAGCATTGTAAGCCAAGGCACGAGCTCCCATGTTGAAGGGAATTGCCGTTTCGCTGACCAAGATACAACCCAGAGTTTATGGTAGGCTAGAATGAATGATCGATGGTATATGTCGAAGATTGGCCTAATGATTATTCGTAGGCAATGAGGCCGAAGTTGGTCAGGGCATCAAGGATAGCGGGGTGCCTCGCGAAGAAATCTTTCTCACCAGTAAGGTCTGGAACAGCCATCAGCCTAATGTTAAAGAAGGTCTGCAGAAGAGTCTCGACGCTCTGGGGGTAGACTATCTTGATCTCTATGTAAGGTGCCGTTTCTGCTGTACAAGACATCAATGAGGCCTAGACTAACCATATACCTGAAAGCTTGTTCACTGGCCTGTTCGATTGGTACCGGTAAGTTCCACGCCTCTAGCTGTTGGGCTCTTTGAAGGCTAATTCTGATTAATCCAATCCACAGAACGAGACGGGAGAGCTTTTCCCTTTAAACCCCGACGGAACGCGAGCGGTCGATCGATCATGGGATCAGAGTGAGACTTGGCGGCAGATGGAAGAAATCTACAAGTCTGGAAAGGTCAAGGCTATTGGTGTATCAAATTGGTCAATCCCATATCTGGAAGAGCTTCGCAAGACGTGGACGATCGTCCCAGCCGTGAACCAGGTCGAGTTGCACCCTTATCTCCCTCAACATGAACTCCGAGAATACTGCGAAAAGCTCGGGATCCTTCTCCAAGCCTATTCACCTCTTGGTTCCACTGGTATGTTCCTAAACCCTTCGAGATACCCCATGTTTTGTGATTCTGAAGTTGTTTGAAAGAAAAAAAAGCTAATTGTGGGATTGAAACTCGACAGGTGCGCCCATAATGACCGACCCCGATATCCAGAAAATTGCCGACAAGAATGGTGTCTCGGCCGCCACGATCCTCATCAGCTACCATGTCAACAAGGGCGTGGTAGTACTGCCCAAGTCTGTCATCGAGAAACGCATATCCTCAAACAAAGACGTTATTTCGCTTTCTAAAGAGGATCTCGATGTGCTTGATCAATTAGCTGCTAGTGGCAAAGCGAAGCGATTGAACACGCCTCTATGGGGCTTCGATCTCGGTTTTGCTGATTGGTATGGCCCCGTAAAGTCACGGTAAAAGAAGCAGGGTGCAGGGTCAAACGCGTATCATAGGAAAAGCCTAGAATTTATGGATCCGCGAAAAATATTACCGACTTGCACCTGTGGACCCCCACTAGTTCCAAATATTATCCACTAGGAACACGCTAAGCCCGGTGTAAATTAGCATTACATGTACCTAGATTGCAGCACAATCCACCATATATCGTTAACACTGCTGTCGCCTTTATCAAATTTGTAACTTCCCCTACACAAGTTCGTGCTACCGCGGGCGCTATAAGATAAAAGTTTCCGGCTAATTGTCATAATACTCCGTTCAATCGCGAGGAAGTTCTAGTATTAGAACGGCGCCTTGTTTCGGCAGTCTAAGACCACAGTTTTAGGTTAGCAACAAAGTCAACGATCCCCTCACTTACAAGCGCGATTGGGCAAATTTATTCGCATGAACAAACTCTAATCCAGTCATCTTAGGTACCAAACACCATATCCATTTCCCATCGAATAAGTCATCTTGTCTACTTAAGACCCTACTTCGAATAAGGCGCAGACGCAACCCCCTCCTTCAAAGCCTTCAACCGCAAAGCAAGCAACTTTGAATGGTACCTTGTAAACGGCAAGTAACCAACCATAAGCCACAAATTGCGCACCCCAGTCTCTCGATAAGCGCCCCGGAACTCGCCTTCCTCGTCGATCCCCCAGATGGGACTAAACTGGTCCGCTATCTTGTCTCCAAGCGTAGCGCGTATGGAGTCGATGGTGTTGGTGAAGCCGGTCGCGAAAACGATTAAGTCGAACTCGCGCTCGCGACCGCCGCTTAGAATCACTTTGTTATCCGTGAAGCGCTCGATAGAACCCTGCTCTACTTCGATTTTGCCGTTGATGATGTGCTCGCATGCACCTGCGTCGTAGTAGAAGCCCCCGTTGCGCGTCTGGCCCAGCGTCGCATTGCCGGTGCCGCGCTGACCGCGCCATGTCCGAAGTCCGCGCGCATGGAGCCCTTCGAGTAGTGGCCCGTCCAGGTCCTCGAGGATCTTGGCCGTGCGTCTGGCGAATTCCTCGGCGGGACCGGTGGGAGTCGCGAAGAAAATTCGGTCCTGCTCTTCGAGATTCGGTCGGTTTAGGTCCGCGTCTGGGGCGTAGTCGCCGATCATGCGTGGAATGCAATGAGTTAGGGACATGATGTAGGTTGGCGACCGCTGTAGAAGTGTGACATCGATACCGCGACGGGAGCAGTCAAAGGCGGTGTCGAAGCCTGAGGACGAGGTGCCGACTACGCAGACTTTCTTGCCTACGAAGTCCCGGGAACTGTCGTGTGCGGACGAGTGGCGGATGACGCCCTTGAAGTCGGACATACCAGGGATGTCGGGGATCATAGGTGTGCCGAGCAAGGAGGTAGCCGTTACGATCTGCTTGGGATGAAGGGTTCGAATCTCCTTACCCCCTTTATCCACCACGACAGTCCAATTGCCTTGATCGTCTTGATCGGCTTTAACAATCGATGATTTAGTCCAGATGTTGAGCTCAAGAGCCGAGGCATACCACTCCATGTATACCCCCTGCTTTTGGGCTGGTGTGTACGTGGGCCAACGTTTAGGATAGGGGAAATAGGGCAAGTCGTCGGCCCAGTGGGGAAAATGAAGCGACAAGTACTCGTAACGCTTCTTCCAGATATCACCAACCCTCTCGCTGTGCTCTATGATGAGATTATCCATACCGAGCGCTTTGCACCGGGCAGCCAACGCTAGTCCGCTATTGAATCGTTAGCACTTATAGATGAAATCAAGGAGGTTAGGGGATATGCTGACTTTTGGCCACCTCCGATGATTAGAATCTCGGGATCGGCGGCGTCAACATCAATTTCTCTCTGCTTCTCCCAGCTGACAGAGCCAGTTATGTGTCCCTCATTAGAGGGAATCTCGGGAAATTCTTTTAATCTCTCAGCAACAGTGTGCATGGTATATATCTTCCAGCCGTCTCGAGTGAGGACGGCGTTGACGACAGCGGAAGCCACAACGACCTCGGTCTCAAAGGATATGACGAATTGAAGCTGGGCATAATCGGGGTAGGGCCGGTCAATCTTTGGGGCGGGTTTGAGGAACTCTAGATTGGTGGCCTTGGTGTTAGGAAAAAGATCCGTGGCCGCCTTGAGAATTGCTGGTTTGAAGTTGAAAGTACGGTAATCCCAGGTGAATGAGAGCTTGTCCCGCCAAACGCCATATTCAAGGAACATATCCGTGAAGCCTTGCGCGTCACCTCTGCCTAAAACTTCAGAGAGGCGAGTCACCATGGCCGTAGCCTCTGTCTGGGCATTGCAGTCGAGGGGAATCTTGACGCCCAAAACATTAGAAGTTGGAAGCGCGTGATTATACTTAAAGTCGTACATGTAGTCGTCGGTGACTGGAGGTTTCTCGGCAGACTCAAGCTCGGCCTGGCTGACGCCGACCTTGTCCTTGGGAAGACATATATCAACGTTATTAACAATAGAAGGCTCTAGATTGTTGACGTAAGAAGCCATGGTTCTCATGAATTCTGCGAAAATATAACGGTTACCAAGACGAAATCTCACGAGGAGCGACATAACCAGGCATATATCCCATCCCACCCGCCTCTGTATCCTGTACGGTCTTCACATATTAATTTTCCCGGACGACGTATTACACACGTGTCATCATATCGGGCGAACAAGAAAGTGATCCGGAGTATTCGCTTGTATATACCTAGGTACCTAATAAAAAGAGTAAATCCGCTGGCCTGCATCTGTCACGGAGATATCTCATCTAATTGAAGCGAAAACTTTAGACTAATATTATTATCATACTAACTACTGAGGTACGCGTATAACAAGTATTCAAAGATTTTTAATAACCTTGAGTTTCCTCACTATTACCTCACCTCTTTTGCAATCGATTGAAAACGTCTCTATGCATGCTAAGCTGGTTGATTGAATGCGTGCCAGGTAAGTATCTCCGATTAACGTCGCTGTACTGTACTTGACAGGATCATGCACTGTAGATCACTGTAATCATAGCGTCAAGTAGCGGTTGCGCTTTCTAGTAAATCAAAACTGCAGGTGAACGGACTTACTGTTCTTGTCAACCTTCCAGAATCCTATTGGCCCATTTCCTCATCTCTACCAGGGTGCATCCCCGTAGGTAACTACCCCGCATCGACGGACACCCCGCATAAAACCCCCACAAACATTCACGCGCATAAGAGCTGATTCTTCTACAGGTCTTCTCCGTACCTACATACCTCCTATATATCCGATCCCTTCCTTCACTCAAAAACAGCCGGAGCGACGCGACCGGCCAAATCAATATCGGATGAAATGATGCATCGCTCACGCAGTGATCAGGCAGCCTACGACGATGAGGCGGACGAAGATCCGAGGCCCCGCAAACAGCGAAAACAGCGACCGTGTTATAGTTGCGCAGGTGAGGCGCCCAGTGAACCAAAATAGAATAGGCAAACTAATATGAGGATATGTACCTAGAATGTCGCAGACTAAAGATGAGATGCGATAGACAAGGTAAAATTATCTATACCATATTTCACAAAGAATTTTAAGGCGTCCAAATGCTGGAACGTCGCTACAGAGCCATGTGCCAACTGTATTCGGCGACACCGGGTTGAATTTTGCATTGCTGCGACTGGTACAAATTATTCCCGGTTCGTTATATTTTTAGGGCGGTCTAACTATACATACTAATTTCAGCGAACTTCGATACTATAGCCAAAGTTCTAATTGGCATCAAATGCCCCAGAAGGACACTGAACAAGCTGAACCCGAAAATCGTCAGAACATTTCACCTCACAATGTCTTAGAGGAGCCCCAGGAAACCAACTCTGTGCAGCAGTCAGTTGACCACGACCTAATCCAAGATAATCCCAACAACTATAATGAGTTCAATCCCCTCCCCCTTATCAACCACGCGTTTGATCACTATACCGTTCCCGATGCGACTAGTAGTTCCGACAACCAACCTAGACATTCTATCGATCATGGCCGGCAGGGCGACTCCCACGGCACCTTGATGTTAAGTACAAGAGGCAGATCTAAGTACCTAGGTCCGACCGCAGGAAGCGAATGGTTGAAGGAGGTAAGCCATCTCCCCGTCTAGCTTAATAGGTCCGCAATGAACTGATATATAGTAGTCAGAAATGCAGGACGTACCGGACAGTCCATTGATGACCCGTGTGACATCACCGGAACTACGGCAGGACCCAGCTCCCTCTCAGCCTAGCCTTTCAACATCCTACACAACCTCGATCGGCTTTCCTGTTAACGCCTCCCCGGCCCACATTAGTACTCGACATTTACTCTCATGCCTACCTCCAAGAGATGAGGCATGGTCACTAGCAGAGTCGTATTATCGCTACTGTGCATGGCAGTGAGTGCTGCATACTAGAAGCGTCTAGAAGTCAACTGATGAAAATCCAGTCACGACGTCGCTCCTAGGCCTTCATTTGAAAAGACATTCGACCGAATCTATAAGCACGCAGAAAAATATCCCTCCTCTTCTCCTATAAATCCCCAGGAGATCGCACTCGTTTACATTATCATGGCTCTAGGAACAGTGTTTAATATCGAGATGCCCAATTATGATTCGTCTGCGGAAGATTGGTTGCATCTTTCGGAGCGGGCTTTGGTGAAAGGCGATTTTTTATCAAATAACATGGTCGCCGGTCTGCAAACTCTGGTGTGTTAAATAGTGGCTTGTTGCTGGTTAACGCGCTAATGTTTTAGCATCTAATGGCGCATCTTCACCTGTTCGTATACCTATCCCGGGCTTTCTCATGTCGCTGACATCCGGACAGAATTTTGGATAAAGGTCGACGCGGCGATAATGCCTGGCCACTATGGGGTTTGGTCATGCGTTTGATTCAAGCGGTAAGCTTCGCTCTTTAGTTAGATTTGTAGGCTGAGGCCAACTCAAAGCGATAGATGGGTATGCATCGGGATGGTGACCGCTGGAATTTATCGCGGGATGTTGCTGAGGAAAGACGCAAGGTATTCTGGGAATGCCATTCTGCAGACATTTTCCAGGCACATTGCTTCTCTAGGCCGTATGCATTAGGTACCTAACCCTACAAATTCAGGGCAAAACTCACGCTAGGTAGATCCGCTATTAATCCCGACCATTGCGATACTGCATTCCCAAGTGAATCGCCCAAACTAACCGGCGAAAAGGGCTACTCAATTCTCCGATTTGAATTATCTCAACTGTCCTCCGAGTGTGTATCCTTAATCAAGTCGAAGTTGGAATTATCGCTAAGTCAAGCTTCAGAATACTTAACATGGCGATGAAGATACGGAAACCAGCGTACTCCGATGTCATGGATCTTGACCTTAGGCTGTATGTACTACCCGTTACTACTGCAACAGCTTAGGTATATGCAATGCTGAGATATTGCAGCCGCGAGTTCGAACAAAATATTCCATTCTCCCTTCGTTGCCGAGCGGCGCTTTTAGCCACTCCATCTCGTTACCCCCAGCTTAGCGCAGCAATCGAAGCGTCTCCAGAACCATCTCGGAGGTCGTTAGCTATTTCGTTTCAGGTCCGTAAGCCCCTACCAATCCCACCAACCCCACTAACACCGAAGCCTACCACACTAACGCTAGCCCAGCAAACCAATCTTGCGCTGAATGTCTCCGAGACGATCATTAACCTCCATCGACCTTATTACGCAAAGGCACTTTACGAGGTCGATAGTATTGAATCCATATACAAATCTTCGTTTTATACTGTGATTGAGCGTTGCGCAGTAAGAAAACACTTGCCAAAGCCATTCTTTACCAATAATAATCTAGTTTTCTTTGGCAGATTATAATCAGTATCGTTGCTGACATCCACGCTCGCTTTCCAGCTGTCAGTACTAGACAGTGGAACTTTTGGGTAAGGAAATCCACGCATCCTCGTTGCTTCAGATCAACAAGACTTACACTTATCTCCAGTTCCATGTATTCAACTCCGCCTTGTGTTTGGGGACATTACTGTTGCGCGATCCGGGCAACGCCATGGCTAGTTTTGTTCTCGCACAAATTGATGCCGCCATCGATCTATTCACCTCGCTAATCCAACACGGCGCTCGTACCCCTCGTTACAAGAGTAATCTGCAGTGGCTCTTGAACCTGCGCACGAGAGCCTTGTCCAAGATTCCCGACGCATCTATAGATACGGACCGGCGAAGTCGCAGCGGACGCCACGACGAACATAGAGAGCCTGATGAAGAGGATGTGGAGCTGCTTGGTTGGCGGACTAGACTTATAGAGCGAGTAGGCCATGGTCGTCAAAAGACCGTCACGACTATCCACCGAACAAGTCCTCCGACAGGTACCCAAACGACAAATACCATGAGTTCGCCGTTGGACAGAAATCATCTCCATAGTCAACAGGGAACTGCAGATATTGTAATGCCCAGCACGGCACTATCCGAGATGAATTGCGAGTCGACAAACGACATTGTGAGATAAACAACTGGACTGCCGATGACCAAAGCTGACCTATTTCGCAGCTACGCGACTTCTGGGATCCAATGCTCCTACAGGATGTTTTCGGTCCTCCCAATGACCAGCCCGTTCGTTTTCGCTTTCTTGTAGCCAAAGGGTCCAGTAACTAATGAATTGAACAGGCTTTTCTCGTCAATAGAAATACATGGTGGGACGACACTGCAGATACTTCTTAAGAGTTGGGTTAATTGATGTTCGTAGCTTAATCGATGTGCGTGTTCTTGAAGTAGAAATGAATTTTTTCGTCGATTGGTGACTATTTTCTTTACTGGTTAGTGGTTTCACTGCAACTGTGTGGCGCCTTTTTGGCGATTGAACCCCCCGAGCCATAGTGATCATCCCCTAAGGTTGAGTGGACGTGCGCCTACGGTTTCTGTAGCTAGTACGCACCTCCGGGCTAGGTACCAAGCGAAGGAACGTCGCTTCTTCATTCAACAGGCGATATGCAGCAAATTCAATTGATCTGGTAATGTAAGGCCATTACTCGCCAAGTAAAGATGATTTATTATAATGATGAGTATGCATACGAAGTAGTCAATGCGAATAGAAATAAGAGTTATGCAAGGTGTTGTTGCTCGAATATGTAGGTGGCTGCATCCAACTGATAGAAAGGATAGGATAGGATTGAAGCTGCTAAGTGATAATAAAGCGAAAGAAATTATGGAGGTGGGGCTGGCCAAAATTCATGGGAAGCAATAGTAAGGTTATATATCTAAAGAAGAGCGCGCATCATAACAATTCTTCAAGGACCTATTGAAGACAATGACTTAGCTCAATTGGAAAGCCGTGTGTATGAACCGCCTGCTAGGTAGGAGGTCGGAACCACGGTAGCTAGGGAGTTCGAGACGGGTTCGTGGGACTTGTTGTCATTTTTTTTTTCAGTCATACATTTCGCGGCTACCTACATAAACAAAACTCTACCTAAATACACAGTCATGATTATATGCAATTATGTAATATTATAGGTAGCTGAAATTTAGGTTACAGGATAGCAATAAAACAGGAAAACCTACTGCGCCGTTACCCGCTGGGAACATCATGGTGCATTTTTGCAAGACGCATTTCGGGTTCGGACCAAAAGTTCGAACCTCAAAAAGCCGTGTAAATTGTAATATCCGTGTCGATGTTGGGACTTCCGTTTCTTGATTGATCCGTCTGCCTAGGTGAGTACCTATGTATTTCATCATTTTTCTGATATAAAGATGTTTAGTAAGTGCGTTTACGAATTCAAATACTTTTGGTTTCATGCGAGTGCCTTGATATGTTGACTCGTCTGTTGATTCCATAGACTTCGCAGCCCACAAAAATGGCAGATGACGAGGATAATGACACACTACTAGCCCGCCATAACAGGCGCGGCGATGATTCCGAGTCCGATTTTGATTCTGACGAATTTAGTGACGAGACGTAACTTTCATGATGTCGAGTTTTCGCAATTTGGTTTATAGTCTATTATTTAGATACTTTTATATTGGGTGGTTATAAGTACATCCATTATTATTTGCTGTAACTTATCCTAATCTGATAGACGTGGCAAGAAACGCCTCGTGTGTCATCTGCCCAGCGTCTACGAGTACTTTTTCGCTCTTTAACTTGCCCATAGCTACTTCATATTTCTCCAACGTAATAGTCTTCTGCGTCACAAACGCCTCAACCTCTGGTAGCGTCCTAAACTCCACCTCACGCCTCTTCCACTCCTTTTCGCCCACATGTTGGTGTAGCTGCATGAAGGGAAAGCTATCTTGATCATTGAATCCAACTGACATGAGCATGTGCAGCCCTGATTCCTGCGACCACTTAACGAGGTTAGAGAGCTCCCTCTTCTCATGCCCTGGCATTTTCGCCTCTTCTTCCTCCAGGACGCGTTTGTAGATGTTGAGATACTTGAATTACCGCTCGGCGAGCTTTGGAGGCTTGTTATTTTCCCACTCCCACTCTCCGTTGATGGGTCTATCTTGGAGAAGCCACCACGGCGCCGAACCGAACAGCTGGGCGGGTCCAATATATGACCACTCGAGGTCTACTACACCCACGACAGTGAGGTCTTCTCTACTTCAGACAATAAGATTCGCTAGGCCGAGGTCGTCGCAAATCAGTTCGAACTTCCCGCCATCATAGTTCTTGTTGATGAGGTCGGGAAGCAGGGATTCTAGAACCTTTAATGACAGGTATCTTCTCCTAGCGTCATTAGGACCGTAAATCGAGTTTGGCTGGTGATTGAGCTGCCCGAAGTCCTGTTCTAGGAGGTACTGAAAGTATTCGGTCACCGTCGCGAATCCTTGACATCGGCCACCTAGAGGCCATATTTCTCAGTTGAAGCAGTTAATTATGTTAGGGCCGTGAGACAAAAAGTGTGCGGGAATGAGAAGGGATATCACAGTGACAAGCCGTACCGAAAACATCGACTCCTCCATTATGTAGAATATCATGTGCCTTGTATGTCAGTGGGCGCTTCGGCATGAGGCTTTCAGGTTTGTCCTCTGGCGATGGTAGGTTACCTATGCTGTCGTAATCGAGGCTGAACAACTGGAGCAGAAAATTCGCAAACTGCCTGTAGATGACCTCGATATCTCCATCACTGATGTCCTCTCTCAAGAGCCTCGTGGGGTCAGCTTTGTCGGTCTCTATGAGGAGGTCATTGAGGCACACGCCGTTGACGAAGTCCATCATGATGAACGCACCCAGACCGAGCGGGTTTTCGGCAGCGTAACCCCATGCCTGGACTTTCGGGATGGGGATGGTGGTCCGTTCGCGGATGAGGCTGAGGGCTCGCACCTCCATAGCAGTTTTCTCGTCGATATATTCATTGTGGACCTTCCCCACACGAGGGAAACGGACCATCTAGGCTGTGCTGTCGCTGAAGACCACCTTCACGCCAGCATTGAATGAGCCATGATAAAAGCCGCCCTCGAGTTTGCATGTAAGTCTCTTAGGATGAAATGTGGAGACCCATGGGCACAGCTGGCTCGTTTCGTGGGCTTTATTTATCTTGTCGACCCAGAGTTGGGCCTGTACCTGGCGGTGGAGATCGATGAGACCATTATTGAACATGATTGAGAAATTTTATTGGCTGATCATTGAGAAAAGTATAAACATTTTGTGAGTAAGTTTGTAGTAGGAGGCAGCAAGAAATCTGAGGGGGCATAGCTATGTAGGTTGGTAGTAACCTTAGGATTTGGGGTCCGGGTCCGGGGTGTACGCCGGGGGGTGGCTCGTTCAATTGGCGCGTTATGTGCACGGACTCTACTTAATGGTCAGGTACATTACAGCGATGACAACTGCCCTGGTTGACATGGAGGGCGACAGTCCTTACATTGAACGGTAAGTACCTAGGTAGGTAAAGAGAAAATTTCACTTATAGGTGAAGTTTCTCGTAATGGTTTTTATATAGCTAAGAACTTATTTCTAAATATTGAGACTATCTCATAAAGTTACCGAGAGTGCGCTCAGGAATGGCCTCTCGCATTATTCATCTGTCATGGCATGTCTCGTGAGATGATTATGATCGAGTGCCACGTAATTTGAATAGCAAGACGATCTCAGCTACCGTTACGCATCGGGTCGTGCAGTATCCAGAGATCAATGTCTTCACAGCAAAGGACTTTGCATTGCGCCTCTGTCCTCTCATCTATCCCGCCACACACCCAGCATTCCTTACGGCGCGGTGATACATAAAGGGCTAGCTCATCTTCATCGGTGTAAGTATCGGATTCTTCGTTGTATTCTTTGATCTTTTTGTTGTTCTTCGATTGGGTGTACACCAACTCGTACCACCGACAGCCCGTCCACATGAAAGTCGCGAATAAGCGAATCATCGCGCCGATCAAGACCGATCTTAAAGCTTGTTTTCCAATCCCAGACCCAGCCGAAGTGCGCGAAATATGTAGATCCGGGGGGATCAAGAACTTGTTTATGCTTCGGTTTCAGACGGGGGCCGAATAGGCGTGTATGTTCGAGCTTCGCTACAGCAATAAGGTAGTCTCGAAGCCGCAAGTCGAGGCCATTACCCGTGTATTCTCGATATATTATATATAGCTGTCGCAAGTACTGTTGAATTGTACTTAGCGCCGTGGTTTTAGATTTCGTTGTTCTCATTGAGTACCACGCAAATGCTTCTGCAAGACCCCTGTTAGCCTAACTCAATATCTTAAGAAGTAGCTTCCACTCTGGCTTCATCGGCAGTGCTTCGCAGAAGACAATCCTTCGCCGTATACCGTAAGCTATATTAACCTTTATATTGTCGGCGCGGTTTGGTGGAAGAGAACGCCTGTTTTTTCCTCCGTCCCAGATATTCTGAAGCTCCTCCGATATAAGTAGTGGTTGGGCTCTCTGCCCCTCCCATTCTGAAAGCTCCTCTTGTATTCGTCCTATTAGGTCGTGGTCTATTCTGTTTGAGCTTTTACAGAGCTCCATTGCTAATTTGGAATAAGTGACATAGCGCGATACAGATTCCTAGAATATCGGCCGTATCCCAATTGGCGTTATGGAGACGGTGCTGTTCTCATAAATACCTAAATATGATAAGGCTTGGCTTGAATTTGAAAATACCTAATTAAAATATTGAAAGGTAGTAGAGCAGTTAGACATAAATTCATTCTGACTCTTTTTCCTTGTGGCTTTTTTTTGCACCCTGTTCTCTGGATGCTTGGTCGCGTGTGTCGTGCAAGGATGATAATTATGATTACTTAACACAGCATGTGGGTACCTAGGGATCTTCTGGTATTGTTGATATTGATGGTCTTCGTCATGGTGTATAAGGGTAGAAGAAGAGGGAGGGAAATAGCGAATTTCTTTTCTTAGAAAGTGACATTACAAGAAATGGGGACAATGACATCAGGCTTTTTTAAAGGTATCCAGCATGGTAATGACTGCTACTGATGTTACGAGATATAGGTCCTGTTCCTGTTGTGGGTTTTGTGAAAAATGGAAAGAGATAGTGATGTTGAAAATGGCGGAAAAACATGAAAATATCGAAAGCTGGAAAGTAATACATAGGTGGACCTACTAGGTACTATGTACATGGTGGGTAGATGAGTATGCTATTAGCCGAAATTTACCAGGGCATAGTAGGGTTATATTTCTAAAGAAGAGGGCGCACCATAACAATTCTTCAAGGACCTGTTGAAGACAATGACTTAGCTCAGTTAGGAAGCCGTGTGTATGAACCGCCTGCTAGGTAGGAGGTCGGAACCGCGGTAGCTAGGGAGTTCGAGACGGGTCCTTGGGACTTGTTGTTATTTTTTTCCCCAACATTTCGTCCTTATTTTGAAATCTATTAGATACTTAGGTCACATGTAAGCATCATCATCATTATTTTTCTTTATTAACTATTTTTTACCTTTTCTCAGTTCAGGTATAGAATGGTAATGACACTTACCTGATGTTTCTTGACCTTCCATATCCTTGATGCGATCAATATTGTGGATGAAGTGGTTGGATGACTAAGCTACGAGCAGAGATCGGTACTATCGCACCGGATTTACTTAGTCAGCCGGATATATAAAGTGGGTTCGGCATAGCGAAATTACGAAATTACCCCCGGAAAAACAATCCGGGGCCTCCGGGCTGCCGGGGCACATCAATGAGATTAAACAACAAAATAACTCCGATCATGCACTAGAAATGCTACACTAGATGGGAAATTCTAGAGCGTTTACTATCTCTAATTTCTACTCTACCCGATGCACTCATTTTTAGTAAACTTCGGCATGGGTCAATAAAAGCCTTTTTAGACCGGCGCCGCGGTCAAACAATCGACATTATCATCCACACATCTATCGATTGCTCCAACAATATGACTACACAACCGCGCCTTAAGATCGCCCTTATCGGCCTCGGACGTCTTGGCGTTATTCGTGCGCGCATCCTCGCCTTTCAACAACCACGCGTCGAGCTCGTTGCCGTTTGCGACACAAAACCTGGCAACTATAAGTGGGCGGCAGAAAATCTTCCAGCTTCCGTCAAGTACTACGCAGATCCCGAGGATTGTATGAAGAATGCTGGCGTCGAGGCTATCCTTATTTCCACCGCTACTGCCACCCACGCTCCCCTGATCTGCTTAGGTCTTGATCTGGGTCTCGTGAGTCTTGTCGATAGTCGATGAATTGAAAGATTATACACATGGAGTACTGAAGCTAACAGATATCTAGCATGTCATGTGCGAGAAACCCATATCAGTGGATTTAATAGCTACCGAAGAGGTCGTCGCTAAGGCTAAATCAAAACCTCACCTCAAATTCCTTGTCCCTTTTAGTCGACGATGTCAGTTGAGTGGCATCTATATATATATTTCTCCGTGCTTTAAGTGTGAGAAAAGGGCACTGACCTATATCCGTCCAGACGATGATTCGTACCGCGCTGCGAAAGACATGATAAATAGCGGTTCATTTGGCGAAATCCACGCTGTTGACACTGCCTGCCTCGATAAACAGGATGACACTGGTGAGTATCCTCCTGAGGCCTGCTTTTCGATTTGGAGTGTTCATTAATCATATCTCCCTAGGGTTCTTCGTTGCTTTCTCGGAGCAGTCTGGTGGTATCTTTCTTGACATGGGGGTTCATGATGCAAGTCTCCCGTTTGTCTTTTCCCAGATTCCAATCGTAACAGTCTTGCTGACAGCGACGCAACGCGCAGATTGATATCGGTCGATACTACCTGAATGTCACGTCAGGACTCACCAATCCGAAGAAACAAGTCAACAGGGTAATTGCCATGGGACAGCAGGCCATATACGGGGATCTAGCCACGTACGGCGATTGTGACAACGGGTGGGCTATGGTCGAATTTGCCAACAACAGGATCCTCACCTTTCATTTGGGTCGCACCCTCACCAACGGTTTCGAGAGCTACACCCGCATATGTGGTACCAAGGCCCATTCTATCGTCAATGGCAATTCTACCATTAACCGTGTTGAGGTTCGCGACTCTCACGGTGTGCGGACAGCTACGACTCCTGATGCATTTGCTCTCTTCGACAAATCCTTTCTAAACGATATTGCTGAGTTTGTTGCTGCTGTCCTCGACGATAAGCCACTTTCTTGTACACCGGATGATGCCTACGAAGCAGCTAAAATTGGCACAGCTCTACAATACTCGTTCCGAAATGGGGTTTCCATTTACTTTGATGAGAACGGCATGCCTATTATGGGGACTCCGGATGCGTGATAGAAGAGCTTAGCTTAGACGATTATATATTGAGAATAAATTACCTGCACTTTATGCTAGCCGTACGAGGGTCAATGTTCAAAGTTTCACGTATTATTACCCATTCGTTTACTTACTCGCAACCGGAAAGACTAATAGCTAATCTTCATTTTTTCAACGACTACATGACCTTATAAAATCATTCCTATGTCCAATAATCATTGTAAATGTCCAAAAATCAAGAGAAGTTCAATTGATTATTCCGTTTCCCTTCTGGTCCCACGTACTGCGACGACCCAAAAGAACATAATATAAGATTAGTACGTGTGTATATGTATTTTAAAAAACTTTGCATTATAAAAAAGAAAGGAAAAAATCGAAATTCGTTCATACGAGGTGGTAGTGATGTTACAAATTGTGGCACTCAAATTTGCGAGCCGGCAGGGTGATTTTTGAAGATTTTTGAGGATATTTTAATTTTAATGGTTGAGGGGGGGGTCTATTACTTACCTAACGATAAGTCATGAGCTAATAAAGAGCCTTTCAGTCTTGTAGGATGAGCAGAAAGGTAAACAGGATGTACAGCAAGATATACGGAAAGGTACCAACATAAAAGACAACAAGCTCGATAAATCGTAAGATAAAAATTCTGAGGTCCGATGTATATACACACTTGCATATATGGGTACGTAGGTATTTAGGTAGGTAGGAAAAAAAATAAAAAGCAAAAAGAACAAGTCCCAAGGGGCTGTTTTGAACCCTCCTCAATTGATAATATGCCAGCTTCGATCCCGTACATGTGGCGATTCGCGTGGTCTCCGCCCGACGTACCAACTGAGCTAAGGAATCCCTTGAAGAATTGTTATGATGCGCGTCCTTTTTCAGATATATAACCAATCTATCGCCTCTCCTAAACTTCGGCTAATCACATACTCATCCGCCTAGTATGCACATGGTAGGTATCCACCTACCTACTAGGTAACTAGGTAGGTACCTAGGTATGGATCGATTTCAAACTTTCGATATTTTCTTTTTTTTCCTGCAATTTTCACTATCACTACATCACTATCCCTTCCAATTTTCCACAGAACCCACAACAGGAACATGACCTATATTTCGTAACATCAGAAGCAGTAGTTCGTAATCATGATGTATAGGTACTGTTACACATATTTTCCATATTCCTTTCAATATTAGTGTCCAAGAAAAAAAACCTGAGCTATTTTCCCATTCGTCTTCTACGCTCATACGCTATCACAAAGACCATCAATATCATCAATACTTGGAGATTCTTACCCACATGTTGCGTTAAGTTATCATCACCAGGGCTCGGATCAACTACACCAACTACATTAAGAGGGGATATTGAGTGGATTGATTCTAATCTACCAGATCTTCTCGTGGAGTGGATTATGGTGTATATTAATAGTTATTGGTGGACGTTGATTGATTGGTGTACATCAAAGTGAATATGGGCCCACTTTTCTGGTTTTTCTTTAATGAAGCTATTCCTAAATACGTCGTCGAATATCTTGGAGCCGCGCCTTGGCCTAGTGTATGTATTTCGCGCTATTATTTTATTGCCCGTCTCGTCGTCGGCGTCGCTTCGATCGGTGGTAGATATCGTATCCGTTTAGTAGCGGTGTTTATTAATTTAATCAGCAGTAAGGAGTTTCGGGATTGTGCTCGATTATATCTACCTGGGTAGGTAGGTAGTAGTAAACTCGATAGGTTCGATAATTTCGATGTGTTCGAAGGTAGGTTCGATGGGTTCGATGGGTTTAGGAGGTAAGTAACAAGAAGTAAAAATTAGAAAAAATAAAAACCTATTATTCAAGTAGGTATTCATAATTCAAAGTATTATTCAAGTAATTCAAGGTATTATTTTGATTGCATACTGGTGTATAATAAACAGACGCTTTCGCGATCTGAGCTTACAAGGCTGGCAAGGCTGACAAGGTTGAAGATAATAATAATTTCGACTTTTTGCTATTACGATACGAATATAACGTTTTATACCTTGGAATTATAAATACTGAAAGATAGGTCTTTTCAAGAGCTTTATCTTGATATAGATATCATTAAGTATACGATTGTATTGATTGTTCGAAACTTTAAAAATCAGTTTATCTTAATGTTTATAATTGAAAACATACAAAATAATTAGACTTTTCTTATAACTATGTTCCGTACTAGTATCAACATATTCACCAGCTATCATATATACCAAAATGATGAGAAAATTCTGGCAATAATAATAATATATTTGAATTAATTTTAACTATTTAATTAAGTGCGCAATCGCAAATATTTCACCTAACGCCACACATATTACTTGCCAGAGCCTTCGCCACGTCCCCATTCTGTTAGTGCCGCTACCAAATCTACTAGTAAACACTAACAGCGGGGCGACACACCTGCTATATCCACAGTTAATCAACTACACTAATCCACCAAACCCACGAGAGCTTCAAGTTGAGTTGATTATTAAATTAAAATGGGTCTCGTGGAATTGAATTGATTGACGTTTCTTGGCAGTGGGTGTACACCAGTGGATTAGCGTTGAGTTGATCCGAGCCCTGTCTGCAATACTCGTTCCGAAATGGAGTTCCCGTTTACTTTAATAATAACGGCCTGCCTATTATGGAAGCTCCTGAGGCGTGAGAGAAGAATTTAGCTGAGATGATTCTATGTTGAAAATAAATTATCCCTACTTTGTGCTAGCTGTACGAGGGTTAATGTTAAAACTTTCGCACATTTTCTTACTTAGTCGCAACTGGGTAGCCCGATAGCTGATAATCTTCATTTTTGTCAACTACCTGGTGATGTTGTAAGAACGGTTCCTTCCTAATCTAATTAATGTTAGAAATATCTTTTAGGTTCAGCAATGTGTGTATATGCATTTTAAGAGGTTGTATTATCGGAGTGGAGGGAAAAGTCGAAGTTTCACGATACAATGTGGTACTGTATTGTTGTAAATTGTGGCAATCTTGTTTGTGTAGCCAGCAAGGTGATTTTGAAGATCTTCTCAGATATTTTCGATAATTGAGGGTTTCTATTCAAGTTATTGTTCGACTGCATTATTTCTCGCCACGGTACACATTCCTTGTCACCATATAATGAGAAGCGATGAGCTGAGATGGAGGAGTATTGTAGGCATTGGGGGAGGGGGCATTACGGGGGATAAACGGAATACGCAGGAAAATACGCAGGAAGGTACTAAAATAAAAGGCAGCACGCTCGATAAATCATAAGATAAAATTTCGTACCTGTGATGTAAATATTCACCTACATGTATGTAGTAGGAAAAAAAAGAATGTACAAGTCCCAAGGACCCGTCTCGAACTCCCTATCTACCGCGGTTCCGACCTCCTACCTAGCAGGCGGTTCATACACACGGCTTTCTAACTGAGCTAAGTCATTGTCTTCAACAGGTCCTTGAAGAATTGTTATAGTGCGCCCTCTTCTTTAGAAATATAACCCTACTGTCGGCCCTCGTAAATTTTGATTGGCCCCACAACCATACCCTGGTATCTACTAACTAGTACCTATCACTTTCCAACCTTCAATCCTTTGACGCGTTTAAATTCTGTTATAAAATTTTCAACGTCACTTTACCTTCCTGCTACACTACCTACCTACAATAAAAACAATCATTATTTATCCATGGATATATAATGAAAGTAGTAGTAACGGTAATATCTTTACGTTTATAAAAAACCCAACGTTTTTCTCCCTGCGTTTCTTCACATTCGCACCACCACCAAAACCACCAATACTATCTACCATAGCGGGAAATACCGGAGGCTAGCAATGGTTGGAAAGTCAAAAATAATGATTAGAAACCTGAAAATAATCATTATTAAAGAAATATAATCATTATAAAAGTAAAAATAATCATTATAAATAGGTTAAAATCATTAGAAAAGGGTTCAAATCATTGGAGAGGGGTTCAAATCATTGGAAAAAGTTATGGTTGGAAAAAGTTATCATTAGAAAAGTTTATCATTGGAAAATCTTAGATTCAAATCAGGTAACCGCCAGCAAGGTCAACGATACTGCTATCTCCTACCGTATCTCAACCTTAGAAAATTTCTAAGATTTTCAACATCACCCTGCCCTCCCCACACCACTTTTTACACCACCTTTTACTTCGTACACCATCTTTTTACATCTTCTTTTTACATCTTCTTTTTACACCACTTTTTTTATTCTTCTTTATTTTTTATTTTTTATTTTTATACGCGCATACTTATAAACACGTAGACTACTGACATTTTAACCTTTTAGCTTTCTAGCTTTCCAGGTCTCCAGGTCTCCAGGTCTCCAGGTCCATCTCCAGGTCCATCTCCAGGTTCAGGTCTCCAGGTCCAGATCTCCAGGTTCAGGTCTCCAGGTTTATTATATTAATATTTTAAAAGGTCTAACAATCTAGAGTACTATCTATAGATTAGCAGACCTGGAGATAGCAGGAACAATGACGAGAGATAGAAATATAATAAAATAAAATTCCAATGATAAACTTTTCCAATGATAACTTTTTCCAATGATTTGAACCCCTCTCCAATGATATCAACCTCTTTCCAATGATTTGAACCCATTTACAATGATTTGAACCGTACAATCATCCGACAATGAAAGTATGGTTATTATAATGCCAAGCGATTTGAGATAATTCCAATCATTGCTGCCCTCCGGTATCTCCCGGTATGGTACACTTGGAGATTTTCGTTAAATATTTATATTACGCTATTATAACCATCATAATGACCATAATAGCTCTCCCATCAGGCTTAGTGAATTACTAGATTAGCGAAGTAATAGACCCGTATATAGGAAGGACGGAGACGAAGGGGGATGGATGAGTAGAAGAGCCCACCCAAACTAAACCACCAATAAATGTTGGATTATAAGTGTTATGTTACAAGGCAATCAGGTAAAAGTGGCCAGATCACCGGATTAACCTACAGCACCGTTCCCTAATTATGTCAGCTAGGCGTGGATATATTAATAGTTCGAGCCACCCACGGGATAAAAGCTCCCTTTTTAGTAATAAATATTTTCGCTCAATAGGTATGCGAGAGATCAGGAAATGTTAGGTACACGTTAGGATATTAATTACATATGGTACCCAAGGTAGCTACGTTTGTAAGGCCAATCGAAGAAGCAGCCTTACGGCTAACTTTTTGTACGAGCTAGAACTTAGGAATAATTACAACATTAAAACAAATTTTACGTTTCTTTTGCGATCGTCAGTTTGGCATATTTGCCTACCTAGGTAACCAACAACAAGCCAATCCTCAATTAAGTGACGGTCAAGATAAAGGGTGGTCTTCGTCGTAGAAATTATCACTTACCTGATTGTCTTTCCCTAGCGGATGACGATCCGTAAATTTTATTGTTCTAATGTCATATAGCAACCTAAATCCCAGCTACACTCCAAGGCTATTATGCCGTAATGAACCATTTAACCTAACCTAAGCTAACCAGTCCCTATTAAAAGGAATAAACGAATCTAGAATTGAATAAGTGAAGGTTCGATTCATGTAGTCACCAGATGCATAGCCGGAAAAAATATTAAAAAAAAATAACAACAAGTCCTAAGGACCCGTCTCGAACTCCCTAGCTACCGTGGTTCCGACCTCCTACCTAGCAGGCGGTTCATACACACGGCTTTCCAATTGAGCCAAGTCATTGTCTTCAACAGGTCCTTGAAGAATTGTTATGATGCACGCTCTTCTTTAGAAATATAACCTTACTGTCGGCCCTCGTACATTTCAATTAATACACCATGTTATCTTTATCTTTTCCTTGCATAGTCGTTACCGACCAACCTACCCTCCATAACATCTACCCATTCCTTCTGCCCTGTCAAAAAAGAATCTAATTTTCTACCCTACCTCATACTTTCTTCATTTACTCACAAACCTTTTGAGTCTTCAGTCACTTAAGATTCCCTACTGAGAAGTAGTTGATAAAACCTCTTCAATACCCAGACAGCTATCAGGCTCTCCAGATATCTACTTGTAGGACCTTTTACTTCGCTATTAGCGCTCACTTTTTTCGAATTATTCTAACTATTCCCTAGCCAATTTTGGAACTCCCTAGAAATTTTAATCGACAAGCAATCCAAGATTCTTGTTCCTCCCAATGGACAATTCAGAGAGATCCCCAAGTAAGTACAATACTGGCAACCCAGATAATGAATATCGCTATCTAACATTCTACAGACGGGCAGACGGCAACTGTTGGGGATATTAATCGAAACTACGATAAAATGTCCTTCGTAGTTACGGAGTCATCGAATTCCAAGTTCAAGAAATTGATAATTGGCGGCCAGGAATACAACAAAAGATATTCGAAGGGTAGCCTGAGGAAGTTCGCACAACAAGCCAAAACCCAGCCTTTCCGAAAAGTCCCTCTACAACCAAACGAGGAGATACCAAACGTGGTATTCCAGGCACAGGGCCACGAAGACGCGATAACAGACGCGGTACATGCCGCGATGGTGAACGAAGCCGATGCTTGTCCCCGCCTAGTCATCTACACTGATGGGTCTTCTAATGGCAAATTCTCTGGTATTGGCCTTACATATAAACGGTTTAACATCAATACACTTGGCGGATCTATCCCAGGAGACTGGATAGACGCGTGCTACGCGGTTCGTGGAGTAACCGATTCTGAGGCCGTGGAGATTCTGGCGATACACAGGGCGCTGTTAATAGCATTGTATGAGTATACACGTTGGATCCAGCAACCCCTCGAACGAAGGGGTGAGAATGCGGTCCCCCCGAAAGTAATAATTATGTCGGATTGCTTAGGGGCGGTAAATTATCTTTACTCATGCTATCGCTATGGGAGCATTCGACATGAAAGCCGTCCTCATAAAACGCCAAGGGCTAAGGACCTCCCAGATGGCTTCTTTTATACTGCATATGAACCCATGGATAGGCTAGTTAGCCTTGGTATCCATGTAGAAATTAATTGGATACCAGGGCACTCCGATGTTGAGGGAAATACTCGCGCCGACCAGCTAGCCAACATTGGAGCGGCGTATTCATTCGGAATTGAACGCCTGAATCCAGGTACTAAGAAAGCCTTAGTACCAGTGGTCATACCACTGCCAGATACAGGGCCGAAGTCACTCTTCAATATACACAGAGGTCGTGCTGCGATAGACTTATTCTACTGGCAGAGGTTAGAGACAAAGACAATGATAGAAGGCCTACTAGAAAAGGATGTAGGTCGCAATCATAGAGTACTCGAGGTTAGTAACTTCGTAAATTTACAACCCCCTTTTCTTCCTAGGCTAACGAAGGACAGCACGAGGTTCTACGTCTGCTCGGTGTGGAGCCGTTACAAGAGGCTAGACCTAGGAATTCAAGAAAAAGGAAGGCTAGTCAGATGGAAGTGGAAGAGACACCAGACCCCCACCCAGATCTCCATAGCAAGAAACGCAAAACTCTCACGGAGATCCCGGTCGAAAGCCAAACTCACACTCCTCCCGAAGATGGACCTATTACCTGAGGTTTACTGTTTTGGAAGGAGTAAACACCAGATTTATGGTCTGGTAGAAGTTTATTCCACATTCTATCCTAGCTTTAATACGCTTCTATATACAACTGTGGCTCCCAAGTTCAGCTTTCCTTTCTCAAACTTCTGACTGGGTATTATGATACGTCATCATAGTGCCCAAACATTTAATGACACCCAATACTACGCAAATTCCATGCGATGACACTAAGTGAAGTATTTAATGTGTTCGTCCCTCGACAGTGCCATCGATTCCCTCAAGATCGCTATAAAGTCTCCAGCGGTAATCTAAACTCGGGTCGTTGAACCTTGCCTTAATATCCAAAGTCGCGATCTTTTCCATATCCTCAGGATCAAGCTGGAAGTCAGACTCGACGTTTTCTTTGATCTGCCAATCAATGGTACTCTTTGGTATCACCGAACGCCCGCTGTTAACGCCCCAGGCTAATACGACCTGGACCGCGCTCTTGCCGTATTTCTTGGCGATTTCCTTCAATAATGGCTGGTCGATAACCTTCATCATGTGCGAGACCTCCTTACTCCAACCCGTCGTCCTGTAAAAGTCATTCATGTTACCCAATGGGCTGAACTGGACGACGTGGATTCCTTGTGTCTTGAGCCATTTGTTGAAATCCTTTTGTTGTAGATATGGGTGCACTTCCATCTGATGAACAGCAGGAACCTTGCAGAGTACACCTTTTAGCTCTATCCCATGAAGTTCAAGTCATGTCGCTTGGTGGTCACTTACTGTGTCTGTCTCCTTAATCAGCCTCTCCAGCTCCCCCTTGCTGAAGTTTGATACACCAATCGCTTTAACTTTTCCGCCCTTAACAACCTTCTCCATAGCCCTCCAAGTGTCCACGAAGTTCGTCTCTCCATGGATCATCTTCCCATTGGCATCTCTAGGGAAGCGGTCCTCTCCTCGTTTGAAGGTACAGGGGTAATGCATCAGCAACAGGTCGACATAAGGCGTATCTAGATCGCGAAGCGAACTATCTACGGCACTCTCCACGTCGTCGGGGTGGTAGTTGTTACACCATAGCTTGGTGCCGAGGAAGATCTCCTCTCTGGGTATGCCGCTAGCTTTGATGCCCTTTCCAACCTGCTTCTCGACGTCGTACACGCGGGCTGTATCGATCAGCCGAAGACCCATCTTTAGGGCCCTGCTTACGGCATCTTCTTGGGCATCGGGGTCTTGGAAGGTGCCGAATCCTATGGCCGGTATCTTCGCGCCTGTGTTTAAGATGTGTCCTGTTGAACGCGTTTGAATCTGACGGATGGATTGAGATACCAGCGACTTTGGACCTCTCGTTGCAAGTCGCAGCCTGGATGCGCTCTGGAGATATGCTTGTCTTCCAACAGTTGAAGCCATCTTGTTCGACTAGATGAGTTCGTCGCCAGAGATATGAACGGGTAGCTGATAAACGTCTATCTTTGGCGAGAGGCGACAGATGGTTAGATTGGAAGATGGCTATTGTTATGCGAGCTCACGGAGGCTACACATACACGTTTCCCCAATTCGAAGATGGAGTAAAGGATGGGGTCAAAATCTACTAATCCATTACCTGCCTAGTTAGTATGTAGGTACACTTTGACTCCATTGACGATCGCTTCTCCAAAGGTGGAGCATAATCCCCCGAGACGAGGGATCGTCAGATGACGATGCGCCAAATCCACTCTCTCCACCTCCGGCCGAGTGAATTCACCTTCGTGACCCGGAATAGGCCTAGTCTTTCGTCGAAGATGGCGCCAGGAGGGTTTTAGTTGCGCTTTATTCCACTTTGTGAAAACCGATGAAGGCTCGCCTTGGCGTTCCCGTATTCTATTAAATATTAGTTAATTTTTAATTTACTAAAATTCTCCAACTTGCGCTAATGTGTTCGGTTCTACCGCTGTGTTTTAGGATGATTTTGGATGGACGAAGAGTCCGACGACAGATAAAAATATGACTAGGGGAAACACCGCACTCTTGAAATAATCCCATTGACTGTCCCTGTACTGATTTGGTGAATGCTCGATCTAGAGAACTCCGCAACGACTATTTACTAGGTAGGTACCTAGGTAGATGACGTTTAATTCAGCGCGTACGTGATGTAGTAGCTGGCATGCTTCTAACATCCCAAAAAAAATCCATCGCGACATGCTATGAAATCTGAATCTTCAGTCTTTCGGCGCGTAGGTCGTAAATTCTATTTTTTCCAGATCATAAGCCATTGGAACCATATATAAATGACTACTAGACACATATTCCTAGAGATACTACCTTGCTCCGTACGAACGAGGTAACAAAACCCTCCCTTGATCGATCTATGCCTTGCCTGCCGACCCGCATATCTCCATCCATTCTATCGTCTGTTCCACAACCTTATCAATTCCCTGCTCGATCAGGGTCGTATGGGGCATATTCGATACTTGTGACCGAAGGTGGGCGTAGTAGTTGTCTAATACCAGTCTGTTGACATTGATCTTGGTGACGCCTGCGGCAATGCATTTCTTCATTATTTCGGGGCTGAATCCATTCGTTCCGTGGAGCACAAGTCGGACCCTTCCTCCAACCTGGTTCTTGATGTTTGCAAATCTGTAACGAGGATGAGTAACAAGAGCGATGTTGTTGGGAGCGGGTTTACACACCTCTCAAAATCTAAGCTTGGTCCCTGAGGCCCGTATTCGCCGTGGACATTTCCAAACGCTGGAGCCAACGCGTCCACGCCCGTGTCGATAAATTGCTCGACTTCCTCGGGTGTTGTCTTACTGGCCTCAAGGCCCGCGGTATCCATCACGCCGTCTTCGCCGCCCTCGATGCGACCCGGCTCGGCCTCAGTTGCAATGTGACGTTCGTGGCAATACTTGACCCAGCGCGCGGTTTTCTCGAGATTCTCTTCCTTTTCGTAATGCGACATGTCGACCATGATGCTGTCGAATGGCAGGTCGTCTGCAGCGCGTTTGATTATGTCTTCATTTTGGGCGTGATCAAGGTGGATGGATATGGGCACAGAGGCGCGATGCGCCGCGTCGGCGGCCGTTCGGACTAGTAGTCCATCTGAGAAGGTAATAGCCCATGGAAAGAACTGGATGATGAGTGATGATCTGGCTTTCTCTGCTGCGCGTACGAGTCCTAAAATCTGCTCGATATTGTATGCGATCGCAGCTACGACGCCATAACTACCCTTTTCGGCCGCTTCGAGGATTTGAATGGTTCGGTTCGTCTTCTTCCAATCGCTGGAATCCGCCATGTTGAGCGCTACCGGGGTAAAATCGACATTGAATCCCTAGGATAAATCGGATTAATAAATTTCAGATACTCAAGGCATTTCTATACACAATATAACTTACTTTGGATCCTCGATTCGCCAGGGTAGTATATACCTAGTAGGTCTCTGCATGATGGGGAGTAATACGAGTCGGGGATTCTCCGTATGGCTACAGCTCCATACCCCGCATTCTTTCTGTAACCCCTCCTCGTTACGAGGGGTATTGGGATTTTGATTGGCCAATTGGGTCCCGGACTCACCAAAAGTAGCATTGGAGGGGTGCGACAACAATGTACGAGATTAAATGCGGGTCGCACGGTGAATTAATGACTGCGGGGAAACGAAGAACACCAAATACCTAGGGTCAACAGATCATCTAGTAGAATATCGCATCACTCTCGACAAAGTAATATCGCACAGCCTCATCTCGTCAAGCGATCCAAGTGCCCAGCAACGATATGAGCCTCAGTCCGTGGCAACAGCACGATGATGCCTTTCAGGCAGTCATTGGGCCTGGACCGGAACTTCGAGCTCTGCTAGAAGTCAGCGAGTACCCTTTCGCTCACGAGGCTGGCGTTTTTATCGCAGAAACCGACGAGCTTTTCATCACTAGCAATCAGTTGATCGATTCTTCAGGGACGAGAAAAGTACAAATCAACAAATGCCAGCTCAACAGGCAGACCGGGTGTCTAAGTCGCGAGGAGATCCCTAATGAGATGATTCATATGGGAAATGGAGGCGTGAATTACGAGGACGGGATCCTATTCTGTGCGCAAGGCTCAATGACAGAACCAAGCGGCCTTTTCAAGATGGAAAGGAAGGCACCGTACACGACGACACCGGTTGTGACAAGTTTTCTAGGCCGACCATTTAACTCCGTCAACGATGTAGTCGTGCACTCCGACGGCAGCATCTGGTTCACAGACCCTATCTATGGCTTCGAGCAAGGATACCGTCCTCGCCCGTCTTTACCAAATCAGCTGTATAGATACGACCCAGCAACTCGTGGGATTCGAGCTATGGCAGATGGCTTCAGTCGCCCCAACGGCCTGTGCTTTTCCCCTGACGAAAAGACACTCTACGTAACAGACACCGACCGAGTTCACGGAGACGGGTCCTTCGACAGTCATAGGGTATCTTCTATGTGAGTTAAAAATCTCGGAAGACGTGCTCACAGCTCTGTTTTCGCTGCTAACAGTTGTAGATATGCTATGGATGTAGTATTCTACCACGGCCAACCTAGTTTAGTCAATCGTCGACTATTTGCCATGGCCGATGCTGGTATTCCGGATGGAATCAAATGCGACATGGAGGGGAATGTCTATAGCGGATGTGGAGATGGTGTAAATGTGTGGTCTCCGGGTGGTGTGCTCTTAGGCAAGGTCCTTGTCAAGGGCGGGTGCGCAAACTTCTGTTTTGGGCGTGGTGGGGAGCTGTTCATTCTCAATGAAAAGAGGCTATGGCACGCTCAGTTGGCACCCACTGTCAAAAGTGCATTATTACGGATCTGAATTTCGATACAATATAATGAATGGAATGCTATCATAACCGAGTGATAGATTCAAACACGTTCTAGGTATAATTATCAAGGCCTAACGATCTAGGTACCTCACTACCTACCTAGGTACCATGTCGCTTCGAGGGATTCGGGGTATTCTGACCCACCGCTAAAACTATGGCCACGCGCGTTGCTCTTGGAGCTGGCTGCATCCCGAATTTTCAGGTGGAAATAGACAATGGTCTAGAGTAATCGGAGTACGCAGATTTCTACCCTCACGCGACACTATCATCGTCTCGAGGGAAAGGGGTCTTAAGTTCGCGATACATATTAGGTAATCAACTGAATTCTAACGAACTTCTAATGATCCTTTATTAGAGATTCGATATCATATTTACTTCATAGATCCAGGTCAAGCAGCGCGTCTGAAAGTAACAAACGGAACACTAGCCCTAGGTGAAGCAGCAATAGGTAATCGTCAACGATATCGGTCTTTATCAAATAAACGTGCACACAGACAACGAACGACATGGTCCTCTATCAGCTCGCGGACGTGGAGACCCCGGTTCTCTCACAATTCTCCCTCAAAGGCAAAATCGCAATCGTTACGGGAGGTTCAAGAGGGATTGGCCTGCAGGTAGTTACTGGCTTGGCAGAGGCCGGTGCAGATGTCGCATTCATCTATAAAAGCAGTACAGATGCAGCTGAGACTGCTGCATCTGTAGCCAGGAAGACTGGCCGGCGTGTCCAAGCTTATCAGTCAGATGTGACGGATCGGGCGCGCATCGCCAATACAATCAGACTGATCACGGAGGAATTCGGAAACGGCCGGGTGGATATCGTCGTCGCTAATGCCGGTGTCTGTGCCAATGTCCCGTCGCTAGAATACACGGAAGAGAGTTGGCATTATATGAACAGTGTGAATTACGACGGGGTAATGTGGACCGCCTTAGCTACCGGTCAGCTGTTTAAAAAGCAAGGGAGAGGGACCTTCATTATCACAGCATCTGTCAGTGCGACGCTCGTGAATACACCGCAGACGCAGGCTGGGTATAATGCTTCTAAAGCTGGCGTGCTTCAATTAGCTCGAAGCCTGGCAGTCGAATGGGCGGATTTCGCACGGGTAAATTGCGTGTCTCCAGGATACGTTCTAACTGAAAGTAAGGTTTTCAATGCATTTATTCTCAATAGGAAAATACTAATTGCTGTCTAGTGGTAACGAAGCAGCCAAAGGAGTTGATGGACATATGGTTAGGTCAGATCCCTGGCCGCCGAGCTTGTCACCCGGCAGAATTGAAAGGCGTAAGTTTCAAAGAGATATTAAGAAGCATCATTTGGACTGAGCTCACACGTGTTAGACATATGTCTTCCTAGCAAGCGACGCGTGCTGCTACATGACGGGTTCGAATTTGATAATCGATGGAGGCTTCACCATACCTTAGCCCTAGGATATCACGGAAATAAAGTGTAAATCGAGAAGGATTTGGCATGTGTACAGGATTACACAAATGTAGATCATTGCCTGTTTGGAAGTTGCCTAATTGGGAATGTGACAAGGGGTTTTAGCCAATAGAATAGCAATATCAAGCTATACCTGTGTTACGGAATTACTTAATCGCCATTACCAAATCATTCATTACCTAATTTCTGATTACCTCATTCTTCTTCTTATTACCTAATCCTTTGTTACATGATCCCAACTGGAGGTTCTGATTGATAATGGGACATCTATAACAAGTTAAAGTGGTTCAAAGTCTTCTATAAATGGTTTGAGAGTTAATTATAGGTAGGTATCTAGGTACTTCGAACATCAAAAGAAATATTAAAGTCTGAGGTCGTTATAATGTATTCCAAGGTTATAATATGTTGATATGTGCTAGCTACAAGATTGTACATAGGTACCTACTCTCCAACCTATGGGGAAAAGATTCATGATCGTATAGATGGACCCCCTCTATGTCCCAACCTATTTCAGATCTAAACAGGCAGGTGATCGGCAGACTCGATATGAATGGGCTCGAGCATCTTGTCTTGGAAACCACCGCCAAGACCTGGGTTCTGTTCCTTGAGCTCCTTGAACTTCTTCTCGGCATCCCATGACCAAGGTGTGTCTGCAGCAAACAAAAGATCCATCTCCTCAAGAGTTCGCTGGTTCGACTCGGGATATAATGCCCATACTATGAATTTAGTCAGTTCTGATTATTGGGCTAGAATCAGTTAGGTAGACAGTGACTCACCAATAGGGATACTGATCGCGTTCACAGCACCGAATATATACATCACCTTCTCATTGAGAGCTTCTACGATATACGGAAGCACCAAAGTCAAAGTACTAGAAAGGTTAGAGCATTGCCAGCATGAGAACGAGGATTATCGCGAACTAACCCATTACCAATACTCCAACCCACAACTCCCCACGAATTACCCTTTGCGCGCACTTGCAGAGGGAAGATTTCGGCAGGATATAGCCACGGCACTGTCAACCAAGTTGCTCCAAAGATGGAGGTATAGATAAAGACCATCGCTGCAGCGGCTGCACCGAATTGGCTTGCGACAGTGCTATCAGCACGAGCTGTAGCATTCAATCCACCCCGAGCCAGACCTCCCATAAGGAACATCGCAAGGCCCTGACCAACTGAGCCCCAGTAGAGGGTCCAGCGGCGACCGATCCTGTCGATGGTGAAAACGCAAATGAGCGTTGCGAACATGTAGAAGATGTTATTCAATCCAGATACCCATAGAGACTTGTCAGCGTTAAACCCGGCGATGCTGAAAATTGCTGCAGTTATCGTTAGCACATATTACACTAGAAATGGACGTTGGGAGATCTGTCACGTACTAGGACCAAACATCGTAATGCCGGCGATTCCCGTCCAGCACTGCATGATCTGCAACCAGATGACCAGCTGCACGCGTCGCCCTGTGTGCAACTTGCCGCAGTTGATACCGAAGAGCATCTGCAAGTACGAAGTTCCTTCAGACGACTTCTCAAGTTCCACAACCTGCCTAATACCATGAAGTTCAGCATCAGCAACGCCAGCATCAGACCCGGTGGTTCCGCGCAATCGTTGGAGGATGTACAACGCTTCGTCGTTACGCCCAACCTTGGCGAGCCAACGAGGAGATTCCGGGAACATCCAACAGGTGGCCAGAAGGAACAAAAGTGGGATAATCTGGAAGGCGATGGGGAACCTCCATCGGAAAGGCGAGTTTCCATTATCAACGAAACTGACCGCGTAGCCAAGCCAGTATGCGACGACCACACCGAAGATATTCAATGTGAATTCCATAGCGATGAAAGTTCCGCGCGAAGTATGATCCGCGAGCTCAGAAGCCCAAGCCGGAACTATACCGTTCAAGATACCGGTGCCGATGCCGTTTACAAGTCGCGAGCAAATCATCCAGTTGGCGTTCATCGCAGAGCACTGAAGCGCTGCGCCGAAAACTCCCCATATAGCACCTACTGCGATCGCGTAGATTCGTCCGTATCGATCGCCAAACCATCCACCCATGAGACAGCCGACGAGCGTTCCGAGGTAATAGACGGACATGATACCTCCTTGAAGCAAGGCGTCGGTGACCACCGGGTTGCCGTTAACGACGTGTCCGAATCCCATGAGGTCGATGTAGTCTTTCGCGTTGTTTACTCCACCCATCATTCCTTGGTCGTAACCTATAGATGACGTGTTAGTCAGAAGACCTCTATCGCATACGTGTAAGTGTATGAACAGAACGTACCGAAAAAGAAAATGGACATTCCGGCGAGGCAGTTGATGGCGATGAGAAGCGAGCGCTTCTCCAACTTGCTCTGCACCATCCATTTGGCGCGCTGGTCCAAGACAGGCATTTTGGATAACGTGCGTCGGCGACGATAGCAATGGTGATGACGAGATGGCGTACGATTCAATTCATATCCGACTCTTGCGTCGTATTATGTTCATGCAGAGGTGATGCACGTCTCTTATATAATAACATAGACCTTCATGCGCGTAGCGTCAGGCCAAGTCTCTCGAACGCCTCGAATACAGGCCCTTGGTACCATAATCTTGGAACCTATCCCCGCGGGGGTAATCCACTAAGAACCCCGGCCTCCGCAGAAGACGTTCGACACGAGTCTTCTGGGGAACCCTACTAGTGTGAATCGTGACGCGCTTTGTGGGGTTTCCCTCGAAGCGATCTCGGTGGTTCCGCATTGACTTGTCCGGCTCCTCGTCACCGAGACCTGGACTCTTAGTAGATCTCGGGAAGTTATTCCGATATACGTGTGTTAGATGGAATTATATCATTGATCAGCTAAGGATCTGGTCACCGGTCAGTGTCTATGTTGGAAGTACATGTGCATTCTGGAGTAGCCTTGAATCCAACATATTAAACATGTACTAGGTGGTATGCATTATAAATGATCATGGTGTTTAACTTATATCATATTGAATTTCTAAATTGGTTCGCGTATTTATATCTAGTACAAATGCTTTCCCAAACCAAGGCTCCTCGAGCGTAATGCTCATGCACAAAACAAGACAGAATCCAACTCATCGGTAGACCCCGATAAATGACGGTAGCAATCCTGCACGTTTTACTTAACAGACTGTTGAAACGCATTGTGATTAGCATACATCCATCCCAAATTATTATCGAGTACTTACTTCCGATGACTCCATTAACAGGAATATCTATCGATGTAGTGTAGCTAGCAGCGTCGCTGAGCAAGTAGACGTATGCTCCACCTAGCTCCTGGACCTCAGCAAGCCTTGGGAATCCCCCATAGTACTTCAGCTGTTGTTCCCAATCAGGTTGTTGGGGAACCCAGTAAGTCATAGCGGTGCGAACGAGCCCCGGAGAGACCGAGTTCACGCGGATGTTGTACTTGGCCCACTCCATAGCTAGGGTATGCGTCATGTTGCGAACGCCGGCCTTGGATGCACCATAGGGGGCAGACGGAACACGCTGTATACTTTGTTAGAGGTTTGCTCTATTGCGACCGGATAGAATATGAATGCTTACCTTGTTGGGTCTGTATGAGGCCATCGAGGCAGTGAAGACGATTGAGCCCTTGATATTGAGTTTAATGAAAGCTCTCGCGGCGGCGCGAGCCGTGTAGAAGGCACCGAAAAGCTTCAATTCGAGTAAGTTTAGTCTGCTAATGGTATCGAGTATCCCGTGTTTTATCTTACGTTGACAGCAAACAGAGACTCTACGTCTTCCTTGGTGAAGTCCAAGGCGGCCTTGTGGTTGGTGCGGCCAGCGTTCACAACCATACCGTGGATTGCTCCGGCCTGTTCCACGATCTTATCTACAGCAGCTGTGATGCTCTCCTCATCTGTCACATTGGCGCTAACTGCGAACAGGCGGCCGGGGAACTTTTTCGAGACGGCATCGAACTCCTCTCCGGGCTCAGCTAGGTCGATGGAATAGACTTTGTCGGCTCCGTTGTCGAGACAGCATTCTGCAACGCCTAATCCGATTCCTCGGTTCGCGCCGGTCACTTTGTAAATAAATTAGTACACAAGCAGAAGAAACTGATATGAGTTAGGGATGGACTTGATCGTACCTGCGATAACCTTGCCAGGCAGCGTGAGCTGGGTTTGGACGTCTGCTGTGCTAGATGTGGCTGCCATTTTTACTATGGATAATTGGTTATGTGTTTCTGTTTTTGTTTAAGAGTTCGGATGTAGAAGCAAAGACAATATCTCACAAAATCGACAGCAGATGCGTGGGAAGTTGGCTTCTTTCATTGATCCAAATTTGGATTCAAGTCCGGACTCGGAGCATGACAATTACATATTAGTTTACATTAGAACATTAATCCTCTCGGTCAATTCCTCAGGTACAGGAACTATGTTGATCTTGTGATGCGTACCTGCAGTTGACTCGACACACACATTGACAAATTTCATGGCAAAACATACGTAGAGCATTGCTTCACTGCCCTCGCTTCGAGGGTTCCCCGTACAATCCTGTATCGCGCGGGTCCGCGTCAATCTAGTACCCTCTTTGGACTAGTGCAAGGGGGGTCCATGTTGGAGATCTGGAGAAGAAAATATGACCAAGTTCTATTTCGGACCTGTTTAGAATCTCAGTATCTGTCTCGTAAAGCTTGTTGACTTTCCAATCTGAGAATTTTTGAGGTATTTTGTTTATCTTTTTATGAATAATGGCTCCCGCATGGCGTTTGTTGGCCGGCAAGACAGCTTGTATCACCGGCGGCACAACTGGGATCGGTCGTGCGATCACTTTGGAGTACCTGCGCCAGGGTTGTAACGTCGCAGTCAACCACCTGGGACTTACCAAGGATGAATCGTTAAGGAAGAGCTTACATGAAGAAGCGAAGGCGATCCAAAAAGAAGGTCCAAAAGACATTCCTGCCGGTCAGCTTATAGACATAGCCGGCGACATTACTGATCCGGCCACGGGTACGAACCTGGTGGCGGAAGCCGTAAGGAAATGGGGTGCATTGGACATCTTCGTGGCCAACGCCGGAATTTTCAAGGCCTGCGAATTTTTGAAGTCAGTCTCATGCGCCGATAAATAAACCCCTTCTCAGACTAACAACCATTCTCGAACAGAATTGAAAAGTCCTTCTTCGATCAATCAATCAATGTCAACGTCAACGGCGCCTTCTACACATGCCAAGCAGCAGCACGGCAAATGGTAAAACAGGGACGTGGTGGTTCGATCATCGGCGTTTCCTCCATCAGCGCGCTCGTTGGAGGCGGGCTGCAAGTCCACTATACACCAACTAAAGCGGCAGTCCTGTCCATGATGCAATCGATGGCGATTGCGCTAGCAAAAGACAATATTCGCTGTAACGCACTGTTGCCGGGAACAATACACACGCAATTGGCCGAGGACGACATGCAGAACGCAGAAAAGAAGAGTTATCTCGAGAAGCGAATCCCGATGGGTAGAGTTGGCCGGCCTGAGGATATGGCAGGTCCAGCGGTGTTCCTAGCCAGCGAGGCGTTGAGCGGATACATGACGGGTTCCCAAGTGCTAGCGGACGGAGGCATGTTCGTACACTTGCAATAATTTCTTCCATTTGAAGATGGATAATTCATGTGGATGTAGCGAATTGTAATTGCATGACCCCATCATGAATAGTAACTATGGCCACCAGTGTTCGTGAGGAGTAAATACGTAATAGGGAAGAAATTTGGTAAGGAATAACCTTGGAAGCATTGGAAGCTGAAATATTACCCCACACCAATCCAGCGCATTGATCCATGGAGGCGGAGTACATCTCCAATTGTACCCCTGTTCAGGTGCGGGGTATTGGGGAAACTGCAGCTTAATAAGGCTAGACTCTCCATCGTTGATCCATCGTGTAACTAAAAACAATCAAGGTGCCGGGGTGCAGCATCTCACAGCACGCAACAAGTTTTCTTCCCCATCATTTTCTCTCGTTTCATTCTTAGCTTCGTTCTTCTACATAGTAATATCCTTCACATCTTGCTACACGTGACGACCCCATGAAATGATTCGCGAAACCTCCTCTAGCTCAACCATGGAGGGTACGGAGGAGGAAAGACGCTTCACCAGAGGCAGACTGTCTCGTGGGAAAGGGTTGCGAAAGACGACAGGTTGGTGCGTTTTTAAAGAGTCGATCATTTCAATTACGTCGTTCTGGAATTGCCGGTCTAACTCTCGATAATAGCGTAACATGTCGTCGTCGTCGTGTCAAATGCGACGAGCTCAAACCTAAGTGTGGTAGATGCATCAAGAGCATGCAAGAATGCTCATACGCGCCACATCCACCGCAGCAGCATCAGCGCGGTAACAGTACCACTACTAAGAGTATCTTAACGTCTTCCAAAAGCCCACCGCCGGTAGCAATTGCAGAATCAAGTAGTGTGCCTGCTACCGAAGATATCTTAACGTCACCGCATGATCAGGCCCAGTCCACGTACTGTGTTTTGACAGAGGTCCCCGAACAAACGTGGCGCGCGGTCAACACCAGCCCATATCCAAACGAATCTTTTTCTACCCCTATTAATGAACCAGCACCCAATACGCCCCTCGGGATAGGTCCGACTTGGCTTCCAAATAAAGAGCCCACCATAACTCAACATCTTTCTCCACAGCCGAGCCATCTGAAGAGCACCCCGATTAACGTTGACCGTTACGGGTCAGAGACAGGCACGGTCCGACATGGTGTCGCTCCCTCGTTACCTGGCAGCCCGGATCACTGTCGCCGAAGTCTTCCTGGTCCGTTAGCAGCACACACAGCTATATCGACGAATTCAAATATCGAAACAGCCACAGCTAGGTGGCTCGATCTCCTCATCGTAGATGCAGTAGCAGATGATGGCCTCTTACCTGATTTTGATTTCGAGGGCACGGGTGTCGATATCTTCGGGAACTCAATTGTGCATTCGCCCGCCTCTGACGTAAACCGAGGGGGCTCTTCCGACCATTCCGAGAACTCCCACGCGTCGAACCCTTTCTTACAGGAGCGCTACATTAAATTGGGAGGGGATCAGGTACTTGAAAAACAGGCTTGGCACTCCAAAGAGTCCCTCAAGCTGCTACCGCACGAGAAGCAACTTTTTCAGAGCTTCGTACGGCATATCAGTTGCTGGGTAAGAAAATCACAAATGTCATCAAGTTATCTTCTCATTTAATTATCCTTTTCTTCCCAATTAGTTATTAGGCTTGTTTCTGATACGAGGTCGCCAACTAGATGGACTTCTTTGACCCCAAAAAACCTTTCGGGACGTTTGCTCCCAGATTAGCTGTAAGCAGAACCCCGACTCCCTACCCCACAGTGGGTTTCAGCGCACTAAGTCCTGAAAGCTGCATAACGTTGGCCTAATGAACGCTATTCTATGCCTTACCGCACGATACCTATCCTTACAACCAGCCGCGACTCCCTGCGGCGTACCAATATCGCAGCTCCCAACTCAAAACGACGCGATACAATACTACTACAAGACGTTACACTATATCCAAAAAGCAATGCAGTTTGATACCTATAAAACGAGTTTAGAACTTCTGTCGACGTCATTGATTGTATCTACTTACGAGATGCTCGACGGGTCAAGCGAAAATTGGGAAAGGCATTTGAAGGGGGTCTTCTGGATACAACGATCGCAAACCATCCACGGCGACTCTAGAGGGTTAAGACAAGCCGTCTGGTGGGCGTGGCTATGCCAAGATGTGTGGGCTGCCTTTCGAGAGAAGCGGAAACCATTCACATTCTGGCGTCCGGTCCGAGGCCTAGATGAACTAGACCCCTATGAACTCGCTTCTAGATCTGTGTATTTCTTTGCGCAGGCTGTAGGGTTCTGTTCGAAGGAGGAGCGGGAAGAGGGAAAAGATGACCTCCAGGCGAGACTCCACAGGGCCGATAGCATTCTGCAGATGTTGGAGAATTGGAGGGAACATCTGACAGTCGAGTTTGAGCCCCTTCCCGCCCCGCCGGCACAGCCCGACACGGTTTTCCCGGCTGTCTGGATTCATCCTCCCTTATTCGGTACGTTTTAGAGTGCACATATTTCATTCATGGAGATAACCGGCTAAATATCACAGGAGTTGCGATGCAGCTATATTATTGCTCAATAATACTAGTTGCCCTCGAAAGGCCATTGCTAGGTGGGATAGGGGATTACCTTGAACTCCGGAAGACACTATCAAGATGTGTCCAAATAGTGTGTGGAATCGCAAAGACGCAAGAGGATTACGAGTCTAGCGTTATGTCGTCGCAATGTTTATATATTGGTAAGTTTGTATGGTCGATCAACAACTTACGAGCGTAACTAACAGAGATCACAAAATCAGCCGGTCTATCGGTTGAGAATAATAACGAGCGAGCCCAAGTATTAGATATGCTGTCTAAAAGGCAACGACGATGTGGTTGGCCCACTCGATCCCTCGGCGAGGATTTATTAGCGAGTTGGAAGTTGTCTAATCGAACTCAATGATGACTTGATTATAATGTGTGCTACCACTGTCGTTTCACTGAATGAAGCTGCAACGTGGGCTAGCCGGAGCGTATCTAAGGACATGACATGAAATACCCCTCGAGGAGCCGTCCTAAGTAAAATGATGGGTACTATGGTGAACTAGGGGCTTGCGAGAGAAACTCTTGTTAAAAGCAACTATAACGGTACGCAATGCTGGGTATCATGATTATGCTAACTCCTCCAATGCCCCTAAATACAAGACGAAACGTGATGCGGCGTCCTATGGAGTAGAGGGAATCGTGGTATGACTCGTTGTGACGCACAATACCACATTATTTCGTCTTCGGTTAATTACTTCGTTCGTGGTTCATCCTACGCCATTCTTGCGTCTCAAGCATCTCGTTCTCCGGACCATCCGCGATACTAAACTCGCAGTGTCAATCTTAATCGATGGCGATTGGAATCGAAGCCGCAAATCGGTATCGGATTGAGATAGGTCTGGGTCGACCCTGGCTAGTCGTGTCGACCACCATTTGATGGTCTGCTTGTCAGGTGTTGCCGTGAAAACCGTGGTAGAAACCCTACACCGGTGCTTCCAGTGGCTTCGTTGGTTGTAGGGGCTCCAGAGGCTCGAATGCTTGGGGTAAAGGGTGTTTTTCAATCCACGCCCGTATTCCTCGGGCGAAAAGTTGGGGATATTGCAAATTCCAAGCATGAATAGCATCCTTCACCACAAACGCGCGAGAACGCTTTCCTTCCTTCGAACCCACCGACGCTAGAACTTGGCCCATCTCCCGCGTGCCTTCAACATTATCCTGCTTTCCGCCAACGACCAGCGCAATCCTAATGTCTTTCTTCCCAACCTCCGCCATATCATCTTTACTCCAATTATTTGTTTCACGAGCGCCCGCCTCGTATAAGCGCGCCGTATTGTTACGCTTAATCTCCTTCAAAAGCTCATCGTTCTGGAACTCCGGCGCCCATCCTGTAGCCTTGAAAAGCAGACTCTTCGGGCTATGCAACAAGACCGATAATCCTAGATATGAAATCCTCGGCGACGAGTTAAGGCTCTTCCACGCTTCGGTTACCGGTACAGCGTTTGACACGAAAGCGCTTAGGACAAGGTCCGGATGCCGCCGTATTAACTCCATCGCGACGAAACCTCCCGTAGACAACCCTACAAGATGCGCCTTCCCATCGTGAGCGTGTTCTCGGATCATCTGCGCTATGCGGTCGGCCGCCAAGACGAACGAAAAAGGCCCAACGTGCTTCGATCGCGAATGCTGCGGTAAATCAGGGATGAGAAGATGGTACTCGGTTAGCTGAGGCCAGCAATGGGCCCACTCCAGATGCGAGCTTAGTAGAATATGGATCATTACGATCGAAATAGGTGCAAGCGGGTTGAGGGAGCTGAAAAAGATGCTTTCGCTATCGGCGTTCTCGGCCATGCTCGTCGTAGTCCAGCTACTTGTAGACATTGTCCTGCCGCCTATAGGTAAGGTATTATCATCTCTGCTCCTCCACGTGCTGCTAGTCGTCGCAGATGATATTGTTCTGCGCATTGCGACCGTCGCGGCGTCCAATTCGTCTCTAGCATTAGAAACGGCCAATTTTCGGCCACCCATCACGAATGTCGCGCCGAAGAAGTTCTCTTCTTCAAACAGCGATCATGGAATTTTGAGTAGCTTAACTTATTAGTATTAGGTACCTAGAGAACATAATATTCTTTCTAGAAAAGTCTGGTGCTTCATTCGATAGAAGTATGTAGGTATGTAAAAGACTTGCGACGCGGCGTGTAAAGATAAAGTACCTAGTAGTGTAGTCCCGCCCACCTGGTCGGCCTAATTCTTATCAGGGTTCAGAAATTGCCGTCGCCACTCGATCCCTGGACGGTAAGCTCGTTCTACGAGAGTCGCCGCATCGTCATCGTGAATGACAACATAAAAAAATAGTAATTTCTCCAGGCCCCTCCCTTGACATATCTGGTGGGGATAGCATCGATAGACCTAACCAAGTGTATTCTAGCGCGGTCGAAAATCGAAGGTTCCAAGCGGCGCTGGACGAGAGCTGACTGCTAATGTACCGACAACCCTGGTAGAGATAGGCTGGTAGGAGGAGAATATCCATAACCAGACTATTATCAGCTAAAGTCGATGGGGATATTCGGGTATATAATCGTTACTAATGCTACACTGCTTTTCACCGCAACCAAGTTTCACTCTACGCTAAGAAGGGACTCTATCGGGATGATCCTTGCATCAAGAGGCACGGTGGATTACCACGTGAGGTTTAAAATATCATAAGAGCAAGGGTAAATGTACATCGGAGGGAATTATCGAATGATAACTGCATATGATGTTCTTGCTGATGCCTTTTCTGGTTGCTATTCTAGATATCTCGCTTGTTGTCAAATGCTCTGGCGTGGAAAAATATTTATATCATCAGGATCTGTATACGTTCTACATATTCAAATACCTGGTATTTTTCATGGAATTCACTCTCATAAAGTAAAAATTTCGTATCTACCCTAGGTACTAGAGCGAATGGATTTTGATCACTAGCCTCATTGGTTACTTAAAACCATATCAATCCGCTAGATCCACGCGATCTCCCAAAAGAGATGATACAGTAGCAGTGCCATATGTAGATCCATAAATATCGTACCATGGAGTTGGACCGTGCAATCCATCTACAACCCGGTTAACACTCGGCGTTCTCTCACTAGCATTCTGCTGGGTTTCGAAAAGCAGGGACTCTCCATTTCCGGCATATCACAGCCCGACGAGAGCCTAACATCTGTCTGAGCTTTCCGAAAATGGTAACCCAGACCTATGATTTCTAGAGCCGCCAAAGACACCCGATAGGTATTTCTTTTTTCTTGAAATACTATGTCACCACCATAGGCGGCACAATCTTCGATCCGGGATTCAGAGAATAGAGCGTAAAATACCCAAGCAAGAAGAGAAATAAGTCAAAATGCCATAAGGTCCGACTACTCCGCTGCCTTTAATGGTTCAATTGGAGTTTTCCAAATGTAAGTCCAGTCTTATTGCGTTTATTCGCATGAACAGCAAGTACCCCGTTTATGACACCAATTGCGGCGTGGCCGACATTCCAAGAACCGGTGTCACTTACTCCAGATTAACAATGGAGCTTTGTAAAGGCCCACACAAATAGACTACGATATGATAGGAGGAATACGGTAAGAGCTTGCAGGATGGACGGGAAGGGCGGGGAGCTGAACCATTACTTACATCGGAGGAGCTTCAGAATACCTGGAACAAAGGAAATGATAGACATCCTCTTCTACCCGATCGCGCTGACAATAGCATAGTACAAAAGTTTATATCTCTAACGGTACATGTCGGTGGATCGCCTTCGGCAAAGCACTCCCGACTAGATGTCTCTTCTCAAGATATTGAGCTGGATTAAAAGGGGTTACGCCGAAGCATTTACGCGGTATTCGACGAGAGAAGACCAAAATCCAGAATCATGGCACTAAGTACAATCCGACAATACCCGCGATAGCTGTTCATGTTTTACCGCAAATACGCGTATGAAGATATAGCGAAGTTCGAACATACACACTTACTCGCACGCCGTCTGAAACGAGACATGAGAAGATTCCCAGTTCTTCCGGATTCGCATATATTGTGCAGGCTAGGGATCAGAAAACAAGCTTTGGCATCAGTCCCACACCTCTCGACCTCTGGATTATGGACGACCTGATGCGTAACGGTGGCCGAGATCATATTGCGATGCAAATCCTTTTTCATCTCAATATAGGCTACAAAAAATAGATGGTACTTAGTGTCCTTTCGTTTAAGAAAAGGTTCCCTTCTCTGACCAGTCTTTAAGCTACTCGCCAAGGCCATATCCGAGGGAATTATCGACTTGGCTAGCTACGGCGCATGTGCCCAGGTTTACGTTAGTACTAAGATCGGTATGCCCGCCGTATACATATACCTTGGGAGGAGGGGTTTTGGCACAAGTCTGTCGAGTGACTATCGATTCTTTTGATGGGTCTGAAGTCAGATGAGTCGCCCAAGCCGAAAGGTTGATGACAATTCAGAACATATTAACAAGGTAACGGGCTTCCCTAATCGATCGAAGATCATAAATATTAAGTTTCCCTGTGATAATCCAACTACCTCTAACTCGAGGCCGGGGAACTACTGTCAATCGATTCGGGACCAGGGGGCACGCCACAGTCCTCATAGCGCTGTAAACAAGGGGCACTATGCCAGCGCCACAAGAAATACCTTATTTTAGAATGCCGGCTTGGGCCCCCATACCTAACAGATACACTCAAGAACAGCGGCCTAGATAACACGATTTGCCGTCTAGGAAGAAAATGGACAGACCAAGAAGCAGAGTTACAAGCTGGTTATCGGAAGTTTATTACGAAGGCTTTCAGTGCTGACTGAAAAAGCACGAGCAGAATGTGTGAGATCTAGCCTTCAAGGAGACTAATCGGAGAAAAGGAATAATACAGAGCGTGATGGACAGTTGCATATTATCCACGAACCACAGATACGGTTGCAGAAGGTCATCATCCGCCTGCTGAAACGAAACGACCTTACTGTAGCCAATGTCTCAGTTAGCTACCCCCATACAATCGAGCCGGAGAACCTTAATAATACCGTCAATAGAAATCATGAATCAAAATAAAGAATCTTAATGGTTGATACCGTCGATGGATAAGTAGACCAACAAAACAACATTTGAAGGGGGCCATTACGTAATCGATAGGATTATGTAAGACTGTGCGTCATTAGATAAGCAATTGCTTCACACTGTATTGTTACTCATTGTGCCTGGGCTGAATCAAGACCCGGTAGCGATCTGTTCGCTAAATCCTAGTGGGTAACTGCCATCGCTGGCGCCTGTTCCAGGGGCATAGCCACCAAAGAAAAAGGCCACACAGTTCATATTGGTAGATAAACAAATGCCATCCACCTAATGAACGTTTTTCGTAACAGCGTAAAATCTACATATTAAAGGTCATTACAATCAAAGGACAACTGTAAACGCTTGAATGAGACGACCACTAGGTAAAATAAACAGTGTTTACTTTGTCACCGTCGATTACACCACAATATTTAGGAACCTAGATCGAATACGATGCGCGACAACGATGTCTACGATGACCCGAAAAAGGCCTTTAAAGATCCCCGAGCAAAGACTATTTTTGCTAACATGTTCAGACGCTAGAACATGGCTCTTGGCCTTGCTAAATCTATTCCTGTTAGCGATATTCCTCCTCATATGCTTGATCTAGAGGTATGTACCTAGGTACCATGGTGGGAAAATGTAGGTTTAAAAAGACGGATGAGCAACCTTACCTAGTATACAGTTGGTTTATAGGCTACCTCCTACATACCTACCTAGTAGGTACACTTAAATACATCGACTAGCTTCCGCACAAATCCACATCGATGTTACAATATAAGTAGGTAGATAACTTCCCCTTAAACCATCCAGACAATGTGTTTCCCTGAGTACTTATCAATGCATAAGCGATGCTGACTCATAAGATACACTCCAACTCTTATCTACTGTGATATTTGAAAACTGGGGCGGTTTGGGTTGCCTATGGGGGCTCACGGAGAAATTAGGCTTCAATTTTTGTCTGTGAGGGGAAGACGGGCTCGACGTAGTCGCTGTGGATTTCGACGTTCCTCCGTGGATGTAAACGTCATACTTCGAACTGTCTCCCGCTATGACTTCCTTCCAACTCACGAGACTTCCATCTTCGTCGTGTTCTCGACTGACAGGGGTCACGTTGCTCGATTTCTCTGGGATTCTAGTCTGTTCTCTCGTGGCCCGAAGTCTCTCACGTAACTTCGTCCAAAGTGGAAGTAATATAGGGAGACTAAGGCAGAAAATGGCTAGCTCTGGCTCGAGCACGTTGAGATGCATATCACGGCTACCGTAAGCGATGAGCGTATCGACGTCATAATCTTTCCGTACCACGAAAGATAAGCGAATGCAGGAGACCATGGCGACACTATTGACTTGATATTAGCTCCCAGTAGCAAAGTTCTACCCCAACCATAGCTTCAGCTTACCAGATCCCGAGACAGAAAAGAATAGTCAAATTGATTTTGGTTTGAATCTTCATCTGCAATTTCCAGATAGGGGCTAGTGGTATGAGGAGAATAACCACATTTCCCACTATGTTCAAGACAGAGATTGTGACGTCGGCAGCTTTCATGTGAGTCGGGCCCCCTATGATAGGATTTTGCCAAAGTGCGACCGCAATGTTCGAGAGTGTCATGAGTTCCACGAATATCGCCATATATATAAGAATTACTGTCGCGCCGACAAACTTGCATATCAACCGAAATTTATCTTGGATAAATATGCGCGCGTATAGATAGAGGGCGCTAAGTTTTGCGAGACACATCGACGTCAGATGCAGGATTTCGAAAAGAAGGAGGATCTAGTCCAACGGTCGTCAGTATATGCTCAGTGGAGATTACCAGCGTTTCATGGAAGCTGTGTAGTTGCAGTGGGTACTGACAGTTAGAACGGTATTGCTTCCGTAGCCCAAGTCGGTTAATGAAGCCCGACTCCATCCCGGGCCCCATACTGAGCAACAACATGTTAGATATAACACCAAACTATAATTATTCAGGAAAAGCTACCTACCTAGGTAGGTAGATCAGACAACTTACGGTGGATTGAAATTCCAAAAAGAGCCACAACAATAGCTGCCGAGACCACGATAAGTCCATCATCCCAGTCGATGCCTGCTTTTGTCAATTTTCGCGAATAAAGGCGTAATCCGACCGAAAGTAAGCTAGAGACGAAAACCAGACAAGAAATAAGGAATAACGAGGAAATCATAATTAGCAGTTGAGGGTTTAAACATTTATAATAGGTATCTTTTTCGGCGATAACGTTAAGCTTCTCATGTTCGGTGTGGAATTGGTAGGCTTTGGAGAAAAGAAGATCTAGAAAGCACATATGGCTAAGAATTTCGTTATCGACAATTTGATTGCCAATTATATAGTTTGCCACAAACATGCTCAGTCATGATCCCGTTATCATGGGTGACACTCTATCTAGTTTGGATGATTGAGTTAATCAAACAACAGTACGCGATGTGGCTCTGACCAGTTTGATTAGGCGTGCGTGGAACGAATCAGACGGATGAGAAAGTATATTACATCACGATACCACCAACCTTAAGTTGTCGTACGGACCTACTGGGTAAGTACGCATCTTGTGTTTAATCTTCCAGGTCACCGCTTCTGCCTAGTAGTGAGCCTAAGTGTATCTAGGTAGGTATACGTTCCTCTTAAAAGTATGGAAGAGATCGAATAACTATAGGTAGTAAATTAATATTACAGATGTACCCTGTGAAAACAGTGCCTAGAATGATATAAGGTAAGAATAAATCCGGGCACAATACAAGAGAGGACCATGAGAAGACTGCTCCTTATTGTACTTCCCACTCCAAACCCGAAGACCATTCCCAAAAATGTAAAAGGTATCATATACACAGCTACTGTGTTTGAACAAGAGCTAAGAAGTGCCGGGACCAGCAATCCTAGTAGTATTAACAATGTGGATATCATCTTCAGGAACCAGGACTTTCTTTTCGTAAACCATTGTTTTATTCCACGAGGAAAGCTGTAGCCATTCTGCATGAGATGAGCATCGAATGAAACTGATCCGCCTCTGAGCTTCTTTTTAATCTCCGCTTTGAGCTCACTATCTGTCAAATGACAAACATCAATCGCGGCCTCGTTTAGCTCTTTGTTTATTTTCTCGGCCAGTATGAGTACAGCTCTCCAGCCTCGAGGTACCTCTACATAACCATTTAGAGGCAGTTGGAAGCAGGCTTTAAGCCACATTATATAAGTTCCGACCGTCCAGATATTCAAGAAAATTATCACAATGAATAACTGTAGAAATGAGAAGCCCCATTTGAAGCGCTAAATTATTATTGTGTCAATAATATTCATCTAAAAGCGAATCTTCTCATAGGACATATGCTTACGTTTTGAACTGGTTGACACGCGCCATTTTCTTGGATGTATGTGAGCAGATATGTCTGATTGGAGTAGGCTAGTGTTCTATTCGATGGATCTTGAAAGGGATAAGTCGGTCCTATTGTTCGAGGGTCGGTCCAATTATAACCAAAGAATCTACTACTAGAGTCAAAATAAAAGGCGGTTATATTCAACACCGGACCTGAAAGCGTTTTATTCATCCAAAGCGATGTCGTATTCCGAAGGCCAAAGAAACCATGTGATGATACGTCTGAGAAATCTGTATCAGTGAAGTTTTTTATGAATGTATAACGAAGCAATACGGACAATCAGATGTAGCTTTTTGTAAAACGCAATTGTAAAATTCGGTGAACTCGCAATCGCTTCTTGGTGGACTAGATTTAAATATATGTTCCACTAAAAATATCGTCAGCGACAACCTTATTTAGTATGATTTGGATACTTGCTGCTGTCTAGCTGTGTGCTGAGAAAGGGTACCATGTAGTCATTGGTGAGATTTACTCTCAGCCCATCGTGTATAATGTACGCTATAGGCTGAAAATCAGCGTACGCGATATAGTTTCCTTCATAATCCGGGACAAATGCTTTGACGGCTGTGGTATATCCAGTCATTGCACTAGCAACTGTCGGCCATCCTATCAGAAATAGCATATTTAATATCATGAAAGCCATAGCAAGCTTAGACTTGAGTCCTCGACCAGATATAAATATTCTTATAATGCGAGATACCGAGAGAATGGAAGGTTCATCTTGGAGGTACATGGTAGAGAAGATAGCGTATGTGATAGGCGCAAATTCCATCGAAGTCGTCACATAATCGGCAAATACACGCCAAGACGTAAATGCCAAAAGCGCTTGTCCTCCACGGCCAATCACCTAACAAATATGTATCAGCTTGAGTATAAGATTATAAAGGAGTTTAGTTTGAAGTCTGACAATGTCCCATGAGATGTCAATAGCTTTCGCTTGTGTGAAGGTTAGGTTTCCAACACCAAGGTTTATCTCAAAGAATCCCGAGGTTGCCCATGTATTGTATGTTGACATATTTACGTTGAACGAGTTATCAGCTCTGCATGCCGTACTTTCGCTGTAGATGAAATCACCGGAAAAACAACCGTAAGCCGTAAGCCAGGCGAAGAAACCTAGTAGAGCTAATACCCATACTCCAAAAAGAGACCATAGGCCTGCTCGTCTCCACCTAGTAGACCGTAGGTCTGATGCCGCTTCTTTGAAAGGTGCGGTGCATTGCGTTAGGATGGACTGGAAGAATCTCCTGAATAACGGCTGTTTCTCTTTAGAAGGCGGAGCCTCTAGAATGAGGGAGTCTAACGATAATGAAGACAAAGCCATCGGATTTAGCTGATTACAATCCATCATTCAAAAGATGGATTTGGGTTGAAATAGGACGTGACCTGTCTGCTACAACTAGTTTTATCATAATCCTAAGTGCTAATAATAGATTGAAAATCAGGGTGCGCCACCCAGCCCATAGTTACACAAATGAACTGAATGTTCTCTTCATTGGTCTATCAGCCAGAGACAGCTTACGTACCATGCTCAGCCAGTTCAATTTGTAAATATGCCAGATGTTGTGTAACATTCCAAGGTTGACAAGGCATTCTAGGGAACCCGAAAAAGAGTATAAGCACTGACTTCATAATCGAGTTCGTCAACTGAAAGCAACTGGAAGAGCCGAAGAAGCTATTTATGACTTAGAGACTTAATTCATCCGTCAGGGAGAGTGGTCTCTCTGAAATTCTATTTCAGAGAGACAAAAACTCGTCTGCCAGATCCGAGTGCTTCCGCATGATCCGAAACATCTGCGTGTATATCCAACTGTACTAGGTAAACTAGCAATAATGATCCCATATAATGTGAGGAGCTTTAAAGAATCGTCAGCTTCTTCATTTTCTCCTTCCGCTTCATTCAAAGACATGGCAATTAGCAAAGAACCCGAGCCAGCGAAGTTCGTAATCATTGATAGGCACCTGGGCATATTATAGTAGTAGACCTTTTCGAAATTTCGCCCAAGCTAGCGCCATGTCGCTAATTTGGAGGCACCGCGCAGTTAGGATAGCCAACAGGCAGTCCAGTGGTCTACCCCTCCATTCGCTACATAGCTCAAAGATATTCTAAGACATTCCCATTCCTACCAAGATATTGTAAAGGTTATTAGTTGCTTTTTCCACTTCAATGTCAGATAGCTTCACCTCGATTTTCATAATGAGGGTGCGCGTACTTGACTAGCGCTAGGATTCATTAAATGACTTAGCTCGCCGCGACATGTTAGGTTGACTTTGATCCGGATTAATTACATACCTAGGTAGGTAGGTATATTTAAAAGACGTTTCAAGGTGAAAGATGTCATGCGTATTTACATTGGTGGAGTTTTTAAACCACATGTTACCCAATTCCACTAAGGATTACCACGTCTTGGCATTTTAGTTTCTTGATTAACTGATGTTTACTTCGTACGTAGCCCCCACTAAACCAACCTCCACCTCTTCCACATGCGATGATGGTAGCACATGAACAACGTCGGGGTCCGATTTTAGCCGCCCCTGTAACCGCCAAACTATGTAGCAAGAATACGACCAAAATCAGGACGCCGACAAACCCGTAAAGCCCACATATCTAGAAATACCAAGAATAGCTCAATAGAAACACGAAGACACGAAGGACGTTAAACGTAACATCAACCTTATTCATTCGAAGGAGAAACTTGAGCAGACGTAGTCCCGATCCATATAATCATCCACTCGCATGCAGGTAAGGCGTGAGTCGTCGTTGGCGCGCTTTGGCGGACTCGGGTCTCGACTCGACTCGTATTAATTGCGATCAATGCCGGCGGGAGATCTCACCCCAGCAATCCGGATATCCAAATTGCTTCCCCACAGCGGGAGAGAGCCCTACCCTGGCTTTTCTGCCATTATATGAATGGGGAGGTTCGCCGCAGCTGCAGAGTAGTTGCGCATTCAATCGATTGCATGTCGATCCCGCATGCGAACAGACGGCTAGGCGCATTTGACTATTGAAAAAATTCGAAATGCGTTTTCTTAACGTGGCGCTTTTGACGGCCCTATCGCCCCTGGCGAGCGCGAGTTTACAAGTTGTACCTGGGGGCACATGGACTACAGTGGGTTACCCTCATTCTCCAGCTTATTCATCAATTGTCAAATCCTATAAACTGTCTTAAATCCGAAGCATTCCACCCCCTTTTCTCCAACCCCTGTCCCCGCCCCCTTTTCTACCCCAACATGACCCCCACCACACACCACAACTAACACCCCCACGCAACTAGTCTAATGGCGAACACATGCAAGCCCACGGCGCCGGCGTCATCAAAGTAGGCGATCTGTACTACCTAATCGGCGAGGACAAGACCAGCGGCAGCGCCTTCCAAAACGTAAACTGCTACTCCTCGCCGGACCTAGTCCAATGGACCTACGTCGGCGCGCTCCTCTCGCGGACCAGCTCCGGGGACCTGGGTCCCAACCGAGTCGTCGAGCGGCCAAAAGTGCTGTACAACGCGTCGACGAAGAAATACGTCCTGTACATGCACATCGACAGCTCCTCGTACGGCGAAGCAAAAGTAGGCGTCGCGACCGGCGACACGGTGTGCGGGAAATACACCTACATCAACTCCTTCCAACCGCTCGGCTTCCAATCGCGGGACATGGGGTTATTCCAAGACACCGACGGCGCGGGGTACTTGCTAACCGAAGACCGCCAAAACGGGCTGCGCATTGAGCGGCTATCTGCGGACTACCTGTCCGTAGAATCAAACACGTACCTCTGGAAAGACAGGATCGAGGCCCCGGCAGTGCTTAAACACGACGGCGTGTACTTCATGTTCGGGTCGAAACTAACAGGCTGGGATCCGAATGACAACGTCTACAGCACGTCGACCTCGCTGAGCTCGGGGTGGTCCGCGTGGAAGACGTTTGCGGACGCGGGGAGCAAGACATACACCTCGCAGACGAACTACGTACTCCCGATCGGCACAAACGCCGCCGTGTATCTCGGCGACCGCTGGGTAAGCAGTAACCTCATGGCATCGACATACGTGTGGCTACCCCTGAGCATCTCCGGAACCACCGTGACAATGGCGAACGCCGAATCCTGGGTTCCGGACATAAACACGACGTCGTCGTCGGCATCGACGGCAAAGCCGGCAGAAAGCGCGTATGAAGGGGAAGCCGCGACGTACGGCGGTGCGACGCGTGACGTGAGCTGCGGGTCGTGCTCGGCTGGCAAAGCGGCGGGGTACGTGGGGGGTCCGGACGGGGGCACGGTGACGTTTTCCGGGGTAAAGAGCGATGCGGCAGCGCGGACGACGGTGCGAGTGCGGTACGTGAATGGGGACAGTTCGCCGCGGTACGCAAACGTGCGCGTGAACGGGGGTACGGCGCAGAAGCTGGCATTTTTGCCTACGGGAAGCAGCGTGTCGAGTAGCACGTTGAATGTGGATTTGAAGGCTGGGAGCAATAACGAGATTGTGTTTGAGGCTGTCGGGACGGGTTGGGGGCCTGATATTGATAGGCTGCTGGTGCCCGTTTCGTGAGACCGTGGGTTAATCGAGGTGAAACAATCGGGATGTCGACTAATTACGAAAATGAATCAGGTTCCTAAGCAAATGAGAATTAGGACACGTTAAAATTAGGATACCATGCTATATCATACCTCCCGTATATACCGGCATTATGGATGTTCGCCTACATGTCACGACACGAGACGATTTTAACACCCGTCGACTTCCTCTATCAGCCAAACTTGACGTCAAGGCTCTTCGATTCATATATGTATACCTCCCGCACTAAATGCTACATGACTCTCCCAATCCCTGCTCAGAAGCTCGAGGAAAATGAACACTTCTGAAATAGCATGACAAAGGCCACCGGTCCAGCCGAAGTAACAACAGCCAAGCGATATAGACTACCAGGAAACCCCCAACTAGAATACCCATTCAGACCCTCTCGTCTTTTGACGAACGTTCGACAACCTAGATATAAACGCCCTTCATCATCTTCCCTTACTAGACACCTATGAAAATATATCGTCGGAACCACACGAGACCTCACTGACGTTCCTTATAAACCTCCCCCAAGGAAAAGCCAATGTGCATTATTCTGGAAACTCCATTGACTAGACCACCTATGACATGTACGACACGAGACGTATTGCGACAACAGTATAAATAATAGGGACGATGGTAAAACGCCCGCCCAGAAATGATGATTCGTGCATGTGGCCATGAAGCAGTAAGTCAGGGTCGCCCGGCTAACGTATCGGCCGGTGTTAATCGATCCCAGTAGTAAGGTTGGCCGTTGTCCCTTCGTTAAAAAGAGACCCAACCGGTATTAGGTCTTGTGTAATCAGCGCCTGGAGCACCTCATAGCGTGCAGCCAAAATAAGCACCTAGGGACGCAAATTTCATCTGAAATGAGTGTAACACTCTGGTATAGCAAAAAGAAAATGGTATCAAGTCGTAATCAGCCGTGAACGCCATGCAAGGTCCTCGAAACAAACGTGGTGCAAGTTACTGGTTGGCAAATAAGCCAGACAGGCTCGGGAATGGTTGCTAAATGCTGGTGGCCCCTGATCACCAACCCTTCTTTCTAGCAAAGCGCTTGTTTAACAAGGCCAATACCTTCGTGACGTTGAACTGTACGTATTCAAGGTCTAAATCGTCCTGGTTATCCTTCTGCATCTCTAGTAGGTCATCTAGCTTGAGATCGAGCTCCAGAAGCCCACGGTTGCGTCCTATATACTGGTTAGCCTGAGCGGGAACGTCCTCGAAGGGCCCCTCTAACTCACCTTTGTAATGGAGCGATATCACAAAGGTTCCCGGCAAAGGGCTGGTGAAATTAAAGTAGATGTTGGCCCTTCTGTTATCAGGGACATTGCTCTTCTGAATGACACCCTCCTTTTCCAATTGCTGGTGAGTAAATTTGTACGGGCCAAGAATTTGCTGTTTCTGCTGCTTTCGTCTCGTACCTTCGGATTGGCTTCGCACATTGTGAAGATAGCTCTTGTACGTCTCCAATTGGCCGACGAGGTATGAGTTGTGGTCCCTGATCGTCTTGTACACCTCTTCAAGCTTAGCAGTCTCCGCAATGACACCGTCCTTCAAAGAACCTAAATGCTGCAACTCTTGCTCAACTTCGTCCCTGAGGAGGCTAAATTGGTCGGATTTATCGATAACTTTCATCTCCTGGAGTTGGCTAAGTAGTTCCATGGCCCGGATACCTTTTCGGACCATAACTGCGTCATTTCTCGATGTGGCTGCTGCATCCGCAATTCTCTCCAGGCGTAATGGGCGACGGGCGACCGAACTGTTCGCAGGGATAGACCGCATAACCTGTACAAATATGGACTTAGCTTCCATGAAGTAGACCTCTTCCTGCGTAATATCTAAAGCTGCTGTTAAATCATCGATGGCGGTCTCCCATCGGCTGAATAGGGGAAGGTTAATGGCTCTGTTCTCTTTCCGAGGTACTTGTGCGGGTGCATGGCCTAGCTCCGAAATGATTTGAGACAAATGAGACGATTCATCTTTACAGAGCTCCGCAGTATGCTTCTCGATCAAGGCGTGCATGGCGTATATCTCGTTTAGGGTGATAGAAAGCTCGAGATCCTTCTTGGAAAGTGCAACATAATTGTCCATCTCGAGACTCTCGTAGAAATCTTGAACCTCACAAAGGTCGAGCATGAACTTGTTGACACGGTCCTTGTTCTGTTGGATGAACGGCTGCAACTTGGCCATGTATGGTTCTTTGGCATACGATGGCTTATTAGCCAGATTCTGCAACATCTTAGCAACTAACGTCAAGGTACGCCGAGGTCGCTCAGAAGGCACTCCGTCGATAAGCATGTACGATTTCGGTGTGACAATAGCGGGATTGATGAAACGAAGGAAGAAAAAGCCACCAATCAGTGTGCAAATGACCTGGTCATTTGCATCGGGGTACTTTCGCTTCGTCAAACTTCGAATCTGCTTGCATATCCATCGAATACCGTACGGGGCCTCCTCGAGTCCCTCGATGATCGTAGTCAGAAAGCCATTAGCAATTTCCGTCAGCATCGTCAAACGAGGTTCAATGATAGCCTGGACTTGGGGGTTTTCGGCAGCCTGCTCTCCCGTAATGCCTCTAGGAAGATTTGCCGGGAGACCACCGGTATCTTCCTCGATTTGTTGACACATGCGCTCATAGACCTTCAAGGGGTTGATCTCGAGGTCGAGATCCGTCAATTCGATCAAGCTGTTGATTCTTTGCGCCAGTACTGTTCGCAAGAAACTCTGCCCGGGACCACGCCTAGTGTAGGTAGTCATCATACGGGAGACCGGCGTATTTGCTCGGAGAAGGGACGAATATTCCGGTGTCGTATCGAATTGATAGGTTAAAACGGACTAAATAAGATCAGCAAGGTCTACTCGGCATCCGATATACAAGAGAACATACCTGAAACATAGTCAAGAGTAGATGTTCTTCTCGACTTTCGTATTGATTTCCGTAAATGGTGAACATGACGGTCTGTAGCAGGGAGTCAATCTCAGACATGGACACTAGCCTACACAGATGGGCTATGTGCCTAGGCTCAGACTGCAATAAGAACAAGAGGTTGCCATATTTTTGTGTTTTGTCGTCGTTAGGAAACGCGCCCTCTTGCAGATCGGTCGCGTCTTCGAGATGGCTCGCAACTTCGTTTTGCTAGTAACCGATTTAGTTATTTGATTATCATAGGCAGAAAGGTAAATCAACAAACCTCTTCTAAAGCCATCCGGTTCTGGATTAATAGGGCAATTCGAGAATCGAGATATCGAACATCCTTTTCGAGGACGAAATTCTTCTTTGATTGCGAGGAAATCTTGGATTTTAACTCGCGCAATATCTTCTGAGCTGTAATTCACCGCCTATATTAGCCCCATCACACCCTAGAACGAAAAAGAAAAAAAACAATGCTGAACTCCGTACCTTTTGCCAAATCATCTTCAATTTCTAGATCCGACTCGTTCGCCGACATAGACAAGTATAAAGCCGACATAGAGTATCGCTTAGACTGACGCGCCGAGCGCGAACCCTCGTAGGAAGACATGGTGTTCTGGCGAGAAATCGGCTGAAACGACGAAGACGAGGCTGTTGATGCCCTAGAAGGTGTTTGTAACATGACTGACATGTTTTGAATATGGGTTACTATATCTATCCGTAACGCGGTCGTCTCGACAGCTGCTTGCTGAACTTGTTGACAACACTAGAATAGTGGGCTAGGCGCGACGATGAATTGCGATCATTACAAAACAAGACAGTGTTGTATTGCGCGATTGAATTAACCCGTATCGAACCGAAATCGCCTAATGTTTCTGGTCTATCGAGTCTCGGTTGGGTAATTACGAGGTATATACTTCACACAAAGTATTGATAAAAGTAGTCGGGGTCGTGATTAAGGTCGGGATAGGAAAAGAGGAAATCGTCTCGTCGGTTGGCGTCGTGCAGGTTCGTAATGAATTGGTGGATATTGGATGGCGAATGGATTGTATATCCGAATTGATTTATCTTCGAATCGGAATCAATTGAGGTCGGCACAGCGGGCCAGCGAGCGCCAGTATCGATATGAATTAGACCGGAAGGGCTAATACCTGTCGAGTACTGAATGAGGTTTGTCTGACCCGGATCCTACCCGCAAGGGAGACAAAAAAATAAGTCGATTTGGGTTATGGTGTTTTAATCGGTCAACAGAGTGGGAACAAGGTGGAAATGCGTTTAATTAGTAGCCGTGAATCTGTCGCGACTAAAGATCAAACACCGGTTCGTCTGTGACCAATTAAGTAGAATCCAATGGTGTCTTGTTTTTCAATTATCGTCAATGTTCGCTCGGGCAGTAAACGAAGGTTGGACGGTTGGACAACATAAGGCCGTCGTCTAGGCGGGTGAGGAGACGGCTGCGCTTCGTTGCGCTGCGACAGAAGCAGCCGCAGAATTGGTAGTGGATAGTAGGTAATGAGAAATGGGTAGAGAATTAAGTCGCACACACGGATATGGAAACTTCGTCAAGACATAGGCCCCCAAAAATGAGCACAAGTGGTCGTGCTAAGATGTTGCACGGGAATTGATTGGAAATCGAGAATCGACTTAATTGACTAAGACGAAGAAGGCGAAGAGGAGAGGGGTTCGGCGCTCAAAAGAATTGGACTTGAACTTCTGAACTGCGACAGGGCGCAAGGCGTGTGTGCGTGTGTGTGTGTGTGCAGTGTATGTGTATATGCAGTGTGTTCGGTCGGGGGGTATGAATTATTGGATATGGGTATGGGTACGATTATGGGTGTGGGAAAGGGTGTGAGATGCAAGATGTGGGTGTGGTGTACGAGAAAGGGGAGGGAAGGGAAAGACAAGATTCTTGTCTACAAGGTAGGAGGATTTGAGTTCTTGAGTTCTGTCCTGAATAGTAGTAGCGTAGAAGCGTATCGAGGAAGCTTGTGGTAGGTGAATTAAGTGTAGTAGTGTAATACAGAATACTGTAGCACTGTAATAGCGAAGTAGCGAAGTACGTCGCAGCAGGTACCACCGTGATAGAAAAAAAAAATAATGATACTACGCCTGTATGTGTGTATGCTACTACAGGCCAAATCAAATCCGGTTGGATGCTCGGCTGTATGTACAGAAACAGAATAGACGGCTCAACGCTATCGATTAAACCGGAAACGAGTCGACCAAAAGTGGGGTCATTAGTTGAATAACGATATAATTGCCGTACAGAGGCGCTTCTCAAGATATAATTCTCAAAATATCATCACCAAAGGAATAGGTCCTGACCGTGGTGTTTAAGAAATTAAGAATCTTATCAATTATTCGACGACATAGGGAAACGGTAAGATATTATCAAATATCAAATAATTGAAGCTAGAATAAATGGTAAAATCGAATAATTACTAGGCAAGTAAAAGGAAACAATTACCAGTTCGGAATCAAAGGGATTCGAAAGGGATGACTGCTCTCAATCTATTCGTCATAATCCACGTAAGAAAGAAATGGGAAAGAAAATTGAGATAAGATGCAAGTAAGGAAAACAGGGTAAGGTGAAGTTGTAAAAGTCGACCTGTCCCTTTTTTTTCTTCTTTCTCTTTTATTCTATCTCCCTTCTGCTCTCCTCTGGGCCAATGAAGGTCAGCAATTATTGAGATGATGGTGTGTACCGTACCGTATGTGCGTGTGTTAATGCTAGTCAGTGCCGGGCTGCCGGGGTCTTGGATTGGCGGTCTAGCTGTCACATAGTCACAGTAACAAAATTCATTCTATTCATTTTATTGTTGCGTAGCTGCGCTGCTGCATAGGTAGTAGTTTATTTTATTCAATGGCTGAATGGATGGATATCAAGAACTGGAGCTTTTAATGGATGTTCCTGCTCTCCAATTCTCTTACGATAGGAACTTCCCAAAAGTCAAGGTTGGTCGCGGTTGGTGTACCTACGCTAAAAGATTTTAGTGGGAATAGAAGGTGGGGGATCGGAACAGTTACATCTTAGCGCAGTTCTTTAATCGACTTTTTCATCGTTTATCGTAATTCGTTCTCGCTTAAACCTCATAGGGTAAGAGACTCCGCGTGTGTATTGTGTACAATTGGATGTCCAATTGATCGTACAAATGCCGACTGTCAAATGTACATGTACATAAACATCACTTTCTAACCTTGTTCATAACATCGTTAATAATGAAGCCATTCAGTCCGATGATTGATCATGATATGACCCTGACATTTTCTCGAAACCGTGTAGAAGAACCAGCCACCTCCATTGTCAATCCATCGGGACCGTTAACACCAACTGCCATCACATGCGGATTAGAAGAGCCGCAGTTCCTAGCATACGAGGGCTAGGATGCCATGTCAAATGGATGAGAGAGTCTGTGTTATTGTAAGGTTGTGCAGCGGGTGTGCTTGGCTTGTGCGGGTCGTGAAGCTAGCTTAAGTAAGGAGTGCATATATTTCATGAAACACCTCGTGATGATCGACAAACCTCTTAGGCACAGGATTGATATCTATGAAACATAAAGCAAGGTCTAAATGAAGCATGAGAAAGAAGCATGGCGATTATGAAAGATGCGAGAAGCACGAGAATAAACTTTTGACGAGTCGGTCTCGCCGAAAGACGTTTACATACAGTAGAAGATATCAAGGACAGAATGGGCGAACCGAGACTTTTATTTTCTAACCTTTCGAAAACTGAGTTAATGGTACAATGATGAAATACTTAGTAAAAACATTAAGATTTAATACTGTGTGGGTTTCACTTTGAGAAATAAACCCCATAGAGCTGAACAGAACCGTTGCCGCATGTATACTAGCATCTCTCGGGTATTTCCAAGGTTAAGCCCAAAGGAGTAACTCCATTAAGTTTCCATTCATCCTTCTCCAGTTATCCAGGAACCACTTCCATTCATCAGCCAATAAAGGCTTTGTCTGACAGGGGAGGTCAGGGGTAAGAAGGAACTAAGAGGGGTTCGCGACCGAACATTACCGGCGTAATTGATAGTGACCAACTACAAAAACCTGTCGCCTACTTCGTAGAGTAACTCAAAATCTGCAAAGTTATCGAGATAATGCGCTTCGCGAAGCGAACACGCAGCGCAGCGCGTACGAGGATGCCAATATAAATTCTAGAACAGTAATCGCAATTCTAGAAGAGTCAAAGAGTCTCTGGTCGAAACGAAATTCCCGTCTTGTACGAATCAGATTCAGACATTGAATTAGAAATATGTCGTGCATGAAGTAAGTGGTAAGAGGATGCAGGATCTCAAGACTCAAGCGAGTAGGAGAGTTGCATTTTCCAATCTTGCTTCTCGAAAACAAGGCCGCCTGCAGCTGTCTCTTGTTTTGTTTCAATATATTCGTATCCTCATTCGGTTGTTATTAGACGGGCGCTTAAAGACGTCACAGAAGCCATTTCAGCCAACATCGACTTGTTCGATTATGGGCTGATGAAACACTCACAGCTCATTTCTCTAACTTGTGGAATTATGGATTTGTGGGATAGGTGTCAAAATCGAATCTTGCTTCCACCGCCACCGCATTTCGTACGCAAGCCGTTATCCATCATCATGCAATAATAAGCATCGCCCGAAGATCTGACCCGGCGGGTGGCTTTAATCCCGATACCTAGCTACATTTCAAGACTCAAGAGCCTATCTCTATCTCAGCCAAGATGCTGAGGAACTACTCTGCTACTCAAGCCAGGATTGTGGTCAGCAATTCCACTTCAACATGGCTGGTTTTTGCGGGGTTGAATCTCGTACCCACGCTATTAACTGCTAGGTCGCGGGCTTATGAGACATCTGACATAGCTCGGACTCAGCTACACAGGACGTAGGTAGGTACCTAATACCTCGATGTTGCTCGACGTCGAATCGATTATTTATCGTATTGAATCCTCGTGTACGGCTAGAAAACTCAAGCACATGGAAATCTATTTCTATATATGATTTATTCTACCAGGTAGTCGAAATCCAGAATCAGGCTTGAAGAGGACTGAGCGTCAAGTTTATCAGGCTGTCTGGCTGTCAAGTCAATTTTAACCGTACGTTCGCTTGCCCCGTCCCAAAGTTGCGTAACAATCGGTTGCCGGACCCACGATCATCTGAAAGGAGGGACGATCAAGTTCGTGATAAGCGGCAAGGATTGATGCCGCCAATCGCAAGTTACGCCTAAATAGTTTATTGTTCACATAATCATCCACATACTCATCTCTCTCACATGATGAAATTCCGCTGTGGGCAATACATATCTACCTAAGCTAGGTGCGTATGTACAATGTAAGATATCGACACTTCTCTTTCCACTTCCGTCCAAGACTATAGATACTATAACCAGTTTATCAATTCCTGAATCCTGATTCTATTCAGCTCGAATAACCAACCTTCTCCGATCCAACCGCAAAGAACATGTCCACCCAACCTGCCTGCCTGTCTGCCTGCCCATCAAGCTTGCGCCAAGGATCCAGACTGCTCGCCGCCGCGTAAACCTCGCACTGAGATCTGTAAGATGAAGTTTCGCACAGAAAATATTCATGGAAATAGTCCAAGCGTGCTTATTTAGCGTTCCAACATCCGGTACTTCTGGGGTTTCGGAGTATTTTAGAATTGCAGCCCATTTCTACTGGTTCTACCGCCTATCGCCACCCAACTACGCCCGTTATCAGCTAGCCCTGAAGCTGACAGGCAGGGCTGCATGCTTTTAGTGCTGTGCTTCAACACGTACCGACGCAGGAACGGGGTGACGGCATCCGGAGGACGAATCGAATCCTCAAAGCACACACCCGACGGACCCGATACCAACTTGTCGGTACGAAGAGTTCAAACCTCTATTAGGCGTTCTTTCATCTAGTCTTGTACCCCCCGAAATTGTGATAACTGAAGAAATCTCGAAACATTGTCCCAAATCCCCCTGGTTCCTTACAGGAATGCCCCAGCAGCCCAGGAATACCCGCGCATCTAGTGCCTGTATGTACGACCGTAACACGAGAAGGATTCTAGCCGTCTTAAGCCGTGCATATGCCAGACCTGCCGCCTACCAGATTTGAATCACACATGATTGTTTAATAGTTGTGACGTCGTGACACCCGTTCAGCCCATGGTACACAAGCTCTCCACCGCCATTCCGGGGACGGACAGGTCTGATATGACATCAGTTTCAGATATCATCACTCGACAATCTTGTACCTACTCACGCATGTACATCATCAGCCTGGCCCATGTATGTTCACCTACACATACACACGTATACACTCAACATTCAACATTCATACAGGTGTATTAGTATTCTCTACTTCTGCGACCTAATGTCTACAATTCCTTTATCATCCCTTTCAGCTCCGAAATCCGTCAGTTTATATCATAGACGATCCGCATTACATACCTGCCCAATCCGTCATAAAACACAAGCTCAGCTCCTCAATATCATAAACTTAACCCATCCAGGTCCGGGCGTCTCGCGCCATTTATGCTCGGCGACCTCCATAGATCCAAAAATAGGAAATCCGGCAGATGCTGTGACGCCCCATATGACTCATATCGTTAAATCAGATGAGCCCTCATTTTCCAATCCCGCGCGCTCGGGATCCCGTCCCTACGTACGCTAGCAGATGTGATGGGGAAACGTCATTGGTGATAGGCGTTACGCGGCACCGTAGACCGTGCTCAAGGACCTGCTCCGAGGACCCGGCATTGGGTCGGTGGCTGTTGCGCTTGTCTAACCGAAAGGAGAGGTTCAGCCTCGCACGAGAGACACACATATTTCCCATCTAGCTCCCGCGCAGGGATCACCCGTTCGTGCAACCATTGCCGACGGAGCCCGAGTGTGGACGCCACCGACATCCCTAGTTGTCGGGATTATATACACTGCATTGACTATGTGGTTGGTATATTGATACATGAATACTTGCTTGGTAGGTTTCCGCGAACGGACCTCGCGGCGACGGGACAGCCGCCAGCTCCGGTCTGAACAACATAGGTACCTAATAGAGTGTAACTACAACTCAATCATATAACAAGCTTTGCAAGATCCCTTAAGTTATATTTGCTCTTTCTTACTAGATTGGCCATGTCCTTTCTTATTATGCTTGTATTAGGTAAACAAGTCTCACTTACCTCTATCTAAGAGTATGATACTGTAGTTCATTAGATTAGCTCAGCCAAGGCCAAGATATGTGTATAGTTGAGTTAGTGGGAGAGGAAGCTATTCATTTATTTACCTATTTTAGTCATGCATACTACGATTTACAATAGAACCTCACCTTGAAGCGACTAGGAAGATGGAGGAAGTGGAGGATTCAGGGGCCCGGGATCTTTGTAACACAAGTATAAAAGATACACGGAATTTTTCTCTTGAATAGGTAGGTACCTAGTATATTTTCGAGCCTTATTTTATTTCTAACAAAAATCGGCGATGTTATTTCTAGCCACATCGGGTTTATATTCTCTGTTTGCTCAACAAACAGTCTTGTGGTAGAAATGAATGTGGCTTTCAACGCCTCATAGTGTAGTCGTAAAAAGGAGTGCAGATTCTTCCCCTTCCCGAATCCTAACATGGTATCTACCCATAAATCTGTAGAAGTAGGATCATATAGAGAGATTTCCCATCCATAAATCTCGATTTCTTCTCAAACTCCTTTCCTCCCTGCGCCGCTCTCGCTGTTTGACACCTTCCTTTGTTTTGGACAGGTAGTCCACCGGACAGTTCGTAGATATCATTCTCTGTGGTAATGAGGCAGCTTCAGCGTAAGAAGGATGTCCGTGGTTCGGCCGTAAGCCATGCGAGTGCATATGTAAGTCATGGCTGACTGGCGACGGCAATAGAGGGTAGTGCTCCTTCGAGAACTTGTACCACGTTTTTACTTCCTTAGTTAATCGACAACTTTGGTGTCTTCCAAGGCCTTCTTGTGGAATACAAGAAACTAGCACCATTGCATCGTTCGACTCAAATTCCTCTTTAACCTAAGATTATCCGATCGCTTTAACCTTTGGATTCTCCTTTTGCGGGATAGATATAACTTTTTTAGTAAGTCACCCTTGAGGAATACCTGAGCTTCATAGTGCTCGTAATCGACATCGATATTCACAACATGGTAGATGAATAAATCCCCATCTTGTAGGCATCGCGATATTATGACATAAGCACGCCGGCCACCGTGAATAACGATGCCTACATAGTTTTCGTATGGTATATCAAGGCTTTGAATTTTTGAAGTCATGATACTCCATCAACTAACAATTCATTAGCTCACAAGCCTTACAGAGCAGTCATAACAAAGTCGATATTAGGGAATAGGTAGTCTTACTTCTGCGTATGGTTATGATTGAAGTAGGGCTTCTTTCAGGTGTGTTTGTTTAAAAATGAGTATCAAATCCTGTAAGTCATGTTTAACCCACATTGAAATCTCAGGCTGCCCTTATATATAGATCGGTATCTCATATTTACAATTTGTGAGTTCATCAAATTTAGTATTGTCATCAATGATGGTGCAACTGTTGAGTGTTCGGAAAAGCTGATGTCTTGATTGACTAGTCCTAGGACAAGATTTTCGTGGCATGGATAGAATAGGCCTCACTACACCTGGGCATGTACGAATTTCATTCCATGTATGTAAATGAGTAAATATGATTGATGGAGTTAAAGCTATTCCGTCTCATGCACAATTGCCTTAAGCGCCGGGCGAAGTCATCGAGGGAATAGGCCGGCCATATTCAAAAAGAGCCTCACTCAAAATATTCGTTGCATCACAATTTCTCATTAAGTGTAATGGGCCTCACTGTGAATAAATCGGAAGACTTCGCGATTGGCGAATTAAGCCTCATAGGCGCAATATTGGACATCTATGAATAGTGAGGCCTAATTTCCTTACGGTTGTCCTTAGAGGGTAGCAGATGTGCATTTCTCGCGTATGGCCTTCGACATACCGGTACTTACTAACGTAGTACCTACCTACATACCTAGGTAGGTACCTACTAGGTAGGAATGTTACATAACTCTACGGCCATTTCATGATTACCATTCACTAATAAAGAGTATGATATTGTTAATACCACATATCCTCTGATACTGTTTGGCCAGGTAGTGAACCTTCGCGTTTTGTTGCGACATGTGTAGGTATCTAGGTACGTAGAGGAGCTAGCATCGGACGTCGCTGGACCACCATCTTTCTTTGATATATGCCGAGTTTTAGGTGTAAATTTACTTGATATAATATGAGATAGATCCATTAACCTGGAAATCAGCACAGGTAAAATGCAAGTCTGATAAAAGGGGAATAAACGTCGTATATTTTCTATTCTTATCTATTTGCGTACTAGGTAGGCAATAATGGATTAGTTATTTGAACGAGAGACTTGTGTTGAGGTACTAAATTAGGTAGTGACTGAATGGCCGGGGTATGAGTGGTCCGTTGCCCATAAGGATCTTTAGGTGTTCGAAAAGGGCCTGTCAATATAGACCTGCTGGGCTCCACCGTTGATGTTGGATCTTTATCCTACTAGTTCCTCTAGAATGAGAGGATGGATTCCTATTCGGGTTATTGTGCTATAGCACTGTTTAGCCTTGGACGACCCGCGCAGCCATAAAATGTTGCGCTACACTGTTTAACATGGTCCAGGTGAGCCTGTTTGTCAACATGCTCTGTATTGCATTTGCAGCTGTAGGACTGATGTTTCATAGCGTTCTCACAGGAACATGCATGCCGCTTATGGTTATCTTTGCGGGGTTGAGCATGCCCACAAATGCACCGGTACTTCGGGCCATCAGTTGAGTGAACGCACTCGTAGTGTCGCTTCAAATCATTGGTTTTGGCGAATAATTTTCCACATTGTTCGCATTTTACACGCCTCAAACGCTTGGGGCCATCAGTGGGTAGCGGAAAGGAAGGTTCCTTAACTGATTGCGATTGAACTGGGCTCGGTGGATACGAATAGCCGCTTTGATTCTCCTCCATACGGGTACCCGCCGTGCTGGTTGAATCATTGGTCAGCTGCCTAAAGTCATTCAACCAATTGTGTATGTCTCCAAACACGGAATTATCAACGGTTTGATCGGATTCCAGAACCAAGGGATCTTCAGCAAAATATAATCCTCCTCCTTCGTACCAATAGGTACTGCCTGAGTTATTGTTATAAACAGTTGCCGATGTTGATGTTGTCCCAAGTGATTCATGGTCCTGAGCTAGGGACGACCCGGAGAGGTGTGGGGGTTCCTGTAAATTCTGAGAATTGTAGCATGATACCCCTCCATCTTCAATAAACTCGGGATAGCTACTAGCATTCCCCTGATTGACACTGCCGTCCAAATGAGCTGTCTCCCTTTTGGAGAACGACTCAATGTATGGCATGATGCTGTCTGTCGGGGGATATTGGCTTAATTAAAGCTTCTGTGGCATCCCAGCTCCGGGGACAGGATGCGTAAAACTGCCCGCAATGGCAATTTTCTAGGTAGTCTATTTTGCGAAGAGAGGGTGGAAATCTGTATATAGAATACTGTTAGATGCAACCCCGAAATGAACACAATTCAAGCACACCTGTTACGCGACAATGGTATAGTGATTATAAGTCCTCACCTGAAGAATTAATAGCGCAAGATGCGTACCTAGGTAGGTGGCAAGTGCTTCTATCTAAGCTAGAGGAGAGTAAATGAAGGCGTCTAGCTTAGTAAGGAAAACAAACGAAGTATACCTGTTAAGCCAACGAACACAATCCGAGGATAAAGAGAGAAAACATTTTTTCCTGGCCCAAACCATTATCCTTTCTATACAAAAGACGAAATCTGAGGCCCATACCACATCAATACCGGCTAGCCCAGAAAGCTGATGGCCTGCTTCGCACACGAAGCCTTCACTTGGAAATGAGTTGTTGCTCATAGGAGTCTTCTAGTTAGGCGATCTAGTGTTTATTGGCTAGCGGTTTCGTCGAGGCCGTTTAAGCACCTGGGTTGCCTGTATGTATCGGAGTTCCTGCACTGTTACATTAGTTGTATTATATGTCGCCTTGGTAAGGGTATCAATCTCGCCTAGATCTCATTGGCAGCGTATATGTAAACATTTTTAAACCACAACCACCACCTTCAACATCGGAAAGCTCCGTGTGCAGTTTTTTCGCAAACTATAGATTTCTGTTATGGATCAAATGTTGCCTGATACGGTAGCTATCACATATTTACGTATATATTGAATATCATTGTGAAGATGTGAGAACTACATATAAGATACATGTGGCACCTTAGAGTTAGGTTTTAAGAATGGGGCCTGTGTGCCCAGATGGTTACTATAAGGCTGGGCTAGATTAAGTGTGGAGTGAGGGTATAAGGGATCATCGACCCACACCGGTCCGGGTACTTCATCGGAAGACTAATGGCGTATCCGAAATACCGATGCAAGTGATTCAGGGATCGGCATGTTTCTGGTGAGGCTGTTGAAGGATCAACGCTTCCGTTATCTTCAGGGAAAAGCCGGTAATTGACATCACCATCATGCATGGTAAGCCAAAGCCTCTAGAAAATAATACCACCTGAGGTTCCATTCTATCTACTAAGTACCTACATTACACGTATCTTGCCCACACAATTATCGAATATGAGCTTTCGTATTTTAATTGGACGTCGTCCGTATTCTATGAACAACTATTAAAACTCACCTCATAAATGCACTAGATTCAATATCGGTATAATGGGAGGTATTTGCAGCAGGTTCTGGTCCTGGGAGGATAATATAACAATCATGTTAAGTACGTCGCATTTAAAGAATTTGATAGGTACCTGCCTAGTACCTACCTAAATACCTAATAGTTGCCTAGGTAGGTAACTTCCGATAACTGGTAGTACAACTGGCTTTAGGAGGGATCTTAACATATTATAACGAACGTTACGGTAAGACAAAAAATAATTGACGGGAGTTATTGAAAGGGATGGGAATTGTCTTAAAGATTTAACATAACAACCTTGGAAACTCGTAATTTTTTAATATCCCATCTTAAGTTATAAATATCCTTAAATTAATACCTGCCGGCAAAACTAAGACGGGAATATATGAAGCCTTAATACGAAGTAACGAAGTTAATAATATTACACGTACTTTAAATATTAACATTACTTAAACTCGTTTTTTAACATTAAGTGCATTTAAGGTATTATGTAAAATTTTTATTAATTAATTAAAAATTTATTTAAAGTTATATTAAAAAAAAATTAAAAAATGTAAATTAAAATAAACGTATATAAAAACGTTAAAAACGAAATATTTATTTCGTTATAACGTTTAAATATAACCGTTTATATCGTATTTTAAACGTAAATTAAATTACTTTTTCACGTTTTAATTACTTTTAAACCATTTTTTATTATTTTAAAACCGCGACATTTTTACGTTAAAGTTTATTTTTTTATTTATATATAAATTAATTAATCTTCGTTTAATTAAAAAAATAAATGTATTATTATAATTATTAAGTTTTTAACTTTTTAAAATGCTTATTTTTTTCGTTTAATTACGCATTTTCGTTATAATAAATAACATTTTAAATAACACGTTTATTTATAATGCGTTTTATAATAACTTCGTTAATAAAAATTATTTACGATAATAATTATTAAGTGTATTTATTCGAAAAAAATATCGTAAAATTATTTAAAAGTTTTTCGTTATTTAAAAAGTTTATATAACTTAATAAATTATTACTTTAAACCGTTTAAACCATGCGTCGTTAATGTATAAATTTCGTTAATTTAAAATAAAAATTTTCGAACTTTTTAAAATATTAATTACGTTCGGAAAAAATTAACAAAATCGATATATAACACGTTATTCGAATTTATAATTTATTAAATTTCGAATAATTAATTATAAACGCGTTAATAACGTTACGGTTAATAATATTACCATTTTTTTTAATTAATTTAAAACTTTTAAAATAATAAAAATATCACCCGAATATACGTATAACGTTAACGAAATAAAGTTTATAAAAAATATTAAAAATAATAATATAATTATTAACGACGTTTATAAAAAGTTTTTAATCGTTAAAAATAACGATAACCGTATTTAAACGTCGATAATTAAATGTGTTAATAACGATAACCATGTTTTCGATTTTTTTATTATTTTTACGAATAAACACGTTTAATAATAATAATTTAATAAAACCGAATATAAAAAATATTATAATTAAAAGTTTATTACGTTTTTTAACGGTTAAATTAATAATAATATCGCACTTAAATAATTATTAAAAATATTTATATTATTAATTAAATTATTAAATTTTAATTAATAACGATTATTAATATTCGACGGCCACGGTAATTATATTATTTTAAATTTCATGTAATTATATTAAATTAATAAAATATATATTATTTTTTTATTTATTTACTTTTCCCACGTTTTTTAAGTTTTTAATTTAAGTGTTTTTTTTTTTTTAAAAAAATATTATCGTCGAAAGTTTTTTTTAATATATTTACTTTTATTTAATAACCATTTTAATAAATTAAAGTTTTTACGAGTTTATAAATAAGTTAAAAAAAAGCGTATAACGTTATATAATATATTAATAAGTTAAAAAATTAACGGTATTTTTCTTAAAAACCGTTAAAAACTTTTAAAATTTTTTTATATGTTTTAAAATAAATTCATTTATACCCCGGTAATTAATTTTTATTTTTTTAATATTTTAACACTTAATTTTAATTAAAAAATAATTACTATTATTTTAATAACTTTTTTTAATTTAAAAAACGTTAATTTAATAATTAAAAGTTTAATAATTACCGGTTTAAAGCTTAAAAAGTTAATTAACCGATTTTTATTTTAAAAAATTAATAAAACATTTAACATTATAATATTAAAAATCGCCACCGCTAAAGCCCGGATTAATTATTTAAAAAACGAGCTAAAAAAAACAAAGCCTTAAAAACGTAAAAAGGTATTATTTAACTTTAATTCACAGTTTATAAATATTAAGAACATTATAAAAAAAAAAAAAAATAACGGGTACGCCGGTAAAACAAATAATTAAAATAAAAAATTTTAAAATTAAATTAATAAATAAAAACTTTAAAAAAAAAATAATATAAAAGATTACATTATAATTTTTACTAAGTAATTTCTTAGTTAATCGGGTTTTTTTTCATTTAATTAAGTCGTTTTAAAATTGAAAGGGTATTAAAAGTAAGGCTTAGTTTTAAAGTGGTGCGGAAGTAGTTAGGTCGTGAGTAAGGTGTTCGACTTATATTAAATCGAAGAACGGACTTACTTATCAACTTCATCACCACTTACGACCCGGCAACATGAATTTTACACCACGGCGAATCTTCTCCGGAGCCATCAAATGTATCTTAACGGGATCCCGGATCCCCTGCTCCGCATTCCGAAGCCTATCCACAACATTTAGTGGGGCAGGTTCATCGAAAGGGCGGCGGATGTAGTCGACCGGGGTTTTCGGGCGCGGGGGCACGGAGTTTAACCGTTCGGAACTTAGTACGAAACTAAACGGGGCGGGGTTGTAAATAGGGGGCGATCGTGAACGGGTACCTGCATCTCACCAAATTTAGCGCACTAATCCTAACGTCCGGGTTTCGGTACGTTTTTGGCAGTGAGAATGTTGTCGTCGCCAGCGGTCCAAGATTGCTCACTATCTGGGCCATTTCCACGATCCATCTCCCTATCCTGCTGAGCGCGCCTCTGTGATGCGCCGAAGGGATCACGGCGGATTTCGCCGAGCGGGCTCAGGATGTCGTATTGATCGTCAGTGGGGCTAAGGGGAAGCCTACCTGAGATGCCTGTATTCGTGAGTTCACGTACTCGGATGGCTCCTCGCCTGCGAAGAGGTGCATCGGAAAGAGGTACAGCTGGAAACTCCTCATTCGGCTCGTCTGACTCCTCGTCATCGTCGTCACCTAGGAAGGGCCATCTTACGTTGTCAGCTGTTAGGGGAGGTTGCGCCTGACCTTCGTTCGGAAACCTGTCAGGCTGACTAAGCATGCTGGTTGAAACGGTCCCTTGCACCTCCTCCGCGCGCCATACTGCACCTGGGCGATATGGGACGTACGGAGATCTTTGGGACGTAGCGCTACGGGAAAGTTGTGTTGACGGCCTGGTTGAAGCCTCGGCGCTAGAACTTTCTGAGTAATAACGCTTAGCATCAGGCCTCAACGGCATTGTTCTATTCCTCCGCTCTTGAAACGTTGCTTCAACCCCGCTATCATATCTTGGGAGACTAGGCATTTTGGTCGGTACTGGATTTAGGTTAATGCGTTTGTCTTGGGAAGACATCGTGTCGTGATTGAAATGTCTTGTGGCTTGGAAAGAATAATGAGGATATTGTTGGCTTCAAACCTCCTATATATCTGCACCGTGAACAGACTGCTATTACAAAACAGTAATATAAGAGACGGAAATGTTTGAAAACAATGACATCTTTCGTACCTAACAATACATTCATGTATAGTTCCAATTCATGATTTGGCTGGTTACTAGGTAGGTACTCACGTTGGTTATCCCGTGTCCTACCCCAGCACAACGAGTCATATCTTCATTTTTCTAGTACCTAGGTAGATTCATACTCGTTATAATTGTATCAAAGAAGCAATAAGTCAATTACATACCTATACGAATAAAATTTAGTTGAAATTAATTCACTGTTAAGTTATTTGAAGTTTCTTAGACCTTGTATATAGAAAGTTCTAAGCTAAGTTAAGACATTAACTATTAATATTAGATTTGAGTCTTATAATACCTACGAATTAAATACGATTAATAAATATTGATTTAATGTGAGAAATGAATACGGTATTGGAAGATATTACTCACAAATTGCTCTTTCTTTTGACGCTGATTTACTTTACCCCTATTATTTCAACTCCCCGTGCTTACTAAAGATATCTTACGTAAGCCTTTGTACCCCTTTATTATTCGCCGCCATACTTATCTTTCACCAATTTATCTTTCACCAATTTTGTATGCCTTTGGGATTGTTAGCGTCGCGTCGAAAATTTCTACGGATTTGTCTCCGCTCTAGGATTACCGCAATCTCCAAATTGATACGTTCCCTGATCTTTCTCCAGTGTCTGGCCCGCAGCATTGTTTTCCTGTCTCTTGGATCAGCCTGCATCTCTAAGATTGCCTCCGTATGCTCAGCCTTAGCGTGCTGGTACTCTGTTCTTCTAGCCTCTAGAACTTCCCACTCATTTTCTGTAAATGCGAGGGTATCTGGTGGGTTATCTATTTTGAGATCTGCGACGCCCTTCTCTATATCTTGAGAGTCTTCATTCTTGGTCTCATCTTTAGTCCCGTCTGTGTCTGACTCTGAGTCAGAAGAGGGTGGGGGAGGGATGAGTGGAATCGAAGGGAGCCGCGTGAGAGGCGCCTTCTTGTGCTTTACACAGTAGGCTAAAAAACTTTCTACTCGTCTTGTCGTTATCTCTTCTGGCTCAGGCTTATAGCGTCCCGATGGAATTATGAGCTTCGGGAGCGACTGAGGCGTCGGGCGCGTTTCTTGGATAGACTGCATGTTCATTCGGTTGAATGATTGAAGAATATAGCGTTTTGTTTGAATACAATTCTCAGGAAGAAAATCCCGCTTAGCTCAGAAATTCCTTCTGGATGATTTCACGAGTTGGCACGTATTATAAAGACTCTGAATTGCATTGTATGTTTCTATCTCAAAGAAACTATAAAGAAACGTTCAGTATTTTGATAATAAAAAAGTCTGCAAATAATGGTTATTGTATTTGAAGTCTTTATTTATAGTTACCTAGGAGTATATTTCTCATATCTCCCCCATATACATGTATGGTATCCGTCTAGTTGAGTTATATACCTACCTAGGTACTAGCCTTTGTCTTTATTGAAGCTTTATCTTCTCGTCTTATAACGGGTTTTAACGCGTATCCAATTATAAGGATAGGAGTTGAAAATTCAAATATCTACTTGATTTCAAAGACAAAGTGTCGTGTGACAGAGAATATATCTTGAAATCCTTTGTTTCATTAATTCTATCAATCTTCTAAGTACGTACATAGTACTTAGGTAAAGCTAGTCCTTTTATTAATACGCTATATCGCGTACGTGAAAGAGGTTACTCCGGCAGGTCGGAAGAAAGCGGCGTAGTCATTAGTCCCACCATTCCTTCTGCGGAGTCGCGGCGTAGTATGCGGACCACCTACCACGGACGGAATGGAATTACGAGCTAAAGACGAAGTAATTGAAGCCGATCCGTTATAATATTAGGAGGCCAGTCTATTATTGGCTCTGCATAACATACCTACGTATTATTCGGATTTATTGAATATGCTGTTGGTAATTTGGGCTGGGCAGCTGCCTGACCGAATGGTCCGTACTTATGAGTTCTCAAGTTCTAGCACCTAACCTACAACTCTAAATATCTCATTGAGTTATAAAGTCAAAATCAAGATGCCCCAAACGTGGCTAATAACTGGCTGTTCCAGTGGCTTCGGTGAGCTCTTCGTCCGAAAACTCCGGGCCGCCGGAGATAATGTCATCGCAACGGGTCGTTCCGCTGAAACGAAGCTGGCCCATCTCAAAGATACGGGTGCGGAAATCCTGGATCTTGATGTTTCTATGTCTTCCGATGCTATTCGGGCGAAGATAGAAGAGGCGTGGGGTTTGTTTCCAGAAGGAATTGATGTCGTCGTCAATAACGCGGGCTATATCTTGAGTGGTGCCGTGGAGGAATTAAAGTGAGCGCTCGGAATACATATATCGTGGAAGGAGAATCATGATTTAACATAATAATGAATAGGCCGGACGAATTGGAGCATGTGATGAAGACCAACTTCTTCGGCCCCTTTTACATAACTCAAGCAATTTTACCAAAGTTGCGTGTGAAGGGAAAGGGTACACTGCTTTATATGAGCTCTCAAGCGGGTTGGCACGGCGATCCTGGTATAGCAGGATACTGTGCGTCAAAGTTCGCCCTGGAGGGCAAGTGATTTTCGTATTTCATATTCTGATTGGAATAAATTGCTGATACTCATCCTAGGAATGGCGGAGTGCCTTGCAAAGGAACTTGCGTATGTCGCACCTGATATCAAGATCCTACTCGTCGAGCCTGGCTTCTTTGGCACACGCGTATTCCGCAATGTTAACATTGCGCCGCTGCGCAACCATGTAGACTATGGGGAATTTTTCGAGGCTGCGCGCGACTTCATGGTTGGTGTAGTAGATAATGAACCTGGAGACCCTGACAAGGCCGTAGATCGGATGATTGATCTCGTTAAAGGAACTGGCATGGCGGCGGGGAGGACAGTGCCACTACGAGTGCCGTTAGGAACCGACGGGTGGGGGAGAGTTAAGGAGAAGTGTGAGGCGACGTTGAAGATCTGTGAGGATTGGGAAGAGCTGGCTAAGAGCACAGATCTAAAACCAGCAACTTGATAGCTGCGAAGTATCATCATTGAAATTTAGCAATGGAAGAAGGTAATCCTGCTTTTTAGTGGTTCAGATATGGCGGTTATCCACTAAAATTTAGCGGGGGTATTAGCGTTGTTTTATTTTTGGGTTACTGTGGTTAGTTGCTTATCCCACTAAACCCTCCTAACAGATGCCCCCTAAGATCCTATTGGGCTCAACTCAAACACACGACGTGATATGAAGGCAGCATTCGAAAGATATAGATTAGGTGTATGATGAACCAGAACCGAAAAAACGCCTTTTTCTGGAAGCAATGAAATCTATAATTGATCTATACCACGCTTTGCAGCTATCTTGTATGTTCCCTACTACTATGTCCAAAAACATCTTATGATCAAAGGGTATGTCAGAATATTAATGGATATCCTCACTCGCGTCTTAAGACAGCCACCCAATCACAAACCACTATTTCCTGAAGCGCTTCTCCCGAGCTTTACCACCGTCCGTTGTAGTGTTTGAACGCTTCTTGGAATTGTTGTCGAGTTCCTGGGGAACGTTCTCGAATTTCGGTTTCCTTGTCACCGGCAAGCCGAGAAGCTCACGCCTCTTGAAGAACTCCCACGAAAGCTCAAAAATAGTATTATTGCCCTTTGTAGGCCCATACTTGTCTAGGAAGATAGATAGATTTTTACGATCGATGGAGTTACCCAACACTAGGCGGAATTCGTCGAGCGTCCATTCTTTTTGAAAGACGAAGATGGCAATCATGGCTCGGATCTGATCACAGTCCCTATCAATGTCTGTGCCGGGGTCTAAATTCCACTCTGCTGGTGTGGGTTCCTTTCGACCCGGTTCTACTACTGAGTAGATGATGGGTCCCGGACGGTCATATGTACGTTTACTAAATCCTGGTTTAGGTGTCAAGTCAATTTCCTGATAGACGTCTTGTAGAACCAGCGCTTGGTCCAATACACGTGCTCTTTCACTGTCAGTCTTGATGGGTTTATCACCGGTGACGAGTGTCATTAGTTCCACATCTGACTTTGGCTGAGTCTTTTTGAGCCACTGCATGACGAGGGTAGAATATTGCTCTATTTCGACGGGGTTAAGGTCGGTGAACACGGCTAGTCGAGCGCGCTCTCGCTTGTCCTCTTCTAGTTGGGTGTCGATGTAATCCATCAAGCGATCTCGAACATAGTGGTTAGGCACATCACTAAGCATATGGTTGCGACCAAGTCGGCCTCCGAAAACAATCCCGTTCGACATGGTCATCATTCCAGATGCATAATTTCTACCGCCTGAGGTTGAGTCTGCGAAGACAATGCTTGCACGAATACATATCGCCGTCGATGGTTTCATATCAGTCGCAGAGGCAAGGTCATCAATCAATTCAGCATTGGACTTCACAAACCCGGGCTCCTTACGATTAATTAGCATTTTATCTGGATCAATAAGGAAAATGAGTACCCATACCGCTCTTGATATAGAAAATGGTGTCTCAGGTTCCTCTCGTCCGGTCGGTTCAGTTCGTGCTGGTCCTTGGTCACATGGAATTACCGATATGACATCTTCATAGATTTGGATACAGCGACTGGGTCCATGATCTTCTATCCAGTCTACTGTTGCATCAATGAAAGAGTGTTGAGATATCTCGTTGTATTCTTTTTCCAAGTTGGGCTGTCGACGTCGAGTATTTCGAACCTGTCGATCATGTCCTCTTTGTGATCCTCTTATTCGATCTTTCTGGCTGTAGTTGACTATATCTTGCTTGAATTGATTCATCTGATCATCTGACAGCAAGTTATTCTCTTTGAGCTTTGCGACTAATTGGTCCTTTACCTTTGCCTAATGATATTTGATGAGCTTAGATTTCATGTTGCATAGGAGGAACGGATTCGCTCGTACCTCTTTGGCAGCCAGGTAGGCTCTGGAATCAGCGTCGACATCGACAGTGGTATTGGATCGAGGCATATTCAAAAAGGATAGGATTTTTAGAAGAATATTTGAGAAAGAGGACGTGAAAGAGTTATTCTTAAGGTGTTGAGTTATTAAGGAGAGTCACGATTAAAAACGCGTTCTAAATTAAATCCGAACGCGACGAACTTAGTTATGTCGGCGGGCTTTGCAGGGGGCATATTACAGGGGTTAAGCCCCTAATGACCTCACTATCCCGGTCCGTCTTATTAACTGATCCATGGATATTATCAGGGTTGCGGGGTTGCCCGACGCCCCTACTACAGTGAAACCTTACCATAACGATAGGAAAAAAACATGGAATTCTGATCGCTATATCGAGGTATCGCTATGGAATAAGTATCCACTTTTAAATATCGCTACCTAAAAGGGTAAGGGCTACAACGCACAGACATAAAATCCTCGATGTTATACTAAAATAGGTAAATACGATATAAAAAGGGCTTAGCTCTTTCCTAAAATGGAAGGATTTTCATGAATTTTTACCTGTTTATAACGATATTGGTGGTGACTAAGCCGAAAGCTAACGATAATTCGTTATGGCAAAATTATCGTTATTTCTCATACAAATTTCAAAAATCCCGAAAAAAAGTTCGTTATATCGAGGTATCGCTATAGACTAGTATCGTTATGGTAAGGTTTCACTGTACACAGTAGGCACGTTCATAAAAACAACATCTTAACATTATGCAAATTTATTTACACGGATTTTTTTTTTTCTGAAGAGACATTTCCTTTCTAGATCGTCAAGTGTAGGTAATCTTCAGCTGAATGGAATCCATCGATACCTATTTTTTTGTCTCATCCATACTTCAAACTCCTCCAGCTTCCCTCGCAATATAGTGCTCAATCATACACAACCAGTCGCCCTATAAAATGCAAGAGGCACAGTGAAATCCTCGAGGGAGAAGCAGGTGGTGGTGTACTGAGTGAGGCTAAACGCTTCTCTGTCTCCGCAACCCTCGGATGGATAAAGCGAGACCCTACAGTCGCTCCCCGCCGGAATTTCACCTAAGATCGATTTGTGCCGATTAGCGTTGGGGACTGAGTCGCACGTTACATCGCCTGGCTGCTTCACCGTGTCTGCTCCTGTGGTTGAAGAGGTTGAATTGCCGCATTGTGCATCGTTAAACATGGTGAATGACCAGCCTAATGAAGATTTAAAAAATATTGAACCAGTAATGACGAAGAATTGGAAACTAATTGGGAAACGCATTGTCCTGGGAATTGATTTTGGTGGCAGGGGTTTTTCTGTGATCGGTATTCGACAGTGCATAAAATCAATTGATGGTTGAAGTTGGATCTCGTAAAGAAATCCAATGCATTAAACTTTTTAAACAATACACGATGGTGATAGGGGTTACCTAACGCAATGCACCTAATTGCCTACTATTCACACGTACCTTCCAGGGAATGATTGGATGTTCGAATTAAATCCTGAGAAGAATACTAACAATGGGAAGGTGTGATGTCACGATGTCACAATCCGCACAAGTTATCAAGGTAAGAATCACCAGGAGCTACAGGGGTCACTAATCGCAGGGTACCAGGTATTACCTACCTACCTAGTGAGAAATGGTGAATACATGTGCTTCCTAACTAACATTTGAAGTCACTTCGATTAAAACTTCCTCTTAGCACTGAACAATTATCAAAGTTGTGCCATTCAACTAATACCAACACGACATAGACGCTGCTAGGACTAGAGGTTTTGGGACCTAAAAATGGATTATGTGATGCGAGAAGTTGCGATTCTAAAAACATGGTTAAGAATCTTCACAGCATAGTAAATTTTTGTAAACTCAGTATTGTACACGAAATTACCCTTCCAGCATCGGAAAGATCACGTATCGATCTGATAACCGTTACATAAGAAGGTCGGCAATGGTGAAGCCGAGATATTAAGCCATATCGAGGACGTTCCGGACAGCGAAATGGAGAAGATAGCACGGTCACCACCAAGGTTACAATACCTCGACTTGATCATCATCCTCTGTAAGCCTTTTTAAAGACCGACGTTGTTGCTTTAATAGTTACCTAGGTAGGTACTACCTAAGTCGGTATCTTCATAAACATCTACAATCCAGTTTCATCAATTGGGGGTGTTACAGGGTGAACACGATTTTTATAGGAGTCAAAAGCAGTATTTATCACCATCCCTAGAAACCTGATCAGGCCAATGGATTTAAGGACTCCCTGAAGAGGTTTATGCTGTATATATGCTTCGAAAATGGCCGCTAAGTGAACTATAGTGCCTTGGAGTGTAGTCGTTAATTCCGTAATTCAACGGTGGTTCAAGAAGTTTAAGTGACTGTAGAACTCTGACTTGTATTGCTGTGATATCTTGTGATATAACCCACCTTAAGCCCCCCTAGATTGACAGAGAGAACTTCTTCCCTTTTTACATTTTTGTAAACCTGGTGACGATTACAGACCCTGACTTTATTGCGGACCTGGCATCGACCAGATCATCAATAATTGTTTCAGAAGATGACGATGTTCGCGAGATAGTTATTTCTAAAATAACCTTTGTAAAGGGGATGCGATCACCTTCGGGTGCGACGGTATTCACTCCAATAGCCAATTAGAACCACAAGACCAATTTGACGGTGCGTGGATTGACATCATGTCTATTCTGGCTGTCAAACCCCCCTCCCGGTAGTGTAGCGGAGACGGATCGAGAGCCCCCGCATGATACGAAGAAGAAAAAAGATGAGTTTAATAATTTATATATTGATGCCTAGAAATTTACAGCACACCATCCGGCCTTGGCGTCGGTAGTCATCGTAATAGAGAAAAGGTCGTTCCGGATTAGGTAGGGTGGGAATGCCATGCCGGACTTTTGCTAAATCTGTCGACAAGAGTCAAGCTAGTTTCTACCGGTGCCAGGGTTATAAAGTGTAGATACTCTAATTAACCTTATACACATCGAGTCCATTATAGGCCGGGAATGGCCTGAAATTGGACAAGGGGTTGCTCGTGTTCTCCCGCTTCTTATATACCTGCCTACCCCGGGGAAGTGCCAACCCAAGAGTTTCTATACGATCTAAGTCACTCAACCTTCGATCGTCTAGGAACAAAATACACTGGGAAGCAAAGGTCGCCCCGAAAATGATGCGTCTCGGACTTTCTGTCACCTACGCTTTGGCATTGGTGGCCGGTGCTTTGGCCGTTCCATCGCAGCATTTAGACACTCGCCAGCAGCCGTTTAAGTCGACAGCTATTAGCGACCATTCCGAGCCATGGGCGATCGCCTTCCTACCCGATAACCGCGTCCTCGTCACCGAGAGACGAGGAAACCTGCGTCTTGTCGACCCGACCACCAAGACTAAGGGCACCATCACCGGTGTGCCCACCGTCGCCTATGGCGGCCAGGGCGGTCTCCACGATGTCGCTTTGCACCCTGAATACGCTGACAACAGTATTATATATCTCAGCTACGCCGAAAGCGGATCTGGCGGGGCAGGTGGCGCAGTCGCGCGGGCCAAGCTAACGCTAGACAACAACGGCGGCGGCGCGCTGTCCGGCCTCGAGGTCATTTGGCGCCATTCGCAGAAGGCTTCGGGCGGACTCCAGTTCGCCTGTCGACTGCTCTTCGGCCCCGACGGTGCTCTGTGGATCTCTTCCGGTGAGATTAACCAGATGACACCGGCCCAGTCCATGACCAGCAACCTCGGCAAGGTGATCAGGCTATACGAAAATGGCACCGCCTTCGAGGGCAACCCGTTCGCTAGTCAAGGTGCCGTCCAGGCGCAGATCTGGTCGCTGGGCCACCGCAACCCATTGGGCATTGACTGGGACGCCGAGGGGCGTCTCTGGGAGGTCGAGATGGGACCCATGGGCGGCGATGAGCTCAACCTGATCAAGTCAGGCGCCAACTACGGCTGGCCGGTGGTATCCGAGGGTCGCCACTACGACGGCCGAACGATCCCGAACCACAGCACGCGCCCCGATATCGAGCCGCCCAAGGCCTTCTGGGTCCCCGTCATCTCCCCGGCCGGCTTGATCATCTACAAGGGTAGCCTGTTCTCCAGCTGGACGGGCAATGCCATCATCACCAGTCTCAGCTCGCAATCAATTGTGCGCGTTACCATCACTGGCGACACGGCGAAGGAGGCTCAGCGCATCTCAATGGGTAAGCGCATGCGCGGTATCCGAGAGGACAAGGACGGCGCCATCTGGGTGGTCGAGGATGGTCCTTCCGGCAGGCTCTTGAAGCTTACCCCGAACTAAACTTGTGTTAGCGAAAGACTTGGAAGATTTGGGACCGCTTGTACATAAAGTGCTTAGGTAGATTATACTGTCGTTTTTGCGTGCTATAAGATCGGCGCATTTTACCTCGCAACCTGTTGGTAGATGGCAATTCATCCTACTTATCAAGCTTACCCTTTCCGAATGTTCTAAGTGCCATAGTTTTAGCAAGATGCCCCATCGCTTGCGTATCCTGGGAATCAACAGCTCCATATTCCGTTCCATATTTGAAGCATTTCAATTACTAGACTCAGCTGGGTTAGGTTATTACAACATGCACCGTACTATTTCTCGGTAGTAACCTGGCACTCTGTCTCATCGCAACCATATGACCAAATATGGGATGGTATTTCGGCATTGGCTTTACGGTCAGTTATTAATCCATGATGGGGATAGGATGGCAGCACTCAAACTCACTAGTCCCATAGCTTGTAGTTGTGACACATGTTGTCGATTTGCCACTAATCTAACAACGAAAAGAGTGAAGGTTGCAATGGCCAGGGCCACGATGGTTGACCCTCCAATCTGAGCCATGCTGTTGCCTTGACTGAGAACTATGCAGAGATATGTGAGGACGATGAAGAAGAACGCGAGTATTTAAAGGAGTTCGGAAGAGCTTAAGAGCGCAAACCAGACGGCTGAAGTTTAGCCCCCAAGTAAAGCAGGGCTTGGCATGTTGGACGGTTGGTGCAGTTGCAATGAAAAACATTGGGGTGCACATGTACCTGCGGAGGGAGGAGGTCTGCCAGACAAGGAAACTGTTCTATCCCTTGTTTACTTGTCATCTAGCTATTCAGGGTGATCAATAGGTATTTCCTGCCAAGAAATCACGATGACTTTAAGGCAAGGGTCAAGACTCGTGTAACGAACTCGAGTGACAATAGGCCATCACGCGTCTAGTACAGCTCTTTGCGCATAACTGCACATATTCGTTGGACCCCAAACAGGCCGCGAAAAATTCTCATCTATGCCCTCTCTCTGTTGACCTTTCCCGGGCTGGCTTGATTTTCATGGCAGTTCTTCCAAGTTCCGGAGACGCATGACAGTAGCGAGCCTCGTCCTCTGGTGGCAGAAGTCACCAAAAAATCATGGACCTGATCCACGCGCTTCTCGATGCGGCGAAATACGCTGTGGGCATGATCTTACCGCTGGTAAGAACTTTCCAGCTATGAACCAGCCTAGTCGACTGTATTCAGGTCTTCCTGGCAGCTAACAAATGGTCGTTTGAAGGCACTTTTCATTGGGAGTTATCGGCTCGCGTTCCACCCTCTTCGAACCTTCCCAGGCCCCTTCATCGCCAAGCTCACCGATGCATACGGCGGTTACCAGGTGAAGCGGAAACGGCTCCATCTTAAAGCGCATTCCGACCTTCAGAAATACGGTCCCGTGTATAGACAGGGACCTAATCGCCTTGTCTTCAACACGGTGGCGGCTCTTGGCGGTAAATGCCCCTCTGATACAGCGCCTATTTCATGTTTTAGTAGTCTTGCATCCCGCCAAGCAACCCATTGACAACGCAAGCAGATTTGAGACGGCATGCCTCGATTCGCAAATCACACGTTTACACCTTCACGTCGTTCAGCCGTGTCCCACATGTCCTGGGGACGGTGGACCCGGAACCCCACCGAATGAAGCGCAATGTCTACGGACGTGTCCTCTCCAGCCATTCCCTGCAGAGATTCGAGCCGACGATGCGCGGCGAGGTCGATGTCTTTCTCCGAAAGCTCCTCGAGGCTGCCGAGGCTGGCCCGGTCAACATGACGCCCCTGTGCGAACGGCTTGCCAGCGACATTGCCGTCCAACTCGGCTTTGGGGTCGACCTTGCGTCGCAAACCGAGTCGGAGAACAGGACCCTTATTGACATCTTCCTGCACATGAACACGATTCACAGTGTGTACATGGCTTGGCCCGCCATTCGAGCCTTGGATCGGATTGTTATGCTGCTCAACATGTCCAAGCTTCTCACAGCCGGAAGGCTCCTCAAGAATATCATCAAAAGGCGGGCTGCCATTGAAGAGAATTCGGGGAGGCATGACTTTTGGGCCGTTGCTTCGACAAGCCATTCCGAATCCGATTCAGCAACATCCAACTCGATCGAAAAGAGCCAAGTATGGGCCGAGGCTCTGTTTTTCTTTCCCGCAGGCGGCCAGACATCCTCTTGCGCCCTGAGCGCTGCCTTCTTCTACCTGTCTCGCTACCCTCTTGTCTACACTCGTCTTGCCGCCGAAATCCGCGACACCTTCTCAGACGGGTCCCTCATACAGGGTGGGCCGCAGCTCCTCGGTTGCAAGTACCTGCGCGCTGTCATCGACGAGACGCTCCGCATGTCGCCACCCACAACGGTGATGCCCTGGCGCGAAGTGGACCGCGATCTCTCATCCAAAGAACCCTGTGTCATCGATGGCCATGTTGTTCCTGGCGGGACATTGGTGGCTATCAGCGCGTACTGCCTTATGCACAACGAGGCGTACTTCCCCGAGCCGTTCGCCTTCCGGCCTGAGCGCTGGCTCGACAAGACTGATCCTGATAGACTGGCGAGAATGGAGGAGGCCTTCATCCCCTTTTCGTTTGGCGACACCGCGTGTCTGGGCAAGGCGATGGCGTACATGGAAATTAGCTTGGTCCTGGCAAAGACGCTCTGGTATTTCGACTTCAAGAAGGCGCTTGGAGAATCGGGGAAGCTGGGTGGTGGTGGTCCGGGGGGGTGGGATGGGGGCTTGCGCGATCGCGTGGACGAGTTTCAGTTGTATGATGCTTTTGTGGGTGAGCATGACGGACCCAATCTTACTTTCATCCCTAGAGAAATGTTTTAGAGGAGCACTTGGGCGAGCGAGAATTCGAACTAAAGAGGAACCAAGCAAATGGTGACGATGGCACGTTAGATATAAATCTCCGTGTCAACTGTGGCTAGTAATCTACCGTCTTTCAATGCGGGGATCAGTGACAATGGTGTAACGGTGCGTACGATGCCACTAAACTTACTTGGAAGGCAAACGCGAATGATATTTATCGGCAGGTCCGTCACGATTGGCGTCACATAGGGTTTATCGGTCGGAACTTCCATTACGATAGTCGATTAAGACACGATGCATCATCAATGTGATGCACCTACCGAGTATGTGATTCAGGCAGGTACGAAGTAGGTTCGAACAACTCAACTCGATTCCGCAATGGTTATTACCATATAATCAATTCTTACATCCCCCAATCAACTCTGCTCCTTCTAAAAAAAACCACAGAGAAAAGCTTCTGCGATACAATTCTCAACGAAACAAATATCACCATGGCTATTGGAGAGAACTCTTCCAAGGGCCATATCAGGCTCACGCCGGAACTCTTTAGCATCAATCACCTGCAGCACTATGTAGAAACCAGGTATGGATTTCTACAAGATCTGTCTCCCGCACAAGCAGAAAAAACTCTGGAAAAAACCCCATTCGAAATGCCAGAATCTGAGAAGGATCTCGGTGAAAGCTTGCGGCGCGAGATAAAAGACCATCGAGCCTATCTAGCGACCGCCTCAATGGAAATGGTTCATGGGAACTACCGACAAGCCCTCGATGCACTTGAGCAAGCCGAATGTGGCTATCGGAAGTACTTCGCGCGGGATCACACCTCAAGGCTCGAGATCTCAAGTTTTCGAGCTCTGTTGCTAGTGCTCAACTCTAAGCCTGTTGAAGCAGAGGGACTTTGCAAGACAACTCTTTCGATATTGAGTGAAGAGAAGGGGTATGCGCATCCTTTGACGCTCGTCACGATGAGTATCATGGTACAAATTCAATTAAATCTGTGGCGTTCCCTTCCCGCCCTCGACACCGCCACAACTTTGGTCCGGAGAACAACTGAAATATTAGGCGACAGCGATATCTTAACTCTTCACAGTAGGACTTTATTGGCAGCAGCGAGGTTTCATCGAGGGGAATATTGTGCGTCTGAAGCAGAATTCGAATTAATCATCCCAATTCTTGAGCGTTCTCTTAAGAGTAACCACCCAGACATGTTTCAGCATCAGTGCTTCCTAGCTAAAGTCTATCTCAAAAGGGGGAAATTTGATACTGCAACAAAACTCTTGGTTCCAGTACTAGAGGCGAAACTTCAAGAATATGCTAAGAATTCGAAGTTGAATAAAGCAAACCTGAAAGCTGGAGATAGCAGAGTTCCGGAATACGGGTTGAGTGACTTCCTACGCACCTTTGTGAAGGATCCCAAGGCAGCTTTCTTGGGCAAGAAACCCCACCCTCAGTTCCTCAAAGCTTTGTCAGTATATGCAGATGTACTGTACCAACAACAATCTTCCGCAGATTTCGCCATATCGATTCACAAAGCAGTTTGGTCGCAAGAGAAGGCAGAGCTTGGTGATTCACATCTTGATACAGTGGCAACCCTCAATCGGCTTGCTATCATAACAAGGGACAACGAAGAGAACGTAGGGAATTACATAAGAGTAAGAGGACAGCTGGAGGATGTGATCAGAGCCCGCGGGGAAGTTCTGGGTGGGTCTCATATTATCACGCTATGCGCCCAGCGCGAAACGTTGATACTTGGCTATAGAATCAAGTCATTGGTAAATCCAGGTCCATGGGCTGAAAATGAGGAAAACGATCCGGTCTACTTCCAAGGCAAGGACGTTTACGCTATGTCTCAGAGAATCTACGATTCTCACAAGTCACATCTCGGAAGATTCCACCCGGAGACCATTCAATCCCTTCACTGGCTATTCAAGCTAAGAGTCTCGAAGTCATTCCATGAACAGTCGACGGCAGTCACTGGCGAGCTCATCCAATGTCTAAGGGTGATGCGAAAGGAATCCCCGATATTCTCGCTAAGTCTGGAGATTTCCGCGGCATATTCGTTTTACGAGTTTAATTACTACCGCACTGCACTCCAAATTTCGATGAAAACCTTGCAGGCTATTGATCACTCTCTCGCTACGAATAGCCAGGACATGAGATTTCCACTCGAGAGACTCAGGACGGAAAATCTTGGATTTATTAATCATTTGAAGGATAAATTAGAGGAGGTAAGGACATAGGTGGCGCGGAAGGTGCTTTGCTTATGTAAGCATCTTGGTTTTGTTACGTAATGCGGAATTTGGTATAGCATAGGGGATAACTGTGTCCTCAACTTGGTGGTTTACCTAATGTGGTGGATTTTATACCTTATACTTGGAAATATTAGGAATATTGACTTGAGCACTACCTAATTAGTAATCCTTTGTATCTGGATGCTGCTTTGTTACTGAACCTGCTCCTACTTCATTGATTGATTAGGTAAGCCATTATGTGATCCGTGAAGTAAACAATTAGGTAAGCAATTACCTTTGTTGTGTACCTAGTTTGACGTTGATTAAGTTTCGAACAGATCACATTGGTTGGCATATGGTGCAACACATGGAAGAAATTGGGTTCAATCCGTCTCAATTTCGTTTGGAATGAACTATCCCGAGGTCCCCAGAGCTATACTGTCATCCATCCCCCCTTCCTCTGCTGTCCTAGCTAAGCCACATGCTTAGTAAACCTTATTCCTCCAATTCATTGAACCCTATCGCATAACATTAAACTCCCGCACTGATATCCATTCAAATCATCCAATATAATCCATCCATCCATCTATCCATCTCACATAATCATCGAATCGCTCTCTGGGGACGAAAGGGGAGGGGTGTGTGTTTTAGGTGGGTCCTACGACCACCTTATGAGCTTGTCGTTGCGACCGGGAATCATGGCGCGGAGGTGCTGAACCCATACAATAGACTGTTTCTTAGACATGCTCTGGAAGTACGCGTTCAGGTCTACTTTCGAGTATGGGACGACGGTGCCCTCGCGGATCTCAGCTAGCGACGACTCAGGTGAACCTGTTCGAAGATCGACTTTACCGCTGCTCAGGTTCATGATGGCGTAGACGTCGACGGTTTGCTGGTTGTGGTTGGTTGTGCCCATGTGGATTGCGGTTTCGGCGTATGATGTCGCCTGGGCGTACCTTACAGGCTCCATGCCTAGCGTGGCTTGCGTAGGTTGTGTAGGTTGGGGAGGCTGTATGGCTTGGGCGGCCTCGGTGGCCTGTGCTTCCTGCACTTCCTGCGCTTCCTTAGCTTCCTTCGCTTCCTTCGCGGCCTGAGCAGCCTGAGTAGCCTTTTTATCCTTCAAGTACTGCGCATCGCATTCTGCCTGCAAAGTATGTAGAGTCTGTACATTCTCCGTCCTCTCAGTGATGTCGTGAGGATCCACCATAAGCATCGCCGGAGTTACCGTAAGAGTTTCGGGTGGCGGCTTTTGTGGTGATCCAGGCATGCGAAATGGTGATTTGGGGCGGGGGCTTGGTGGCCACATTTCGATGGGTTGTGATGCAGCCTTGGATTCGGCTTCCTCTTGCTCCTCTAGAACTTGACGTTTCTTCTCGTCGAAACTCATGCGTCGGCATGCAATCCAGATTGGGCCCATGTTATGTGGTAAATTTGGCTCTACAAGTCTCTCTTCTTGAGCCTCAAGTTCTGCAATTCTAGGATTTTTAACTTCCCTCTGGTTGGTATTCGGCTGTCTAGGCTCTGGCTGTATAGGTTCTTGATGAGTGGGCTCTTGATGAGTAGGTGCTTGACGTGTAAGTGCCGGAGGTGTAGGTGCTTGATGTGTAGGTGCCGGTGTAGGTTGCTGAAGTACAGACTCTTGACGTAAAGGCTCTTGGCGTACAGGTTCCTGGGATATGGGCTCTTGTTGAATAGGCTCCTGCTGAATGGGCTCTTGGTGTAAGGGCTCTTGACGTTTAGGCTCTTGACCTATGGGCTTGGATCGTCTAGCTTCGGGTTGTTTTGGTTCCTGAATGATCTTGTTGTGGCGAGGACCGTTGGCAATACCTCCAAATTTTGTCGTTCCTCCCCCTGAAGCTTGAGTAACACGACGGGCACGACGCTGGGGTTGGTGATTAGGTTGCGTTTGAGTTGTAATACCATGCCGTGCTTGGGGAGGGGTAGGATGTCCTGTAAATTGATAACTCGGTATATTTTGGTATCCAGACCCAAATGGAGGTATGTAGTTTGGTGGGATATAACCTGGCAACGGTTGTGTTGGTGCTGGGTAAGGTACATGCCTAGGAATAGATGTTTGTTGATGATATGACGATGGGTCTTGCATAGGTTGTGGTTGCGATGGTACGGCCTGTGGGTATTGGTAATGGACAAGGAAAGTTGGAGCGCCTGTTCCTTGGTGAGTTCCTTGGTGGGTTCCTTGGTGATAACCCGAAGCCTGGCCCGCAAACTGGCTTGAATACTGGTCAATGCTATTCCTAGGATACGTCAAGAAATCGAAATTTTCTGGATGTCCCTGGTTCCCCTGGGGGAAAGGATAGTAAGGCCATCGTTGACCACCCTGGTCGGCGTTCCCAGAACTCATGTTTGGAACGTAAGATGTTGTCTTGGTGGTGACGATGTTGAGTTGCTGTGAAGATTTGTCAAGGTAAATATCGTGACGTGTCAAATTATGATAGAAGATAGAGGTGGCAAGTTAATCTTGTTGACGACAAAATTGATATTCGTGCGTTGACTTTGGCTGGGAAAGATATTTTGTAAAGGGGAGGCTCGTACTATTTAAATGGCGAAATGTGAAAGATAACCTTTGAATGTTTTTAGAATATATACTAGGTTAGGTATGGTCGCCTAGGAAATATTGGTGCCTCACAAAAGGTTTACTGATGGTGACTAGGTTTTTCTTCTAGTGGAAAGCCTCTCATATTCTTGACGCCCAAATGCTCGTTACTTTCCATGTTATTGTTTCCACCAACATTAACATTATATCAACCGGAACCTAGGTACTTACAAGATACCCAAGTACTTAGTACTTGAAAAGTCTTCATTTTGACTACATGCAGACTTAACATGATATGTTCCACAATAAATATAGATTTATAGGTGCATATAATAGTATCAATGTCAAAGTCTGTCTTGATTTTCTAGGAATCATAATAAAGTATCAGATACATTGCATTAATGTAGTCTAAATAGACGTATAAAAATGGCTTGATTAAGTTCAGTAAAGTAAAGCCACCTTATAACGCCCCCCTTTTAACATACTAGAAATTTAATTTAAAGGAAGGCGTTTTTTTACTAGCAAACTATATTTAAGCCAAAATCGCAAACTTTAAACGTAGCCTTCTTACTTTCAATAGTTATTGAATTTAATTCATCTCTCTGGATGTGAATCATATACCCCTTTGCCCATACATGCGCCATCTATGTCTAACGAACTGATGTTTTGAACTATAGATTCGCCCCCACCAAAACGCACCATATCCCCCTTTGAAGCTGCGTTACTCGGTAGCCAGCCCAAATTCTTTATTCCATTTTCTGGGTCTGTTAAAAAGGCTAACACATAATCCTGCATGGCTTCTGCTACTTTCTTCTGGAAGTCTGTAGCATCTCCTGTGAGATTATAACTTCCAAAAATCATTGGCAGATCAGCCCCATGGTAGGCTCCCATCCACGAGAAGGGAGTTAAGTTCGAGTAGTTTCCTGCATACTGATACCGATAAGTAGTGAGATTATTGAAATCTCTAACATTCGATGAGTTAAATGCCGGGCATATGAAGTCGTCTAACGTTCCTTTATCAACATCGGTCGTATTAGGCCCCCCTAGTAAGTTATCGATTGGATACGTGATGAGACTTGATTGTTCGTTAGAAGTATCGCTTATAAGAGCTGGCACCCTGGATATCAGGCCCATTTCTGCCTGCTCCGTGTAGTTCTTGAATATGATCTTGTCGTCCGCCGTTGGTCGAAACAGCAACCGAGGTTTCTTCCCATCATCCCCGTAATGGCCGATAAAATTTGTGATCAAATTTACTGGGATTTGTTGCATGCATTCAAGTTCGGCATCCGCGTCGTCCGGGAAGTCACATCCGAGTTCCTTGGCAACATGTGTGAAATTTGTCTGTAACGCGTTGTCGCCTTGCGCGAATGTTCGCATAGCCGCTCCCGACATGAGAAAAAAACCGGCAGCCAGCGGATTCTCATGATTAGCAAAGTTAAGAACATCCGCGGACACTCCACCGGCTGAATGGCCCCATAAAGTTATTCGGTCGGGATCGCCCCCGAAAGCTTCAATGTTCGCATGCACCCATTCAAGCGCAAGCCTTTGATCTAGAATTCCGATATTCTGGTCCTCTAATCCGACCGCATTCGGAAACCCGAAGATGTTGACTCTATAATTCATCGTTACCATGATATGATTCTGACTGCGGTTAACCCATCCTGCTGGTATGTGGTGGGGGGCATCTAGGCCACCACCCTTAAAACTACCGCCTGGCATGAAAAAGCCAACAGGGAGCTTGTCCCGCGGAGTAGCGCCAATAGGGGTCCAGATTGCCAAGCTTAGGCAATCTTCTGCAGTTGTCTGTGCCATTTCTCCTGCATGATGACTTTGGTCCCCAGTGTTGATAGAGAATGCTGTGATATTGGAATTCCATAGCGATAATTTGGATGTAAGATATTGAGGACATGAAGGAGGAAATCTGTGGGAGTAATGATGATCCTTAGAAGGTTGAAGAGACACCGGCGGTTTCCATCGGAGCTTTCCAACCGGAGGTTCGGCATACGGGATGCTTCGGAATTCCCTAACTCCAGGGAAATCCGGATTCTGGAGACCGGTATATGTGCCAGTCAAAGTCCCTACCGTAAATTCGGGGCTCTCACCCTGACCGTACAAGGGGTTGGCAGTGGCGATTCCATAGGAGATTGCACTCAACAACACGAGTTGCTGTATTGTTAACATGGATGAAAGGGGTCTCATGATGCCAAGGCAGTTCGTCTTTATCGCACTGCTCTAAATTCAGGGGTGGTTGGATGATTCCATGCGGGTTTTGTCCTAGGTCATGCTTATCTGTGATAATGACGACCCCTTTTCGAGAAGATAACTGATATTTATATGTAACAGAACGTGCATATAATTCAGATTATAAATGCCATTCTAGAAAAGACAAATCATGTCTTGTTCTAGATTTACGTCGGCACTTGTAAGATTCGCGGGTTTGTCATCACAGCCAATACTACTCCATATTCAAGCTTTCTGGTTGGAACCCCGCGTAATGATTTCTTAAGACCCCTATTGCATCTAGACCTATGCTTCGCATCTAGTTTCAACAGGCTAAATAATGTCATCTTGCATCATTGGGGCGGCAACTCATAGGTCCAAATATCTGGGGTATCTGGAACCAAGAGATATATGAATTAAACAATATCTCCAATGTGAATAGACGGTATAGCACGGTATACTTAACCGGTGTGATAATACCAGGTGTAATTATAAATCATTCGATCTAAATTTAGGGCTGTACTTCATCTACCTAGGTAGGTAGGTACGCAGCTAGAAGAGGTATAGCTCCCGTCTACTGCAGTCAAGACATTGACGTTCTAGAATCAGGGGTAATTGAAAGGAACATATTAGCATCATATCTAGGTAGGTAGGTATTTACCAATACCTAGTTTCTCCTTTTATTCGTCCCTCGTTCCCACTCAGGCATTTGTTAACCCTATATCCTGACCCTTTCAACTATATAGCCCTTGGGAGTTCTTATTACAAATCATAGTATCATATTGGTCACCTCTCAAGATAATAGGTATCTTAGTTACCTACTACCCAGGTAGGTAGGTACTTATCCACTCCATATACCTAGCAGGGATTACTACCTACGTACTTAAATATGTTTTGTCTCATTGAAGACATTGCCAATGCCTGATCCTTACTTTGACTTAAGTAGTGGAATCAGAATAAGCTAATATTCGGTGTTCATGACCATCGGTCCCGAGAAAATCCTTCGGCGGTTTAATGAGACATACCTACCCGACGCGATAAGGCTGGCTACAGATTCTTGAGAACATGCAGGATTTCTATTTTCATCATTTCAATCTTCATCAGTCAAAACCTATACCCACATCCTTGCGACTAGATGCGCTTCGCTTCACTCTCAAATATGACTTTGTGTTACCATTGCCAATGACCTTAAATCTGGGGTTGTGTGGATAGTTCATGTCTCGTGTATCTGATTGGTATCTAATAAACATTATGTATAGGACGAATAAGGAAATATAATCTGACGATGGATCTACTCGTAAATATAACACCTCCCACCCGCCGTCATTTGCATCCCCTCCTTCGTCTTCGGGTGCCAGCCTAGACCCATATCCATGGGATCTTCGATCGTCGCTAGACTTGGCGGCACAGTCGGAGCATAATCCATCGCGAGGCCTAAGAATGTCCTATTCCCATCGATAGCGTACGTCCTTTGCTCTAAATCCTGGCCTTGCCATATCGCCCAGAGGCGGTCAATCTGGGCGTGTAACAGATAAAACACTGGGTCATTAGGCGTGCTGAATGGGTCCGCCGCCTCGGCACCGACGAACGTGTGCGAGTTGAGGTGCCATAGCTTCTCAACATTATTCCTTAGCTCTTTGATATTATTGGATGCCACGATAGCCGTTGCATTGGCCCAGTTTAACACGCCCTTGCTTGAACCCTCATGAAAGTCACGCGACAGACACCGAGAGTTCGGCTCGTATCCGAATTTATTCGCCGGGTCAATAACTTCTTTTGCGACAGGACCTAAGCTAATCTTGAAGTTCTGGAATGGTCCGTCCGTGATGCAACCCCCTCCCGTGCCGGCCGGTTTCGGTAGCGAGAAGTTACTGATAGCTAAGCCGGGGAGGATAACTTTCTTCGGACCGTGAGGCACAAATGCGCCGTTGCCTCCAAAGCTCGTCGCGGAGCCATCGAAGATTTTAGACTTGGTCTGGTCGTCCGAGAATCGCGGGACATCCCAGTACGGAAGTGTCCCCTTGTAACCGCATTCTTCGCGAAGCGCTTTCTCGATTTGCCAGAGGAATAGGCGGTGCCATGGCAATAGGTAGCCCTGGAGTACGTTTAGTATAGTACTAGATAGTTGACATGATGATATGCTCACTGATTGGTGGATAAAATTGGTTTGATTTATGTGGATGTATGTGAAATCATCGAGTCTGTTGACGGCACCGGGCGCCAGATGCATATCCATCAATGGTGGCTTCGCGGCAAGGCAATGCACAGCTCGGATGTAATCCGTTCTCGTTACATCATCAATCTCATCCCTAAGAGTTCATGTTAGGACCCGAGACAAAGAGGTTCTAGACTCTGTCATCGGTTGCGGCGTCTCACCATGACTTTCGAACGGCGATATTCCTGTTCGTACAACCGCCTACCCCCAAGGACCTCCTAATATTCTTTTGATATGTAAGTTGATACTTTCTAAAGTCGATTGGCATTGGTATTCCACCAGCATGGTTAGTGTTCCACCATACTGGCCCGGCTAATACCGACTGGCTCATCCAGGCAGCACAGGCCCATAATACGATCGAACTCCCGAATAGATGCATGTTGGGTAGAGATTAGGCGGCGCTGATGCTGTGAACTTTCCCTCGAGAAAGCTGGATAAAACCGATGGCGATCAACGGTATTATATCGATGAGACAGAGAGCTGTCTTCTTGGCTGCACTAAGAGCGCGATCCGATGCGGCGCCAGGCACTTAGTATTCATTATGTAGGGAGCGACGGATCGACCGAACATTGTCGACAGGGTCGCCAGGGTTCAGCGTCGTGCAACGTCTAGTCATTCTCATATTATAAGATTTCATGGGTTTAGGGCATCCCTAAGGAACCCACAAACTACAAATATCGTCAATTACCTAGCTGCGCCGCCCATTCGGGACCGAAGGGATGTCGGATCATATGTGGTCGATCTGGATAACATGCTAGTTACAGCATCGTATTGAGATCGATATGTGGCGCCTTTTTCGGGGCAGATCCCCCTGGCTAATGAAGGTACCATGCATCCTTCCACGTGCTGCCAAATCTTTCCTATGCATCACGATAACGCATTCTAGGCGCCGTTCGACATTCATACAATCCACCCGAGATCCCACCCGGGTCCGAAGAAATTAATTGAAATGGAGCGTTTATGATCCTTCGGAACGAATCGTCGAGATACGATCTAGAAATTCAACATGCTTCGTCGTGCATGTAAATAGAGGGAGATCCGATAGATTAGGTACCTAGTAGACAACTAATAGGTACCTGATCTAGGATGTCAAGGCCTGGGAAATATTGCCTATGTCTCACCTACAATTAGCAATGATATTCGCAGATTTCTTTTCGCGACGCGACCGACGTCACTGTTTAGACAGCTGTCAATCGGCTAGCAACTTCCCTGAAAGCTGTGCAGAATAAAAGAGGGCGCTAATAGTGGACCGTGCGTAACTTCCCGCCTGAAAACACGAAAAATGAAGCTATCGCGGAGGGCGTTTTTGATTGGCTGGAGAATTGGATGGTGTTGTCGAATTAAACCCCCGATTTTTAGTGGGGATCATACTATATGTACCTGGGTACTTGTGCAGATAAGATCCAGAATATTTCCCGAGTCAAACAATCCCTTGCCGTACCAGGAGCATATCCAGATAGTATATTCTGATTTCTCACGTTTGCTATCGCAATATCAAATTCTTGGCTGTGATTATAAATTGTGGTGGTTGTCGCAAAGTCCTACATCTTGGAGCGCATGCAGGTGTTACTTGTTGGCGGTGATGCATGTCTCGGTCCGCATGCATCGTATATAAAAAAAGATGTTATATAGCTGGTCATACAAACTCACTGCTACCACCGGAGGAATATCATCCTAGATAGTCGCCTCATTTATAATTTTCCAATCTTTTCGATATGAAGAGGCCACTCAACCGGCGACCTCATCTGACCACGCCAAGTTCCCCGACATCGAGAAATCAGTCATTATTATCGTGTCATGATATCTACAACATAGTTATTCAGATTCTACTGCTGTTAAGTTAGGGTTAGTACTTCATATGTTAGAAAACGACGTTCAACGACAGTATATAGGTAGATATATATATATACTTATTTACATAGGTAGGTACCTATTCAGGAGGATTGGATAATCACAGAGAAGCTTGGTATATCTACCTATGTAATTGATACTTTGAATGCAAATATTGATCATCGGGACGATAATTCCTGCATGGCGTTAGTATTTCTCGCCGCAGTGAACGGCGCTGGCCAGACCTGCCCGTCATCTAAATTTGAGACGGTGCTCCTTTGAAAGCAAACTTGATTGCCTCGAAGCCCAATATAAAATATCCCCCTATAAGGATATCTTCGTGTTAGATATTGGAGCTCCTAATGAACGAACCAATATTTCGATAAGTTTCCTAGACCGTACCCAGCTTCAAAAGTACTGGAGGACACACCGATAGGACATCTAAAATTTCTTTACCTACTACACAATACCTAACTAAGTATAAGATTTCTTCATATTGTATTCCTCTATCACATGAACTTTTACAAGAGTCCTACTGTTTAATGATTTGCATAATATTAAATGTCTCGCTTAGTAGAGTTGGAAAAATTAAAACTTTCGAGTATAAGTGTATTACACTCGACATTCAATGTGATAGAGGGGGCCAAATGATTATCAGACTACCTATCTATGTCAGTAAACCTTTAATCCAACGATGTATTACCTAACCATTCATCCCTTCACTAAATGGGCAAAATTGATTGCCTTGTTGTCCTTGGCAAAGAAAATTCTACACAGAACAATACAAAGGGTACCGATGTCTCTAGATTGCGCCAGTGTAGTAATTTCGTATAATAATCAATTCTTGTTTTCCTTACTTCTAATTTTTGGTCTTCACCAATGAGTGTCAAAACATCATTAGTAATATCAGTTTGTTCATAACCTTCTAGAATCCCTTGGTTTGAACAATGTTTCCCTTACACTAGGTACTTTTTTCGCATAAAACTATACCTCGTCACATTCAATATTATCCCAATTGGGGTTCTCTTGTCTCACCAACTCGAGTTCCCATTGGAATCACTAGAGGATACCGTAGGATACTTAATACCGACTACATACTATATGATGATTTTCGCCGGCAGTTTGGGATGATTCAATAGGGCTAGGTAATTTGGCAAAAAGAGGCAGAACGGACTTTGTAGAAATATGATTATTTTGTCTCAAAATTGACGTAGTTACGAAGTAAGTGCCGAAGTTCACATAATATGTAAAACATGTCTTTGATTACATAAGCTGCGATACATCGGTTTTTACGATATCACAATATTAGTCATCCCACAATCGGTTAAAGAAATTCCGAGTTTTAACTTAATAAAGTCATAAATAGGTACTTAGGTACCGACGTACTTACGAAGGTGCCTAAATTCTTACACCAATTCGGAATTCGGAATTTGTGAAACATGATTTTCTAACTTCGACTCTACAACTAATTTCAGACAGCCGTTCAACTTCACGATGAGTGAGCAGACGGCCGGCGATGATGAAATTACCGCCACTACCGAACGTACACCTCTTATGAGGAGTGAGGATACTTCCGAGATCCCAGAGTCGTTCTGGAAACCCGACCATTCGAGGTCGTCGACGTTGGCCTCATCCATCGCCAGCGGTACTATCGGCGTTCCAACAGTACACGAGCCTAGAGCCATAATCAGCTTATTCTTTCTCATAATATTTGCCGCTTCTGCCGCAGATGCTTTCAAGCAGATACCTATGACCAGAATATTTGAGGATATTCTGTGTCATCAGTACTATGATAAGGCCTCAGGTCCGGATGTGCCTATCGACGAAGAGCTCTGCAAAGTCAACACCATTCAATCTAATTTGGCTTACTTACTTGCCCTTGTCGAATCTCTGAATTCCGGAGTCTCCTGTCTTGTTGCCTTGTTCTGGGGCATCGTAGCTGATCGGGTTGGGCGCAAGCCAGTGCTTGTGGTTTGTTTAATCGGCATGACATTGAGCTTACTATGGATTATGATTGTCGGCTGGTTTTCCTACGCGCTGTCGCCTCAACTCATTTGGATATCATCGCTTGCGCATCTCTGCGGAGGGGCGCCGGTTTTTCTGGCTTGTATATACAGCATTCTGAGCGATGTGATACCCGAATGGGACAGGTACGCAACCCCTTTCCTGAATTCCCCTTTAGCATTCTACCTCCTCGCTGACGACCTCGGACCTTTAGGTCACTCACTTTCATGCGCATGCACATAACGAGTATAGTCGGCAACTTGATTTCTCCAGCGCTCGCGTCAGCAATGATGTCCTCAACAGGCCCTTGGCCACTCATGTTGCTCGCTTTCATATTGTGGATCATATCTCTTGCTCTAGTGACTCTAATTCCCGAAACGTTGCACCCGGAATTATCAGATGATGTCGACTCTCGGTCCGTATCGTTCCGGGCGCGCGCCGTGCAGGGTCTGCTCCAGTTGAAAGATTCATTGTCCATCATTCGAATACGCTCTGTTTTCTTGCTCCTCTGCATCTTCTCTCTGTCGTATCCGGCTATAATGTGTACTTTGCAATTCATGGTTCAGTTTCTTTCGAAGCGATACCACATGCGATTAGCAGAGACCGGTTACGTTCAATCCATATACGGCATCGCCCACGTCGCCGTAGTTCTTATACTAATACCCTCTATTACTAACATAATCACCAAACCATCCACACCTCGATGGATACGAATAAATGAAGATAAACGGGATTTGGTACTGGTGCGTTGGTTTTACGCTGCCTCGATGACCGGATCTTTAATTCTCGGCGTTTCTCCGTCTCTATCGATCTTCGTAGTTGGTCTCATCGTCATGTCTTTCGGGTCCATATCGTCGAGCTTTATCAAGAGCATCGCGGCATCGCACGTCGGCTCCGAACATCGATCGAGACTATTCACTATCATCGCTATTGTGGAGGTGGGTAGCAATATATGGACGATGCCTGCACTTGCGGGTCTATTTGCGCTTGGTATGAAATTGGGCGGGGAATGGATAGGCTTGCCATACCTCGGTGTATCACTCACGTGCCTCGTCATGCTGCTATTATCATTGTTTGTGAGAGTACCAGCAGCCAGCGGCAATGATGAAGAGTCCCCACTAGTTTATGAAACCGGCACTGAACCTAGGGAATGATGAAATTGAAGGAGCCGTTCATTTGAGCTCCATAATTGGAACCTAACCATAAGATTTTATTGGGTTCGTTACAGATTGTTCAAATATTAGCGAATTTTATCATACCTCAACTTACATACTAGGTACCTTACTTAGTCTACGCGCCGCACGGAGACAGCATAACAATTACTCTATACACAATAGGAATATCAGACAAACAGGCCATACGTCCTCTCCTATAAAGAGCCAAGTGGTTACCTAGGTAGGTACCTAGTATATTGAGATAATACTGGCTACATAAACAAGTACCAGTCTAAATGACAATGAGTGAACGATTACCTAGGTACAAACAGTCATTGCCGTATCGATGTTGAGGTAATTTATGATCGCCCAATTAGACGATCTCGATGTCAATTTTCCGGTCCCTTATACGAAAGCAGCTTTCAACTTGCTTAGCAACAACTGTCTTGGTGATTAGGCCTTCGTCGCGGGTAAAGATCTCTTCAATCGTATGCTGGAGACGGTATCGCATTTCCCAATAAAGCAGGGATCTCTTCCCTAGCAGTTCGCTTAGGTGTGATCTATGTTTTATCGGATCTAGGTGTAGGATAGAGATAGTTTTTATAGAAGCAAGTTCATCAGGGAGGTACTTATAGAATTTCTGATCGGGTTCTTTGTTTACACAGAGAGTTAAACGTTGGGCATACCGCCACCAATCACTGTAGTGTATGCCAAAGGAAAAGTACCGAGATCTCCACCAGTGTGGAAGCATATCGTATGTGAAGAACACATCCTTCTCGAAGTTGACCCAGGCAAATGATGATTTCGTCTTTACAGAAGGAGGTCTCCGACCGAAAGAACGATCCATTGTTTGCCATTCATTGAACCTTCTTACTGGGTGTTTAGAAACCTTGAGGTTAATCTTGACATTCATGGGATCAACAGAGCCCTCCTCCGTGATGAACCTTCGTAGGTTTACGTCGTATGCTCCATAACAAGGGCCTTCTGTACGATAGATAATGAAGTGTCTGACCACGCCCTTCTGCTCACGCCAGAAATCCCATATCATGAGCTGAAGCTCTGTAGGTAGCCTTGTAAAGAACTGAAAAGAGGGTTTGGGGATTGAGGTAGAAGATTTAATCTTCCGCCGCGGAAACTGGATATCTGACAAGTTATATCTCCGGCGAGGATTGACTGCAGTGGTGTTGTCCATCCTTCTGTCCTCAAAAATATCACCTGCCTTACTCTGTATTCTGTAACAATGAAACGAGCTGCCGATTATATTCGCACGTTACAAATAACCTGCAGTCTAGTAGTTAGTATGCAGGTATATATTCATGCGTGTTCCGAACCTTACCGAGTCTTCTTTGCAGAAAGGTCTTTGTGGTATTGAGGATAGTACCTAGAAAGGGGTATCGTAAGTGCTAAGACGTGGAGAATGAGTGAAAACAGACCGAGACTAAAATGTAGGTAGGTACCTAGGTAATTACCTACAGATTTATAGGTAGTTAGATGCTTTACGCTTTTAACTGCCTAGGTAGGTATTAGTTTAGTACTAGGTATTCAAGGAAGGCCTGAGGTGATAGACCTCTCCTAAGGACATTTCTTTATCATCGCGTCGACTTAGACCCTAGGTACCTCATTGGCGGTATTATTCTAAACTGGCTTTTCTATTATTTCTGTAAGTTTAAGGTATCATACCTACATACCCGGTATGTAGGTAGCACCTATGTCACGAACTTTCTATATCAACCTTACAGTCAAAGAGATATCGCATCCCAAGGCTTTCAAATCGTGTCGCTAAGACGGAAATTTTGAGAACCGCGTTAGGTTAAGGAACTCAGTGGATGCCATATTGTCGTTGACAAGCCGTGTCAAATTTGCGAGCGTAGAAACTAGCATGCTTGAGGTAACTACTAATCTCCTAGCACGTCACTGAGGCAACGTTAAACAATCTCCCTGCACCCCTCTAGGGCTACCTCGCTCACTTGGGCACAGTACCACTTATCCGCCGATTTAATCGGGTGTATCCGCTTAAAGGAGATCAGTCATATTATATATCTAGATCTTGCATTTACCCAGGCAGGCACTTACATATATGCGAGTAATTACTCATATATGGACCCGTCGTCATCTACCATGATGCCCTTGGCGGCATCATATCGTCTCGGCTAGGAGAACTTCGAGAGAACATCGGAAAGCCGTAGGTAGATAGGTAGGTAGGTATGGCAATTCCTGAAATCGAGAATGCACAATACCTAATCTTTGAGTTAAGCGATTTGTATCACAGCAGAACGATCTACGCGATTCAAGCGTTGTATCGCTCACGCGATCAACTCTGTTCAGCTGGAGACCTCACTTTGCTGGTCACCGCCAGGGCCAACGCACTGACGCTCGTGAACATCGCGCCCCGCTTTTAGTCCCCGTTGAAAAAAAACAGTTTCGCAACGCTGTCGACAATACATGAACGCAGAGCTTGGCACGTCGAAAGTGCATTGCCGAGTTGTGGCGATGTCTGCAGTTTATATACATACATTGAGGCCCGAACTTCGAGATCACCAGGTCACGCTGTCGAAATCCCATCTCTCAAAAGCCTATCAAGCTTCTTCCCTTCGGCAAGGCAACCACTAGAGGAGCCGGGGCGCGATTCCCGATGAAGTCATACCCGTCTTTTAGTGTAGAAAAATTTGTACCTGCATGTCTACGGCTGTTGTTGGCGAGGAGATCAGGTCCGCCGATGAATTACGGGATTAAAAGTGGCTCACCGTTTGTGTTCGTGGCCACGTGTATGCAAGCTGGTTTGGCGAGCGTCAAGGAGGCATCGTGATTGGCTATTTACCTGGTTACATATCAGCCCTACATATGTGCGCTTTGCAAAGTGCAAAATATTATGCAGCCAAACAGTGCCTAATGCAAAATTTATCCCAATCATGGATTCGCACCAGTACTATGCAGTATACAAATGGTCGCATAACACGTAACCAAACCTGGCAAGCGTCAGAGCCCAAGTCACCCATAGCAGTGTTAATCGGCAAGGTGACGTGGTAATAGCGCTTTACCACGTCGATAATGCTTGGTGCTTAATATGGGAAGGTTACCGGGGGTACCTATCCTATAGGTAAGTAAAGTAGATCCCCCAAGCCAAAATGTCCACCTCCAGATTGCGATCACAACCCTCTCCGGGCATCATGTCCTTGATAACACCAGCCTTATTTTTCATCGCAGCACTGTCTGGAAGTTACCTATTCTCATTCAAAACACGGCATTCAAGACGCTCGAGAACGCGCGATCTTGCTTTGACGCGAGATCTCGACTATGAGTCGGAAGATGACAGTGTCAACAACGAACGCGGCACTGGGCGTGACAATGGCGGTGAGCCGGACCATGACCCTATGGCGGCCAGCACAGAATCACGACAGCTTGTCTACGACTCGGGAAATGACGACGATTTCCTCATAGTACTGGATAGACCTCAATTTAGGACTCAATTCGGAGTTAGATCCGGTGCGGCCGTCCGTGGATACCCCAGCTATGGAGGCGTCTACGTCCTTCATTGCAACGCGGTCGAGCTCGACTTTCTAGGGCTCGATCGATTTCACATCGCCATGAGAGCGCTGGATCAGGAAGAGGAGGATGCGCATTGCAACAACATGCGCAGGCTCGGAGCGACGTGGTGGGAGAGCGAAGCGGCCTACCGACAAAAGACCATGGATCCGGACAGGTCGGGAGACCCGGTCACTTTTGTCGGATGGCCTCCAGGAGGCGGTGTCTGGGTCCTAAGAACGACTCACGAAGATGCATCGGCAAGAGGTGTCGGCAGAATCAACAATTGCCACACGATGGAGGAACGCTGTCGCCTGATCAATCACATGGGCGGCACCTTTTACGAGAACCCGAGAGAGGGTCTATACCTAGAATTCTAAACGGATTCAGGACACGATGACCCGAGGATGATGAAGCTAAGATTATGTGGATTATGCGAAAATTTCGTCTATTTGGGAGTCTCCTTCGACCTTCAAATCATCCCCACGGATGCGACTAAGAACTGTAACTACTATACGATGTATTATAACGATGATTCCTGCCTCGCGGTTGGACAGGAATTTGATTTCGTACGATTTTAAACTTGGATAATGGGGCGTCGGCGTGCAGTTAGATATAAACACTGTTTCCTGCATGGGATTTTGCTGGATCTATGCTAAAATGTCACCTTTAGCTAAACCTCTTCTTTTATGATTTTGTGATTTGGAATCCCCATACATGTCAGCTCCTCTATTTCTTGTAAAATCTTTTACCATGCTAACGCAAAAGCAAGGAGTCTGTCACTACAGTCTCAGAGGTGCCCTTAGAAAGATTTTTCCTGCCCTCTAGCTGCGATGCCAGCTGCAGCTCAATAGCCGCCAGCCGACAAGACACGGCGCCTTTCCGTTCTACGTTGATATTTCGCATCATGTTTTCGTTTAGAATGAATACACTTTCTTCGAAGTATCACTCATTGAATAATAGACATGAGTCTTTAAGACGCTAGGTAGACTTTTTGACATTAATTGGCAAGGAGACAAATAAATTAAAATTAAATATATCGTTAGGTAAGCAACGCAGCAACTGATGTTGCAGCTGTCAGTCTCGCTGGTAGCTTCTTCTGACAGCTGACAAGGCCTATTCTACCTATAGAAGACGACAAGGGACGCACGGAAACATGCTAAAAGCAATTCGATCTTTATTAGAACTCATCTTCGTTTCTTCAAGTGATATGAAGTCGGCGCGGGCTAATCGAGCCATTTCAATTTTCTAGGAAAACCCTTAGTCACACCGTATCCTAGCGTCAAACTCCCTTGGCGACAGGACCTTATGGCTCGCCTGACCAAGAGGCGCGAGCATATGATAAGGCTAAAGAGAAAACAATCAGACTCATAGAAGATGCGTTGGAACCAGAGAAGCCACAAATATCCTACCAAAATGTCCTCCAAAAGATCAATGTGCTCCGCCAGATTTTCACTCTTGGTAGGGCGGAAATCACCTGCATGGATCACGATACTTCCTCCCAACCCACTACATCGTTATCAGAGGTATTTCTCCGCGTTGATGAGGTGTACGTCCTAACCAAAATTCGTGCCTTTGATTCATGACTTACCTACAGAAGTGTACCAGGGGCACTAAGAGGTAAGAGTTCATCTAGCTACCTATGCCACTGATTTGTTTAATAGTAGATATGAACCTGGAGGCTAACTCATACGAATCAGTATCGTATTCTCCGGTTGGAAGGCTACTAGGTATGTTAGACAGGACGCGAGTGGCGCTCAAGAGGGCAGGAATATCCTATGTTCGAATCGATGGCGATGTGAAACCCACTCAGCGTTCAAACATCCTTCAAGAATTCCCAGACGGGAGCGACACAAATGTTCTGCCTCTTACTCTATCATGCGGTGCTATCGGGTATGTTTATAACTCTTGTTCACATTTTTATGCATGCGTGAGGGCTGCGTTGTTAACCACCTTCCACTATAGGTTCACTTTGACATCAGCATCGCGTGCATATTGCATGGAGCCACCATGGAACCCGTCTATAGAGGAGCAAGCTTTCTCAAGGATACACAGGATTTCCCAAACTAGAGAGGTTACCACGATGCGATTCATAATAGAAGATAGTATTGAGAAGGTACACATTACATTCCCTCCCCGGTATTCAATACTCACTTGCAACTAACCTGTCCATAGTATGTGCTAGACGTTCAGGAAGAGGGACCTTATACACGCACTGTTATCGCACAGCAAAGCTTCGCGGGAAATCTCTCAGCAGCGGCTTAGGGTTTGTTGCCCACTTTTATCCGTATGATCAATTTTCAATGTCACTGACGCGTACCCTAGGAACTCCGAGATAGACTTAGAGGTTGAGTCTGCCATGTGGATGGTGTTGCAAGGACATGATTCCCTACGGAGTCCCATAACACTAATATGGTCCACTCTACCAAGAGACATAGTTTTGTCACTATATGTTTAAGGGTAACCATTAGATTCATATCAGATTGACCACTAAAATATTTTACGTTACAGGGAGCTTTAGGGGTATTTAGCGCTAATTCTTTAGCAGACTTAGCTAATACTTATATCTCAACCAATCGTTTTACACATTTTAGATATTTCCTAGACTTCATTCAACTATTAAATGCGCACATTTGAACACTAATATGATTAGTTAGGTAATCAGTTTATATCGACTTGATAAATTCAATGTATGAGTTGAACAAGTTGAATGCGCGGGGAGGTAGGTCGGTAGATGTACCGTAGCGAGAACCCCTGGATCGCAAGAATGATTCTAAACCTCATAGAAGCATTACATGCATAAGATCGATAGAAATTAGGAGAAACCATTCTTTATATTAGAACCATTCATTTAATTAAGTTATTCTCGCGACATGGGGTTTCCCGCTACGGTACGTAAGATAGTTCAACGATTAGTTGAACTTGGAACCCGTTCATTACCAGGTACCTATAATTACTCGCTAAGGCCCTTATATGTTTAGAGCCTAAACGCCCCTAAGTCCCCTGTAATCTACATGATTCCACAATCCAAAACAATTTAAGAGGACAGCGCTATCCGCCAACAAACGACCATGGATATATAAACTTCTGAGTAACTAATTGCTATCGGGTGAAATACGTGTAAATTAAAATTGAAGCCCCCAAACTATACTTCTCTAGGTTTTTCTATCCAAACTTATACTCCTTGGCGTTTGAGGAAGTCAAAAATTGTCTTGAACGCCTGCGGGGCGACCTTGTGTAAGTTGAGATTATGACTAGAAGATGCCGGTCAGTATGATTTCCATACAATGAAGCACATGATACCAGATATAATTAGAAAAGCTCACCCTGAAGGTAGGTTGTCAACAGTCTCAACAGCCTTGGAGCCAGAGAACGTATCCTTCATGCCATCGAGCAGACCGACGCAGTTACCGCCGCAAGCCGAAAGGTCGAATTGACCCTGGATGACGAGTACAGGTGCGGTGACTGCGTCGAAATCAAGCGGGCTACTTGCGAGCAGCGATGGCAACTCACCGACAGCAAATGGTTCACTACCCTGGTAATGCGACCACTTAGCCGCCCGGCGCTCGAAGTCGTGTTCCTCTCCGAAGTAGACGTATGTCTCTGCGTATAAGTCCACTGAAGTTAAGTACCCGGGATCCAAGGCACCCCAGCGAAGCGGATTAGCGTTCCGCGCGACACGGAAACCGGAGCCCGCAAGGAAGGGGGTGAAGTAAGTGAAGTTTCCCGCGAAACCGGTCAACACGACAGCATCAATAGCGGTTTTTTTGCTAGCGGCAGATGCAACTGTCAGATAAGAGCCGTAGCTGTGGCCCACAAGAGCCACTTTACTGGCGTTCACGGCGTGTCGCCCATAGTCAATGAGCGAGTCTAACACAGCTGCTTCTACCTGGAATTGAGCATCGTTGAGTGCGTCAACCCTAATAAGGGTAAACATATGTGTTAGTCACCGCTGTTATCGCCCTGGTAAATGGAAACAAATTTACTTAGAAGACGAACCGACACCAATGCGGTCGTAATTGAGGACCGAGTACCCAGCAGCGACAGCGGCTTCAACGAAGTTGTACGGTTCAGAGTTGGGGAAATTTGGATTAAAGTACCTACGCTCGTGTTAGAAACTCTTTACTTGCAGACTTAAACATGTGGAGGCAAGACGTACAACTTGGACTCGATGATACCGTGGGTTAGGACTAACAACGGACCCCCTGTTCCACAAAGCGTTGCGCCAACAGTGAATGTGCTTTTTACTGGTGCAGCAGTCATGCCAGCAACAGGTAGGGGGTCTGTAGGGTTGGTGAAGTCTCGCCTAGTGAGGTTTAACGTCAAGGCGACTACGTCCCAGTCATCCTTGACTGTCGCGTTCACGATGAAGCGTGGAACGCTAACAGTGACCGGTATCTTGATATCTCTACAGCTTGAGTTCGTAGGGTAGGGCAAAGCGAAAGCTGTCGCGGCAAGCCCGAGGGCAGTTAGGAGGTAGGCGAACATCTTGACAGTTGGGGGATGAGAACTGATAAGGTGATGAGAAGATGGGACTGTTGCTTACATTCTGACTGTCGACAGACATGTTTATATATCTGTCTCGGTCATCACCTAGGAGTCTGATAGATAACGTCGCCTACCTACGTATGGAGCATTGATCAGCTTTCAGTGAAAACAAAGACCAATATCCACTAATCCCCACAGGTTGCTGACAACTATACTCGATGAAGAGCTGAAGCTATCTCAACCTTACTAATATCACTTCACATGCTGGTCGTTCAATACTAGGTAAACGGAACCTTGCACTACCACGGGAGTAGATTTCGCCGTTAATTATTCGCGACTGTGAAGAAAGGAAGAGGGTATCCACCTTCACATCACGCCCTGCATTGTCAGCTCAACCGTACCTGGGCAACTAAATATGATTACTGAACATATAGGTATCTAGCTTACCTAAAGATGAAGTCCCATTCATCAAACTAGATTCCTGGCGAAGGGCTCATCGTAATGAGACGTGATATGCTAACCATATTCCTGATTTAGGTAGAGTGGATCGTCAACCCCTCCATCGTCCAATCCAGATCTCAGAGGAACCCTTGTTGTCGTCGTACGTGCTAAGCTTCATATAGTAAGGTCGAATCTCGCGCCCCCCAAAATGGCAGTCAAGGACGCGGGAGAGATCAATCCATCGCATTGATTCCAAATAGGCCAGGGGTTAATATTGTAGGGCTGCGCTTCTACGTGAGGGATAAATTATTCCCCAGGATTCGCATTCTCGCGACTACGACAGAGTTCTTTCTTGGGAGCGGTGAAATTACCTTCATCATGAGAAGTGCATCCTTGGTAGACTAGTTGGTAAGCATTTACATAATGCACTTTATTTTTATACTATCAATACCTGGGATGCTCATGAATGATATCCCGGTGATCAAGTCTTCCGCGCCTGTCCAGTGATTAGGTGGTGATTAGCGCAGCATATAAAATTTCAAACGACATTACTGCGATTATTACATGGCGTTGGTCCCATCCATAAATTCCAATACCTCTATTACTCCAAGCATTACCATCTTAACCCTCTAGTTCAGCACGAAATTTCGAGTCTCCATCAAGCTCCAACTTTCCAAGTGAGTCGATGCTGAGTGCAGGGCTCGGGATTGAATCTCGTTGGGCTCCTCTTAAAGCCATAGCCGCACCTGTCGATATCGATGGCCATTTATCGACGATAGAGGAGCGTGCTCGGGAAGACGATGAACCTAAAAGAAAATGTTAACATCCACGTCCTATTTAACCCCTTACCCCGCATTCAGGGGTAATTGAAATACACTCACCACTTTGATAAAGAAGCCCGCCACTATCTTCGCTCATGAGCTTCCGCGGAAAACCGCTGATAGGTAGGATCGTGACGCCGCTTGGATAGGGACGGGTTTGTAAACAGAGTGATATCGTAATTTGAGCGTGTTCCGTCGCAGAGTTGATCCTAACGGGATTGAGGTCAAAATTTCCTTGCAGATGCATGTCTTCCAATACTGAATTCGTTAGGATAATCTGTCGTGGGGCCCACGGTGCGCCAGCCTCTTCCTGTACTTCAAGCAAGAAGTATGGCTCGAAATCACCATCTAGTCGCGAGATAAGAAACCAACCTAGAGCCTTGAGTTCGGAAGAGGATGATCGGAATCGGCAAAAGACCGATCCTGTTTTCGCATGACGGTTAGCATTCTGAAATAAGGGGGGAGTTGAAACTCATAACATCAGAAAAAAGGGTTGGAAAAAGAGTGTATTCACCTGTGCAAGTGTATCCAGAAGCAGTCTGCTTTACACCACTCGGATCCTTCTCGAAAAAGAACGTGCTAGCGACGAGTCTATGCGCGGCTTCAACGATATCTTGTCGATTCTGTCGTAGGACCTCCGCAGTCTCCCGCTCTACCGAGTCCATTCTCTGCACTTCGTCGAACTTTGGTAGCCTAACTAAGAGTTCCGGACATATGCGCATATACCGTCGACGGGTCTCCTCATCCTTCATCGTACTGCTAGACATGAAGCGATTCCAAGTTATCTCGCATTGCCGTTGATCATTCAATTTTTCCGTCTGGCTCGGGACCGGGTTATTGAAAGACACCAGCATAGGTGTTTTAGGATCTCGGACGACGTATCCGCTCGCAGTAGCGGCTTTCCATAAACTTGCGCCATCCGCTATAGGCGATGTCGGTGTGGTCTGTCGTTTGGAGTAATTCCCAGCTCCACCCCGGCCTTGTCTGATTACAGCACTGGTGCCAAGACCAGTGGTAGTAACAGTCTCATTCGTCAGGGATCGCGATGATCGGTATGCATTCGAGTCGTCTATATGTCGGTCGCCTACGTTTCTACCCGTGCCGATGGAAAGCATTATGTCGGGAGGGGAGTCTGCTATGTCGCTCCATATTGATTTAGCTTCGTAATGAGCCACCGTTACTGGACATGAATAACGCAGATCGTTGTTGGCGTATTCTTGATTCGTTTCGGCCTTGAGGTACGGCTTGAAGAAAGGGGGTGTAGCTGAGGTAGCTCGGGCGCTATGAAGATTCACCAGGTTAGTTCGTCGAATACTAATGTTATCCATTGTACAGTGACTCACGCTTCCCAAATGAGCATTTCCCTCGATGGCGAATCCGACCGAACAAATTTATAGGGAAGTCCTAAATAACCTGTTAGAAAATCCCCCAATCTTATAATGTCAAGTAGAAGTACTTTTTCTAGGTAGATCCAGCCGATTATAGTTCGCGAAGACGACAGGTTGTCGCTCTATGCCCGTCGAGGCCGTAACAGCAACCTTGGTCGAGGAAACCACGCGGGATCGATGAATAGCGTTCCCGAAGAAGGGCTGATCCGACAGATATCTCTTGAGAGCTTTTGCGAAAGGCTTCGTCTTATATAGACTACCATGATAGAGACTAGATAATGCACCAAATATTGGGACACTAGTCATCTCTCTAGGAGTGAATCCTTCGTTGCACAGATCTTTGAATTTCTCCATTGTGGCGTTGACAGTCCATTTCTTAACTCCCAGCGCAATCGCGATGATACCACCCGCACTTGATATTGTGTTAGTTAAGTATACCTAATATCATATAGTATCATAATAGGTACTACCTAGGTACACTTACTTCGTTCCGACGATTAGATCAAAAAATAGTTGAATGGGTAAATCTGGGCCTAGGACCTTCTCAATCTCTACTAGGACTTGGAGTTGAATTATACCTCGGATACCACCGCTGCAGTTATATCATTAGCAAGCTTTCAAGTCGCGATATAATGGAGTAGAGCATACCCATCGAGGCACAGAACTCGACTCCCAGCGTACCGCGGTTTTGTCGTGATGATCCAAGGTGGGCTAGCAATAACATCGCGAACATGTAATGGGCAGTGACTGATCTCAATCGTGGTTCTTGACGTCCTGGCTCCGTATATCTGGATACAAGGGAAGCAGAGAACATGTCCACAGGGCAGAGCGCACTCAGGCAGTTCTCTTAAACAGCAAAGACACGCAGAGTAACTGATGAATTTGTTAGCGGAGCCCAATATGTTTGAATACAGCTCGTTGAGTCGCTCTTGGTGGAGGATAGCGGCAATCTGTAGTTCGTTCCTGTCTACGAAGTCTTGTCCAAGCTTGTAACAGGAAGATTGGACTTGAGCCAGGCTTGCTTTCAGCAACTCTTCCCAGGTCGGCCTAAAATCCGAAGCATTGAAGTTAGACTCGTAATCTCCGTTGCCAATGATTTTTCCATGTTTATTCTGATGTCCCTTAGGGTTGTGCCCGGACCTGACATTGCAGCATTGACCAAGGTCTCCATCGTATGAAGCGTTCGTAAAGCTACAAGGGCAATAAAGATCGGCGAATGTCTGCAATGCCCCAGCGCACGGTTTCGCGTACCGGTCATCGAGAAGACGAGCTGCGCTGCCTGGTAGGTTTTGGCGGACGGCATCAAGCATAACACACGATGCTATCATCGGACCCATAGCTCGGAAGATCTGCTCCGCATCACCAGCGAGAAACGGATCGCATGTCTTTTCCTTAATCGCTAGCGCTAAGTTTAATATGTTACCCTCGAAGTTTCGGGAGATGGGACTATGTCGAAGGGTTTCTTTGACGAAATCAAATGGTGTGTTGAGGTCTTTGGTGAAGTGATCGTATGCCGCTTGGAGGTAAAATTGGAGCTTCTCCGTATTCGCTAGCATCCGTACCTGTCTCTTCCTTAGGTATGAAGCCTTACAGTGGTCCTTAAGCAGGTCGCAGAGCTTTCCGACTTGCTCGTTCATGAGCACTGTGCCGGTTTAATTAGCAATTGATGTTCGATGATTGTCTAAAAGAACATATGGTGTCCCCACCAACGATAGCACTCTTGCTAAAATGAAATGAACCCAGGAAAACTTACTATAGGAGCCCTTGTACGGTATTCGGACAACACTTATAGAAGCATAATAACACTCGAGGAGTTCCTTCGCGCTTTTTATAGTCTTGCCGCGCCTTCGCCATGTGTGTACCTACAATATGTCAGTATTTTAAGTAAGCCTCCCCTTGGCTCTCGTCCGAGGGGACGCTTAGTCATGTAATTGATGCGGGATTAGGGCGACATTGGACATACTATGAATATGTCAGTTTCCATCAGGGGATCCTAGGAGCATACAGTCATAACAGCAGCACTAGTACATACCATGTTCCTGCAAAGCCGGCTCACGCAAGATAGCATCTTGAATATCCGTCATTAACATCTGCGTGGCCTTATTGACATCCCACTCTTTCTCGTCAACGTTGATGTCGGTGGCATTGAAGACGATAATCGCGTGGGGAAGCACGGGCTGGTTGAGTGATTTATCAACTTGATTAGGTATTAATAGTCAGCCTGAGTCTGAAGCTTTTTGATGCGCATCTACAGTTGATGAAAATAGGAACCAAGATAAAAGGAGCACTGGAAAGACATACTGGAAGCTGCGCCCCATCGTATTAGCTTATCAAGGACGACCGACTCGAATGACCTAGGGTTTCGTAGGACGAAGACCACGACATCCGAAAATGTGTAGAGGATGCGAGGATATAGCTGGCTGACGGCGTACTCTCTCTTCTGTGTGTATGGGGTATCTGCCCATGCGATCTTTCTGGTCAAACAAGGTCTGCTGGTGCCGACATCATCTGAATCAGTCCTACTTGAACCCTGCTGACCATGTCGAAGCTGTTTCGGAATGGCCTCTCCTCCGCTAAGGCCTTCGCAATCGACCAAGAGCAATGGGTGGGTAGTGTATAATGTTGAGGGGTCCGCGTATAGGTGAACATCGCCTGTAGTAGAAATGCGATCATGGCTGGAGGATGTCACGGGTGCATAGTAACTAACACCTTCGGGATCCGTCAAGTCATGGCGGTCAATAAGGAGTTTTATTAGGGTGCTCTTCCCAACACCTATACGTCTCGTTAGTCTCGAAGGTGCTTAACTAAATTCACACGTAAGAACTTTAGATGTATGACTTGTGTGCCCTACCAGTTTCTCCAATGAATGTAGCTAATTGGGGGTATCGTTCTGCTGTCTCATCGGTAGCTGTTTCGCTCATAATCGCGGCGAATCGCCCGAAGTCTCGGAATAGGGGATGACCAGAGGCATCGCGACCGAATCCGAACCATGTCGTATCGCGGTCTTCGAGGAGCTCGGACTCGTGCTCTGCTTCCGTGCGTGTTGGTTCCAAGATTTGACGTAGCCGGTGCAGGACTAGGGGGTCCGCTTTCTCATGCGGTTTACCGTTCCTGACGATCACCCATCGCGATTAGTCTATACAGTCCACACTTTCTACCAACAATCCTGTTACTGGTCGTGGATATAACACAATACAGTTCCGGAGTTAAGATTTGGGAAATCTGTGTACTAACCAACCGACGGCACCCGGTGTGTGCAAGACCCATTTGGCCCAACAAGAATCACAGAAGGCGAGGTTATTGCACTGGATGCAGGTAAACGTCTTTTCGGCATTCGTTCCGCATGTCTGGCAGGGTTGCGATAGAGGTAAACGCCCCGCCATAGTGGATGAGGGTCATCGTTATAGTATGAACCCCTTGAAGTGTGAGCATTTAGTCGTTTCTGGTACGTAATCAAAATTGGGAAAATTAATCGGGAGCCCTCGGAACTAAAGAAATAGAACCCTGAGAAATCCGGGGGATGATGGGATGGCTGACTGGGAGCTTCCCCTCTTCGGCAGTCAGCCGCAAATGGGGACGGCGCGCGAGTGTAACCTGGACAAGCATTCTTGGCAAGTTAACGAGATCTCGATAATAAGCACAAGACAGCGCATAGATAATGAGGAATTAGATAGCCGAAAGGGTGAAGATGATATCTACTTTGGGACGGTACTCCAGGACGAGTTCCCCTACTGAACTCCGTAGAATATTTCCACCAGTATTATTAGTCGATCGTGTAATCTTTTCTGCAACTACCCGTATGGTGGCGGCTGATATTGCGATATGTATGAGACAGAGATGCAAAAAACGGGCCACGGCGTTTCAATAATGTCAAAAAAGAAAGAAAGAAATCTGGCGGGAACTCAATTGATGTAATTTACCCCTGAAGCCAACTTCCAATTTCTGCATCAAGTTCGAATCTTCATCTAACACCAAAACCACTCGTCCGAAAAAGCAGGCACTAACGCGCAAGAAAGCGAATTGTATTACCAAATACCTACTTCGTGCAAGCGGAACATTGTGGTCGTTTAGGTGGAAGATTAAGAGGTGGTTTTCTATTGGCCGCTCAATCCATCACGATTTACGCCACCCAGCCATCTGGATCCTAAATCCAGAGCGCCTATCTACAGAATATTAGCAGAGCCTTACAAACGCCTAGGTATACCGGTACCTCTTCGCATAAGGCATCTTTCAATCCGAAATGGCGCTCATGGCATATGCGGAGCCAAAAAAGCGACTCATAGTCCAGGATTAGGTCTTTAGTGGAGCCTTTGGAAATGGAATGGCACCCTACAGCGAAATAGATGCCTGACGCGAAAAAGCTGATGCCTTATGCGGTGCATTGGAGCGGTGCCACAAAAGCTGAACAGGCTTCATCACTTTTAGCCCTACGTTTCATAGACAATCAACCAATGGCAGTGGCCTTAGGAAGATTAATGGCCAAAATTATAACTGTCGAGACCGACAACATAGTTCGAATCAAGTTACTGCGACACCTTAGTGAGGATGACTAGAGGGCAGTGCATTCCGTTCTCTGTTTCGATGATGATCTCAATGGCAGCTTGTCCAGGTATGGAGAGAAGGGGAGGAGCAGAGATCGGTGTATATAATGATATCTTGACCTCATAACTTCTTGAAGGTTACCTACCCTTTCATCGACAGCTCTATTATACCCGACAACTTCACTCATTAGCCGTATCGTAACTAGCTCGGACATCACTCGGAAATGGCATCTTCGTCAGGTTTACCCGTGGCTTTATTAATCATATATCTCACATTATCTCTACCAACCATCTACATCGCCATCAAACATGGGTTGAAACACGGTGTTATAATCGGGTGGTTCTTCCTATTCATCTTTTGCACCCTCAAGATCGTTTCGAGCGCCCTCGAGTTAAAAGATGCCACCAGTTCAGGCGCCGCATTAGTTTCCAGCATAGGACTGTCTCCTCTGCTTGCTGCCATCTGCGGGACTCTACATGAGTCGTAGGTGGTTTCCATTCTGTATATCTTGGTCCGACCCGTACTAATAATCTCCATAGGCGTGTTCATCTTCTTCCAAAGTCTCGCCGACCCTTTGACAAACAATATCTCATACTTTTTCATATTTTGGTCTCGACAGCCATCGCGCTGGTCGCTTCAGGTGCTTCGAAACTCAGCAATACCACGATACCTCCTGAACAGATGAAGAAAAATCTTGGGTTGGTGAAAGGAGGCATGGTTCTTTTGCTACTGAGTTGGATTTCCCTAGCAATAATCACACTCGCCACATTCCAACATGCACTAAGCCAGGGATCCGAAAAGCTGGCAGCCGTTGGAGGAGGGAAGAAGTTGCTTCTTGCTGTGGCTTTCTCGATACCGTTCCTGGGTATCCGGGTACTTGAAAGCATGATTTACTTCTTCACCCAAAACCCGTTGCTTAATCCTGTTTCAGGTAGTGTTGGTCTTCGAGTTGGTCTGCAGATTATCGAGGAGATCATCGTGGCTCTGTCGCTCATCACTGCGGGCATTCTCACACGAAATATCGATGCTACAGCACAGGTGGACAGGCATTAGGACAGGTACTAGAGTCTGCTTAGAGTTTCATTCTTCAGGAAAGCTTCTATCAAGATACCCAAACAAGTCGCAAATTTATATGGGATTAGAGATAGAATTGATGTGTAATTCGTTCAGATACCTACCTAGGTACCTACTTTAAAATTTACTTTCGGCCTAGACGCGTAATAAGAGGTAGTAAATCAATTTGATCCATGGGCGAAGCTAGGACTTATATACTTTCTGCGCATGATAATTTAGGTGCTCACCCTTTATATACTGATATGATCATATAATTCATACTAAATCTTTAGATCAAACCACTAGTTTATAGTAGTCGGCGCTGAAGAATGGAGACGCCTCCTAATTAGGTCCTGGATCCACTATCAGCTACCGCCCACAACCACTACGCCAATGGCAATCGGTTAGGTAGATACCTATTCAAGGTAGATATTAAAAACAAAGAACTCAATTGCCTACTATGATATATTATATAGGTACCTAAGCATGCACGACTTGTCTTTATCTCATATCCTACAAGTCTTGATTAGGGGCAGGTGGACTAGCAGATATGGTTAAATCAGATAATTGAAATGGTGGTGCAACAAGAGCGCTAAATTTCTTATCGAGAACACTTTGTAAATAAAATAGGGGGTGAATTAGTGGCTTCGCTATTCTCATCCAGCCGCGCAAGCTCTCATTTGGATGTAAATCTCCTCTCGAGAAAAGGTACTATCAACGCAGCAATCTCATCTGGTTTTTCATATGGAGACCAGTGGCGGCTATCGACAGCAGCTTCCTCCAAGTCAGGTAGCAGCCCCTTTTCCTTCGCTGGTTGCATGATCTCCGGCCGGCATACAGGATCCCGTGTACACGCAATAAACAAGACCGGGACTTTCACTAGTAGGCTACTCTGTCCGATTAATTTATCATCCTCGTAGTGGACGCTAGAGTTGGAAGCCTTGTAATAACAGAGAGGACCCTCAAATCCATCGCGCTGAAATCGGTCTAGAAAAGCCTGTCGGAACTTGGAGTCTTGGGCGTAGTCGATCAGCTCGACCTCACTCTTATCATTCAGCAGCCAATCGCGCAATTTCCCTCTCGCACACCACAATTCTTTCGTCCAGTCCACTGGGGCGCCATGGATGGCTTGGTAGAAGCGATCCACGTGAGCTTTCATGAGTACAGGAGCCTCGTCAGTGACGAAGAATTCCTGGTACGCTATGATAGGGTACCCTAGAACCTTGGTAAGGTAATCGTTTATTTCCTGCAAATTAGGCAGAGAGTCGCGCGGCAAGGCATAGCCGACATTGAGCAGGATCAGACCCTCAACTCTCTCCGGGTGGTGGTTATAAAGCCTCTGAGCAACCAAAGAACCAAAATCATGCCCTACGGATATGACCTTGCCAATTCCTTCAGCGTCAAGGATATCCACCACATCTTGAACTATTCCCGAGTATATGTACGGGGCTGCGTCGGTGGGTTTGGATGTGCCGGAGTAGCCGAGGAGGTCCGGCACAACAAGACGATACTCCGTCAGTTTCCGTACGATTCCGTCCCATAGATGAGCATCGTCGGGGAAGCCATGCTGTAAAAGCAGGGTTTGTTTAGAATTGGTAGGATTTGAAACGTAATAAGAATATGTGAAGCCTCGAGAGGTTTTGAGTGTTTTGTGCTGAAGAGAATCCATGATTTATGATGAGTGCCTGAACATACCTAGGTAGAAAAGGTTAAGGAGAAACTGCCACGAAGGAACTCCTATTTATTTTGCTCAAATTTTGTTTTTACATACCATCCCTTGAACTTACACAATACAGGGTATGTACGTTGAAAGGGCGTAGAGACAAGGATTTCTCCTGATAGGCTAGTACGGTAATTATTCCTATTTGTCAGATGCCGGGGAGGTGGTTTGTGAAAAGAGGACCTCACGTGCTGTAGGATCAAAAGCATCGTCATCCACAGGATAGAAATAGGTAGGTGATGCAGGTGGGATGTGCTAGATAGGGCGCGACTAACAAGGTATTCTACCTAGTACGTACTGGTATTTTTCAATAATATCTGAAATATCGTCAGTATATTCTGACCCTTATTCTAGTCTTTGAGAGGGGTTGAAAATTAACTAGATTTTGGATTGTACAGAGTAACCTTAGAAAAGGTTAAACTTTTGACCAGTGATTCAGACTCGTTGATTACGTAAGCACACTACCCCACCCCCGCCATGTTCTCTAACATTTACCCCGCATTCTTCTTTTGGTCTTAAAGCTCCAAATATCTTCATTGATGTCTAAAGAAAACATCATTATATCGATACTCAGCTACAGCGCAATACGCATACATCAAACGCCGCAGTCCGGATACTTCACCCGGATCCTCGTATTGATAGCATCTAAGGCATACTCCCTCCCATTCAGAAGCATCTCCCCACAGTGCTCCGTGTGCTTATATACCCCAATATAACCGTCGATAGCACGATTCCCTAATTGCCCTAGAATGGCACGGTGCATCTTCTTCCACATCGCGGTGCAGTGTCGGATATGATATTCCCAATTCACATAGAGGCCGCTGTACTCTCCTGTCATAATCTGTGAATGGCTGAGTGGCTGCGTTCGGTTTGGATCCAGAAACCACTCGAGCGCATTCTCATCGTCGAATTGCTGCGACAATTCCGGGTCCCAACATTCGTCTGGCAACCAGCAGAATGAGATCACGTCGAAGTGACATCCTGCGCGCCGGGCTTCTTCAGGACTTTGCCCACAGGGCTGCACCATTACCCTATTGTTGTTATTGCCGCTGATATCCTTCACGGAGCCCCACGATACATGATTGATCTGGACTAAGCCCATAACCAATGCCCCAAAGAGACCTGATGCTAGGATGAGGATGACTATGACGGACCACGATAGGAGGTAGAGACGTGAGGAACCCTGGGTTAACTTGCGAACGCGATAGCCGACTGTCTCCTCATCGCTGGTACTTTCGTTAACAAGGGGTTCAGCTTGTTCATCCGATTCATCTGACAACGGTCGCGGGTAGGGATATTGCTTCGAATGTAAAACAGGTGCTCGACGAGCGACGAAGCGAGATGAGATGGCTGTCCACAACTGACTCATACTTAGGATAACGATTCTATTCTGTCTTCCAGCGTTGGCTATTGGTGCTTGAACTGCTAACGGAAAGTAGGAAAAAATCGAAAGTCAGAGAAAGACACTAACTGACGAGTTTCATTCATTTTAGATAGGCCAAAATGCCACCTAATTAGTGCCTTCATAACGCCAAAGGATACTCGAGAATGTCGTCGGAATTAGTGAGCATTCAGTAACCGCGGGCGCCAAGCCCGCCGTCAGCGTGCCGCTGAACGTGGCGCTGAACCCGCCCTCTGAGATGTTAGTCTAGAGCGTCTAGCAGCCAGGCGGTAATAACGTCATACGCAGATCGAATGGAAGAAATCTGAGCGAGACAATTTCAGGAAAGGAATACCAGAGTAAAGCCCGCGTACCTTGCGCATCAAATTACTCATACGAATGAGTTAGGAGATATGCGACTTAGTACAAGACCATTCTATGGTAGTCAAACTGCTATTCTATTCAAGAGTTGACCCAGTAACTCTTAGTTAGGTAGGTGATCACACGCACATATTCGAGATGTAGTTAGAAATTGTTGTTCCTATGGAGGCATGGGGCTTAGTTTCTTGCTATCGAGTAATTATTTCAATATTCCAATTACATGTATTCCCTAGCATAACCCCAGAGTGCATCCCAGTTCTTACACTCATGCGGATAGTCCAACCCATCAACTACAGCCAACCCGGTGTTCTCTGACACAAATTCTAGTGAAGTGTCCCCAGAACATTGTATACCTTGCCTTAGATAATCGAAGCAGTGTGCATAGTGCCACATACCATGTATTGCCTGATGATATGTCGGTGTTGTCGCGTTTTCGGGCCATCCGCGCAGCATCCTCTCCGTGTCCACCCGCCCGTACACCAAATCCCACATGAAGCCTCTTAACGCGCCCTAAAACAGCCGTTAGACACCACTCATTTTGTGTCAATCTGGTTTATAGTGGAATTAGGGTACTAACCAAACAATGTAATTGATGAAATACAGACAAGCCTGCCTTGGTGTCTGGGAAGTCGAATCCATTATCTGGCTCCAAACGAATAAAACCCATTCCATTCGCTATAATAATTTTAGCGCTCAATAAAAATCGCACGATTTGTCTAGGTATGAAACCTACGGCCAGGCAAACTCTCCCAAGCTTCATTGCTCTCCTTTGATGGGAGAGAGAGATACAATGGGTCCAATTTGAAGGTTCGAACCTCGTTGGGGACTAACCCATACTGCGTCAGCTTATGATATGAAGCGATCATATGATGTGGCTGATAGCATACAATCTGGAACCGGAGTAGGTAATAATCTCTTCTTTGCTAGGCCCTTCGGAGGACCCAACAACAGCAGAAGCACAAGGATTACACCTAATGCTCCATTTATAGTCAAGGACAGTATGAATCGCTTTCTTGCACGCCGATCCTGGCTAGGGTTTTCGAGGAAGCCATTCTCCGAGTTGAGGTTGTCTTCAGAGCCGTCGTCTTCTTCCCGCTTCAGGGATGAATAGGATGGTGGTTCAGTCTTAACAGGCTTCCACCATGGAAAGGGCATGGTTGCAGGCAAATAGGATAAGTAGGTAATTTTCAGCAATGTTTTAGATGTACGATAAGTTGAAAATTGCTGGCATTTAGCAATGTGAGAGGACGATTGCATGTAGAGAAGACTTTGGAAACGCCCAACAAGAAAGAGAAAAAAAGTTCAACTCAACATATCTGCGTCTAGAAGGTGATAGAGATTGTATTAATTTGAAAATTGAATTAGTCAAGACAGCTCGTCAATGGGGTGGTGTGTATGGGTCGCAGACGCCACGAAGTTTACAGAGACGCTGTGCAGAATGACCCCCTAAAATTCAGCGGGCGTGACGCTGACGCGCGCTAGCCAATACAATTTACATTACCTCATATTACGAATTAGCATGGTCCAACATGTTTCTAAGGCCACTCGTAGAAGGAGAACTTGAACATCTCTAATAACGAAGCTTCTTAATAGGTATTCCCTTGTGTAAATAACCCCACCCATACATTACATGAGTCAACTAGGTTGAAATTTTCGCGCGACATGAACAACTCTATGAAGCAAAGGTTCAATGATCTTTGGGCCTTCGGAAAACCTAAGTGGCAGACGAATGCTAGTCATGAAACCTACGATAAGGAAGTTGGCGATGAGGAGTCTCAGGAGACCCTGCTCACACATCACCCAGATGAGCAACGCAGGACATCTTTCAAGCAGTCAATACTCTGGGGGTGTTTGGTAACTTTGAAGACTATCCTACTCTTTTCTTACCCACTGCTTTTATATCAAGCCTGGAGATATAGGGACCAAGATCCTGCCTGCCGCCTTGGAAATGAACGTGCGTCTCAACCAAGTCATCGCGTATTATTATAGAAAAACTTATCAGTAATAAATTTAGGAATATTTGACGATATACCGGTTATTTACGAGAGCATCCGCTTCCGGCGTGCCGGTTTTCACGACACACGTCACGACGAATTGACAAAGTATGAGGGCGAACCAAATGATCATAATAATGCGGCATGGGAACGACTACTTGAAGGTTGGTTCTCATCGTATATACTCGCTACACCTATGTATATAAGAGAACATCGCTAAATGCTGATTTCTACCTACCTAGTGGGAGTAGTCGGTATTTCCGAGAAAGAAAACTCGAGGCTCACCAATGGGTCCGCCTCCGCACCCCGGAACCCCGATCAGTACATGGTCGAATTGGAACTCTTTCATCAACTACACTGCCTGGTAGGTTCCAATCAATTACATGTTTCTCCTCGCAGATTTATCTGATCCATCTTTAGAAATGGCTCCGTGACCAAATCTGGGAGTTTCAAGATGCCATTGACAATTCACATCCCCTGACGGTCATATCACAGCGAAAAGATCATAACGGTGCGTTTAACATAAGAACCTTTGATTCATTTATGCTTACTATACACAGATCACTGCATCGACTACCTTCGCCAGGCCATTATGTGTCATGGCGATATTACGCCCATCACATTTGAATGGATATCGGAGATTAACAGCTACATCGCTCACCACAGCACAGAACATCAATGTAGGAATTTCGATGCCATCTACAATTGGGCGAAAGAGCGAGATACGACTGGACTCCAGGTGGATGGAAAACATCAGAACGTGGAATTTGCCGAGCAGGAAAACTCCGACTAGATACTTGGCCACTGCCTACAATTTACGATCTTATAACAATATTTCGTTTCATACCTAGAATACAATTATCTACCTAGTACTCATTTAGGTCTTGATTTTAATGTGCGGTAATCCCCATCAGTTAAACAGTAACGTATTGTTAAGAGCGCCCGTAGAATTACATTCACAGAAACTAGTCCCGCTTTTAGGCACGTACATATCGTGATATACCGACTACCTACCGGTACACATGTAGTCGTTACTACAATAATCATTTCGTAACTACCTAGTCATGACCTAGGAAGCGTTCTCAAAGAGGGGAGTCAACTGAGTTCGTAGGTACCTTGATAGTTTGCCGCTGCCGGTATTGGGGCAGATCTTGACTGCCGCCGGCTAGAGCGCGCGGCATTACCCACTGCTGACAATCGCTAGACCGAACCATGCATTCGTTATTGCCACCGGCGGGAAGATGTGGATGCAATGCGCGACGGCGATAACAAGCGGGACGCACGAAACGCCCTATTGACGATACCCAGAGCGTGCCGTCTCCTAACGCTGTTGAGATTCCGATGTGCGGAAGATCTCAACCGCGTGAAGTAGGATGGGAATCCAAAGCACTACGAAGACATATAATCTACGAAAACTACCAACCTAGAGCTGATCTTAGTTCTCCAGATCGCGCTACCAGTCTCAAAGACACATTCGTCATTCATCCGCAAGAACACTCCCCGTCCGCACACATCCAATCCCAATCGTCACCATGCAGCTTCTTAACAGCTTAATCCTCTTCTCTGCCGCCGTAGCTGCAGCCCCCGCCCCATCGACATCGGCTTGTTCAAGCGTTGGTGACCCTAAAGAATACGCGCAGTGTATCTACAACTGGATTAAACGGGATGTAGCTTCAGGGGATGCCAAGTCCGCCTGTTCTGCAGAGACCGACCCCAAGGAGTACAGTCAATGTATCTACAACTGGATCAAGAAGCGTGACACCTCAGCCCAGGACCAGCAATCAGCCTGTTCCGCCGACAGCGACCCGAAGGAATATAGTCAATGCATCTACAATTGGATCAAGCGCGACACCTCAGCTCACGAACACAGTTCAGCCTGCTCTGATGAGAGCGACCCTAAGGAATATAGCCAGTGCATATACACCTGGATAAAGCGAGACACCAGCCATGTTTCTGCGGATGCCACATCCGCTTGCTCTGCAGAAAGCGATCCCAAGGAGTACAGCCAATGCATCTATAACTGGATCAAGCGTGATACCTCAGCCACCTCAGCTTGCTCTGCGGAGAGTGATCCCAAGGAATACAGCCAGTGTATATACAACTGGATCAAAAAGCGCGACACCTCGGCACAGAGCGAGCAATCAGCTTGCTCTGCAGACAGCGACCCTAAAGAGTATAGCCAGTGCATTTACAACTGGATTAAGCGAGACGGTAAGAATACCTAGATATTATCCTATTGTTAAGTCTATCCTAACTGAATATCATAGGAGCACACTAGATAACGAGCGGTAGCTAAATACCAATCTGACATGGCAAGGAATATGCCATAACACGAATAGGCGGTAGGAGACTCTTGAACCCCTGAATGTGGGGAAAGGACAGAAAGTTGCAGTGTTTCCAAATTTGTGTCAGTCATTGAATGTGTGCTTGGTCTGATATGGTGGACTTACAGGTTTCCTTCTTGATGTTTAGGTCATGATCATACTTACTACCTAGTATTTTATCGTAGCAACGAATTGAATACCTCCGCTCTTTTTGTTTTCTAACTATTTACGCTATTTGAGTGAAATCCATGCGCAACTTCTAAACGCTTCTAAAATGCGCTTTAGCCTAACCCTGTAAGTGCACTGAGTTAGGTAAAGACTTAGGCCTGATAGTGATCTGTCCGCTGATAAACCCCACTGAGATATAGCGGATATCCACTAGATTCAGAGGCCGAATCACCGGAAAAGAACGCCACATGGTACCTCCAATGTAGAATTACACGGGTTTAGCCCTCGAGCAAATGTGCGAAACTTCTTAGGCACCTACCCAGACTTTCATGCCTACCTACCTACATATGATAATACTGCAATTTCACGTATTTACATTGTAAAAGTTCTTAAAGTCACCCATAGAAAAGAGGGAGGTGAGAACTTTGGTTGAGAAATGAGAATTTACTCCCCGCCATTGGCCCCCACTTTCCCCACCCCCTTTTCTTTAGCTAAAGCACCTGGGCAGACCCCCTTTAATGATACTAGGTACCTAGGTAGGTAGTGAGAGAAAATGTTCAGATAGGTATGATTCAACACCAACTCTCATCTACTAGATTTCGAGAGAACTCGAAATAGTTCCTATGTTTCCCAATTTTACCCGTTATGAATGTTGGTTACTATGGTGACCTGCTTGGTTTTCCAAGCTCCATTCCAAGAAACCCTCCCATCTGTTATCTTGCGTCCAGCGCTCCACGGCCTCAAAGTCTCTACACGTATGCGGTTGATTAAAATCAATCCCCTCGTAGTCGTGAGTGACGTGAAGCAACAGGTCCACATTGCACATAACGGCCTGCCGTACGTAGTTCAGGCAGTGGAGGGTATGAAGGTCATGAGGACCAGTCTCATTGGAGAGAATGCGTTGTCGGATCCTTGACTAGTACATGTGTGGAATTCTTGACTTAGCATCTCTCCTTGATGTCGTGATGAGTTGGAATCACTTACCAAACAATGAAGATTATGGAAAACATCTAGCTGGTAAACCATCTCCCCGGGGGTTTCCGGGGTCGGTGCAGAGACGGGAATTCCATGATCACTAGCCCAGTCCTCGTTGATAGACACAAAACCGTACTCTAGACAATTATTTTCATCTTAATGAATGCCGGAATAGGGGCAATGGGAGAAATGAAGGCCTACTCACCCAGGTAAATCCTATCCCAAACCGCATCTGACAGAAAGTCTTGAAGGTCCCATTTATCATCACTGACGTATCCTGACGACTTATTAAAACGATGTAGCTGTTGATCTAACCGACATGTTAGAGATCGATACGATGTTAGTCGGAAGAGGGGTTACTTACAGTCGTCTAGATCATGAGGTGTCGGCCGCCTTGATCTTGTTAGGATTATGGCACCGCCTACGAACAGCAATGCGTTGGCGCACTCTAGGAGGAAAAGCCAGAGGCATATCTGAGCAGGCCGCTTTCTTGAATTCAGCCATTTAGCTTTCCTTGCCCCTAACCGGCTATCATCGTTTTCCTCGGTTACGAGCGGAACATCTTCAAGAGTGTCTAATTTTTTCATATTATTTTGCTAGGATGTGGAAGGTGGACGGATGAAGTGCGCTTGTGTCAGGGACAGTCCAGATTTTCGAGGAATGGTTTTCCGTCGATATTAGTCCGGGCTTCTTGACGGTTACCTAAGAGCCTTCGAAACGAGCGAAATCGCTGATTATGTCAGCCATTCCTACGCCATCGTGAGGCTTCGGGTTGGAAGTGTCTCATAAAAATGGATAGCCATACTGCATTGTGGCTGATCCGGTCTCGGTCAGCTCCGGAGAGCAGCTGGAGATTTACTTACCTAGATAGGTATCTACCAGTAAGGATATATGCCGCGCGCCTCTTGTGTAACCGTAATATGATATACACGAACCGCCGCCCGAACGCCACCAAAGCTGCGGCATAATATGCGTACACTGCCGGCATATTAAGAAGCTTACAAATATGCATAAGTAGTAAGTACTAGGTACCTACCTAGTAGTTATGTAGTTAGTCAGATCCATAGATCCTCTGAGAGAACATATAACCAACGGATATATTAATGTAAAGCACGCAGTGAGATTCCTGATCGTCATTGACCAAACATAAAACATCAATGGCTCTCCGAATCAGCGATCGGAATGTGCTTCACTAACCCGACGCCGATCATTTAGTCATATGTGTGTAGAAGTAGGATTAACACTGGCTACAACGAGTTCGCCCCTACGCCCACAGGACGCCACGATCTTAAGGATGCGAAAGGGTGCTGTAGAAAATGACAATGATCGCCTTATATTTCTTTATTCTGATGTAAGGTTACGTTTCAGCATCAATAGAGCCATGGTGGAGAATGAGTGACACTGCATTCTGTAATATTTCAGAAATGCTGATGCGAAGAGCTGTTCTATGTATATCAACGTTATCGATATGCTTAGTGATGCTTCATACTAAGGGCCTGGCTATTCCTACCTAGTCCAAAGTGGAAGTCGGGTATTTGGGTGTTGCTGTAGGTTGGATACGTTAGAAGATGATGTACATTGAATGTGTCGTGGCGATAGTTTTACTGTGCTGCGAAAGACCTGCATATGCATAGAAGTTAGAACAGACATGTCTCGATGGCAGATGCGATATCTAACCCCATGAACCACATTTCATGGAGGAGGCCATTGGCATTATAACCAAGGATAATACAAAAAAACGTCACATTAAGTTAACCTTTTACGACAATGACCTGCGGGGGACTACTATACCTACATGCCTAGTGGGTAAAGCCGCACGACCCTAGGTATCCTAAGAAATGATGCTTGACGGCAATGGCTCAAGTAGGTCCACGACAGAGAAGAAGCCATCATCAAACTTTATGTAACAGTGAAACTTACCTCTCTTTTCCCAATTCCAGAAAATCGGGACGAGAAGCACGAACGGATGCTGGACTTGTCGTCTGAGACGCAAGAAATGCGATGAAACACATCCATTCTGTCAGGCGTGTACCAGCCTTCATATCGCTTGCCACGGCTACGGACCGAGACCACCGTGGATGGATCGTGGACCGCGTGAACGCGAAACGGCGGATAAGGTCAAGAGCGCCATCGCACAGAATGCCATGAGGAAAAGACGTTTCCGCCCCGATAGTGATTTCTCCGTTGCGTCTACAACGACACATGCCGATACGGAAAGGGATAGCTGTGGTAGCAGCCAATCATCGCCGACTTATCTTCTTGCTCCTCAATCTGCGACATCACCAACCCAACCCGAACAGTTGAAGCAGCAGACTTTCTCGAATCCAGCGATTTCTGCCCCGTCAGAGCCTGGATTTCAACCCAACAACATACTATCCTACCACGACTTCACGGCTCTGTCGAAGCCTTGGCAAAACCAGGGGTCCTCTAGTTTAGATGGAGTGGACTTAGCCCTGTCGCCACTGGAGCTCTTCTCGCCCTCCGCCATGTCACTGGACTGTAATTCGGTGGAGTGTGAGATGTCCCTAAATTTCCTAGACCATGAACCCAATGGCCAGGAATCCACACATACGTTCAATCTCGAATCGCGGAATACACAGCAGGACGTGGAAAATTCCAATGCCTTGGTAGCTTGTATAGGGGCCAATCAAATCGAGGCCTCTAAACCCCCACAGGGAAACCTAATGTCCAGACGAGTGAGCGTGCCTTGGTCAATCACCTCAACCACTACTGCTACGGATAACACTACGCCGTCGAGTTGCTGTAGCGGGGCGCTTCCCCAATCCGATACGGGAATTTGTGAGTTTTCCGCAGAGAATTCTCTTCTAATTTCATATTACACCAATGAGGTGATTCCGATACAGTTCCCGTTCGGCCTGGATAATGTACTGTGGTTGCAGTTCATACTGTTCCGAGCTAGACCTGTGATGGAGATATCAATAATTCTCAGCCGCGCGGTGTATCTCTCTAAGGAGAGCTCAGGACACTTGGAACCAACGGAAGGTGGTTACGAGCAGCATATTGGCCAAGCGATGGCTTCTCTAAAGACGCTGCCCTCGCCGACGGCTACTATGTCTCTTCTCGATGAGGACCGCAGGACGTCTCAGGTGATTGCCGCATGTACGGCTCTTGTGCAAACTATTCACCTCGAGGTATGACTAGAGCTTTTTGGAATAGTCCCCGTATATTCGAGATACGAGAACGCTAATATGCATGTCAGATTTTTTATGGTGGATCAAAGCACTGGAAGGACTGTCTAGTGCAAGTGAAACCGTACGTGCGGACGCTCATCGACCTGGCGGTCGCCGAGGAATCTTCGTCAGTGTCTACAATCTCAGGATTTGTCCCCCAAATTCATCGCGCCGCCGCAAAGGCATTGCTCGGGAAGCTAGTTTGGTTTGATGCGATAGCGACTGTGTCTATAGGCCAGGGACCGTTCCTCGGAATCGACCACAGCTATCTTCTAGGCACAGAAACCATCGACGTGGGCGCTGTATCTGGGTGCCAGAACGAGGTGGTCAAGGCGCTATGTGAGATCGCCAAGTTGAAGCAGTGGAAGACGCAGGCAGAGAGCCAAGGATGCCTAAGCGTGATGGAATTGGCAGCGCGTGGTGGATCTCTAGCCCAGTCTCTGGATAGCCTGATCGACGGGCTAGAAGAACCGAATCTTGTAGAAGTGAGTTCACCGGATGCGGTCAGGATTGACTCAAGGCCGGGGAAATCCAGGGATGGATTCTCGCACGTCGCTGACCAATGGAAGCAAGAGGCGAAGAGCGAGATCACGGCAGCCTTTGCGCGGGCAGGGGTAGTCTACCTGCATGTTGTAGTATCGGGGCCAAACCCGCAGCTAGCTGAAATAGGGGCTGCGACTACCGAGCTGGCTACATCGTTAGAAAGCTTGGCGGAGAATCGGATGATCGAGCATGCTTCTTGGCCCCTGTGTGTGGCTGGCTGTTTTCTAGCCGGAGAAAGCGAAGGGAGGCTGGGGAACCTAGTAGATTCTGCACGGGATCAACGCTCGACCTGCATGAGACAACACCCCTCAGCATTGTCAGCGAGCTTGGATATCGCACAAGAGTGCCGAAGGATGAGGAAACAAGAGGCGAGGCACTGTGACTGGACGATGGCAATGCAGAATTTAGGGATCCGCGTCCTATTGGGTTGAAACACGGATGATTTCCTCCAGTACCTACCTTGGACAATTCACGTGTTTAGATCTGAGGTGAGACGAAAATAAGAAATGTGTATGCGTATGTATGTATGTATGACACAGGGGAAAATTAATTAAGAGGTAGGAAGTAGACGGTGTGAGTGAGATTGATGGATGTGAAGATGTGAGCAGTAACTTTTGACGGGCGGTTACGCTAGGACTAGATTAGCTAGCGTTAGCGCTTTACAGCGGGGTATAATGCAGATGGCCCTGTAGATCTTGGAAATCTTCAATGTTACACAGATTACGTACATGATGTAATTCCGCTTTCGATCTGAGACATTTTGATTAAGTAAAGCCATGTTTGAAAATTTCCAGGTAGGTACCATGAGTGCAGGCAGGGCAGGCACCAACAACGACACGTTGGCTAAGCCAGATACACTTCGAAGTTGGGGTAGGTCATAAGCAACGCTCCCATTTCAATCTACTGGTGCACTTTCAACATCATTTTCATCATGTTGCCTTTAGCTCTTTCACCTTGATTTGTACATCTATGTGAGTGAGCATCGTATTAGGTAATGGCCACAACTGGAAGTAATCGTTGTTCGCCTGGGAGCGACCGGGCATTCGGACCCCGAGTCGACCCCGACTGTCGCTCCTTCGACTTCACCCTCCAATTCGAGGATATTTTCTTCGCGTGCCTGCCAGCTGCGGTCTTCTTAGCGCTCCTGCCTGCCCGTATTACGGCATTGCTGCTCCCCCATCTCCGGCGGAACTCACCCGCCGGCACCCCTGTCGTCTTTCCTCTCCGCTCTAAACTCTTAGCGATTAAGCTCGCCGCACTTGCCGGCTTACTAGCTGCTCAATTAGCGTTCCTAGCTCTCCGGATCCGGCATCCGGCATTCGCTACGAACGCTTCGCTTGCTTCCGACATCCTGAGCGCCGTAGCAACCGTCGCAGCCTTAGTCCTGTCATTCGCGGATCATACGCGTGCATTGCGACCCTCTACACTTCTCGGCCTTTACCTCTCCGTACTAGTGGTACTTGGTATCCCGCGAACGCGTACTTTCTGGCTATTGCTACATCCCAGTAGCGCCAATGAGGACCGTTCCGTTCCTGCAGTAGCCACTCTTGTCTTTGCCCTGACTAGCGTAGCGTTACTATTGGAGTCTATTGAGAAGAAAATAGATATCGCAATAAGTTCGGCTCCATCTCAAGCTCGAAGCGATGACGAAGGGGCCAAAGACGAGGATTCTCCTGTCAAGGCTAAAACTCTAGCGCCTGAACAGAGGAGCGGAATATGGACTCGAACTGGCTTCACCTGGCTTGCTGCCACGTTCCGCGCTGGTTATACTAGGATCATTACGCTGAATGACCTTCCGCCTCTCGATACAGGGCTCGAAAGCGGACAGCTGGGGAAGACGCTCGAGGCAACTTGGACTCGCTGTATGTAATATTTGTTATAATCTCTTAGCTGGTTCGGAGATAAAGTCGTTTACTGACGTCCCTACTCGTAGATAACCCCCAGGCTAAACATAGCCTTCTTCGCGCATGCTTCCAAGGCTATCTGTTCTCGCTCCTATCGGCCGTCGTACCTCGGCTCTGCCTGACAGCATTCACCTTCGCGCAGCCATTCCTAGTCGACACAACTGTGACGTTCGTCGGCCAAGAAAATCCCGATTCTAACTATGGGAAGGGTCTAATTGGTGCGTGGGCTCTTGTTTACCTAGGTGTAGCGGTAAGTTCTCAACGTCGGCCTCCAATAGTTCCACCCTTTTATCCAAGAACAAATGACTCATACAACTTCGCGCAGGTTTCTACTTCCATATACCAATACCAGAACTTCCGATTTATAACTAGGATGCGGGGTGGTCTCATTGCGCTTATTTACGCCCGAACGGTCTATAGACGAACAGCTGACAAGGGAGAGACCACTGCGATGGCCCTCATGAGCACGGATGTAGAAAGGATAGTGACTGGGATGCAGTTATTCCACGAGACCTGGGGTTCATTGGTGGATATTGCCATTGCTAGCTGGCTTCTTGGCTTGCAGATGTCCGTTGCTTGTCTCGCCCCCATAGTCCTCATTATCAGTAGGTCATCAACCCTCATGATTAACTCATAAGCAACGTCACTAAACAGCAGTACTGTCATCTAGTATTTATCGCCGCTACATCCAAGGTGTCTATGGGGGCCCGAACTGCCCAAGTTCAATGGATCGAAAAAGTCCAAGAGAGACTTAAGGTCACATCCAACTTCCTAGGGAATATGAAGGCTGTCAAGATGCTCGGGCTCTCGTCTGTGATGTCGTCGACCCTTCAAAAACTCCGAATGGATGAGGTAAACACATCCAAGGCATTCAGAAAACTCTTGGTTTGGACATTACTACTGTGTTCGTTGATTCGAGCCCCATGATATGGAATGATGTTGTCGCTAACAATTATATACAGCTCTTACTCCTATCAACCTTGCACCCGTTGTTACTTTCGCCGTATATGTAATAATAGCGATCTTCTGGAAGAACCAATCCCTCCTAGCTGCGCAGGCTTTCACCTCAATCGCCTTGATCAGTCTGCTGACGACCCCAGTGGTTATCTTCATCCAAGCACTTCCACAAGTTTTCCAATGTATCGGAAGTTTTGAGCGTATCCAGGAATACTGTAACAATGCGACGAATTCTGATACGAATGATCATGACTCAGTGCACAGCGATTCAAATAGCGCTCCTCAACGTCTTTCATCGCCGAAAGGCAGCGAAAAACACGCCCACATAGTAGAAAACAGGCTTGTTTCCATACAAGGCCAAAGTTTCGCATGGGCCAAAGACAAGCCAGCCGTATTGAAGGATATCAACGTGAATATTCATGAGGGAGGAGTCACGGCGATCGTAGGACCTGTCGGAAGCGGAAAGACGGCTTTCCTCAACAGCTTACTGGGTGAAATGATCACACTAACTCCGGCTCCCGGAGATAACCCTCAAGAACATAGTAGAATTCGCGGGGCAATAGCTTACTGCGCACAGGCGCCGTGGCTCGAGAACAAGACGGTACGTCAAAATATCATTGCCGTATCGGCTTATGAGAAAAAGTGGTATGACAATGTGACGTATGCCTGCGGCCTTGATCCCGACTTACGCCAACTACCTGGACGCGACCTTACCAATGTTGGGAGTACAGGCCAGAACTTGAGCGGTGGTCAGAAACAACGCATCGTAAGTTAAATATTTTTCCACCGACCCTTTGAGATAGGTAATTTGCTAAAACAGTTTCATGAACTTCTTAGGCCTTAGCCCGCGCTGTTTATGCTGGGCATAAAGTCGTTGTTCTCGATGATGTCTTCAGTGGTATGGATTCCGGCACCGCGAGTCTGGTAGCATCACGTCTTCTCGGCCGCGATGGCCTTCTTAGAAAACGCCAAGCAACTGTGGTTTTAGCTACACATAACAGTATGTTATGTCGAATAACGGAGAAATCAACACTGACTCAATTATCATAGAAAATATCATGGTGCTCACGGATTCTATAATTGTGTTCAAGGACGGCAGTATAATAGAGACTGGGAGCCCCACAGAACTCTTGCAAGGCGACGGCTACGTCAGCAAACTTGGAATTTCTATGCAGCCCGAGTCCAATGCTGAGAATACCGAGGATAACCCTGATGCTGATAACTCCGAGTTGACCCGCGAGACTTCTCGGCTATCAACCCAAATGGCTGAGGAGACAAACAAGTTACTCACAGATATTCGACGAAAGCACGGAGATTTGGCCGTCTACAAGTACTACTTCACCAATGCGGGTTACCTCGCAGTCGGTATGTATCTGGGGTTTGTGACTCTCTGGATGTTCTGCACAGAGTTCTCGAGTAAGTATTGCGGTATCGTTTTGGTCAAGACACAATACTAACTAGTCGAAGCTGTTGTGGTGAACTGGTGGTCTGAAGCAAATGCGATTGAGCCCAACAAAGATGTAGGGTTGTATATGGGAATATATGCGATGCTCGGTGTTCTTGGAGTTATCGGTGCTTCCGTAGCAGCTTGGTGAGTTACAGGCACGTTATTTGAGTGGGGGGATGTTAGCTAACAAAACTGGTGACAGGTTCGCAATAATCTCTATAGTATCAAACACGGCAGCCAATCTTCATGCTGATTTACTTGAAGCCGTAGTCAAGTAAGCCCGTCGCTTAATTACTGTTATAATATTACAGTATATTAACCATTTCAAATAGGGCGCCATTCCGCTTCTTCGCTTCTACGGATAGCGGTGAACTCCTCAATCGGTAAGTAGCTCTTCTGATATGTCATTGTGGTCTAGACAATGCTACTTTTTATTTGCCGTGACAACTAATTCTTCATTGTTATCATGCATTAGATTTAGCCAAGATATGGAACTCGTAGACATGGAGTTACCCCTAGTGATGGTGAATTACACGTCCAGTTAGTATTCCCAGTCATCAATACTTTGCCCGAAATCTCTTCAAAGACTTACTAACCTGCGTATGATAGCTGCTGTATCTATCGTGATCAAGGTCGTAATCCTCGCGATCTTCTCCAAATACCTCGGCGTAACGATCCCCTTCGTAGCTCTAGCCGTTTACTTCCTACAACGATTCTACCTACAGACATCGCGACAAGTGCGTCTTCTCGGAATCGAAGCCCGTGCCCCGCTATATACGCACTTCGGTGAAACGACCGATACCGCTGAAGGCAGCGCGACAATCCGCGCATTTGGCTGGCAATTGCATTACCGCCATCGCAATTACCAGTTGGTCGACGACTCTCAGCGACCCGTCTATCTCCAGAGCTGCATCCAGCACTGGCTTGCGTTTGTATTGGACTTGCTGGTGGCCGCGCTAGCTGTGGTGCTGGTAGCCGTTGTTGTCACATGGCATGATCGCTTCTCCCCGGGTAGCGTCGGTGTGAGTTTGCTCGTCGTGGTGCGCTTCAGTGAGACCCTTGCGCGTCTAATACAGAATTGGACGAAGCTCGAGTCAAGTGTTGGGGCTGTCGCTCGTGTCAAACGGTTCGTGGCAGATACGGAGACTGAAGAGGAAGACAAGCCGGAGGCCGGGGCTGCGACAGACTCTCAGCTGCCTCCGGATTGGCCAAGTAATGGTGCGATCAAGTTTGTCGATGTCGCCGCTTCATACGGGTAAGTTGTTTTTAATTTCTTTGCTGTGTCCCCTCGTCTTTTTCGCATAGTTAGGCCTCCAAGTATAAGGATCTTCCCACGACGGAGGCGAACGAAATTAGAAACTTAAAGACTAATAGACATCGCAATAGGCCCACCGTAGAGCCAGCACTAAAGAACATCTCCCTATCTATTGAGTCTGGCCAACATGTAGCCATCTGCGGGCGCACTGGTAGCGGCAAGACATCCATGCTACTTGCGCTATTGCGGATGCTGGATGACTCGTCATCTCAAGGTCGAATTGAAATCGACGGCGTCGACATCACCACCGTAAATCGCGCCGACCTTCGCGCACGTATCAACGTCATACCTCAAGACCCGTTCTTTGTTCCAGGAACCCTGCGCTTCAATATGGATCCTATTTCTTCTAATTTTACTCTAGCCTCCGACGCTTCTCGTGCTCCAAGTAGCAGCGATGGAGAGAAGGTTAACGACAAGATGATTCACCGCGCATTGGAGAGAGTGGGCCTTTGGGACTCTGTCAACACACAGGGAGGTATAGATATCTTGCTAGATCCAACATCGTGGTCTGCTGGCCAGAGACAGCTGCTATGTCTTGCCAGAGCTATGGTGCAACAGTGGAAGAAGAGTAGCAAGGGTGGCATCTTGGTGCTCGATGAGGCTATGAGCAGGTGAGTACTCAACCATCAACCCCCACTTTACCTCCTTTCCCCATAAGCCCCATATATTACCCGTTTTCCTAAATATCATACATAACATGCTAATAACAGCCTGGATGACACCCAAAACAGCGTTGACGATGAGACCGAGTCTATCATGCAGGAAATAATTGATTCCGAATTCAAAGAGTGCACTGTCCTAGCCGTTATGCACCGGCTACGTCACGTACCGCGCAGTTACGATGTAGTCGCACTCCTCGACTCCGGAGAGCTACTTGAGTACGGTACTCCGGAAACACTCATGGAGGGAGATTCGAAGTTTAAGGAACTGTATCGTCTACATGGTGATACTTAAAGTCGTAGAAATAATCTGTAGCTAGCCACCAACAAGAGTTAGCCGGCCCCATCTATATAGCTATTATTGTCTAGGCACCGTAAAGACATCCGCCTTTGCTTGTGTACCCTCTTTATCCCCCTTCTCTTCAAAAAGATGAGTTGAACCAAGGGAAACTACGTAGGCAAACGGATCGATAAGCGGAGGGCAGGTGCAGATTCCCGGTTAGATACTAGGTAGAAAGAATGGGGCCGGACCGAAGAAACCCCATTATTTTCTTCCCGGACCCCGAATAGTGTCCGCTAACCCGCCGAATCTTTTTTTGCATAGTGATTTAGGCTAATTCTCAATAGGGTTGCGCTATTATTACAGGGAGTATACCGTTACAAGCCATTATAAATACCCTAAGTTTTAGTGCGCATCCTCGCGAAGTAAAGTGCTAGGTAGCCCTGCAATTTTCAACACTCTAGGGCTCCTACCTCCAGGGCTACTTCGTACCTATAAATGAATTTAGGAAATCCGACGTTACCTACATACTGATTTTTTATAAGCGAGCATCTGAGTATAAAGCTACCTCATCAATGCATAACTAGGTAGAATATAGGTAGGTAACTCTAGTGATATCAAGTTAGTAGGAAATTGAATGCAGCGATCATGAGCCATAGGTGATAAAAAGTGGTTGATGTCAAGATAATTACCTACATTGGTTGAAATATTTGAATCACGTAGAAATGTATTCACTGTTGCCTAGGTAATGATTACAGTAATGGATGCCCTAAGTTACAGCGTGCTCCCGTTTAAGAGTAGACTGTGGAAATCAACGTGCGAAAGGAATCTAGCGGGTTGGCGGATAGATAACCGCCGCATCCAATAAGGCCACATTCAGCTTCGCGGATTCATTTCATTCGCTTTAGGAGTTAGCTGCGATCACTTGTAGCGATATGGAAATTCTACCTACTGCATTCGGTACGGCTTCCGAGAAGTTGGTGAGGACTTGTTTTTCTCATACGCGACGCCATTTTCGGGATAGCACCGGACTGAGTTTGCAGATACGCCTAAGTAGGATCTCCGTAACCTGATAATAGGCGGTGAGACCAGGGACTGTCCACTGGAGCTAGTACCTATTTCCATTAGCACGACGGGTGGAAGCTTAGTTATCGCCCACATCTTTCTCAAAAGCAGTATATAATAAACGCGATATGGCAGTATTACAGCTCTCAGAATGTCTGATCCTCAGTAGACTGAATAGGATATACGAGAGGAAAAGCCTCGGGTGTTTGATGCCATCAACTCTCATTCATACCTCTATTGAGAAATTTTATCAAGAATGGTTGGTGGCGTAAAACCCCTCATTGTTGTCCTAATCCGCGTCGCTGTAGTGGGGGCAAATAGTGTAAGATACACGTCTGTTACAACAAAATTAGGGGACTCATACTGATAAAACTTACAGTTGGCGCAGTGCAAATACTTGCCTAGCGACGTCAACTGGCCTTCTCAAGATGAATGGGCTGCTTTAAATAACACAGTCGGCGGTCGATTAATCGCCACCATCCCTCTTGGGTCGCCATGTCATGATCCTACATACGACGAAAAGCTATGCGCTTCTTTGCAGGACCAATGGCTCTATTCTGGTATACAGTAAGCACCTCTCTGCATCTACCTTAGATACCTACATATTTACCTCAATTTAGTCTGGAGTCGTCTTCATCTGTGATGGCACCCATATTCGCGAATCAGAGCTGCGACCCTTGGCAACCCCAAAGCAAGCCATGCACTCTCGGCAACTATGTTAGCTATTCAGTCAACGTATCTAAGCCAGATGATGTTATCGCTGCGCTCAACTTTTCCAATAAGAAGAATGTGCGATTTGTCATCCGTAATACCGGTCATGATTACTTAGGTAGATCGACAGGAGCCGGTGCGCTTTCAGTCTGGCTTCATCACTTAAAGAGTACTGAGGTTTTGGATTGGATTGATCCGTATTATAATGGCAAGGCTTTAAAAATTGGAGCTGGTGTATTAGGATACGAAGCTCTTGCGGCAGCGGATGCGTCTGGGCTCGTTGTGCTAACAGGCGAATGCCCTACAGTGGGAATCGCAGGGGGGTACACCCAAGGCGGAGGCCACTCAGCGCTGAGCTCCAACTTTGGCTTAGCCGCCGATAACACACTATCCTTTGAAGTGGTCACGCCCACTGGGGAGCTATTGACAGCATCAAGAACAGAAAATCAAGACCTCTACTGGGCGCTTAGTGGCGGGGGTGGGGGTAATTATGGCGTTGTCATCTCTATGACCGTCCAAGCCCACCCGGATAACATGGTGAGCGGCGCATCATTCCAAATTAACGGTTCAGACGAGGACCCGAACCAAATATTCGACGCGATAGACGCCTTCCACGCCGCCCTACCCGAGATCGTCGACTCCGGTGTAATGATTATCTACTTCTTCACAAACACATTTTTACAAATTCCAGCCATGACAGCATACAATAAGTCCTTAGAAGAAGTCGAGCAGATCCTCGAGCCTCTTACTAAATCGCTCTCAGCTATAGGCGTCTCGCTAAAGCCTAATTTCACAGAGTTTCCAAGCTACTACGATCATTATAATAATTACTGGGGCCCCCTTCCACAAGGCAACATTCAAGTCGGCACCCAGCTCTTTGGAGGACGTCTCATACCACGCTCAGTACTCCCCGACTTCTCATCAACCGTGCGCAAGATCGCAGAGATGGGGGTGGTATACATCGGCGTGGGCCTCAATGTCTCTCAATTTGGACAGGGTAAGGCCAATGCGGTACTACCCCAGTGGCGCGAATCGATTGTTCACGCGGCTCTCACTTTGCCGTGGAGCTTTCAAGTTCCATTTGAAGAGAACGTCGAGACACAACTCAATATGACCAACAAGGTGCAGCCTGTGGTCGAAGCGGCTACCCCAGGTGCAGGAGCTTACATGAACGAAGCCGACTTCCAACAGAGCAATTGGCAAGAGACGTTTTTCGGGGCGAATTACCCAGAATTGAGGAGAATTAAGGCGAAATATGATCCTGATAGTCTCTTATATGCCACAGTTGGTGTTGGTAGTGAAGCTTACACCGTCAGCAAAGATGGACGGATGTGCAGTGCCGTCAAGGCATCTCCTGAATCTGTTGCTGAAATATAGCTATCTAATTGAGACCTAGGTACACCTAATTAGCTGAACATGAAATCTATAGCCACTGATCCATAGGCCCTCTCCCTCTGAAGGATTCACACCTCTTCGTTTGCGACCCCGCTTCTGTAAGCAAGCAATGGAGATAGTTACCTACTAGGTACCTAGGTACCTAGGTAGAACTAGAAGCATTCACGAATCACACCTCCTTTCCAGCTTTCTTTTGTATTTCTCGCCATTCATCTTCCAGCATACTGAAAAGTATATGGTCATGCCAGCTGCCATTAAACCACATGAACTCGCGTTGTCTCCCTTCTTCGGTGAATCCCAGCTTCCTGTATAACTTCTCGGCGCCCGTGTTGAACGAGAGGGCACTAATTTGGATGCGATGCAACCCTGCCATTTGAAACCCATACCACAGCGCCCACCTAATTGCTTCGCCGCCGTATCCTTTTCCACGGTACTCCTTTGCGATATCGATGCTGATATCCGACCATCTATGGTGTGCGTAATTCTGTGGGTTTGACTTGAGGCATACGATACCGACTCGACTTCCAGCATTTACGTTCGTAAGTGGTTCCCGAGAATCGTACGGTAGACAAATAATAGCTCCAAGAAGACATTTTTCAGCTACATGCTTCTTGAACTCGTCGCTCGTCTTCATGCTCTCTGGGCGCAGGAGTCCATAACTAGAACCGGATTGCGCTTCTGCGTCGCTCTGGATAGAGTTTACAAACGACTTATCCTCGATTGTATCTTCAACAGCACGGTATATGAGCAGCTCTGAGTGAAAGGGGTTAAAGGGTTTTGTGGTAGACATTGTTAGGATAAAGTTATGATATCTAGGTAATAACAATGAAGATGCGATGAGGGTGAGCTTAGGTAGGGTTAAAGTACCTACTTAAGTCTACGCAAACGAACCTCCCTGTAAATAAGACAGACATACCAACTTCCAGTTTTGTCTCGCCGAAATTATAGCGCACTTAGTCATGCATTCACCATCAATAATATACGGAATTGAAGACCTCTTCTACCCGATTAAGAAGCGATGGCAGGGGTTTCTATGGTGTGTTTCTAAGCAAAGTCGCGGGGAACAACGGAGATAAGAATGTCAGCAGGAATTATCTCCACATCTCTACGGTGTGTAAAAGGCTGGAAACCGTCAAACCGCCCCCAAAAACATCCCCCAGGGTTATTATAATAGGGGACTTGGTACTGCTCAGTGCTATGATTATAAGGGAGTTTAATTAGTGCTCAATTATTGAGGTTTGACCAAGTAAATTGCATTACTATTTTTCTATTCACTCTTTTCAACAAAGGTTCGACAACAGCATAAAACAAGGCCTTATAAGTACCTATATCTACAATACGCGACTTTTACTTACTGTAGGGACCTACCTATATAGAATTCGCATCTATGATATAGATGGAGCCGTTGTTGAACAGAGTGCGCTGAGTCTCGTATTTTTACAGGGGGGGTTAGCGGCAAAATACAGAGTGTGTAGTGTAAACGCCACTCTAGCGCTAATGGATTTTCTTAGATTTTAGGTCAATTTAGTTTAGCAGTTTATTCACTGTCGCATAAGCTAATAGCGCTTCAGGGGTAACCAACATTGAATCTAGCAGTTCAATTGTACCTATTCTTGCTATGGTTGCCCCCGTTAACAACCCTCAGCAAAATGGCCCATGTATTTAACGGCCTACTGTACCTATAATTATTAGAAACCGAAATGTCGCAACGTCTTTAAGCCTTGGCTTATATATCCATCCAACTTCTTGAATTTCCCGATTCCATAAAAGCAAACTGCTCTACTTAAATTCAAATAGCTATTAAGATGTGTTAACAGAAATACCCTCCACAGAGCTTCCAAGGTTAACAAAAAACAGATACTGGGCAACGAGCACTCACCTTATCCCCAGTAAGCGAGATGAATGATATCTCCGATGTATCTGCCGAATTTTCTGCATTATCTTCTATATGTTCCCAATCCCCCTCGTCAACATATTCCATTGCCATGCGTAGTTGTTTCCAGCTATCCTCGTGTTGCGCTTGTATCGAAAACGGTTTTCCTGGTTGAACAATCAATGTTGGGATTTTAACCTCACACCGAGCATCAAAACGATCTGTGAGCGAAATCCTGCCCCTCGTTGGCTCCCATCTCACCCACATGGGATCCGATGCAATGGTATTCGTATTGGCAGACCCATTACTAGTGTTCGAGGGTCGTAGAGAAAAGCCGTACCCTGCATTCAGTTCTTTATCGTCTGGCCTAGCCGATACAGGTATGATGTCGAACAACGTTTCTATCCGGCCAGGTTTACCTACACGGACTCTCCCCTCGTTAGAGGTAGGATTCCACGGTAGATGAAGGTGCATCGCGTAGGTGTCATGCCCCCGATAATGAAGCGACTTGTTGAACCAGCCAATGTTCACCCATTTAAATATGGTATGCCACACACTGGGGTTCAATCTCGACCCCCTGTTCCCTTGTCCCTTCCTTTCCGAGCCATAGTTACTTGAGAAAGATATTAGAATTCATCGAGTTTTATAGCAAAAACCGTACTAAAGGAATTAGGGTAGTGAACTTACTGTATCGCTACTACAGTCTCAACCCCGCGAAACCCTATCCAGACAGGGCCGCCACTCATACCTTGCATAGTATCGGCTGTATAGTGTAACTGTTTAGACATCGCCCGGATACACTTTCCATCCGATCTCCTCGGATCTTGAGGAGGATAATCCCCTGGCATATATCCACTGACGTATACCACACTGTCCTGTAGTATGTCTTTTTCCCCTCTTCCAGTAGAATATGTGCTCCCTCCTCGAAGAGGCGCAAGCCCTAACATAAGGTTGAATCCGAATCCGCGATGACGGTCCTTTTTACCCCTCTTCAAAAGAATGACTCCATAATCAAATATAGCGTTGAGTTCATTGGGTTCTTTGAAATAGGTCTGGCATACGCGAATCATTTCATGCGTTACCGGAATATCGTTTTTAGTGTGAGGGTCGTGGACAATTCTAATATTAGAGCAATAATGCTCGGGTTTGTCGACGAGGTTGTGTCCAGCCGTCAGAATAACGTCAAAGTTGGGGTTAGGAACGTTAACGTAGAAACCATTTCCATGCTGTTCCTCTTTTACAAGTGTATGCCAAAGCCTTTTGTCAGTTTATGTCATCACAGATAGTATGAATTGATCTACTTACTTCCCAACTTGTCGAATGTTAATTTCACCACCCATTTCTCCCACCGACGTACAGGTGTAGTGAGATCTATTCCAAAATGCTCCGGTATTGGTGGATCACCATTCTTTTGCTTAGAATGTTGTATGTCGGTTGTAACTTTAATATCTCTTATATCCATACCATCGGGCTGTGTATCCATCGCCATAGCTTCCAACTTAAAGTATTATATTCAAGATAGGCATCAATGATTTCGGAAATCTGATCGAAAATAAGCTGAGTACTGGGTAAATAAAGCGAATATGGGAATAGATTTGTTATGAAATAATATCAGTTTCAAAGCTGAAGAAAAGGGGGCCTAATTCTACCCGAAGCCGTGTTTGTGACGTGGCTCTATTCCCAACACGAAGCACCAACTTGCATATTTCCATGCACGCCTATGGAGTGTAAAAAGTCCATAGTGTCTACGTACTAGGTAGGTAGGTACTAGGCAGGTACGTAGTATGCAACGTTAGATTATCCCCGATGAATGCTATGAACTATGCTACACCTAATACCATACATCATTCTACAGAGACGGTGGACTTTGATCCCCTCACTTACAGCATCAATACCAGATTGTAATCTTCCTCTTAGATGCCTTCACTTTGCGAGCACCTCGCCACTTGACCCTGAATCCAGCCTGAGCCTTATCTGAAGGAATCAATCTACCGTTAGTCTCCACATTTCCCAGACAAATCTTCCCTTTTTCTCCATCTACATTCCACAAGGACCCCCCAGTTAAGAAGTAGCTCTGAAAACTCCCTGTATCGAAGTCCTTAGTAACACAGAAGTTGTCAACGATGGTATCAAACTTTGTGTTGTGGAGTACATTGGCTGATTCATGTAAGGCAAGACCCCCTAAGTTAGCAATATATTCTAATGATAAAATGTTCGAATACAGAACCTCACCTTTCCATACCCCCGCATCTAGGTCAAGCACTAGGTAACCAATACCGGCGCCTTCCTCGATATAGAAGAGGTATACTATGTCGTCGATAACTTCAAGGCGCTGTGGCGTCCCTGAGATGGGGTTACCAGCTAGGGGGCCAAACGCTTTCCACTCTTCACCCGCGCCCATTATGCCGGCTAGGCGACCGTTTACATCTTGATAAGAGATCACGATCTCATCCTCAGGGCCAATTGTTGCGCTCAATTTGCTCTGGGGGTTTGTTTCAATGTTCCACTTGTCCCCAAGAGGTGTTTCCTCCCACTCTTCGATGTCATCGTTATATGCAGAGCATTGTATAGCATTGTCTTGGTCGATAAAAACAACGAGACGCTGTTGGTGAACATCGGGTGTTGCATTAGTATAGGTAGGTTAAGAGCCAATAGTTGCTTGTGGGGACTTCGCTTAACGTACAAGGTCTTGTTCGATATTAAGTAAATACGAAGCCGTGGTATTATCCTTCACGTTTGAAGCAATCACATTCTCGTTCTGGATAACATCGCCCACCCAGTGTTTCTCAACAAGGTAACCGTCCCTGACGCTAAGGGTGTAGATACCTTCACCCTTATTATCTGGAAGATTTACCGAGCCAGCAGCAACAAGAGAACGGGCAAGATCTTGGGCGCTCATGATTTGAAAAGTAGGAGGAAGATAGGTAAGTAAGTTGATGATTTCAGATTTTCAGATTGATTTACTTACTAAAAGACTGCCCACCAGTGACTCCCAACCGTGTCCCTTTATAGCGAACGCACCCAAGCGTCAAATCCAACTTCACAGAACTCCAAGGGAAATATCGCGATACCAGAAAACCTGAGGCTCTGCCGATTTGCGTGGGGGTACGTCTAAATTCACGCTAGATTCACTGATTGGTGTAGTAAGAGCTGAATATCTCCACTGGCATTCCCCTTTTAGGCAAGATATTGAAGCTGAAAAGCGTAGCGCATGTAACGTAGATCTTACACACGTCATAATAGGAATCTCTTCAACACGCTCTCCAATCTTGTTCGGGCACGATTAGGTGTAAATGCAATGACGATAGCCACTAGACAGATACACTTTTCGCGACGGTCTGGGATGAAAGTCAGTCAGTTTGAAGTTGGCCTATAGCGTCCAAGGCGCGAAAAGTTGGCATTTACTACGTGGACATCGTCGGGCATCATGTCGCTCATCAGGCGCAACGTGCCCCATTTTGATCAAATCGTAACTCTAGCTTCGATCCTACAAAATGAAAATTCTTCGCACAAGATCAAAAACACTTTCATCTTCCACTTGGCTCGATGCGACATTCCACCTGCAATACCCCAAGCTGCGGAAAATCGCGGCCACGTGTGCACGCAATGGAAAATCTATCTCAGGCTCCTTCTATCAGAATTATCGCCGCCTCACCCATCCCACCCTGCTACACCGAGATCGACGACTAGTACCAGTGTATAGGTTGCATCGCTGATTCACCTCGACATTCTAGCCTACATGAGACGGTAGCTTAGATCGCAAAGTTGGCTTAAGTGTAAGTGCCATGATAGAAACTGGCTTCCTGCCCGACCAAGCATTCTTTGCCTTGGATACGCATTAGAGAATCAGGCTCGGGAAATCTTGGGGGAAGACATGGGAAACCGGACGGGGGGAATTGCGCAAGTTGGTTGACGAGATGCGGCTCAAAAATCACCGTAGGTACTTAAGTACGAATTTATACCGAGTAGACACAAGATGATAGCTCCAGAGACCAATTCAAAACCCCATTTCAAAATTCTTCTTTTAAACAGCACTTAACTAATACCTTCAAAATGTCCCTTCACAGTGATGCTGCGATTGGAATCCTCACACAACCAGCGCTAGATGGCTACCTCAATTATCAAAAGATTGACGAGCGCAGCACCGAGACGGGAAAAGGCACCATTGGCTTGACCCCCCTTGCACTAGCTGCACGTAATGGCCACGCCGATGTTGTCAGGCTTCTCCTTGACAATGGTGCGGAAGTCGACGCTGTCTCATCCCAACAACGTACTCCTCTCTGGATCGTAACTTCTCGAGGTCAGGGTGATAACAGGGTAGAGATAGTCAGTCTCTTGTTAAGGCATGGAGCCAAGGTCAAATACTCTCATCCTGACCTCCAGAATGGGTCTACCCCTCTTGAGAATGAGCTGAAGCAGAGAAAGGAACCGGGGGTGATCCAACTTCTCGTACAGTATGAAGGCACGACAGAGACGGCACTGGAACTAGCTGCTCAACTAGGCCGCCCTGAGGTTGACGATGCTATGAGGCCCGCTAAGGACAGAAACAACTTCCGGGACGTCGTCATTGACCTTATCACGGCACTCATCCTCTTTATCTTGGCTTGGCTCAATAGCAGTGTCCTAACGGGAATTGCCAACAGTATGTTTGACAAGTTCCAGATTAGCGGTAACCGGACCAGTGCCATGGCTAAGAGGATCGAAGATGTACGTTTACATAGAAGCCCCTGAACCCCTGAACCCCTTTCTCTTATCATCGTTACACATCTAACTTTCTCTATAGGAGATACCAGCACCAAAAACAAAAGAAGAATTCCTAAAGAGTATCGGCGACTTTGTGGACAACCACAGATTGGGTAAATTCTTCAGCAAAGACAACGAGAGGTTGCTGGAAGATATCACATCCAAGGCTGTCGACCTACAGAACGATGAATGTTCGTTCTTAGGTGAACCAGAAAATACCGAAAACCTTGTGAAGGTTGCGCTTTACCAGCCTGTTATATATTGCGGTAATTCCCTCATTCAACTTTTCATTATTCTGGTACTGTGCTTGGATTATGTTAGCTCATAATGTCATCAGACGACAGCGGGTCAATGGACGCAAGGTGCAACCCTCAGAGAGAAGACCGCATAGAGGACCAGCGCCAACTAGTCAGGAGAATCGCGGCAATTTGCACCAAGATCGTACCTGATGACCTGGGTGTTCACCTGCGGTTTATCAACAATGAACCGCCTCACGCCAACGACCTGAACACAGACGCCATTAAGAGTATCATGTCTCAGGTGAAGCCATCTGGATTCACTGAGATCGGTACCCGTCTCCGCGAACGCATCCTAAACCCCTTGTTATATTCTCAGTATAACGACGAGGTAAAGAACATGAAAAGACCAATCCTTATCTCAATCATCACCGACGGGGTTCCGTATGGAGGAAAAGCGGGGTCGTCAGAAAGGCTCAACACACTCCAGGACGAGATCATCCAATGCCAAGATTACTTGCTTGAAATGGGCCTTCCACCGCGTGGTAAGTCACTTGTCACACGTCCTACTATTTCTGTCTGGCCGTGCTAACTTTTTCTTAGCTGTGGTCTTCCAGATCAGCCAGATCGGCAGTGACCCGAGCTCCAAGGAATTCCTGCAGAAGCTGAAGGACCAAAATCTCGACAATGTGTACATCACCTCGCGTAAGTTCAACTAATCTCTAGCATGGTGTAGTAGGTACTCGAGCGCTAACATAACGCGCAGAACAACTTGACTCCAAATTCCGCGAGTTCAGGGACAACGAGAGAGATCTCGAGGCTTGGGTTGGTACCATTCTCTATCCCCAAAGTTGACTAATGAGGCTGACACATCTTCGTGCTCCAGTTATTCCAAACACTGCTCGAACCAATCTTGGACAGGAGAAGCGACTAGGCTACCAATGCATACCTAAGCTTTACCAGAAAGCCACTGGGAACAAGCTTTAACTAAGGGAGACCAAAGTATTACTGTAGGATCAGGGTAAATGATGGGATTGGACGAGAAGGTTTATTAACACGTCAGCCGACTTATGTCGGGTTCATTCGTTCTTGTAGTTCTAGTCGTTGCGGAAGAATGTTGTTATCGCGCGCGAGGAGTCTCGGCTTTTTTTCCTTTGTGTAAAAGTTCTTTCTTTGGAAACATTCGTTCTATGATACCTACCAATGTCAGTTTAGCATGTACTCAAAATACCATGTATTTCCTACCTACCTAGTTATAGTTTATGTAAGAAGAAACGTTCCAATCTGCCTGAAAGAGTCCAAATTCAGTGTACACGATGCTCTATAATACAGCGGGTATCAAACGCCACCCATGGTACTCATAGACCCGTGATCAACTTTCCAGGTATGAAAATCTTAGCGTATCAATTTGCGCCACAGGCTTCGTCTGTTGTCTCCAATGTTGCCATGTATCTCATCGCCGAAACTCCAAACAATGTATGATTGCCGAACGACCAAGAGCAGAAAATCATCGTCACCCACTAGCCTCCGAACTCCGCGAATTAGAGGCGGGTATATGCTGGCCATGTCGGTTGAGTTCGTCTTAAGAGGGCCATTAAAATCAAGCACGAAGTCCGCATCCCACTCATCCGCATCGGACGTCATTCGCTGCCGACGTAAAGGACCATTTGACTTTGACCCACTAGTTGAGTAAAAGGGGGTGGGGCCGTATTTTTCATAAGAGTATGCGCCCCGAGCGCAGGGGTGGAGCGACAAGACCGTACCCCGCGAACTATCTGTGTCGCTTGCAGTTATTCGGTTATTCCTAATCTGATATACGCTTCCGTGGTTGTGGGAGTCTATGCGATGATAATGGGGAATCGTGAAGGATTTGGTATAGATGTTGAAGCACACGGATACGAGAATGCTACTGTTGGGAGGACACGTAGGCTCACGAGTCGTATCCGGTGTCTCAGATGCAGCATTCATCAAGCAATAACCACCAAATGAATCGACTTTCTCCCAGCGTAGATTGGAGAAGTCTCCGGGGTCCACGATTACGTCGGCCCATAGACTTCTGTCTAGGCGGTAGGTAGCAACAAGTTGACCGTCGCGGATTTCGTTCACGCGAAGTTCTTTCTGTGGGGCAGGATCGTACGTAATAACGAAGAAAACATTATCTTCAGTGGGGGAAATGATGAAATCGAGTAAAGTCCCGCTTCGGACAAGGCGCGAGCCAATGTTGTGAGAAGGAGTAAACTGTCCGAGGACAAAATTGTAAGGGTGAGCTGTGCCGACAGGTCCCTTGGCATAACAACCAGTGATGTCAATGTACTGCGGTTCTTGTCCAAAACGCCACAAAAACACCTCTGCGTTTCTTGTAACAACGAGGATTTTCTCTCCTTCAGTAATGCAGCGAACGAATTCCTCAGGTACCTGAGTAGAGTGAAGACGATCTAGCTCAAGATGCCAAGCATTCAAGGTCCTTCCACGCCCCATCAGAAGCAGCTTGTCGCTCATCGCAGTCTTATGGCCTTGTTTCTCCCCATCATTATTTGGGAATAGGTATGCCCTCCGCTTTCTTGTCCGTAAATCATCGACTACGGCAAGATAAGGAAGAACATACGCCTCCGGCCACCAGGCTATTCGACCGTTATCGTACATCATAAAGCGCGGGTAGTGAGTGGCATCAGTACCGAATTCCAATCCGTCCACATCTTCGTAAGAATGAACGCCTCCTTCTGCAAGTGGAACATCTTTGCTTAAGGTAAAAAGTTGGTCGCCTTCTAAGGACATCTCATGGTGCAAAGCAGAAGCAAACCTGCCACTCATTCGTCTTTGGATTTTGTGAAGTGCTTGGCGGAACATCTCATTCAAGTCTTGTCCCTCGGTAGCTGATTTACGTATGTGGTCCTCCAAACCCGGGAACCACCGTTGCGCGAGTTTCGGCCATATTTCATCGCTTAGCCAAATGGCGCGCCATTGGCGACAAACACTAAGACCAGCATCGATATCCTTTGGTTCCAAATGAGCGAGAATAAAGATATGCAACTCGAAGGGAAGCCGGCTGACTATGTCAGGTTTGGTGTTCTCGGTGTTTAAAATTCTTGGCGGCGTCTGCGCATTTTCCGGATGGTAAAGCCTTGTTAAGAGGGATTTCATAATAGCCATCCGACTTCACGTAATTGACTGTGAAGTTGCTAGACAAAGTTGCCGAATAGGTCGAGGTATGCGATCCAGCAATTCTGATTCCTATCTTCACACATAACCTACCAAGAAACAAGGAATGAGATACACAACGCGGGGCGAGGCTGTCATCACGGAATGAGGAATGCGGATGCACTGCATTTCAGGGCACTCAATGTTCTATTAAAAGTAAAATGGCATATAAGCATATGACCAACATATACCCTTTATACACATATTGTATGAGATTAGGATGAAATTTCTAAGTAAACAGGTTATTAGCATATCCAACAAAAAATGGTACTCCAAAAGCTGAATCAGCCACTCACCGAAGATCTACCGGATTTCCTACTTCTTTTGACTTTATGTCTCGGTCTCGCGTCTTTTCAATTAATCCTGCTTCTTACACACCTAAATTCATCTTGTGGAAATGAATTTGTCTCGCTTGAGTTTATTTATGAAAGAAAGAAGAAAGGAAAAAGAAAAGAGAAGACCAATCATCGTTATAATCCCTAAATGGCGCAAGGAGTATCCCTCTTGAAATCCTCGTGTCGGAATTTCACATACAACCTTGGAAGGAAAACGCGATCGTGGAGTGGAGGTAATAAGCCAAATGAGAGACCTCCCCCTCCCACAGCTAGAATTCCGAGGCTTGCTCTCACATTACGGAAAGCTTAAGTCAAATTCCTTCGCGTTGAGGTACAGGTAAAGGTTAGCTCGGAAAGGAAAACAACATCTTCCCCAGAATTTAAGGAGGGGAAGAGAAAAGAGCGAGAGCGTCCATATCGAGATGATCAAGTTCCAAGGGCGGGATCTCCAGCTTTTGAAAGTCTAGGCCTACTCTAGCGCCATCAAGTCCCCAGCTCTAAATAAGGCCAGCACCTAACCTACAATCTAATCTAGATTTAAAGCCGCTATTTAAAATATCTAACCTCATTTAGATCAATATGATTGACCTCAGTTCCAGCTGAAGTGAAATCTAACCTTTCTAGCAACTACCTTCACATACAGGACGCATTCCAGAGTTATTAATCAGACGTTCCTTGTTCTCGATCGTTCTCATTTCCCAAGCTATCCAAGCTATTGATCATGACTCGTGCGATACGTACGATGCGGTCACTGTGCTGTCACGAGCCAGAGGGCTAGCTATCTACACCGTTGCATGTGGTGCCCTACATTATCTAGGTTGAACCCGCATCCGCCGTCGAAACTCTCATGAGCCCTTTAGCTTTTAGTTTTCAACGGCGTAGTCTTATCTAATATGCGTTTCCTAGCAGCCGTGCTGTTTTTACCAACTATCCTAGGAGAAAAGCTAGTGATTCGAGAGGTCCAAGATGCAGTAGCGGCGCAACTAGCACAATTCAGTGGGTATACTGGCGACTATGCTTCAACAACAGTCGACAAGGCTATTCCCGTGAGCCCTAGATTCGTGGAGGGCAAGGTTGAAGGACGACAGACAGCTAGCACCTACTGGTATGAGACAATATCGCATCAAGGCATATCGGCCTTTAACACCAACATTTCGACTTACAAGGTCTATCGCAATGTGAAAGACTACGGCGCGAAAGGGTAAGAGGAAATCGCCTTCTTGCGAGAATGTACTAATGGTCGGAACAGGGATGGAAAAACCGACGATACGGCTGCTATCAATAAAGCAATTAGTGACGGCAACAGATGCGCTCCAGGATCTTGTTCCTCGTCAAGTACAACAAATGCTGTCGTCTACTTCCCGGCCGGAACTTATATAGTTTCTTCTTCTATTATCGTCTACTACGCAACCAATCTTATTGGAAACCCGAACAGTCTACCCATCCTCAAGGCAACATCCGGTTTCTCAGGATTCGGTATCATAGATGGCGCGCAGTATCAAGCAGGGGGCGCCTTACCTTATGGCTCCACCAACATCTTCTGGCGCCAAGTTAGAAACTTTGTCATTGATCTGACTTCCATTCCGGCGGCAACTTCAGCGACGGGGATTCATTGGCCCACAGCTCAGGCGACGAGTTTGCAAAATATTTTGTTTAAGATGTCTTCCAATTCAGGTACTCAGCATCAAGGAGTATTCATTGAGTCGGGGTCCGGTGGTATCTTGAACGATCTCGTTTTTGACGGTGGCCTCTACGGAGCTGTGTTCGGGAATCAGCAGTTCACCGTTCGAAATCTCACTTTCAGCAATGCGGTTACCGCTATAAATCAGATCTGGGACTGGGGTTGGACTTATAAGAGCATTTCCGTGAGGTACGTCGGAATATTTCTAACGCTACATTTCATTTCAAGTTCCGTTCCAGTTCAGTCTCGGTTTCGTTTTCTACTAGCTACCCGCTAACGGAGAAATAGTAAGTAGTTACAGAATTCATCGTCTGATTATAAACGCGATCCAGTCTGTATGAGGTCATGGAAGGAAGGCATTTGCAATAACCCAAGCTAATATATTGTAGACAACTGCACGGTCGGCCTTGACATGGCCACTCGTGATTCCAGTGGCGAAACAGTTGGGTCAGTGACTTTTTTTGACAGCTCATTCACAAATACAAAAATCGCGTTCAATATCTCACGGTCCTCAACGTCTACGCCAGCGACAGGGGGTAGTCTAGCGATTGAAAATGTTGCTCTTAAGAATGTGTCAACCGCAATCCAGTATGGACCCACTAAAAGCACTCTATTATCCGGAACGACAGGATCGACAACGATCGCAAGCTGGGTAACAGGAAATGTGTATAACCCCAGCGGACCCAAGACTATCGCCGGCGCGATTACGCCGCCCACACGCCCAGCTGTTCTTGTGAGCAGCGGCAAGTACTACGAGCGTTCGAAGCCGTCCTATGCCAATCTCGCCTCTTCGTCATTCTCATCTGTGAGAACTGGCGGTGCTAAAGGCGATGGTACGACTGATGATACTGCTGCTCTACAGAAAGTCATAACTGCGGCAGCCAGCACCGGTCGCATCGTCTATTTCGATGCTGGCACGTATAAGGTGACTAAGACCCTACTTATCCCGGCCGGTAGCAAGATCGTCGGTGAAGGGTACCCCGTTATCATGTCTAGCGGGTCGTTTTTCAACAACATAAATGCGCCACAAGTAGTCGTGCAGATCGGCAATTCCGGTGACTCGGGGACGGTCGAATGGAGTGATATGATCGTTTCGACGCAGGGCGCTCAGGCTGGTGCGATTCTTATCAGGTGGAACCTTGCGTCGCCGGCTAGTTCACCGAGCGGAATGTGGGATGTCCACACGCGGATAGGTGGAACCAAAGGGTCCAATCTGTCGCTAGCCAACTGCCCATCTACGCCGTCATCTACGACCGTTAACAGCAATTGCATCGCAGGATACATTTCCATGCACGTAGCAAAATCCGCCGCGCGTTTATATCTAGAGAACGTATGGTTGTGGGTTGCGGACCACGATGTCGACGATGCATCCCTGACACAGATCAAGGTATATGCCGGTCGTGGCCTACTAGTCGAGTCGACTGTCGGGACGCTCTGGCTCGTCGGGACCAGCGTCGAACATCATGTCCGGTACCAGTACCAATTCAGCAAGACGCAAAATATCTTCGCCGGTCAAATCCAAACGGAGACACCATACCATCAACCCAACCCAGGAGCGCGGCAGCCGTTCCCCTTGAATACGACTATTGATGACCCGAACTTCGACATATTGTGCCCCCAGAGCTCGGCTCCGAGTACTTGCGCCGAGGCGTGGGGTCTCAGGGTTAGCGGAAGCAAGAGCGTGCTTGTTTACGGCGCAGGGTAGGTCAACTCCCTGTCTCTATAATAGGAACATGGGCTTTCTGTGTTTCCATTCACTTCCTAGCTAACCAGACACAGATTGTACTCTTTCTTCAACAACTTCAGCACATCCTGTTCCGACAAAAGCGCGAGCTCGCTTTGCCAGACGGGTATCGCGCAGTACGACGCCGCCAACACGACAGGATTCTGGATCTACGGGCTCAATACCGTGGGCGCCTACGGTATGGTTTACAGGGACACTACGAAGCTAGCGGATTACTCGCAGAACGTCAATGTATTCCCGAGTTCGGTTATTGCGTTTAGTAGTAGCTAAGTTAGTGTGGTGTAGTAAGATGTAGGATGTAGGTACATATGTACATATTGTATATCTGGGGTAAATACCTAGGTAGGTACAGACTTCAAGGTCTGTTGGTTTACATAAGATAGGGGCGTACTAGGTAGCATATAGGTGCATTAAGAACACTTTTTTGTTGCATTCTAGACTCTTTGTGTTTACTAGGTAACGTAACCCAGCACTACAACGGTGGAAGACAAGCTTTTGGATCCACGAACAATCCTATTGTTCAATTCCCAACTCTTCCCAACTAGCCTGCTCAACGTCTTTATTCTCGCAAGATAACTTCGTCTTTGTTCTCGTTACCTGTGAACAAGAGGTACAAATCAAAACAAGGGATTGTTTCCGTGGTGCTAATATATGTCTCCGACAATCCTCTCATGGAGTTGGTTTTCCCAGTCACCACGCTTTTAAGGGTTCTCAAAACTTTTAGGTAATTTCATCGAAATCTTCTCCTTGCTACAGTTTATATCTCTATTAAGGGGTATTATCTGTTCAAGAAAGGTAAGCGCGAAAAGCACGAAAATCTTTATAGCATTCAAGGTTGGCCTGGTCGCCATGTCTTACTATTATCAAGAAGGTATGAGTGAGGGTGGGTATTCTGGAGAGTACCCTCCACACGCGTGGTCTGAAAGCTATGCCATCGGGTCAGGAACGCCGTCGGCCACAGCCCCCACTTCGGAGATACACGAGCAATGGATGCAACCCGAGTTCGTTTCTCCATTGGAGATAGAACTCAATCCAGCCAGTCCTACACAGCGGCCACCTACCGCTACATTCACCTTGCCGCCTGCTTTCCTACGGGCCCAAGCTGCTAACGCATCACAGGTCCAAGACCCCCCTCGTCCCGCGGAGCAGGATAAAGGTAAGTCAAAGTCCAAGCCCAGTACGAGCAAGACAACGAAGAGCAAAAAGGCCAAGCAAGGAAAGGAGTGCACGCTCGACGAATTTTGGTACCAGAACGGCACAGATTGGGAGCAGCTCCGGCTGTCAGAAGTAGAGCCCAAAACGCGTAAGAGAAGAACTGGTGTTGCGGGTTGCACGACAGCGCCCGAGTGTTTTAGCTGCGGGGCAAGTCTCAGTTACGAGGAAATCATGAACCCCAGAATGCCTTGCCGGATTTGTCACTGTTTTAATTAGTTTCGACAGATACTTGGTGGATTAGGTATCAGGGTGAGTATCCAGATAGTTGTCGGTTAGATATCGAGTAATGAATAATGATCAGTGATCAATGAGATAAAGATTAGATGATTTAAGTACCTGTTTATTAAAGTGATTCAAAATTATTTCTGTGCCGCGTAAAAATACCACTAAATTTTAACCATTTCCCGTTGTTGCCGAGATCGTACAATACCTAGTGGCGTAAACCCGTTCCCGCACCGCTATAATTGATGCTATGCAACACTCTAATTCCAGGGGAAGAATCGAACAAAACGATTGTTAAGAAGAAATAAATTTAAGGTTATCTAAATCATCGAGATCCACTAGGACTTAAAATAGCAGAAGAAGGACATCAATTGTGTACTTAGGTATTTAAAAATATGATTGTCAATGACGTGACGTCACGGGGGCTTCAGTGCTTGTTATTTAGTGCTACGGATCACTGCCTGAGCAGGCAGCTGCTACGGGTGTGACAGTAGGCGGGATGATCTGATTTAATTCAGGACTAAAAGACCCCTCTCACGTATTTCCTTACATATTCCTCTTTCTACTTGCACATGTCAACTTCAAAACTAATTCCATCTCTTCTTCTCAATTACCCTAGAACAATCGCCTCTCCGTATTCATTAGTCAATAAAATCAAAATGGCAGACGATAAATCGCAAGATAAAGTTGTGCCAACCTCCGGTGAGGAATCCAAGCAAGCGGACACCGGCGACAATAAAAAGACGGAGGATACCGCCGATTCGGGTCCCACTACAGAGCAGTCGAGGCCGCCCAGACAGCTACCCACGCATTACAGAGGGATGCCAAAGCAATGGGAGAAGAACCAAGGTGCGTAATGCATCTAGATCTCGGTCCCCAATCCTCCAATCTCCAAGACTAACCGAGTGGATATGCATTCAGTTCCCAAGAAAGAGACCTAAGCACGTTGATACCATATCGGAAAGTACATGGGTTTTCGAAATCCGAATGCAATCATGATCTTGTTTTGCGAGGACTAAGCATGGGTTCGCGGCGGGGGATTTTTCTTCGGCGCCTTTTTTAGTTGGTTCCTGTTCCTAGATCGTGGCCAAGATTCACTGGATGATTCAATCCCCCATTTTCATACTCTTTATATCTCTATCAATTATAAACAATAACCTCTAGCTTAAACCGTGGTGCGCGTTTCCATTCTATTGGATAAGCGCTTCCGTGCCTTTTCGCATCGGTCAGAGAATGTCATCGGCGCACAGCGTAAACCACGTTAGTGTGAGATATCAATCAGCATTGACCGAAATAAAGCCAGGTCGACTCGATCGCCTATCGTCAATAAGTAGCGGTAAGAAAAGGCATAGATACCAAGTCTCAAGAAGATGTTTCGAGATTTCAAGTCACGAATAATTGATGAAGTTCGCTTCTAAAAGTCTCAGGCCTCGTAATATGAGGCCGTTCTAGGCGAACTATCTCCTGAGGTGAGATCCACCCAGACTCTCGTGAGTCGACCAACTGCCGACTACAGTAAGGTGATCCGCAGGCTATAGTGGCATGTCCCCGCTCCTTCGCTCGCTGCCACCACCGCATGAATATGTAGTGTACCATACAGGCCATGGGTAGTTGAGGGTTGAGAGAATCATATATATTTGAATTACCATAGCCAGCCAGGTACCACATGTCAGAATCTCATCAAATCATTCAAATAAATTGAACACTCTTATCATCAATACCTAATACTTACCACTAACCAATACCCCTAAATCGCATCAGACTTGCACATTTATCCTTCTCCTAACCTAAATCAACCACAATGGGAAGCATCTCAAAGAAACTAGGCGTCGTCGTGACCGGTGGCGCTAGCGGTCTCGGACTCACCATGGTAGAATACTTCGCGTCGCAAGGGCACGCCGTCACCATATTCGACGTCAACACGCAAGCGGGACACCAAGTAGCCGCCGACCTGGCCAAAAAGCATCCCGAAGGTAAAGTCGACTTCAAGTTCTGCAACATCACATCCTGGGACAGCCAAGCGACGGCGTTCAGAGAAGTCTACGAGAAAGTGGGCCACGTCGACATCGTCATGGCCAATGCCGGAATCTCGGAGCAGGGCGTCAGTAGCTTGTCGTTGGCCGACGAGGAAGAGCCGTCGCAGCCTAGGTTGCGAGCTTTAGAAGTGAATCTAACAGGCACGATATACAGTGAGTTTTGACTATTCCGCGATTCTTCAATTCAAAATTCCTTGCTAATTCTTGTGCGATAGCGGTCAAACTTGCCATACACTACCTCAAGAAGAACACGCCAGATCCTAAGACGGGATCGCGGGGCTGCATCATATGCACGGCTTCAAACGCGGGTCTCTACCCATTCCCAGTAGCCCCAGTCTATGCCGCTTCAAAATCGGGCATAATTGGCCTTGTTCGCTCTCTTGATCGGAGTCTTGAGAAACTTCAAATCCAGATTAACGCTTTAGCGCCCGCCGTACTTGGTATGCCGCCCCATATTTTTTGCTTTCCCCCTCCCCCCTATTTCTTCCCCAATTCTCCCCCAATTTCCCTAAATTATGTCCCCCATCAAAACATCACGAACCATGCTAATTCAAAATATAGAAACCAGCATCACTCCATCCAAAGCTCTTTTCGAGGAGATGATTATAACACCTCACTCTACACTTGTCAAGGGTATCGCGCAACTTGTTGAGGACCCGAAGGTCAGCGGGGCTGTTGCCGAGATCCACGGAGAAAACGTTACGCTGCGCACACATCACGAGTACGTGGACGATGACACGAAAGCAAACATGGAAACATTCTGGAAGCACGGAATTGCTTGAAATAGATCATTTCATTCATTTTCTTTCTGCGGTTTCAATTAGACGTCCAACGACAGGACTTAGAGACAAAGAGGATTGGGAAGTTTGGGCTGGCACTTTGGAAGTGGTTTTGAGCCATGGGTAGCACTAAGGTCTATAAACGTGCTGGTATTATAATGAGGCACTCCTTGGGATAGGGCGAAATGAGAAATATAATAACGAGATGAAGAATGATAAGTTGTGAATAAAAAGACAGCACGGCATTGATGATGTGACAACGTGAATGAATACAGTGAAAACGAATAGAAACGAAATATTACCAGACAGACATCTATGTGTCTAGCTACCGACCCACTATTAAGGAAATAGTGAGCAGGTGGGGAAATTATCGACGTTGTTGAGCGAGGGGTTCTAAACTGACATCTCTTGACACCAAGATAATACAGACACACAAGTGATATTTTTCATCAACATCATTGCAGAGCCAGTCATCTACGTGTATCTTACAGGCTGTACTCAGATCTCTTGACCCCTCTTTCCAATGAATTAGGCAGACCTTAGATTCACATAAGAAAATTGAGTTTATATCTATTCAGTGAAAAGGGGTTACAGTAGGTGACAACAACAACAATACCAATGAGGGAATCGCGCAAATTACATCTATAATATGCGCAAAACAAGCGCAATATCATAGAGAATAAGGTATTACGTTTAATTAAAGTGCGCTTAATAGATGGTCACTGTTAACTCAAATTTCCTTCTTAACTCCCATCACCACGGCAACAACGACTACTCCCACGTCCGCCCATTGGTCAGTATTAAGGATATCTCGGATATTCGGCCATATTAAGGTCCTATATACGTCATAGACGAGTTTATATTTCGCGTATCTATACTCTTTGCAATAATATTAACTCTAATTAGTCTTATAAGTGTACCAGTGAAGAAGAGCACTTGTAAGGTATACACCATCCCTTTTATGCTACCATCTTCACAGCGATATAACACGCAGTCCATAATAACAGTAAGAACAAGATAGTAATCAAAGTAGACGATTGGCAATCCTTGTATGTATGTTCCTGTTGTCTGTGAACTGGACGAATCATGAAATCAACCTGAACACTATGACTCTGAGAGAGATTTGGTGAGCATAAATGGAAAAAGATACATACAATTTCATCTCAAATACAGTTCGAAGGTAATATTTAAGTTAAATGATGCCTGATGCCATACTAGGTAATATACTCACCACAGCACAAGTACATCTCAGGTAGTACCCGCAGGTTGAGAAGCCTCTCGTATACAAAACTAATACTAATATAAACTCGCCGACAGTGTCTAGGCAGTTACCATTGACGATATGAGCTTGTTATTGTAGGTAGTTGCGCGGATATACAAATCTTGCCGGAAGGTTCCAACGATTCCATATCTTCTATATAAATACCCCAGGATCCCCAAGTCCAAGAATTCCCAACGCATCTTCTTTCTTCTCAACTTTTTGGGCATCCTTGGTACAGCTCATCCAAAAACATACATACCTACCTACCTACCTACCTACCTAGTACCTGATCACACTTTTACATACTTCTAAACCTCACTCTACCACAAGCAACACAAGTTCATCCTTAAATCTAAAGTTTTCTCAAAACCCACTACTATTTTTCTTGCCCGAAGATCATTTTTACGTCCTGGGCAGGATCACTACCTCGTTGTTCAACCATGTTTCATCCAAAACGGATCCTATTCACGTGGCACAGCCTTGACTACCTACTCACAATGACAACTTTTCCCTAAGTGGTCCGGCTAAGACTAGCCAAGTCCGACAAGGAGACAGCAAACTATGCCTACTCTTGGATTCTCTTGCAAACATACTCCATTACGCGACATTCCTACGTGGTACCTTCTCAACAACAGTTCTAGTCACGGGGGTATCCTGAATCTCATCTTTCCCCCAAGTGTCACAACTCATCCATGGCTGACCAAATGGGGCGTTCACCTTCCCCCCAACAGCTGGGCGGGTCATGAGAGGTAGCTCTCGCTGTCTTTCAAGTCATCGATTTCTCATTTACGGTTTACTCGGCTCCCACTCATCCCGCTTAGTTAACAATGAACTCGCATACCTATACCTACAACCTTGATGGCATTCCCACCTACCCCTTCTTGAATAGGTAGTAAGTGTCCACCTTATTTACTACCACTTACCTTTAAGATCACTCGGTCTATTCCGCTGGTATTTCCAGCCAGGAAATCACCGTTTTTCCCAGTCTGGAATTATTACACCTGGGTCCCTCCCAAAGTGTACCAAGCACACTACCTTCCCAATGTTCCGCGTTCCCTAGCATAAGCGTCCCACGATTGGCGCTGTGGATAACACGCGTCAACAACAGAGACACCGTGACGTCCACGCTGAGCTTCAGCGGCTACGAGCCAAACAGCGTGCCTTCCACCACAACCCCACAAAGAAGTTGGCAGGGTTAGAAGCTCACGACATACCACTTCGACTTGGACTGGTTATTGACAACCAAGTCACAAAGTCGCTCTCAGCACACAAAGATAACCCCATACACCATTGCATAGATCCTGACACCAACGCGAGCACACTGTCTCGGACATGTCCAACGTTTGACCTCGAAGACGAAGGACTAGAAGAAGAATTTTCTTCTAGCGATGGCGGGTATGTTTCCGCCTGCACCGCGCGCAACTCGAAAGGTGTTTTCTCCTACGATGACTCAGATGATGGTTCAGATATCCTTGCTGCAACTATTGCAGCCGAGTACAACAACGACAGTGAACACGCGCCCGCAACTAGAGGCGGGGCTCACTAGCCCGCCTTCGGGGGACGAGGCCAACGACGATGAGACCAGGAGCCAACCCCAACGGCGCGTTTCGCAAGGGGCGTCTCGCATGGGAAGAAAGGGCGGGGAAGGGAAAGGGGAAGGCGAACCCCGAATCCAGAAGGGGGGCAGTCAACAGGGACCAGCCCAAGGGCGGGCAGCGCCTGGCCAGTCCATCTGGCGAGCCACACAAGAAGAATGCACAAGTCAGAGACGATTCTCAGACATCAACCAGGCGCTCACGCCAACGCCGACGACTATCCAATTCGCGCCGCGGGCGTCACCCCTCACACATGGCCTAACCTAGACGCGACGGTGAGTTCGTCTGCGACCTACTTCTTCCGATCTTTTGTGCGACCGCATGCGGAACGAGGGGCTGTTCACCACGTCTCCATAACTTTCTTCTCGACGGTCCACCTTACTATCTGTGCCATAGTCACGGGTGTCCGGTGACACAACGCCAATCCGGGCCTTCGCATTCCTGGGATAGCGATATCCTATACCACTCTGGCCCTGTAGACCGGCCAACCTAGCCCTCTTTCCAACATCGAGGAAGCGTGATTCCTATCATGAGATGACTAGGTATACGCCATCCCCCATCCACAACCCGTCGACCTCGGACCAAAAGGCTCTGAGCCGTCCCGGTTGGTGGGTCCAAACGGCAGGCAACAATATGGATGTGCGTCGGTGGAAGAGAATACTTGCTTCTCCTATGTAATAATATCACACAGGTTATTGACGTTAGAGATGAGAATTGAAGATGTTGCGGATAAGATGAGGATTCGCTGGGTGACCGAGGAGGGAGGCTATTGTGAGATGTCACAAACATGGATGTTTTTATTGGGTATGACTGTTATCGCCTGAAGAGTTCATTCCTAGGTAACGGCCAACCAATAAAAATCGACAAAGTGAAACCAGTTGCCTATTTTTCGAAAGTCCTGACTCGCGCAGAATCTCGATATGGCATCACAGAACTTGAAACCGCATGCTTGGTCTGGTTGTGTCGTCTGAATCGCATTCGTCTGCAGTCGTGTACGAAGACAATTGAAGTTATCACTGATCATAAGCCAATGCGAGGAATAGTGAATCAAACCTCACTAAGGACGACCGACATTAATAAGATGAATCCAAAACTTGTCGTTGCCTCAGCCTTCTTGTCTCAGTTTAGAGCTAGGCAAGCTCATGCATCGACGTCATCGACTGGCTCGCGCTAGTTTCGGCCTCGAGCATTGACCACGATGGATCAGAAGAAATGATGCGGTGGGATACTGGCATGGAACGAGCTTGCGATTGTCTTCCCACCTGGGAACGTGTATTTATTACGGTATGGATATCTGTGGAAGAGTATCTGTGTGAGAAAGGCTCTAGACCTGCACATCCTATCTGGTATTTCATCCTAACAGACCACACCATCATCATGCTCCTTCGGCCATCTCTGGTGGTGCCAGAGAGGCACAGCCAACGATCATCATCAACGCTGAGGTCTAGGAAAACAATGGGTGGAGAAAGGATGGACAGCTAAGAAGCTGAGGAATTTAGAAAATGAGAAGCCGAGTAGAGGATGCCTTTGTATTATTATTGGAAATGGATATATAGCGATGAATTGGAGATTTGGATTTCTACATGGTTGACTCCGAATTGAATATGTGAAGTGTCTAGACGCTGAACATTCATTAGTATCATTATCCAAATAATGTCTGCAGGAACTTCTGTTTCGATTCCAAAGTGGACCGTCATACGAAAAGGGTATTGATACTAGCACCGACTCCACGTCCCGGCTCCCCGAGAAGCCACAAAAGAGCTAATAATAGCGCTCGAACAAGGCTCGCAAGCTACAAAGTTCCAAAAGACCCTGAAAGAATCAGCAGTTGACACCTAACGTTGAAACACTGAGAACGATGCGCGAGCCAGGGTTCTCGCTGACCGACACGTTTACTCCTTGCTTTTTCCCAAACTTACTCCAATTCTAAGAACGGTACCGAATGAGAGGCACGTAGAAATGCTGACGACGGACTCCCTTACTGCCAACGTCTGGCTCAAATCATTAGAAGGATGATGGAAGAGGTCTAGCGGCGAAGGAGACTGGCGAATAAGAAACGTGGGGTAGTAATAAATTCCGGGGTTGGCGTAAGATCAGTCTGAGAGTCTGGGGGAGAAAGTCTGGGGTAGTATTTAGTCTCGTATTGAAAAGGAAGGTTGTCATGTGATTTGTGAGGGGAAAAAGCAGGAACTCGTCGTCCTTTTGCCCTTTGCCCTTTGGAATGGGCTGTTACTCTTTCGACACACCCAGATTTCCCCTTGCAACTCTTATTTTGACCTCATACCAGCCATCATCTCGCTTTTTCTTCACTTCTCTCTCTTCTTTTCGCGTCGAAAGACTCGAGAGAAGATGAGGGACTTCTCCCAGAGAAAAGCATCGCCATTCCGACCATGACTACTCATTTGAGTAGTGATTAATAAGCTCGCGGCTTTCTCCAAGACGCAATTGGCCTTACCTTCTTGTGTTTCAATGATGCGAGGTATTTTCTTTCGTGCCTGAGGCCAATTTGGGGTGCAGGAACGCGTCCTTATTCTGTCTATATTGAGCGAGCATCCTTTTTAAGGTATTGCAGCTTAAATCCACCCATCCGATCGTTATTGTCGTGGAACAACTAGGACAAGAGACTCCCAGGAAAGTGTTTCGCGGTGTAGAGGATCAAGCGGTCCTTTGGGCGCTCTCGGAGTTCGGAGCTGGCTCCGAAGCACAGCATTCCCCATGTCAGTACAACACAATGAACCTCGAAAAAGACCAGTACAACCTAGAAGTTTAAAACGGCCTGGCCAACGACAAGGGATTATGAAATTAAGATGCCAATATTATTTGGCATTGTCGCAATCCAACTAGGTTATTACCTTCGGAGCAACTTTGGAGCTGCGACCCGGGGGCAGCGGTAGATCAACAGAAATACACGCGGATGATCAATGGATGTAGCGACCGAGTTAGTTACACCAGGACCCCATTCACATGTTCCCATATCGAAGCTTGGCACCCTCGAATGGTAGCCCAGATCACCCTGACCTGACGCGGAGCAACGGTTCGGGAAGCAAGTCTACGCCATCGTCCATTAGAGTACCTATCCTCTTCAATCGACTCTTGTTTTTGCAACATTTCCGTGGTCGCTGTCTCGATCTCATGTGGGAAGAACTCGATGTGTTCCTATGCCGGTTTATTCTCCGCTGCTCCTATATTTCAGCTATGTCCCTATCGCTGGTTGAAATGGAAGCCTTGTGGTCGACTACTCTCGTCAATGGTCATGGCCGCAGCGATATTTTCGTCGACGATTGATATGATCGTGCTTCGTCTCGTCACTCATCCCCATAGTTGGACTAAATCGGCGCCACTGGCGAGGCGTAGGACTATGCGAAGAGGATCCATCTCGGTACCTAATTGGGTCTTTTCCAATTCCCGGTCAGCCTGATCAACGTCGATTCGCTGGCACCCGCTGTAGACGTGGGTTCGCCTATGGTCTTGTCCTCCTCTATTCTCGGCAAATCGTCGTGGTCGATTCGTTAAGATTATATGTCGAAGCCATATGTGAGAACCTTACTAGGAGTATGTGTGCTTGGCCATGGTGTTGTTGTCGTTTGGTATAATCGATACCAACTGATAGGAAGACTAAGAGACGATGTTGACTAAGAACCAAGAGAAGGTTGAATGTCGTTGGATGTCGTTGGATGTCGTTAGATGGGAAGATACTAGGACGAAGCTAGTATGATATACTTGGGACCCATCAAGGGGTAGCCCTAGTGCCCGACCAATCGACCAGTTACACACGAACTGAGATCAAACCTAGGTTTTTAAGTCTAACCTAGTCGGCTATCAACCCGTCAATCTGACCTCACTCTCCTCACCTACCCGAAGAAGTTAGTCATGCCAGATCTATTTATCGCTGCTGCCCCTCAAACTCCTCTCCCCCAGCTCCGGACCGGACAGGCGTGCTAGTTAACTTCGTTCCCCCCTATCCCCAGCAAGAGCCCACCAGGAGTCCACAGGCCACCCAATTATCTTTTTTGATTGGCTCCTATCGGAGACATGGAGATGTGGTGGGGGTTCGTTCAAGGAAGGAGCAAGATGGGAAACCGCCAAGTGGGCCTAGTCGAACTTTGGCTTGCACAAGTTGCACAACTTGTGCAGTGTTAGGCTAGGGTTGCATGTCGCTGCCCGTCTTTGTTCTAGCGAGCGTTACTTACGGGTACTTCGTGAGCAACAGAGTTACCTGGTTACTTCCTAAGCGGGAAAACCGCGCAAATCACGGGGTGGTCAAGTGATCTTGAGCCCTGGTGTTCCGGCCGTATCTGAATTGAATATTCACGATACACCAGAACGATACCTAGTACATCCACCATGTACGTCAGTCAGGTACATTAAATTGGTGAGTGGAATTTGTGTTATGTTGCTGTTAAGCTTAATTTACAGAATCAAGAGCCTCGGTTTTAGTTCACCAGCTCTCCATCCATTCATTCATTCGCGTGAAAATAGGAAAGAGAAGAAAAGAGACAAGCCTTCGGAAGCCTTGGGTTTGGTGAAGATGGTGTTTTGTTAATTTACAGATGCCATCCGGAGGGTTTGGCTTTGTGTGGATTTTTTCTCCCATCTTTTTACATGTGTCAGTCAATGCAATGCGATGCCTCCCCCCCTTAAGGTTTTTATCCCTCCTATCCACGGGAGTCTTAATGACCTCTATTACTCTCTAATGCTGGTTCTCCTAATGAACACGGTGAAAGGCATGGCACCATCGATCATGTTCGATGTTATGCACTCCTTCACACCCCAGAAATGCTCATTCACACGTTCCATATCGTAGTGTGAACCCCAGCCTCCGTAAGTATGGAGGTTAAGGTGTTTAAGTCTGATGGCCGAGGTTAGTAGTTGACCTTGAAACATTTGCGGGATTTTCGGGATAGCACATACGAACTTGGCCATGAGGGCAACCATGAGATCGAAGAGACCGATGGCCTCAACGAAGGCGAAACCCAGAATGGCGTAGGAGAAGAGCTGTCCTCGGAGGGCGGGGTTGCGGGCAACACCATTGAGGAGAGCGGCGAAGACGAGACCAATACCAATACCGGCACCGGTTAGACCGATGGCAGCGGAACCCATACCCAAGTTCTTGGAGACCTCGACCATGGCCTGGGCGATCTCAGAGGAGTATGCTCGGCGGGGAGTCTGTTGGAAAGCCTGGCGGGTGGTGGCGCTCAGAATCTTAGAGGCCTGCTGGCGCTTGACGGTCTGGAAGGGGGTGGCATTGCCTGAAGTCGGGACATGTCAGCTGGCGCACGCACAAAAAAATTTTACGTCGGGTTTTATTAAATGCGGTGATAAAGGACTACGATGATATAATTGATATCATTGATATCATTGATGTTGATACCAATTGCCAATGGCAGACGGGATAAGATTGAGTGAATTGATGGTTGGGTTGAAACATACTGATGGTTCGCTTAGCAGCAACGGTGGTCAATTGAGCTCGCATGGCAGGTCGAGCGACCTTGGTGCCCATGGACGAGGCAAGTCTCGAAGCGACAACACGAGCGGCGGCCATTGTGATTGACGTAGGTGTGATGGAGGGGAGAGGTCGATTGAAAAGACGAAAATGGCAGATGAGAAAGAAAAGATGAGAGGAGCTTCTCAAAGTCGGTGATGGAAAAAAAAAATCAAGCTTGCTGACTGGTGTGTGTGGGAAAGGAAGAAAAGAGAAGGGAGAGCTTCGGAAGAATCGAGAGGAACAAGGTCGGCTAGGTCGCTACACTAGCTGGTAAGGTTGCCGGGTTGGGGGACGGTTCAATCACCTGGCGGTCGGTACGGCGTCGGTCCTTAGGAAGTACTCTGTGGAAGGTACACTATTCTAGGGTACGTCGTAGATGGGAAAGTGACAAGAGTGCAAGAGTAAGAACCCAAAGCATAGGCCACGACTCGGAACCCACAGGATGGTGGATGACAAGTGGACCCCTAGATCCAAAAATGATCAAAGCTTCTGAGAATTTTTTACTACGTAGTGGAGGCTACCTAATTAGGATAAGGCTGACGATAATTTTTGATGGTTTGGTAAAATCAATGCGCCGCACTCGGGGAATACCGGGTCTTCCCATAACAGAAACCCGAGCTTATTTGATTGAAAAACCTTCTTGATTAAAAGTTGAGGCTTTTTTATTTTCTTCTTGGCAAGCTTCACGATCCATGACTTCCGTCCGGTTGTTTCTCTCAAACTTTGAATTTGAATTGTTACCTTTTGATAGTGAAGACTCAGCTAGTATTTAAATGTTTTCTCTATTTTCAGCTTGTCTTTCAGTTTATATCAAGGTCTCATCCTGTACAACATACATAGAACATGCTTAGTAGTGGTACATGTCTAGGTAGGTACCTAATAGTGTGTCATATTGAAAAAAAAAAAGAGAAAAAAGAATTAAAATTAAAATTAAGAATAATACATACAGGCAATCCCCCACTAGTAACCCCCACCAACATTCATCATCATCAACACTTGAGACCTCTAAAAACCACGTGGGTGGAGCTTCGCAGGTACAGAGGAAACAGGTAAGAGACGGGACAGAAAAGATAAAAGAGCAATGCACCCTCGGGTTCCGGAAGGAAGGAGCTTCACACAAAAATTCCTCTTGGACTTTTCAAATTCTCAGAGCACTTGCCTCAAGAAATTCCCTCAATGGATTCTTCTAAGAAGTAGCTCCCACACTACGTGCTAGGTCCACTAGTACCTAGTAGTCAGGCAAAGGTGGATCTCGGTTCTTCGAGTTGCTTTCCATCCTTCCATCCATGATCCAATCTTTAATGTTCCCAATCTTCCCAACTATTTCGTACAGGTACCCTAAGCAGCCTAAGCTCACCTAAGCATCGACCGCTACGTATCACTACCACCCGAAACGCGGCTGCACGAAAGGCACTTCCCCTACCTCTCGTCCGGTTATCTGCCTTTCCTGCGTGTCCAGCAGCACAGGTGCAGCTCGGCTTCGATCTAACCTTTATTTTTGGACACGGACCAATAGGAGCAAATCCACGGCCTCCCAGGATTTTCCCGACGATCACCGAAAAAGCCCTTTTCCAATCAATCCCTCTTTCTCTCAAGCATAGCAAAAATGCGTGCAGCTATTCAATTTCCGTTGGGATTCTCCCAGGAGTCCGGGAAATGAGGAATATGAGTCAGTGGGTCTTGTGTTGCGAAAAACTTTTTCGGACCAGTCAGATGCGAGGTTCACAATACGTAGCATTCGCCGGGATTGCTTCTTTTAAGCCTCATTGCCTCAGGATAACATTTCATTGAAAATTGAAAGAATTTCCTTTTCTTCTGTTTTCATGTTCCCATCAACCAACCTTCGAACTCAACATTAACGATATTGACTTGACCCCGAATTTACGATTCGACGCATATGGCGTATGACCATGTCCACATGGAATTGACCGAAAGAGGATTCAATGAGTGGATTTGATATCTATTTCACATCCACAATGCATATCAAGCGGTATGTATATACTGACATATGAGCGGTATGCACATTGGTTTTCTAAATGGCGAAATTACCTGGGTGTTGACTTTGGAGTCACTGAGTCACTGAGTATCAAGAGAGGAGTCTTCTCCCCGCGAAGCAGAAGCGAGATGATGAGAAATATTTTTTTCGATGATGCTCAGGTGCATCGGTATTCGGTTGGAGAATTATCCGATTTCCTTCCAATTTTCAAGATTCAATGCTGTTTCCCCTCCCTTGAAACTTGGAAATCGCACAATCGTTACGCTGTATGTAGGTAATCCCATCACGTGAGTATAACCCAATCAACCTGAAGAACATGCTCAAATGTACCTACAATGTACCTACAAGGTACGTACACCGACTTATACCTACACCTACTTTTATACCCTGACTGCCTGATCAAAAATCACAATTCGAAGATAGGAAATTATAAATATCCATACCGAATCTGAATCAGGGGTAATGTGATGGCATTTACCGCTCAATTGCCCCAGCTGACGAGTTGTCAAAAAGGGTCAAAAGGGTCAAACCCCCTAAGCTAGGTCTCACAGTCCAAGCTGAAAGTGTGTAACACCCGCATAGTGGACATAGATTTATGTAGCTATCCGTCATAGATGCCAAACTTACCTGCCTACCTGCCCAAATACAGGGATAGTACACGTATTTGACCTTCCCCACCTACCCTCGTGAAAGCTCGGGCCAACTTTCACCACTTCCCACATGAACCCTGTTACACGTGTATCTACGTAGCTGGCGTCCCTCCTTTAAACCTCCATCTCCATTCTCATGATCTACAATAATACAAGTTCAGCGAGCATCTTGTTATATTGATTTTGTTGATTGTTTACTCCTTTCAACCAGTATCGTCATTATCTCTCTCTCGTCATCGTCGTCTTACTCCCAATTCCTAGCTCAGTGTATCTCCCTTCCACTCCCATTCTCATCTATAGCCTCGTTCTCATTCCCATACCCAACTCTCCCTTTCAAAGATATCTGTATACGAAAACACATCAGTTATGCAGCAGGTTCTGCCCTTTGTCCAAGTCAGAGACCTCCCCTCGGCAGCCTCCTTCTACTCCTCCATAACTCAGCCTCTGAAGCTTCGCTACATCTCCGCCAATGCGTCATCCGTGGTCTACGGCGACACTACCACCGGCGTCCCGAAACCGGTGCTGGAAGTAAGGAGGGCCGGTTCCGGCCAATCGCTGCGGCCATCACGTGTTGTCCTCTCTGCCCAATCACCGCAGATCCTAGCTGCTTTCCGCGCGGCCGCCATACGCGCAGACCCAGACTTGCCCATCGAAACCGATGGCAGGAGCCGCGTGGAACTCACCGACTATGACGGCAATAGGATCGAGGTTGTGTGCTCAGGGGGCGACGAGTACCCCCGCTCATACGGACGCTCAGCTACAAGCTCCATCGCCCCGCGCGAGCCGCGGGCCCCCGGGATACGGCGCAGCGCGACCATCTCGGCGATGGAAACGCCGTCGCGGGAGAGTCCTAGAAGCGGGGGCGGCATGGGCGCCGGTCTCGGCACCCTTCTCGGAGCCGCGGCCGCGGGTGTTGCCGTGGGCGGCGCATTGACTTACGCCATGTTGAGGAACGACCGCCAGCAGGTCCCGTACCAAGACTACGAGTCGCAGAGCTACGCCCCGAGTTCGTACCCGCGACGAGGGTCCCTTCAAGACCCGCCTTCGCATCAGCCTAGATATATCGAGGACTCGCCGTCTAAGAAGTATCCCCCGGTTAGCTACGGGCGGTATGCACAGCTTGAAGCGCCACCGCCGAGAAGCAGGGCGCCGGATGATGATGGGCGGACGAGCCATTATGGCGCGGGTAGTAGGGGACGTCGTAGCAGTGAGGCGGGCTCGGTTAGACGGCCGTTGATGATTGCTGATGGAGAGTATATGAGCACGACGGGCTCGCGGAATGGGCTTGGACAGCGGTTGCTTATGGACCATGAGTACCGCAGCCAAGTAGACGGTGATGACCGCCGCAGCTATGCGCCGTCGAAGGCGCCTTCGAAGTACACGGCGTCGCCTTCCAAAGCGCCGTCTAAGTATCGGGAAGCCGAGTCCACATACCGCAGCCGTGATAGCTCGAAGGCGAGGGCGCCGCGACCAGTGGAGGCTGAGACATACGTGTCGGCGCGAACGGCACGATCAGCTAGCACAGTGCGTCCTCCGGCACAGGCTCCCATGTACGGAAGGGCGGGGCGCAGCCGCGCGAACAGCTACGTCTCGGCGCGGGAGAGCAGGGCTAGCTGGGAGGACTGGGACGATGACGAAGAGGAAGACGACAACGTGAGCCTTGCGCCTAGCGATAGCATCAGCTGCATCGACGACGACGAGCGCAGCAGGCGAAATCACCGTCGCGGCTCGCAGGCCGGGGCGCCGTCGGCGGTTGGAAGGTATCGCAAGGTTGTCAACGAGTTCGACGGGAAGAGGAAGCCGAAGTACGGCTCCGAGTATAATTACCAATAACTTCCCCATTCATCACACGGTTTGCGGTAAGGGTCAACACACGAAGGGTGAAACGAAAAAAAGTATGATATGGATGGATGGATGGATTTCGGAACAACATAATGACAGCATGAAACGAAAGGATGTAAGGGATACACACATACACGCAAATATCTTACGAATCCTCTTTTTTACCAGGTACGGAAGGACAGGATAGGACTATCTACGCACGCATAAAAATGGCATTTATATATATATCATATATCTGGAGGAACATTGCATACATACATACATCATCATTTGGGCATCAGGGAATTTGGGGCTTTCTGATTATTATTTTTTCTTGGTAGGAGGAGAATGAGCAAGCGAGCAAGCAAACGAAGCGGAACGATGTGAAATGATAGAAGGTAACAGTGGGAGGTCATTTGAATGGATTCTTTTTGGGGTGGTTGCATGGACGGGTCGCCCGTTATATACCTTTGTTTTTTTCTCACCTTTGGAGGCTTGGAGGTTTCGTTTCTTTGCTTGAGGGCTTGCTTATCATTGATGTCAGTACGAGTTATGAAAGTGTAACGGCTTTTTTTTATTCTCAATGGGAACAATTCAACTATTATGACTATTTCGTTACCGTGACTTGATTTACCCACGAAGAGGTTGGGGATGATTGTTGGAATTAATACAGCAATTTGACATTATATGTAAGCCACCGGACTTTCCAAGAACCCAACGGCATAGATTTTGTTGAACGGATGCATCTCATTACGATAGGGTTTCCAATCCTAGAATCAAGTTACACAATTATAGTGTTACCACCTAGGAGACCGGGATAGTTGTGGGAGCAATAGGTACCTACCTACCTACCGATCACCAACGTAGGACCAGATCATAGAAAAACGCCGCATGCTAGGCACCTACCACCAAGCTACAATACCAAGAAAGTCATTTGGTATAGCTACCTCGACACCGGACCTCGTTCAAACTTCCGTATTGTACAAACACCCGACAGTCAATATTCTGCGGCAAACACCAAGGCCGCCAGCATACGCTTCAAAACACAACATAACCGCCGACACATTTATCATCAATAACCAGCCAAGCACCATACACGAGTAAAAAAGCTTCACTAATTATTAAATTTAACTTTCATAGGCATCAAGCAAATCAAACCGCTCAAGTGTAAGGCAACAAGGGTATCAGGGTATCTCAGCAGTATCTATCACCATATCTCAATGACATCTCTCCCCTATGTTTATGCTTCATCCACCTCCTCATCCTCGATTTTACCAATGGCATACCCCTCGATAAACCCGTCCGGATCACATGCCCGCGTAAGGTCGATCTTATTGGCATCAACCCAGCGCCGGACAGCTTCTTTGTCGAGTCTGACTCTTGACACCGTCTTAACTTCCTTGACTTCGGCGTCGCCCTCCTCGTCACTAGAGATATTCCCGTGGTTCGCGGCGGTATCGACTTCCACCTCAGCAAGGCCTGGACCCGCGTCTTCGACAACGCCCATTTCCTTAAGAACAGCAAGGCAGTCCTCAGGTACGATCCAAGTAGCCTTAGAGCACTGGTCGATGCTGATTAAATATTCCCCTTCTTTTCCCTCTTCATTTATTCCACTCTCTTCCTTCTCGACTGTGTCTTCCTCTCCTTCCTCGCCCCTTTTCTGGGGCTGAGATAAGTCAAGTCCCAATAACCATCTCGCGATCTCGCCCGCCCAGAACCTCTTATATCCTTTCCTCCCGAGCTCCGATATCGGCTTTTCAGGGCCACCGAGTATGCCCTCGCGACGGGAGATCTCGTACGAGACGCCCATGAGCAGGGCGCCGAGCCCCTTGCGCTGCCACGGTGGGAAGACCAGTATGCATGCCAGATTGTTATTATCCCAGCTAAGCTTTTCCTTCGAGAAGAAGCCAACCACCTGTGGTCTACTTTCGGGCGAATGTGGTTTATCTGGATCGGAGGGATTGTTGGTCGGGGAAAGATAAGGTTGGTGTTGAGGAGGGGACTCGTTTAAGTCTATGTTTGCGAGCGGAGGCAATTGCGTGTCGGATGGCTGTGGAGGGGTATAGACGAGGAGAAAGTAGTTAAACCCCGTAACGTCGAAGAAGACCGATTTGTTATCTAGGAATAACTTCGCGAACAGGGACAGGTTCTGGCAGAATAACTGTAGATCGAGGAGTCAGCTTCAAGTCAAAATATAGTTTACACAGGAACGAAATGACTTGACTTACCCTATCTTTCTCCCCATCAACCTCCCACACACTCCACTCGCCCTCATCAACAACCACTTTCTCCACATTCACACTCGCAGTCGCATCCGCATCACTCCTCTTCCTCCCCCTCCCCTTCACCTTCTCTACACCCTCACCCACAACCCCAACCCCAGCCTCCTTAACCGTCCTCCTCCCCTTAGGATGCGTGTAAACCTTCGTCCCCGGCATCCCAAACGTACGCTCACAAGCCCTAACATGTTCCCACCACATGACTAACTCACGACTATACTTAAAGCAACACGGACACACATAAAGCCTCTCAAGCATAGGCGGCGGATTCCTCTTCCCGCCTCCAATCCTGCCGCCAATCTTCCCCCCACCCTCTCTATCTTTCCCACCCGGCCTATCTTTGCCGCCCGCATTTGTATTAGAGTTCGATATGTCGCCAAGCACTTCCTTGCCATAGTACGATGGGTACCACGCCTTGAAGCAGATATCGCCTAATACGACTTTATCGATATTGCGGTCTGAACGCGGCGTCGGCGGTGGTTTGGACAGTTTATCCGTAGAAGAGGGGGTTCGTTTCGGGGTCACGAGCTTGTCTGTCGAGGAAACTTGTGTCGTACGAGACTGTTGCAATTGCAGCGACGACTTCAGCACTTTCGTCTGCGTCGGCTCGGCGCTTGTACTCGTTCGCGCCGAGGGTGGTGGTGGCGGTGTAGGCGATGGTGTATGTTTCAACAGCTCAACCTCCTCAATCTCTTCCTCGTCATCGTCATTGACGTAGTCGAAGCCAGAAGGCCGTATATTCTCCTTCAAAACCTTTTCCTCGACCACTCTCTTCGTCGGCGGTCTACCAGGTCGTCTCGGCGCCTTCGACGCGTCAATCTCAACGCTCTTAATCACAGGTGGTTCCGCGCGCACGGCATTATGTTTCTCAATCGCATCAGCGCGTACGCGCCCGCTCCTAAGCAAACGTTCCGGCTCATCGGGGTGTCGCCTAGTCGTGCGGCGCGGGGGCGGTTCGTCCTGGAGTCTCTTGCGCTTCTGGGGCGCCATAGCTTATCGCCAATTTCGAAAGTGCGATTTCGGCGCGGTCATGTCAATTGGTTACACGTGTACACAATTCGGCGAAAGAAATGGAGTCGGAAAACAAATAATAAGTAAATACAAGTTCGTTGAATTGAATGTTAGACAACATTGAAAGTTAAACTATCGGAGACATGCGATTACGTAATAGGAAAGGTCGAACTGAAGCTAAAGTTGGGTACGACTGGAACAAGGTAAAGTGTACCCCACGTGACACCCTCAAACATGACCAAGCTCCAACAAGCGTATGTACGTTGGTGACTTGATGGGACTTACTGTTTTGGGTTTCGAACTCTGAATCACCCACTTTCAATGTTCTATCGTTATCTCGAAATCGGGGTGTATTTGATGGGAAACGTCTACGCAAAACATCGACATCTACCGTTACCATCACTACCTATCCAAGCAACTTACAAATAAACTTTCCGTGACTAGTCGATAGTAGGTACTAGTATTTCTACGTTATATCGCAAACCATGCCGCCTGTTTTCATAAAGCCACAAACCACAAAGTCAAACAAGCCACCCTACCTACCATATGCCATGCATGGATGGCAATGAATAGCAACAGCGGTAAGATCATCCAAAATGCATTTAGAAAAAGAGCAGGTTTATATTCCCAGCCGACCGGATGATGTTGAAACACATGGACCGAAACAAGGAATCATTACCACGTTTTCCCGTTCCTCCAAGAGCCAGTTAATGAAGAAGCAGTAGCCGGAAAGGGCAGCAAGAGTTCTCCTCTTTCTGCCAGTTATCTATTACAATGAAGGCCTTAAATGACGTTTATAAAAGTTGGCTGCGCCATATGCACCCTCTCAACTTCTCCCTCGTTGGCAAACTACAACTTATCACCGATGTAAAAGCAGCCTTTCGCCTCATGTACCACTATTATGAATTGGTAAGGGCGTAAAGCAGCGCCGATGGTTCCTCCGCCTCCGATTTCAGAATACACAGGTTCGAATTATGTTACATGCCCTCAAAATCACCACCGAGGTCGTCTTCGTCCAAATCTCCTTCTTGTATCTCCTTCGCCATCTCACGCTCTCGCTCTCTCGCTTCTTGAGCATTCTTCAATTCGAGCCGGTGCTGGTTCATTGGGAAGCGCATGGCCTGTGAAGCAACGATGTTAGTTCAAATTCCTTTTAAGCGTTTGACGGAATAAATACGACGGAAACATACCTTAACACTCTCGTCATGGAGCGCAAGACAGGCCCTGATACGGTCGTGGAATGCCTCTCCAGGTTCCCGAGTGGCGTACACATCACCAACCTCCTTGCTCTTCATGAAACCTCGCTCACGGTCTAGCGTCGCCTCGATGACACCATCCCTGATCGCCTTTGCGACGATGTACTCGGCACTCTCCTCGCTACCAAGGTGCAGGCGGATGCAGATGTCGCGAAGTGAGATACGGCTGTAGCTCAGACTCATCATGCGGATACCCGTCTTGATAACGTTCTGGCGAAGACGTAAGATGAGCGAGTATGTGCCATCACGGCGGAAGGTGTCGGCATGGTCTACGATCGTCAACTCGAAATCCTCCAGGTTACCCACTCGCACAGCCTGGACAAGCAGGAAATACGGGTGAAGAGCTTGCTCCATGCTGGGGACACGGAAAGTGGCGCGCTCGGGGATATCACCCATGAGCAGCTCCACAACAAGCAGGAGCTTCGTCGCTGTTTGCGCAAACCCTAAAGCGCAGGAGCTTGCCGGTGCTTTCCTCGTGGCAGCCGTTAGATGCTCGTGTGCCTCCGTGTATCGTAGCTGAATGGCACGAATCCTGCCGAGGTAATATAGGTAACGTGCGACCTGGTTGTTGGCAGCGTTCTCTGGGAATTGGGTGTGGGATACGAGGAGATCGGCTTGAGAGATGTGGGAGGTAAGGAGATAGCTTCGGAGAAGAAGTACGATGACCGAGGCCTGTATGTCAATATCCTTTCGTAGCACGGCAGTCCGGAGAGCAGTCAACAAAGTTGGACGGATCGCAACGATGGGAGACTGAGGGGACGGGGGCAACGGAGCAAGTTGCTCGCAGAATAGAGAGTAATAGAAATAAACCTTGGCAGAAAGGGAGTCTAGAGTACGACGATTCAAAGAGTGAATGCGCTCTGAGAGATACTTAGAGAAGTCGAAGCCTAGCTGAAACTGCTTCGAGTCGAACAGATAAACCTGAACAAGGATGCTCAGGAAAATATCGATCTCGGGAATGACATCTTTGCTCTCCTTCTTGGCGCCGTTCTTAACTGCGGCCTTCGGTTCGCTATCAATCTCCATATCGGCACTCGACTGGCGACCTAAAGGTACATCTTGCTTTCCGATCGCAAGCAAAAGCTGCTTGGCGACGTTGGCAGATGAACTTGTAGGAGAGAACGTCTCTGCGATAACCTGTGCGAGAATGTCTGGAGTGAGGCGTTTTCGAAGGGAAGAGATGGATCTAAGAGCCCTTAATGTGAATCTGGCATCGAATAGAGTTACCGCGCGGTCGAGGAGGGCGAAATTGCTCTTTAAATCTAGAAGGGGAAAAACGCGTTAGGTTTAAGATGTACGGAAATTACTTGGATGATGATACGAGTCATACCTGTGATAGCTTGGGTGATGGGGTCGACCTTAACCTCAAGGTCTTCTGGCTGATCTACGTCCATGGCAATATCCCCATCAGCATCCGGAGGTGGTGGTTGAGAAGATTGCTTTGTGGTCTTTGAAGGTGGTACGACGACAGTCATATCCTCTCCCTCCTTAACACCCTTCTTTCCCTTGCCTTTGAGTGAAGACTTCTCGTCGGTCATATCAACATCCTGGTTGTTCCTAATACCATTCTCGACCGGCTCGTTGCCGTTTGAATGAGGCGTTTTCCCTGGCATATCTGCGTCTGAGAAAAACTAGAGATGGAAAAGGGGAAAAGAGATGTGTTCTTTTTTGTTGATTAGGGATGAGGTCGAATAACTTGACTCTCGATCGGGTGATTCGTCGATTTTAATTCGGGTAGAATGGATGGTTGATGGTTGATGGATTATTGATGGTGATGACGATGCTATGGACAGGTGATATCGCGAGGCGCGCTCACGGTTCGGAGACCCTGCAGACGAAACTGGACTGGTTTGGACGTTTTTTTGGCAGCTAACCGGAAAAAAACACAAACCAGGTGTCTAAATAAAACAAAGGAGAAATAGAAGTGCGTGTAGATACAAATACACGCAAATGGAGGAATGAGTCGCCGTTTGATTGAGAAGTTGATTTTGAAGTTGTTGATTATGAGAGATGGAAAGAGTAGAAGGATGGAGATGGAAGATTGCTTTGCTTGCTGATTGATGGTCGTTTGCAGTTGCTCAGGTTCAGGCTCAGTCCAGGCTCAGTCACAAGGTAAGAGTGATGCAAGCGAAAAGTCCCGGGCGAAAGACTGGAGTCTGGAGGGCAGTTGTCGCCTGACTGGTTACTAGGAAAGAGAGGATAGCGCTAGAATGCCTGGAGCTGTACCACTGTTTAGGTCTGTTTAGGTGTTATTTAGGTATCCTAGCAGCTGTCTAGGTGAGTATAAGTGGACCCGATAATCACTGAGCGCGCTGGAGAAGCTCGAAGATGCGCTCCGAAAGAACGCCAACCTGGAAGGCGCCAAGACAAAAAGTACGAAGCTTTGACCAAACGGTACAAGGGTTTTGGGCGTGATACCATGCGAATTACTAGGTATCTTGGATACATCTTTTTCTGGATCTATCTAATGCCGGGACCCACCTCACCTTCTATCGAAGGACCCATCCAAGTGACGTTTGCGAATTGGTGCCTGTCCAGAGCTTCGACCGAATCAACGATTCAACCTTCCTTGCTTTTTCCCAAACGACCAACGTCTTCGCCGCATTTCTAATGTGCAGCATCCGTCCGCACTAGCCACAAGCTTAGTTAGATCAATAGTGACATCGTCATCAGAATGCCTCGTACGTAATTATTTATCTGAACCCAATTTCCGATTTAAATGTTCAAGAATAATACAAAACAACAATCTTCAATGATATCAACAACGTAATATGTAAATTGCAAATACCGACATATTAAAGGCAGTTATAGAGAGTATCATATCCGCGGATAGGTAGATGTATTCAAACACTGGATAAGTTCGCATCAATAATAACAAGCACACCAAAATCAAACCCCAAACCAAAACCCCAATCTCCATATCCCGCGTACAAAAAACGTGACAAAAAAGTTCACATAAATAATCCATCAAGCCCGAACACGTCGGATGTGCCATCGCTCATGCAGCAGCCCAAGCCCAACGGCAGCCATTGGTCTAGGTGCCACATGTCCGCGCTTGACAGGCGTTTCTCCCCACGGGATTCCCTTTCCTCTCCTCTTCTAAAGGAAGCCCGGTCGGGATGGTTCGAGACGGATGATCCCCGGCGCAAGTAATTGCCCATCTTGCTTGGGATGGAACTGCGCGATGCAGGCAGTCAGAGCGGGCATGTCGCGCATTTGCTGCTTGATCTCTAGATTACCTAGGTAGGTATTTATATCATTGTTGCTTACCTAGTAGCTATTTAGTCATTTATTCGATGGGAATCTCATATCAGATTAAGGATGATAAAGAAGGGGAAAAGTAGCACCGAATCAATATATCACCAGTCACCATTGTCAAGTATACAGAAGCCAAGTATTTAATAATACGACCACATCATCATATGCATCTTATTAGCCGCATATGGCTGTGGCTAGGGGCTACCTGGGTACATTAATCTCTGAAGAAAAAGAATAGGTAAAAACTTGACCTGCTCAACGCCTCGTATCGTATCCCTCGGGTCGAGTGTCAGACCATGAAAGTAAAACCAACGAAACTCCAGGCCAGAATAACGGGAATCCCTTTTGCTCTTTCCTGATCACCATAGGCAGAACATAACCGTGTTGTAAAAATCTTAAAATCAAACATCCGAAACTCCATCCGTTCGCAAATAACATGCATGCCTAATCTGCCGCAAGGTTGTAGACCGGTAAGGGTATTTTATAATGAGGCGGTATTTCCTTCATCGCCGGAAGCCTCTCCAGCAGCATCAGCCTCTTCGGTCGTAGAAACTGGTTCGGCAGCAGGGGCCTCTTCAGTAGCAGGAATCATCCTCTTACGGTTCCGCTGCTTCGGAGCCGGATGGGTGGCGGATCGAGGTCGGTTCATGGGCTTAGTGGTAGACATGCCGGGTCCGCCCAGCACGGAAGGGATAGGAAGCAAACCCGCACGTCGTGCGTCAAACTTTGCAAAAAGCGAGTCGTTGAGGCGCTTCTTGGCAGGATCGGACTCGTCCTACTTGTCGTCCTTGCCGGGCATGACTTTGGCTGCTTGAACGGCATGCACCTTGGAAATCCAGTTTGGGGTAGGTTGTACCTTGCGCACAGTTCGCAGCTCCTCTGACGTGTGACCAGGGATGCGGATGTTGTAGACACGCTCGAGTACAAGTTGTAAATCTCGAGTTTCGAGTACCTTACTACCACGTTCCTTAGCTAAGCGACAAGCGGAGTGGATAACTTGATCGACAAAGTTATCAGCAACGTTGAGAACAGACTGCAAGATATGTGTTAGTATTGTATATGCAAGGAGGTTAAAGTTTGAGGGAATAGAAAGCATGGTCAACATACCTCTTCAACATCCGGAGTTAAGTAATTGCCATCAGCACCGGGTGAGGCACCACCGCAGACCTGGCGAACAAGTTCGTCGAGCTTCTTCTTGGATAGCACGTGTTCACCCTCGGCATCAAACTGGACGGGCGGCATCTTGTTAATCACAGGCTGACCCATCACACCACCTCCAAGACCACCTCCTCCGCTAAGTGAAGGGCGACCGGGAGTGTTCCCGCCACCGACGCTGACCGCTTGTGGAGTCTCGATTGCTTTGGGCGGCAAGTTCTTGCTAATTGGCATCTTAGGGTTAAGGGCCGGGCTAGGCTGAGGATGGGCGTGCGAATGACCGGCGTGGTTCGCGTTGCTGACAAGGCCACTGGCGCTAGGAGTGGAAATGCCAGTACCAGAACCGCTGTTAGACTGTCCGGGTACGTTGGTTGACGAGTTTGCGCGACTGACCGCAGCTGCGTGTGTCAGAGGGCGGACGGGCTGAGGAACCGGGGTTACTTGTTGACCTGCAGATTGGGGAGTCTGGACGCGTGCCGATGCCTGAGTTGGCGTACCCGCAGAAGGCATGCTCGCAGAGGAAGCGGCTGCAGCAATAGCCGTGTTGACAGGGGGTGGGCGCGACATGTTGTTAGTCGGCTCAGTCTTGATTTGAGGCTGAGAAGGAGTAGCAACTGAATGCGATTGCTGAGATTGATGTTGCTGTTGCTGTTGCTGTGCAGACATCGCAGGTGTAGCCGGGGTGACAGGTGTCCCGGGGTGTTGCTGTTGTTGTTGCTGCTGTTGTTGAACTTGAGGTTGAACTTGGGTCTGCACCTGAGGTTGTTGTGATGGTTGTTGCTGTTGCGGCTGGGTAGCTGTAACCGATGGTCGGGCTGCCGCAAGTTGTTGATTTTTAGCAGCATCCATCGCCGCATTCACCGACGCAGTTGCGGCTTGCATAGGATGACTTGTTGTGGGAGCACTGACATTTTGTTGTTGCATTGGCTGTGATCGTGCCTGCTGTGCATTTTGTTGTCCTTGCACCTTCATTTGTTGACGTACATTTTCAACAAATCTTTGTGCCTCCGAATAACTCTTCTGTTCTTGCTGCTTCTGTTCTTGGAATTTCTTCACATCCTCGGCAGATAGCTGTCCCTTATCTTGCCGCTCTTTGATCATGGCATCAAGCTTTTGCGATCTATTTTTAATGGTCTCCATCTGCACCAAAAAACGCATGTACCTTTGCTTCATCTCGCTCTGCCATTTGGCCATCTGCTCCGGCGTCGTCAGCTGAGCCGGCGGTCTAAGCGAGTTCCAGGGCAATTGGTTGGTGTGATTCACTATGAGCTTCGGGACTTGATTTCCGGCAGGAACGGGATTGTTGGGAGTAGATGAAGACGCGCCAGGGTTATTAGGCATTTGGACTTGAGGCCTATTAGCAATCCTCTGAGCTTGCGCTTGCACCTGATTCTGAGCCTGAGCTTGAGCCTGAATCTGAGCCTGCGCTTGTGCCAAGTTGCTCTGGTTCTGGGTTTGCTCGTTCTGGGGGTTTTGTTGCGCGTTCATATGACTCGATTGCCCAGGTTGCCCTGGCTGTCCCGGTTGAGGCTGGCCACCGGCCTGGTTTCTTGCTTGGAGAGTTTTTATCTTGCTGATGACCGTCCGCGAGAATTCGATGATTCTGTGTTTCGCCAAGGTATGCTCTGAGGATTCGGGCGGGTTCTGTTCCATCTTGATGTATAGCTGTCGAAGGCCTTCCTCATACTTCTGCTTTTCTTCAGCCGTCAGATAGCTGACGCCTCGTATCTGCTCGGGTCTGAGAAGACGGACAGTCTGCCCTTGGGCAGGTTGTCCCTGAGCTGGGTTCATCGTGAGGGTCTATTCAGATTGCGCGCGAATGTTTGGTTGGGTGGTGACAATCTATTTACGAAAATCGTCGGACGTCGGAGGTCAGAGGTCGGCGTTGATGGCGAAGGCGGCAAGGGTACGCGATGTCATTCAACGGAAACAAACCAAATGGTGGGAGAAGGAGGAAATAGGTTGAGCCCTTAGGTCTACGGAACCTAGGGCTTACACTCAATTGCCTCTACTTAGTTTGCGCAAAGTTTGTTCAGACACAATTAAGAGAGATGGAGGGGTTTTGTTAAAAATTAAAGCTTGAAAGCTTCTTGAGAGTTTCTTTGCTTACACCGTAGACCTGAGTGCTTACATAACAATTGGAACTCAGGGCTCCATCAGGAATTACCTAAGTCCCGGTAAGTTTATATCTACTCCACAGTTGATGATTATCCAATAGATATAATGCCAAAAGATGGGTAAATATCTATTTATCGCAATTATGCATGAAAAGAGGCTTCAACAGAACCCCTGCTCCGTTTCATTCGAAATCTAACCTAGGTACCGTACCAAAGCTTGCAGCACCCAATTAACCGTCAATTCATCATAAATTTATGGTTTGGCGATGCAAACGTTTGGAAAAAAAGAAACCGCCGACTGCGCGTTTTTTTATTCAATCGTTTATATTTCAGATTAGTGTTTACTTCCATTCCAAACGTTTGGAGATTCTAAACGTTTAACATGAAGCCTTCGATGTACCTAGACGGGAAGCTGCAGGAGCTAGCGGATAGGTGTTTTACTTTGGAACCAACAAGCAAACGGGCCAGATCAGGTTGAATCATCTAGCCTTCTACGAGGCCTCCTACGTATGTAGGAGGCTATCTACGATTTCTACGATTTCTACCTACCTACCTACTTACCTACCTACTTACCTGCAAGAGCCGCAGTTGAGCCTCAAGTCACTGGCAAATCGGATAGGCTGGAGATCCTGGAGATCCTGGAGATCCTGGAGGCGATCCTGGTGTACATGGGGTGGGTAGACTTGTTCAAAGACTTGGAGGTTTTGAAGATGAAGAAGAAGAAGAAGAAGAATTAGAGGTAGGTGGGTGGGATCAAGGTCTTATATAGACTTAAGGTAGGTGGATTGGATCAAAACAACAAGATCAAAGTACTACTGAAAGGGTTACACACACCAGATCAGGGACTTGGAATAGTTCGAGCTATCGCCAAACATTTATTTGAAAGAAACGTTGAACTTCTTCTAAACGTTTGAAAATATATAACGTTTAAATGCGAGTAATCGTTTAACTTTATAAATATTCAAATAATTAAACATTTATAAAACTAAACCATATATTTATGGGTTTAGAAAAAACTACGCGTTAATTAGAATGGGGTGGCCTAGCTAAGTACATACATACTAGGTACATACAGTGTATACACCTGCACAGTCTACCTACTTCGACTGCGTCTTAGGGGCATGATGCAATAAACTGTGTAGGTAACTGTTTCTGATGGATTTATCAAGCAGAATCTAGATAAGTACCTGGTCGTTAGTAGAGAACTTACAATCTTAAAAAATGAAGCATACAACTACCTAGGCTATTACCTAGGTAGTTAATCTAAAAACATGCGTCCTCTCTACTTCTCTTAATCTCATTAAATGGTGAATAGTCTCGTTACACTGGAACTCATAACCAGGTACTAGGTTAAGTAGGCAATAACTACCTAGGTAATTGCTCATGCACCTGGTTGGGATGACCTAGACTACATAGAAGGTAAGGAAACACTGTGATTGATAGGTAAATAAAAATCATCCAAGTCCTCAAGCTAAGAGGTTACCTCAGTACCCAGGTAAAAGGTATGTGAACCAAGTTTTCGTCAACAGCTCTAACGTACGACCTTACATATATGTCAATACTGAAACCAATGCATCTATTCAAGCCACAAGTTATCCTCGTACTCCTAGTCTATATGTCATGAGCATCCTCGAAGAAGAAAATGCAGCCATATGCTCGCTATGAGCGGCCGCTTCTATGCAAACATCATCAAGATCGTCGTCATCGTCGTATCGTATCATCTGCGTCGTCCAATGTCGTCGTCGTCGTTGTGCAGCCGTACCCAACCGATCTGCCAAGTCCAAGTCTATGAGGTATCTAAAACGAGATGAGAAACCAACCCCAATAAAATCCTTCATCCGATATTAGGATAAGTCAAGCCACCCGTAGTGGTCTCCCAGGCTATGTAGCCAATGTTCTATGCAAGCAATTCCAATACATAATGCTAAGATGCAAGCGTGTTGTGCCCCCTATATTCTCCGTGATCTTGTAATGATCCGATCACCATTCATTTTTTTCTGATTCATCATATCATAAATCTGTCGCGGCAGCTAGCTCCCATGTAAATTAACGGGAGACGTCGATGTATTATTGACTGGGCCGTATTTGTATAGTGTCGTATAATCGTAAATTGCGTGCCGCACGTGTGTCGGCAACGCTCTAGCGTCAGCTCCACGAAGCTACCACGAAGCTTCTCTCCCATCCATTTTCATAACGTATGCGGTTGAACTCATTCAGAGTCAACATCCATTAGAGTCCAGTACGGTAACTCTCTTGCGAATATCTCGGCATCATCCAAGATAATTTCATCGTCGCTGTTCGGCTCCTTGAGCTCCTCAATTCGCTCAGGAAGCGCGCCTGTGAATTGAATACTAATTCGATCACCAACTTTTCGCCGCATTCGGCGAGTCGGCCCAGTTTCGTTCCCTTCATAATAGGGCAGTACATCCTCTCTGTCGGAATCACTGCCTCGCTCGCTTACTGTTCGCTTGCTGAGACTTCCGGACTTCATCCTCCTCAGACGGCGTTCTTCGCGACGTTTCTGAAGCTGCCGAACGAACTCCTCGTCATCGCGGTCAATATCTGCATCAGAATCTTCGAAAGTATTTAGATTCTCGATGCCTGTCATGACAGCCGGGTCCATATCCGGCGGAGGCCGGGATCTCGACCGGCTTCTCTCGGAATTGGCGTACTCGAAGGCGTACGGCCGAAGAACGTGAAGATGATCGTCCTCGCTGTTGAGGGAACAGTCATCACTCAATTCCTCAATGGAAAACGCGGCCTGCTCGATCCGAATTGAGGCGGCAATTTTCTCTACATGTTGGTGGCGAAGTTTTGGTATATCCGAAAGTGGCGATTGCGGGGGACTTGCAGATGAAACGGACTCCTCCGATGAAGAATTTGAGGAACGAGGTGAGATTTCTTCAGGCCGAGGCGCACGAGTGTAACTAAATTTAGTCCCACCTAAAGGCCGGATGTTAGATGGATGGCGTTGGTGGCCGTGCGACTTTGAATGCCGCGGTAGGTGACCGTTGATTGCTGCTGCTTTACGGTTGATCTTAGGAGATCCGGTAGTGGGAGTCTCTGGTGGTGATGTAGGCCCCGCTGCTACGTGAGCGGTGTCCAGAGAGGGGGTATGCGGCCGCATGATATCGGCTTCGTTATGGGAATGTTATCCCTTCCCGACAATTGCGATCTTATCGATTCAATTGACCTCTTTTAATCTCACAATGTGGGGTAGGATTCGCGGGGGAGATAAAAGAAGAACGAGGGACTTTTTTTATTTTTTTATGGTGTCAGCACCCAGAGCAAAAACCTCCAACGTGGAGAAGTTATTGGACTCCGATAACTTGTCATGTTAATATCCTCGGGATTTTGGTAGGTTGGGGGACAGACACCGCTACAATTCCTCCACAAAGGCGATAGGACTGGAATCGTCTCGCGGAGGTCAAATGCAACTCTATGCCGTAACTCTCAAGATGGAGAGATATGGAGAGATATGGATAGAAAGACGTGGCGAGACTGTCGGTAGTGAATCGCCGTCTTAAATAATTTACTTCCTACCCGCGAGGGAAGATGTTGCTGCTAACAGAAGCAATGCACGAACAATGCACCACCGACAGAGACAAGGGAAACAGAAGTATCCTCCCCGGCTAGAATTGCTCGAAATATCTGTGTAGCGCAAAATAAGATAAAAATAAAATAAAAACCCTCTGGAGTTGTGTGGATCTCCAACAAGGTCGCCTGGGTCGGAGGGCTTGACGAACCCAGGGAAAAAAAAATAATATGCAAGTAGAAAACTTTTGAAAGTTGGGAATTTATTCCGGATGGGGAGAAATAGTGAACGGCGTGTATTCCTGCTGTCGGAGCTTACTGCGTATGAGAAGAGAAATCTCATGTGCAGAAACCGAGAGGGGGAAGGTGTGTATTTGGGGGCGGGCCTACCAACAGTCTTATAGTGTAAGGCAAATATAGAAGCCTGTAATCCATGTAATAATAACCTTGGAATGATAATACGGATTGTGAACATGAGGGTATGCGGTATGCGGTATACATAAAGGAAGTATACATGAGCAGGCTAAGGTTGCGGACTCCCGGGCAAGGCAGGGCAGAGGGCAGAGAGGAGCATGGAGAGGAGTAGAGGAGTAGAGGAGCAAAAGAAACGGGTCTAGCTTCTCGTCTACCAGCCTATGAGCCAGCCTATGGCGGAGGATCTCGCAGAGAATGCGGCTTGGGCACCAACGGTCCCGGGACTCCCTGGCTACTTTTCGTGGGAGGCATAGCGCGTCCAGAGAAAATGCGACATGTATTCAGTGGGCGGCATGAGGCATATAATGGTTGAAGAAAAAACGACGAGTCTGGAGATGGCAGCAAACTGACGTTGTGACAGGATGTTCAGTCAGACAATCTTGGCCTACCCCATCTGCTCATGAGATCCATGGGCGGTAGTCATGTATAACTGAGCTGTTCAGCCGGTCCTGTTAAAACCTGGACGCTGACCGAAAATTAAACCATCGGCTCATCAGACTATTAACACTGGTTAACACTGGTTAACAGATGCTTAGCATACCTCTACACTGCATACTTAGCACACCCAGCATACCTAGGTAGGTTGCTAGGTAATAAAAAAAGTAGGAGCCCTGAAGACGTATCAGGGCTTTGAGCGAGGGTCGACGGGTCGACGAGGATCCACGATAGGTTGTACGAAGGAAGGTAAAAAAAAAAAAGATTGACAAGGGGGTCAGGTAGCAGCGCTCATAGAAATCGTGCCCAATGATTCGAGCGAGGTGAGCTGCGGGAAGGAAAGAAGAGAGAAGAGACGCAGCGTAGTGGAGATGGGAAAAATGCACTGCTTGGCTGTTGATGAGGTCAGGGATACCCCGAGTCTGCAGCTTCTGCAAGTAATATAATGCCAATGTATCGTAACCATTTTATTATCTCCCCGTTTTTCCTCGCACCTTTGCAATGCTTAAAACTGCTGTCAGGTGGCGACCCGGCGCTGCGGTGAGCTGAAAACAGAATAGGGCATATTCTATTCTGTATTATACCAAATACCGCCTTTTCTCTTTCATGACCGCTAGAATGTTTCACGAATTCGTCCCATATAGACCTGCCTACTTGGGCAGAAGGGGGATGGTGTCCGACGGGATGGTAGATGAATGGTATATAGATGTTATATAGATGGTATATGGACACCATTTGACGGTTATACCATTCGAAGGATCTGCACTATACGGCAGATTTATGATCGAATCAATCACTTGGAGATCAAGCAATTGTGATAGCTTAAGGCTGGCGGATGAAGAAGACAAGGATCTTTATTTTAGGTAGTCTATTCCAAGACATTGGGGATGCAAGGTGGGAAAAGCCGTCTTAAAATGGAGACTGAATGAATTTCATTTGTCGTTGTTGAAGATTGGGAAATCGAAAAATCGGTCAAGAACTCAAGGAGTGATAACGATCCATACAGTGAGCATGATTAGCCTAGGTTAACTAGCCACATAGTGGGGGTTTGAGTGGCTAAGGTTTCTCAATAAGAAGGTGGAAGGTGTGAGGGGCAGAGTGACAGAGGGGTTACTTAGGTAACACCGTCGCCGTGGTTGAATTATTAATGTACTACTACAGCACCTAGTAGGCAGGTAGAATAGAGTTCAATGACGCGAGTCAATTTCAACCTCAATTGCCTAGTATTTACCTACATATTAAACAGCTTAGGTAATTCAACACTAGCGAACTTGGAAGCTTCATCTTCTAGTTCGTTACTAGGTACCGTTTTCTGCATCTCTCAGTGCTCATTCGTCACAATTATTTAACTTCGAGTACCATAAACAAGCTACACCATGTCGCTCCTCTCGGCGCATTTCGAGCAGATCGCCATATCATGTCAAGGAATTGACAGTCTCCCGTATGTATCTTGATTACCAGGTATACATTTTATTTTTTATGTAATATAATCTAACATAACTCACAGCTTTCCACCTCCAAAAATCTTCACCAATGCCCTCCTTGCCAACGACGACATCACCTCTCTAATCCGCGACACCGAAGCTCACGAACGGGCGCTCTTCTCCGTCCCGCCACCTCCACCAGCTAGTTCGTTACAAGCCCCGGAGCCGCCAACGCAATCTTCGCGTCGGCAGACCGTATTCAACGTAGCCTCAGGCGAGGTCACCACATCGGGAAGCAACACGGGACGGAACGCGGGCGCGCCCCGACGTCACACCGCCGTAGCAGCCGTGCTAGGCGGCGACTTGCACGAGCAGATCCGACGTAGCGAGCGACGCGGCGGGAAAGACGACATTGACGTCGAGATCTTGTTGAAGGGCGCAGAGAAGCTATGCGGCGTGTACCCCCTACCGGGCGCGCTAGAGCGGATAGCAGCGCAACGGTCGAAGTACGCACATAGTCGGAGCACGCTAGCATACTATGAGGCGAAGGTAGCCGAGCAAGCCGAGGCGCTTGGAAAGATGAATAAAGACCACTGGATGGACGACGACGACGAAGAGGAGGAGCGTGAGCAGGATGCTCCGCAGGATGGGGAAGAGATCTACACGGAGGAAGATCTGATAAGAGAGGGAGAGCTGATCCGAGAACTCGAGAAGAAAAAGAAGGAGTTGCAGGAGCGGCTGCAAACGATTGACAGAGATATTGACGGATTGCTGCACATGTAATGCTGCATGTATTGTTTTAAGACTATGATACCCCAAACCAACACGGTTTAACGCCATCGACCGAACCCAGACCTAAAGCTGGTGACATCTTATTTCCCCTCCTTGACACTTGCGAACGCTTCTAAGAAAGCCTGCGCGTCCTGCGCACCGTCGACTTCGTACTTGCCCTGTACCGTGAAGTGCGGTACCCCGTGTATATCCTTCGCGACGGCTTCCTGGACCTCCTCGTCGACCTCCTTGCCGCCCTTGCCCGTGTCAAGCCAGTCTTTCACCTCGGCCTTGTTCAAGCCCGCCTTCTCAGCTGCGGCGATTAAGGTGTCATGCGAAGTGATATCTCCGTCGCTCTCGAAATAGCTCTTGAACAGCTCCAGCACGACCTTGTTCTCGACTTCGTTGCCCTTCGTCTTACCGAGTTGGATTAGACGGTGCGAGTCGCGCGTGTTGCCGACCTTGCCCCTGAAACTGAAGTCGATGCTCTCCTCGCGGCCTATCGTCGTTAGTCGGCGTTGGAGGGCGGCGAGCCGTTCTGGTCCGAAGCGCTGCACCATGCGCTCTGTGATAGGGACGCCGACTTTGGGTGAGGTGGGGTCTAGGTAGAACGGCGACCAGGTGATGGTGAATGTGTCATCTTTGGCGCCCGGATAGACCTTGCGGTAGAGGTCGATCGCTTTGTCTACTCGCTTCTTGCCTATGTAGCACTATGTATGGCGTTTTTTTAGCATTGAGACTCAAGTCGGGTCATTGTAATGGAGCTTACCCATGGGCAGACGGTGTCGGATACAATTTTGATGTTGATATTTGTCATTGTGCCCTTGTTGTTTTGGCTCAGAAATTGATTCTAATGTTGTCCGAACTAGGTACTTAATTAGGGATGACCTACAGTATTAGGGGATGTTGCTCGAGATTTATCTTTGATTTCGGACTTCGGGACGGATTCAGTTGGAGAGAATATTAATAGCTGACAAATCCACCATGAAGCCCGATCCGGTATCGTCTTTGCTCCGCACACCGTGAGACGCCGACTAGACATGTCGTCATCGCTAAGTGATACATGCATTCCATCCATCCATCTTAGGAGGGAATAAGCAAAGCTGAATCATCAGCTAGTGTACCAATCCCCCGGGCTGAGACCCACAGCTTTTATTACCTGGTATTTTCGACAGTTCATTGATGTCTGGAACGATTCTTATATCAAGTCAAGTAAGGCTCTGCAGCAATCTCTTGGTGAGATATAAACATTATTCGTCTCCTCGTTTCGCCTGACTTGAGCTCTTACTGCTAATCATAACAATATCATTTCTCACCCTTCGCACAACTGGCCATCACTGTCCGTTCGTAATTTCAACATCCAACCCCGCCCATGATTGCAACACACTGCAATGGTTGTTTGGGAAACGTCCGTTACAATAGTTTTATATCCGCCTTCCGTCCTGAATGGCTGGTATTCAGAAGGCAGCCAAAGCAGCATCTGACCATTCCAGCTCAGCCACTCCCTATTTAATTCTAGACCCTCAGGTAACTTGTCCGTAAGTTCTGGCACAACTAGGTCTGTCGTAATATCCGATCTTGTTTTCTCGTCTGGTATTACCAGCCTCCCGTCAGGCGAAAAGACTATCTTCTTGAAAGGTGTGCTCGTACTGAATATTTCAATGGGCCTATATGTGACTGCATCCCATACTTCATACAAATTGACATCACGCGTACAACGATAGATTACCAGCCGACTATTGTCTGGTGAGAAGGCCATCGCGGTAGCCAAGCCATCGTGGCCTTGAAGTGTTTTCAGATGCGAGCTCGTTGCCACATCCCATATTATATTCTGCCCACCATTGATACCTGCCGCCACACAGGCCTCGTCGGGTGAGATGGCTATCGCGTTAATTTGGCCAGCATCAGGGTCAAAATCGATATCTCCGTACAGATTTGATCTTACTAGCATATCCCATAATGAATATCTTGCATACCCTAAAACTACCGGCGCATAGTCCTTGTTGAACGAGGAGTATATCGGGGTAATTGGCTCACTAGAAACTTTAAGTGTACTCAGACACGAGCCCGTTGCCACACCCCATAATGAAATACTCGCATAGCCTGAACCTGCCGCCACATACGTCTTGTCGGGAGAGAAGGCTATCGCGGTAATTGGTTCGTTAGAATCTTTAAATGTTCTCAGACATGAGTCCGTTGCCACATCCCATACCATAATGCACCCATCGTTTGAACCAAACGCCACATAAGTCCCGTCAGACGAGATCGCTCCGCACGTAACCGACATACTGAGCCCCTTCGCCTTTTGGGGAGCTATAGATGTTTCAATTATTTCCAAATCCCATATCTTAGATGTGCAATCATAAGAGCCAGATGCCAGTTGACTTCCGTCTGGCGAGAAGGCCACCGAGGTAACACGTGCGTTATGATCTTTGATTGTTAATAACAAGTCACTCGTTTTAATATCCCATATATGGATTGTTGCAGCATAGAAGCCCGCCGCTAACCATCTCCCGTCGGGTGAGAAGGCTATAGACAGACAACGATCCGAGCTACTAGCCTCGACCGTTGACAAGCATGTCATCGATTCGGTATCCCATATATTGATTATCCCATCAGTGGAACTCGACGCCAACTGCCCCCCGTCTGGTGAGAGGGCCACTGAGGCAACCTCATAATCAAAGTCTTGGACTGCTGTGCATTCGCCCGTCTCCATATCCCATATTTCAATCCTCTGATCATTCGAAATCGACGCTAACCATCTCCCAGCAGACGAGAAGGTTATTGAAACATTACCATAATTGTAGTGTTGGGCTGCGCGGACTGTTGTGCATTGGTGTGTTGCTATATCCCACACTTTAATTGTCCCATCCTGAAAACCTGCCGCTAACCGTCTCCCGTCAGCTGAGAAAGTTACTGAAATAACCAGGTAATACTTTGCTGAATGGACGACATCATCGCCGTCTCGGAATTTTTTGCGTTCGCCTGTTGCTATATCCCATACGATAACCTCGCCACTTGTCGTACCTGTTACTAACTGTTGCCCGTTGGGTGAGAAGGCTAGTGACAGGATCAAAGAGTTCCCAAACGTAGCCACACTTTCGCCTGCTGCTACATCCCTTATAGATGCGTTAAGGTATACTCCTACTACTAGCCGTTTCCCATCAGGCGAGAATACGACCGAATCAACAGGACCCGTAAGGGAGAAACTCGCTGTGTATGCGCCCCAATGGCTGTCTACGGCCGGCTTTAAAGCTAACCATCGCGGCTCTTCGTGCTGGAAGTGACGTCGGATTATACTCTGCGACGGGCTAAAGACAAGCGCTGACCCATATACCTGAAGTGGACTGCTTTTAATAGTTGGCTTATGATATCGAATGAATCGAGTTGCATCTTTGACAAACTTGCGAAGTTGACTGGTCGTGTTCTGTACACAAAATTGTAAATAAATAAAACTAATATACCGAGGTATATTTCATGATTGAGTAAGTGGGTACTTACCTGCAATAGATCACATAGCATTATCATTGCGGAGGTACCTTTCGGGATATGTTCGAGGATACTAAGGGCCTCAAGCCAGTGGAGGAAGTGACTTCTTAGAAACACGTCGAGGATACCGTTATCTTGGAGATCGTTGATATGTAACTCTCTTTGGGATTGGGACTCAGCCAAGTGGTCAAACCAGTAGATGCAAGGGTAACGCACAGCGGTTAATGGATCTGGCTTTGGTGGCTCGATAAGATCGGGAGGTATTCCCCAATCGCGTAGATTGTATATGTTTCGTTGAAGTGTTCGCGACATAATTTGGAGGGATCTTGAGAATATGTTGTAATGGACATATTCCACACTATCAGGAAATATGGCATCTTTCGAGTTTTGTCTGAGGAAATCTTGAGCCGACTGGTGAATAATGAAGACGACACCTTCTTGTATTGCAATGAAAGAACCACATAACTTTACGATGTCTTTGACATCTTCCATCCTCAATGGTCCTTCAGGTAGATCGGAGAAAGCAACAAGTTCTTCCAAACAGAGTGGGCGATATGTGGTTACGACCGTTGAAAGTATTTGAAAACAATATGCCCTTTTTTTCCGCTTCAGATTTTGGATTTGTCGTATCATTCGCCCATATAACTCTAGTAGCCCGAAAGGAACTTCATCGATGATGTCTTTGATTTCAAAGTGGCTCGCTTGTTTAAGCTCTTGAATAACCAACCCAACCCAAAGAAACGTGTTATCCGCCTTACGACGGATTTCGTCGCAGACAGCAGTTCGAAGAGCCGGGTCATTTTGTATTCCCGGTATCTCCAAAATACGATTATCAATGTAGGTGTTGACGGCACAAGAAACTTGATCAGCGTTGCTTTTCAATTCAAGGCTTAGTCTTTCCTGAGATTGATCAGGTTGTAATTTCAGCTCAATATCGGGTATGTTACGGCTCGACAAGAGCCATTTAACATGGGATCTTGGCGGAGTCTTCATGATCAGGTCAAGGAGTTTGTAGAGATCTGTTTCGCATTCGTCCAGGGCATCGACGACCAGGATAATATTAGGAAGCCTAGGGTCTTGTATGATGTTGGTGAACATCTCAGACAATGCAAACCAGGCATTGGCGTCCTCAAACAACGACTTGCCCGCATGCTCATATTTATCCTTTACATGGGATACTAGAAGAGATCGTTCTTGGTCGATGAGGAGGTAAATTAGACCGCGAAGTACGCCGATTGCATTATTGAGTCGTTTATCGGTAGCTTGGCAGAAGAAGAAGGACAAAACATAAGTCTTATTGGCAAACTGGTCTTTCATCTCGTCTATGATGCCACAGAGCAACATGGTCTTGCCCTTGCCCGGATCGCCTTTGATCCAGAGAAGGTGGCAGTCGGTATCGTCTCGCCATCGTAGGAAACTATCGTGGCCAAGAATCCAACAGTACGAGTCTCGTAGTATGCCACCTTTAGCTTCTTCGATACGTTTCTTATCGTGGCGGGGGTCAGTCGTCCGCAAGTCAGCGATGCACTGATCACGTCGAGAATCTGGTTCGTGTATCAGTGATGGAGGCTAGAGTCGACACTCGTTCGTTATCTACTTACGGATAGTCACATTGCCTGCGTGGAAATTACCTGGACCCGAGTGTTGGATACCAGTTCCACGGAAATCATGGCGTTGAGGAGGATGGTCTGTCATGCTATTGCTGGCGACAGGTTGCCACCGCACATTTGTTGTTGTTTGTCATGGAAAGAAGAGACATGAATGCTACGAACTTAAGAATGAACAACGAATATACTTCGGAAGGGGCTCTTATATGATAGGCCGCCACCATACCTGTCGGCTGCGGTACACACCTGTCAACTCAGACGCCAACTACATCACCAGCTGCCGCGCTTCTTTAGATAATCTTAGTACCAAATACCTAGTACCTAGGTACATAGGTCCTATGTAGGTACCTACTAGGTAAGTATCTCTTTACCAGGTAAACACCCGGGCAGGTATCTTTACAATCAGGATGCTTATGCCGACTACTAAATAAATAATAGTATAGATACTTGTAATACGGCATCAATACAAATGTAACCCCCTCTTCAGCCCAACCGCCCCATGTAGGTATTGTTGCAAGCTACCTACCTAGGTACAAAGCCCGGACTTCCTAACCAATAGTTATATTACCATACGACGCATTCCCAGAACCCGAATTTTGAATGCCCCGGCCAACGAAACTGGAAGATGTGCCTGGCTTGCCGTTTCTGTTTGGCTGGTTAGGGTTTATTGTCGATGGCATCTCATGCACTAGCGGTGGGGGATCTGCTCCATCAGACGTATTTGAACTATGTCCCATTTCAGCCAGGACCGCTTTAGCATATGCAGCAGCCATAGCTGCCGCGTAAGGCTGCCACTCTTTGTTTTTGTGCTCATCTCCGTAGTCGCACACGCCTCGGATGACGCCGACGCGGATAGTATTCATCGTGCCCGTTGCTTCCATCTCCAGCCCGATGATGTTGAATTTATCTCGTAGCTCATCCCGTATTTTCGCATTTTTCACGAGCTTTTCACCCGAACCTATCGCGCCGTACCATACTTGCGTCCTTTCAGAATCAGGCCGCGGTGCTCGCTCTAATAGCTCTTCCTTTCCACTCTCGTCTCTCTTGTAGAAGTTGTCTTTCTGTTGGCCAGGATCATTAAATGTACCCTTTCTATGTCTCTTATCCTTCATCGCATTGTAAAAGGGTAAGAAACGTTCTGCTTCTTCGGGTGCAAGAAACATGAGAGAGCCGATGGCAGATCTAATAACATCTTCCGTGTTGGCAAGGGCATATCCAGACTTCAGGAGCTTGAACCCATCTGCCGTCTCCTTGCCTAGATCGTAGCCGATAAGCCCCGCACTGTCAGGCGTAGGAAGAGCGACGAGAACGTCACCGAGGCGGATATCTTGCGGTGACGGGGTCTCTGAATGGTTAGGCAAGCCAGCGGCAACACCCACAAGAAGTCCAAACCAGAGATTTTGGAAGAATTTCTTTACTTGGCTGGCAAGCGCAGCCGCTGAGCCAGTCCCGTATACTTGACCAGCTGGTAGAGTCGCAATGACAACGTTGAGCCCGCACATGCTACCGGCACGATATACATAATCGTCCCCACGATCTAACGCGAATCTGCCTTGATGTTCTCTGTCCATCATATACCAAGCAGCCCGAGCCTCGATCTCAAGGGGTGCAATCCATGCTACCTGATAGTCCGCGGGGTTTAACTTATGTAATTGAGACATTGGGGGCTAAATTGGTCAAGCCAATGAAGGAGTTGAGGGAAATGTCGGAGGCGGTTTGTTTAGAGTGGTCTTGTACTAATGTGTGAAAAGAATGAAGGATGCGATCGAGTGAATGAACGCAAAAAATAAAAGGAATCGTTTAATATGCCTAAAAAACAATAAAAATCTACCCAGGTAGAAATGAGGCTCCTCGAATAGTTGCTTAGGTGCCTAGGAGGTACTGGTACCTGTCTTAATCTCATCTTGTCAGCGTCACGCTCGCTAAACTGCTTGATCGACGAGCACCAATAAATGTTTAACGCTTTAAGGTCAGCTGCGGCCAGTCAACCTTGGAACCCGACTATCGTTGCTAGTTATTGGTGCTTTGGATATCATCTCCACAGGACAACTATCGCTCAGGGGGGGTAATTTATATGAAAGTTTAGAGGGCTCAGCTTTATTAACTTCAACAGGCGTCTTGTTGTCGCGACAATAAGGTAAAGGGGCACTAAGAGAAGGTATCTAATAATTGGTTAGGCATATAGAGGTACCGAGTACCTAGGTAGGTACTAGGCAGATCAGCTGCGAGCCCTACGTCACATTACGTAGTCCTGCATTCGAGAATGGTAGATGGAACTTATGTCAGAATGGAAAAGATATCACGAGAAAAGTGAGGATATATAAACAATGTCGACCTGATATTTACGAAGTGGATGAATTCCTCTGAAGGACCATTCAATAGAGACATAAGAATGCGATCCACCCCTATATCCACAACCCCTATTAAAATCGGAGACTAGACATTTTGAGCAGATATAGTTTGTTTTAAGTTTGCTGCTATCATCAAATGGGGCTCTTAAGTCCAATACCTCTCTGGTTTCGTGGTGTAGTTGGTTATCACGTCAGTCTAACACACTGAAGGTCTCCAGTTCGAGCCTGGACGAAATCATCCTTTACTTTTTTGGTTATTCACTTCTTTTTCAGTTATTGCTGGAGATTGTGTCTTTTTGTTGTCCTATCATTCGTCTCCTATCCATAATTACCATTATTTACGTAACTTGATTATTGCCATAGATGAAAATTTTACTTGTGGGGATAAGATATATTAGAACGACTCGGGAAATTCATTGCGTGCCGAAATTTTGGCAGAACAATCAGCTACCAAGAACTCGGAGGGCCTAGCCCTATAATGTATGCGCTGCTAGCGCCGGTGATTTAAGATTGATCCCTTAACTAGTTGAGGTTACAAGAATCTTGAATGCACTTTACCTTATTCAGTGGATCAGGCTCGGGATACCTTTTTAGCCGCATTCAAAAGTCAGGTTGGCTACCTACTAACTTCATACACAGACACGTAAAGGCAACGCTTGAAGAAGCTCAGAGTCAACTTGCTTGCCCAGTATATATGGACCTGATTCGGTATTCATATTATCATTATAGTATTATCTTCCCGCGTGGTATATGATCAACGCCATCTAGAGCAAGCCAAATATCTATCTACATATTCACATAATATCATTACCAAGTTTCCAGTATCCTCTCCGCGCCCTTCTCGCCCGCGACCATCACGCCGAACTGCGGGTTTACGGTCAATGGCGACAGGATAGAAGCATCGATGACGTGGATGTTCTCCGCCCCAATGACCTTCGTGTCGGCATCCACGCACTTCCCTATCCGGCAAGAGCTAGACCAATGTTGGACCGAGCCGACGGCGTAGGTGGAATACGTCGTGATGTACTTGCGGATTTCCTCCACTGTCGAATTCTGAGGGATGTTCAACGGGGTTAGGCCGTCGGCTGCTGGAGAATCGGGCGTCGAAGGAGGTAAGGCTTGGAAGATGGAGTGGATGAACGTCGCGATGTTCAGCCCATCGCGAGGGTCGCTGTAATAGACATCGGAGCTGGGGCCCGGCGTGAACTTCCCGTCGTCGGAGAGGATGACGCTTCCCGCAGAGCCAAGGCCGGAGGTACCATAGATGTTGAGCGTGATGGTATTGTTTTTCGTGAATTCTCCGAACCCCGACGAATCGATCGTACCCTGAAGACCAGTTTTGGTGCCATCGGGGTTAGGCAGGTAAGCCCAGAAGGCGGAGGTCTGAGATGCGCCAGCATACGGTCCGCTGCGAGAAGATAGGTAAAGATCTCTATCTGCAGGGATGGGGTTGTTATAGTTGTGGACGTATGACTCAATTGTCGGCCCGGATAGTTCGATAAATGTATTCGGGTTATCGAAGAGCCCCTCGCCAACCGATGGATTGAAAACCCAGCTCGTGGAGTTGAATGGCATCACTCCAGCCGCGGACATGTTGAAAAGTGTGTCAAGAGGGCCAATGCCAGAATGCATTAGAAGACCGGGGGAGCCAATAGCGCCGGCACTTAAGACAACTCGACCGCTCTTGGAGAGTGAGATTTCTATATCCGAGCCGTCCACCGTGGCGGTAACGCCAGAAGCCACGCCACCGACATGGTTGATATGTCTAACATGGACACCGGTCTGGAGGTGGAAATTATCTCTCTTCAGGGCGTCTTGTAAGTAGGTCTTGGTTGGACCACCTCGTTGGCCCCCGATATAGTTGTAGACCGGTCGTCCGAATACCCTATCCTTATTGTCTGGGGTCTCATTGAATGATACCTCGGTGAAATTGGCGCTATCAACAAGCCACTTTTTAGCCGCTTCGTAACCACTCTGCATGTAAAACTTGTCGTCTTCAGAGTAACTAGTAACGGAGGCTTGCATATCTAGAAGACGCTGTGTAGCATTCTGGACATCGGCGCTTTTCCACCCCTCCGGATGCCAATCGTCCCAATCAGAAGCCGGAGGTTGGAAGTACAAGCCAGCGTTGATCGCGCTGTTTCCACCGATAGCGCATGCTTGAAAAGAATTCACAACGCCCGCCGGGCATAGTATGTCTGTACCTCCACTGAAGATGCTCTTGTCTTTAATTGGTTAGTTTAATGAGGCAGGCAATGAAGGCTTCGGAGCCTGCAGATACTCACATAGACCAGGAACATCGACTCGGCTCAAGTCCGTTCCGTCAAGCCATGCAGGCTTCTCAGTGTCTCCTGTGATCCCATACGAAGCGCCACCGAGTTCCAATAGAAGAGTCTTCTTCCCAGCCTCACTCAATCGATCTGCGACAATGATTCCGGCAGTTCCGGCACCGACAACAATCGCGTCCCATTCTTGCGTAGACCAGTGGGTCGAGTTCTGCCGCGTTATAAACCTGGGCGCGCCAAGTGCAATTTGGCTCAGAAGGCTAACGATCGATGTCAAAGTCAGTAAAGACTTCATGTTGGCGTCCTTCGGCTTAGGCTTAGAGAATGACCTACGTACCGAATAGAAGAAGAAGAAACGGAGTGCCTAACAATGCCATAATATATTCGCCTTAGGTTTACACAAAGGAACGCATATTGCCATCATAGCCTATTGACCCCCTTGTCAACAAACTCAGCCCGCCGTCAAGGATGGAATAGTGGATCAAAACCATTATATGGTGTCGGCACTCGACCCGTGCAGCCCTTGTTCACCATGTCCCGTCATCCTGTGGTAACCGTGGTCGTGGAACCGTACTGCCGTAGTGGCAGGGGTCCTATTAAAAGAACCCGTACAGCTCGTATTAATATTAATTATTCAGTGGCTTTCCTCATGCATACGCGGGCACCCGGACAAATAATGACATTGAAATTCATTCTGTACATGCTTCGGTATGTAGATCTCTTACCTGTTGAAGAATTTGCAGCTTCAGCTTCTGTCCTGCGAATTAATTAATACTTCTTTCTTTTTTCTAGACGTAGGTACAATAGCGCCGTTCGCATCTGCAAAGTTGGGATGGAACAGCCCTACGAAGTACCTACGGAAGGATCTTAACAGTGCAACATCGCAGGGGTCTAGGATTCGGATCTTCCCGACATCGACAGCGTTTTTGCATACGTATCGCAAACAACTTCAAGATAGTTTCAATGACACTCTAACCGGATAATGATTCGGTCAGAGCAATGCCAAGACAATTGTTCTCCATTTGAGTATCCCTACTTTATTGAGCATGAATAAGGACTGAAATTCTGAATAAAGACGAAGAATTATATCTAAACCCGATATCCCCGATGACAATAATAGATCTTAAAATCTGTGTAAAGGCCTCCGGAGTTAATGCTTACCTAGGTTAGGTAGGTTGTCATATCTTACACGTAAGCAAGTATCATCTAATAACAATTCCAAGCTCCTTTGCAATAATATCAGCCGCTTTCTCCCCGATCGCCATCGCGGTGTTGTTAGTGTTCGCGGCGACATTCTCAGGTGGGATGCTCAAATCTGCCACCTTAAGCCCACGCACACCGTATACATTGAGGTCTTTATCCACGACACCCATCTCTTCGCGCGGTGCCATCTTCGCTGTACCCAGGGAATGCCACGTAGTTTGGATATTCTCGCGAAGATACTCCTCGATCGCTGCATCATCCTCAGGAGAGTACTCTAGGTCCTGTATCTTACTTCCTTCGACCGGCGGACTCCACTCTTCCAGAGCAACCGCCTTGGAGCCCTCCGGAAACCGGGGGTGACGACTCGGGACCTCGCCTCGATATATACCTGTTCGCCGTATGATCTCGCGACCTTTCTTATACCCCCATACTTGTTTCTTGAGGTCTATGTCATTCGCATCGCTGAAGAACCCTAGGTCAAAATCCAGAGGGTCGCTGATGTCGGGTCCTGTGATGTGAAGATGCCCACGAGAGTATGGATATGCAGTGTAGGGCGCGACGGAGAGGTACTGACCAGGAGCCAGGCCAGTGGAATCACCTAATACACTATATTATTATATCAGCATCACGGAATACCTAGGTAGTTTCCAAGGAATTAACACTGTACCCGTCATTGACAGCCATCAACATCAGTGGTCTATTAGGTTGGTTCTTGAAGTCCTTGTCCCACATAGCTTGGAACTCAGGTCCCAGAGCTGCCACTTCTTCATCTGTCGGTCGAAGTTTAGAAGAGAGGTCTATGAAGTTCCATCCCAGATGCGGGTGCTTCTGGGCTTCGGCATCTTTATAAGAAAGTCGCCCCGAGACAAGAGCGTCAGACGTCTCAAGCGGATCGAGTGATGATTGGTAGACATATGCTATCAGATTATGATCCTGATAGCCGTGGCCGACGCCCGGAAGCTCTTCAACAATGGGAACTCCAGCACGATCAAGCACATCTTTAGGTCCGACCCCGGAGCGTTGTAATACGGAGGGGGTGCCACAAGCACCGCATGACACGACAACAAGCTTCCGGGCTCTAACAATCTGCTTTGGATGAGGTGTCGCGAAGGCCATCTGGACCTGGTATCTCGGGTTGGGTGTGAACTCGACCCCGCAGGCTCTCTTGTCCTCGTCGAATAACACCCGCACTACCTTCGTCTCCACCAATACGTGCAGGTTAGGGTGTTTCCCATCGCGCAGCATAGGGTGTAAGTACCCGTGAGCTGTGTCCGAACGTTTTCCTTCGGGACTCATGTAGCGGAGCCAGCGCTGCCAGCCGTTGTTAGTATCCAGGTTTTGTAAGTCGATTATCTCTGGGTACCCGAACTGCGCGGCGGCGTGCAACCACTCATCTTCTACCCGCTTACAACGAAACGGACCATCGGAAACTTGGATTGGGCCGTCATAGCCGTGATGCTCTGGCTTCCCAGGTCCATGATAGGTTTCAAGCTTTGATGAACAATTACATTAGTACTTCTCTAGGTCCCGAAAGAGGCATAGTTGCTAGGGAATCACCTTTTTGAGGTATGGCCATAGTTCGTCGGCACTCCATCCTGGAGTTTTCCACGAGTCGTAATCGTCACGTTGAGCCCGTGTGTACCTTGTTAGAGAGGAGACGGAGTCAGTTTTGCGTATAGGTAAGGTACCGGTAGGCAGGTCTTGATGGGCGCTCATCTTACATCATGAAGTTGATAGACGAACCCCCGCCGAGTGTACCCCCTGAGGGGACGATCCTCTCTACATTTCCAGTATACCTCGACTTAGCCGCAGTATAGAAAATCGTTGTTTCGGAGTTGGGCTGAAGATGTGAATAGTAGAAACCTGGTATTATGACATTGGGGTTATCGTAGTTGTCTGGGCCACCCTCGACAACAAGAATTGAAAGCTCCGGATCAGCTTCTGCCAACCGTCCAGCTATAATACACCCGGCAGTTCCACCTTTATAGGATACTTCATTAGTAGGTATTTGGTGAAATTGGGTTGCTGTTTCTTACCACCCGCAATGATGATGTCCACCTCCTCAAGATCTGCAGCAAGTTTTTTATATAAACCCATCTCGATTTAATGAATTATCTGAAGTGTCGTAAGTGATGAGCAGGAAGATACTCGGTATCAGGTTAGAGACATGTGTTAGGTATCTTGTTTATATACTTAAGCCAAGCCACTATTTGCTGATTGCCTGTCTTGCCGTGCTGTGCCGCGTTATACTGCCTGTCCGGTGAATGAAAGCATATTTCCCCGCATGTGTAACAGTGACTCCCAAGTTTGGCAACACGATAGTCGTGATTAAGCACCCATTGGGGTAGCATCTTGGCCGAGTGGCGGATCTTGGTATCATGCATGAGACAAGATGCTGGGCGATCTAATTGAGCAGGCGAGCTAATCTCAATCCGTTGACCAAATACAACCAGGGAAGACTAGATCCCCAAAACATGAACGAAGCGGAGAACCCAGTATTATTACGGTAATTATACGAATTCTACATACCTAGGAAGTGATACTCTTACGAGATAGCTCATTCATTGATGATTGAGGACAGGAATGTGGAAATATATGAGCTTCTAATTCCGGCGAGTATTCACCCGAGGCCCGGAGATGAATCCAAACTACCTATTATCTCCAGTCTAGAAACACCAGTGGGAGTTGCAAGCAGAAGATGCTAGAATGGTGCTACACATGTGGTTCTATAGGTCGTGTTACTCAGCGAGCTGACGAACCTCCCGCTTGTAACCTCCCTGGCTTCAATATGAAATTGAGGAGAGAATAGTGAGCACTACTACGCAAGACTATGATGAAAAGAGTAGAATCTCATGTCATACTCGTATATACAAGAAAATTGAATCGTAGGGATTAGTGAGGTGTTATAACCGACAAGCAGACTAGGTAGGTAGCAAAGAGGTTGTTAAATTTTAATTTATATGTGGTAATTAACTACCGTGGTAGGTATTTACTTTTAAAAGATAGCATGGGGAACGTAGCACACCCAAACACTAACACGAGGTCAATAGCTTCATAAACTGATGGTTTAAATATCTGCTAGGTACTTACTTAGTATTTTAAACCAAACTTATCATAGTAAATTCGTTTCTATTATAGGTATGAAAGGAGACTTGTCTTTGTGAATTCCCTTCGGCGATAATCGTGGAAACTTACAGTAGTAGCGGTGACGTGCTCTAGCTTGCATGGCTTGTGTCATTGAGGTCTTCGGTCGGTGAACTATAATGGTACGCATGATCTGAAAACTCCTAGGCAAAAGTCTTTTAGGAAATGCTTCCATCGTGGGCTGTCGTGGATGTGTAAGCAAGGTGGAAGAGTGCGATACCTACCTATATCAGACCATTCAGTCTTTACTAAGCCAAAATATAATAATAGTAACCATTATAAACATGTCTCATGTCGTTGCCATCCATTTATCAGAAGATGTGAATGCCGTGACGCGCTTGACGCAACATGAGCTATTGGAGGAGGTTCTAATAAGAAATATAGAAGAAGCATGCCATTGTCCAATCCAAAGTCTTACCGTTCATGACCCATGTTGGATATTGAGTAAGCCAGATGCGATGATCTTACACATTGCAATGATGAAAATGCTTCGGGCCGAGATGGTCATTCTATTTAATCGGGTAGACAGCTGTGGAACTGGCGTTAGTCAGGTCCGTTTACCTACCCGCTTGCTATACTTTTCCTCATCTTATCATGCAGGAAACATGTAAGCAGCAGATTTTTGCTTTTCTTTTCTTGTCTATTATAACATAACGCCGACGTATTAACGCCGATAGGTATGATCTTACATCACGTAGACCGGCCTAGACTACCTTGCACATACCGCCATCGTCATTTATACCTAGTTGAAGTGGCTGTCAACTCATCAACCAAGCGCAAAAAGCAAGGCAAACTGCATAAAAGCTTGCTTGCCATCTTAGTTTCAATTGGGTCAGAATAAGAAAATTGAGAAAAAGTAATGCATGAACGGGGAGTCGAACCCCGAGCTCAACCTTGGAAGGGTTGAATGTTACCGCTACACCATTCATGCTTGCAATCGGACAGATCTCGTCGATTATTGGATGAGAGTTCAACGCTATTAAATGGTTACATATATCCCTCAATTATATTCATTGGCTTGATGAACCGGGTCCTTCCCCAATTAGCTCTAACGTCTTTAAACATCTGCCCGCTTCTGCTCTCATACAGTCCGCGCGTTGATCAATTGAGTCTCTCTATGCTTCATTTTAACATTTACATTTACACAACACATGACCCAGTACCTGAGTATTTCTTGCACCATCTCGTTCTGACACCAATTTCACATATGCCACTCGTTTCTCATGATCATCATAATCATCAACGCTAATATTGTCGGGTTTGCTCAAAGCGTTGATGGAGACCCCATGCATCTATCAGATACCCAGATGAAGCCAAAGACCCGATCTCGAATGGGATATCGACGTACAACTTTCCAAGAGCATACCATGCCGCACATATTATCGACTATCTATTAATAATTAATCGTAAAATCCGTCACCAATTTTCCAAGCCGTCACATGTCCTGTTTACCTAGTACCCATGCCCGATACTCATAATAATCCCGTGCATTTCTTAACACCTCGCCTTTAATTCCCACCCAACTTTACTTACTCTCACAAACGCGAAGCATAGAAATCCGATGAAAGTCATCGTGGCCGCCCATGCTTGTGCACCCGTGAATTTACCACCACTAGCGGCCTGGATTGCCCCGCCAATAGGGGGTCCAGTGAGCGACGCGAATGAAGAAATGCTGAAGGCCATTCCAAGCCTCGTCCCAACCGTATCGAGTCTCTTCGTGATGCTCGCAACAGCCGTTGCCGTGAGACATTGGAAACTCCCGGAACAGATACCATAGAAACACGTAAAGACGTACAAGCCCGGTACGCTGTCCACACCTAACCAACAGAACGCCACAAGCGCCCACGCAAACGTCACAGGAAACATGACGTTAATCGGCCCAATGCGATCGGCGATGATGGGAGGTATAACTCGGAATAAAATTCCTGCTCCGTTGATGAGGATCACCATGATTGAAGCAGCCGAGTATGAGAGACCCAATGATTCTCTGCCAAAAGATGCGATCTACATCAGGATATTAGCCAAAACTCACCCCGTCATCGGCAATGTTAATGCTACTTACATAATAGAAGGTGAAGTAGTTAGACATCGACGTCGCGAATATCCCACCCACGACCCCCAGGTACGGCAGTTCGCGAAATGCAGACCAATCAATAATGGGACCTGATTTCCTAGGCGGTAGGCGTGGGCGCATAAACGCAAACACGACGCTAAGGCATGTTAGGTTGATGAACGCTAGGACTCTCGTAGTCCATGCGAATCCCAGCGTAGGGATCAGCTGCCTCACAACGACAGGATAAATGATTCCCCCTGCTGAGTTACCCGTCGTCGCAAGCCCGACGGCGAGGCCGCGCCTCTTGTTGAAGTAAGTCGCGACGAGGGCGAGAGACGGGGTGAAGAAGATCCCGGATCCGATTCCCGTCAGGACGCCTTGGGTCAGCATCAACGACCAGTATTGGTTTGAGATGCTCATTAAGAACATGCCGAGTACCTGAATGACCGCGCCAACCATAAAGGTCGGTAAGAACAGGCCAGCGTCGAGCAGACGACCGGATATGACGCTTATTACTAGGCAGAACCATATTTGCACGGACCCAATCCACGATATCGTGGACGGTGTTTGTGGCAATACCGATGTGTAGTAGGTCTGAAAGCTACCAAAGGAATTCACCCATCCCCATGTAGTGAAGATAACCAGCCAGCCCACTGTCGCGAGTTAGCGAACTTGTTCTCTCTTTTTTTTTCGGGGATTCGGAGATAAAGGGGTCTTATGAAGAGTGGCATGAGGTTTACATACTTGCGACTTGGGTCCACGCATCTATCCCTCCGTCCGGAGGAGGTGGTGGTTCTGGCCATGTCCTGGTGGTGATGCGCGAGGCGACGTGTGCGATGACATTGCTGGTGGTTCTTCTTACTTCTTCGGAGACCCTCGATCGCTTAGTATCCTTTTTTGATGCGCCCTGCGAAACGTCGCCTTCGTCTTTAGTCCCATTTGGACGGATAGGGTTAATGCCATCAGAAGACGAAACGATGGATCCACTATCGTCTTCATGGGCCTCGGCCATTGCCGAACCGTGTTTTTCTTGGAATTGATCACTACTGTCTTGGCTCGCCATGATCGCGATTGTAACCACCAAGAAGAAGAATATTAGGTAGGTAAAAGATTAAGGAGTTGGGTTAGGGAAATTAGGAAAAATCGACCATGATAGCCATTCGAGGCACATTAAAGTTGGAAAATCTCACCATAAGAACGATCGATCACAACAAGTACATGTCACGGTATACTTTGGTTTGTCACTCCGCGTTCGGCGCTATTGGAAGGTTATTACCAAAGGAACTTAATAATATAGCCTATAGGGATCCCTTCGGCACGATACGAACCCACCAATTTGTCCCGAGTGCCGCTCCGAATGTTCTCTCAATGTGGAGGAGATGTGGAGCCGACGTGCAGGAATCCGGGGCGACGAAGGCGACCGGAGCGGCTCCAGGCGATCATCACAGGGAAGTCCACAAGTCCGTAGCATTCTATTGGACATGTGTTATCAATCGGATGCTTTCCATCTTGATTACCCAGGTACAGATTTTTTTCTCGATATTAGGGGCTATTGTCTTCTAAACTTCCATTACAAAATTGGACGTCAATTTCCACAATATTGTTGTCTGTTCATACTCGCCGATAAGTCTAAAGGCTTCACCGACTTTGGAAACCCAATATTTCTGGTCCGGCATCGCAAGGCAAATCTCGGTGAGGACAACCGACATCGAGCAGACTACGGTCGAAGACTCGAAGTAGACATCGCGATTTTATCATTCTCTGCGGTTAATAGTGGTAACACATCTTCGGTAGCATACTATAGCGCGCCAAGAAATTTCATGCGACGACGGTGAGCCTAATATTCAATAGGGACATATCTTACCTAGTATTTTTGGAGATAATGTAACAACGGCGCATCAATCCAAACATTTCCCAAAGTAGACTGCCTCTCGCTTACCGTCTAAAGGACCAATCGGAATTTCATCAAATATCATATCAATTCTCACATTCAAATGGCGATGTTGCTGCAACCGCAGCCATTCTGAGTAGACACCTACCTAGGTCCTAGGTACCTATTCAACATCAAGTAGCCATTGCATTGTACTTGTGCCCAGGAAGGTGCCCAAAGCTGTCGCCTGGGCATACTTAATCGAACCTTGACGCCACTCAGTAGGCCTAGCCTGATGATATCGTAGATAACGACCTCAGGGTTCAGGTGACTCATCAAGGGCGATGGAAATACCACATGGGAATATGAGAGGCTAGAAAAGGAAAGCAACCTCACGGTCAGAAATCAAATTCTATCGGGAATAACTCACATCTATACTATCTACCTAGGTAGGTAATCACATGCTTAACACTTTCTTATGCGTCGTTGATTGATAACTATTTACAAGCATTGTTTCAGGGGTACTAGCGCTGGTTGATGTTAGCTGATATACTGATTTTTGGTGCAATCGTTATCATAGGAATAGGATCCTCTGATATTGATATGCTTATGTGCAAGATACTTCTTTTTTGAGATCTCTTATACCTATATTACCAGGTATTGTCTTAATTGCTGACACTTTTCTAATCCACGCGCCTAGCTAACCATCCGAGACCATTGGGGAGAAGCCCATAGTTTAGGAGTGTGTCACAGAGCGAGTGATAGTCGTACTAAGCTATAGGTTCGTAGAATAGCAATAACCACTCATGTTTACGCGAACAGTGATTAATGCATGCTACTAGGTATCCTTCGTTTACTCTCCGGGAGACCTTTGGCTTCTTGTATACCTACCTGTTCTTCAATGTACATGTTACACAAAATATGGCTTGTACGGCTTCTCCCTCTTAGCCCCTGACAACTAGGTATACATAACATACTAACATTATACCTAACTAAAGCAGGGTAACTTTAGGAAAAGGCTATTATGATAGTATCGAAGTAAAACGTAGTCTCGCTACCAGGTTATATTACTACCATGGTATATTGTGAAAGTAGTGTTCCAAGTTTTAAACCACGTACCTCACGAGTTCTTGTTGATGGTTTATCGACCCGACTGCCCGAATAGTAACTACTACCGAGGTTAGCACTGGGAGACGGCTACGAGATCTTGATCGGCATTTTTATTCAAAACTAGGTATCAAATACAACCTCCTGGTGATCCTTATGATTGGTTTATCGTAGATCAATTGCGTACCAGGTACTTTCATGGTGTTGCAAGACAGGTAGGTACTCTATACACCACCTAGTAATATACAAGCAGGTATAATACTTCAATGATCCATATATATAAAATTACCTAATAACACGCCGTCTGGGTCCGTTTCCTAAGGTTTTGTACCTACCGAGGCACCTAGGTAGGTAGGTAATCAACTAATATTTGCAGTGGAGTTGTCATGCGCCCTACAATGTGAATGTATATCATGTTCAGCTCCGTGGCTGCGTGGTTAACCTACCTAGGTACCTACCTGGTAGTATTCCTGAAAAGCCGCATTCGTTTGACGAAACTAGTCCTTGTTTAATATTAGCGTTCGGGCGTGACTCGGCGTTTGCCTCTCTAATTCATCTACTGAGACCATGTAGGTGCTCATTCTCTGGTGTGTGGGGCATTATCAACCGGCGAAAATCTCACGATGATCTATAACCCCACCCGTACCTCACGTCGTACTAAAATGCATATATGTTTCAGCCCTACTCACCAATAGGTAGGTACCTACTTGTTACACCTAGATCCTTGGTAGACATATAGGTAGATACTAGGTATCTGGTGGAGGCGAGGCGGAACGGGCCTCGATATGGAAAAGTCGGCGCAGCTGAAAACTGAAAAAGAAAAAGCAGAAATCAATGTCCTAAACATCGAGTCCACCTCATACAACGTAGCACTCCACATTTGAATTATGTGGGGGTTCATTCGGATAGTCTCGCGATGATCCCTAGAAGGTGCAGAATACCTACCAGAGCCGGAGCTTGCCTTTGGCGGTTTGGCGGATCCTAGTAGTACACAACGTAAATGGCTATTTCGTCAACCTCTTTTAGAGCCTCCATCTTCGCGAGGCGGCCGCTAAGACAAGAATAGAACTAGGACTACATAACCAAGCAATTGGTAAAGAGCCGTTATAAATGCACAATCGGGCACCTGTATATTTCAGGCGATTCCGATGGGATAATCTTATTCCTTTCATCCTATGCTGTACGCCGCGTAATCATAAAGTGAGGGGAAAAAGACATCTTCATCGGCTCTATGCCTCAAGACAGTAGGGCGCTTTTGTAGAACATATTGAGTCATCAAATCTATAAATTAAGTCAGCGTGGGGTTGGTGATGTTTCTTTTTATAGACTGCGGCTGAAGTCAGCTCCTTATCAAGCAGCTGCCAAAGAATGCTCCCTTGCACTTCAAGGGTCCGTCGGCGGAAGTTGCTGTCCCCGGCTTCCCTTGAAGACGAGCTATAGCCCTAGATATGAGATGATTAAGTGCTTGTAGTAATTAGGTGTGTGAAACATGTGCAAGACCAAAACTGTGATCTCCTTAGAGTCTCATCGAGGGACTTCTGTCAATATGCACAAGGTGAATTTTTTTATGTTGGTTTCTTATCATCCTAAGCTAGTTCCCCATATGGTTGGTACGGGTTAAGGGTCGTGTCAGAAACGGACGTTAGTCTGAATACCCCTGAAAGGTGGTTTCGCAAGGTTTCAAGCACCTATTTCCGGCAATCCCATGTGTGCTCCACGCGAGGCTGGGGGAATCGATTCCTAGCTTCTCGCCCCCAAATGTAACCAATATCTGTAGTTGGAGCTAGAAATTAGGGCTCCGCCACGTTCGCGCACATATGCAGGGAGCCTCACAAGTTACCGGTGTGTTTCCTGTCCTGGATGCGCCAACGAAATTTGGAAGCTGGAGCTCGAAGGAGCCGAATGATTCAGGATAGATATGAGGAGACTATTCCCCGTGAAAATGTATACGGCCTCGCCTTGGATTCTAGGTAGTTAAGAAAGACACGGGTTTTGTTACTGCCGTATTCAAGATTGTCGGCGATTCAATATCACAACATGTTTTTGACAAACCCACTCATCGCATTGACTTCGGCTTTAGCTCTGAGCTCAGTCTCAGCAGCTACGCCTTCGCCGAATCTTGCAGTCGACGTGCGAAATGCCCCTGGCTCATCAACTGCAGATACTCTTCTTGCGCTTCGACGGTCTCTTGCAGGAATCAAGAGAGATACGGTGCTGAAGAATACCACGACTTTAGATAAAAGTTGGAATGGCGCAATTTTGCTTAGCATTGCGGCTCAACAGAGCACGAAAAACAATGTGTCGCTGAGCGCCGGCATCGACATCACCTGTACGACATGCTACATCAAAGGTCAAGCGACAGCGCAGTTTTCAGTTGACGGTAGCTTCAATGCGTCCCAGGCGATCCGGAACTTCACCGGCGAAGTAGTGCAGGACATCACAAATATCACTGACCAAGTCATCGAATCTATCGAGGACTACTTTCCAACGGTGTTGCACAATCTGAAGGATGGAATAGACCTGGATGACTTCGATTTCCCACCGATTAACGCCACTTTCGACGTTGACATGCCGGACATCCCTGAATGCCATCTCCAATTTCAGTTTGATGATCTAGAGCTATACCTGCTCATCGACACCGTGCTATCTGCCGGGGCCACCTATAACCTGAATCTGTACTCGTCGAACACACCCATCGGTATTTCCGCAGGCAGTGACATGTTCCTCGGCGTCGTCTTCTCCGTCGATCTAATTCTAAGCGTCGATGCTGAAATTGACGTCAGTAGTGGGATCCATATCAAACTCGATGACGGTGTAGGTCTCGACATGTCCCTATTTGGACACAACGTCTCAAGTATTACATTGTAAGTAAACCCATCTATACCTTCCACAAAATGATCGTGTCAGTGCTGATAGCTCCGAAATTTGAAGCAACGGAGCCAACTTCGAGTTCCTCCCCGTAACAGTCCAAGGAGCGGGCGGTTTGATCAAGGCCGTATTACGGCTAGGCGTGAAAGCCGGCTTCGAGCTCTCTACACCTAGCGTCGCAATCCCCAGCTTCTCCTTCAACACCAAAGCTAGCGCCGGCGTGGGTGTCAGCGTCTGGGCCGATATCGCTGAGTTCGCGACGAACATAACGGCGGCCCCAGAGGGAGACGACGCGGGTTGTGCCCTGAGAGTAGAGCAGACGTATCAATTCGGCCTCGCTGCTGCCGCGGGAGCCACCCTCGCGATTGGCGCGGAGACGTGGGGCCCCAGTCCAAACACGAACATCCCAATCTTCTACACAACAATAGCCGACGTGTGTGCCATCGGTAAGACCACGACGACTACCGTATCTACCACCGCAGCAGTTACTGCTAGAGCCGACCAGAGCTTGACGCCGACGACGCTCACTTCGAAGGTTACTTTCACGGGGACGGCTTGTATGACCACCGGTCTGGTGAACTGCCCGGTGTCCTCGCAAACCACGACCAAAGTTACCAGTACCCTGACTTACATCACATCGGTGGCTTCGGGAGTAGATGTTACCTTCCCGCAGTCCACAGGAACCGGTGTCGCCACCCCGGTTCCCTTCGGCACCAACAGGAAGTCAATAGATGCCACATCAGGGTCTCCCGTATCGTACACACCGCCACCGCCAAAGTCGACGTCAGGAGATCCCACTGTTTCCACCGAGCACCCGCTGGGTGAAGTCGGCGGAGTTGATAAGAGACTCATCATCGGTGTTAGCGTCGGTGTTGGTGTTCCCGTGCTCATCGGAATCGCTGTTGGTATCTTGTAAGTCTTCATATTCATCATCCATGACCCATGCGACGAATCTGCTAACGTCCACCAACAGTTTCTGCCAGAAGCGCAGGCGATACGCGTCGGTTCCCAAGGGTGAACCAGTCTATCTCGGGGCGCCACAGCCGTATGGAGGTAGCCAAGAGGCCAAGAATAGGGTAGTCACAAATCATTGAGTATTTTATGGATTATGATATACCATTTTGTTGGGTTATGAGGATTAGGGGCGTTTGGGTCTGCTTATGAATTTTGATATCCAATGATGAATGAAGTTTCGGGGGTTATGGTGTAATTTTTAGATAAATGTTCGATACTAACCGGCGAAAGCGACTAGAGTTAAGTATCGTTAATATAATCTTAGACACCCAACCTCTCGTCTTACATTAGCAATTGATGAGGACGATGTCTTTCATTTCATTGGTATGTAACGGGTTGAAGCCCTTAGGGCCGAGCTTGTGGCCTGGCTATTCAAGCTATCCTGGGGGTGAGAAGGCTGTAATTCATAACCGTGATACGCGTTCGTTACTGTGACTGAGTCGCTGGTGAACCTCGTTGCTTCATAGATTTAGATGCTAGCTAGACTAGCGTTGTTCCAATGGTTGGCAGACAGCTTAGTTTTATCGAAGTAGGTATGATTACCATGAAAAATGACTTGATAGGGAGTTTACCACCCGTGACCAAGAGTAGACCTCCGAGCCACGAGAAGACTAAGTCGCCGATAGCCAAATAGTCGGATAGGAGAAGTCTTGAACTCTTGATGCGCCGAGATATAAGACGCAATATCATTGGGCAAGCAACTGCGCACCTCCCGACGATGGCGGGGCGGACTCGGAGTAGCCGTCACTGTCCAAGGCTGAAAGACGTACCATGCTAGCGACTTGGTGACGTCGTCCTTCAAAACGAGCTATGTATTTTGCATTTGGTACCCCTTTTATACCTAGATAATTGATTCGTTAAAGGGATCCTATCCCTATTATCCACGTCGACGTTTCGAGGTGCCTAGTATGTACTGGGTATGTATATGGAACACCATGAACTGTTTATATTCTTAAGGTGATACCACCATTGAGGTTCTGTGCGATTTTGAATCGTTCGTGATATGAGATTCTGATGTTCGTTGTTCCCCTATTTTGAGATTAGGTGATAATCGCGTTCCATGGTCAACGATCAAATTTTGAGGGACTGAAAAAATGCTTAGGTCTTAGAGTAGGCAATTTATTGAATCCACGATAAAAAATGACAGCTGGAAAGAGCATGTATGTAATGATTCCTATTTTATCAGTTCTGAACATTTAACTTGTGATTGTTCTACTTTTTGGTTTAGAGCAGGAAGATTGAAAGTGAATTGAAGAGTGCCAAGATTCAAATCGTGGTCGATGTTTAAGTTAAGGTCGGTAAGTTGTCAAGCCTCATTGAGGGGAACTACCAAGCCACCATTACCCCAACCTATCCCTCCTGACCCCAGCGGTTGTGGCTTCCTAAAGCTATGAGTGAATGCCTAAATCGGAACCCTTCAACTGATCTTGTGCTACATTAGGTAGGCACATACCGGTATTCGCCTGACAGGGAGCATGTGGTTTCCCTGTCGCCGAGACAACTTGAAGGATCCACAAAAATTTAACCCGAAAGAGCGGCATTATTCTCTAGTCTCCAGGGCTGACCGATACTTTTATCTCCTCCATCTCCATTCTATCTTCGCTAGAAATAGAGGGGGTGTAATCAAACATCATTCGATCAACGTTGCTGCATCTGCTACTGTTGCTAATACGATTTGCTCGATTTGCTCGATAGGATCCGGACATTCGGCTTGCCTTTCTATTGGCAGTTGAATTTTTCGAGATTTTCTTCGATCATTTTTTGCAACTCGTGCATAGCATCGGTACTATTAGCAACTATCAATCACCAATAAATCCATCTTTCACCTCCACTTGATATTCTTCTTTCACCATGTCGGGCACCATGAGAGGTACGCCGAGTCGCGGACAGAATCGCGGCGGGCGAGATCCATTCGGAGGAGCTGCCAGTCCTGCCAATTCAAATATTCCTAGACCAGTTCTCGATGCTCATGGTAATTCTCACCAACCCTCACCGAGCGATGCCGCCTCCGGAATTAGCGCAAGTAGACAGAAGCAGAGCAAAAGAGATGAGGTATACGGCGCTATGCCTACCATTACTTCCTACCCTATTGGATGCTGACCTTGGTCAATAGGCCATCCGAAAAAAGTTGGAGAGCGATCTCTCCAAGAAGAAGCATCTCACCGGCCGAGCTCGACATTCGCGCAAAGCCCCACCTGGAACCGTTCTCGCTCTCAAGCCTAGCCCTGCCCTCCAGATCAAGCCGCTTACCACTGTCGCCGAGGCTGCTCAGCTTATGGCAGCCAAGAGAGAGGACTGCGTATTAGTTACAGATGACGATGACAGAATCGCTGGTATCTTTACGGCTAAAGATTTGGCTTTCCGAGTAGTCGGCGCCGGTCAAAAAGCCAACAATGTTACTATCGCCGAGATCATGACCACGAACCCCCTTTGCGCCCGCACCGATACCAGCGCTACCGAAGCGCTTGACCTCATGGTTCGCAGAGGTTTTAGACATTTGCCTGTCATGGATGAAAACCAAGACATCTCGGGTATCCTCGATATTACGAAGTGTTTTTATGATGCTATGGAAAAGCTAGAGCGCGCCTATGCATCTTCAACAAAGCTCTATGCCGCTTTGGAAGGTGTGCAGTCGGAGCTGGGCACTAGCCAGCCCCAGCAGATCATCCAGTATGTCGAGGCTCTGCGCTCCAAAATGTCCGGGCCAACTCTGGAGAGCGTGCTGAATGGCACGCCGCCCACGACCGTCAGCGTCAGGACTACCGTAAAGGAGGCTGCAGCATTGATGAAGGACAACCGCACCACCGCCGTGTTAGTTCAAGACCAAGGTCAGATTACGGGTATCTTCACGAGCAAGGATGTGGTACTGCGAGTTATTGCTCCTGGCCTAGACCCTGCGACTTGCAGCGTCGTCCGCGTCATGACGCCGCACCCTGATTTCGCTCCTATGGATATGAGCATCCAAGCCGCTCTCCGAAAGATGCATGGTTAGTCGATGGTCTACTAAATATCGCAAATAAGGATGTCGTTAGCTAACATATTATATAGACGGTCACTACCTCAATCTTCCGGTTATGAATGACCAGGGTGAAATCGTCGGCATGGTTGACGTGCTTAAGCTGACCTATGCGACACTTGAGCAGATCAACACCATGGGCACGTCGGGCGACAGCGAAGGCCCTGCATGGAACAAGTTCTGGCTCTCGCTCGATAACGAGACGGAGTCGATGGTTTCTGGAGATGGCAGCCATCACCATGGTGGGACGATGGTATCTCGATCTATATTGTCACCGGATGCTCAGCGTGAACGTATGAACGAGATGGTGGCGCCGGGTGATAGTGCTTCCCATGTGGGCATGGAATCGTCTCCGGTACATTCCTCGCTCGCTCACCAACAGCCGGGAGATGCGCCGTTCGCGTTTAAATTCAAGGCACCAAGTGGCCGTGTCCATCGGTTGCAGATCATCGCGAGCGAGGGAATCGAACAATTCGTTGAGAACGTGTTAGGTAAGCTCGGCAGTGAAGTGGAAGCCATCGGCGGAGCGCCAGTAGTAGAGGATGGCAGACTGAGTCCTGGTGGTTTCGCTATGAGCTACTTGGATGATGAGGGCGACACAGTCAGCATCACGACCGATCAAGATCTCCTTGAAGCGGTCCTACTAGCGCGACACCATCATCGCGAGAAGGTTGATCTCTTCGTACATGACCCTGAGAAGCCGCCGGTTGCCGCCACCCAACCCGACGTCTCAGCTATTACACCGGCTGCGAGCTCGGCTCCCTCGGATGTTCGTCGCAGACGACATGTGCAAGATGACGATGAGGAGTATGAGAGCGACGAGGACTATGCAACGGCTAGGCGTCGTAAGAGAAGCAGTGCATACATAGAGCCAGAGCAGGTTATCGCCGGCGTGCCTAACGAGTTACTGCTCCCCGGTGCCATCGTCGCCCTAGCAGTGGTCATCGTTGGCGTTTTCACCATCTCGAGGGCGACGAGCCGGTAAGAAGTTTTCGTAGTTGGGCGTTGAAGCATAGCTATTGGAGTTTGCGAGGGCAAAGAGGGATGGGAATGCGAGACGGGGATGTAGATACTTCTTCTCGATCCTAGTGGTGAATAGAGATCACTTAGTAATAGCTAACTTATACCTGGCCTATTGAAATAACTTGAGTTTTTTACGCTTTCCTATTTTTAACAATTTGCATTTGCGAAATGATACGTCATTGAAGCATTTCGTGGTCCCCGGTTTAAGGGGGGAAGTCGCACTGCCAACGCACAGGGAATGTATGTAAATGTACTTGGGTACATAATTACGTACAGAATTAAAGTTAAATGAAATTGTGGGTCGGCGCGGGATTACGTTGTCCCTAATCGGACCCCTGTCAATTGAACTTGAATCTTGCATCGATCAATTGGAGAAAAAAGTCGCGATAGAGCTTCGTGGAACTACACGATATCGCAGCAATCGTCATAACCATGATTATAAGAGATTTAGGTGTTCGTCATGGTAAGTCTCCTACAGATCTTCTTCGTACATACAAGTAGATATACTAGCTAACACGACAATTTCAGCCCGCAAGGCACTGGCAACCCCTCTCCGCCAGGCCTACCTCCGCCGCCTCTCCACGGAAGATACCTCATCCTCATCACCAACCGGTATAACCGGCGTATCAGACGCCGACCTCGCCGCCGCAGCCGCAGCCTTCGAAATCAAAGCCCCCCAACCCCCGTCAATCTTCACAGCCAGCGCCCGCGCCTCCCGCCGGAAGAAACCCATCGTCTCGGACACCATCGTCGAAGACTACAAGGTCGCGCAAGAGCTCCGATCGAAGATCGGTCGGCTGGGTGCTTACGTGAAACGCACGTACCGACCTAACGATGTCTTCAATAACCCGCCTGGCCCGAAGGACGTCACGCTAGAGCTGCTGATGGCATCCCAGGCTCACATGGGCCACCACGCCTCCCTGTGGAACCCCGCGAACGCGCGGTATATCTACGGTATACGCCAAGGCATTCACATCATCTCGCTCGAGCAGACAGCCGCGCATCTACGACGAGCCGCGCGCGTGGTGGAAGAAGTCGCCTACCACGGGGGTTTGATCCTCTTCGTCGGCACACGTCAGGGACAAATGCAGATCGTGACACAAGCGGCGCGGCTAGCGGGGGCCTGTCATTTATTCACGAAGTGGACGCCTGGGTCGATTACGAACAGTGAGGTTATTCTCAACGGTCTGGAGATGCAGATTCTGGACGAGAACGACGAGCCCGTGGTCGGGTTCGAGAGACATCTGCAGGACCGCAGGCCGTTGATCCCGGATCTGGTGGTGTGTTTGAACCCGTTGGAGAATTATGTGCTGCTGCATGAGTGTGCGCTGGTTAATGTGCCGACGATTGGCGTTATTGATACGAACACGGAGCCGACGTGGGTTACGTACGGGATCCCGGCGAATGATGATAGGTACGTTTTTGCCCCTGATTTCCTCTGGCTTTATCTTATATAGGATAGAGTATCCTATATCCTTTATTATTCATGTTATATCAATGGAACCGATGCTAATTTTCAAATAGTCTGCGGTGTCTATCCGTCATCGGCAGCGTCCTCGGTCGAGCAGGCGAGACAGGTCAGAAGCGGCGTAAACAAGATGCGAAAAGAGGTATCGTGTCATGGACAACGCCGCTCGACGTTGTCAAGTTCATGCGTGCCGAGGAAAAGTATGGGAGCGGCATGAAGGAAACAGAAAAGCCCGCAGTTGATCCCATAACTCCTGAATCTACCCCTTTCTAGTAGGATAGGGTCAGATCTAGGCTTAGGGGCAAATTTTCCCTAGTTCATGATCAATGAGGGGAGTAATGTACTTCCTAGCATGAACGTCATCTGTATAAAATGATATATCCGAGCAAAATATAAGTACTTGTCTATGAAAGAAGATAATACATAAATGCCCCATGTGTCTATCCAATGCCGTAAGAATATCTAGTATCAATAATTATACATCCTGTAATGCTTTTATCATGTACCAAGGTAGTTCCGATATCCTAAATCGGGCCATTCCAACCATCTAAGATATCCTCTTCTAATGATGTGAAAATATGTTTTGGGTATCCAATGCAAATGTTTTTAAACGCGAAGTGGAAAAGGGCATGTAACGCAACGGAACCCTATATCATTACCACCACTCAGGCGCCAGGCGTAAATACGATATGGTAGATGCTACTGCGCTTGGCCGTGTCGCTCTCTTCTACCAAAACCTCCTCGACAACGTCGTATGTGCCTCTACCGCCGACGCCACCGTCTTCGTCCATGCGTTTGTGATCGATGTCGTGATTGTGGTGTACTACGTCGTCGATGTCCATCTCAGATCCGATCAACATGTTTAAACTGCGATCCATAGCGACTTGGTCGTGTTCTGATGGGTCGTCGGGGTGTCCGTGTAGCGCATGGTGGCTATCGCCATCGACGCTGTCCGCCTCATGAAGTAGGGCTTGGAAGGAGTCGGGTTCGTGATGCGGGCCTGGATGGTGTGGGTGATGGTGAGTTTGAGTCTGGAAAGAAGACATAGGGGCGTGTAAGGAAGCGGGGTGTGGGCTGTATTGTTCATGGCCCGATAACGATGCGTGTGAGGGGTGAGGGCTGGAGTGGGTTACTGTGTCATTAGGGTGGAAGGAGTTGAACGCGTGAGGATGATGATGGGTTGGTTGCTGGTGCGCGGATTGGGATATTATCTGAGGGTCTATAGGATGGTACATGTCCACGGCTTCGTGTAGCGAGGCGAGAGTAGCCGCGGAATCGTGGTGGAGTTGGCTTTGCATTAAGGGGTGATGAGGGGATAAGCCGGTTTCTGATGGCACTTGCATAGGAGGATTTAACAAGGACGTGATATCACTAGGGTGGGCATATGGGTTGGGAGGGCCGACTAATGGGGGTAGATCATTGTGAGTAGGCGTCTGTAGCTCGAGGACCCTGCCAGTCGCGTCAACGCTTCCGGGTCCAGTCGCTTCGACGGGAGACATTCTTGGCGGCATAGTATCAAGGTTGACAACGTCGCAGCTGGAGTTTACGGTGAGGCGTCGGGAGCTAGTTTGATTCTGAACAGAAGGTGTCTTGCCCGCTTCCTTGCATTGGTCACACGTCCTAATTACATGCGAAACCGTCTCTTTAACGCGACTCCAATGGTACTTCTCCGCGATCGTAGCTGTGGTCTTATTGATGCCTGCGTGACCGCCGGCCTCGTGAAGACGACGCGAGATATCCATCTGGCGGACGGGATCGCTGATAACTTCTTTATCTTTAAGCATTAGGACGTCGTTGTCGAGTAACTTATAGTGCGTCGCGGCGCTCCGGAGCCTGCTTTTTTCGGCGCGGTCAGATCCATTCGGGTAGCGCCCGTATTTGAGGTAGAATTTGATTTTGTCGAAACGCTCTTCACTCACGAGAAGGGGTTCGCCGTTACCCTCGCCGGCGCCAGGTCCTAGGTCCCGCCCGTAGATGATGGCGTCGATCAGCCGGTCAGGGTACGACTTAAGGTTGCCGCAACCCTTAACGCGCCCGATGCGCTTAAAGCCGAGCGCATCCCAGATCTTGCATGAAGCCACGTTTGTCTCGTAAACGAGATTGAAGACCGAGTACGAGTATCCAAGTTTCGGCGCCCAGTCTAGGTAACTCTCGCCCATAAGCCGGCCGACACCGCGATTACGGGTGGCTTCGGTGACGAGAAATCCACCATTGCAGACATGACTACTGCGGCCAGGGTAATTCGGCTTGATATAAAAGCTGCCGAGGCACTCCCGGGACCAATCCTTACCCTCAACCACGTCAACGGCGCTCTCAATTTGGCCTAGAAGCATTATACCGGCAAAATTCTGAAACCAGTAGGCGGAAAACTTTTCGAGGGGCATGGGATCTGTCATGGGATAGGTATCACCGCCCTCAATTTCCTTTGCGAACTGGTCCGAAAGGTATGCTAGTAGGGACACCGGGACTTGATCACGAGAGGCGAACGGCACGACGGTGGCGATAGTTTGGCGGTCCCTTAAGGTCACCTGACGAGGCAGAACGTTGGACGGTAGTTCCGGCTTATTTGGGTCCGGGAAAGGAGCCTGACCGGTGACGCGGTAGATGGTCGGACTGGACGGGTCATCCATAATTGCCGGCATCTTGTCTCGGAGTGTGACCTAACCTAGACATGTTACTTATCAACAATACGCACTTATTTGACATGTCACATAAACTTATTCCTATATTCCAGGTTCTTATCTTGTCTTTCAGGTTCTTTCTCCTCCGTATGAAACACAGTAAAACACCACCAATTACATATCCAAATATCCTTATCTTTCGGCTCGAGGAACATTGAAGCAAAGTAAAGTAAACGAAGATAAATGTTACAAAATGTCACAAAAGTGAAAATAATAACACTCTTACCAATTTTTAATGAATTCGGTAATTGGTCTTTGACGTTGTGTTACCGTCGCCGCAAACTAAACTCCGTTACCCCTCGATGGCTTGTCTTGTTGGAGGGGGAGCCAGGGGTTCTCGTTGGTGATGATGCGATGATGAACTGTGCGTCGGGAGAAGAAATTCGTAGATGTGAATATTTTAGAACGAGCCGTGGAAAATACAAGTTACAACGGCGGTAAAAGTTCGGAGCTATCTATTTTCTTTTTACGGACCGGGGTAAGGATCGGGGTGCCGGGGTGCTGGGGTGATACTTCCTAAGTATTTCCGGGAAAAGAATTACTAAGCAGACAGCCCAGCCCCTTACCCCTTACATCAACTTGCATGAGAGAGGGATGATGAACATGAACCATCTCATTATCCTTTCAAATTAGTTAAACTTCTCCACGCACGTATTCTCAGATTTTAAGATCTAATATAATCTAGGATTAAATATTAACTTACCTAGAAAGTATTAGCACCGATTGTTTTTACCATTGAATCATCATCTGTGGCTTTAATTATCAATTGACACACTGGTGAAGCGAGCCTCTCGAATTTACTTATTAATAATCCTCAACGCCTTTTTCGAATGGCATTTCAAATCCTGGTCCATCAAAAAGCCCTTGCGGCGCGGGGTGAAGTTCATTTTAGGTCATTTTCCGTACGACTTCGGTCGGTCCGGTCTCAAGGGTAAGGTTAAGTGACGACCACCAACATCAATTCGCCGTTGATCATTGCATCCTCCTTGCATGAGCCCATACATCTTCGCGGAGCCGAGTTTCCGAATCTATCCTAGATCCATGACTTCGCCGTGGAGTTCTTTCTATTCCGTCTTAGTTGAAAGTACGAAGCATCACAACTTTAGGAACGGATCTACAGAAGTTTTCATTTTGGTCTCTGGATTCTGGAACAAACATCATCTGACAATTTGATCGGCAGCTATATTCTCACAATTCTCGGTATACTGAGGTTGGCATACGAAAGAAAGACTAAAGGATCATAGGGAAGAAATTAACGATATCCCTTTAGGACCTTGGTATCTCTTCCAGCCTCATGTATAACCTGGATACTTGCTGCCCGCCTTAGGTCACAATGGAAACGGCTATCCCCGAGCCAATCGATACATACAAACATCCCATGTCACGTCAAAGCCAGCCGAATTCAGTTATCATCAGTCATCATATTCGTAACATTAAACCATGGTACACATAACCCCGTACACAAACCCAGTAATCCCGTATCCCCATTACGACCACGTAATCTTTTCCAAGTGAACCGTCATTCCCCCTTTAGGCCGCCACGTCACAGCCGGGTTCTGGACGGGTACCGGCCCGTCACCTAGTGCCTCGAGTTGCGGGCTGCGCGAGAAGCGGAAGCTTCGTAGTAGCTCGATCATCATCACCTTAAACGCAAGTAGCGAGTAGCTCTTGCCGATACATATGCGCGGCCCGTTCCCGAACGTCTGTGTTGCGTATGGTGTCGTGGCATCGTCCGTTAATGATTCCCACCGTTCTGGTATGAACTCGCGAGCGTCGGGACCCCATATTCGAGGAGACAGGTTCGTTACGGGTGGGCTAAGCACGAGTTGTGTCCCCTTAGGTAGGAATTGTCCGCATATCGTGACATCCTTGGCTGCTTCTCTCCAGGTAGCCGGTGCTATGATGGTTCGGTTAGCAAATTTCCTCATAGTACCATCGGCCGATTGTATGCGGAAATGGATAACTCACCTGGAGTGTACACTCGTAGCACTTCTTGGAGGAAGTCTTTAAGGTAGGAGAGTTTCTCGATTTCGTTGTAAGTAGGGATTCCGAACGTGCCTAGGTTCTGAACTACTTCATCCCTTAATCTATCTTGGATATCTGGTCGGGTAGCTAAGACGTAAGAAGCCCATGTCAGAGCGCCGGATGTTGTTTCGTGGCCGGCAGAAAGGAAATTTTGCAACTATTGTAGTTAGTTTGGATCTGCTGACATTTACAATGTTGTATTTATAACTCACATGACCGCGGATATCTGCAATGGTGAGTTCCTCTTTCTGTAGTTCCCGTTCCTCAATCATGTAAGTCAGCAAGTCCCGAGACTCGGTCCCGCCGACCTTCTCTCGGTCCGTAGACTTGAGGTCTCGAATACGTTCCTCGATACATTGGTTAAGCATGCTGTGAACTCCTCGCATCGCTCGCATGAAACCCCAATTGGCCTCTAAGGGTATGAATCGGCGAATCGGTATGTGGACGTGAATGAAGCTGATTAGTGCGCTCACTGGTGGTTGCGAGAGCATGCGGATGTAACATTGTAGGAAATCCAATTTCAATTCCTCCGATCGAAGGTTCTCTAATTCGATACCTAGGGCTGCAACTCCAATAGCATCCAAAGTAGCTTTGGTGAATATTTTTTGAACTATTCATTATTCACCCATTAATATGTGCAACCTTTATGTGATATATAGGGTTATACGGACCTTCAAGATTTTTCGTGCCGTTCTCCTTTATCTTGCGCTCAATAAACACTGTCATCTCCTCTGCCTTTTGTTGGAAGACTGGGATGAGCTTCTTCATATTAGGCACGGAGAAGACATCTGAGTAGCACATATCAGTAAATCCTGTAGTACCTAGTTTAGGTCATGACTCTCGCATACTTAGAATCATTCTTCGTTGTTTCTTATGTTCATGGTTCTCAGCAAATAGGAGACCTGTGCCGACGATCTCGCCAAGCAGCCTTTCCAGGAACTTTGGCTTAACGAAGTCATAGCACTTAGTCTGTAATACCTGCTTATGAGCCTCGATGGTGTTTATTAGGAGGATTTCTTTGTTGGCAAGGATGGGATAACGGATGAACGGTGATTCGGGCCATGTCGCAGACCAGCTCATATACTGATCAATAGGAGTCGCGGCTCTATAAAGATGTAAAAGTTGACCGATAAAGAAATGGTTATCCTAAGTTATTGTTAGCACCTATCATGATAGAAATCAAGAAAGGAAATTCATAGTACCTTTGGGCCAGGTATGCCCCTTAACGGAGAAACGAAATATGGATATATAAAAACACGATAAAATTTAATCAACGCCCACTGTGCACTGAAGAATCCTAGAAAAAGAAGTGTTTTGCTTGTCGGCAGGTCTGAGAATGCCTCATGAGTTGGACTCAAGGCGGAGGTGATAAGTGTCTCGACTAGGGAGAGACCAAAGCAAATTTGGAAGTCCATAGCAGCGTTTCCTAGGTGGCTACTAGGTAGGTAAGTGACAAGCCGATTTTAGGTGAAATCCTCCGGTAATTGTTAAAACACTTAAGGGATCCTCCCCAGGATATATGTATATCACTACTTACCATATTTCGCTCGTGTAGGCACTCTTCCGATCCACCAGCCACCGGGTATGACTTAGCTTTGCGGGAAGGTTGCGCTACGCGGCTCCAGCTACGCGGTTCAAGACTTAAACATTGGCATTCTCATTGGATATCTGCGATGCGAAGCATTCTGCGACACTACGCCGGAACTGGGACCCGGGGTTAAAAAAATAAATAAATAGAATATGACCTAAAGATACGCCGGGGAAACACCAAGTGTCACAACGTAAGCAAGACCATGTACGGTCCACAAAACTACGATGCAATTGCATGGAGGATTCATCCTTCTTTAGTTACATAGTACGCCTGCAAGGACTTACATACATGCTACCATGTCGAGACGTAATAACGGTAGACTAGCTATACTAGGCAGTTATCCACGGCCGGTAATGGTGAAGATCCCGATCGTATATTTTCTTTTTACATCTGGATGGGTAATTCGCTACTCAACACATTTGCCAGCCAAGCCACGATGATATCGGTTGTAAATCCTCGGAATTTGACATGGGATTTGTTACGTTCGAGACTCCAGAACACGAGAGATCTGGTAATTCGGGAAATTATCCTCTCTGACTAGTCCACGTTACCAAGTCGGCGGGTTTCGTAAATCCCCGTTGACCCCAGTGGTCTCAGTCGACCCAGATGTTCTTTGATATTCGAACACCGTTAACATATTAGCGGCAGAACCGATGATAATCAGCCCAAGTTACATCGGTTCCTTGATTTGGGATGATCAACCCCGCAGCCACATGTCGCCTATGCCATTATTTGGCTCTTCTATGGGATGATACACTTCGGGCGGATACACCCGGTGGACCGTGTCAATTCATGCGTGTACCCAGTCGAATAGAAGGCCATATTAAATGCAGCTATTACTAGCTTTATCCAGACCCTGGGTTCGAGTATGACACGTGTAAACCAAGCAGGACCCCTGTTGTCCCCTCTACGAACAAGACAGGTCATTGGTCCACTCGAGCTACCACCCACACCTCGGCTCCAGCGACGATCATGTCGAACAGTGCTCAACCCAGCTTGCCGGGTCGTGGACTCCTTAGCGATTACTTCCGAGGTTTCCGAGACACTCTAAAACCCATCTGCACCCATCGGGTTGATATCATATTAAGCTCGATCGGTTTTCTGATGTAAGAAACTCTATTCGAGCCTCATTCTCATTGGGTTACACTGCGGAAGTATTGTGGTGGTATGTTTATATTTATTTTCTCACCGCTGTTGAGAGTTCTTCATGGCCGAACACGTTTTCGAACCCGAAAATACCTAACAAAGCTGTTCAGAAGATTGATCAGTTCGATGCCTAAGACCCCGAGTATAGTGGCCCTTAATCGGTGCTAGCTACCTAATGTCAATCTTTTCAATTTATAAATACCTCAGCGTTGCCTAGAGGATCGTTTGTGTTATCTACACTAACGATGCTGCGATGGTGGCTTGAAGCAAGGAACGTCTCAATGCAATGTCACTTGCGAAGGCGTAGTAAATGCATTTTTGCATAACTATGATTCGATTGGGTGCCAACATGACGTTCATTACGACATTGTAGATGAATCTACTTTATTCACATCATTTTAATTGGTGGACCAGTCAGCTATCTCTAAGGTTCCCCGACCTGTGCAGATATTACAATCTTTCCACACGCCGAAATTACCTAAATGTAATTTGTTTATGTAGGTAATTATGTACTTGCCGACATGACATGACTCGCGTACCATTCATAAGACTTGTTAAATAAGGAAGGTTGAACGGATTTTCATTCGTAAACCGGTACCAACGACATGACCCAAGAGATAAGACGAACTGATGTTTAATCCCTGGCTTCAGTAAACCATTTCGATTGGCTTATTTTCTAGAACGAAAACCGGAAGGGGTTATAGCTCCGCACTTACCGCAGAGCTGGTATTCGCGAGCTCCTCAGCCTTGCTACTAACACTCACGGGGTTAAGGCGGGGGAACATGATGTAAAATGAGGAGTAGGTTACTACCTAGGTACCTACCTAGTAGGTAGTCACGAGCAATATCTTCGAAAAGACGACAACGATATCCAACAAGACAACATGACGAAGCCGTTTACTTTTGCCACCACGCTAACTACCCGCCCTCTAACAACACCAATACACCAGTATCCCCTCATCGTATTTTCGTAGCTGAGATGATCTAACCCGAATGGCGAGCTGAGAAAAAGTAAATGAGTCCCAATACGGCGGTTACAAAAAGGCCCATGCTGCCACGTGCGTCTGATTTGGTTAGAGGGACGACGATCATGCTACCAAATCGGGGATACCGATATGTCGAGACACAGAATTGGCGCATTTGGCACATTTTATGAGCTACTCACCGCTCTGCCGCCCGACCCTATGGTTTAAGTTGTGGGATTACTGAGCCTCAAGCAGGGACCTGAAAGGAGCTTGGGACAGCAAGAGGTTTGTGAGGAAGCTGAGTAATGACTGCCCAGGCAGCTATGTAGCAAGGGCTGCAATGGCAAAGTTGTCATCGTACATATTTCGGATCTTCCAAGAACCAGTCTCGCGGTTCATATTCAGCTCGTAAACTTGGAAATCTTTGGAGATCATCGATTATATTACCCCTTTTATTTCCCGGTAGGCAGGTAAAAAATGTCGGTGTTTAATTCTCCATTTAGAGTTCCCGTCTCAGTCAAATGATGGATGGGAAATAAAGAGAAGGGAATCGAAGACGATACCAAGACCATGAGTGCGACTTAACTCCGGTTGAGTTGATTGGTTGAGCTATACGCCTGAAGTGCGAAGGAATCATAAAAAGAAACATTCACAAGGTTCGCTAATAATAACCACTTAAAATCCCACGCTTAACTTGATTCATCGTTCATGGCTGTCATGAAACTATCTCATAGGTAGGTACTCAAGACCTACATAGGTCCCTCGGCTACATTTTCTCTATCTACCTATATGCCGCCTTCTATATGTGTCTAGCTTATAGCGGTTCCGGAACCGTTCTTGTATACCTGAACCGCCAACACCTGGTGTAAGCACGTTAGTTCAACTATCTTTCAGTTCGCATCATGCTAAATTTCACCCTGGATTTATGAAGTCCACACAATAGGCTTTAACGGTTTCGTTATATTACCCACCCTTTTCTTATCCCTTACTTCCCAAGTCACATTGAAACAACTTCACTCAACCGAGTCTCGGTCCGAGCCTTAGATTGTGTCACACTTGCTTTTGAATTCTGCATGCTCTAGGTAAGTATTTATAATGAAACATGACACCAACAGTTACACTATCTACTCATGTAGTAAATGAAAGCGTGATGTCAAATCTGGAAGCGTAACACGTCATTGGATTTGCTACCTCATTCGGTAGGTACCGTTTATAAGAAATCTTACTATTATCTATTACCGGGCAGGTAGGTACCTACCACTTAGCTTTCCATTTCGTTACTGAAACACTCTCAAAATGCCAAGTCTTATCTGGCATTGCTATTATGCTTTTTCAAAGCTTCTTGCAGCCTACTTCATAAACTTTTACCGATACACCCTCAGTCTATTAACGCTTATGGATACATACTAGGCAGTAGGTATTTTGTTTCATAAAACGGTATTTTCCGTTATGATCATCATATTGTACACGAGAGAAGTTGATTTTCCGATACGAATAACATCATTGGCCGCTTATAAACCTCGAAACCCGCCTTTCGCTTGACCTAGGTCGGTCTACGGCCAACAAGTCGAATCGCATAGCGACCTAATCTAGAACCCATTGGTCCCTTGAAGCCTAACTACTCTGCCACTCTACCATTAATGACGCCGCCGGTAGGCTTGTGCGATGATGACCGACGATGAAAACAGGCGTGCACGTTGTGGGTAGTTTAGTAGCGGTGAGACAGGTGTCGATGTGTAATAGGGGGCACAGCGAATCGAACATGGGTCTCGTAATCCTGGACAATGCCTCATTGACAGAGGAATTAGCGACGAGACTCTTAACGTGATGTTGAAAATATTCGTATAAGGACGAGCGAGGCATAAGCGAACACGGTATGGACGCCAATAGTCCTCTAAACCCAGGGGTTAGGTATTCGCCGGTTCAAGTGGAACTGTCTTTCATGGCAAACCTGCATGTCTCCCGACTAGCGGCCGGTATACTTCGGAAGCATCGGACTGATCCCGCTCAGTATGATTAAACCGGAAACCGACTAGCCACCGTTATTAGGGTAGCACTAGTACAGCCACGTGTAAGCGCCATACATATAACTGAAAATACTAGTAAAAACCGTCTGTTGTATATCATCAATGCAGGTGAGTTATCATCTTTGCCCCAAGCCTTGTAAATGGCCGCGTCTTCTAGAGTAGGATAAAATCACAATGAAGGTGTATTCGTTACCTGAAACCGAGAACTCCAAATGGGTCAAGACCCAAGTTAGCCAGGTGACCACCTAGGTGGGCCGCGGCCATGCCGTTGGGTACGGCATGCCGATGTTTTATTGAGTCCGATAGGATAATTAAAACCTGTTATCGTTCGTAACAACCACCTTGATATTGGGGTAAATGAGATGATTGGGCGATCTAGTGATGTACCTAGGATGAACTATTACTCTTCGGAAACCGTTCTGCGGGATACGCCGTGCCGGATTACGGGGAAGGAATGTGTTGTCTTCTGCTACCCAAGCAAAAGAGACTTGATTCACTATTTATGATAACCCCCTGTATCCTGGTAGGTATAATTCTTGAGATCTACCGTCATTCGAGGTCGAACGATACTGGCAAGAGATTTTCGATCAAAGAGAAAAGCAACTCTGATTGGACTAGCTCGTGTTAAATATGTACCTATGTGTCTAGAAAATTGAAACTCAAGTTTCTCCAGAGGAAATACGGTGGTTGATACGTAGACAACTCGTGTGATGACATATTGTCTTCGTTGGTCGGGTAAGGGGGTGGAAAGTTGTCGCAAAAACGACGTCGCTACACAAACACGGCTTATATGCGATAAAAGTAGATTCTGAGAGGGCTTGGGTAAAAAATAGGGGTAAGTCCCCCTTTCATCTCTAGCTTACATACTGTAGCACTAGGTTGCGAGTCCTGCATGATAATACGCCTAATTATGCTGACACACCACCTAGTAAACGTTCAAGATTCATCAGTTCAAATTTTCTTTTCATGTCATCTATACTTTGCAATTATACCCGACATGTAAGAACCGTGCGTAGCCTTTTAGGTATCATAGGTACATTACCGTGCGCCCTCTTTGATGCAACGTAGCCCCTAATAGCCTGCTCATATTTACCTTCTTGGCATACCTCTTCCTCGTCCCCTTAATGCCCTCTGAGCTGCTCCTGGAGGTAGCGGCTGGCCGGGCGCCTGCGGCGCCGCACTCTCTTCGTTGCGGATCGTCTCATCGACGCCTAGGATCAAGCAGCTGGCCTCGGTAGCCGCCTGTAGAGCGTTGATCTTGACTAAGGCAGGTTCCCAGACGAACCGTTCCATCATATCGGCGACGCCCTCGTTAGCAAAGTCGACACCAGCCCAGACGCGGCCTCTTCGATGCTCGACACGAAGTCTATTTAGGATGTCGGTAGCGTCGAAACCTGCGTTATCGCATAGCTGGCGGGGGATGACCTCAAGGGCCTTGGCGAAGGACTTGATGACTCCTTGCTGCTTGTGTCGGACGTCCTTATCGGCAAAGAGGTGTAGGTATGCTGAGATCTCCATCTCACAAGCACCACCGCCTCCTACAATCATGTGGTTCTTGATGGCGCGCTTGACGATCATGATCGCGTCGTGTAGAGATCGCTCAACTTCTGCGATGAACTGCTCGGCACCACCACGGAGTACTAGCGTACATGTCTTGGCCTCGGGGCAGTCTTCGAAGAAGTTGAATCGCTCGCCACCGATCTGGCGCTCCTCAAAAGAGCCGCAGGTGCCGAGGTGATGAGGCTGGATATCGGAACAAGTAGATTGTATAGTGGCGCCAGTAGCTTGAACGACCCGTTCCATATCGTCAGCAGAGACACGGCCAGCACAGAACACGTCGCGGTCGGCGAAGAATTGGGTTGCTAGATCTCCAATGGGTAGCTTCGAAAGTACTACCTTGGCGCCTGTTTGGTAAGCAGCTTCGAGCTTCTTGTAGATTATCTGCCACTCGGCATCGACAATTGCCTGATATTCGGAGACTTGCTCCACTCGAACTTCGGCGTTATCTTTCTCGGCCTTCAACTCCAGCTCGACGTTTAGACAGACGATCTTAGGCTTCGTAAAGGACTTGGGTTGTTGCTCGAAACCGGCATACGAGAATGTTTTCTTGAAGGCTACGCCGTTGACGAATAGGGAGTCGGTGAGAGAACCACCGGGAATCTTCTTGATACCGATAAGCTTCTCGTTTAAGTCTTCTTGATCCAACGATAGGACGGCATCCACAACCACTGCATAATATTAGCCTTAATTTAGACGGTATTTCCAACTCCAGTATCACATACTCTTGGTGAAGAAAGTGGTATCTTTCTTGATCAACTTGCTTGTCATGGCTGTGCCGGCTAGCTTGACTAGCGTTTCCCGTTTGTTGGACTCGTCTGTTCTGACGGCGATTTCTTTGATCTTGTTTACCGCCATAGTTGAAGCTTTCCGCAGGCCCTTGACGATTATTTGAGAGCTGACACCTTGCTCGACATGTTCCCGGACCTCCTTCAGTATCTCTCCGGCCAGAACGACGACAGATGTTGTTCCATCTCCAACTTCAGCATCTTGTGATCTTGCAATATCGACGAGGATTCGGGCGGCGGGGTGTACGATATCGAGTAGCTAGGTTTATTTAGTATAATAATCAAGGGAATGGGGTATGTATATAGAGTTCTCACCTTCATTACTGTCGCGCCATCGTTGGTAATAGTCTGTTTTCCATTCTCATCCACCATTAACAAATCACCGCCGTAAGGTCCTAAGGTCGACTTGATGGTTGCTTGAACAGCTAAGCAGGCATTTATATTCGATATGATCTGACCTTTTCCTTGCGAAGTATCGGTTCCTATGTGCACTGTTAGCCTTGATTTATTAAACTGTGGGGTAGCTTCATGTCTTCACCTTCTTTCAGGACGATGATAGTGGGGGTCTGGCCTCCGAAAGACATTTTGGCGGTCAGGACACGACAACGACAACGGCTAGATTAACTAAATAGGCGTTGTATGGTGTCGGGGAGAGGTGAGGTGAAAGTTGCCCGCCTTAGAAAATGACCTGTATTTTGACCTTATTGACTTTGTACCAAGTGGGAGAGCTTTGAATGGTGGAAGCTTCAAAAAATTATTGTAGCCTCGCTTTGGTGGGTCCTGTCTGAAAGCACGAGCCACTATCGTCGAGCCCCGCATTAGTAATCAGAAATACACGCTTATTCTTTTAGTGCATATTAATAGTAGATGCATATTTAGTATAATAACAGAGGATTATCTAATATCCTCCCCCCTTTTTGGGGATATCTGCTAGATTCATTGGCCACGGATACGAAGCAACATTGTTCAGCGGAGTTGAGGCATTATGAGATTTGAATTAGCAATTATTGTCCGAACTCAGCTCCTTTAGCGAATTTGCAAACATACTACCTAGTACGATTCTGACAGATGAGCGATGGTCAATATTGCACAAACCATCTTAGTCATATGAGCACCTACCTACTAAATTGATAGACATATAGGAATCAAACCCGTTCAATCGGAACATCTTATTATACCTAACTACTTAAAACGGTTTCATAAGACCCAGATTTTCCAGTAGCGGGCGATCCGTGAACGCAACAAGGTATGCCCGCTCAGCTGAAGTATTTACATGCTTCACTGTAGATCCAGCGGGAACCACAAAAGTATCTTTACTGGCCCAGTTGATACTCTCTACCGAACCCTCCGGCGTCTCTATCTCGGTACGTCCCTCCCCTTCGTAGCAATGGTACATGAATGAGCAACTCTCCTGCCTCTGTGTAGTACTGTAGTGTCCATCAATACGCTCGGCTTGAGCTCCAATAGTTGTTGATAACGGCTTGCCTTTACTGGTGTAATGGTACACCGTGTGTGGCCCCTTTTGTGAGAGTAGCGTAGCTTCGACTTGTTTCCAGGGATGCCGCCATTCACAATCTTCGCAGGGGCTGCAGTGAATCAGTCAGCTTCAATGACTATCTCTGCCACGCTCCCCTCTACGTATTTACCAAGGAATATTTCCAATTATAGGCATATCTATCTTATGGTCGCCTAATAATGAATGGGAAAAGGGGAGAGGGAGATATGAAACATGTAAATACTCACGTGCTAGGATACCGGCTCTCACCGTATAATTCGGCATAATTGACAGGCGCGTACCGAAAGAGCGGCAGATTCAACGCATCAAGCCAGACCACAGGACCTTCGCTCTCGTTTCCGTGATCATGCCAATGCCATGATGGAGTTAAGATCACATCGCCTCGCCTTAGAGGCATCTTCTTCCCCTCTACTGCAGTGAAGCCTTCCCCAGAGATAATAAAGCGCGCCGCGAACGCCGTGTGCCGGTGCGCGGGGGCTGTTTCGCCGGGTTTTACTATTTGAAGGCCTCCATAAATAGTGTCTGTAGTGTATGGTGATTCTGAAAGCTGTTTAGCTGCTAGTTTCAATCTGGTGCGACAATTAAGTCGCGGCGAAACTAACCTAGGGTGGGATTAACGAGCATGAGAACCCTTCTCTCTGCTTCTTCTGCGGGCACAATCTCCGCGGCTTTAGTTAATAGGGGAAGGCTTTCAGAGTATCTCCATATATATGGCACTGCTCTTGGGTTTGGTTTTGGCGGCACCATGGCGTTCATTTTTAGCCATAGTGGCTCCATGTTGCGCTGAGGCAAAGCTTGAAGATAACTTGTCAAGCCATTGCTCTTATTCCCGTTTACTTGATTTTGGGCCATATCGGATTGAATAGGTAGTTTTGAAGGCAATAAAATGACGTGTGGGTATCAAGAGTTGCGCTGATTATGACTAAAGGGCAAATAATAAGTAGATGTGTATACTGATCAAGGAACCTTCTAACGTTCTATCGTAGCGGCTTCTTCTATACTAAAAGATCCACGGGAAACGACTGGGGTAAAGTCTGGGGTTCCCCGAAGAATCTGGATTGATGGCTAGTTGTAATCGTTTCTCGGAGGTATCCGCGGTGCCCCTTTTTTCATCCCGAGACTCCCCGCTCACTTCGGACCGCGCTGCGATTGGTCAAAATGAAAACCTTGGATTTCAATTTACCACCTCCTACTGATGAATACCACTATAAGTAAGTTACTTAATTGAAAATCTCTGGATAATATACTTTCTCATTTTTAGAGCTTTCTATGATGTCTATACTTACATCATCTAACATCTCAAAATGTCTTGGACACGCCTTATTCGGTTCGTCGATGTAAATGGGGAAGAGCACTACGGTGATGCGTGCATCGAGAAGGATACCGAGCTGCGAGAGAGATTAGCGGCCAACGAATTATATGCCGTTAGGATCGAAGGTAAAAGCCCGTTTGGTCAAACGAAAAGAGGAGACCGCGTCCAAGTCAAGAGTCTGAGAGATATTCTCAGGCCAGAAGAAGTGCCGATCATACGATGTATCGGGCTAAATTACATCAAGCATAGTATGTTCATCCACGAGAACTTGATTCATTCAAAATTCTGACAGTTCGACAGTTCAAGAAGGAGGTCGGAAGCCACCCCCTTATCCATCCGTATTCATTAAGCCATCAACATCTATTGCGGGATCTACAGAAGTAAGTCTCCTATGTTTCTAGTCCCTTTAAAACTAGCTTCAACACGTCTCGAAATCACCATTACTGACCTTGATATAAAACAGGACATCCCAATCCCAAAGATCGCTCAAGACGGCACATTAGATTATGAAGGAGAATTGGTAAGATCACTTGACCTGCTGATGTAAGGCTTCTATCTCACAATGACCACAGGCGATTGTTATTGGCAAGACAGGAAAGAACATTCCGGAAACCTCTGCTCTCGAGTACGTAGCAGGGTACTGCGTCGCTAATGATGTTTCCGCTCGTGGTTGGCAGCGAGATCCTGCTAAGGCAGGTGGCGTTCCGCAGTGGTGTTTCAGTAAGGGGTTCGATAAATTCGCGCCGTTAAGTCCTATGCTAGTGTCCCCCTCCGTAGTCGGTGCAGCGAATGAACTCCACTTGCAAACATTTGTGAATGGAGAGGAAAGACAGAACACTAGCACGGGGGACTTACTTTTTGGCGTTGAAAAGATCGTGAGCTTTTGCAGCCAAGGTACAACGTTGGAAGCGGGTACTGTTATTCTGACGGGAACCCCTTCTGGGGTTGCTATGGGGATGAAAGAGCCCAAATATTTGAATGATGGTGATATCGTGGAGGTGAGGATATCTCATCTAGGGAGTGTTAGAAATAAGATGGCATTTGAATAATTTTGGAAAAGATTAGTTAAGCTAGATGAGGTAGAAACTGAGAGCTAATGACCTCTGAACGTTGGTATCCTAATAAAGAATCCCGCTAGGCATGCTGTTCAGCCATTGGTAATTGTCGACATCAAAATCGAAAGAGTTAATATCGAAATCTGTTGGATTTATAGGTTCGTGAAAGTGCATATCAAAAGCTTCATTTGGTGAAAATGTCTGGTTTGGGAAAGCTCTAGCTCCGGTGCTAGCCCCCGAGCTGCCTACATCGTTAGGCTCGTTCATCACTTTCGAAGATAGAATTTGTAAGGCCGCCCCACAGCGGCGTGCTGATATTCCAAATCTTTCATGCGACCGAAGAATAGACATGGCTTTATTCCATGGATCTGATATGCTAGAAGTGGCGAACGTCTCACGACGAAGTCTCGCTGCTAGGAGGACGGTTGCTGCCGTGTAAACATAAAAGACTCGGTACCACCATGACGGTAAGAGTCCAATGCTATCGTCGCTCTTTTGGTGCTCATAGATTATTTCAATCATTTTATGAGCGCTATCCACGCATGCCAAGGCACATTGTTCCATAGTGCGACTCAGGAGGGTTTTGTTAGTGGAAACTCTTTCCTTACTGCTCTGAGACAGGCAGAATTGGGCGAGCATAGGTCGAAGGAGAAGCATACGGGCATGTAATATCCTAGGTGATCAGAGTTAGTCTATAGCGTCATATTTGCAGCTGTCTTATCAAGTACCATACCTAATATGTATGATGACAGCTTGTCTATGGAGAGTGGTATCCTTGGAAACATCTGGGGAAGTTATCTTCAGTTCAGGAGGAATTTCCTTTTCCATTGTATTCAAAGATTCGTCTAGATTTAATGCAGCTGCGAGGTCGTCTGCGATTCTATGGCAAGGGCCAGAGTGCGATGAGCTTCTACTTCGATTGACGGTTGGTTTTGTCGTATAGAGTGTAACGATGATCTGATTAATTATCTCGTATAACTCCACCGAATTCACGAAGAACGCCAGTCGGTTTCTAGGCTTAATTCTGACAGATTGTTCTCCATCGGTGTCGTTTGCGAGTATTGTTTGCGGGTCTTGGGGAAGTGGAACGGCCGAGGCGAGATGACCGGATATCATAGTCGGCCTTCCATGTGTGACTGATATCATTCTACTCAAGAATTAGAAGTTAGGATATAATGGGCTGTTTTGGACTTAAAGGCTCACCGATCCATAAGGACACATCCATGCCATAGCTGTCTAAGTAATTCCCTCGTTTTTATATCAATGACTACCATGGACGTCTCTGGTAAGTGAAGGCCGAGACCTTGTGCGATTCTAACTACGGTCCCAACTACCATCCATGTTTGATGGGGGTTGTTAGTACTCTGAAGGTATTGACTTAGGATTAGAAGGTACTGAATGAGTTCGATAGAGCCTGCATCCCAGATGTCGAGACGTAATAGATTCTGAGCCCTGTCAAAAAAGGCCTTTGACGCCTGCTCTCTATGCTCAGTACCCGACGTCTCTTGTACCTGAGTTGAAAGGGCCAGGATAATGTTAAGCGTTGCCATGAATATGCGTTCATCAACTTGCAAGGGGGTGCCGTTGAACAAACAACGATACGAAGATTCGAAGTTCTCCTTATCTAAAAAGGGGTAAAGTGGATCGACATAGCGCCAATATATTTCTAGAAGTTGGTCTGCCTGTCTACGCGGCGGTAGAACATAATTGACTATTTCTGGAATTTCTCGCGCGTGTTCTATCCTATTCCGAAAGGGAGTAAATGTCTGGCTGATGGGATGACAGGTGCCGTGAGAAGTTGTTACACCGAGTCGTGCATCAATGGCTGTTCTGATTTGACTAGTAAAGGAGCCAGCACTGCTACTCCCGAAATACTGTCCTGTAATTCCACCGTCATGAACTACAGCAGTCATGGAATCGACTTCGGTGTGATTAGAAGGTAACGAGATAGTAGGGTTGGCTGATAAGGGGGTTGAAACCGTAGGTATCGCCGATAGAATACGACGGGTTTGTGTTCTTGAATGCGCCTGTGGTTTTTCTATGGAATCACAATCGTTGATTATAATACAGTCCTCATTGTCGCTAGAAGCTTGACCTTCTGGTAAAATGGCACTTTCTCCTGTACCTGTTTGCGAATTGCTTAGAGCTGAGCTAAGGTAGTGACATGTCCTACTAGGGTTTGGTCGTTTTAGACAATTACTACATGCTATTAAATATGATAACTATCAGTTTTTAGATATTCCAAATAAAGTTGCTCAGAGTTTCGATGCGCTGCAGTCTACATGTTACACAGCTGGTTTATTTCATAGGTTGATTTGGGACTGGGTAAGGGAGAAAGGGAGTTTGCGGAAGCCAAGCTAAATGATCTCTTACCTGGGCGACCCCCGTCGCATTTGATTTTTCGCGAACGACACGGATTGCAAGCGACGCTGACCTTGAGTCGTTTTCGGCGAGGAACGTTTAACTCGTTTACCCCATTAGTGGATCCGAGTTCAGTTCCGTGAGTCTGGGCCATCATATGGATTAGGTTTTCGGAATGCGTGGCTTACGAAGCCGAAATGCCGGGATTCAAACGAATAATACCTGATGTGTTAAGAACGAAATTGTAGAATCAAGAATTATGGAAATCTCCTTCCGACAATATTCTCGGTGGGGATAACCCGTTCCGATACTGACTAATGATAACTGAGCCAATCACCGACTGGTCCGAGAGAGTCTACTAAGCCAGACCGGATGTAGATCTGATTGGATAGGTGAACTAGGTAATTACCCCACTATATGCACATATATGGACCTAACCGAGCCTTACGTTATCCACTACCCCTTTTTATTGATTATGTCATCCTCATCTCCTGCCATTGAACTATTCCTTCCGAAGGTGACATCCATGTTGGACGGGCTCGAGTGAAAATCTCAGATGATGGTCTAAGATCAAGACTATTAACTTCGAATTAGTGACTGGGCCGTTCGAATACATCAAGTGAAGCTGAATCGTTCACGTGTGCTTACCCATTCTCAAGAATGCTAGTCCTGACTAATAGAAATTCTCCTTTCGCCGACTCGGGCACGGTCCAAAGGGGACATCCGCATGTTTGGCAAAATGCCTTTTCTTTTGGGGAGCGGCTTGAGGTATCGGTAATCGTGTACTTAGATATCAACTTCTGATTTCCGGCTACCTCTACAGCTATGGCTGGAAACTTCGCGATCTATATTCTAGGTCAGAATTATATTTATGATTCAAGAACTTGCTAACTTACTACTTGACTTGTACCCCCAGCCCTTTTACTGCAATGATCGCAGAAGCAAGAGAATACAGCCTTTGGAGGGGCAGAAATGGTCAACTGAATGCCGCCGCAAAGGCAGGTCCCTTTGTAGGTAGCTGTCATGGTGATTGTGTCAATTCAAGATTGAAAATAGTTTGAAATTGACTCGATTAATATCTAGGATGTATCTTCACATTACTCAAGTTAAATAGCATGTATGCTGATTCGGTACTAGGATAAGTCGCATGAACGGATTATACGTAGGTACGTACTTGATGAATCTTCGGGAATGCTATAAATGGTCTCGGAACTAGGTACTTACCTATCTAGGTACCTATCTAGTACTTAGGTAACCTCTCTAGTAGTTACTAGGTAGGTTAGCACATCTAGCCCGAGTAGAATCATACCCTACCTACCTTGCATACTAGGTATTCCTTAGCTGTATGTCCGAGTCGTGAAAGCGTGACTGTACTGATATATCAGGCATGTAATATACATAGTAAGTAAATTGATTGGGGGTATGCACTGAGGAAGTTTGATTTAATTTTCAGCTTGAGCCGATCTTTCATATGACTACCCAGTACCTATGTAGTACCTAACGATATCTATCTGCGCCGGCTTGCAATATCATTCGAAATAGTTCAATATCGTTCCTTGCATCAGCTGCGCTAGTCTTTGGCAAGTCGCCTTCAACTACGCAGCGGTAAAGTTCCTTCAATTCCAACACATACGCATCTTCATATGTCTTTCTGACCTTCCGCTTTTGGAAACCGCTGTCACCAACCTTTTCTTTGACAACCATGACCGTCGGCAGGCCCTTTACATACGGAGTATCGAACTCAACGCGAACAATTTTATCGGGCGAGTACACTTCAATGTGCGCGTCAAATTCAGGAACATTGACGAACCCAGACTCATAAGTCACGCAGAAATTGCCGTAGTCGAAAAGGACGCTAAAGATTCCCGGAAATGTAAGCATCGCCCCGGATACACCACGTGGCATACCGATTATTTCACGCATGGCTGATAGATCATGTGTTCCGAGACTAGTAGGATTAGTTAGAGTCATTCGGGCGGTCAGTGGTCAGGGGCGGACGTACCCTCCAAGGACCCGCAGCATGCGCCTAGATTCAGGTGTGACAGGGACCCCGAACTCCTTGTCTAGCGCTTGATGTTGAATATCATCTTCGCGCTTAAGTCGATCTTGCGTGTCGGAATCGCTGAAGTCGCTAAACTTCTGCGGAAAGGTTCCAGATTGGTCGACGAAAACTGAGTTTGGTCCGATGATGTCTCTGACACGCGCATACAAGATCTTGTCGAACCCGCCCACTTCCTGTACGGCGTCTACGAATGCGGAGGTAAAACGGCGCATCGTACCCACAAACACTTTACCCTTTGAGGACTTCTCTGCCTCTACGAGCCTATCCAGATCTCGAAAGCATACCGCAGCTGGCTTCTCGATTAAACAATACTTGTTGTTCTTAAGGGCGAGCAGCCCATGCTCCACGTGATACGCATCCGCGTTTGCGATCAAGACAACATCAACTTCGTCGGAAGAACATAGAACTTCGGGATCAGTAGTGGTATTTGGGATGGAACCATTGACCTTCGTCGAACAATGTTCAAGCGCATCCTTCGAGATATCGCACAGGTATGTGGTTCGGAATAGATGCGACAGAAAATTGATATTGGGGATATGGGCAACTTGGGCTATCTCGCCACAGCCAATGATACCAATCCGAAGTACGCGTCGAGCGGCACTATCAGGCGAGGACATTCTTGGCAAGTTAAATAGGTAGATGGAATGCAACGAGACTTTAATTGAATTGGCTGGTAATGTGGAAAAAGGTGTGAAGCGAAGTAGCTGTAAAGGACTCGGGAGATAATCGCATTGATTGAGATCTTGCGTTTTTAGTATACATGGACCTTCAAGTTCACGATTAATATATAGAAGAAATACTACCTACATACTATAGAAGCTATATTGACCATATCCCTTTTACTGTATGATAAATGCTGCCTTCTCCGCAACTGTACAACGCGGTTATCGACCAATGGTGTATGTAAATATTGCCAAACGCCGACACTCCCCGAGTAGCCAAGACGGGGAGTATCGGTGAGCTAACTGTTAGTGTCCTCTGTAGACGAGATCACGGAGCAACTAACCCAGCTAAGGTAACATGGCTAACCCCACAACCCCATCAACAACACCAGGCCAGGCTAGACTCCCCCGGATTGTACGAGTGGATAATTTTGATTTGAATTGCGTGGAGTTGGAAACTGGGGTAAAAATGTTGGAAAATAGATTTAAACCAGTGTTTTCCCTTGTTGATCACTTCATGATATTGTATACCAGGCTTCACCGGAAGAGGACATCTCTATAAACTCTTGCATTGAGGCCCCTTCGTCTTGGTCTCTTACCGGATTGCTGCCATTACCTACCCAATACTTTTCGAGTACCTAGATATATCATATCTCTGACGATTGCAATGGGCATCCTGGGCGGTAAAAAGGAAGCCGAATTGGCTGTGGGATCTGCTCTTGCAGGAGTACGTTGAAGAGCTTTGTCGTAATCTATACGAACTCTGATTACTAACGTCAGGAACTACTAGGCACTCCCACAAGATGCAAAGCCGTGGTATCGAACGCCGCATTTGATCCAACTCAATCTTATTCTGCTGGTGCCGATGTTGTCATCCGCTTCTCTTGGATACGATGGTACGTCAAAAACAACTCTTCCTGTCAATTACCCCTTTTCTGACTGTCGCGTTACACAGGCTCAATGATGAACGGGCTTCAGACCCTGACCCAATGGAAAACATTCTTTGGTAATCCAGAGGGTGCAATCCTTGGCATGATGAACTCTATCTACCCTCTCGGAAAGGTCATCGCCTTGTTTCTCGTGACATATGTCTCTGATCGATGGGGTCGGAGACTTCCGATATTCATGGGATTGATTGCTTGCATTGGCTTCGCGATAATGCAAGGTCTCGCTCAAAATCTAGCAACATTCGTCACAGCAAGGGCACTTCTAGGATTTTCTACCTCTTTCCTCAGCCAACCGAGTCCAGTTGTAATTGCTGAGCTAGCATATCCAACCCAGAGAGGCAAAGCCACTGCTCTATACAATACTTTCTTTGTAAGTAACCTCCGTTGTCGGTTCTTAAATTCACTATGGGCTAGCGCTAATATTCTATGTAGTATTTTGGTGCTATCTTTGCGGCTTGGTGTACCTTCGGAACCTTCAAAATCCAATCTACTTGGAGCTGGAGAATTCCATCCATACTTCAAGGTGCACTACCAATTGTACAATTGCTTGGGTTTTATTTCCTTCCCGAATCCCCTAGGTATGTCGTGTATTCTCCTTCATACTACCAGTCCGGCTTATTAATTACTTCGTCTGTAGATATCTCGTTTCTAAAGGCCGACGCGAGGAAGCTCGAAAATTCATCATAAAGTACCATGCAGGGGGTGACGAGAATGCAGCGATTGTCAAGTTCGAGATGGACGAGATTGAGCAAGCCCTGGAAGAAGAAGCCATGGTATTGTCCACAACATCCTGGTTTGATCTTATTCGAACTCCGGCGAACAGGAAAAGAACATTTATTGCAGTAATCCTCGGTTGGTTCAGTCAGTGGAATGGTATCGGCGTTGTCAGCTACTACCTCACGCTTGTTCTAAACACGATCGGAATCACGGATACGAAGGACCAGACGCTCATCAATGGCCTGCTTCAGATATTCAACTGGCTTGTGGCAACATTCTGCGGCGCCCTCATGGTTGATCGTATTGGCCGACGAAAGCTCTTTTTGATATCGACTGCGGGAATGCTGTGCAGTTATGTCGCATGGACAGGTCTTACCTCAGCATTTGTCACGAACCGAAACGAAGGTATGGGACGTGCCGTGGTTGCATTTATCTTCATCTGCTACTTTTTCTACGACATTGCGTGGACGCCCCTATTACAAGCTTATCCGGTCGAAATCTACCCCTACACGCTACGTGGACGTGGTTTATCATTCACCTTGATTACTTCCTTCACTGGCTTGATCGTCAGCAACCAGGTCAATCCAATCGCAATGAAGGCTATCGGTTGGAAGTATTATATCGTGTTCTGCTGTCTCCTTGCTGTCCTCTTCGTCCTCATCTATTTGTTTTTCCCTGAGACTAAGGGCCACACACTGGAGGAGATTACTGAGGTATTTGAGGGCAAGGCGGGAAAGAATGCCGATGATAAACTCGAAGAAGGAAATCACAAGAACGAGACAAAACAGATCGAGCTCGCATAACTCTCATGGGGGTCAGTTAGTCATATCATAGGCTTACTTAATAAGAGTTGCAGATAATATTGAAGAATCATGTTTGGTGTTTAATTTTGTGTCCCATAATAAGTGTTCTCTGAAACCATTTTTTCGGTTGCAATGGTCCTAGACAACCATTCTCTTATGATACAGACATTGGCCAGCTAGGGCAGCTGGACTTCTCCTCATTCTCAAACCTTTGAGTTTATTAGGTATCTATCATTCAAAGGCGCAAGAACCCCAATTAGCCCCATCGGATAAGTTAAGAGGTAAAGAAAGATTGATTAACCAGCAGGATGACGACTTGGTTAGTAGGAGGCGATTGAATCTGTTTAACTGGTCGGTACCTAGTAGGTACCTAGTAGGTATGAAAACAAGATAGTACATTCTTGATTATTTCAATTCGCCTGGAAGAGCCTTTAATGTGCCTTACTTAGTACTTGTGTACTTGAATTTATTGGACTGGAGTCACACATGTCTACGCTGTAATACTGCACGCTGTAACTGAATTTTAGTGGCATATGCAGCATTATGGGGATCTAGGGCGGGATCGATCGCCTAAACTAACGGGATGTAGCGCACTAGGTATATGCAACTAGTTGATTTTGAACCAAAAGCTGAATCTCCCTCTAGAAAGAGTCCAATTCTTATTTGCGACAATATGCGTACCTATTTGCAAGCTGCTGTACCCCAGGATCCGTTCTATCGGGTTTCGTGGGGTTATTAGGTCCCGCAATGGTCGCTAGAACCGTGGTGGGTGACGCGTAGCATTAGCGTGTCCCTAACGGGGAGTATCGGAATAGGTGTCATTTTAGGGGTTCTCCAGTCACCCGAGATAGCGTCGCCGCATTGCAGAAGGACTTGGCGCAATAAGTAATTGGCGAGGAGCCCGGCACTCTTACCGGCTAGAGAATTCATGCATACCAGGTAGGTACCTAGGTACCTAATGAAGTATTCGTGATAATCTTTTATCCATATCATCCAGAATGATCCCGTGCTGGGCATCCTTCTGACACCAACTTTTAAAGACTCAACTATACCACGATTCTAACGGCACCTTTCCTTAAATCTTCCAAATTCAAGGGCTATATTTATTTCTGATCAAGATAAACATGTCTGAACAACTTCCTACCTTGCGTTGGGGCATCATTGCCACCGGTCTGATATCATCTTGGTTTGTCCAAGATTTAGTACTTCAACGAAAAGACCCAAAGGCAAAACACATCATACAAGCAGTAGGCTCGTCATCTCTTGACAAGGGGAAAGTTTTCGTCGAGAAGTATATTCCAGGCCAATGTTCAAATGTCTACGGCAGCTATGAGGAAGTGTATGCGAATGCGGACGTTGATATCGTCTACATCGGAACCCCGCACGCATTCCACAAGAAGAATTGCTTGGATGCAATCAATGCCGGAAAGCATGTGCTTTGCGAGAAGGCATTTACTCTTAATGCCAAGGAAGCGAAAGAGGTTTTTGAGGCAGCGAAAGCAAAAGGAGTTTTCGTCATGGAGGCAATGTGGACACGCTTCTTTCCCCTTACACGAAAACTGCTGTCTTTGCTACACGAAGAGAAAGCAATAGGAGAAATCTACCGTGTATTCTGCGACTTCGCCCTGAATCAAAATATCTCATCACTCGGACCAGAATCTCGATTGAAGAACCCGGCGCTTGGAGCTGGGACTCTTCTAGATATAGGCATTTACAGTCTCACATGGGGTCTATTGGGATCTGATGCTGGGATAGGAGAGACGGCAAGCTCGCTAGACGTCGTGGCGAGGCAGACCTTGGATAATGGTGTTGACACTGCGACCTCCGCCATATTACTATACCCTGATGGAAAACAAGCTATCGTTACCAGTTCAGCTTCATTCAAGACAAAGTCGGTATTCTGTACCATACAAGGGAGTCAGGGGTATGTAGATATCGAGGGGTTTACTTCGGCGCCCCAGTTTTTCACCGTGTACTCTTCGGACGGATCGTCAAAGAAATACGAATTTGAAAGACCGGGAAGAGGATTCTATTGGGAGGCAGATGCGGTCGCTCTAGATATCGCTGCTGGGAAGGTTCAAAGTGATATTATGCCGTGGGCAGAGACTATACGGGTTCTCGAAATTCTCGATGAGATCAGGAAACAGGGAGGTTCAAAATTCCCACAAGATAGCGATGGAAATTGAGTGATGGCATTTCTAGTTGTAGCATAAGGATAGGCTGCTGAAAGAAGGCTATTATTGGAAGACTTGTCGGGCTAATGTAGGTAATGATTGTACCAATCCACTTTTATAACAAGAGTGCGCTATAAGTTACAGCGCTTACAGCGATTGAAGCCCCCGATAAGCCTTCTACAAGGTTCGCTTTACGCCACTATTTCTGGGCTAAACTTTTTGACAAGTCCAACTTTTTCGATGTCTTGATCAGGACTGACCAGACGATATTAGTTTCAGTTATTTTGGAAGTAGGTACCTAGTAGATTAAAGTAGAATATTTTCTGAAAGAATTAATGATGAAATTTGGCCGGAGCGGTTCACGATTTATTATTTCAAATGTTATACAAGGGCGGGTCGCTATTAAGCGCTGTAACGATACTGGTCCACAGCACCATGCGCCCTAAATCTATAGCGTCTACCTAGGTATCTTCTTACGGGCCGGTGACGCATTGGTGAAATCAAGCAGCAAGTCTTATAATTTGCATGATAACCGTGGTACTCAGGATGATTTGTTCCTAGGTACCAGCGAATCTCAACAAGATATATTAGTTCTAACAATATCCTCTGCGGAGACGCTGTACGCAGACGACATTTGATGCGGGTAGTATGTACATATTCGGCGACGGATACCCCTCATTACGGAATAAACACAAACGACGGGATGAGGCCCCTATCCGTGAGGCAGAAAGTGTGGCTAAGTGTGGCTTGGCGACCCCATTCTCTTGATAGACCTTAAAATCGCCAATCCCCAACTTCCGTAACTCCCCGCGTCTTTCAGTCCTCTTCAATTCTCCACTTTCGAACCAATAACATCGCAGCTGTTCAATTGAGAAGTATAATACATATCCATCCAATATGTCGGGGAACGGCACAAGTCACGAAGACGTCATTCCGCCTGGCTCAAATAAGCGACAGCGGACATCAGGGATGTACCGTCGGAAGAGGGCGGTAGCTGCATGCCAGCAGTGTCGTATTAGGAAGACCAAATGCGACAATGCTCGACCGGTCTGTGGGTTCTGTCAGAAGAACCAGGGTCAATGCATCTACCCGGACGGAGGTCCGAATGATTACTCAGCGTCGGTCTTCTCTATTCGGTGGTGTAACAGGTACCTGGTATCATAGGGCTGACAATATGATCATTAGATTCGATCCTGCAAGCTTGGCTATCTTGGATCGGATCAACCATGTCGTCAATTTATTGGAAACCGGATCTCTTGTTGGACCTGGAGAAGTGCACCAAGAGCCATCTCCATGCTCGTTGCCAAACCCTGCCCCTTTAAATACTACGGTCACAAGCATATCGCAACAACCGATATGTGAAGACGATGATTTACCCCGGTTAGATGATCCAGATTTCGCAGCTTCGACATGTAGTTGCGAAAGTATCCTACGATGGCCGATTTTCAAAGATGTCGTTTCTGATGCTCGTCCCTTCATATTCGAGTCTGGTAGCGGAATAGACTCCTTTACTGAGTTTCGCGGTTTGGAATCCGGGAGACTAGGTAGAGGAGTCCAAGAAGACGACTTTATTCCCCTATCCAAAAAGTTCCTAGCCTACGTTCATGTCAAGAACCCGATTCTTGACCTCGCAGACTTCAGGGCTCATGTTAAGGAAGCCTCGGAGAATGGTCTTCGGTGGGATAGTCAATCCTGTCTTGTGGTATGAAATTTTATCCTAGACCGTACGAATCTATACTTATTTTTAAGCTTATCGCTTGCGCCCTCGCATGTCTATCATCGCCTTTTCATCGAGATGTCACGACAAATGGAACACCGGACTCTAATAAGTCATTGTCAGTCACGAGCGTCGACCAAGCCACGGCTTCATCGTACTACCTAGCTGCCAAAAAGCGTCTTGGATTGCTGGAAACTTCGATACTCCAGGTGCAATGTCTATTTCTATGCGGTGTCTTCGAAATGTATTCGCTCAAACCTTTACAAGCTTGGACCTATTTTAACCAAGCCTCAGTAAGCTTTAGGAATCTAGTGTGGATGCGGACACAAAGGGGAATTGGAGACATGGTTGAGAGTCAGAGGCTTGAACAACGTCTGTACTGGTCGTGCATGAAATCTGAATTGTAAGTACGCCCTTAACATCTTTATCATGTCCCGTACCGTCATAATTGACAATTTCTGTCGTGATTCATAGAGAAATTCGATCCGAGATACCATTGCCGTCCAGTGGAATTGCCCGCTTCGATTACCCAGATTTATTCCCAAGCCCACCGTCAGAACTTGCCTCTCCCGTAGAACAGTCGCAAAGTTTCGATGGATTACCAACAGACATCGAACCAGAAGAAGAGCGAAGTTGGTTTTATTACCTTTCCGAAATATCCTACCGGAGAATACTGAGTCGCGCATTTGTTATATTGCGACGCGACGGCGAGGAAGGCTGGATCAGACATATTGAACAAACGATTAAGCAGTGCGAAGACCTTGATGACCAGATCAAAGCTTGGTATGTTATTTATACTTAATTCTCGCTTAAGTCTAATGTGGACTTCGATGTATAGAAAATACCTAGTATTTACGTTTACTGACGTCTGGACAAGGTGTTCGCATATCCCACCCCCTATTAACATGGACCATTGGGAAATGTCGAGTAACGAACTCGCGTTCTACGTGCGAAACAGGCTGGTCTCAGGCAGGGAATGGATCCGGAGACCAATGGTTTACTATCTAATCCACCAGCCACCAGATGACCCGTACGTTGACAGAGCTAGACCATTGGCGGATATGGGTCTGAATCTGTGCGTCGACCTTCTCGTTCAGGTTGATTACCACCATCGTCACCACGGCTCTTGGTTTGTAGCCCGTACGGCGACAGCGCGTTCACTCATACTGCTTGCAGCTGCCCGAAGTGGGCACTTTTCAATGCCTCCTCGATGGAAGGAAGCTGTGAATGTGGCCAGAAATATACTCCACCATTGGTCTAGCGAGGCTCCTGATCTTCAACGCGCGGCTACTGTCCTGGATAATATCGCATCCGATGCTGGATTATCATTTCCATTAGATGGATTTTAGGGTATTTCGTCTATTCCGTCCGTATCGATCGCAGAAACTGTCATGTGAACTTCAGAAGTCCATGAGGCTTACGCTAAGGACCCTACGCACCCTTGGCTTTCCAGGCTAGTAGAGGAGACTATTGGGGAATTAGCTTCGTACCAGCTCACCCCGCGCCGACTGATGTGGGGAACGTCGTGGTCCTAAGGTGCTCAACTAGACCGGGGAGTATCGGCTATTTGCCCGAGTAGGAATCTCGAAGAGTCCCAACACATCAACGTGTCAAAATGCCTTTAAATGATGTTGGGATAAACATTAAAGACCCCTCAATTCTAATAAACTTAAGAGTACATTAATTTTCTGTTGATTTCAGAGTCCTACGAATTTCGCATCTATTACTTTGGAAATCAACCATTCTGGCGAGAAGTTCCAAGTGCACACGCCAAAATGGACATCGGGGACACACTTTCTAAGCTCACGCTTGATGAGAAGATAGAGCTTATCTCAGGTGAGACTCTTTACTTCATGAGTACAGATGATCAGTTACTAACAGCTACATCCAGGAGCCGACTTTTGGTGCACCAAGGCAGTCCCGCGTCTAGGCATACCATCGCTGCGCATGTCTGATGGGCCGAATGGCGTTCGAGGATCACGTCTGTTCAATGGTGTACCGGCTGCTTGTACCCCTTGCGGTACAGGATTGGCTGCGACTTGGGATGTGGATGCTATCCGGACTATCGGCCAGATGATGGGTACAGAAGCTATCGCAAAGGGTGCTTCCCTCCTCTTAGGACCTACGGTCAATATTCAGAGATCACCTCTTGGTGGACGTGGGTTTGAGAGTTTTAGCGAAGACCCAGTTCTCTCCGGAAAGATGGCCTCTTCTATCGTACAAGGTATTCAATCCACCGGAGTGGTTTCCGTGATCAAACACTTCGTGGGTAATGATCAAGAAGAGCAGCGCCAAAAGTCCGACTCCATTATTCCTGAACGAGCACTCAGGGAGGTATATCTACTTCCCTTTCAAATTGCCGAGAAGGAAGCAAGGCCGAAGGGATATATGACGGCATACAATAGGGTTAATGGAATCCACGTCAGCGAAAATCCTCGATTTCTCCAGGAGATTTTACGAGATGAATGGGGATTTGACGGTATCATCGTGAGCGATTGGTACGGAACATACTCTGTTGCTGAGCCGATAAATGCCGGTCTCGATATCGACATGCCTGGACCGACGCGTTGGCGAGCAGGGCTTGCGAAACTTTCTGTCAACTCTAGCAAAGTATCGAAGCGCGCTCTAGATCAGCGTATCCGTGCGATTCTAAAGACCGTTGATCGAGTAGCGTCACTTAAGCTCGAGGAGAACGTGACTGAAGGAACTGTCGATACGCCAGAGACGGCCAAGAAACTCCTAGACGTCGCATCATCCGCGATCGTTCTTTTGAAGAATGATCGAAATGTTCTTCCCTTGGATAAAGGGAGGACTACAGCAATTATTGGACCAAATGCGAAATTTGCAGCGTACAGCGGCGGCGGCTCGGCGAGTCTACGACCATATTACGTCGTGACTCCGTTCGACGGTGTTCAAACCCACATTCAATCATTAAAATATGCATTGGGCGCAACTGCATACAAGAAGTTACCGATGCTCACATCCATTACCAAAGCCCCTAATGGTGCACCTGGGATGGAGATGCGCATTTACGCGGAGCCCCACTCCGTAAAGGACCGGATTCCTATTGAAAAGTTCAACATCGATAACTCGAGCTGCTTTCTGAACGACTACAAGCACCCGAATATTCCATCCAATCTTTTTTACGTTGAAGTAGAAGGCGCCATCACTCCGGAGATAGACGCGGAATATCTATTTTCTTTAACAGTCAATGGCAGCGGCCGCTTGTATGTGGATGGCGAAGAGGTTGTAGATAACGAAACAACTCAACGACCAGGAGACTCGTTTTTCGGCTCCGGCACGGCTGAAGAAATTGGTAGCAAGCATCTCGTTCGGGGACAGAAGTACAACGTTCTCGTACAATTTGGTACCGCCCCCACATCGAAGATCGCCAAAGGTGGTGCAACGCAAATGGGCGTCGGCGGTTTACAGATTGGTGGATGTGCTAAGACGGACCCTACGGTACTTCTCGAGGAAGCTGTCGCAGTCGCGCAGAGTGTCGATCAAGTCATTCTCTGCGTAGGGTTGAACTCCGAATGGGAGTCCGAAGGCTGGGACCGAGCAAATATGGATCTCCCACCTGGATCGGATGCTCTTGTCGAAGCGATTACTGCTGCGAACCCGAATGTTGTGGTTGTGAACCAGTCAGGGACCCCCGTCACGATGCCTTGGGTGGAAAAGGTGCCGGCAATCGTACATGCCTGGTACGGCGGCAACGAGACCGGCAACGCGATCGCAAATGTCTTATTCGGCGTGACTAACCCAAGCGGCAAACTACCACTAAGTTGGCCCGTCAGATTAGAGGATAATCCCGCGTTTATCAATACAAGGATTGATGGCGGTAAGGTATTATACGGTGAAGGAGTCCACGTCGGATACAGGTGGTACGAGAAGATTAAACGTGATCCGTTATTCGCGTTTGGATATGGGCTATCGTACACACAATTTAAGCTAGAGAACCTCGCCATTAACGATAACCCAGAAGACTCGTCGGATGCGGCCACGGTAACAATCTCCATAGATGCGACGAATATTGGTTCTCAAGACGGTTCCGAGGTGGTCCAAGTTTATGTGGCGCACCAGACTACGACGGTACAGCGACCATTGAAGGAACTTAAGGGATTTTCGAAGGTGCACTTGTCGACAGGCGAGACAAAATCGGTCACAATCCAATTAGATAAGAAGTACGCTTGTAGTTTCTGGGATGAAAGCGCAGACTCGTGGGTGCTAGAACAAGGGACATATCACGTACTCGTTGGAAATAGCAGTCAGAACACAACGCTTCAGGGACAATTCGAAGTACAGCAAACACGGTTATGGAATGGCCTATAAAATAACGCAGGATTCAATGTAGGTAACAATCCGTTACCCATACGAACCTATAGGCTAAGTAATTATTTAAGTAAAGAGCAAGCTATATACAAAAACCAACGAATAATAAATAACAATACTACCAATACCTAAAAACGAAACACTTTAATCAAGAATCGCAATCCCCTGCGCGCTCTTTCCAGCCTGCATACCAAGCTCGAACCTCTGGATACTCTTCGCCTTGCCCTGACCACCAGAGAGATCCAAAACATTGATCGTCGCAGTGCTCGTGCCGTTGCCGGGAGACAGCACGTACAAGAAATCGCCCGACGCCTTCAAGTCGATGAACCCTGGGTCGCCGGCAGCAGACAAGTCGATCGTGGAGATGATACTCGCGTCCTTAGCGCTCATCTCCAGAACTCGCGGGATCGCTACATCGGTCACGTACACACTCCCCGTGCTTTTCGAAAACGCGGACCAGCACGTCGCTTTTTGGTCCGCGACGACCTGTTTCGCGGCGACCGAGGCTTGGCCCGTCTTTGCGTCTACGGAGAGGATGGCGGCGCCAAAGGATGCGTCTGTGGCGAAGATATTGTTTGTGCCTGGGATTATTTGCGAGCCGAAGAGCACGGCGGTGCCGTTTGGCGAGAAGCGCGCGTCTTTAGGCGATACTGAGGCGACTGAGGAGCCGCCGCACGATGGGCCTTGCTGTATCGCGAGAGAAGAGAGGAAACCGGTTTTGTTCACGGCTGGGTCGCCCTTTACGGTGGTGAAGAGCGTGGACTCGTCTTCGGAGAAGAAGGCCTGAGAGACGGTGTTGGTTGGGCCGACGGGTGGCGTCGATTGTCCGAGATCGATCGATCGGAGTGTGTCCATAGCTCCTACACCCTTGCGCGTGAAGGGCGCGCAGGTGATTCCGGCGGTCGAACCGGACGCGCCGACGCACACGAGCTTGTTCTTTGCTGATGCGGCGACGGTGTTGGGGAACTCGCCTGGGATCGGCGCCGGCTTGCCGACTAATGTCAGTTTGGTCGGGTCGCGATTCGAGATCGAGAGCATGCTGAGGGAGTTGCTGCCGGGGTTTACGGCGAAGACGTACTGCTTATCATCAGCTTCTGGCTACTTATAGGTAGGTATCGTATGGGTTGAACTTACACCTCCCGCTACGGTGAGTGCCGATTGGCTCAGGAGCGCATCAGGTCCTGCCGGTTGGTTCGTCATGCCGTCTATCGAGCTCGATCCTTTTCCGCCTGCTGGGGTCACGGTGCCTGCGCCGAGAGTGCCGTCGGATTTGATGGGCATGGCGACGATTGCGTTGGCTTCGTCGTTGGTTATGAGATATACGGCCTTCCCCGTGGTCTTGCAGTCTTCGGCTTGTCGCACGACATGGCCTGCGATGCCTTGGGCCAACGCCAACAGGGCGATTGTCGACTTCATGGCGAAATGGTGATGGAAGCAAGGTAAGTAGGTAGATATACCAAGTCGACGGTAAGTTTATCCTGGACTTTTGTGAGTTGTCTAGGGCTGAAAGGCCGGAGTTGTGATGCTAATAAGATGCTTGTGATTATTCTGATTGAGACTGAAGCTACCTATCCTGATGAGATGAACTAACATCTTCGTTATATACATTTTGGCTCTGGATAATATCACAGCCTCTACTGCTATCCTGAATCTTACATCGCAGCTCGTGTATTGAAAGTTGGAATCCAGACTTCTCTTTTTGGAAAATCGTCGTCTGAAGATCCGCATCATCAAATTAGTTAATTTCTAAGGGACCGATTGTAAGTGACAGATCAGAAGCGTTGGTTCAAACACCATCAAGGAGCTAGGATCGCGTTAAGCTTAACGACGATTGGCTGATCTCATCGTGACACATCCAATAGAAGGTGAAACGGGGTTTTAAGGATAGCGGAACCCCTGCGAGAGGATCAGCTAATGAAGCAGCAGTACCCGAGGAATAGGATCCTGAAATTTAGTGGAACAATCTCACCCACATGGCTTTGGAATCTTAGTTCCTAATTCGGACGAAAGATCTGTCAGTTAATACAGCAAGGCGGAGGCTTTGCATAGGAAGGCTCCTAGACTGGGGTAGTATAACCGCATATGTTTGAGCACATTGAATCAATATATTAACTATGAGTTACACGAATATGTTGCAATTTTTATAAGCCTAGGCCATCGTATATTAACCATCTCTTTAGATTCGAAGTGGGTCGGCTAGAAGGCCAACCTTACCGTTTTCGGCCTAGTTTCTCTTTTGAATTATCACACACCTTGCTGTCGCCCCCATACTACACCAACAGAAGACAAAAACTTGAATATTACCCTTCTACTTCTATCTACCGGTATACCCGCCATCTACTAGTTAGCTATTCCTAGCATATGCCAGTGGAGCATGGTCCTTTGAGACAATGACAGCGTACCCCACAAGCTGTCCATGTCAGCACTTTAACCAACCGCTCATAGATTCCTCAAACGGACAGCTTCAATACGATGATTACCTATCTTGTAAGCTTTTATTATATCGTAGTTCATCCACTCTGACCTCGGCGCACGGAGACTCGCTTGAAGAAGAAAGCAAGCACAAAATTGAGAGACCAAAATCAATAGCCAAACAAGATAAAGAGAAGTAAATACCTAGGTACCTAAGTTTCATTAGCTTTAAAACCTGAGCCTTTTTGATAGAATGTCATTGTATTCGACCTCCTACCTAACTTATGAGGAAACATGGTCAATGTTGAGTATACGGGCCGACATCACGACAAGTGGCAGTCAAGCTATGCATGTGACGGCGGATATTAGAGCCCGATCCTACATTACCTAGGTATGTATTAGAAAGGGGAAAATACGATACGATACATGTAACCGTCGTGGTCCCCTTTTGGATCAGGCCCCCATCTGGATCACCTTTCGCACCAAAATACTACTTTCTCAGATTGCGATAACTTAACATATATTAATCTATTTGAACTGTAAATAGATTTAATAGATATATAGGTGATTGGGCTACTGTATAGTATAGAGTTTTGAGATCTAAAAGATTTTCTTGAATTACAATTGCGATGCGTACAAAAGTACACCGCCCCACATACAAATTAGGTGTAAAAACAAGTACTCATTAAAATAGTTACATCGCGACAACAAGGTATACGATCTTGAATCTTTTCAGGTAATTATAATTACTAGAACTGTACTTAACTTTAGTATATTTTACTATTCATAAGTAATATAATTCACGATATATTTATAATTTATAAATTTAACCGTATTAATTTTAATACTCTTAAAAGAATAACTCTTAAATATATACGAATATAATTATGTATTTTTTATAATAATTACCAAAATTAATAATACTTCTAATAGTCATAATTCATGAAAAAGATTCGAGATCGTATACCTTGTTGTCGCGATATAGCTGTTTTAATGAGTACTTGTTTTTACACCTAATTTGTATGTGGAGCGGTGTACTTTTGTACGTATTGCAATTGTAATTCAAGAAAATCTTTTAGATCTTGAAACTTCATGGAAATAGATATATAATCAATCGTTAGATGTGTTCTATCAATATTAAGTCAATGAGCCTTGCAAAGGTTGATTTATTTCAGTTTCAAAAGGTACTAGTTTGGTGTAAAAAGTGATCCAAATCCCCACCTGATCCGAAAGGCCATCAACACGGTTAAGTGTTTATCTACCTAGGTAGATTTTAGGATCAACTAAGGTTAAATCTAGAATGCTCGAGACCCTTAAAACACTATGATCCTCTCCGGTTTCTGTAAGGATCTTGGATGACACTGGCCATTTCTTGGCTGGAAAACAAATACATTCCCACCACTGAACAGTTGCATTAGGTTAAAGAACAAGCTTTTATTCTCCCAGAACGAATGAATGGGAATAACTATCTAATATCCCCCCCTGAGGCCACCAAACCCCTACCTAGTAGGTACTAGGTAGGTAGGTACCTATCATTCCCAACATCTAACGACATTGGCTTTTCTCATCAACTCTCCAAATCCCTTTTGTCCCCCCCTTCCCGAATGCCCATCTCTCCTTTCCGAGGCTCGCGTTCTACTTCTTGTACTTGGGTTGACATTTCGGGCAAACTTCATACCTAACGCTCGAGACCTTCTTGACCGAAGTGCACCCAGGAGTGCCGCGTTTACCGCATGGTTCTATATTGCCGAGAGTTGTTCTCAAAGTATCCTTGCAGCTTGGACATTTTACGTTGCAATGAACCTGAGAGCACATTGTGTTTTTGTCGCGCTGCGTTGCTTTTCGCGTTTGTCTTTTCGTGGTGGTTTTGGACTGGAGAGTAACTGGCGATTTGGTTTGGTTCTCAGTCAAAGTAGCCTTTGTAGATCTTGGTTATGATATCGGCGATGTTTATCGTGGTTTATGGTAAAGTTGAGGTAAGCACAGCATTCTGTATTCTTGAAATCGCAGCGATTTAAATATTATTTTTCTCTTACAGGAATCAGAGAATAACGAAATGACAGTGATAATGGGCTTCAAAATGCTATTAGGATTTCGTAAGATTCTATTGTCATGAGGGGACGCGGCTTGACTTTGCTATTCGCATATCATACCGAGTGGGTGCGAATTGATCTCGGGGGCTTCCTGGGTTAGTCACGGACGAAGTAAGAATAATTGACTCTAGGTAGGGACAACATAGTCATGACATTACGTTATGATTCGGGTCTTGTCTTGAAGCTCGTTTAACCGACCGTAATAACGATGAGGCGGGGGGCTATTATGTATATTGGTCAATTCAATGGGCTGTCCTAATTTACACGAAGAACAAATGCTAGGTGAATACATATGAAGGAAATAGGAACGTCAAGAATTGATGTGAGTAGATGTATTTAGTGCGTGACTAGTAGGTACTCTAGAAGCTCTTCAAAAATCGACGCCACAACGGTTGAGATGCACCTATTTCGCCTTCTCTTATCTCCTTCAATTCCTCTAAATCACGACGCCTCCCTGCCTGTAAGTCGATATCGTGTTTGTCCCATATACTAGTCTTAAATGCGCGTTTATATCCAAAATAGATGATGAAAAATAACGGCAGAAGGATATACGCGTCAACAAACCCACCAGCATCCCAGGGTGAAAAGTTAGCCCAGCCCTGGACCAGAGCTAAGAAAGTGTTCGCTGCTAGACCGAAATATGCATTCCAAGGATATCCAAAAGAGACATACGGGAGATCTTCTACCTGATATCCTTGGGCCTCCCAAGCCTGGCGGAAGCGAATATGGGTAAGTGAAATCGAACCCCAAACTAGGAAAGTAGAGACGCCACTCAAGTTGACGATATAACTATAAGCTTTAGAAGCGCCGGTCGAGATATTCATCATGGATATAGCGCCGAATGCATTCGCTAAAGTTATGGCTGGGATCGGTACTCCTCGCCTATCGGTCCATCCAAGAAAAGATGGGGCCATTCTCTGCTGAGCCATAAATAGTATTGTCCTCGATGAGATATAAATGGAGCTGTTGATGGCGGAGATACAGGTGATCAATATGAAGGCGTTGATAAGATGCACGCCACCTTGCCACCCCGCATTTTGAATTGCGACTGTCATGGGACTCAACAAGGCACGACTGCTGCCATTAACAAGCTGGTCGTCATTCGCCGGGCAAGTGAGGCCGAAAAAGAAGGCTGCACCCATGTAGACGAAGATGATACGCCAGAATACCTGACGAATAGCCAAGGGGACAGCAACTCGGGGGTTCTTCGTTTCGGTAGCAGCCACGGCGACGGATTCGCAGCCGGCGTAGAAGGTCGAACAGAAAACGAAGACCTTGGCAACGCCGCGGAACCCTTCGACGAAAGGGCCCGGATCATGCCAGTATCGGAAACCTATGGCATCAGCGCCTTTAATCCCGCCGGATACATAACTAAAGGATTCATTAGTATTTCAATGGTAGACGATGGAACCTAGGTACCATGCATGCAGACATTGGAACTTACACGATAGAGAATATGTAAAATGCAACCAATCCTACAAGTTTAAGAAGAGCTAGCCAAAATTCGGCTTCCCCAAATGTGCTAACGCCACAAAACTGGAAGAGCAAAAATGCTGTCTTGGGAGACGTCAGTGGCACCATCCAAGACAACTACTAGCGAGCGATACATACCCAAAGGATGAGAAAATATCCCCAAACAGGGACCTTATCGCTCCAGAAGACGAGAATGCTGGTGGTGGCGTTGTACTCATTGGCAAGGACAGCGAACCAAATGATAAAGTAATTCCAGCCGACAGCGACGCCAAAAGCGGGATCTACCATGCGGGATGCGAGTTGAGTAAAGGCACCCCCCGACGGGTAAAGAGTTGTCAACTCTCCTAAACTCTGCATAATACTATTGTTTATAGGTCAGTTGGTAAATATATTTGGCTTTTTGATGGAGCGCGATGTTACCTGAAAGCAATTATGCCGATGATACCAAAGCCAATCAATAACGACGCCGGACCACCGCTGGATAAAGCACCTCCGCTTCCGACTAAAAGCCCGGGTCCTATGATTCCGGCTAGAGCCATCATACTTAGATGACGGGTCTTCAACCCGCGCTTAACACCCGATTCGGGGTCAATCGAACGAAAGTCATCTTGATCGGGATCTTCCTCGGGTTGCGCAATTGGCCGGTCGGCGTCAAAGCTTTTGGGACTGTACATGACAGAGAAACGGCGTCGTGTTGCTCAACACGTCGGCTCCAGAGCTATCAAAACAAAAGCAAAAGCAAAATAGTAGGTACCTGCTAGCTACGTAGCTACTGTAGATAGTACCTAGAAAGTAATTAATTCACAGCGCTTTCTCCTCCGGAAGACGCACGGCGCGGAACACGAAAGACGAATGGTCTAAATTCCTCTAATCGATCCAAGAATTTAGAGCGACCAACACCACGTTGTCGACCACCGATACGTCTAGGTTCTGACGAAGATGTATTTTCTTCAAACTCTGACGGCGCAGAACTTTCGGTGACGGATCCTTAGAACGATAAGGGAAATTCTAAAATTGCGTGATCGGCGACCCGCGCCGCGACATCAGTGCCAAGCTATCCCGGCACCTAACCTTAATCTAGTTTAGGATCACCGTGAATGGATCCTTCCATTTCGAATTTTCCATTATTTCTAGGGAGTTACCAATTCCAATGATATCAAGAGGAGAATTGTATACAATTTAGTAAAATTCACTAGATTGCCATATCGCTTGACCATATTTCTTCGTAAATTTCGCGTAGGAGTAAAACAGATGATGGTCGTATTCTGTCTCTAAGCTAGCGTCGCCATTCCAGAACCCAGCAAGGGTTAGCAAGGAAGTGGATGGTTTGCGTCTTCTCTTCTTCTACGGAGACCATGTATTAGGAATGATATGCGAAGTTACAAACGTCGTTTGTTCTTGTAGATAACATCATAAGATATCGTTAAAAGGGACTCGAAAAGGGCATCATAACACAAGTCTTGGTTAGTTTCAATGGAACTCTGAAAAAAGAATGAACTGAGTTAAAATAAGCGTTCAAGTGCTGCACATAGATATAACGCGTGGTAATATTACCTAGAACTTAGGTAGTCCCTACCTACGGTACCTAGTATTTAAATCTTAACTGTCACTAGGTACCTAGGTAGAAACCAATAGGGTTATTACCTTCAGCTCGTGGGGCTGTAAGGATAAAAGCTGCGAGGCCTGGTTCGACTCTTTAGGGCGCTGAGTGCCTTCTATTTGTTCCTTTTCCCTGCTGTATGTATGGCAAGCAGTAGCCTAGAACTAAAAGGCAAGGGTAGCCCGTTGCTAGCTGGGGTGCGCCCCGGGTAGGCACATATGTACCTAGTAAGTACCCACACCTGGCCTCATCATAACCACACATTCTTCTTTCTTGTGCCCACCAATCTACTTGGTATTCAAGCACATGGTCGAAACCTCCTCGGAAAATCAATTTTCTTGATTCGAAAATTCTACATGCCGTGGCACCCTACTCTAGATGCAGGCTAGATGCGTAGGTGCCTACAAGATGGCGTCTACTATTGAAGGCACTACCTGCACTGTGAGGGGTATTTCATAACTTTCGTCGACCAGTTCGAGTTCTAGAACAAGAACAATACGACATCATATCCTCTTTCATTCGATTCTCTTTTACAGGTACGTAACTTTTAGAGCCAAGAGCATGGCCAAATGTTGTCTAATGGGACTAGAAAGAATTTTCCTTCGAGAAAACTTCGTGATCTAGGAAATGAGATGCCGCTAGTCGACCCGTAGCTTGTTAAATCTAGTTAAGTCGTCCCAACAACAAGGATGACATGGCACATTCGGTCCGTGATAGCCCGGCTAACGGTATATAGATCTGATTATGATTGATTTTATCTTATCGATCGATCAGATAATCGTCTATCGTGAAGACCCATTCTCGGGACTGTTCAATTCTGGCCTTAGAGCGCCCCGACAGTACGTAAACGCCGGGAAACACCGTCCCTTGCTATTGAAGCCAAGGCCGATGAAGGAGAATCCCGAAATTTGAAAGACTTCAAGATCAGTCAATGATACGATAATATAAAGCTGATCATTTCTCGGCGTAAAATTGGCGCCCTGAATTTGGTTATCGTCGTCCTTGTTGTCATATTAATTGAAGCCATCGTCAAGATGACTGCGCCAGTCGAAGTTGTGATGAATCCCGAAGACGTGGTGAAGGACGTCGCCCAGACAGACGTTACGGAAGTGTCCCCGCCGCCATCAACATCATCACCATCGTCTCTGGACGAGAAACCGCAGCCGACATGGCCTTGGAAAACCACTGCAGTCGTTCTACTAACACTTATTCGGTTTGGTGGCGCCTGGAGTTCTGGCATCACTGGTGCTATGAAGTCAACAATGAAGAAACAACTTCATATCAACAACACTCAATATGCACTTCTCGAGGCTAGTGAGGACTTCATAGTCACCGTCCTAATCCTGTTCAGCGGTCTCTTAACCGATCGTTTCGGAGGTGTTGGTGTCATTTTTTACGGTAATCTCCTTTACTCGGCAGGGTCGATTCTAGTCGCCGCCGCCGCTCAAGTGCGCTCATTCAAATTCATGATGGGAGCCAGAGTCATCTTGGCCATAGGCGATATCTCAACTCAAGTTGCCCAGTACCAAGTCTTTTCGTCTTGGTTTGCGCCGAATAACGGATTCGGCTCGACTCTCGGACTGGAACTTATGGTTCAAAAGTTGGGAGCATTGGCCGGCACCGGGTCTGCGAATGTTATTGCGGTCGTAAGTCCAACCTTACCTAGCAGCTCTTGAAGGCTGTGATCAATATATCGCAAGTACCTAACCATTTTTTTTTTTTTAGAAAACTGGAAATTTCGCTTGGGTATTCTGGATTGCAGTATTCATCAACTTCTTCACAAACATCATTTCAGCCATCTTTTTCTGGTTTAACAAGAAGACTAGCCACAAGTTCGGTCATAGTATTGATCCCTCAACTGGCGAGAAGTTAGTCAAGAAAGCCAAGAAGTTGGAGCTTCGCAAGGTTCTCGAACTCCCGTGGACGTTTTGGGTCGTCATGGCGTACTCCCTGTTTACTACATCTACAGCAATCATCTTCAAGGGTAACGCGACAGAACTTGCCGAGAAGAGGTTCAAGATTAGCGCGGTAACGGCTGGTTGGTATTCTGCTGTATTGCAGTATGCTGGGTTTTTCTTGGTTCCCGTCGTTGGCGTGATGCTTGACGTCTTGGGACAGCGGATAACACTTAGTAAGTTTTCGTTCTAACGAGTGGATAGCCGATCTAACTAGCTATAGTGGCATCTTCCGGATTTGGAACCTTCATCGCAATGGCTCTAGTGAACTGGGCTTCAACCGTGAAGGGCACTGCGGCTGCGTTTGGTATCTATGCTATTGCATCTACTTACAGCCCAACCGTCATCATTGACAGCATACGCGCTTCCATATGGCAACAGACCACTTTCGGTACTGCGTATTCTTTGAAGATCCTGATGAATAACTCGTACGTCTTTCTAAAACCATGTCTGAGTTTTACTGACTCTTTTGCTATAGAATGAACATCATTGTAAGGATAGTTGCCGGTCTCATACAGGATGCCGATAACGATTCATACAACCGCGTAGTCATTTTGTACGTATGGTTGGCAGCAGCGTCTATGGCCGTATGTTGCGTCATGATATTACTCACCTTCACTTCCGTGGACTTCGGTAGTCTTCAGTGGACCAGAAAGCAACGCATTTCTAGAAAGGATATCCTGATTCGACAGAAGGAAATGTTCTTCAACGAGAATGCGGCTAGGAATAGGCTGATATCGAAATCATCCTTCGGTGCCCTAATGGTATTACTTTTGGGTGGTTGGATATGTTACATCTGGGGGGCTGCAACCGGTCATAACGATTAAAAGGATGATGATTACCTAGGTACTAGTAGGAACTGAATTAGGTCATTCATTACCTAAGTACCTACCTACCTAAGTAATGACCTAATTACAAAACCATGGGCTTTAATGGGGTTCAATGAGCTATCCATAGTTATGTAGTATATATACAATTCTGCACGAGCTCAAATCGAAGATTTCTGGCTCCCCACCGCCCAAAGACATGGACAAGAATTATCGTATCGTATACTGGAAGACATCCAAAGGTTAACTTACCGAGATTTCCTCTTGTATTATTTACCACATAAAGAAAGCGAAAAATAGGAGGTATAGGCAATAAACAAAGGACATAGGCATGCCTATAGGCTCGGTGCCTGATAACACTGGTCTCTCTTTGCAATTAGGGGGAGTCGTAGCTCGGTGATTAAAACATTTCAAGACCCCGTCATCCGCGGCAACGAGCACGTCTGCTAATATTAGTATCTCTTGAAATTTAGACATATATTTCAAAAAGATCAGCTAGACGATATACTTACTAGTATCAGCACTGGTCCACACCAGGCTTCCCTTCTTCAATGGTGTTCTATAGCATCTGCTTTTAAGTGTTGTGCCATCAAGCTCGGAAAAGTTAAAAGGACATCGCTTGCTAAGATTCCCACTTGTGGTCTTTATTAGCTTATACGCACCTTTTTCGGCCTATAAAAGGAGTATTTAGCCAAATAGAAATTAGACTTACTTGTCTTTAGGTTTCATCCTGCCTACGTCCGAGCCGTAGCATTTGTCAAGAGAGAGGATGCTGCACTGAGTATCACCAGAAGCTGTTGCGCAGTAAGCTCTCAGGCCTGCTTCATTGCCTACTTTAACGAGAGTCGCATTTCGACAGTAGTTTGCATAGCCGCCGTCAGCAGAGGCCAAGGAGGTAAAAGCGCCAAGGAGAATGAAGCTGAAGAATTTCATTATACCGGTGTATTGCGAGGGTGGGAAGAGTACTACCTAGGGGGGTAATCAAGACGGTTTGCATGCATGGCTAGATAAATTGAAGCTAAATACATCGGTCGTTTTTATATACTGAAAGTAAATTAGGTAGGAACGCTCGAACTCATAGTGTTAGGTAGGTATAGTTTAATCCGTGACTAAGTACATGATTCAATTGATACCTACCTAATGACTGACTCTCAAATCTATATTGAACATGTTACTCATGAGGATCATGATGCCGTATAAGCTGTACTGAGAGTACTAGGTACATCAACAAGTAGACCTATTATTCCTACCTACCTTCCAACTAAACACCTAATGGGTAGGTAGAGTAGGTGGACAAAGAAGCTCAAACCTTTCTTGTACTTACCTACGCAGGTAATTGAATTCTTTGTCTACAATGAAACAACTATGATCTCTCCGAAAACAATATGATTGTTATATTGAGAATGTGACAATGGAACAATTGTAATCAAAGCACATAGTTAATAATAACATCAGAGCCAATGTCATTGTTCTCCTCTACAGCGAATTTAAATATATTGGCGTATACGGCGAAAGATACGTTTAACGCAAAACACAAAGTTCCTCAGATCACACAACTTTGAAAATAGTTCAAGATGTTCGTACTTCTATTCTCTCTTATTTCATCCTTTGCCACGGTGACGTCTGGGGCACCCATACTCCCTTCAGCTCATACCTCTGGATGGGAGAGAACCACCGATGGAGTCTTGAATAATGTGGTGAAATTCTGGGCTCGTCAAGAGCCGGTACCAGCGGCTGGCACAACTCTTGATACAAAGGCTATGCTCGCTATTATTGGTGGTGTTCTCGGTATTATAATTTTCGTCATCCTTCTCTACATCTGTGGTCGAGCTAGGAGATACCCATCTCCTAGTGTATTAGGAGGAAGGTAGGTGACTTGGATTATTTTGACCTAGGGATTAAATACTTCAAAGTTGATGACTATATCATCACATTTGCTCAGGGGCCAAAACAGTGTCAGCGGAATGTTTCCACACTGCTGGTTGATTCCTTTAGTGGTTGAGCTTGGGGCAGTTTCAGCGGTCGCGCACTAAATGTTAGCGGGCAGATCTCAGTTTCATATGGGCTTCAGTTGAATCTATTACAGTGTCAACCTGGATGCGCAAATTATAGGTAGCCTACAAAGGCCTTCGCCGTATCATTTTATCAACATCGAAATATACATTAGATGTCATAATATAAATTCTTTCGGTAGTGTCTACTAGGTGTATTTTCTTGTCATTGTTATTTTTCCATGTGCCATTCTCAAAGTCCTGGAGCAAAGCCACTTAATGCAATAATCCGTATGAATTTACGTGGGCATTCCTGACCTTCGCAGCTACTTGTCAAAATACACCGTCAGCATGAATTTCTCTATTTTTCGACTTTTTAATTAAGCCTTTCCTCCCAGGTTTGGTCGCTGTTATCTACCTCGTTTATGTCGTTGTGTTCTTGCTCACTAAGTACCTTTATGAGCCAAGCTCTCTACTATTCATCTACTTCCTCGGCCTCGGTGCTATTTTCTTCATACTTCACTGTTCCCTCAGCGCCGTAAGCCCATGACTTTTCGAATAGCACGAAGTCTGAAGACTTGAATAACCGAGGCACTCGAAGCCTGATGATGAGTTTCACTCCCGCTGCAGCGGCAGCGGCGATTAGGTCATCCGTCATGCGCCACTCCACAATTTTCCAGTTTTGATCCCTATCTACTATAGGCTGCTCGCTGATTATAATGGTCCTGAAAGAGGCCATATTGATGCGACTTCTCTTGAGTAGCTCGAGCAACCAGTCGACATAGTCCTTGTTGGCTGTTCTTTCCCATAGCTCATCGAACGTCTGAGATCGTGCGTATTGTCGCATATCGCTTAGGGACCAGAATAGTCCCTGATCTCCGTCAAATAGCAAGTCAAGGTTTTCTACGCGCGGAGGCAGTAATTTCCAGACTTCCCAAGCCCGTGAGCAGCCCTTGACTACCTTTTCAGACCCAAACAGCAAATACGCGCTCAATTCGAGCCGAGATACTTGGATTAAACGCGATAGATCTATGTAGGATCCATCGTGAGAAGGGAATAGGACATTGTCTGCATCTATCACCAAATCTTTAAGAGTAGTGGCGACGGGAGCTAGCAAGTCCCCGTATAAGCGTGGGCGCAATGGACCATCTAGGTTATATCCCAGCATTGAACTATCATTGGCCATTTTGCGATCAATTTGTGTTCCTTCACCGGGTATGCTAAGCTGTAAGCAGATCAGATTCGGAACCCTGGGCAGTATGGACTCTAGAACTGCGGTCGAGGTCGGGCATGCTTTCCAAAAATGAAGATGTTTCAATTTGGTCAGGATCTTTTCCGACCTAGTCTCTGTCTCAAACTCTCTTATTGGCGCGCAGACGGTGATTTTCTCTAAATTTGGCAGCTCGCAGAGTCTGGCAAGCTGGTCGGCGGGCAGGTATCCCTCTTTACCATTCACATGATTGAGCTCAATGTCCAAATTTTCCAAGTTGGTAAAGCTTCCATCCACATATTCGTATAATGCGGAGAGTGTCGACCATCTGGGCTGGTTGAGCTCGCACGATAGCCTCGTAAGAGACGTAGATTTCGCTAGGTGGCCAAGAAGTTCGTTGTACGTCTCAACGTCTTCCTTATAGCACCAACGGAGGTCTACGGAGATGATACGGTTCACGAGATATGGGTATTCTCGGCAACATTTATTTAGGGCCGCCATCCGCCCTGCATCTTTAGCTGACTCTCCATTGATCTCAAGCTTCACGTGCGAGTAGATGATATTATTGGCTATTTCCGAGAGACAACGGCAAGTAAGAGCGAGCGCACAGAGAGTGGGGTATCCGTTGTCCGCATACTGGCGTTCGTGCTGGCTATCGAGATGAAGGAAAATATTGTTACGTATCTCGACAGGAATTCTGTCTAGGGATACTTTGTTCATCATGTTTGCCGTGTGTAGATCGTTTAGCCGTCTTTTGCCCTTCCGTGGACTGTAGTGTTAGGAGGTAAACAGTGAAATATTAGTGGGTCTCTAGGCACTAGGTTGGATTTTTTGCTTACTAAATTCTTAGTCCGCATTACATCACCTGGCAGCCACGTCCCTTGCTCAGTGAGCGATTAGATAAGTGGTCTGTATTTGGTCTAGGCTAAAACCAGTGATCTATTCACTAGATTCTAGTGAGTAACTGCTGTAACCTAAGCATGCTTAGGGGGCTTGGCCACTAAAGAAAAACGCCACACAGTAATAGAATATTCCAATTTAGCCTATTAGGTAGGCCATCAGCGCATGGTGCCCTGAACATTATTAGAGTGGATCTGCTTTAATGACCAAGCCCCTAAGCTACAGGACAAACGTCCACTAAATTTTAGCAGCAGAAATCGCCTGGGAATTCACTAGACCTAGTAGTCACCTACATACCTAGTAGGTACCTAATCCATATTAATAGCTGCTTGAGACATTCAATAAATTCTTACCTCTTAATATTTTGGTGAGCTAAGTACACAGTACTAGGTACCTAGGCACCTATCTACGTATGATCTCATCAAACCAACTAAAGTTTCTACACTTTCGGAAGTTATCGAAGACACCCGAACTCAATGCGGTGTGACCATCATATTCCTCCATAACCCCAACAAATATCCTATGCGGAGTTGTTGAATCGTATTCCTCCGCCACACGAACTGGCATTATCTCTTAAGAAGAAAATCATGGCTTTTCAAGGCTTGGATCTAGCGCTCTATTTTCAAGCCGAATGACGAGAATAGATTCAAAATAACCTATCATGGACTCATTATTTACCCTTATGATTGTTAAATTCTACATAATAAGGTGACACAATTTCACAAATTCGGGCATATGGCTTGTAAACTTTCCACACCTATTTTAAGCTTTAGGTAAAAGATACGATGGATGTTGGGACAGCCCTGGAGCGCCCTTGTTACTTTAGTCAATCTTCTTAGCTAGAGCAATGCAGTTGCACAACGATTAGTGGAAAGAAAAGAAATTCAAGTGATCGTTGTTCCAGGCAGCTTTCCATCATTACATTGTAGAGGTACTGTTTAAAGGATCAACGTTTATAAGACTGACAGAGCCATGTATAAGTTATTGTTCCAAATTTCCTACACTTACCCTCTTTAAAATACTCATCTATTCTTTTGCTTGAGTTACAGTGCTTGATTTCAACGAGATATACCGAGATATTCATATTCAAACCCCTGGACGGATTAAAATGCCTTTCAGATATAATAGTGAATTCAAGTCTAAAGACCAGGTGAGGACTTATAATGGCATCTGATTCATATCATATCCTAACTTTAGAGGAAACAGCAGAGTAATGATATTGGGTTTCACGTCAAAACTCTATTTCTCTTCACGAAAAGCGACTTCAAGACCGTTTTCTTCCCGCAGACTATCTTTGCTCTGGCCATAGCATTCGCTAGATCTCGAGTCACGGAACATGTCACACAAGAATGGCCCATGGACAAGATAGCCATCCGATTAGTTGGGATGGTGGTTTGGGTATGGATACATTTATTGGTGGCCGATATTTCGAATCAGCGCCTTCCCGAATCAATACTCGAAGATACGATCAATAAGCCATGGCGACCTTTACCTGCCGCTCGAATAACTACTACGGAGGCGATAAATATGCTTCGGGTAATAGTTATGCTTTCAATTTGTATCAGCTTACTCTTTGGAAGTTACCTGCCTAGTATTACTCTCATGGGGATGCTTTGGCTTTATAATGATCTCGATGGCAATGGTTCTGGACCATGGGTACGAAATGTCCTGAATGCTGCCGGACTCACTTGTTATGGTTGGGGTGCCGTAACTATACTTCTTGGAACTCAGATTGGGGAGAATGGGAAAATTCTTCGCAATTGGTATATTCTCATGGCTCTAGTTATCACAACAACAATCCATAGCCAAGATTTCCCGGACCTCGTCGGAGATAAGGCTCGTGGTCGTAACACGATGCCGCTATTATATGGGGAGTCTCTTTCTCGTTGGAGTGTGGCAATTTCCGTTATATTTTGGTCATTAGTTTGCCCAAGATTCTGGGTTCTCTCTTCTTTTGGTGTCTGCTTTTCTACAATGATCGTGGGGGGTACGATTGCTACGCTCGTTGTGTTACAATTAGGCCAGCGGTATGATAAATGGGTCTGGAGACTTTGGTGTTTGTGGCTCACTGGCTTATATCTCCTTCCTGCATTCAGTAGTATCATAATTTAAGATACAATCCGTAGGTAGCCTGCGAATCTGCACAGTTGGTATGCAGGAAGCTTAATGGTGGATCGGCAAACTTGAGTATTTTATGTATATTCGAAGTAGTCAGGTATAGATGGGAGGTACACAATACCGAGAATACCTACCTAGGTAGGTAGTTTTGAAACTACCTGGGTGCTCAATGACAAATGTTTCGGATCCTACTGAGCTTGACGAATAGATTATGTTGGTCAGATAAGACATAGGTAATATAAAAAATTAAAATCGACCGACTCTGATGTAAGATTATAATTTTGTGTATCATGGGTCAATCTTCGTACTTGTTTCGGCGTTGCTAGAGTGGACCATAAGGCCGTATCCGCCAACCCGCCAATTCAATTAATGTATTGAAATGTATACAGTGTAATACAGTATAATAGCGTACAGTCTTCTAGATATCCCACACAGTGCCCTGGAACTTACAGGGGGCTATAGCGCCCTGTAGCGCTAAAAGTCCCTGTAACTTATAGGCGTTATAGCGCATAAGCTCCTTATAACTTATAGCCCTGAAGCTAGTGCTAGAGCCTTCTAAGGTTATAAGTAATATTTCAACCTGTTCGAAACGAATTGAATCAATTGATTTATCTGATTCAATCGATTAATTCGATTCAGTTGAGTACGTAATAGGTAAGTAAATAAACATATACGCGCAATAGTTCAAAACGAGGGGTGTCACGTGACATACGCTGAGCCTCATCGGGTAAATGTCAACAACGCGTATTATAAGTTTAATTGAATCTTAACGTAGAGATACTGGTTTTGAATAGATACAATGTATATAAATAGAAAGATCTTTTAAAGCGCTTTCGAATAAACCTATTTTATTTGCGAGCGACCGAAAATTAAAGCGTATAAGGGTATCCGAATTATGAGCTATATACTAAAATACTAAGATAAAAAAGCTATACGCTATAACGCCTATAAGTTACAGGGCTTTCAGCGCCGTATAGCGCTATAACCCCCTGTAAGTTTCAGGGCACTGTGTGTAATAATTATAAGACTGTACGTTATTATACTGTATTACACTGTATACATTTCAATACATTAATTAAATTGGCGGGTTGGCGGAATTGTTCTTATGGTCCGCCGTCGTTGCACATTTCCAACATTCATTACAAGTAGGTACCTAAATCATGGCGAATGAGTTTGGTTGTGATTACTAATGACGGCCTCCTCTTGAAGTGTGAATATTATGTCAGCATTTGAATTAGGTAATTATCAATGATTACCTAATGAGTACGTAATATACATCATACTATAAGACATCAGACATGCTGACTAAGCATTTCATCCCCCAAGGACTACAACAGTTTAATTGAATGGATTTGTCATTTATAGGGATGAGCCTCCCGTAAAAGCCTTGATTTTCAAAAATTGCAAGTGGAAAATGGCGTGGAAGCCAGGTACTTAGGTTATATGACACTTTCATTGTGCCTCATGATGGAATCCTAATCTAAGATTTCACTTATTCATTTAATCTGGCTGACGGTACCAAGAATAGCCAGCCGATCCTCTTCATCTAACTCAATACCAAAATACTTCCATATCGCATCAATCCTCTGTTTCTCGTTCTCAAACTGGACCTCCAACTTAGTTTTTCCATCTCGCCTCCACTTCAATGTATCATGAAAAAGAACTAGATCCCCATTAATTGTGCCCTCATCCACTGCTTTCGGATCATCCCACGCCAATTTTGCTGCCTCGGTCTCTTCATTCTCCATGTTAGTCGTGAATCGTGACACGATCACCTTCTGTGTAAACCACGATGTGGGGCTCTTCCAAGGATTCAGGTTCAAGCCGCGGATATCCTCGAGCAAGAATTCGAACTCGACGAAGCAGAACCGGGGAGCCCATTCGAAATCCGTCTCGTTGAGCTGCTGGTATACCCATACCTTTTGGGACTGGTCGACGGCTTGCGGGATGGGCTCATTCATGATCCGGATCATGGTAGTGCCAGTCGACATATGTTTCTGTGGCTCATTGTGTAAAAGAGGAACTGGGAAGGTGGGCCCGTTTGCACCAAACCCCACGTCGACCATATACTTCTTCCCATCGATCATCACGATATTGACGCAATGTGAAAACCCACCATATTTTCTCGTCTCCTTGCTGTAAACGCGAGCGCCAGCCATGTAGACCATGTATCCTAGACTTAGAAGGACGGTATGGAACAACGAGTTGACCTCCATGCAGTATCCTCCTCGATTACTCGGCTGAGGCACGATCTTGTTGAATAAGTGTTGCGGTCGTACATTTATGGTCCTGTGCCAAGAGTAGTGCTGCGTGATGTTCTCAAACGGAATACGAACTAGTGTATGCTTTTGAAGAGTTTGTAGGTAGGCAAGTTGACTATTGCCACCGTGATCTACAATAGTATTGTACCATTCGCTCCTTGGCAGTGAAATGCGGCGGAAGAAATCCTGTAGTTGCTCATTGATAAATCTAGGTCTGTTAGTCATTTTGAACAGTGATAAAAGCGAGACACTAGTGAGGTACGAAGAGGAGGTAGGAGTATGATGAGGTCTTCAAATATATAATAATAGGAAAATTGACGAGATTTCGCGGTTTTCGGTGCTTGAAAGGGCGAAGAGAGTTGGAAGAGCGGAGTCGTGAGACCTATAGACAATTACCCGATTTGGGTGACTAATAACAATGCACGTGACGCTAAGGGGAATAGGGGAGATGATTACATAAGTATCTCTTGCTGTATCCAAAACTTCAAATGTAGCTTCTATGACGGATGTCGTTCCGATTCGTATGTATCCTCTGAAAATAAATATGTGACTGAACAATCATAAACATCGATCGAGCTTCTAGGTATAGGTACAGAGGTATCCAATGCTTCGAGTAACATCTCATCTAAAATATCCAGCAAGGTCAGGTATGTGTCCTCCCAACTCCAAACAATGCTTCCTCGGTTAGAATGAAAGAAAGTGGAAAGAAATAGGGTAAAATATCCGGGTTGATGGGTGACGTCAATTATCCGTGACCTCCCTCAACAAGTTCCCTTTTACTTCTGCAAACTGGACAGCCGCCCTCGATGCGATCTCTTATCAGTCGCGCATGTGTAACTTTGCTACCCACGAATCGTCCTCCCCTCGAACGGTCCTCGTCTGCATTCCCTACTACGGCGGGGTGAACAGCCTGGCCCGGATGTAGGTAATCTAGGAGATGGGTAATATGGAACACGTGGCCACAGGCAAATCCCACTAGTGTCTCCGTCTCCCATTCTGTGAATGGTTCGTGGCATCTGGCGCAGTGACCGGGCTTTATTTCTTGCTGGTCCTGATTCGATTGTGGCCTATTTGGAAGATGGCTATCTGTGAAGGTGTTGATATCTGACACTTCGGTAGGTGTCGCAGTTCCCGTGGCGCCTGTACGTGGTGTCGCAGAGGGCGATGATAATTTTGCTGCTGCTGCGGTGATTGGTATGTCTTTAACCTCAACGTCGACATGGTCCTGCGCGTGGGTCATCACCTCAAATTTGATACCCTTCCGCTGTCCGCTGCGCAGCTGGTTTTGTGCTGCTGCGACTTCTGACCTCAGAACTCGGGCTACACCTGAAGAAATACTGTATTGAATTTCATGCTCCTTCATGATGTGCTTCAAGCCTTCGCGAAGACCCGGTATCTCGAGACCCTCGGGAATCCTACGTACTAAGGTAATTGGGTTGATCGATGTTCCTACTTCTTCAAGCAAAGCACGGATAAAGCGTGGCTTATCCATGCTATATTCAAGAAGGTCCTCCCATAGATCTGGGTCATCTTGTTCCTTGGCGAAGCTAATTGCTTGTGAAACGTCGGCTAAGCGATCGATGATGAGATATAGAGCCTGCTTCATCCGTCCTGTCTTAGAATATAAGTAGACAAGTTCGGGTATGTAATTAGCCTGTTCACACTCCTGAACTGCCTCTTCAAATGTGTAAGACGTAGAGACTTTCAAGAAATCCATAAGAAGTTCTCGATCGAAACTTGCGAATATGTGGACCGCTAAATCGGCAAATTCGTCTACCAGAGATATGCTTTCGTCGACGGGTTGATCTCGATACTCCTGCCATAACCCGCGGAAGTAGAAATAAAGATAAAGGTTTAAATCTTTCTCCTCAAGCTGTCTGACCACGACCTCGGGCTTGATGAGACCTCGCTGAGCTTCGTCCACAAGTAATGCAATGGCTTCTGAAGTAGCTTCTTCGAGTTCGGCGACACTCATCCGATGAAGCTCTGCTTCCGGTACCCTAAGCGCAATGAAGCTAGTAACATCATCGGTAACAGCATCGGCAAGATGGTTGTCTCTTATCAGACGCATCGCGGAGTCCGCATCTTGAAGCCTTATGTAACATCTCAGAGCTTCCCGGTATCGCCCGCTGACTTCATGGAGTCTAGCTAAACTCTCTTTCACGATTCGCCAGTCACGTCCCTTCTCGCCGTCTTCGATGCTATCTTCTCTCACGTCCCGGAACTTGAGCTGGTTTTCAAGGGCGGTACTAACCTCGTTCGCGTCGAAAAGTTCCGTACCCCAGCGGTCAAGTAATTCCTTGAATCGAGGCTTGTCAGTTTGGATGTAATGTCCTAGAACAACCTCGTATACGGTCCCCGGTATTGGTGGGTGCATGGGTTCCGGTGGCATGTAATCCACAATCTCGTCGAATTTCTTAGCTCCGGCAAATATGTAGATCCACTTCTCCCATTGGTGGGGAGTATTAACCACCTTCGCTGCAACCTGAGCAGCGCGAACCCAATTCCTTTCTTCAACAAGTTCTTGAATCCAAAGCTCACCAATCCGGCGTTTCTCTTTTTCCGCCGATGAGTTCATAAATCTGATTTGGTCGTCTACCATGGATGTCGTTTCTTCATAAAAATCGTCTGCTGTTGATGGTCTCTGGCCCGAACTAGATGGCAGAGGTCCAGAGAAATCCCCCGAGGGCGCATTCATGATCTCCGGGTGCTCATTTAATAATTCCCAAGCATCTGGGTACCTTTGATGTTCTAAGAGCCACTCGAGATGATCGCCGAGATCTCGTTTTGTCCCGAGAATACAGTCATATGGACTATGAATGAATATTTTTGCGCCCGGCTTGATGAGGTTGGGGTGTACTGTCCGAGATGCCAGCCTAGAAGCTGCTCGGACACTTCCTGTAGTATTTCCAGCCCTAGGGCTCGAAGCAGCGTCATTACTATCCCTGCTTCGTATGCTAGCACCAGAGCTGAATAGTGATCTTGGGTTAACAGCAGCGTTCCACATATCCGTACCAAACCCTGCCAAGGCCTCCAAAGCGCCTCGAGAAGCCACAACAGAAGCAGCTCTGTTTGCCGGCAATATACCTAGATGGTAATCATTGGAAGAGAGTCGTTCAAATCGATTTACTGGGAGGCTGTCCTTATCGACCTCGGCTTGGGATGTGAGATCAATCAACCTTAATTCGGGAGCTTGGGCATTGTGGCGGCGACGGATGCCGCCCGATGGCTCACCACTTCCCGATCGTTTATGTTCTTTCGCATTCTCAATTTCGTCATCCTCTTCATCATCCGGTTTACAATAAGCAAGAACAAGAAGGAGATTTTGGGTATATAACGAAATGCCCGATATAATGCAATCCATGCGCAGTCTAAAAACGTTAGTATGTTCCATAGAAAGTCCAGGTGGGAATACGCACATCTTTACGATCTCGGCCCGTCCGATAGACCTTTCACCGGCATTCTTCCCTACGCCAATACCTCCAGGATGGACATGGATAATCCAAATGGTTCCACCCCATCCAACTAATAGTCGTTCAATTGTTTTATCATGTCTCTGCGCTTGTTGACTTAATTTGGCCACGGCTGGAGATAATGCACCTAGAGCGTCATTTTCCTTCGCTACCTCTTCACTCCCAATTGCTTGGTCGTCAATCCATTCTGCTCTACCCTTCCATAGACCAGCCATTTCTTCCCACTCTTCCGTTTGTGGTCTGTCGATATGACCTACTCGTTTCCAAGCATCTTCTGCATCCGCGCTATCCAGGTGTAATCTAGTGCGCATGATCTTAATACCATGCTCGTTTAACCACGCGACATATTTTCCCGATAAGGACCATTTGATCGTGCTAATGGTCCCCTCTCCGGAATGAAGTACTGTATCTTTGCCCGTATTTGCGCCTATTCCGATACTGCCGAGCCAACCCGACGCTGCCGCCGCAGCAGTTCCCGTAGTCGATGATGTGCTACGACCTTGCGGCGCCCCAACAGTAAGAACCAAACTACCAGCTGTACCACCAGACAAGTACGTCCTATCATTCCTGAAATCTGGCGACAAAGCTATAGCTTGGACTGGGCGAGCAAAATTCCTCAGCTGTACATCTCTGAGCTCAATAAGAGGTTGAACCCGGACATTGCCATCCATGGAAGAGGTCCCGATGTAGATGTTATTCGAGGGTAGGTTGGGAACTTGTGGTAGTTCGCGCGACCGTCGCTGACCAGCTGGGGAACCATCGGACTGTTTTGACATCGGCCGACTAGAACTTTGCGATGCTACTCGATTAACAGCTTCGGGCTTGAGGCTTAGTGGAAGAGATGGCGGCGGATATGGAGATATCGAAATGTTGGTGACGGAGGCGGTATGGGCTTGGTAGACGAGCAAAGATTGAAAATCGGGTAACTGAATGACATGCTGTTTTAAGTATTTTAGTGTTAGTTGTCCATAATAAGCATTTTTACTCGTGCTATATTCTTACGATGTTTCCATTATGTGTTCCGACTATCATTTTATCTCCTGCGACGAGGAATGCACTGGTGGCATCGCCATTCCTATAGGCGGCGCCCATATGCTGCGTCAAGCGGGCATATTTCAGCTTCGGTTCTTCGTCTTCGTCGTCGTCATCGTCATCATCTCCATCGTCTTCCTCCTCTTCACCGGTTTCTTCATCACCTTCCTCGCCTCCATCTCTTGAATCTGTTGTAGCGTCTTTGATACTTTCGGTCTGACTGGAAGCTTGTTCATGTATCGAAGGATCTACGTTGGCCTCGATTTCGTCGGGGGTTTGGACTTGGGCTTTAGTATCACCGTTGCCTAAGCCAGGATGCTCTTCTGTCATGACGGGCAATCAACCAAAGTCGCTAACATCAGGGGCGGTAACAAGAATTTGAGAAGCTAAAGCGATATGCAAGTCGCGTTGATCAATTATGATAGAATTGATGATATCGACTGTAATCTCAAAGCTGTCATGAAGAGATCCAAGGTTAGGCGTCGTAGACTTCTTGACCGACAGCTGTATATGCGTTAGCTAGTTGAGAGTTGATAGCTTTGTAACTTGGAGCTTTGTACTGGTAATTGGAGGAACGCGAAGTTAGGTACCTAGATGCTAGCTACGTCAGTCGGCAGCTTCCTATTAGCTGATCCGAGGTTGCCAAGTCTCGATTGCAGTGCTGACCGAAACAGTTTCGCTAAAGGGTTCTAGCCAATCATAGGTGTTTTCTAATCGCGCCCCTCTACACCCTCTGAAATTCAACCCATCTAAACTTTAAACCTTATTTGATTAGGTAATCTTTTGCGTTGTGTTGTACCCATGTACCCATGTACCCAGCCTAGCCTGCTGACATTGTCGCGTTTGCTGCTCTTTCTTAGCGCGAATGTTCGATTTGAATTCAAGAAGGTGCAAATCCTTGAAATTCATGAAACTTTTAGTTGATGGACCGGGGATAAATCAATTTAATCCTTCCTATTCTTTCTTGGCTTTTCACCACGAAAGATAAAGATAGTCCAACTGTCTCAATGGATCTCATCCCACCAGTATGGCCTCGGTGACATCGCTTGGGCTGCACCAGCCCACTGCACTTCAATATGCCTTGCAAGAGCAGCTTTTACCAGAAAACCCCCCTTGTTCGTCGTATGACTGGAACATAACAGTTGAGCATACTATCGATGAAGAAGGTGAAGATGAGCTTCTAGTCACTAAAGATACGGTTATCTGGTCTAGGGGATGTGTTTTTCGAAAAGCTTTCGGCTTTAAGCTTGAGAAGGAACCCATAACTCAAGCCCTTTTAACTTATTTCCCAAACTCCGAGGGTGACGAAGATGCTCAAGAAAACAAACCATCAAGCGAACGAGGCCGATCCGACGACCATGAGAGGCCGTTGTTGAAGGCTTTGGTGGTTTTCCTAAAAACTCAGGCTCACGTTTACTTCCTCAATGGGTCTAGTCACGTGGTACATATGCCATTTGAAGTTGAATCCGCTTGCGTTGCTCCTCGAGGTGTTATAATACAGCGAAAGCAGCGAACTGATAGCGGTTTGACCTCAAGCCTAAAATTCCCTCGAGTCCCACATAACTCATTCATCTCGAATCTTTCTCCATTATCCGCTCGATCCTCCCAGCAAAGTACATTTTCGACTGAGACTCTCGGTAAACCGAAAGCTCTTCCTCTAAGGTTAAATTCCAACCTTGAAAATCTTTGGGATGTACCTGAAGAGAAGAACGATTCGCAGTGGCCACGTCTAGTGGCTCTTACGGATCCTCTGCTGGAACTTGGGCTGGTAGTCACCCATCCCGATAGGTCCGCCAAGCGGAAGAGTAGTCGGAACTCAGAAAAGTCTCCCAATTTCCTTGACCGCGCAGAAGAGATAATTCATATCGAAGAAATACCACACCACCAAGCCTATAGGAGAGGCAAGGGGAGGTTGGTTCTCGCAGTGACCGTTAATAGAGAGCTCTGCGTGTATACCGTTTGGAAACTTACCTATATCCGTAACGAAGATCCCTTTATCAATGGACGAAAGGTTACGAAGAAGACGGACAGGCGGCGTAGCTCGATGCAGCCAGGCTTGGCCAGCGGTGCCACAACGCCATTGCACCCTACTTTTAGGGAGAGTTTCGGTGCCCCTCTGCCTGGAAAGCGATCGCGCAAGAGCGAAAAGGTTGAAAAGAACGACAAGATCTTAGAGAACCTCGAATCTTCGCTTGGAATTGAAAAGGAATCGGGTGTGACCCGTCGAACTTCTCGTCGCGTAAGTTCTATGCTTGCTCGAGCCGATTTATCTGCATCACAGGATAGGACAGCATTCTCTGAGCAAGCTCAAATCTCCAACCACCCCAATTCAAGACGAGACACATCTCATGGTAGCCATCGGGGCCGAACTAGTGGTGTTAGCTTTACCGGAGTTCCTGGTCACGGGGTGAATACTCTCCTAGAAGCCCCAGTAGACAGTTTGCTAGAAGAGCTTCGCGCCGGCGGAGACTTCGAGGGTTTCCATAGCATGGGATTAGACGACCATGATTTCGATGGGCTTACCCAAGAAATACTGTTCACGAAGATCCATAGTGTCCCTATCGACAACAGCACCGTGCGGTATTCTCTTTCGAAGCAGCCAGCACGAACACAGTGTAAAGTTTTCTGTTTGATCGGCCCGGAGTCTATAGACGATATGCACAATCGCCAGCAGGTATTGGTAGGAATCCAAGACCCAATGGAAAAACGCCTGCAGCTATTGACTCTATACTTACAATCGGACAAGTCGTCTGAGCATGATAGAACAGTTGTGACATTTGGGCAACTAAGAAAAGCTCAAAATGTCATAGACTCCTGTAAGATAGTCGACGGCGAAACTTCGATGATTCTCGTACTGTCGCAATCTTCTGAAGGCCAACGGGAACTTAGCATTCAAGCGCCGTGGTCTCAATTAACATCTATTACGTTACCACCAAAACTCTCTCTCGCCAATCTACGTAGCCTCGACTATCATGGCAGTCTCGTCAATCGCGATGTTGGCATTAGTAGGGCTATAACACCTGTGATCGGGGAGATTGCCGGTCTACGACATCCCAAGCTACGTGGTGTCGTCGACATCCTGGATGATGATGATCAGCAACTGCACCAAATCCGCATTCAGCTCCAGCCTACTTCCCCGAGAGTGATGAAAGTCATCAAAGTTCTTCGATCGTCTCTCCCAGCATCATGTGGAGAGAAGTTAATGTCCAATTGGTGGGAGGTTATTGGATGGCTCCGCCAACAAGACATTGACATCGTCGACATCGAATGGTCCGCGGTTGTTATCCTAGTACTCTCAATATATCTAGCTCTTGGAGTTGACGAGACTACACTACCAGTAGAAGGTAGACCTCGAAGAAAATCTAGAGGTTATCTTAGGTCAAGTAGCGGGGCCCAGATCGATCTCGGTGACTGGGACACGATGAATACATATGAAATGCCTGGTTCATTAACCCATCCGCCCTGGATAGAAAACAAGGCATGGCAATGGATAATGGAAGAAGACGATTCCTCTCTATCGATGTTTCGCCAAAGTTCTGAACAGAAAAACGCTTCCTTCATTTCTTTACACACCAAACACGCTTTGGCGTATATATCTTCCAGTCAAGGAGACACCGCCTTTGGTCCGAACGGGCATTTCCCAACCTGTTCCAAAAACGATTACTTAACCAGAACACGGTATGCTCAAGATGTTTTCCTTGCTCTGCACCTACTTTTAGAAGAGCAGAAATTAGACATGACATCCTCTCACGCGTCGTCTCCGGGGTCGGTTGATTTACGAGCCGTACTCCTTCAAATTTCCCGGTGGTTGAAGTGGCGTGATTGGGTGGCTTCCTACGAACTAGAAATGCCATTAGATTGGCCAGAGCAGTCGTCGGAATATGTTAGTATATCCATCTTACTCGTACCCCCAGAGCCTGCATATTGGAATGTTTTCGACTGGATCCGAACAAGCCTCTCCCAAGAACCGTCCCAGTCATCATTCGTACCACCGATAAGATCGGTCATGATGTACTCAGTAATCCCTCGTACGAAGATGTTTGAGGACCTCTTTAAAACACTCTCCTGGAAAAGTCGAACCCCAATAGATTACGCGGAGGCAATGTACGAAAGTGGTGTTACGCCAGCCATATTAGAATCGCTACCTGAATATGTGCTCATACCTCTCCAAGACGCAATAGCCCGATGCCAACCAGCACCTCCATCTGGATGGTCTAAAGGGTTACTTAATCTGGTCAACAGGAGTGACATTGGCTCGATTCTAACACGGTCGAACAAGCTTCCTGTTGGCTCGACGAGTATGCTTGTGAGTACCCTTCACAGTTTTATCACAATTAGCTGTTGTACTAATACCAATTAGGCTCCTACTCATATTGCTTCTTGGGATTTCAATTCTCTATGTCAGAATGTGAAGGACTTTAATGATGCTCCTTCCGATGACATCGCGGAGAGTGATAAGCAAGCAGTGATCCGTGCCATCTTCAAAGATGATCGACGCCTTGATGAGATTAAAATGATGCTTAACACGACCAAACCACGAATTATGCGATTAGATCCACTCCCTGAGTGGACAGAACCGTATTACCTCGAACAACAAAAGGAAATGGTCACAAGGCTTGCTAACAACACCTTGTCCATACCAGCTGGCCGCGGTCTGATGAACTACGGGCTGCGATTCCCTCTTCTAACTCAGAAGTTTCATATCAATGGTTTTGTTCTTAACTGTACTGTTAGACCTAACAATGTAACAGTAGGGGTTGACAAGTCACTTTTCACAGAGGAGAGAATTGCTTGGGCCTTCTTCCATTCTGGTGTCGCCGGTGGATTATCCATATCCCGCCAAGCCAAGGGAATAGACACGTCATGGATTCTCTACAACAAACCCGGCAATGATTTAAGCAATAGGCATGCCGGGTTCCTTCTGGCGTTGGGTCTTAACGGACATCTGAAAGGTGTAGCGAAATGGGTTGCTTTCAAGTATCTGACGCCGAAACATACCATGACATCAATCGGCTTACTCTTAGGACTAGCCGCATCATATATCGGAACCATGGACTCTCTCATCACTCGTCTACTGTCTGTTCACGTCACGCGAATGTTGCCTCGGGGTGCTGCTGAGCTAAACCTCTCCCCCCTAACACAAACAACTGGTATTATGGGGATCGGTCTGCTTTATTGCAATAGTCAACATCGTCGAATGAGTGAGATCATGATGTCTGAAATCGAACACATCGAGCCTGAAGATGATGAAGAACCACTCCGCACCGAATGCTACCGGTTGGCAGCGGGTTTTGCTCTTGGATTTATTAACCTTGGTAAAGGCACTGATTTGAAGGGCCTTCATGATATGCGAGTTACAGAGAAACTACTCACTCTAGCCTCAGCAACTAAGAAAGCTGAGCATGTGCATATTCTGGACAGATCAACCGCCGCCTCCGTGGTGGCTATTGCACTCATCTATATGAAGTCGGAAGATCACATCGTGGCCCGAAAAATTGATGTCCCTGATGCGCCTCTGCAATTTGACTATGTCCGTCCGGATATCTTGTTGTTGCGCACCGTCGCGAAGCACCTTATCCTCTGGTCAGAAATCGAGCCGACGCAAGAGTGGGTCCGTAAGAATCTACCTCGTCGTTATCATACGAGGTTACAACCGTCTCTTTATCCCTTAGATCACCCTTCCCGTGGGCCGCTTAACTCGACGCTTCTACCCTTCCTCACAATTCTAGCAGGTCTCTGTTTTGCTATAGCGCTGCGCTTTGCTGGATCTGGAAACGTGAAAGTCCGCGACCTCCTACTTTCTTATATCCGCAAATACTATTCACAATGTTATCACCCTGACCCTAAAGCCAATTTCGATAACAGAATCGTTCAACTGACGGCGAGCATGTGCCTCGATGTCGTCGCACTATCCTGTGCAACCGTGATGGCCGGCACATGTGATCTTGAAGTTCTCCGGTACCTTCGGTCTCTTCACAGTCGAAACGATCTCGAAACGACATACGGTTCGCACATGGCGACACATATGGCAATGGGCGTGCTTTCCCTTGGTTGTGGTACTCAGACTTTTAACACCTCAAACTTAGCTATCGCCTCACTACTCGTTGCTTTCTACCCCGTCTTCCCAGATTCTGTCCAAGACAATAAAAGCCACCTACAAGCGTTCCGACATTTCTGGGTATTAGCCACCGATCCACGCTGCTTAGTCACGAAAGACGTAGCAACAAACGCCCCTGTAACAATGCCCATCGTCATCCGTCTCAAGAACTCGGAAGAGGAGGACGTGCGCATGACACCGTGCCTCTTACCCCCACTCAGCGACATCCAAATTGTCCGGACCCTATCTCCCGAATTCTGGAACCACGAGCTCAACTTCGAAATACACCCTGAATACGCAGGCGCGTTCTCGCGCTCGCAGGCGCTCTACCTCCGCCGACGGCCTGTTAGCGACAGCCCGTTCGCGACGACAATGCTGACTCTCGGTCGCAACGGCAGCCTCAGCGGCTGGTCTCTGTACACGACGGCGCAGCCACTCGAATGGTTGTTCGACCACGTACCTACCCTTCACAAGCTTACGCACGCGGAGCGCGAGCTAGTTCTCGATCGCGGCCTCGCCGGCCCAGACGCTAGTAACGGCTCCGTCAGCGCCGTCGACGCACGCCTCGTGCTTCAGGACATCGTGAATAGCGGGAATAGAGACGATTTACTGGGTCTCAAGGGCCTCTTTGAGTGGGCTGATTGGAGAGCCGGAAAAGCGCAAGAAGAGCGGGATAAGGAGAGGCAGCAGGCGAAAGCGAAAGGGAATGTGGATGAATCTAAGACACTGATCGAGCATAATAAGCAAAAGCAGAAGCCACCACAATGGAGCGGGGAGGGGTGGTTGAGGGAGAGTATTGTTGAGGCGCTGAGGGGTGGGGTGTGGCTTGCTGGAAGGGAGTGATGGGAATATGGATGGGGAAGAGGGCGGCGATGCTTTACTTTGGTCAGTATATTCATGGCGCGTGCGTGCGTATATGAGACTACGAGTCAAGACATAAATACGGTAGATGCGATTGTGTTAGTTGATAAAATGATGATAATGAGAAAATGGAAAAAATTGGCACTCTTTATACTCAGTACCTACCGACCTCTAGTTATCACCACTGTCAATGTAAATGATAAGCCATAAGGTAAATCTTGGGAGGTTTCATATATACACTCACTCAAATGTATGAGTGAGAAAAAAATTAAAAGGAAAAAAAGGAACAAGTCCAAAGAACCCGTTTCGAACCCCGAGCGAATGTCGATATGTTAGCTTCGATCCTGTACATGGGAAGATTCGCGTGGTCTCCACCCTACATACCAACTGAGCTAAGTGACTCTAACAGGTCCTTGAGGAATTGTTACAATGTGTATCCTTCTTTAGATATATAACCTTACTGTCGGCCCTCGTACAGTTTGACTAACCGCACATCTATAAGTACCTAGGTAAGTACCTAGGCAGGTACCGAGTAGGTAGGTAAGTAAACCGTATAATACTAGGTAATAACACCTTTTTCTACTACTCTCGATTTATACAGAAGTTACAAGTACAGTCTTGGGTATACTGTTATCGTCTCTTAAGTCAAGCTCTTCCCCTTTTTCTTAGTTCCCACCCCATCGTCAGTATCCGGACCTCGGATCTCAATGCTTCCTACAAGCGCTGACCCGTCATTTACCACGAGTCCAATACCACCCCCAGGATACCTATCATCAAACCAACTAAATTCTATATTTTCATTTTCGATGCTTGCGGATATTTTATGTCCCGCCGTAGCTATATTAATAGTGTACGGCACGTCGACCTGCCACTCGAGCTCCTGGCCTGATAAAACAAACGTGCTCTCGTCCGTGGTCTTGGCTAGCACTACCCCCTTTTTGTTGGAGTTCATCTGGACGAAGAAAAAACCGTAGTATCTACGCAGCCCGTTGACTCTGAAGACTACTCCGTTGCGCGTGCGCCTGTTGCCGGTGATCACGAAATTATTGAACGTAACACGGTAGTCAGTCCATTCTCTAGTGCCATAGCACACCATTCCTTCGCCGCTGTCTTGCGCGATGATGAATTTTTCGTCCATCATGTTAAAGACATCAGTCGCGTTGACGAAGGATTGCTTGTAAAAACTTCGCGGCCCGACTTTGGAGTCGACAGGGAGGAGTGTCAATTTAGGAGAGCCAGTCCAGCACATATAGTCCACCCATATTGTGCCGGTTAACGGAGCAGCTTTCGTATTATAACCATGTGAGATAGAAAGGCCTATAGCTTGAACAGGTAGACAGCCTAGGCTCTCTGGGATGACCCATTCGAGGTTCTGGCTGGCGCCCGGCGTAACGATTATTGGGTCACTGGTAAGGGTTTTGAATTCATCTGTGAATTCATACGCCCTTAGTATCAAGCGCACGCTGGCACGCGCTGTGTTCGTTCGATCGGCCTTTAGCGTTGTCTTGAGGGTCTGCCCGGGGTAGACCAGGGGAGAACAGGCCAATTCGTAGAATTCCATCTGACGCACTTCCGGTGGCGCAAAAGTATCTGTCATGACCTCCAATGCTTCCTCGCCTACCTCCAAACCAAAGAAATTGATTGATAGGCCTTTATACCCAGTCGAACGGTCGACACCTTGCTCGATAAATGCTCGATATTTAGTCTCGTATTTCGGCGTCGTAGCAGTCCGGAACCCCTGAACACTTCCGGGCAAAGTAAAATGGAACTGCGCGCCATTTTTCGGAGGGATCAAGTCCTGCTCACCTGCAAGTCGCCGACCCATATTCGTAATATCGTACGCGATTCTCGCAGCATTGTTGACCGAGTATCCGCCATCAGCACTCGATATTAATACTCTATCAGCCAGTGGGCCACGCCAGTCAAGTAGTCCACCGGCCCCCCTAGTCTTGCCGATTTTACCATCGTCAAACGCCGATATTCCGTTCATGATAGCGATCAAGCATCCTACGTTCCCTGAATTGCAATCCGTGTCCCAGCCGCATGTATTCACGATATGCATCGCCTCGCCGAAATCCGACGCAGCGTAGACAAATGTCATGATCATGATCGCGTGGTTCGGTATAACATGACAAATACCGGGAAACTTGTCGTATCCGTAATAATCTTCTATACGCTGGCGTGTCTTTAGCCAGTCTTTGTCTTCTTCGCACCACGCGCGTACATCATTTATCATAGTGCGTATCAAGCCATTTGAACCTAAGAACCGCATACCAGTGTCGAGGAGATGTTCCACGTTATTGGATACGAAAGCTTCGGCCTCCATGGCAGCCCACATCCGAGCCGCGGCCAAGGCATCTCCATCGTGGCTCACCGACGCGGCTGACCCAGCCAGTATCGCAGCAACCGCCGGTTGGCCCGGGGCCGCCATAGCAAATCCGTCGATGAAAATCTGACCGCCGATCTGCTCAGCGATAGTCTTTCCATTCACCCTTGTAGAGCCGCTCATCGGAGGCCGAATTCCGTTCTTCAGATTCAAGAACGCGGTATGCTCGGTCGACACGCCGTTCCCTCCCCACCAAAACACAGTGCGGTCTTTAATTATATTGTTAAGCCATGTCCTACCAACATCTTCGGCCCCACGCAGCGTGGGTTGATGTTCTTCGAGCACGCGGACGAAGGTGAAAGTGCCAGAGACGTCATCATCTGTGACCACGATAGGGACGCCAAGCCGCTCATTGACGAAGTACCGGACGTGTCCCAATTCCTTAAGTATGCGTTGGTGAGTCCAGCCTTCGAAAGGGCGGCCCATGTACACCCCGATGACTTTGCCAAGGACGCCGGCATAGACTCGCTCGAGGTAATCAGATGGGATATTCAGTCTTCTCAATTTCCCTACCCTTCCCTCCATTTTTTTTAAAAAAATCTAGTTGTTATGATTAAGTTCGTGTTGTTTGGATACCTAATTAAAGATGAAGAATGGGGAATGGGGAATGGGGAGAGAAGAAACTGGGTACTAGAGATGTCGGGTGGTAGGACAGTGACATGTACCTATCAATCTCCACCCCGTCGCTTCCATCAAGTAATACCGACGTTTTTTTGCCATACTTCGATGGAAACAACAACCTGGTGTAAATTTGATAATCTATTGTCATGACGTAACCTAATATGGATGGGTACACAGCAACGGAACGCGGAGCTACGAGTTTACGTTACCTGGTACCAGCACAAATGTACTCCAAAACATCACGTGTCAACATATCGTCTAAAAATGTGTAACGGGATCGTCTTGACATAGGGGCAAGAAGCACATCAGGCGTAGCAAAGAATGGATGACTAGAAATAATAGTTTTTTGCAAATCGATGCTACCTTACAAGTCTACCGCACTTGCATGTACCATGTACCAGAACCCCCAAAACGCCGTTGATGCATGTCGTCCGTCGACAAAACCCATTGAAGGATCTCTGCTATCCCGCTTTTGGCCCATGCGCGCATTATCATGTCTATTTAATGGGTATCGTCCATTAGAACATCATGCTGTACGTTCGCTTTCATCATCTTCATCCTTCAGATCCTATCTAGCGACAGCAGCGCTAAGCACTTGTGTTCGGAAGAAGCCGCCCTTGGTTCGTTCGATGACTTGCTGGTAAACGGAACTAGGAGGGTGGTTCATCACCACCGTGCCCTCCTTGTAATCGATCTTGGCATCCACTCTGGTGTCGCGGATGAGGTTGACAATCCACTTTTCACCCTCATCTTCGCCAAGACCTAGGCGCGCGCTCAGGTCCTTGATATCGATGCGAGCGTGGATCTTGCAGTAGCTTTCGGAGATGAGGTGTCGCGCAGCATCGACGAAGACATCGGCGGCGGAGAACAGGAAGAAGTCGGAGCGTAGGATTTCCTCGGCAAGAGATAATTGTCGTTGCGCCTCCTCGAAATCGAAGTCGATGTAAAGCGCACGGACAAAGTCGGTGACAGGGTCTGTGTACTCGTATGCCTCTTGCTTAACTATGCGTATGATATCCTTCAACTGCTTCTGGTGCTGTCCAGAGTTTCGGGTTCGGCCGCGTCCGGTGATAACGGCAGCTGTGAGGTATCGAAGAATCCACGGACAGCTGGTCTGGATGGTGTTGATGTAGGCCGGGCTGAAGAATAAATCCAAAAGCCCGTCGCGAGTGCGGTCATCGTTGAAGAGGGGGAACAAGGCCCAGTGAATAAGCCAAGTACGTTGGCTCAACTGCGCTAGAGGGTTGTTGAATAACTTGGTGTCGATGTTCTCCTTAACTTTCTGAAGCTCCTCCACACTACCCTCCCAATTCGTAGTTAGGATCTCGGATGCGAATTTTCCCCACGTCGCGGCGGCGACCTTGTCGTTATCAGTAGACAGCACACGGAACTGGTAGAGGAGATCGGCCGCGGCGGCGTAGTTTCCGCAGCTATATTGGAAGTTTCCGAAGTCGTAGAGCGCGTTGACCATATCGATCGTCACCTAATTCGTGTTAAAAAGAGAAGATAGTAGTTGCAACGTAGGATTAAAACATACATCATGGTCCTTCTTGAGGAACTCCAAGTTAGCAACCTTGTCGCTTCGTAGATTTCCAACGACATCTTCGCGTCCTAGAAGATCGACGAGCTTGCTAGTGCTCTCCTCGAACTGCTCTAACCGCGAGATAACCTTTTGCCGCATGTCGTTGAACTCGGCTGGGGCCTCTTCTAGACCCTCAAGCTCTGCCTTCAGGTTGCCGACGAAGTCAGTCATGTTGGTAGTCTTAAGAAGCTCATATTTGGCCTTGGTGATGGCTAGGACGGAGGCATCATCGGCGTCTTCGGGGAGTTGACCGGCTGCGAACTCGAGGAGGGGAAAGACGAGATGGCGATCGAGGTGGCTGATTAATTTCGGCAGGAGATCGTATTCTGCCATGTTCGCGGTGTTTTTGTATCTAGATTCGGTGTTGAGGTATGGCGGGGATCAAAATTTGAGTAATGATGGACGGCGGTGCGGTCGTAAGAATTTTGATGTTAACAGAGTTAGAATTGGAGAAAATTATCGCCAAGTTAATTGTTGCAATTCTTTGGCGGGGCACGGAGGTTTAGCACAGTTTGGTGAGGGCAAGAGCGAATAATTCGGAAAAAGTGGGTTGTGGGACAGCCGACTCAGGCTTATCGACAATGTCAAAGTAAGCTTATCTATCCGACATTCTACCGAAATACCTGATATGAAGCTTTATTCATTTATACGACATATTGAATCGTCATTCGGAAAAAAAAGAAGCTTCAATTTTCAATCAATCAAACTCACCAAGTCATCAACAACGCTTTCGCTATGTTATTACCTAGGATCTTCCGACCCATAGCAGCACATCCAGCGCCTCTCTCTGCATCATTGACACGCTTTGCGCTGCCAATACGGACACGATGTCTCTCGACGACTAATCAGCCCAGTGACAGTGAATCGATCGAAGAACCCGCCATCCCTCTCCCCTCAGAGTCTACCGCACCGGAACCACTACTGCAGGAGAAAGCCCCATTGCCCTACTTTGTCGGAAGGAACAGCCTCAACAGTTTATCCGTTTACCATAAGACTAAACGGGGTGGAAACTTGCGAATTACGCTTTTAAAGAACGGAGAGGGCGACCTACAAATTCTAAAGAAAGACCTTCAGGAGGTATTAGAACTACCACAAGGCGATATAACCTTGAACGGTACAACAAATCATATTATAATAAGGGTGAGATTATAATTCTGACGACCAGTGGTCTTCTGTACTAATAACTTTCCGACAGGGCCATAAGAAGCTGCAAGTTCTCAACTTCCTCTATGCCATGGGATTCTAGAGATTATGGTAAAACTCGGATCGATGGGCAAGACAACTGGAGGAGAAAAGAGGCTGGACTGTATGAATATGCTAGTTGCGAGATGAGCCAGCACAAAACATGCCTCAAGGCAACGAATTAAACCCTTCGTGGATCCGGACGGACCAGAGCTTTTCATCAAATGATAAAGCTAGGCGTTTAACATGTACATATGATTAAGAATGGTCATGAATTCATAAGCTGGAAGAAGCTTGTGCATGAATTTCAGAAATATACGAAACTCCTTTAATCTCAATAGGTATGTTATTTCTAACTTACAGCGGCACCGGGTATTCCCTCTGGCCTTCGGTGCAATATAACACCACAATTGACGTATCATCGAGACCTAACTCCTGTTTCGCATCCGTACAAGCCCTCCTCAGCGCGGCCAGTGTAGCGGCACCACAAGGACCGGCACCAATGTTACGAGCATTAAGTTCTTGGACCGCGTTGTGTGATTCCAAGTCACTCACTACCACACCAGCATCTATGCCGTCCCTAAGCACAGGCCACGCCGTTGTAGATAGAGTTCCGCAATTCATCCCGCACATGATGGTATCCTCCGTAGGCACCGAAACGCTTTTTCCTGTTTTCAGAGAGTTAAAGAGACATGATGCCGTGATAGGTTCAACACCTAGAACTTTTACCAGCTCGGAATCCTTCCACCGAGCGCTGTTTTTAAAGTGCGCTGTGACAGCCTCTCCGATAGATCCAGCGCCTACAGGCACAATAGCGTGACTAGCCGCTTTCCCACCCGTCAACTCGAGAACTTGGCGATCCGACTCCGCAAGCATTGTGCTATATCCTTCGACGAAATACTGTGGGATAGTACTATATCCCTCCACGCTAACATCTAGTATCAGTATCGTATTTTCTCTGGCTTTCACCTCCTCCAACGCAACGGGGATGACGTCGTCGTAACTCTTATCAATTGCTACGACCTCAACCCCCTCACTTCTTATCTTGGCGCGCGTCTTCTCGTCCATGAATGAAGGCACAAACACCTTTGTCGGGATTCCCATATGCTTCGCTGCCATGCGCGACACAGCTCTTCCACAATTCCCTTCTGTGACTGTCACAATCTGGACTCCTGCTTCCCTAGCTTTGACACCAACTTCTTCGAAGGATATGCCTGCGTCTAGGACCGGGAGCCCGAGATGCGATCCCACGGCACGGTACACGGCCCACGATGCGCCTAAGATCTTGAATGCCGGTAAACCAAATCTGTTCGATTCATCTTTCAATAGGACATGCCTAAGACCCAGCTCTTTTGCCACATCCGGTAAGCTGTGGAGTTTCGTCTCGTTATACTCCGGGATTGTCTTGTGGAATGTAAGGACAACCGACTCCCGAGTTCCACTCTGTACACCTTCGGATTTATACAGCCGGTCTCGTGCCGGAGAGTTTAAGTAGATGAATGATGACATAGCTAGGTGAGCTATAGTAGGAAAATGTGCATTGCAAAGCCTGTTAGAAGTCTGAAATATAAGACTACCTACTTAGAAGTAAGTAGTTAATATTTCAACAAATTCTACATTGGAATCGTCGAAGGGCATTTAATCGACAAGACACCAGGCGAGAACCTCCCCGACGTCGGATCCCGATGAACCTGGGACTATAGATGTCTTCCAGTCAATGTTGGAGAAGGGGAAAGTAGTTAGAAGGCGTATGTTGCGATCCTACCGCTCCCACCGACCCGCTTACCGACCTCCACTCTACGGTAACGGTAACAGATACGCTAATTATCAAACCGTCACAAACATCCTTCCCCGCTCCTCCATACCTAATATAGTCTTCTCTATTATTTGGATGGTAGGTACTTATAGAGGTTTACAATAAATGAAATACTAGGTAGATAGAAAAAACAATCTGGAAGTATTGGACGAAGATACTTAAATACAACGCTTTAAGATATGCGAGTAAGATGGTGGATTGCACTTTCCCCCCGAATGACCCCTATCTTCCGGTAAGATCCGGACATCACCCCTCACAAGTCATCCCGAAAACCTAAAATCAACTTCAAAGTCGGTTCGATGTTACAACGATAAGGTAGGTACATGCAAGTACATATCTTGTCTACTGGGTGGTTACTTCCAATATCATAAGAGATACGTAAATGAAGATCGTGACATGTGACATGTGATGATCCAATGACTAGGTATCTATCGTGGTAGGTACAGCTATTGGATAGAAACTGCAGTGAAAGGGGGCGCGTCTAACATAACATGATTACCTACACCACCACATGTAAGTTCATCAAATTTATATTAAATAGGTAGGTAGGTAAGGTAGAACATGAAATATATTAGAGATGCCTACCTAGTATCCTATTAGGTAGGGTACGTGTACATCCCTAGCTACTAGGTAGGTACCCTCCATAAAAGCCTACCGGAATCCCAGCTAATTACCTACCCAGTGTGTACCCAGGTACCTAGATAGGTACCAATAATCCGTTCCTACTAGTTGTATATCTCTATGTCAATGTGACAACAGCGACATCTGCAGCCACAATGCCCCCCACACGAGTTCCAGTCACCACAGAGACCAGCACAGCGACCTCCACACTTACGACGGCAACGATTACAACAATCACCTGGTGGGCAAGGTTCGTCTCGACTGCTCCTGCTTCCCCTACTTCTTCGTCTTCCTCCCCGGCAGGGTGCCCCCTGTTGACCATCACGGCTAGATATGGTTAATAAAAACGCTACAATTTAGTCATTCCAATTAGAATACTAACCCGCGTGGGCCTTGCTCGCCTCTCTCACCTCTCCAACCTCTCTCGCCTCTTTCACCCCTCTCGCCATTCTCACTGTGAACAGGTAAGCTAAAGAATGTAGCTAGACTTAATGTAGTCAATTACCCTGCTGGTCCTGGTTGGCCCTGAGGCCCTGGCTGGCCCTGAGGCCCTGGTTGACCCTGGGGTCCTTGTTGGCCTTGAGGTCCTTGAGGTCCGTCACGACTGTCCCAAAGTCAGTAAAAGACACCAGTCAACTCCAAGGTGGTAATACCCTGGTACGCCCGGTGCGCCATCGCGGCTATTTTAATGTTAGCACAACCAACCTAGGTAATCAACTCTTCAGATAATAATACTAACCCCTGTCTGCCTTCAGCACCGGCGGGACTACGCAAAAGTTAATAAATACAATCGAATGATAAAATAGGGATGGATACTAGGTACTTACCCGGGCTCCCCTGGATCACCAGGAGGACTGTTCAAAAGTTAATAAACGACGAAAACACAAGGTGATTTTCAAGAACCATACCCAGCTGGCCCTTCAGCTCCATCGCGACTATATCCATGTTAACATGAAAGCAAAGCAAGACTATGGAGTAATGGCACCTACCCTGGCAGACCTTGGAGTCCATCGCGGCTATGAAAGGGTTAGTAAGGGAGGCATAACCAAGTTTCAAAAGAATGGTGCTAACCCTGGTAAACCTTGGATGCCATCGCGACTAAAAGAAGGTTAACAATAAGACATGGCACGTCCAGAAAGGGTAGTACCCCGGTGCTCCATCATTGCTAATTAAAGGTTAACAAGCTGAAACGAAACTTTTAGATATCAGTCATACTGACCCGGCCTCGCCTTGTACGCCGGGAGGACTGCTTAAAGGTTAATAAGATCCAAAATCAAGGCTTCGTGTAACAATACCCTTCGGGTCCAGGATGTCCATCACGACTATGAAAAGGTCAGTAAACAATATAAATAGTGTTTCCGGGAAAGTCGTACCCTGGTACGCCTGGAAGGCCATCGCGACTATGTCAAAGTTAATAAAAGAACATGGATAACCAAAGCTCAAAGGGGCAATACCCTGGTATACCTTGAGCACCATCAAGGCTAGGAATTCAAAAGTTAACGGAAGAACAAAACTACTTTTGACAAGATTGATCCTACCCTGGATCGCCTGGAGGACTATTTCTATGTTAGTAGTAAAAAAGAGGACATGGATTGTTCGAGGAGATTACCCTTCTGGCCCTTCTGGCCCTTGAATCCCATCGCGACTGGGGCAAAGTCAATGAATAAAGCATAGTTAGATATCTCCCAAGGGGACAATACCCTGGCAACCCTTGCATTCCATCACGACTATTTGGGGATTAATAACATTCGTTAACTTTTTCAGATGGTGGTCTTACCCAGGAGGTCCTATTGCGCTATTCAAAAGTTAAAAAATTGACATAAAATCATGCCATCAGGAGGAACTACTTACCCATTAAGTCCTCTTGGGCTATTCCAAAGTTAATAAAATGTGATACGATGATGCCATTAGAAGAAACTACTTACCCAACCGGCCCTGGTTCCCCTTGGTCTCCCGCCAATCCCTGCAGCCCTTGAGGTCCTAATTCGCCTCTATCCCCAGTGGGTCCTCTTAATCCAATAGGCCCCCTCTCTCCAGGAGCTTATAGATGATGACATTAGCATCTTGGCCATACTTAAAATAACAACATTAAGTAAGGAGCCTCTTTAGAGGTAGAGGTAGAGTTATAAATATTGATATTGGAGGGAACGTATGAGCCAATGATTATTGACAAAATCGAAATTCAAATAGAGAAAGGGAGTATCTTACGGCCGGGTGGTCCTGGTGGTCCCTAGAAGGAAATAGCTTAGTAATGTCCTTTGAGATATACACATCTACTCACCGGAATCTGTACGCAAGAAGGACAAGCTGGGAGACAGTTGATAGGGCGGCGACACGGTTTTTTTGGCCGTGGTTTACATGGTTGTGGTTTGGGACATGGTGGATTTGGCTTGGGACACGGTGGATATGCCTCAGTGCATGGTGGTGGTGGTGTAGTTCGCTTGCCCCGGCAGCAGAACCACCAGCAGAGAATGAGAAGTAAAATAGCTATACCGAACGTTACACCGAATATAATCAAGGCAGTATTAGAGGAGTCGCCGCTTGAACTAGACGGTGGGGGGGCCAAGGTGGTTGTCGATGCTTCTACCGTTGCAGGAGCCGGCTCGCAACAATCAGAGGTTTCCTGTAGGGTGTTGCCCAGGGCGACGACCGTAATGCAAGTACTCCCATCTTCCGTTATTGTAAGGGTCATGAACTCACCCCTTACCTCGAGCTCTCCATCCGATACTTTCGCAGATAATTCGGCGGGCGACGATACGGAGGGTTGTCTATCGGATGTTGGTTGAGGGAAAGGGGTCGTTGAGCGGGAGGGGCGGGTAGGATTGACGAGTAAAGTTGAGATAACAGCCATAATGCTTAAGAAAAATGGAACAAGAGATCGGAACACTTGATATTGACCCTAAAAGAATTGTCTCTGCTTCTAGCAGTCCTTTCCCTTCGCGTCCCTCCAAAAAAAGAGCTGGGAAAATATCTCAAAATAACGGGATAGCAAGGGGATGGCGCTGCTACCGGGAGCCTCACTTTCACTCACTCTCTCCCCACTCCGACTGCGTCTCCCGAATAGCCTCCTCAAGGTACCCCATGTCAATATTAAGAAAACATAATAAGCTGTATCTGCATGTGGAAAGCCACGATCCGGGCCCTAAGCACGGCATCTCCATCAACAATGTCATCGCCGAGTAAGGCTCTAGACAACGCGAGCCAACCACTATGGTATCCAAGGGACCGTGATGTTACCTGCGGCCACCATTCGGACTAGTGCGTGTCCGTAAGGGGCAGTCGTATAGTGCTTGAGACGCCGTTGCATCGCTGGTACACGGAAAATAGCAAGGGCAATCGTGCATACAGGAGCACGAGGCCTCGAATAATGTGCTAGCCTGGTCTATCAATGGATGGTCGCATACAGAATGAATGTGCATCATTTCTTCCGTCTTTCTTTTGCCGATGGAATCGTGGAGTTGGAGGCGTTCCGTGACTGGTCGGAGAGCCTCGTTTGACGCCGCACGGTAAATCTGCGATAACTAACAATGCCATGGTTTGGGGGCGTACAGATTGCGTGGCAAGCTGATATGTGAGAGACCAAGCTATATCTTGGGGACTATGCACGCGGCCGCCATGCCCGCTAAATCGGCCAGATGCCATTGTGACCGATAATAACTCTGATCGCAAACGCCTGGAAATGAACCCCGGACGATCTTGTCTTTCTGGGTCGTAAGGTGCGTTTGCTCCAACCTGCATGATAAGCGGGATTAGGCATATTCTATGAGTATTATACCAAAGCTGAAAGTGGGATGGGGGAGGGCGGCTTACCGAACGTGCGTGTCAAGTTCCAAGTTCCAATTCTACCTACTATGTATGATGAAAGAAGTAAATGTCTATAACACTGAGTTGTCTCTTGGAGTAAAATGGAGGTAGGTATGAAATCGATCGTCATTTTCGGCTATTAATTTCCTATCTAGTATGGTTTGTGGCGTATTACCTACCTGAGTCCTAGGTACCTTCTACATAATACTAACAATTTCGTATTTCATCATCTATATAACATGTCAGTCTTCCGAGTAAATGAATATAGGTATCTTATGGACATCAGAGATTGGAGTAACCGCTCAGTCGGAACTACTCACCTCTAGAATTACAAGATAGTAAGCTGAGGTGGGAACACCACAGCTTTGGTTAGCCACCATAATTCTTCTGCGGAAACAGGCACGGTGAAATCTCTCCGACCATAGTAGCGTGAACAATGGGCGAGAAAAAACTCCCACCGTTCATATTTGTCTGGTTCGTTAGCTCTTAGGAATGCTTCGCCAATATCCATATATTCGGGTATATGCCTAGATTCTTCATTCACAGCCTGACGTTTCGACATCCTACCATGAGCAAGTCTACTCTTCGTAGTATTGAATCGGTTCCAGAACAACCGACGTTTCAAGAAGATGTTTCCAGCTACCTCCAATGAACACACGTGCGCAAAATGCACACGCGGCACGTTCCACGGATGTGTCGGTTGGTCGCGATGGTTGGATATCATCAGCCTCTGGCGATCGTTTATAAGTAGCTCCCGAAACCGACTTTCCGCGTAGTCAAAAGAGGACCGACTAAGATCAGGCACCGGCCCGCTACGACTTTTGTATCCCTTCACATGACGGTACATGGAGCGGGAACTCGTATAACGATCGCGTTCTGACAGAGACGGGATGAAATCGAGCTCATCTACAGATACGCAAACGTGGTGGCTCTTGGGATTAGGAGTCTTATTATTGTCATCATCCCAGTACCTTTTCATGTTTTCGGGATTCCAAATGATCAAAAATAAATCCTTCAAATTGGGAATCAATCTTAATGTCTCTGACGTATCACCGTTATATCTTGGTATAGGCTCGAACTCGCCAGCAATAGCTAGTCTCTTGACACGCTGCAGATCCATGGGACGGAATAGGCCGACGTTGCATCCCTCGCCCACAAGTATACCTTCGTCGTCGTCGGATGAGAAGCGGTCGACATAAAGCGTGTCTCGTTCGAAATGGAACCAGGTCTGTGGTTCGTCGGTGCGGGTACCAAACGCCAGTTCATACCCGTAACGCTTAAGCATTTCGCGAGATTCGGAACAGACATGCAAGAAAGGCGGGATTGGCGCCGAGCTATAGAGAGAGGTATCCCGCGCCATGGCCCATGCCGTATTAGGGTTATCTGCAAGCCATGATGAGGGAATTTCCGGAGTATCTTCCGTAGGAACCCAAGCCTGGTATGGGCGCTTTGTGGAAGTGAAGCCATAGGCTTCCAAAAGTAACTGATTATGTGAGCATAGCCTCGGTCCAAGCCGCGGAGCCCAGTTATGCGCGAAATAAGTAAGATCGGGGTGAAGCCTGAATTGGACGGGTGTAGTTCGGCATGTCTCTTTAAATTCATCACATCTGTCCTGCCAGGCATCCGAGTCTTTGCCGACCTCCTTCACATACACTACCCGAGGCGGTGTAGCCAAGATATAAATTTCTCGCCGAATTTCTGGAGGCAAATGATCAAACAGGTGGAACGTCGTTTCGTCTTTAGGAGTATCGCCTAGCCTGTCAGTGATAGGAATAATACGACCCATTTGGGAGAATTGACTAGAGCTGTCGTTGTGGTGAAGCTCGGTGTTTATTTTTTCGAGGTTTCGTTTTCGCCATACCAAGTGCTCGGACAACAAGTCAGCTCATTCAGCCCCGCGATCTACCTATCCCCACATATTACACATGGATAAAACCAATCCAAATTCCCAATATCGTGATCCAAGAAAGTGTAGGTATTTACCTCCTGGGTACCTACCTAGATACAATCAATTTGGTCACATCTCGAGAGGAGATGATGAAACAATTAAAAATTACGTAGATTTACACTTCTCCGTAAAAATATTAAGTTAAACCGCATATAAGTTGCCCCTTTTTATAAATCGCCCCTTATTCGGGTGCCCCGAAATTAGCCAATTAAAAGCTCGTATTTACCACGGGCCACTTTTTTTAATATATATTCCGTTATACTTTTTTTTTTTATTTTTTTTTATTTTTTATTTTTATTTAATTTAATTTACATTATTTTTTAATTAATTAAACGTTTTTATTTTTATTAAAATATTTCGTAATATTAAATATATTTAATTAATATTTAAATTAATTATTATAACCGTGCGAAATAATATATTTATTTATAAAGTTTTTTTTAATTAAAACATTTTAAAATTTACTTTTAAAAATTAAATTAACGGCCGTTAATTTTAATAAATTAAAATTATTATATAATAACGTTTATTATTTTATTAAAAACTTAATTTAATTAATTAATTAAAATATTAAAATTAATTAAACTTAATTTTAATTTACGATTAAATTTAAAACTTAATTATATATTTATTTAAAATTAATAATAATAAAATATTTTTCGAAAAAAAATAAGTTCTTTATTTTTTAAATTAATATAACTTAATTAAAATATTTTTTTTAATTTTAATCGATTCGATTAAAATAAAAAAAATTACATTTATAATTATTAATAATTTTTTTAATCGTTTAAAATTATTAATAATTTAATTAATTAATTAATTAAATCGTTATAATTTCGATAAAATAAAAATTTTAAAAAAATATAAATTTAATAAACTTATTATTAATTAATTAAAAAAAAAAAACTTTACGCGAAAAAAATAAATTACGCACGTAAATTTTTATTTTAAAATATATTTTAATTAATAAAAAAATAATAAATCTTTTAATTATTTTTTAAAAAAAAAACATATAAATTTAATAATTCGATAATAATTTATATTTAATTTTTTTAAATAAATAAAAATTTATTATTTTTTTAAACGGTTAAATTAATAATAAAATCGTTATTAATTAATTAATTAAAGTTTTTATTTTTAAAATTATTTTATAAAATTTAAACGAAAAAAAATTATTAATTTTTAACGGTTACGAAAATTATTAATTAAAAAAGTTTATATTCGAAATTTTTAAAACTAAAATTTAATTTTTTTTTTCCCGTTTTATATTATTTATATTTTTTAATTTTTTAACGTAAATATTTTTAATTTATTAAAACGTAAATATCGAAAATTATTATAAATAAAAAACATTTATTTTTATTATATTAATCGAAATAAAAAATAAAAATTTTTACGTTTATATTAAAAAATAAAAACGATAATTTTTATTTTTATTAATATTATTAAAGTATAATTTAACGTTAAAATTTAACCATTAAATCGCGAAAAAATTTTTCGATTTCGTTTTATATTACGAAAATAACTTTTCGTTTAACCGTTCCTTCCGTTTTTTTTTAATTAATTATTAATTTTTAAAACGTTACGTTACGTAATTAAAATTATAAAAACGCATTACTTTAATATATTAAAAAACTTAATAAAATAATATTTTATTAAAAAAATAAAAAAACGCATTAATTTATAAATATTAAAATTAATTAAAAAATAAACTAAAATTAATTATTTAAAAAAATTAATAAAAAAATTAAAACCGGTTAAATAAATAAAAATAAACTTTAATTTAAACGATATTTTTATTTAAATTAAAAACGTTATATATATTAAAAAAAACTTAAATTTATTTAAAATTAACGCGCGAATTTTATTAATTAATATAAACGATTTAATTATAAAATAATAATTAAACTTAAATATAATATAATATTTTATTTATTTCTTTTAATATACCACGTTATACTTAAAATAAACTAATATATATTCACTTTTTATAAAAGGCGATTTATAAAAAGGGGCGACTTATACGCGGTTTAACTTATTAGAGTTGCTTTTAAAGTTTCGAGCTTATACGCTTTCGGCACCCTCGTTAAAGCCCTGACGTCATTTAGATCGGGTCGTGCCGTGCCGCGTTTGAGACATGTTCATGCTTCCTATTCTGTACATATGTTAAGATTTAGTCAAGCACGATTAATAGGTACCTACCTACCTACCTACCTAGGTACATACCTAGTATGTACGCCTTCCTGCATTGGGGATGAGGCTTTACTTTAGACAGGATATCCTTGATAGTGAATAATAGATAAATATTTTATATAAAACAATGTCAATATATACCATCTACTTACTACTAGTACTTTTTACCCACCTAATCTTTATCTAGGTACCTAGTACCATTTCCAAATGCCCTCTCAACTCAAGTATACACATATCCTGGGAGACAGTCTTTGAGTAAAATATTCTCCTCTGGTGCCTCGACCGGAGCCCGATTCCAAACACGCGCATCTCCATCTTCTCCGCTGTTGACCTTCTGCGCATTTCTAGACCCTCTCACAGCAAGGACACCTCGTTCAAGCATCTCTTCTTGATAGAGACCTAGAAGAGACTTAATCTCGCTACACTCGTTGGAATTGAGCTGTCCTAAGGCCTTCCCAAGATTGAGAGCATCGCGAATAGCATGGACGCCGCCCTCGCCGCGGACTTCATTTCAGACTCAGTATGGTTCATATCTAGATTGAATAGTGGGGGTCCGTAGGGGGGCAGGGAGACGTACAAGGGGTCATCGTATGTGCGGCATCGCCTAGAAGCGTGATCCTACCCGTCGGTAATTCGTCTATCTCGATATCGCGGAGTACCTGAGAATGTTTCAATATCCCGCTTTCAGGGGTTTCTCTGATGATTTCCGTGAATCTTGGATCCAGGGGGCTAGTTAACTTGAGAGCATGCTCTAGCTTTTCTAGCTGTGAAGCTGAACGAAGCCAATGGTCCTCCTTGCCGGCTTCGTCGTCCTTCCGAACGACGAACCAGTAGTACTGGCCGTTGGTTCCATTCTGGCTCGTCTGGCTCAATCCCACGAAGAGGAAATAGCTAGCATCAACTGCACTTTTCGCATAGCAACTGTGACCGAGAGATAATTGACGCTCAAAACGCTCACCCGACAACGTTGTTTCGCCAATAATCATCGTCGCTGGGATGGTATTAAGGGTCTCTTTATTCGGGCGTCGAAGAACGTGTTCTCGCACTTGAGTACAGGTAAGCTAAGCCCCAATTATCCGGATGGTGTCTCATTAGCTGGCAGAACTTTCCAGACAAGGCTTGAAAGGTAGAATACTGTTCGCATAATCATGCCATACTTCGACCAAATCAGAGTGTAGCCTTTACTGGCACCGACCAATATCAGGGGGTTGTTTTCTGCAGTTAGTTGTATTCTACCCAATAAACCTTGCCTAAAGGTAACCGCCAGTTAAGGAGCTACCAAATAAGGGAGGTGATGGTGGGGGCGAGAGTGACAATTCTTAACATACCGACACTATTCACTCCATCAGCACCAACGAGTATATCGCCAGTGGCTTGCGTACCATCTTCAAAGTGCAATTTAACCTTGTCGTCGACCTCTTCTACTCTGAGAAGTCTCTTTCCCCATTGGATCGGGATTCTGTCGGAAAGCCATGTTCGGAGGCGCAGTCGGTTCGCCCGGACTATGCGTGATTCGGGAGTGCTCTGCACCACCCGACGCCCATCCTTAAGGTAGAGTGACAACTGTACCTGAAGATTTAGGGGTGTCAAATGATTTACCGAATCTTCGAATGGTGGCAGGTCTAACAAATTATACCGATTAATAAGATCCACCTGGCAGTCTTCGAGGCTCGGTAATACCCAAGCAGAGTGGAGAAAACTGAGAAGGCAGGCTCCCGGGTCCATGACCTCTTCACATTCCTTTCTCGTTATCCTCGTTTGAGTGGGGTAGAGCGATTGTGATATACTAACCATTAGGTACAGAAGAAACCAATTCGTCAAGAAGGCTTGCTATCACGTTAGTAAAGTCCTACTAAGTTTATTTTCCCCTGTCAAAAAGAGGTGGGTGAATGGCCGAACAACATACGTGTGTATACCGATGGCCCATCCAGATCTCGCGGCAGGTCCATCGTCTCTCTCAAAAACATCGAACGGGATGCTCTGCTTTCGCAGGCATTGGGCTAGTACAAGTCCGCCGATTCCAGCACCTACGATGAGTACACGATGTTTGGAGGAGTTTTCGGCCATGGTTCAGTCTTCGTGGCCAATTTGGGAGATGTTGTTTAAGTTTATGATTGAAATTATCGATTTAATTATGAGCAAGAGTTGATTTCTACTCTCATTTAGGTGCTACCCAACTACTCCATCCCGATTCACACGAGAGTTTTTTAATGCTTTTCTATGTTTGGTATCATAACTGGATAATCCACGCCGACGCAAGGAGGGGAAGATACTGCGGCAATACGGAAAGCGCGAAAGCCGAATAGCAGTCGATATCATGCAATAACCCACGCCTATTCATAACTCCGTTACGGCTTCGCACTCTTAGATATGTCATCAACGGATTGCTCGTGCGGGATTGACTAATTATCTGATATGTTCTGATACTATTTCTAGGTCAATGAGTTGTTGTAAAGTCATATCATCGCGAAGTATCATAACACCGAATGCCGTTGGAGTTATGCTTCCTACCTATATTGCTTTATGATTCGGGTTTAGAGAACTTATTTATGCTTATCATTGCATAATTAGGTGCTTGTCTCCATGACGGCAAGACACTTGTTTTGAGGCATACTTTGTAGTATGGGTCGCAATGGTCTAAGAATGGGTTCTTCATTTTCTAAAAAGAAAAAGATCAAATTATACTATCTACCTAGGTACCTAGGTACTCCCCGGTTTTTTTCTCCGAGCTAGAATTTGAAAATTTAGCGGCATGGAGCATGGGTCCTTCTCACTAACGGCGACACCCACCGTATGCGATAATACAGTAACGATCCGCCCAATATTACCAGATCTAAAGATCCTAGTCAGGTACCCGTAACTAACCTCGCCTGCATGTGCTAGCTTCCGCCCTACCCCCTTATCTGGTCAGTACATCGTGCCGCATTCCAACTTCCTCTGAGCGAATTACAACGCCCAGCACTTACATGTAGCTCATAAACGCCACGATATATAAGCTGACGCTGGTGACGGAGCCGATGGAATAGCTACTCATACGGAAATCCCGTGCTACGGGGATTTGGGAAGCCGATAAAGTAGGTGCCCTTCTAGGAATTTTAAGATGGCCCAGCGATGAGAGGAATGGCCTCAATAAGATACACTTAGATTAACATATGCTGTGTTAATAAATCGAACGGTACAGACTTGTCCGACGTAATTAATTACATGTCCAGGTGGCACAAACATTCAGCCACGTGTATTGTGTTCCTAGCTAATTTGCTACCTGAATCGTTCTTTGAGGATTACTTCCCCAGGTGCAGGTGGCTGGCGCGGGGTTAAACACTTCAAGGACTAATCGCGCCTGAGACCGTGGAGTTTTACGAGGCACCTCTGAAATTCCGGGGGCATAAGCCGGAGTTAAACACGTTTCTCGCTGGCGTTACGGGGTTCGATGAGGCGGTCTTGCGCGATATGATATCAGTCCGTGTTCGAGGTGCCTGTAGCGAGACACATGTCTTGGGCGTCAGCGGTGAGACAGACGACGAGGCTTGAAGATAAAGCATGCTGTCTCATGGGTAGAACTACCTTCAGAATTGTTGGGAACAGAATGTTGGACGCAGTAGAGCTACCGTGGCGTATTTGCGAGGTCACCTAGGAAGTTCGCCAATTGCCGTAATCTGAAGCCGAGAACAAGAAATGGAGTTGTTGATAAAGGTTCAACATCACAAGTCAGGACCTTCGAATCAAGGCTGCCCGGTTAGGGGTTCGGGTACTAGTCAAGATTTCATCTTGAACTCAAGAATTTCGGAACAAGACGACTGGCTGAAAGATATCGTAAATGGTTGGATTGGCGTCTACTTGGTGAAGAATTCGCCCGCTCTAGGCCGTGACGTCTTTTAGGGCAGAGCCGAGACGTTGCAATATCGATGTGACAGTGCCTTCATTCGCATCCGACAAGACGCCCGTGCCTCTAAATTTGAGCCAATTGAGAATAGATTTCGGGGCGCCATCTACGTCGGTACTACGTGGGTAGGTACCGTATCAAATCGTCGCCGTCATACCTCGACAACTCTAGTATCAGGAACGTGGGTTTTTTTCCTTAACCAGGGTCAAGGGATTACCTAAGGTATGCCTCCTACAACAGTTCAATTTGATAGATGCTTCCTTTCCAAACTTCCCACTATGAGTCACATGCTCTGTTATGGGCGAACCCGTCTGCGCCATTTAGGTTGAGGAGCATCCACATTGGAAACAATTACGTCAATTCATGAGCAGGCAGCTAATATCTACTAGAAACGAAATGTCAGACTATGTCGCTGCAGGTTAGGTACTTAAAGCTAAAATTATCTTTCCTGCGGGAGTCCAAAAGAACGCCAGTCGAAAAATACAGAGTTAATCTAATGCAATAATCAATTCTCAAGCGGAGTTGAAATTAATATCATTGTCAGATTCAACCTCGGTCTATCCTATGTACATATATGGAATATCATGGATTAAGGTTCTACGTTAATATTAACGTATCATTCGTGAAGATGGCAGGCCGTGGTTGACCTCTTAGTAAGAGGGACGGTGAGGTTTTGCTCCTCGATGAAGATACTGCTTACCACCCGGCTTCGCCTCAACCCATGAAAATTTAACCCCCCCGTTGCTCTTGGTTGCATCTCTTTTTTGTAGTGTTCTTAGGTCCCCCGGGTTCCCTGAGTATCCAGAATGTGCAGAGTGTCTGGACTGCTTGTCGCACTGAGAGACCGAGTCACTAGGCAAAACGCCACCTCTCATTCCCGGTCCACTCGCTACGCTCGGCGCATGTGTGGAACCATATTGCATGCCTTCCGGGAAGTCTTCTTCTTCGCCAAAAAATTGGCTGTCTGTTTCAGGTGCATGCTGTTTATGTGCATATGGTCCAGAAGGATATAGCCCAGAAGAATACGGTCCGGCTACTGATCCAGTGGGATATCCAGGTTGATGACCACCGGAAAGTCTTCCCGTTTTTACCCTAACGCGGACGTCCTCGTAAAATAATTGACCTCTGGAATCTTTTGGTTTAGGAGAAGCCATTTCGCTTGGCCCATAATGTGCCATGGCGGGTGCTTGGGACGTATGTTCTTGGGACGTAGGCCCCTGGGACACAGGACCTTGGGACATAGGCACTGGGTGCATAGGCGTTTGAGTCATAGAGGCTATGTCTCCGCCACCCGGTCCATGGTAACTATTAGGTTGTTGACTTTTACTTGACTTCTTTTGCCCGGAACGACGATTGGGATCGTAAACAATAGAGGCCTTTGGGTTTCCTTTACGACGTTCCATGTACATATATTTTGATTTGTCTTTCGGCTTTTCGTTCTTCTCGTGGCTGCTATGTTTCGTGCTTGAGCTCTTGTGGCTATTACCACCGCTCACCATGCCTTGGTACTGTGCTAAATAATTACTGTTAATTTCCAGGTTGATAATGGTTAAAGTTTTAATATACAAGCATTTATAACTTACACATAATGAATCTAATTTCTGTTAAAGAGTTAGTTCTCCAGGTTCATGAAGGCGAGAACCCGGTGAGAAAAGATAGGTATCCTGAAGAATAAATCATTATTTTATAACAATTTAGAAACTTGAGAAGTCCCATGAGAGGCAGTACTACAGTCAGAATATAGAAGCAGAGCTGTGAGTTATCATTACCCAGTCACAAAATTTCAAGGTGTACATGTTACTACCTACCGTAACCTTCAAGTTGAGTGATGTGTAGGTAGCCATGCAGGCAGGTAGATTCCGTATGGGAGTTGTAAATAGCATGTCAATCTCATGCCTGGCCGTTGTAATGCCTAGGTACCTACCTACTTTATTGATACTTATTCATACAAGTAAAACTTGGCTTGATATTTAGAGAATTACTTTGGGGCGTCCAAACACAAACAAAGCCCCCTTTACCAACAGTCAGGAGTTTGTTCACCTGGTAAGTAAGCATTGAGTTAACTAACGTTACGGCCTACCTAGTATTTATAGCTAGATCTTACATGTATCACTCGATTTTATATTAATAAATTTTCAAAATTGTAGATTCATTAACGACGTGAATTCTAATGCAAGTTTCATCGGCAAGTTATGGCAAGTTATTTTGAAAATGACCTAGATAACATATACTAATTATTATGCATGAATAAATAAAGACACCTCTTTACCTAGGTGAATTAAGTTTTCCTTATTATTCCATGCCCACAATTGATTGATGTTGCTGTTATGTGATGGTATAAATATGTTAAGGGGAACCGTCAAATATTGACAGTGTGGTTTGGCTCATCCATTAAAAGCGAAGGCATGCAAATAAATAGGCACCAGGTACTTCGGCATCATATAAGTTTGGTGGATAGGAAACCTTAAGTTGAATATACAGTCATATCACGAAAAAGATTAATGTACAAGGTGAAGTTGTGATCATTCGGATGCATTTTATGTTTCACGCAAACACCATAGCTACCTAGTACCTAATGCCTAGGTAGGTAATGACCTTGGGGTATTTCTAGAACTTAGTTATCCTAGGGCCTGACCTGTAGGGCCTCAACTCCATAGCAATGCAAAAAATAATAGAGATGCTACCGACAAACGCCGAATGAAATAGTTGTTGTCATATTTACGACTCCTTTCGACCTTGAAGGCCCTTATTTCCTAAATGTATGACTCTTGCCAGCTTTCTCCCCATGCATCTTCCGTGCGGGCTTCGGACCCTCAGAAGTCATTCCATAGGGATTGAACTTGGGTGCTTGCGGGGTACTATTAGTTGTTCTCGAGGCATTGAGAACTGTCTTCGCCTTGCTGTAGTCGAAAGGCGCATCAACCTCATCCTCGTTTCCACCATTTCTTGACGCCTCAACGCCGCTGGCTTCTGCATCCTTCTTAGCACGCTTGGCGAGCTTTTTAGCTCGACGTTCCTCCTTAACAGCCCATTTACGGGCCTTTTCGGCGGCTTTCTTCGATTTCTTATCTTCTCGCCTCTGGTCTTCGCTATCATCCGTGTCAGGAACTGCAATTTCCTCGGCACCAAGTGAATCATCTGCGGTGGATTCTAGTTTCGATGGTGTGTCGTCAACTTCATCAGAGTCCGATTCCGAGGCCACATGTATCGCTTTACGCTTTAATCCGGTCTTGAGGGTAAATTCCTGATCAACGGGAGGAGGAACTTCAGCTGGTTGTTCTAAAGAAATAACATCTTCCTCTTTCGTCACTGGTCGCTGTGGTCGCACCACTACTTCCTCTGTGAGTTTGCTCGACTTCACAAATTTAGCCCAAGGAAGCTCAAACTGTACTATTCTTGAAGTCTTGGCAGCAGAAGGCTCCTCCCAACGACTGCTCATTGGAATCTTACCCCATAGTCTCGAAGTCTGGGAAACAAGGTCTTGAGTCCCTAGGACTTCTGCATTTTCGCTTCGGAGCTGGGGGAAGACAGACTTCGCGACTTCGCCGATACCTATTGTAGATGATGCATTGTTGCTACGAATGACATCAAGAACAGATGGTCCATTTGCTCCGGCCACTCTGGCTTTATTAATGATTTTGGATAGGTTGAATGCCTCACGTTTCGTAATGGGCGGCGAAGAAGGCTCAAGAAGGCTATGGAGAGCCTTGGCGTCCGGAGGCATGCGCCTAGCTATGTTGAAGAGCGTCGACATATTCATGATGTAAACTGTGCTTTCATCTTCACGGCGTGCTATCTCATCTCGCCATTTGTGCAAGGCTCGGAAAACGGCGAATTGCTCTTTCGAATACTTCCCGGCAGAGTACCTGATGAGCTGATTAAACCAACCAGATGGACCTTGGCCACCTTCTGCATCATAAGGAAATGTCTCATGTCGTCTCAAGGAGGTATCCTTCGATTTGTCCAGAACTTGACGGACCAATCCATGTTCTGGGTCTTGTGAGCATTGCTCCAGTAATTCATTGCGCATCATATCATAGATGTAGAGCAAGTAGTGCGTGTCTGAGCGTGCATAGTAGAACATCTCCTCGGGTATTGGTCTGTTATGTCGTCAGTCAGCACCTGATTCACACTAGAGCTGCTATATTCTCATACCGTATTCTCCAATCAGCCAGCTGATACCTCTTGTCCGCATCGAAATCAACGAATTTCTTCAGTAAGTAGGCAAGACCCCTGCTAGGGTACTGTAGCGCTACTGCTGCTTCGAAAGTGTCGAAGAGTCCAACGATATAAATACCGCAATCTCGTTGTAACCAGAGAATATCCATGTAGGCACCATGAAGCACCTGTAAACATTAGTCACGTGGGAAATAGTAAATGGATGGCTTGGATTGGACTAACCTTGACAATCTTTGGATCGGCGAAGACTTCATTTAGAACCTCCAGCTTCCGACGCCATGGCTGAAGAGTGTCGACAATCCAGTCCTTTTCACGGGTACTGATTTGCATTAGTGATAATAGACCGGTGTATGTTCTGAAATCGTGATGTTCTGTGTCGATGGCAATCTCTGTAGCTGTCTTAAGTTCTACTAGCATTTCTAAAACGCCTTCGAAGGTATCGACAAATGTGGCCGCAGTCATTTCCACAGGTTGGTATTTGATAGGTTCTTTTGCTTGGAAGACGGTCTCTGGGTATTCAAGTTCGAGAATCTCGGCCTCATAGGGGTGTTTATATCTATATATACTGTTAGCTTACCATACTGACCCAAATTCTTTCGGTGTATATAGCCTGTGTATCTCGATTATCTGTCTCGGCTTCTCTGAGGAGGAGCGAACGTGACTAGAGGAATAAGGGGGAACGAAAGAAATTGATCATACTGAGTTGTCTGGTTCTCATCTTTGAATGTCTCTAGACTCTCTTCAAAAGAGACGAGAGCATGCGGCTTAGTGGTGAGTATGGGTTTCCATGGTTCAGTACTGAAATTGTTTGGCTTGACTTCGAATAAGAGTTGTGGTTTGGTGATATCGGCGCGGCGCATGGAGTTTTCTAATGTTGTCGACCGGGATTTCTTAGATGATGGGCCTGGCTGATCGGTTGGCGCAGCTTTTCGCTTGATAACACCAGTGTACTCGTCTAAACAAGTGTCGGCTTTCTCTAATAGGGTATCGACCACATCCACGATACGCGACCATTGTACATCGATCTCGTCGCTATCTTCGATGTTCGGGGCTTTTATATCGGTAGACTTCGTAGAAGACTTGAGAAGCGATGAGGCCAATGCTAGCAGGCGGCCGGATGCGTCGTCTAGTTGCTCTTCGACCTCGGGATTGCTCGTTCGTTGGAAATTAACGTCTTCGGCAGCTATCTGATTTGTGAGCCTCGTAGTTGCGACTAGAGCAGACTGGATCTTCTCCTGTACGGACTTAAAGTCCTGTGAAGAACCCATGGTGGCTGATCATCAGTTAAGAACAATGCGACAACAACCAAGTTGGCGAATGTGACGAAGTTGATGATTGTTTTTTGGGATTATTGGTATTGAGATTTGATTGCGCTGGACCGAATTCTAAAAATTCGAGCATAGGCCTAAAAAGTCTTATCGATAATGCAGCTACCTGCTAGTTGGCAAGCGCTGGCAGGGTGGATCGGTGTGCCTTCCGTGTATGGTCGCGTTGTATGCGGATGCTCGAAGAACTAGCGTTGTATCGCATTGAATGCTATTGGTTAAAATCCCTATTCTGTACATCAACCACTATTTCTATCTACATTCACCAATACTCATAGTGTATGATATTTCCCACAGCTAAAAGACTTGGAAAGATTGAATATAATAAAAAGCTCGGTTTGGTCTAAGCATAGCGGAATAGAACAACATGTCTGCATCTCTTGCACCAGAATGCAATGAGGTGAAAGAGTAAGTAGATGGAGATACCACATCATCATCTAACGGTTCGGAGGTTTCATCAGAAAACTGACTTGTCATAGGCGGTACGATGCTTGCTTTCTTAAATGGTATAGCGAGAGTATGTTTTACCATGTTTTACTATTGCTATCCTTTTTTTCTATTTTATCCGGCATCTCACATCTATTTAGAATATCTTAGAGGCAACGGAAAAGCAGACGACAATGAATGCTCGAAACTCTTTAAAGATTACCAAAAATGTCTTCAGGTAGGCAGATATTCAATACGCGTATCTAACCAAACGTAGCAATCTTGATTCAGAAGACAAGATTCCGTTACTAATCACAGACTCACTCTATAGGTTGCCCTGAAGGAACGGGGCATAGATAAGCTTCTAGACGAAGCACGCAAAGATACCAAAGAGAGTGACGCTCTTCATATGAAAAGGAAATGAGGAATAGGGAATAATTGAAGATCAAAGTCAAGACCCATTGATCAGTCCTGCCGGTTGTGCCGTAGGAGGTGCCGAGATTCCGAATCACACTAGGTCAGATCTCATCTAGAACCTTGGAAGTCTGGGCGGCCTGCAGATGCCCGCGAACTATGAGGCGTAAATATGATCTTGACCTCTCTTGGCCAATGTCATTATCGCGATCAACCCCGCAAGACCATTCTGGTGGGATATATTTGTCTTTATGTAACTGTCTATCTCCGCTGTTGATGCTTGGCTTAGCCTCACCGCGCCCGCACGCCGCAGCTGAGAAGGACGATCTTTCGCAGAAGATGGGGAAGGAAGTGAAGATAAGATGCAGGGCTCGTCCAACGCGACTGTTGCACCTAGCGGACTTTTGTAGCCTAATGAAATCGGGAATTGGAGGGCTCGTATTCATTACCCCGGACAACCCTACTCAGCTCTTACTATTCAAAATGTATATAACATCCCCAGATTACCTCATAAATACTTTTTAGTCTGTGTCAGCTTCTCTTTTCATCTTCCGCGTTAATTAAAAACGTCAAAAAGCCAAAACCTTACACGATTAATTGTCATATCATATTGATTGTTTTTCTCCCACCGTGGCGCAAGGTTAGAACGATTAGGATCCTCATTGTATTAACACTTTTTTGGTGCCTACCTATCTATCGAAGGTAATTAATCCAAGACGATTAAGTATTTTTCATTCTTTTGAATTTTATTTAAAATGAGTGAACTATATCGATCAATAACATTAGATGGGACTGAAAACGCTTTCTCCTCATTGAAGGTAAAAAGATGGGATGGTGCATGAAGAATCTGGAAAAAACAGGTACCCAGAGCTTCTTTCTTTAGTGGTTTCTTTAGCGGCGCCGAGTAGCAAATCAAAGTTTCGATTCGTTACACAACCCGCACCGACGTCAGGGTCCGTGGATCCCGCTATTTAAAAACCAAATCGCCCTTTAACGATTTAGGAATCCACGTATATCTAATCGATAAACTAAAATGTGTACACGCAATACCGCAATGCAACTCTGCAAGTCCAACCCGGAACAGAACTGCAAGGGGCAGCAACAAACAACGCCCACTTCCAAGCTTCGACTTCGATTTTAACCTCGATCTTTATCTATCACTATTTCCCTATTCCTTATTTCCTGCTCCGTACACCTTTCCCTCATCAAATCCCAAACCTCGCCTCGTCGCTCGTTACATCTGTCAAACATTACACGACGCTCCGACGATACTGATCTGCACCAAACAATTCGACTCTCAGACGCTATACGAAAAACCTCGTGCGACAACGATTACGATACCGGCGCAGACCCTGCAATTCTTGTCGTTTATCATCCCATCTTTCGAATCGAACGACCAATATCGAATGCAATAACAATAATATACTTGGCGATCAGGATAATTCGTTACTTGCGAAAGGGAGGAGAGTGAGTGTAGGCGATGCGACTCGAAAGAGTATAGTTACCGATCCTCTACATGCACCCCTTCTCCATACTCACCCTCGCGATATTCGTAGCTGGCTACATCACAGCTCGATGGGATCTAGTCACCCGGCTCTACGAATTGACCGTCTTCGCTTGGGATAAGGGCGTCATTGTGAGTAGATCCATACCTCCCTCGATAGTTCCGACATGTGATATAAAGATACATATACTATAAGTCATGGGCTATGGGTTATGGGCCATAGGTTCTAGTTAATATAGGCTTTGTAGGGAGGAAATAAGGGAAATGAATATAGTAGAGAAACTTGCCTAACTCTTCGATAGCTTCGCGCCGGCCAGGGATTCGCCTTCTTAAGTCTCGCTTTCGCCATAATATTCATACCTGTACAACATATCGCTGGAGTCGAGGCTGACTCGGTAATACATAAAACCCCCTTCGACTGAGACAATCCCGACTAACTAATGTGGCCGTAGCATCCGCGATCGCCTAGTCTTGGAATATCAGCTCGAGAACAACTCCGGCGCAGAGGCTCCTTCTAGGTGGAGTGCTCTGACGCTGGCCTATGGTCATGCCAGAGTGTGATGGATTGATGAGGGTATTTTGGCCGATCGACATTCCCACATCTGACGCCCCAGGTGTCATCGTCGGCTGGAGGAATTCGACCCTAGATGTTGTCGTCGTAGCCGTCTTAGATCATGTCGATGTAAGAAGTCCGCTTCTCATCCACCCTAATCCGTCGCCTATATTGACAATACCGTAGCCAAGAAATGTCGATAATGCGCTGAAGACGGGCATTCTGCTACGTAGTGCCCCTCATCCTATCCCCCGAATATTCGAGCTTTGCGGGCAGTCGTCGATGCATGTTCTTGGCATTACAAATCGCATTCCCGATTTCGAACCAGACCCCTCATGGGTACGAGCCACAACATGTCCCTCTCAACGAGTCCCTAAGATCGCCTGCCCGAAAGCGACCAGTATACAAATTACTTTGTTTGAGAGGCCAATTCCGCTTCGGATGCAATATATCTCGTTAAATCCTATTGCACTCTCGCTAGCTGATAAGGAAGATCACGCATTACATCATGCATATGATAGTTCTGAGGCAGAAGACGAAAAACAGGAGCAGAGAAACAAGCAAAAGCGGCATTTGCTAGTTGATAAACTGAATAAGCATTCGGTTATGAAGCATGCTCCATCCCAGAAAGACAAGGCGCTTAGTAGAATTGTTAATCAGATCAACTGGACATGGGAGTTAGAGCATTTGCTGCAGAAAAATGTGCCACTCATTGGTACCCGTCCTAAGCGCACTCTCAGCGTATCTGAACGAGTGGTGGAGCATGCCACAAATATGAGGGACTACGTGATTCTATGGATATGGGATATGATTATCCTCTACGCGTTTCCCATAATCCGCAGGATTTTCGTGCTTTTTCTCCTTGGCCATCGGATTGCTGCCGAAGCCCTGTTGTTGGTATTAGAGTGGAGAGCTCGGCCGAATTCACCTGCGCTCAAAGACGTATCTGCGACAGCCCAGCAGGTGGAAATACGCCTTCAGCAGTTTTGCTATTGGCCTATGCAATACGTCAAACTTCGACTACGGAAAAACGACTGGGATAGCGTGACGACTAGCCATCCAGATTATATACGTTTCTATAACAGCCTATGGCTCGTAGCCAATGACGTTATCATGGGCATCGCTCTTGGCTCGTATATCATCGACAACGCAGAATGGGTAGCTGATACGATTAGCATGCTCTTAGGGAGGTATACCATTGATGCGTTGCAGAGCAGTATTTCGTGGCTCATGGGCTGGCCTGCCGGTCTGAAACTAAACAGCGAATTGGCATTATTCTTGGGCGACCTGTTTCTTTGGGTTATTGATTATTGGTCAAGTTGCATCCAAACTCTACAACCCCTATTGCCGCACATCGTTTGGTTCATCGGCTTTTCCAGCTTTGGCGGTGCCAGTATGCCTATCGCCCTGTTCTCCGATCTACTCTCGGTGCTCACGATCCACATTTATTCCTTCTACCTGGCCTCGGCAAGGATATTCCATTGGCAACTCACGATTCTCCTGTCCCTTTTCCAATTGTTTCGAGGCAAGAAATATAATGTGCTGCGAAATCGTGTCGATGCATGCGACTACGACCTCGATCAACTTCTCGTCGGTACCATCTTATTCACGCTTCTTTTTTTTCTGCTTCCTACTGTTGTGGTCTTCTATCTCAACTTCGCCCTTGCGCGCATGGTCATCATATCGTTCAAGGCCATCTTCGACACATTGCTTTCCTGTTTGAACCATTTCCCGCTGTTCGCTTTGATGCTTAGGGCAAAGGATCCTAGGCGTCTACCGGGTGAGTTTATTGCAAACCCCAGTCGTAGAATTGCTTCATTACTAATTATGACCAGGTGGCATTCGTTTTGAACTTCGAGATACCCCAGATAGACATGTTATTAATTCTGCCACATCGCCCCTACCAATACCTTCACAACCTACCTCGGTTATTTACCTAAAGGTGCGTAATATCTCCATCGCATTAGTATCAGAGACGAATTAACAATAGAGTATAGCCTATCCCTCTTACATTCGCGGCTATGTTCCGCCAATATTTTCAGATGGGTAGTCGTATCCGCAAACACTACTTATCGCCTCGGGTACTATTTTGTCTCGTCACTGGCCGATTTGTCCCCCCTATTCACCGAAAAGCCCTATACTCGCTACAATACAGCATGCTTCCCGCGCGTAGAGCTGGTATCATGGAGATGTGGGAGGCGTTGAACTCACTGCCGTCTAAGAAGCGACCGGTGAACGTTTATCCATACGCATTCCCACCAACTCCGACGCTTAATGGAAGGAGGCATATGAATGGACGGGCCGGGAGAGGATTCTAGTGAAGGATAGGGAGCTCCAAGGAGATATAGGGATAGCTCCACGGCGTTAGGCATGTGGAAAAATAGGATAGATGGTAGATCGGGGTCTAATGACGGGTTATGAATTTCTGTATAGACGGGTCGATCCTAGAAAGGGTCTTTGAATGCGATCGATGATTGTTCCGGTATAAGACAAGTTGCTATATATAATAAAACAGTGTCTTATACAGAGTATGACTTACCTACTAGGTGGTTTTTAATCTCAGATGAGGTTGATATTTCTTCAGAATACTTCATACCTGGGTAGGTACTCTAGCCACCTAGGCTGCTAGGTGAAATTCCTAATGACACCAACGTTTTCTCATAACTAATTTTCGAATGATCTTCAATTTCATTATCAAGTACCTAGAGTATTAATTCTTAGGATGGTCCTCATTTATTGCTAATTAATCTTGCTTCTGATAGAAACTCAACCTTCGTGTTCTTTTCTGTGTGGGTATTGGATTAGTCACCAATTGTGCACGGACCATCAATACACCCAACCACCCACTTTACACTCGCAGTTCCAGTTAACTCTGTACCTACTTCTTAATCGTAATCAACTTAGAAGTCACAACAACAGACCGATCAAGTTCATTGGCACCATGAATTCTGTTGCGATATATTCGATATTTGTGAGAATGAATAGAACGAATAAGAAGGCTTCCTAATGATTAGTTCGATTCAGCAAATGAGTCTCAATGTAGATTACGAGCATCACTACTTGGCACAAACGCCGCCGATGTGTGCGATGAGCTCTTCGATACGATACGGTTTTGTTGTAACGCCGTCCTATACCTCAAAATCAGCATCATCCAAAATCTAGTATACCATAGTTTCTGCATCTCACTTACCATGCCAACTTCGATAGCGCCGCTAACCTGCTTACTGCGCACATTGGCCGTAACTCCAAGAATCGGGACGTGTCCCGGAAGTTCACCTTTTGCCTCGAGCCTTCGAACCTCTTTTGTGAATTCGATGCCATCCATCACGGGCATCTCGATATCGCACAAAATTACGTCGAAGTGGTTATTATCGTGCGATTCATCATCGGCGTAAGTTTCTTGTACAGCATGGAGAGCGTCTTGTCCATGGTTGGCCGACTTGACAGCGAAATCCCGATTACGCAACTGCTTACATAACACCTTCTGATTCACCAAATTGTCCTCGACTACGAGTACCTTGAGATGCGGTTCATCGTGTCCTGGACTATTTGAGCTCTTCGGGGTGTCGGGTGTGCTAATCTCCCGTTCTATTTCTTTAGGTACTGTAGTATTGCCATCAGGTGTTAGGCTGAGCGACCGGTTTAATTTGATGATTGATTCTCTAGATGTCGGCGTTGAAGGTGGTAGCATGCATCGTTGAGTCTTAACATAAAACGCAAACGTACAGCCCGCGCCAGCGCTACTCGCCATACCTATCTCCCCCCCGAGCATCTCCGTTATTTGACGGGCGATGAAGAGGCCAAGCCCCGACCCTCCATATTCTATGTGTGTTTTCGGAGATGCTTGAGAGAAGCGGTTGAATATCTGTGCTTTCTCGTCTTTCGTTAACCCCTTGCCTGTATCTTTGACGGAGAAGGACATGAAAACGTCCGAAGCTGAATCGCCTATTTCTTTGAAATCGGATACGGGGGTAACGGGTGCATATCGATGAGGCACGAATTCTACGCCAAGCTCGCTTTCGAGAGGCCGGCGCACATGAGCAGCTGCCGTTACGACAATTTTCCTCGCTTTCGAGGTTTTAGTGAACTTGATGGCATTTGTGACCAGGTTTATCACAATTTGAAGAAACCTGTTGGGATCGAGGAGAACCCAGTCAACGTCCAGGGTGGACAACGAGTTATCCTTTATGACTGCCAGCTTGATATCCGTCATCTTCAGCTCGGCGTCGAAAATCTTTAGGGATGAACGGACGAGTCCCATCGGCTGGACTGGAATAGGGGATACGACAAGTAAATCGGAATCCAGCTTGGAAACCGTCAATACATCGTCAACAATTTGCTTCTGATGCTGCACGCAGTATACAATCGTACTGGCGGCATCCAGTGCACTCCCTATTTGTCTTTTCATCACTCTTTCTTTCTTAGAACTGCGTGCATCGGGGGATGGCTGATCGTTAGGTTCCACATTCAGCGCATTAGCCGCTTTCTTCATCGATTCGATTATCTCCTCGCTACAATGTAGGACTGCGGATAAAGGGTTTCGAATTTCATGGCTTATCATATCCATAAAACGTTCCTGTTGCGTTTTTGACCTGATAGCCTCTTCCATTTTATCTGTCAGGACCTTGACGGCCATCTTCTGCCCGCTGATGTCGGTTACCCAAAAATCCATATAGTCGACCGACCCATCCTCTTTGAATTGGGAGAACCCTGTGGCAACAACATAAGCGCCGTTAGTGACGGTATTATCGCCTCCCGAGATAGTATACGTTTTGTTCACGAGTTGAAATTCGACAGATTCAGGTCCAGGTTGTTCTTGAAGTCGAGCAAACATTTCCTTGCATCCCTGTACGTGATCTTCTCGAATCCACGGCAACCAAGGACATGGATCTTTGGGAATTTCGCCCTGCGTAAAGCTATAAATCGCCAACCAAGCCTTGTTTCCGTACTCGACATAGCCTTTACCATCTGTACGACATATTCCAAGGGGACAATGCTCCGCATAGTTCCGCCACTTTTGCTCCGATTCCTCGAGCTCTTTTGAACGAGATATCAATTGCTGCTCCGTCCATTTCAGTTCGCTAATATCCATCGTAAAGATCATGACGCTCTCGACTTCATCACATTCATTTAAATCCGAATAGCAAGCACAAATACCTGTTCGATGATCTGAAGCCATGTGACCTCGACGAAATGGTTCCTTAGACCGAATTTGAAACGTCCCCCCTTTCTTCTCTTCGAGAACCCTCGTTTGCCATTCTAAGAGCAATTCGGCATCTTCTGGCACGACGCTATCAAACCAGCTTAAATCGTCTTGGTCTGCGGGGCTTATTCCGGCAAATTTATACCATGCATCATTTGCGTATAGAATCTAGCGACAATTTAGTCTAGGATCTTAACCAACTCATAGTTATATGTATATAATACCTTGCCATTCACGTCGCTAACGGCCAAGCCGACGATTGACCACTCCGCAAACCGCGAAAATCTCATATCGCTCCTCCTTCGGTCGAGCTGAGCCCTCTTAGCCAACTCATTATGGCGGGCGACTTCTTCCGATAACCGCGCTCGCGATATCTGCGGCGCCGCAACATCTGCGATGAGCTGTAGGAACTCACAAAACTGGGCGCTGTATCTCCTGTACGGATTTAGACCGACTACCATGAACGCCGCTATTCTGCCATCATCCTTGATTGGTACGATGGCAAACTGTCCGGAAGATAGCCTACTCCCTTCGCATCCGATTCCATTAAGAAGACTATGCAAGGACGGGTCACTAGCCTCCAATATCAACATCGAGTCGCGCTGGAGTGCCTTGAGCATGATTGGAGCGAAACCATCAATATCGCACGACAAGTCGATGTATTCTTGCCCCAAGAGACCCTTTTGATCTACACCGATGCTTCCCTCTAGGTGACATGGGTAGCTCGGCTTGCTTGGTTGGTCGCTGATACTTAGCTGTGCGTCCAAGGAATACAGCAACGCAAAGGGGATATCTTTGACATTGTAGCTGATTCCGGTTAGCAAGGTGCGCCAAAGGTCTTTCACGTTGCTCGCCGATCCGGTATGGCGGCACACTCGCTGGATGCATTCATTTTGTCGTTGTCGAATAACCTCTTGTGTTCTATCTGACGGGATCCCGTAAGATCCCCTGACAATCCCGTCATCATCGGTGACCGGAATAAGCTTCCAGTCGAAATAGTTCTCTTCCTGGTGTCCGTCTGCTTCGATAAGTAGTCTGGTACCGTAACACGTTTCGGTACGGTATGTTTGACGTTGCTCGGCAATCTTCCCAGCTAGCTGATCCCAGATAGTAGAAAATACACTAGAAGCATCCATTCCCATGGCAAACGGGTGTTTACTTCCTAACAATGGCAGATAGGCTTCATTGTAAAGAATACAGGAAGATTCCCCCCAAAACAGTACGGCCGGACTTGTGTCAGCCAAAAGGAAGCGAGAAATATGGCGAAGTACCGAGTCCCAGTTAGCGCCCAATCCGACAGCAGTCTTACTCCAGTCGACACACTGAAAGAACTTCTGGATGGGTGCAATAGGTGGCGGGCTAGGACTGTGAATGCGTTGTTGTTCGACTCCCCGGCGCGGTATCGGATGTGCTATTGGGCATCGTACTTGCTCTTGGGAAGCTTGCCCATCGAGGCGTAAAGGTGGCGATCCATCTTTCGGTGGCATCACGACACCATCGGGAGCCACGGTTTAGAATGGGATGTTAATTCCCAGTAAACACCTAAGCCACAACGAAAAGTCACAGATAACATGTAAACGATACCGCTTGTGCCACCATAGTATGCAGATGAATATGGTTGAGATGGACATGAGTTCATAGAGAAGATTGTTTCCCCAGATTCCGTATTGATGCAAACGAAACTAATGCCGCGGAGAAGACCACGTCAAATTAGATCGAGGCCGTAGAAGGTCGAGACTACTCTAAAATACATCTTCATTACTCGCCACCGCATTAGCAACATTAGGTATGCTCTATAATATTGAATCTGAACTCTCGGATCCAGTTTTGTCGGTATAGCGCACCAGAAGGTTTGGTTAAGTTAAGAGATTTGTTGCTCCGGATTGGTAAACGGAGGTGGTGCTAAGTGGGTTTAATACGGAGCTCAACTATGCATCCGATCTCAATGCTACCCGCCGTCACGGATTCGTCATGGACCTATATCATTTAGCAGCCGCGGAAGTTTCCGACCGGTGTCAGCTGGGTAACTGCGGGTTTCTTCCGAGTCTAAGTTCCCCGAGTGGAAGCAACCAACGGCCGCTAGCGTGGATATACCTACCGAGTATAAGAACAGAGAAATGATATTCGGAATTAAAATTCCACTCCTCTTTCAAGTGGTGAGGGGATCTTACTTATGTTAGAACAATGAATTATTATTTAAGGTCATTTCTATTTTAAAAATTTACCAGTCCGAAGCCTTCACTCATGGATACCCGGAATAAAGGCCGTGTTGTATCAACAAACAAAAAATTTAAAGAAAGTCTAATGATATGAAGAAGCTGTATTTAACTTCAACTACTATTATTAAACACCTCGATAGTAAATTTCCAGTCATGTAGTAGATAACGCCATCTATAACCCCTCGATCCTCTCGGGATTATCCCTTACCCCTGAACTGCCGATTTGTTAGCTTGGGTGGGTCTTCTTAGAAAATCTCACCCATCAACGAGTCAAACACTTCCATTACCAATGCGACCTTGTATAAGCTTTGCTTTGGGCATTTATTCGGGCGAACTCGCAACATAAAGTTTTAAGAAAGGGTGAAATAGTTAACGATAGCGCATTCCAATCATGGGCTCCCAAGTAACCGGATTCGAACCCGGCCTAGCGCCGCTCCCACCAAAGGACGTTATCGTAGGCTTGAGAACGGGAAGGATAAGGCCTTTCGGGGGCGTCAAAGGTTTGTTTTCGGCCATTAACAAACAACCTCGACGTGACAAAATTCAACTGAGCGTTGGTGGCTTTTCTGGTGATGAGAGGCAATACATTCACCACAAGAGTCCCGACAATGCCATTCATCAGTATGATCCCCGCCACTATGAAGACTGGAAACGAGTCTTGCCAGACCGTGAACACAAGTTCAAGGTCGGTGCCTTTGGCGAGAATATATCTTCGGCACATCTTTCTGAAAACAACCTCTGCGTGGGCGATAAGTTTCGCCTAGGACCGGAAGCCATCGTTCAAATCACAATGTTTAGGCAACCTTGCTACAAGCTAAATCACCGTTTTGAGTATAAGAAAATGTCCAATTTGATCCAGAGTACCGGGTACACTGGCTGGTATTACCGTGTAATCCAAGGCGGAGAGGTTCAAGAAGGCGACGAGATAGAATTGATCGAGCGTATTAACCCCTTTTGGTCACTTTCAAGAATACAACATATTATGTACACGGAAACAGACAACATCGAGGCCATAACCGAAATTATTCAGTTAGAAGGACTTAGCAAGGAGTTTCTCACGTTATTCCAGGATCGGCTTACTAAAGGAACCGAGAATATGAATGGTCGTCTGCTTGGTAACTTCGCAGTGCCTTGGCAACAATTCAAGTTAGTTGAGAAGACTCGACTAACACCGAGAGTGCAAAGGTTCGTCTTCGAGTCCGAAGACCAAGATACTGAGTCGGAAGATTTACGGTTTGGACGTTTTCCACATGTGCGCCTCAAGTTCGGACCAGATTCCAAGTTTACGCGAGCTTATTCGGTAGTGTCAGGCGATATGAAATCGTTCGAATTAGGAATTGCGAAGGATGACAACTCGAGGGGAGGCTCTCAATTTCTCCACGATGACCTCGATATTGGCGATGTCTTGGAAGTGGCTAAGGGGCACAATGCAAACATACCTATTATTAGCAACGACCAAGACGCCGGTCCAACAAAACACATATTTGTGTTGGGGGGCATTGGTGTCACCGCTTTTATTAGTGAGATTAAGACGCTCGAAAAGAAATCGGCCAACTTTGAGATACACTACGCTGTCCGTAGTAGGAAGGAAGCCGCATATCTGGATCATCTACCAATGAAAAACACTACCGTCTACGCGAAGGATGAAGGTCGGCGACTAGATGTTGCTGCCATCATCCCACCACCCAAAGACTGTAGAGACGACTGCTTCAAGTCCCTAGTCTACTGCTGCGGTCCACCATCACTACTCATCTCATGCCAAGATATCACAACAAAACTAGGATACCCGCGATCTCAACTTCACTTTGAAGAGTTCGGCTCCATCGGAACCGGTACCGGCGAGCCCTTCGAAGCAGAGATCAAAAACACGGGTCAGATTCTTAAAGTACCCCGTGAGAAATCACTACTCGATATTCTCAACGAGGCAGGCTTTGGGATAGATTCATCTTGCCTCGCAGGGAATTGCGGAACCTGTATGGTGGATGTTTGTAAGGGAAACGTCATTCACCGGGGAACAGCTCTTGAAGACGAGCAAAAGGAAAGCAGCATGTTGTCGTGCGTGAGTCGTGGCAAGGGGCGGATTGTAATTAATTGCTAGACCAATTGTCTTAGAGATACGCGAGATACCTGTTGGATTTATTATATTATATCCTACCTATATAAGAATGTAGACTGCAACTCATTTTAACACTTTGCTTCCTCATTCATTTAAGTGATTATTTCTAGGTATTATTGATATTCTCTACAGGTATCAATAACATCCATTGCCCTGCCACTACCGATGTTCCCAGACTGCCGCACCTCGTCCGACTCGGAATCCGGCAATCTGAGATTACGGCTAAACTGGCTCTCGCCACGGAGGAGCAACACCTGTCTTAGAAACACATAACGGCCTAGACTCTCCGTTTAATAGATATCGAAAGCGGGCGGACAATTTATTAATTATCAAGTTTGACAATAAATGAAGCAAATACCCCAACTTCATCTAGCGAAGCAGACGATTCTGTAAATAGCAGTATACCCACCTCAATTACAACTGCCATCCCCCCTTTAATAAGCCGGGATATAAGCCAAAATGAGGCGGCTTAGGAAAAATTGAGGAGCCCCTCCTTTTTCGGCTTTACCCCTTACAAAATAAAGGGATGTCCTCTCGTCTATCCACCCCCATAACTCGGACTAGGATTCTGTCCCCCTAGTTTCTAAAACATCCCGTGTAAAAGAGGGAGCCAAGGAATAAGGAACAATGATCTACTCGACCCTCTTCCTAAGCGCGGCGCTGGCCTCGAAGGCGTCAGCAGCATGCACACGCGAGCAGCTCATCGCAGCAACGGACGCGTACATCAAGGCGCAAGCGGCAGGAGACCCGGCGCTACCTGCTCTCGCGGAGAACGTGACGTACCTGGAGAACGACGCGCCGACGGACATTACGAAGGGGGTGTTGAGCCAGGCGATCACGATCGACTTCAACCGCAGCCTGCACGACAGCGTCGAGTGCGCGACCTTTACGGAGATCTCGGCCGCAACCAATAAGGCGCCCTACGTCATCGCCACACGCATGCTCTTCACTGACGACAAGATCACTACTATCCAATCCGTTGTCGCGAATGACGGGGACTGGGCTTTCAATGCTACAGGTCAGCTGTACTGGACTAAGACGGAGACTTGGGATGTTATTCCCGAGGACAAGCGTGATGCGAGGGATGTCATTAAGGCGGCGGGTGATGCGTATCTTGATAGTTGGGGTGATGGCACGGTCAAGGTGCCGTATGGTACGCCGGTATGTGTCAAAAATCCATTTCTTCCTCTTTCGGATTATTCTTTTTGGGAGCGCAGTACTCTCGATCGAGATAGCTGAAGATGCGTTGCTCCTGTTTCCTCAGAAATTGCTGATTGTTGTTGCTGTAGTGCGCGCGTCTCGAAGGCGGGTCTTACACGGGCGCTGGCGGACGGGCGTCGGCCAACACGTGCACGATGCCACAGTTCCCGTCGGCATTCAAGATCGAGAACCGGAGATACGTGATCGATGAAGAAGTTGGCGGATTAGATATCTTCAACGACTTCCCGTTCATCGATGCTGCTAAGCCAGACGGGACCGCAAGTACCAACTTCTTCAGGGTTGAGGCGGGTAAGATCAGATACATTCACGAAACTACTATTTGCACGAACCGAAACTGTGGAAGATAAGAGTTTGAAGGGGATGAGGGAAGGGAGTCGTAGGAATATGAGAAGTAAGGGAAGACTGGTTCTTGAGGGGACGGTGTTGTTTAGCTTTCTATACTGATAACTCACTAAATTCTAACGGTTTCCCAATATGGGCACTTTGTTGCTCAGACCGTTTGTTGTTTAGACCGTAGTGAAAATGGAATAAGTCGGACCAGTCGATTACTTGCACCACACCGTACAGAAAATACGATCGATCCATATTCGATGAAAATGTGGCCATAGTATCGAAGGTTCTTAGGCTTCTTTGATATCATTGGAGCACTGACCCAACGATGTGCCGGGTATTGCGCAAAGCGAGAATCCTTATCGCCTTTGTTGTGTCTGCCTTGAAGTGGAAGCTTAGAAGGTTCCTAATAACCTCGATGACGGTATAATAAGACGGTTAGAACACCGACAACAAATGTTTCAGCCATGTAAAGGGTGGCGGATATGGGAACCTAGGCGAGTGTGGTGCCTAGTTCTGGGGCGCTAGACGGTTGACGCTAGACAATTGAGGAGGGCTTCAAAACAATGCCCATTGCTAACCTTTGAAGAATTCTAGAGGTAAGGCATAAGGCTATTGGAGCCATTTCAGATGCGTCTTCATGCTAGACAACATACAAATGTTACTGCCTCGTTTGATATGTTGGGGTGAAAGAAAGGTTGAATGGAAATCGATAATGTAGATATTATCATATTGAATTTTGTAAATATTGTCTCGGCTTGCTTATCGAAACATATCTAAAGTCGTTATTCTGATCTCTTAGTACGAATTGGTAATTGGCAAATGCTAGAAGTTGGGGCAGAAATATGGTGATCGGAAATGGCGTTGAGGGTACCTAGGGAATAGTGGTAAAAGAGCTACGTCACTCTCCCGGATCTCGGATTAGGAGACTTTCCCGACAGGGTAGTACGGACCCTGAAGAGGTAAGTGCCCGTGAATGTTGGAGGTAATCGCGACACTATTGGTTAATAGCAAGGTGTCGTCTGTACCCCGCCATGACCGGATCTTGCCGAACCAGTCGATAAAGGCGATGCCCCTCCATTTATATGGCTTATCCTTTCTCCAACATTCTTGTTTGCGGGTCTGGAGCTTGTCTTGCCACTTACAGGCAACCATTACATGCAACCATTCCAACCAAACGACGACATAGTGCAGCAGTAATAGGAAAGATTCGCGAAGCCATGTTCCGACCATCGTGACCTCCGGCAGTCTTTGGTCTTTGTCCATATCCGCTGGCTGTGTTTCACTACCCAACGAATATATCATCTACCACACCCGCCTGCATAACTAGGTACTAGGCACCTAGTATAAACCTGGACCTTTAGATAAGTAATAGGCAGCAAAGGAGTTTTAAGGTATTTTCAAAACAAACATAATATTTGCTTGTATATTTGTTATTTGCTTTGCAAGCACTTCATAATGGAAACTCAAATCTTTATTCCGTTTAGACCCAATCCCAACCTGTCGCCTCACGATTCTCGCGAAATGTCGGACCCTAAGGAGAAATTCTTTCGCTATTTTCAAGCAGAAATAACGGGTGAGAGCTATTATACAGGCACCAGCAGATCCCTTCATACACTAACTCAACCAAGCTATCCAGGGCCAGATCGATGACCTAGCAACTATTTCTCATGTAGGTGGAGAGAGACAAGACTGCATAGATACGGTGTTAGCCGGCATATCCCGCTTGTCAAACGAAGTAATGGACGCGGGTGACTATGTCCCTGCCTATGATCAACGAGCGTACTCTCAGGTACCATTCACTATCCTCTGGTGAATCTTGGCCCCTATTCTGATGTGTACGTAGGCCATGAAAGCTCTAACCGAGAAGCTCAACGACGCGACCGCCAGCTTTACGCCGAAATCACGTTTCCAGTTCAAATCCAAATCTTCTAAACAAGCCCCCAGCGCAGAGACGCAGGTAGACCCGCGACAACGTACCTCCTTTAGTAATGTCGGATCGAAACAGTCTCCGGTACTCGACGCAGCGAAGCGCGATGCCATAAATGCTGCCAATAACGCAACCACGTCTTCGAAAGATTATAACGAAGATGTAGAGCAACAGTCAGGTGTGAGGAAGCCGAGTTTTTCCAACGCGAAGAGCATCTCCATATATGATCACACCGGATTACATATCATGTTGCCTTCGACAGCCTCGAGGGCCACATCTTCGGGTAGCTTGACGAATCTGGAGCGATGTGTTGTGGATATGACGGTCCCTACAAGTAAGGGTGCGCCATTTGCCGGGCTGGCGTTGAAAAATATCAAGCAGAGCCTTATAATCGCCGGACATGTCTCAGGACCTGTACACATAACCGGTCTGCAGAACAGCATCGTCGTGGTCGCCGCGCGACAAGTCCGTATACATGAGTGCAAGGACGTTGACATATATCTGCATTGCGCAAGTCATCCTATAATTGAAGATTGTTCGGAAATGCGATTTGCGCCGTTGCCCGAGTTCTATGTAAGTATCTTCAGAGACTGTTACAAACTTGATTGCTGATAAACTTTCGAATAGGCATCCAAGTTAGAGGTCACAGGTGAGAACCAATGGGACCAAGTAGATGATTTCAAGTGGTTGAAGAGCGAACCATCGCCGAACTGGGGTACTTTACCCGAAGACAAGCGAATCCCGGCGGACGTTTGGGAGAACTCAGTATGCGGGAGCCCAAGCCTTAGCACAGATGATATATTACGAAAAGCAGGCATCCTTGGTGCGCGAGCTTCCTGACGATATCTTAACCCTCGTTCCCTAGCGCGATATATTGCTACGACTTAATCCGAGATGATTCGACACACGAGCAAGAGCTGAGCATGGCGTTGGTGTTCACATTTATTTTTGCCTCCTTTGTATTCTGTAATACCGGGTGGAATCGAATCCAGAGTCTAATAGTTCTTATCAATGACGAACCATTGCTCCTATGAAAAGCGTGTCCTAGCACTTCTCGTGGTATCATAGCCTGAACGCCGTAACTCCTTGTTGATGTGAATGCAATGTCTCCCCCCTTTCCCATTCTCCTCCTCCACCTCCCTATTCATTTCCCTCACTCTTGGGATGTTCTTTACCCAACACCAAAGCCCACACGTCTCAATCCAGCGGTCCCCCAAGCTCATCGTGGCTTAATCAACAACCATCTTCTCCTCATCCCCAACCGCCAATTGCGCCCCCATCTCCCTCAGCCGCGCAAGCATATCTCGCTGTCTAGCCAATCGTCCCTCCAACGCCGCAATCTCCGCCTCCTGCTCTGTCATCGTGCGATTCACATCAGGTAAACCCCTTACTAGTGCCCTTGCGCGCTGGAACCGGTGCTTTAGCACGTCGGCCGCGGGTGCGATCTCTTTTAGCGATAGCTCGCCTGTGTTGGTTGTTGTTGTCGCGCCGTTCGCTGTCTGAGGTTGCGAGTGGTGGAGCGAGGGGACGGACGTTGGAGGTGGTGGAAGGGGTGTTGAACCGGCGGCTGGTGTGCCCCCGTTCGTGCTTGTTGGCATGCGTAGACGGTTTAGGAGGACGGCTAGCTCGGTTAGGGTGTCTAGTGTGTCGGGATTGAGGCCGTCGGGCATGGCGACGGGTTGGGGGTTGGAGGTTGAGGATGGCATTTTGAGCGTTGACGCTGTTTTGTTTTTGGTGGTTGGTGGTTGGTGAGGATGGGTGGTGTTAAACGCGAGAATTGCGACGAGTACCTAGTGAATATGTAATACTAAGATGCTCGATTGGCGGGAGGGTCGAAAGTGATATATTGCTGCGTGCAAAGGTGAACCTTGATGGCTAAGGCGAAAGCTGAATGCAGCGTCGAACTTATTAACGGAGCTAGAGATCAATCGAGGTAATCTCGTTGATGATGATTCGATCGTAGCTTCTGTAGCATTGTACAAAGCGCTGGCAGGGTTGCGCGGTTCCGCTAGGTCGGAGCTTGAAGCGGGTCCCTCCGACGTGCATTGACGTCAAATGAAAATTCACCTGATATGGTGGGGTTCTCCGGGGATGCTATTGAATTGTTGACTTTTGGAGATATCCATATCATATAGATGAATGAATTTGGATATGAATCGAATTGTTAATTACAAGTAAGAATATAAATATCGAATGGTACGAAAGTATTCAACTTTTCATTTACATGTGCGTATCGAGGTATTTACGTATTTCTATAAATAAAACTGAGGGGAATAATAGTTATCGATAGGCGGATTATTGGACGGAGCATAGAAAATCCCCCCACCATAGGTGATAATCCATAGCAGCCCACCATCATGCGAAACATCTCAACACTTACAACTCCAGGTCACTGCGTCTGCAGAAAATAACTCAACACTTCTCTTCTTTCCCTTCCCTAAAACCTCTCCTATTGTTCAAATAGACTCACATTGTTAAGAAAGAAGAAATAAATATCATTAGAAGCATAATAATGACTACACCAAAGCAAAAGGCCTGTTTGAGTACGTCTAAACCTCCTTTCTCTTCTGCGTCCCTTGCCCCTCCTGCTCAGATATCTAGAGCTAGACAACCTGATTACTTCGTTTTTGCTTGCTACATCCTTATCTATCTCGAGATCTGCTGGCTAATCTTTTACGCCTTACGAACGTACAGTCGTGATTGACGGTTGGGGTATTCCCTCCGCCGAGTCTCCCAAAAATGGAGACGCTATCGCTGCCGCCAAGACCCCAGTCATGGACGAGCTTTCCAAGAGCACCACCGGTTTCACCGAGCTAGAGGCCTCTTCTCTCGCTGTCGGTCTTCCTGAGGGATTAATGGGCAACTCCGAAGTTGGACATTTGAACATTGGTGCTGGAAGAGTCGTATGGCAAGATGTCGTCCGAATCGATCTGACTATCAAGAAGGGAGAGTTAGCCAACAACGATGTTATCAAGAATGTCCTGGAAAGAGCCAAGAATGGAAATGGAAGACTTCATCTCTGCGGTCTCGTCTCCCACGGTGGTGTTGTACGTTGAATCGACTGGAAAATTCTGCGTTTTAACTGCTGACTCGGGTTTCTAGCACTCCAAACAAACTCACCTATACGCTCTTCTAAAGGCCGCCAAGGCTGCCGGAGTTCCAAAAGTCTACATCCACTTCTTCGGCGATGGCCGTGATACCGACCCTAAGTCCGGAGCTGGCTACATGCAAGAGCTCGTCGAAACAGCAAAGGAGATTGGCATCGGTGAGATCGCCACCGTTGTTGGTCGATACTATGCTATGGACCGAGATAAGCGATGGGAAAGAGTTGAGCTTGCCTTGAAGGGTATGGTTCTCGGCGAGGGAGAAGAGAGCTCTGACCCAGTCAAGACTGTTAAAGAACGTTATGAGAAGGGTGAGAATGATGAGTTCCTCAAGCCTATCATTGTTGGTGGCCAAGAAGCCCGTATCAAGGACGGTGATGAGGTCTTCTTCTTCAACTATCGATCGGATCGTGTTCGACAAATTACTCAATTGCTCGGAGGCGTTGATCAATCTCCTAGACCTGATTTCCCCTACCCTAAGATTAACCTAGTTACCATGACGCAATACAAGGGCGACTATCCCTTCGAGATTGCGTTTGAACCTCAACGTATGGGCAACGTGTTGGCTGAATGGCTAGGCAAGCAAGGTGTCAAGCAAGTTCACATTGCCGAGACGGAGAAGTACGCCCACGTTACATTCTTCTTCAACGGTGGTGTTGAGAAGGTCTTCGCTCTGGAGACCCGCGACGAGACTCAAGATCTGGTTCCTTCTAATAAGAGTGTTGCGACTTACGACAAGGCCCCTGAGATGAGCGCGGATGGCGTTGCGAAACAGGTTGCTAAGCGACTTGGTGAGCAGCAGTTCCCGTTCGTCATGAATAACTTCGCTCCTCCGGATATGGTTGGCCACACTGGTGTATACGAGGCGGCCATTGTCGGATGCGAAGCTACCGATAAGGCTATTGGTGTGATCCGTGACGCTTGCAAGAAGGAAGGTTACATCCTCTTCATCACTGCGGACCATGGCAACGCCGAGGAGATGAAATTCCCCGATGGCAAGCCTAAGACCTCTCATACCACTAACAAGGTTCCTCTCATCATGGACAACGCGCCTCAGGGATGGTCATTGAAGAAGACTGACGGTGTTCTGGGAGATGTTGCTCCTACTATCTTAACTGCTATGGGTCTTCCTATTCCCGAGGACATGACTGGATCTAGTCTCTTGGTTGTTGAATAGATAGCATGATTTCCTAGGGGGTTATTGTTGGGACACACGGTAAATAGGTGGGGAGTTGTTAGAATTAGAGACGGTTTGGAAGGCGTAGAGATACCAGTAGTATAAAATAACAATAAATATGGCTATTATAATGGACTTTGTGTTTGCTTTTGAGCTCATAATTATGGAATTCTTGTTCAGGTCTGATAGAGTGCAGAGTGAGTTAAAGCTTTGAGCTTTAATGACATAAGCTATTTTAAATACATATTTGCACTACTGAGGGGCTATGAAGTAATGAGGTATAACAAAGTACACTAGTCCCTCTATGGATTAGCGCGCACAAGCACAAATCCAAAACTTCTTCAACTTCGCCAACTTGATCGTTGCCCCACCAAAACCGACTTTTCTCCTCGAACCTCCATCATCATCGTGAAAGAACTCGTTTCGAACTAACATCGGCGAGTAACTTACAAGATGGATTCCGAAGACCCCCAGGAGCGTCCTGAGGAGATCACCAACATTATCAGCGGTCTCGAACGATACAACCCCGAGGCCGTCGGTAACCTTGAGGACTACCTGCGCCTACAATGCGAGAATAGATATACGGATTCTAATGCGAACCGGACGTTACTGAAGCTGTAAGTTTTAACTCTATTTTGTATAAGGGTTTTTGTTAGTTCTCGCGTCTTCGTTGGTTGGAATGATGAATTAATTCCCACACGTTTCCTATTACCTGACACACGGCAACACGCCGTTCGGATGTTTATTTATTTTGCCTCTGACCTTCCAAGTTGACTACGTCTTGCTCTGCTCTTGCTTCATCCCCCTCTCCTCTATACTACGAAGAACAGACTAGCTAACAGCATATATTCCCCCAAACGAAGGTACCAGCTAAATAACGACCGTGTTAAGGACGAAGTCATCACCAACATTCTCGTCAAAGCCCTAACATGCTTCCCGTCCCCGCAGTTCGCGCTAGCGCTCCACCTCATCCCACCGCACCTGATGGCGCCGAACCCGCGCGCGGAACTCCCTGAGGCCATCAGCAAGCTGCGCGAGCTTAACTCACAGTTACAAGGTGCACAGTATGCGCGCTTCTGGGCAACTCTGGACTCTGACGACCTGTATGCCGACTTGACGACGGATATCGACGGCTTCGAGGAGCTTATCCGCATCCGTATCGCTACCCTGGTCTCCCACGCTTACCGCGAGATCGAGCTGAGCGTGCTGGAGCAGTGGCTCGGTCTTGAGGACCAGGCTGCGCTGAAGTTCGTTACTGAGACTGCGGGATGGAAGGTCGAGGGCGGTGTCGTCCAGATCCCGAAGAACCCAGAGAACGAGGCAAAGAAGAGCGAGGTCCGCGAGGATGTTAACGTAGATATGTTCTCGAGGGTCATTCGTCGGGCTTGGGAAGAGACTGTTTGATTGAGCTATCGATCAGCCAAATCAACCAAATCCGTTTATCTCGCCTAGGTACATGCCTACTGGGTCAGGGTCTTCTGCGTCTGGGGAGGCGGTCATGGTCGAGGTCATGAATAGTGGAAAGGGGGCCAACGGAGTGGATTCGCGAACCAGCATTGGGAAAAAAGGATGGGACAAAACCTGTCTTTGGCGTTACGGGTGACGGTTCGGGGATTCTGAACTTGACTTGCTGGGTGTGCTGCTGCTTACTTATTCCCCACGACGGTTAGCTACACCTAGATGGGCCGTTATGAGAAGTGGGAAATGAATAAAAATGATGATATGAATGAATTTCTCGTGTTGATCCGTATTTGCGTAACTGTAATCTGCTAATTTTATCTTGGTCGATAACTTGACTAGAAGAGATGGTAATGTTTCCCAGCCCTTCTTGTGGCCTAGATTTAGAAATAAGCTGGTCCGGTTTACAGGTTGGATTTTGTGTCACTACCGAACCCCTGATGGAATCAGTATAGGTAAATATCTTGTTCATTACTCGATACGAAGCTCTCAGCTACTTTTTTCTTCTTTACATCCATGGATGCTTTTCTCAGTTATTCCAGCCATCATCACCGCCGCCCCGTCAACTCCTCCCACTGCACCCCAGCCCACTCCTCCACATACCCAACCTGCCCCTCCGCCACCCCCCGCATCTGGCAATCCCGCTCACATACACCCACGATAATAGTTCCCCAATCCATACCTTCTAGCGACAACTCCTCAGCCTCCAGCTCCGTAATCGCATGCGGGGTCATCTGCACCTCAAAAGTCCTTCCAGCGCCGCAATTCGTACACCGCGGGATGCCTCCCCCTGTCGTCGTCACCCCATTCCCAGGGCCGTTGCCTGGTGTCGCTACATGGAGTAACTTCCCCACCGTGTCCGTCTTCGAGTACAGCAGTGGCTGCCCCCCGAACTCGTACCGGATGGCCTGTTCCGGGTTCTGCGAGAGCCGGTCTGCGAATTTCTGGAACGTGGTGTCCATGGTCGACTCAAAGACTTCGCGGTCTTCTTTCCCGCCCTTGCTGTTGTCGGTCGAGTCTATGTCCATGCGCGTGTTTTGTGGGATCGGCGCTGGGGTTGGGTCGAGGGTCTCGTAGTCGGCTTCGGAGAGGTAGGATATGGGGTATGGTGACGGTTGCTGTGCCGCGGCGGGCCAGGGCTCGGGTGGGGTTGATGGGGCTTGGGTTTGTGGGTTGTTGAGGGAAAGGGTTTCGGCGAAGGTTTTGGGCAGGTCTTTTATCTCGTCTGCGGTTGTGGTTTTGGTTGTGAGTGATTGTGAGGCGAACTCGGACTCGGGTTCGGGTTCGGGTTCGGGTTTTGTTTCCTTGGGGGGTGCTGGGGAACTGCTGAATGGATTGATGGGGCTGGCGAAGGGATTGCTATTGCCGGACGAAGAGACAGTTGTAGAGAATGGATTTGCGGATCCAGACGGAGATCCCATTGTTTTGGCGCCGAATAGGGTCTCTCCTAGATTAGATGGTGGTTGCGATTTTGGTGCTTCTTCTTTGGGCTTTGGCTTCTCATCTTTCTTGTCCTTCGTAGCTTTCGCGGAAACATTCGACACTGTGCTACTGGGTGCTATCCGCACACTACGTAGAGTGCGAATGCTTCCCTCTCTTCGGCGACAGCTTTTGCGCCGGCATGAGAAGACATATAACCGCCGCTCATGGCCGGGGAAGCGTTCTGGTAGTTCACCATCTAGTTGTAATAGGAGGACCATCAAGTCCTTGCAGATATTACACCGCGCGAGTGCTGCTGACGGCGGGCTGCTTTCATCGAGCCATTCCTTTAATCGATGTTAATGTTATTGGATTAGAAGAAATAGAAACAGCGTAGAACCACATACAGGACGGCCTCCCAGACGACTTATTGTCTCATCGCCAGGGTCTTTTGATGCATATCCGAGGAGCACATTAGTCTCCGTAAACTCGTCCTCCTCTCCAGCGGAAGAGTCGCTATCGTATGGCGCCATCTTGAAATTTCAGCTTGAATTCTCTCCAATGTTGTCGCGACCAACTTTTTTCTTATCACAGCTTTGGAGGGGTTCAATTTGGTGGAGGGGCAGGAGCTTATCGATTTCGGTTTACAAAGAGTATGTGGTCTGTGCACAGAAATCATTTAAGTAGACCGGGATATGACGGATATAAGTGGGTCGCCTCGGCGACGAATGCTAATACTACCTGTATAACGTGAATAGGCGGAATATGCAACTCATCGGATATTGCTTCAGCTTTCAGGAGGCCTCTGCAAGCCCCATCGCAAATCTTAACTTTATACGTAAAACGAACCTCGGGCCACCGCTGAATGTTAATTCTCCATCTTTACACCTCCTTATTGCTCCCCATTTTATTATCCCGGGATTCTTTCATCGGGTTTCAATCACCGTTAATCACGATGTTAACAACTAGACAATGCAAAAGTCGCAGATGGTTGGATTACCCCATACTTCTATTCGCAATCCGATTCGAAGGATGGACATGTGTAAGTTCGGGATGTGACTTTACCCCCTGACATCGTCACAAAGCGTTGTTTTGGGTCGGTTGGCAAATCCTCGAACTTCATGAAACGGCCAAACTAAAATCCCGACAACGTATGATGGTTCATCTGTGTACGGGTTAAGAGAATTAGCCTACCAGGGATATTGAGGAAGCACAGTTAAACCCTTGCTTCGGTGGTTAGATTCCTACCGAGGCACCCGTTCTTGAAATGGCATCTCAGTAGGTACGAGTATTACTTCATGCTGTTACATACTAGGTATGTATACAGGTATTTGCCTACCTTTGTCCTAGTAGACCTTGTTCTAAAATCAAGCTGGCGCTATTCATTCTTAGTTCTAATATCTTCCATCGAGCCAACTCCCCTGGACCTAGCTTGTGAAACGCGCCATACTATCATTCATAATCTCGTCAAGATGAAGGATTCTAAGAAAGCAACCAGGGGCTCCACATCTTCTACTGACTTTGACGTTATCATTGTGGGAGCAGGAATATCGGGTATTAACGCAGCGTATTACCTCACCACCCAAGTCCCCGGCGCCTCATACGCGATTCTAGACGGCCGGACCCGACTTGGCGGAACATGGGATCTCTTCCGCTACCCGGGCATCCGGTCCGATTCCGACATGGTAACTTTCGGCTTCTCCTGGAATCCGTGGGATAGGGCCGAGAGACTAGCCAGCGGAGAAAATATCCGCGCCTATCTACAAAAGTCGGCGGAAACATACGGCATCGACAAGAACATACACTTCAATCGCAAGGTTCTTTCAGCCGACTGGGGCTCTAAGTCCAAATCATGGACCCTCGCCACGACGAGCAGCGAAGGAAAAGCATTGACGTATCGCGCAAAATTCATACTTATCGGTACCGGCTACTACGACTATTCGCAACCCCTGGATACCAAGATTCCCGGATTGGGCAACTTTGAAGGACAAGTGATTTACCCGCAATTCTGGCCGAAAGAGTTGGATTATGCAGGGAAAGATGTGGTCGTGATCGGAAGCGGTGCCACGGCCATCACCATAATACCTTCAATGGCCGAAAAGACCAAAAGCATAACAATGCTACAGCGAAGTCCGACATACATCGTGCCACAACCCAAAAAGCGACAGGAGGGCTTCATTGTAAGATTCATCGAATTTTTCCTATCCACAGGCCTGAAGTCGATGTTCAGGAGGACACGCTCCATTATCGCGTCTACGATGTTCTATAACTACTGCCTCAAGTCTCCCGCCAAGGTGAAGGCCCTCTGGCAAAACGCTATCACCAAACTACTACCAGCTCATATCGGCGTGAACCCACACTTCAACCCCAAGTACGGCCCTTGGACCCAGCGGGTCTGCGCCAGCCCTGGTGGGGACTTCTACGCTGCGCTGCGGTCAGGCAAAGCCAACATTATCACAGACACAATCAAGACCGTTACCGCGACCGAGATCCAGCTGGTCTCTGGGCAATCGATGAAGCCGGACATAATCATCGCGGCGACAGGACTGAAGCTGCAGTTCGCGGGCGGCATGAAGCTATCCGTCGACGGCGTCGAGATCGATGCAGCTCAGAAGTATACTTGGAAAGGGTCCATGATCCAGGACGTACCGAATCTAATGTTCGTCATCGGCTACGTGAACGCTTCGTGGACTATGGGCGCCGAGGTCGTGGCCCAGCACCTGGTTCGCGTCCTCGGCGAGATGAAGCGCCGTAGAGCGGAGGTCGCTGTACCTCGGCTCACGAGTACGGAGCCTATGCCCGAGAATGATGTGTTCCGTCTCTCATCTACCTATATGCAGACCGCGAATCGGATTTTCCCGAAGGCTGGGAGTGGCATTTGGGATCATAAGAGGAGTTATATCTGGGATATGCTCGATGCCCAGTTTGGGAGCGTAACGAAGGGATTGAGTATAGAATAAGGGCATTTGAGTGATTGGATTGGAGGGAGAATCGGAATTTCAAGGTAATGTTTTGGGAATTAATAGTAGTGACATTCGATTGCTTGGGAATATAATAATGATAATTAATAGTTCTTTTCACTAGGAGTAAGAATAAAAAGGGGGGAGAGTACGTACCTCAGGGGAAACTTTAGGTACCTAGTCGAAAGCGTTCAATGTTTATCTGTGGCGGTGGCTTTTCCACAAAAGCCGAGCCCGGAACGCGCCCCGAGAAAGTAAGATAGTATTCTTCTACATCGCCAACATATATCGGATTACTCGGTTCTTTCACAAAGTCTATAATCGGCACTGAATTTAAACGCGATGCGGATACCATATTGGTAACGCTAAGATATTGTGGATTAGAGTTGAACGGCGAATGCGGCACGGATATAACAGAACCCAATAGCGAGCAAATATGGAGTCGTAGAGCAAGGGAATCGACCAGGTTTCGAAACAGATGTTGGGTTTAGTCCACATTGTGTGCGTATTCTTCCTTATGTCAGCAACTTCGTCGGTCTCTTCGCGATTATCTACCTACTTGAGGTATCCGAGTCTATCGCCTATACTCTCTCGTCTCGTGCTTTCAGGAACCGGCTTCGGATGTCCGGTAAGAGGCGCCTGCAAGTCTCACTCTACAGCTATAAGTAGACACATTTGTGTCGTTCCATATTGCACGCTACGGTTACTATTTAAGTTATCCTTCGACCTGTTACCAATAACGGCCTCCTAGGACACTTCTCAAAGTACTGCTTAACATACCTCGGATCTTTTTTTATAACCCCACGACAGATAATAATGTCTCAGACACTACTCATTAAAGATATTCGTATCTTCGATGGTGAAAATGAGATCCCATCCGGTAGCGTGCTGGTGGAGAATGGCTTGGTCAAACAAGTATCAAGGGGATCATTGAATGCGCCTGACGCATCAACCGTCGTTATCTCGAAGCCCGGACATACGCTAATTCCTGGAATTATCGATGGGCACATCCACGCCCATATCGACGAACAGAACACAGTCCTAGGCCAGGCGTTGAAATTCGGCGTCACTACCGTCTGTGATATGCATCAGGAAGTCGAGAATCTTGCCGAATTGAGATCTCGCGCTCTCAACGATCCTAACTCCGCTGATTTCAAAACCGCGAGCCAAAGCGCTACCGTGTCTGGAGGATGGCCTACAGCTATTATTACAGCTCACGACAAATCTGAAGAGGTCCGTAGCTATCCGAGACATGATGTATATTTTTTGCCAAGACTTACACGACATATTTAGACGCTAGCTAGGGTTGCGACATGGCCGGATCTGAAGAATAGGGCTGATGTCGAAGCTTTTATTCGAGATCGTGTCGAAGATAAGGCTGATTACATCAAGCTGATGCATGAGGATGGTAACGGCTTGTCTGTGAAGCCGAACCTGCCGTCGTTGGAACTGCAGAAAGACATCATCGATGTTGCTCACCAGAACGGCTTACTTACTGTCGCCCATGCTACGAGTCTTCAGGGGACTTTGCAAATCTTGCGTCTCGGTATCGATGGACTAACGCACACTTTCTGCGACCAGCCACCTACTCAGGAGGTTATAGATGCGTATCTAGCTAACAACGCGTATGTTTTCTCCTCACGATTCTGTGGTTCTTCGATTAGGGATTCGGGAATTAATGTTCGATTATAGGCATTGTAACCCGACTTTAGTAGCGATCGCAAGTCTAACAACTGAAGGTCAGCGAGAGCAAGAAAGATATTCCAATGATCCTCGAGCCTCAAAATTCTTGAACTCGCAGGGCAAGCAAAATCTTTGCAAATGCATGGCGCTTGCGAATGACGAGTCTAAGGTAGAATATGCCTACCAAACCGTCCGAAAACTGAAAGCGGCAGGAATTGATATCATTATGTAAGTTTTAGCCGACGTTAAGGCCCTACCCGACTCCCTGTTCCCTGCTAACGCCATCTTCCCAGGGGCTCCGACTCTGCTGGACCGGCACTGGGAACTGCCTTTGGGCTTTCTGCCCACCAGGAACTAGCTACCCTTGTTGCTAAGTGTGATTTTACCCCCAAAGAGGCATTGATAGCAGGTACTTCGTTGGTTGCCAAGAGGTTGCGTTTGAAGGATAGGGGGAGGATCGCGGAAGGGTTGAGGGCGGATTTGGTTTTGATAGAGGGGAATCCTCTAGAGGACATCGATCGTACGCTCGACATTCGGGGTGTTTGGAAGCAAGGTACACTTTGCTCTACGTACAGTGGACTTGCAGCATAGGCGCCTACCTACCTAGATCGGTAGCGAAACGACCAGTTCTAGTTGAATCGAGGATGGGCAAACATTGTTGGCTCTCTTAAAAATGGGAGTCACCGTTAGAATTGTCTACCTAATTACCCACCTACCCATCTACTCACCTAGGTACCTATTGGCAGGTAGGTAGGTAATTAGGGAAATTCATCGGCGCTCTCATAACGATTGACTTGATCTTATGCTACCTACCTAGGTAGACAGGGTGAATATTCGGGGCCCCAATGATCTTCTAAAGATGGCGAGGCGATACAAGCCGACAAAGGAATGATCGTTGATGTGAACAATCGTGCTTTGATAGGTAGTGAACCTAGCGTGCCTTTAAATGAACCGAAACTGGTTCTTGAGGCTCAGTTTTTCTGTCCTAGGTTATAGTGACTGCATCTACTCTCCGAATACCATCATTGCTGATCATCTCTAAGGCTATACCACTCTCTTCCCTGGCGTACACCATTATTAAGTTGGTATTAATAACTTTATGGTTCCCTGTAAAGCCATCCCAAGCTGCCTACGGCCCCTGAGAGTTAGTCTTATTGCACATTGCATCACCAAAAGTTGCCCTTTCTAGCCCCTTATCTTCTACACCATCTCTTGCCGCTTTACTCAGTCGCTACTCATGGGAGGCTCAGCCCTTGCTCACAATAACTTAGGGGAGATATCAAAAATGTATTAGCCAAGTGAAATCTTTTCCCAAATTAAAGGAAATTAAATTGAAACGCATAACGGATGTGATAAGCGGTAAATAAAGTATGACATATCAGAAAATACTAGAATCAGAGGGCTTGAAGGTGATTAACTTGACGCCGCACGAACCATCCTGCCATCTTTTATAGTACGCCAAGAGGTGGCTGTGAGGTACAAAACAAAGGTCTCAGGGGTACCTAGGTACCTATATAGTATGCCGTGTGCTGTAAACCACTACAATTGTAGGGGACTTTAGCGCTTACGCTCTCTATTTTATAGCGGTCATCTTCCGAAATTTGTCCGTGATCCTAGCCCTGGAGGTATTCTTGGAACTGATAAACTTATCGCCGCGATTAGGAGGTACCTACCTATTATTTCATGAAAACAACAACACTTTCTAACGCGCTTCATGCCACATTACTAATGCCTCTTCTGCGCACTCTAACTCTACCATCGTGGAATGGCAGCTTCAACCACATCAGATCAATGAGCTTAGGCCTCTTTTTAACGTGCTCCGAATGGTATGTTCGACTTGGAGTACTGCACACACATGGGTTATTAGTTTTAACCAGTTACTACACACGCCATGTCTATAGATGAGATCTACTCTAGCGCATTCTTCGGAAATGCATTTCTTACTATCGAATAGCGATCGAATCGTAGCCCTAACCCAAGCTAGCTGTTCGTTTCAAAGACCTACAACAGCCAAACTGGTTAGGATCTCAGGCCCGTGTTCGAGATCGGACTTATTTTTTCTATGAAGATAAACGAAATAGGAGATGCACGACGCGACCGCTACCGTATGTTCTAGTCCAAGGGCAAATGCCATTCTGGGCGGGCGGGCAGGCACTGTTTCCCAGTCCCAAAGAAGAATCCAGCAGTAAGATCTAAGTCTGGCCCCTTGCATGACGAGAGCTGTAATTCCAGTGTCATATCAGGTAGGCTGAGCTTCACAGCCTTGAGTGCTTGAGGTTACATGGGTGGTTAGGTACCTTGGTGGGTGCGAGATAAAATGCCCATGCAGGGTGGCTTTTCTTGGCGACCGATCGGTAAATGAGTCCCTGGGTACCTAAGTATTCCACATCCGCATAACACACCCATCCATCACAGATACCTAGGTAGGTAGGCAATGCCGATCAATTCTTGATTCTAAGCTACCTAGGTACATGATGGGTTCCAGTCGTTACACGGAACAAATTACTGCGTCCGCAAAAAAGCATTTACGACTTGGAGCTGATGCTGGAATTGTTTACCACGATTGGTTGCATCCGACAATCAAGGTGCATGAGATGGCGCCTGCAACAGCGGGCCATAAGGCCGAATCCGCCAACTCACCAGTCCTACTCGCCTGTGGGAAGCACCAGAAAGAAATAATAAAGAACAGTCATAATGATTCAGCGTGAGGACTACATGAGCAAAGAGGTGAAAGTGGATGCCGTCCGTCTCAGGATAGACCAACACTGTTGAACAGTTCCCGCAGCACTTTGGACGCGTCCTCGCCATGCAAGCTTCCAGCTAGATCGTATGGACCGAAGTCAGACGAGGTGGCCTGCAGTTCGTCTTCCTCAGCGCCCAGCGGCTTCCAGGGCACCACGATGGGATTCTGAGGACTCGGATCGTCTAGATATAGGTTCGAGCCTGCCTCGTTGCCGTTGATAAACACGCGGCGGCTCATGTAAATTTCCATGAGATAAGGTAACCGCTCAATTTCGGGATGGTTCCGTATCTTCTTCAGCAGCTTCTGCGAGCGAGAGTAGATCTGCCGCTCCGCACTATCATCTATACCAATGACGAGCCGGCCAATGTTCGCCTCGGAATTAGGTCTGGAGTCGACAGGAACGATGTTCCCTTCCAGCGATGGTCGGATAACCTCGTAGACGTAGAAGAGATTGGAGAGACTGCGAAAATCCACGGCCCGCTCCTTCGGTGGTAGCATGTCCCAGAACTCGTTCCACGTATCATCCTCCTCTCCCAGGAGCTTCAAGATCTCATCGAAGGAGGGCATCTCGGATCTTTCTAGGGCCTCGAGGATGTAATCCGCTGCCGGGATGCCCCTCCTCGATGCTTCGATGTTCATTTGGGACGCCCCCACGCCCCTTCGAGCCAATTGGTGGAGGAGGTAACCCTGGAATACCTCGGCCATCTGTCTGTGTCGTTCGATCACGAACCGCATCCACTGGAGAGCATCCGGGAAAGTGCACGTTTGATCTTGGAGTTTCGACTGAACAGAGTGGAAATAATGAAAATTTGGTACATCTAGCCCGACCCGAAGAGTGACCTCGCCGGCGTTGGAAGTTTGTCCTCTGGCTCGCATCGTCGTGTCGAGTATTGTAGCACACAAATCGGCAATCACGGGGCAAGTGCGGGCAATGTATTCGGCCTCGTAAAACGTGGGTGTAGCGCAGATGAGGCGGGATACGTCGACGCGGCCGTTCGAGTCCAGGCTCGAACGGACCATGTCCATAGAGAACAAGCACATGCCTGATTGCAGACACACGCGGTCATACATCGACTTGCCGTTCTTGACGAGTCTGTCTTGCAGGGACTGAGATCCTACGGAGAAATGCAGATACTGGGATGACACAGAATCTTTAGACCGGAACTGCGTTTTCTGAAAGCTGGTTACCCCCTCGCTCTCTTTGACATGCCCTTCATACGGCGGTCCGCAAATCAGAGCCGTCTCCGTGATCTTCATCCATATCGAGTCCGCGTGTTCTTTGCTGTTGAAGTGCTTCGCAGCTTGGGATGCCATCTTATGACCCTTGATGGATGCCTTGATATATCTCTTTCGGTTCAGACATAGGGTCTGTGCTAGATCTTCTGCTGAAGCCAGTCCATGGCGTATGCGGACACCGGCGAGCTTTGAGGAGATTTCCTGGGAGTGACGCTCAAAATCAAGAAAAGACAGATACGCAGGAGCTTGGGATTTCTTCCGGAGATCGGCGAGCAACATTGCGGACGCTGGATGATACGAAGATGAACTATCAAGTACGTATAAGGAGGAACACGGTAGCACATATAATGGAGGACAAAGGGTCTGACTAGCCTCTGGCTGTAGAGACCACGAATACGAAATTGTCGAGTCCCTGAGACAGGATCTAGAGTCATATATGTATAGAGAACTCACTACCTACGTCCTATACGCTTTGGGAGGTCATTTCAGTAGCTGCCGCTATTGGCGTGACGACGTGAAACAGACAAAAACAAACTCAGCCATAACAACGAGAGCAATGGCAGAGCTAATTAGATAGATGGTGATTACTTTGTTGGTACCGGTATATTCCAAGAAGGAAGCTTTGGTGGCGCCTCATTCCGTCATGCGAAACAAACAAACACACAAAAGCGGGCGATGGCATGATATGTGGGAATGGTTGTTGAGAGAAGTCTTGAAATTGCTCATGCAAATGATCCGTCTCGTAATGGGGTGGGTATAGCTATCTGCCTGTCGCTCTTGTGTATCTCACTTTCACGATGTCGATAAGAAATGAAGAGAAAGAACGAGCTATTATAAAGATGGAATGGACATGAAATCTACTAGTAGGTCATTCCCACTCTCCATCAATCTCCTTCACAATACCAGCATCAGGATCAGACAATTCAAGCCTTCGCCCTCATTCGACTATCAGCATGTCGTCTCTTCGATTATTTCGAGGTGGTTTGCGTTCGACTCTAGGTATACCGGCCCCGCTTACTTTCATAAACTGAGCTGACTACCTGTGATACGATAAAGGTCAAACTCTGCGACGCTCTCTGAGCAGCCTGCCTAGCGTTCGCTGCAACGCTATCGCAGACGCCCAGCGTTCTCAACATGTACAGCGAATTGACAGCTTGCTAAAGGAAGGGGGGATCTTGAAGATCAGCCTTGGGTTTGAGGACGATGATAGTGTGTATCTGAAGAACCTCCTCCTGAGCCTGCACAGAGACCACGGCCATGGGCTCCCCATCACCCACAGCGCCTCGCGCGGCTGGTTTTGGGACGTCCGCCCGCTGGAGGGGGCTGGGGATGGCACGAGTGACTCGGTCGTTACTACTGCCCGCTCTGAGACAATGAACAACTTCCCCTGGCACACGGATTGCAGCTACGAGATATCGCCACCCCGCTACTTTGGGCTGCAGGTGTTACGTGCCGACCAGTGCGGTGGGGGCACGCTCTCGGTCCTGGATGCAAATTTGCTACTATCCGTCTTGTCCCCAGCAATAGTGGAATCGTTATGCAGGCACGAGTTCCGGATTACCGTTCCACCTGAGTTCATCAAATACGAAAACCAAAGCGAAATCACCGGCAGCGTGCTGCGTGTGGACGAGGCCGGGGCCAAGGTGCAGTTGAGATTCCGTCAAGACATCATGCACGCCTCCACGGCGAGAGGGGAGGCCGCGCTTAAGGAGCTTCAGAAGGCCTTGTCTAGCTCGAGAATCAGAAGTCAAGTTTTGGATCTAACACCCGATACCTTACCGCGAGGCTCCATTGTCTTGATAGACAACAGACGTTGGCTCCATGCTCGGAACCATGTACGGGACCCGAATCGTCACCTTCGGCGTGTACGGTGGGATGCGCAACCCTTTAACGCCATGTAGCTATATTCACGTTTCCTTTCTATCTCACTACTGAAGAAAAAAAGGGGGTCTTCACAAAAAAAAAGACGTGGACCAGGGAACTTCATCTCTCTTTACAGAATTAATGGCTTCAATTGAATGGGAGTGAGTTGTTGCTGAGGAATCAGGCCGCAGGCATGCCAAATACGTATGCTCCTCCCCGGTGAAGCACGTATTCGTTCATTATGTCTAGGGAATAACACGGAAGCGGTGTGTGTAATAGCACTGGCTTGTGACGCCTCGCTGTGACTGCGCTTTCATTAGGAAATTGGGCAGCGATTAGAGCTATACTTCTTTGGGTATAAGAGATCCTATATATCAAAAGTATCTCCATAACAACTACACCAATTCTTCAAAGGAGTAAAGATGTTCAAAATGATAAGGATTATACCAAATTTCAGTATATCGGCTAACCCTCGGAGATGGACTAGTTGCTGCCCGTTTCCCTACCTATCTACTATGTAACCTACTATGTAATTAAGGCGCAGTGCCGAAAGCACAAGGAGGCGTCACAGCCGTTACAGGTAACGCTCGTTTTGTGGCTTGTAACACCGTCACCGCAGTAGCTGCTATGCCGTACCGGCTCCATCCTACGCTGTGTCGTCCTTATAACCGCTGACTCCGCGTCTTTGATGCCTGTGATACCTTCAAGGCCTGAGTGCCGCTATATAGGCCGCGGTAATGTGACGGGTGACGACGTGAGCCGTACCGACGACAAGCGTCGTTTGTGGTAGCGAGTTACTACAACCAACGCAAGTTAAATTAAATCTTTTGAATAAATCACAGAGAACTACACTGCAGGTCTCGAATATCTAGGTATATGCCTGTAGTCTTACTAGCAGGCGCGTTTAATTTTGCGTTGCTTAGCCACCTATGGGATTGCCGTCGTTACACACTGTGGTAACTCATCATTATCACCATGGTCATCATGGGGGACATATTCGCGATGAGCCAATTTCTCGCCGCTGCTTTAAGTAAGTATCAACATTAACCCAACCAGATGCAGTTACTTGCTGCCGAGTCTACCGAAACGTAACCATCGCATCGCACTAGACTTCGTTTTACAACATAGTGGAGTAGTGTTTTCCTCATCATAGTGACGAGATGGCGAACGAGCATTGAAATTTTCTATTTCCCCTCCCATTACAGAGTGTGGGCCATGAATCAAACATAAGCGGCCGTGTCTAAGTTTCCTAATAGGCAGTGACCTGAGTTTTCTCACGGGTTTAGGAATCGTCATCACGCAGCCCTGGGCCCTCTTCGTGAGTTCTCTCTCATTGTAAACCCTCTTGAAGGGACAAGGCACAGCCATGGAAGGGTATAGCCAGTCTTCTCGACTCGTCAATACAAGTCGAATCGGCCTCCATGAGATATGGGGTGAATTTACCCAAGAGATGCACACATGGCATCTATCAATACCACAGATCTTGCTTGCCATCGCTTTGGTGTTCGTCACCCATCGAACTACGATTGTTTTTTATCGTCTCTACTTTCATCCGCTGAGCCGTTTCCCGGGACCCAAACTGGCTGCCTGCACTACCTTATACCGAGCTTACTACCAGATGGTCTGTGATGGAGAACACGTTGCTCACGATACGAAACTGCATGAAAGCTACGGTATAACTACCTCGGTTTTTTCTTTACTTGCTGATCTCAAGCTGACCTCGAATAGGCCCCGTCGTTAGAATTGCCCCACACACTGTATGCTGACCGAAAGAATCGCGAAGTTGTAATTGCGATGAGCAGGGTCGACTGACATCTTCTAGCTTCATTTCCGTAATCCGAAGGCATTCCAGGATATGTTCAAGTTCACGTCGAAATTGATCAAAGCCAATGATTTCTACGACCACCTTGGCCAATCTGATGCCTTATTCGGTCTCGTAGACGAGGCTGTTCATAAGGAACGCTTCAAGCTGGTGGCTGACCTCTTCTCGCGGAAAAAGGCATTGGAATTTGAAGGACTTATCGTCAACAATGTAAGTCGCGGCTGCTGTAAAGGACATGACGAGGATGTATATTTTGGAGCTTATACGTACTTCTAGGCAAATCGGCTATGTGAGTTGTTGCTCAAGAGAATTGCTAGCGACGACAAGCCTGTAAACATTGCTCGAGCATATCGCGCTGTGGCCCTGGATGTCGTTCAGGACTTTGTCTTCGATTTTGTGCCCTCTCATCTTCGCGGCATGCAAGACGAGTCGTTCGACACCCTTTTCGTCGACACAACGTGGGACGTTATGGACTGGACGGCCTGGTGCTTTCGCAACTTTCCCCTGGCCCTGACATTCTCCAACCAGCTGCCACAGCCTCTTCGACGAATTCTATTCCCGGGAGAGGCTGCTAATATTGAGTCATTCGATGTAAAGCGGATACCACCACTCCAACTTGCAATCGCTAGTAGCTAACGATCATCTAGACAATCTATAAGCTCGTCCAAGCCAACGTGGCAGTTGGCCCTAATTGGAAGCGAGATAGTCTTCTCAGTCGTATGGCTGGTAAAGTCACGATGCGTCAGCTCACCGCGGAGTGTATGGGAACTATGTTTGGTGGTGTCATAAACATTGCCAATATGCTACCATACGGGGCTTTCCGTGTCAGTCAGAACCCTACTCTACAGGAGGAGGTTTTCCGCGAGCTGGAATCGATTTGGTTGGATCCCAATGACCCGATCCCTAGTTACAATCAGCTGTCTCAGCTTCCTCTCTTGGTTGGTTATTGTACCTAATCCATGACTTACGGACATATCCGTGGCTTACAATATCGTAGAAAGGTGTAGTGAAGGAGACTCTACGCCTAATGCACGGCATCATCGTCGGACCTCCAAGACTCACCCCAGCCGAAGGAGCAGAGATTGATGGATACTTTGTTCCCCCAAATGTAAGTTTTGCCACCGCGTGGACTGCTTTTCTAATGTTGACTTTGCAGGTGGTTGTGACAACCTCTTCGCTCTATTGTCATACCAATCCCGACGTCTTCTCCGAGCCCGAGAAGTTTGATCCGCACCGCTGGGACGGCAACTCGTCCGAAATGGACAAATGGTTGGTGCCCTTCTCCAAAGGCAAGAGAATGTGCCCTGGGAAAGAGTATGTACTTCATTTCCCCGTTCTTCTTTTCAGGTTGTTTTCCGTCGCGGACTCCGCTGGTCTGTATTCTAACGTAGACTAGGATCTCGATCATGGAGCTCTTTATTATTCTCGCCCTCACTTTTCGTAAATTCAAGCTCGAGCCGGTGGAGACTACGTTAGTATGATATGTTCACCATCATAGTACCATGCTAATTCAACTTAACTCAGTCTCGAAGATTTCGATTGGAAGGTCTATGTATCTCTGCATTTTAAGGGTCGTTTTTTCCACGCCAATATGATCCCTCGTCCTGGTGTTGTTGTCGCAGCTTGAAATCTTATAACTAGCGTCATGTTGGCTTTTTCACTCACGGAAACTGGTTTCGATACAAGTTTGATAAGCAAAGTAGAAAGTCTCTAGATTGGAATTGAAGGAGTTAATCTCAGTAAATGCATTGATAGTTATCTCTCCCTCAGTGTCATGTTCGTAGCAGACTCGTAAACACGCCTCGGTGTTTGTGTTAACGCCCCTTACCTACCTACTAGGTACCTAGGTACCTAGGTACCATTTACTTCCGCGATGGTGTAGGTACCGGTTCCTTCTACAGTTCACTCCAAATGACATTTTGTCCATTCAGCAGATGGGTCGCGTCATTGACTTTTTGGATGATGATGTCTCTCCATCTCTTGCTCTGGTCAGCGACAGGATCAATCACGTACAGACGGCTTCTCACCTCGGCATTGGTCCAATTTGCTGCCGTCAAACTTTGGCGCAGCCCAGGCATCGGCGGAGCCTCGTTATGCCACGCCGATGGACCATACATCACATGGTGAAGCGAAGGGTTATCGTCCAAACCGGGCCCGTAGAAGAACTGTCGCTCAAAAGCTGCGTAGATATTGTTCACCTGACGTATTTCAGCATCCCGACGGCTGGTCGACCAGATCTCCCACCAGGGCTTCGTAGACACCCTTAACGAGTCCGCGTGGGTGTCAAAAACACTGGCGGCCCCTGCAAGCCGTTGTATTGCACCGTGAAGGGCGGAAAGGTCAATCATCGACGGCCACATCTGGTCGATCTCCATCGCCCAGTCCCGTATAGCTACTGCGTAGTTCACGATGCTCATATCCAGCACTTGCGATTGCGCGAGACGAGCAGTCATAAGAGACCATATCTGGGCGCTGGTGACGTGATAATGCCATCCGGGATCACCAACCCGATCCATCCAATCGTAAGTGTCGAAACCGGTATGGTACGGAAAGACGCCGTGCCGTGTGCCCAAGCCAGGCACGAATCCGAAATCGACAGTAGCAACACAAGGGAGACCCTGAAACCGAATGGCATCACCACCGCCTGCCGTGCCAATCTCCCCTCCCCAAACATCACGAACGGACTGGTTGGCTACGGTTTGATTCGGTGATGTCACAAGGTCTGTTGCGTAGTACAACATCCTGTGTAGAAGTGGGCTACCTTTGGCGCGGAATACCATGCCAGAAGCAGCAACTACCACATTCAGATACGCAACGGCGGAGGCCTGAAGCCATTCCAAGTTTTCACGAATCCAAGGCAGGGAACCAATCTGACCAAATTCCTCGCCTTCCCAACTGGCAAAGACAATGGTTCGGTGCGGCCGCCAACCGCTCTTCAGCGCAACACCAAAGCTTCGTACGACTTCGTTCAACGCGGCAGATCCGCTGTTAGGATCTCCAGCACCTGGTCCCCAAGCATCACGGTGATTGCCGATTATAACCACCTCGCCGTCGGCACTTGTCCCGTGAATCGTAGCTATCACGTTACGGACAGAGACGTTGTGAAGGGTCGCTTGGTTGACGAGATGAATGGAGACGCCGGGAGGGGACGGCCCAACGTTATAATCCACGCCGTAGAAGTCGAGCGCGCCACCATGCCAACGATCACTCAAGTCGGCAGCCAGAGGCCCATGCGTGTTCAGCGCCCTCAAAAGGTGAATGGAATCACTTGTTGATACAGGCATGGAAGGAATTTTGGCGAGCCAACCGCCGTAAAAGTCCTCTAAGCATCGTCAACGTGGGTGCCTAGGAATGGAACAGTGCACAATCGGTAGGGAGGGCGAGGTATATGGGGAGGAGACGGCGCTTACCGAGATTACCCAACGTCCCCCTTTCAATTCCCGTAAGCGGTCTTGCCGGCCCGTCTGGGAAGGGCTTGAAACCGTTTGCCTCGGTGACCGGACCATCGTTTTGGAGATCAACGTACAGCACGATGCCCACTGCGCCCCGTGCTTCTGCGTTGGCGACCTGGATGCCGCGGAAGATTTCCAGGTGGCGCGAGTGCAGGTAAGGTGACGCGTTGGTCGACTTGACAATAGCGATCCTGCCGGCAAGGCTGATGTTAAGGCGCTTGAGGTCATCGTAGTCTTGAGTGCTGCCGAAGTTGCAGAATACGTACGGCGCCGAGATGTTGGCGTTCGCCGAGAAGCCGTAGTACGCAGGCACAAAGCCAGTACTTGCGAAAAAGCTGTCCGTCGCGCTATCATCCACCAGCGGGGCTTCATAGAGGACTCGATCACCACGGAGGAGCGCTAGACGCTGCCGGCCCGTCGGCATCGGCACCTGGGTGTCGTAAGTGGCTATGCGTACATCGGCAATGCCAAAATCTTTCCATCTGGCCTCAGTCCATTCCGCATGGCGGAGGCCCTGCCCGGGAAGATGAGAGCCCGTCGTGGTGTAGTAGGAACTCCAATTGCGCACGTGCTCGCTTGAGGGAACGGAAAGGAGGATCTGCTGCAGCTCGGAAAGAGATAGTTCGCTTTCGGCCCAATGCTGGTTGAAAAGCCAAATCAGGGTGATGATGATTATGAACCACAAGCCCGTCTTATAGTCTATCCGTCGAGGCGGCGAGTGGGAAGACGTCTCAAGCTTCATGATAGAGCCGACGGGACGTCACAGACTAGAATCGACGATGTACCTACCTTAGTTTACAAAACTGAGCAACGCTTTCTTATAACTTGCTTACAGATGTTTATCACATCGAATTTTGATAATACTGCTTTGCGTCATTATTACTAGTTCTTGAAATGAAATTGATCATGAAATTGATCAGAGTTCTGGAAATGTCGAAAATAAGCCAGTATATCACAGCATCCCGCTGGTAACATATCACGACATCCGAGGCTCGCTGGGGTGGCATAAACAACATTCGTACACATCTATACGTGCGTAAGCTGGTGTACAAGGCATCGACCGGTCCTTTTATCGGGGTGAGAATAGAATTTAAGGGGGTCCGGGATAGACCGCGGTGGATCGCGCCCCGTCACTAGCGTGCGCGTCAGGTCCAATATCTGCTGTGACTATGCCAACCTGGGAACACGTTTGATGCTCGTTCCCGGATCCGCGCTCCAGTTCAAGCTACTCGAATCTCCAAAGCATCATAAAAATTTGCCTATTAGCCAGAGGTCAGAGTAGCTCTCATTTAGTTGTTGGAGAATCATGATATTTAGAGACTCGCGGTCTTTAATCGTTATTTGTCCTTTCACTGACGTCATCGAATGAAAATGACAGCTCCCGTCGAAGTTCGAAGTTTGTACCTCGTCCACCAGTTAATATAATACTTACGGGTAGCCGTATGCAGGCGTAGATGTGTAGATTGAAGTTGAAGAAATACGTACCTTTCGGATCCGAAGAGCTCCAAGGAGGCGCGGACCGCGGGGCTAGACCTGACTTGCACCTACCCCTAACCATTCATGTCGACTGAGGGGTCGGTACATACTAGGTATTAATGCACACGGGTAGAACGTAGGCAAGTAGGTACATAATATGTATCTACACACCTTAGGCTGTCAGGTTACACAAACATATATTAATACATGGATGTACCTAGATACCTCCCTCCGTACCAGGTCAGTACCTCATACATGCAAGGGGCCGTCCTGTACGACATCCAAACGTTCTTGGCTTTAACCTAGGGTCGACAACTTACAGGCAAGATCAGCGTCTATTTCTTTATCAACCTTTACTTTAATACCTCCCTAGGTACCTACTTCATATCTACCTACCTCCATATATCCACCAAAGGCCACCTAGAATGGATCCATCGTGGGCTATTGATGCACTGAAGGATGCCATTCCAGATGGCCAATTCTTCTTTCGGGGTACGGCTGAGTACCGAGACAGGAACTCTTCATATCTCTCTCAGCTAGAAAGCGACCTCAAGCCAGCCTGTATCTTTCAGCCCCGCCCCCTACAAAATGTGGTGGCGTTCGTGCGGACTATTCAACCATTTGCCTACAAGGGGGAGGCTCAGTTTGCTGTCCGCGGGGGCGGCCAAAAACCTACACCTGGCTGTGCCAACATTCAAGATGGTATTACCGTCGATCTCGCCAACCTAGCCGGGATCGAGATCAAGAAAGATCAGAGCCTGATAGAGATCGGGGCTGGGGCACGCTGGGGTGCCGTCTATGATAAGCTTGATGGTTCTGGAATTGGGGTCGCTGGTGGCAGAGCCAACAATTGCGGCATTGGTGGGCTATCACTCGAAGGTATGCACATGCACGTCTAGGTAGAAGGCCATTTTTACGACGGCAGCTGAGTATTCGTAGGTGGCCTCTCTTTCTTCTCTTCGCGAGAGGGATTCGTATGCGACAATGTCGTCAATTACGAGATTGTGCTAGCTTCGGGGGAAGTTGTTAACGCCAACGCCAAGCAACATCCCGACCTATGGAGAGCGCTACGAGGTGGTGGAAACAATTTTGGGATAGTTACACGCTACGACTTCAAGACATTCCCTCAGGGCTCTATCTGGGGAGGTAATATCTACTACTTTCTCCCAAGTATACCCAGCCAGATTGAGAATCTCGTGAATGAGCTCAATCGATCAAATCCATCCCACGAGACCCATCTCATGGTCAGCATCGGATATGCGGGCGCCCTGAGCCCGGATCCGGTCGGGTTAAATACGGTTTATTTCACACAAGATGTAGAAAATCCGCCAGAACTAACCCCATTCGTATCCGTCCAGCCGCAGATCGAACAGTATAGCTCGGTGCGGATTATGACACTAAAGGAAGCCGCCACAGATCAGGCTGCAGGTGTCTCAATAGGCACACGGTAAGTACAGACATCTTCACCCGTGTCAAAAACTCGTAGCCTGACTCTTACGGTGTAACAGGTGTGCGTATATGAACATCACAGTAAAAAGCAACGCGGCTGCGTTGATAGCCGCCTCGGAGATATACAAGGAAGCTCTGGAACCTGTCAAATCCGTTGAAGGGCTTAGATGCTCTTTTACTCTCCAGCCGTATCCGGCTTCGCTGCTAGAGAAGTCTTTTCAGAACGGAGGTAATTGCTTAGGTCTAGAGGCAACCCTCAAACCTCTCGTGTCGGTCCTGCTTCTTTCCTATTGGCAAAACGTAGGCGATGACGGTAAGATCCTGGAGATGATGGGCAATGCGCTTGAGAAGATCAAGTCGGAGGCAGCTTCGAGAGAGCAGCTGGTACCCTACGTGTATATGAACTACGCCTTTGACAATCAGGACCCCGTAGGGTCTTATGGTGAAGACAGTAAGAGGCTTCTAATGGCGGTGAGCAAAAAGTACGACCCAGAGGGTTTGTTTCAAAAAGGCTGTCCAGGAGGGTTCAAACTACATTACTAGGTATATCGGTTAGGGAGAAGGCCCGTATTTCATCTTCTAAGAGTCAACTAGACATATCGAGTCTGTAGCTAGGTAGGTACCTACCTGTCAATAGGGAAAAGTAAAATTCTTCAAGTAACTATTCGTAGCCTGCCTCTTGAATCCATCAGGAAGGTGATAGCTGCAGGGAGTTAAGCCACCAATTCAGTGACTGGAACCGAAAAGCAACCGTCATGTGTCGTACACGGTACCTGTGAGGGGGAGGGATTCAGGGGGTGGGAGGTACCCCATGAATCTCACCCACGCCCCCGACCCCACCAGATTCACTGACCATAGGTACCTACCTAGGTACCTACCTACCTGAATAACATGCAGTTTCTAGAATGCCTACCTACCTACCTAGATTGAAACTGATGACATATCTTACATAATTCCAATAACTCGAACAGGTGTATAACAACAATAGAGTCGGTTACTTTCCTTCTCCACGATTAACTAATGACCTCCAATTGAGCAGATAGAAAGAATGCGAAACCGCACATTTGACAAGCCCTTGCGTTTTATATGTTTCGTTATCTTCATAGGCCTATCCAAGTCGCATGACTAGAGAGCTTTCACCATAAACGACGGCCAATGGGTCGAGCGTAGATCGCGGCGTCGATCTAGGAGTTGGTGATGCCTTTTCGCGCCTAGGTAGCATACTCTCCAAGTAACCATACCTCCTTCAGGGATACGATCTCCCTGACCTAACTCCAGATGATCTCATCATATCGCTTGGGGCTTTCTTCGAAAAGTATAACTTAACAGCAGTCATCCCTACATACTACCAATTTTCGCAGGAGATGGGCAATCTATTGGATGTCCCGACCATTTACGCAGCCAAGTACTTCAACTTCGGTGACCTCAGAGCCTTAGCCCAAGGGTACCTTATCGCTGCCGATGACGACACGTCAAAGCTTTACAGGAAAGCTGGAGACTACGTGGGACCATCCAACATCTCTCTTCAGTCAACCATCGTTTCCACCAGGAGGCAAAACAAGACGACAGGAAATCTCGAGCTTCAAATCTCGGCCAAAGGAGAGGGACTTCGACTGCTCTCTTGCAAACAAGCCCTTTTAACCATTCCCCCTACCCCCATGAATCTAGGAGGATGGGACTTATCCGCAGAAGAGTACGCAGCTTTCTCGCAGTACGTCAATGCTAACGGGTACTGGACGGGACTAGTTACGGACGTTAGGCTTAGTTTGACAACAACGTATTGGAATGCCGCGACCACTACGCCTTTCCAGATCCCTGTACTCCCGGGAATGTACATTCTAACACCCGTTGGGGTCGTCGACAACGTGTATGAGGTCAAATTCGGATCTAACACCCAGGATATGAGTGACGACCTAGTCCAAGTGTACATACAAGCTCAAATCCGCACTTTGAGGTACGTGGACAACGTCACCAGTGCAAAGGATCCAAGCTTTCTGTCCTTCTCTTCCCACACGCCATTTCAACTTCAAATTACTCCTGAGGCTATTCGGGACGGCTTCTTCCGGAACCTCACCTCGCTACAAGGAGGTTTTGGTGGCAGAATGTTTTACAGCGGTGCGACTTTCCATACACCATATAGCGCGCTACTTTGGAGATTCAATCAGGAGGTTGTCCTGCCTCTGATGATGCAGCAGACGGAGCGGTGCTAGATGTAGCACGATAATGGTACCGCCCTTCTTGCCGACTTGATGATAGCGCAGCTAAGCAAGTCAAATGGACTTAGTAGAACTAAGTACCTATGATCTGTTAGGTGTTACTGAGTTGGGTTACTTGGAGAATAGGTAATGGGTGGGGATAGTGGATAGAGGATACTGTTCCTTCTCCCTTTTTATAATTTTCGGCGGGAAGGAACGGCTCGAAAAGATGCTTCTGAATAATTTCGGCACGGAAAGAACGGCTGTCGGCGAGCGAATTTATTTTTTCGGAAAGAAGGACATGTATTCATTTGTACGTGATAGTGTCGCTGGCAAAGCAGGAATGGCATCAGATGGCCAAAGCATTTGGAAGATGCGCCTTCCAATAACTCTTTCAGGTCCGAAACTTGCAAGAACCACCTATAGACTTGGCTTGATCATATGAATGAGTCAGAGCATCACTGTTTCCGTGAGCCTCCTTAACCGGTGCTACAACGCGTAAGTTAGATCGGATATAACTTTCCTTGCTCATATGACAGGTACAAGCAAACAGAATTACGTCGATTAAGAGATGGTAAAGGAACATGTCTTTCTCTAGTACTCTTAAGTGATCAGAAGCAAGCAGCAAATATCAGGGTTTGATATCATAGACATAAGAGATCTGATGCATTACAACATAAGCTACCTGTTTAAAGCGTGAAATTGCACAATACTGTTTTATTTGGCCATGGCTAAGATCTCGTCTGAAGACGGATAGGATAAAACAGTGAATCAATACGCGCCTAGGCACCTGGGCAGGCAACCAAAGGACATGTAGTACCGGAAACATTATGAGTTAATGTACATAGTTAGATAGTTAATTAGATTTAGAAACTTAACTTTCTGATAGAGATCCTATGTCTCTCGACTCGCCGTAGGATACATTGTGCAAGATAAGGTTTGTTAAGGCGATGAATGATATGAAATGGTACAAGGGAAATTGAGGAAAGTGTTCACCTTGTCAACCTACTTTTACCTACCTAGTCTCCTACTTGCCACTACAGAAGAGCACCAGGGCATACAGGCAAACAAGCAATAACCTTAAGTATCTAAGCATTATTAACGTGTTTCCTGAAAGCAAATAAAATTTGAGTATAATGGAAGTCGCCGGCGTAAAATATCCAGCTAGGCAATAGCGTCAAAGCCACTTGGTATCTACAACAGGGGCTCCCAATTAGAAGAATGGCAGGGGAGAATTTCTATGAGAGGCAGTGACGATTACGCACCTAGGTAGATGATACTAATTAGGTACTTACAGATGCCTGCCTACCTACCTACCTACTTAGTATGTTTGTTGTATACACTCACACGATTTTATGATTAGAATCACCCAAGAATGAGCCGTTTGACCGATAGTTACTACTACTTACATATCAAACCTTAGGCATCAAGTGATGTAGTAAGGAGAATAATCTGCTCAAGCCTCACACTATCTTATATATAAACCCACCTATCCTCCCCCCTCGATCCATTTCTGTTCCCCCTTCACTACAACTCCCACACCCCTGGGACTTGCTTCCTAATAATTGCTCGTTTCTCAAAATATTTCAACTTAGCGTACCTTATGTTTACTGTTTTATCTTTCTTTGGAGTATCCATAGATTACTTCACTTCTACCTCTACTTTCCCGGCACTTGTTCCTACCAATTCTCCCTGGATTATAATCGCCAATAATATATTTACTTCACTACCTTACAGGCCACTATTGGTGGGCTAACGGAAGAACCGTCCTAAGCTGTTTCCCATATAGAATATCAAAGATGATATTTTCCACTGCCGCCGGCCTTGAAGGCTCTCACAACAAGACGAACGTGAAGCCGACGGGATACATCCCGATTCACAAGCGACCTCGCGATCCTCTGACCAACGCACGTGCACGTGCTGAGACCATTTCGCGCGAAGTCTCTACTTCGACGCCATCTCGACTCTCTGCCGAGTCCATCATAAGAGACTCCCAAGAGCTGGCGAAGCAGCCAGTCGTGCAGACTTTAACCCGTCAATTCTACGACGGGGAAGCAGACCAGATAAAACCTTCGGCTACGCCTCTAGACGAGGAAGCAGCCCTAGAAAGCACGCAACATCGCAGCTTGCATTGGACAACCTTGGCCACTCGTCGCCAACAGGCCCCTGAAAAATCTAATACACACTTGGCAGATTGGGCGGCCTTCGAGACTGTTCCTGTCTATAAGAAACAACGAGCGAATGACGAGCCGGAGAGCCCACTGGGCACGGGGTCTATCACCCACTTCGTAGCTCTCGACTCAACGAGTACGCCGTCCACAAGACCGGACGACTGGAGCGGACATACAGTAATGGAGGTTAACCCTCCAATCCAGACGATCCTATCAGTGCCTTCCGCACCGGGCCTCGCCTTGAACAACATAGCGACCATACTCATTGGCGTGCTCATCGGGGCGGTAATCATCGTCTCGGCAGGCTTCATGTGCTGGTTTGGCCGCCTCCTCCGAATCCGCAACAAAGAGAAGGAGAAGAAGGAAGAGCAACGCAAGAATGGAGGTGGTGCCGCTGCCGGAGACCCCGAGGCGGGTCAGGGGTCCTCCACAAACGGCCACCATGGAACCCACACGCAGTTCGCGTCTAGTGGAACCGCCGGCACCCGAGGCTCTCGCGGAGCTCGTGGTGCAGCCGGGGCTACCGGCGCTTCCGCCACCTCTTCCGGTGGGTCAGCTGGAGATGCCTCCATGGGTGGGATGGGGCATTGAGAATGGGAGGTGGAATGGCAAGGGCCCTAGAGATGGCTGAAGTCATCATGGGGTGGCGGTTGGTAGGCCGTCATCATAATGACAAGGACAAGTTTGGTAGCGAGAAGTATGACATACTTGATGAAAAGATAAAGGTCTTCAAGGATTACTGTCGAAAGGCTGGTGTTGACGTCGGCCAATATCACGATGCATACTCGACAATGCTGAAAGGACGAGCTTTACAGTTCTACTTCGACTACCTTGCCGAGAAAGGACTTAGCTTTGAACAAATGGTCATCAAATGCAAAGAATTCTTTCACACAGCTGAGAATCAGCAATTGTACATGACTGAATGGCATGGTACAAACATGCATACAGTCATCGAAGAGAACCCAGGCAAGGATCTACAGACATGCCTGGAAATACTCATTTCCTTCCCCGTCAGACAGATGACTGATGTCAGTCTGTATCTTTCCTTATGTTTGCGATGGCTTAATATTCACGGCACAAAAGGGAGGCAGATCCACGAGATGACCCATGCCCTGGAAGCGCAATAATGTAATACTGTGGGACAAAAAAGCGGGAGACGTTAGGTTGATCCTTTCGGGGAGTTTTAGGGGATTTAGAATGATTTCGTATTACGCTTTCGGGGATAAATATCGGGTAATAGTGAGTGCGAGTACATGCCCTAGCGCTATCTCGGTGCCCGATACCGTGGAGGTATGTACATACCTACGGTATGGAATAGGCACATACTAACAGGTACCTACCTATTTATTCGTGGGCTGAGATTACTCGGAAAGATTTGCCTACCTAGTTACGAACCGACGTACACAAGTAACTTACGCACCATCTTACCTCTTAACTAATTGAAACATGAAATCTTTTGAACTTCACTTTTCTTATGTGACAACCTGTGTTCAAGCTTGCTTGCAGTTTGGCAAGGATTGTGTGATATGCAGAGTAGGTAGGTACTCACAGCACTAACATTATCTCTTGCATACCTACCTAAGTAATATCTCGCGTCGATAAAAAGCTTGGAAGCCCTACCTACCGGAGACCAGCGTGATTATATGCGTAGATCCCATTGAATGAGGCTGCTAGTCGCATATAGTACCTACAGGAGCTAACTACTAGGAGGTGGGTACTGTACATCAGTGATCCATCTGTGCGATTCAGGGGATTTTGAGTGCTATTTATAGTGGAAGCGTCGCTAACTGCCGACATCCCTGCTAAAGATCTCCCCATCCGACCATTTCCTTTTGGAGTTAGTTCTTATCTCCTCTTCTGCGGGAGTAACCTTAATTCTAGCCCCTTTTCTCCAGCAGTTCTAGTGCATAGGTAGGTCTAATCAATTTGGTAATTCAGGAACACAAGTACATATTAAATGCCAGAACAGCGAGGGATTGAGAGCGAGGATTCGTAGATGTTCCCATGCTCTCAGTCTTGGACGATAGGTCAAGGATCGCAATATTCGTCCGAACCCGTAGTGCGGGGTAACGAACCGTTGTCAAAATCCAGTCTAGAAACCACATCGCCGCATGAGGAAATCGGACTGGGTTAGGCTAGTATGTATGGTATATGGATATGTGTGTAGTATCTCTGGTTCTCACAATGTACCTAACTTGCGGAGGATTATACCGAACATGCACCAGCCAAATATTCGACCGGATTTGAGAGGCCTCCACGCACAAATACCGTGTGAGAGGGGAAGTGATGACAAATCCCCCGATTCCCTCAAAACTTCCACTTTCCATGATTTCCGAATAAACCACCTTGCAACTCAGTGGTTGCACCTCTGATCTAACCAAACCGGCCCAGGGGATGTATTTTATGCATAATTTAGACTCTTCGTAGTTACCGCCGTAACTCATCTCCTTCGTTAAGATAAAATTGGCGATACAAGTAGATAAATTACCCCAGGTGAGATAGTATAGTGTTTAGTTTAGCTGCAAGACTCTCTTGACGCGTCCCTTGAGAGTTACTGGAAGAGTCGGTGATGCCCGCAATAGGTGCACTGTAGGATCCGCTCGTATATCTCCTGAGATGATAATTTCTTAGGCTTTCCTTATCGACAGGGTCTTGTGTTGGCGGGTTCCGGGTAAATTGGTGGGTTGGTTTTGGTGGATTTACGCTGGAAGAGATATTTCATTAGGAACCGTGTGAGGTCGCTAAAACTCGGATAAAAAGTAACTAACCCGTTATAAACTGCCTTGTTCGAGTTGCTAGACATTATTCCAAGAGGAAAATGAGGTTTAGGATAATGAGTGATGCATACGCTACAATTCCAGAGAGCTTGGGCATTATTCTTGCATTCTTGTCGAAACACCGAAGTTGTGGGGTAATAACGCAGATTCGTGCCATAGCGGTTGTTTAGATATAAGGGGAATCCCTTCTCACATACCCAGGTGGGAATCCTAATCGAACAAGTTTTCATAGCTGGACCAGATGTGTTTTGAGCCTCAAGTAACCCGTATCCTGCGCTTTCCGTATTCGTTTGCTTCGATGGGTACATTGGAGTTCTTATTACAACACTCAGATACAATATTGGCGAGGCATCCACAGACAACAACGCCACAGATGCATGGTGAAATGCACATTTGATGTTGTTGTGAAACGAAGTACTACACTGGCATGTTAGCTAGACGTTGACATTACTGGAAAACAAATAAAACACCGTACGATGATGAAGGTAGTGGTGATTTGCTGGTTACGTTGAATCAGATCCTTGTCAGCAAGACTCCGACGGCCTAAATGAACTTTTCGGTTCTACCTTGTACCATATTGGAGCAACCTAGGTACATCTCATTCAACGTCTCTCATATCTCAGTTTTTTGAGGGCGTATAACGAATAATTCGATTTTTTCTAACCTAGAAGTGTACGATGATACAGTAAATAATGATAGAAATACACGACCATACCTACCTAACTACCTACCTACCTAGGTAGCTAATCTTGTATCTAAATTCAAGATCATGTGTGAACCGACAATGCCTACCTAGTAGGCATTTCCCCATATTGAAGTACTTGTCGAAAATAGAATAGATGAAAAAGTCAACCTTAGTTATGAGGTATGCACTCGCGCAACCTGTCTCGCTTGGAATGCGCCGTGTGTAATAGGTTCCAGGTAGGCAGGTAGTTCTCAGGTAAGAAGGGGCGATTTCTTCCATGCATATTGTTAACACTCGTTGAGGAAGAATAGGGGTAGGCAGGTACTTATGCCTCAAAACTATTCATATAGCGCCGGTGAAGCGCTATATTTAGGGGTCTTGATGGCGTCACTGCCGGGAAGTACAACGCCGTGCTCCGAGTGAAACATAGCTTTGTAGACACATTCCGACCGAACAATTCATCATCTCAAATCGGAAATTTTGTCGCATTGTACCTCTAGGCTCATCGTGCCGTTATGGACATCACAGCTCCACAGTGGGTTGGTAGAATGGTATTGCTGGTAGTATATTCGAGTCGATGATTGCTAGACCCGTCCGTTGACAGTATCTTCTCAGACGTCGAAATCCACGTTTACGAACCGTCTCGAGAAGTCGCATGTCATTCAGCATGTCGGCCGCTCCAGCTAGGATAAAGTCAGCCGCCACTGAGGCCTCCATCCACAGAGCAAATGAGAGCGCCCTGATTTGAAGACAACTCGTGTGTCGTGCATTAGTCGCTCCATATCAATCGCAACACTGTGATAGTCGTGCATTAGCTGTCGCCCGGTCAGTTAGGGATACCTAACCAACCTCGGCTGCCTTGCTAGTGCGACGCATTATCATAACGCGCAATGGAAACTCGACACCGGGATTATAGGAGTGCTCGGCGTCGTAAACAACTTCCGATATTAGCCGTAAAAGCGGTCTGACATGTGTGTAGCACGAGGTCAACGTAAGTCCGCCTCACTTTCGTTGTCCTTCAACGTGCTAGCCTAGCTTTCAAATCATTCTTTCTTCTGTAGTCTGCCTTGCGCGTATCGAAATAGTCGATGATTCCGGGTAAGAGATGCTGGAAGATTCGATGGCATGGAGCCTCGTGGATGAGTCGCGGATGATGGGTTTGACCGGTTCCGTCGTGATATTTTCCTGTATCTGGTCACGTGAGATGAGTTGTAGTTGATGTTTGGTTGGGGTATATTTGAACCTACCTAGGTAGGTACCTAGAATAACAATGCCTGGTAACATAGGAATAGCCAGCAGATTAAAGATAAGCTCCCTATACTGGTCTCTTTAGAAGAGAGAGAATTAGCAAGAGGTTCCTAACGCAGGATCTTATATGCGTAATGAAGCATCATAAGAATTATCACGGCTTTTATGAATCACGCCTCCGCCGGGCTGAGACAAGGATTGTTGGACAGATCATCGCGATCCTACGCAACGCAAGAACGTGTCAAGGATGGTAGTACAAATAAGCAACTTATGGGTATAACATGCATTTGCCAACTTAGACAAACATCTGTATGAACCCTTTGGATAGGTGATGCCGAGCCTCATATACGAATTCGACCTGCAGCTTGCTTTTGCCCGACATAAGCCATGTGCTTATCCTTGTCCAAGTCCAGCTAAGCCCCATTTAACCCACCTTAACGACCATTCATATATCTTCGGGGACCTCCCTCGGGGACCTCCTTTATAATTTAACTACTTCGTGATGCAAAACACCTAGATACACCTACGTTACCATGCTTCCGCGTCAATTGCGCTGCACATGCAATTGGATCATGATTTGCTACACCGAAACTTTACGTTCCCATTGACAGATTTACCAAAAATAATATACCACCATCGATAGAACGCAATCCACTAACCGGACTAAATCACCCAAATGTCGAGGTTGCTACACGCCTAAAAGCCTCATCACAATTAATGTGTAAACTATTTACTAGGCAAGTATAACTACCTACCGAAATGAACCGTTTACCGAACCGAAGCTTCCTTTTCTACAATTGGTACTTGGCATTACCATTTGCCCTCCCGGTGATTTGTGATTTCAAGCCTTATGTTGAGAAAACCTACGGTTTGTGATCCTGGGCTATTTTCTGAGTCTGTAGTGTAATCCATGAAACTTGATCCCGACAAGTATAATAACAACTAAGGCTAACCGATGGAGGTTGAGTCGGATCGGAGTTCGGCTCATCAGAGATTCAATCTGTTGGAAGAGAGGCCGGTCCTACATGAGCTAGTTAAAATGGTAAAAATGTTACAATAGGTACTGGCAGCACCGGTTTCTGAAACTCCCCGCACAGCAACACAATCACTCGATGTGACTTGACTTGACCTGGCCTAGACCAGGAAGTTGTCCCCCTAAGAACCGCCAATTGATATCTCTTAGTAAATCAATCGAATCCGGGGAGTGCCTTAAGGATAATCACCAGAGAATTCAGAAAGGGAAATGATTCCTAAAGGTCATGAAATAATCTCCAAGTCCACCTTGGCAACGATGTAATAGTGTACTATGGTACCTATTAGCGTTAACACCGAATTCTCCGACAAATTGCCGGGGATACATAATTGCCTAAATGGGAATTCCGATGAAATCTTATTGGATGGCCATTGATTATTAGGTTATGGCTCGATTCCTACTAGCGTCATTTATATTTCAGCTCATATGCATAGAGAATATGAAAAACATGCATGATTCACCTGCATCCATGTATACGTGAAGAATTTTCATATTTGATAATAAAATGAAATAACTCGTTAGCTTGAATAAAGACACTAAATTCTGTTCTTTTAAGAAAATTGAATTGAATCATAAAGTGAATGGGCTTAAACCCTAAGACGTTGAAAAATTAGATGTGATACCAAGGTCTTCAAAAATAACCTAAAGAAGAGGAGCGGTCCGCGTGGTCCTGCATTGCGGAGACCCCGCATAACTTTAATTCTTTAATTACACCATTCCGTGAGACCCTGATTCCCATTATTTTTAATCGTTATTCCAACCTACCCATTGAACTCATCTGTCAAAACAAAATGTGAATAACTTTTGATCATGGGGTGATAATAGATTTCAATTAGCCAATGAATCACTTACTCCGCCAAGTTCACGCCATCGATGTGTTGCCTAGAAAATCTACGGTTCCAATGGTAGATTTAGATCGGGGATCGAAAATGCGGGGTCGACAAAAGGGGTAGACCGATCTTCGATCATTGGTTGTGATATCGAATTCACTTCCAGCGTCACCGACGAGTTTCCTTACTATTCCTATGAAAATCGGTGGTTAAATTTTACACGGAAAATCTAAAAATAGTTCATGAGTAAGTATCTACTAACCTCGCAACCACGGCCCGTCAATGGCCGCGTACAAAACTATGGTTTACCATTATTCCCAGCCTGGTATCCTGTCGAGTCGTGACTGGCAGCCCCGGAGTGAGTAGGTCGAACGTGGGCAGTAGGAACGCTGTTAGGTCCATTGATAAATTTATCCAAACGATAAGCTCGTAGGTTTTGATCATTTGTGGGGTCATGAGTTGGTGGATTTCGGGAGAAGTAATGTTGCGGCTTGGGCGGAGTGGCACTAGACGCCGAATAAATATTGTTGTTAGATAGGAATGTCATCAATTTTAGGTGTTATTCTAGCCATGGAGAAACTTACCCATTGTAGGTTGTAGTGTTTGAGCCTGTCATGATGTAAAAGAATAAATACTACGTAGGTAGGTATGTAATTGGTCAGGGACCTAGTCGCTTCTAAAACGAGGTGGATGTCATGAACGATTGTAAATCAAGTTTGAAACCAGCGCAAAGTACGACAAATAGTCGGAAGTTGCGATCTTTATTTCAGAGCTAGCAAAATTATAGGAAACCTCGTCGGAGATTTCTAGTACGCTGAAACCTATCACGATGAAGCTAGCCTTTCGATGCTGATGGTAGCTATCGCCTAGCTACTACATGCTTATCATTCCCCCATTTCCATAATCCTTGTCTAGCAGTTCCAGCGGTGAATTGGGCAGAAAGGGAATGACAAGTTGCGGCGATGATAGAATGTATCAGAGTTGAACTCGCACGTTATGGGGTATCGATACACGGTGCAATATCGGCCGGTACTGATATCGACGAAGCCTATGGAGCGTAGTACTATAGCGTGAATTAGTAATCCAGTGTCGTATGGAACTGCTTCTATCCACAAGGGACTTGAGGCTCGATTCGATTCGAAGTACCCCGATAGCTAAAGGTACGGGCCAAAATGTAGGACTCCGCTCAAACCTGCGCATCGGCTCATTATTCGACATTCCCCAGAGCATTGCCTCTCATTGGTAGTAGCAATAGGTGATATTGTGCAAGAACCATATTCCTTGAAAGCAGGCAAGAGATAACCACGGTCAAAATCGACTATGCTTCATTGCTGATGTAGACGGATGGAAGGTAGATACATGATGCGTTATCATCGAGCACTGTGTCCAATTTACACGACCTTACACGTCTGTGGTTGAGAAGCGTAGCGCACAGATAGGTAGCCAGTGCTTCACCGAATTTGAAGTCGTCGAGGGGAACTAAACAGGTTAGTATATCCACATACATACCATACATAGCTCAATTGCGACGCTATGTAGCCTTCTCGCATCATTTTTCGCCCCGCCAAAGAGAGGAAGATCACATCTTTCGGTAAATGCTCGATTAAACCAAAGCAATCATACCCAATATTGCAGGGTTGTCCTGTAGGTATCGAAAATCCTTCTAGGCAACAACGGAAGAAATGACACTCAATTGAATGCAGATCTTTAGCAACATCCATCAATCAAGGAAATCATCCTCTTCTTCAAGCGAGGCCGAGGCCGATTGACGTCCGGTGCCAAGACTCATCGGCCATCGTGTATTCCGGGTATCACATATGATTAACTCAGCCGGTTGCTCTAGTCACATGATGATGTGATTCTCGATGGTCAGGTACATTCCAGGTAGGTATTAGTGAGTTCCTCTGTGAAGTATTAGTATCAACTCGCTTGTGTTGTCAGGATTCCACGTAAGGATACGCATCGCCAATGGCAAGAGACGCCTAAATGGAATAGGGGTGTCCAACCTATGAGTTGGCGATGAATGAGTGGGGTAACGTACTATGATTGGACAGGCTCTTAACGCTAAAATAGGATAAGGTAGGCGAAAAGATTTGGATTATGAAAATAATATAGATGAGATGTGGTCGCGACGGGAGCGAAAGTGTCATTGAAAAAAAACTCAGCGATAGGAAATAAGAAAAACTGGCTTCGAAAGTAGGAGGACGAGGATAGTTATCTACTCCATATCGTAGTCGGATGAAGGCTTCCATTGCTCCTGATGTGTGTAATTGTGACAACATGGTATGTGGGTGGACGATTTAGGATGAGAAATTTGGGCTGACGTTTCTGCAAATCCCATGCACCTGGACGATTCAAGCCAGAGCCCCACTTGCCCCAAGTTAATACATTCTACGCGTGTAACCGGATCGACGGCCCGAGTAGTAAAAGCGTGTTAATCAGGTCGCAAGCAACCTTTTAAGGAGTATTGACGAATCAATAGGGCGAAGGGAAGGACAAATCCATGCCACCTACCAGAACAACCTTAATTGTCTGCATGAACAATAAACGAAACAATATACCTAGTGTTTAATAGGTATCTACCTACGCACCCAGATATACACAGTAAGTTGACTTGGTCTTATTCGCGAGGATGCGGAAAATCAAAGAATGGAGATCTTTTAAGATAATACCTAATAACACTCTGTAGAATTATTCAATAGTCCCCAGCTCACCTGCAATCGCCTCAAACAACCAATTCGTGGATCAATTATTGATTATATAAGCACATATCCTGCCCAGTGCTGACTGATTCATTAATAAGCCATTCGTTGAATAATGAATCCCACCGTCCTCGCAACCAGCTGTCCTCTCCTTTGTTCATAAACCGTCATCCCCTACGAAGACGAAGGTTCAGGCCACGTTGTTTACCAGGTAGGTAGGTACCCAGCGTGCGATCGGATAAGCGATCCGTCGATACTGTATTCGGTGATGTTAAGACTTGAACACAATATGATTTTACCACCTATAACTCCACTTTAATATAGCGAGCATCCATTAAGTTTTAGGGGTTGAGCCAATAGAGAAGAACGCCACATGGTGCGAATGTACACACCTTCCATTTTGTCCTTAGTAAGCAAATGTTTGACTCAGACCTGAGTAAGCAATCAATTCCATCAATTAGGTAAGCTAAGTCTCGCAGTTGAGCGGAGTTTAGAACTTTTCATTTTCGGAGATGACGGACACAGGTTCATTGTGTCACCTTCGTTGTGTCACCAACCTCAAATGCAACCAATCATAAACTATCTTAAACTAACCAACATACATTGTTCATCTTTCTCCTGGGTCCGGGCCTAGGTCCAACTTCCATCATGTCTTCATTCTTTTTTCCTTGGGAAATGGGCGGCTTGGTGGAGGTCAGGGAAGTTTTCTTTCGACAACACAAATCATACAAACGCCACGGCGCAGCCACTCAAAAACAATGATCGAACTTTTTCTGTTTGCGATTGTCGCATTACTATTCTCATACCTCTACACGAAACTGAAATATTTGCGCCTCCTGCAGTATGCGCACATCCCGCAGTTGCCGAATCATCTCCTCTGGGGACATCTCAAAACCTTTGGCGAATTCATGCAACGTGGAATACATGACCGCCATCCAGGTATCGTCAATCCGAAAACAACATAACCAACATGGCTCCTCATCATCTAATTAGTAGACAGACAAAATCTTTGAGGAGATGTGGGCTTCTCTGGGCCGTCCTCCTATCATGCTTGTAGACCTTCGACCCATCAATCCTCCCATGGCCCTCATATCCAGTCATGACATCGCCGAACAGATTTCTAAACCTTCAAAGCATTTCCCTCTTAGCACACCTAAATCACCGACATGGACCCACATGATTCCACTCATAGGGTCGACATCGATCTTAGGTAGAGAGGTAAGTATGCATACATACCGACCTAGGTACCGGTGTTATCCCACTTGCTCGTTCTGACTTCTGGAATTTGTAGGGCCTTGATTGGAAAGACCTGCGAAAAAGGTACAACCCAGGATTCACAGCCCAACACCTGTCATGTCACTTGCCTCTCATTATTGAGAAGACGGAACCCTTTTGGACCTACCTGGATCGGTTTTCTGCTTCGGGAGAGGAGTTCTCTCTAGAGACACTTATTTCTAATTTGACCTTTGATGTCATCGGTGCTGCCGTCTTAGAAATGAACCTTAATGCTCAGGTTACGGATAGTTCAAAGCAAAGTGAAGTGATCCGATTATTCAGGGAGCTTGTCCAGACATATAACGATGATAAGAACAACCTCCCATGGTGGATCGACCCACTGACTGCGCTGAAAAGAAAACGCCTAGCCAGGCGAATCGATACCCTTGTAAAAAGAATAATACAGCAGAAGTACATAGAAACAAAAGAAGAAGCAGAAGGGAATAGATCGAAGAGTATTCTCGCGCTCAGTTTCCAAAGCACCGAAGAGCTGACGCCTCAGCTTCTATCGACGACGTCAGACCAGATACGCAGTTTTCTATTCGCAGGCCACGACACCAATACTAGCGCACTCCAGTGGATTTTCTACGAATTGAGCCGTACACCACGCGCGCTCAAAGCTGTTCGAGACGAACTCGATGAGGTTCTGGGACCGGATTCTGATCCTCTGGCGATAAGCGCAATTTTAGCACAGGAGGGCGAGCATCTCCTGCCGTGCATGCAATATATCAATGCTGTGATTAAAGAGACCCTCCGTTTGCATCCACCGGCTAGCACTGTCCGCATGACAGAACCTGGCACCGGTTTTACAGTTCGTGCGTCTACTGGCGAGGAGTATTGCCTCGACGGCGTTATCATGTATTCGTGCCAGAGTATTATCCAGAGAGACTCAGCCGTTTACGGAGACACGGCAGATGACTGGGTGCCTGAACGTTGGCTCGGTGAAGCAGCTAAGGATATTCCCCCAAGTGCGTGGCGGCCATTTGAGCGAGGTCCGAGAAATTGCATCGGCCCGGAGCTTGCGAATCTTGAATCACGCATCATCGTCGCCATCGTGGCTCGCAAGTACGACTTCATCAAGGCCGGCTTAGGTGAGAGTGTCTTGGACGAGAAAGGACTCCCTATGATTAATGAAAAGGGGCAGTATAAAGTCAAGTCGGAATTATACAATGTGAGTTGGAATTGCACTTCCTCCATCATGCATTTCTAGATATCTCGATGACATTTTTCAACTGACATCTATATCGCATCTCTATAGACACGAAGGATGACTTCGAAGCCTGTAGATGGGACGATGATGAGAGTTAAACGAGTTGCTAAGCCGTAGTTGGGTATGCCAGTGCCAAAATTCCTCGCGGGGGAAAGTGGAGTAGTAGGTAATAGTGTCATGATAACTCCTCGTGCCTTCGGCAAGACGCTTTAAGAAGGGAAATGAGCAGCTATTAGGAAAATACTTCCTGTATGTCGAATATCTCTTGTATTTTCATAAAAGAACAAGTCAACGCCTTTAAAAACCGCAGTACCGAAGGCGCAGGGCGGCGTGATAAGCCACTGCTAGTATGCTTTAGAAACGACTATAAGGAATGCATAAGGAATCGCAAAGGTAAAACTTCACTCAGAATAGTACTTTCCAGTATCCACCCATCAAATACATGCTAATGAGTCTTCCATTGAAGATTAACGCACCTATTGTACTAAGTAGGTATTGCTCAACCGGCCTCTCATCGTTTAGCTACAAGTATTTAGGCTTGCTATAATATTTGTTACACCCAGAGCATCAAGTAGTACCGTACCATTTAACAAATCTTCATTTCCAAACATATCTTCATCACACCAATGTGTAGGAGGTAGGTACCAATTAAACAAGTGGATGATATTCTTGAAAATATCCCTTCTCAAAGGTTACAGTAGATGGGCTAACAGAGAAGATACAGAAAGACGACGTGTTCAAAACACAGGTTGAAGACATATCCATATGAACGGCAATCGGAAGCTACTGGGTACGTGACAATATAGTAGCCGCTACGAAGCATTCATCCAGACGACGAGTAAGGATAGGTATGTATCTAAAATGGGTTACTAGTTAGTGGTGTTCCAGAGGGCTAATCAATGTCTACTAGATATCTAGGTAGGTAATAGCTATTCGAAGGGTGAATTGATGATAATCGCTACTCACACGAACCAAATGACTCTCATAAGGCATCGTTTGATTGCTATCACTATCGTGAGTGGCCCTACAAAGTGACTAAGCAGAAAGTTTCAGGACCATCACGGTGGAAAGAAGCACCGGGCTATTATTCTCTTTACCATCGAAAGTAACACGATGTACTAAAACAACGATCTAAATATGTTGCTCTCATAGGGAAGGCTGAGGAAATTTCGAGATAGAGTACCGGGGCAACACTGCCAGTGCAAATCTATAGGCTGAGATTACAGCGATAGTTGATCGAAGAGAGACGAATACTCGAGGACAGAGAATTGAAGAAAGTTCGCCCATATCTTGGCCATGTCTTGCGGCCGAGAAGAACACCCGCCAATCTCCATCGTAGGTGATGTTGTTCTTATGTAGGTAGTCTTCCGGTGGGCTAGCCGCGGGTGGTCCGTCCGATCAGCTCGGGGTTTGGTCCATCAGACGCTCGGTCTGTTGGGCGTGCTAGTGGCCGGTCCCGGCATATTCCGCAGGTATGATGTGACTTTAGGCAGTAAGTCTGAGCTTGTCGCCCAACCACGTCACTGCTTCCACCTTGGCTAGGTCCAGATCGTGACAAGGCTTGTTGTTCTCTGAGCCAAGGCTCCGATCACCAACCTGGTCAGCGCGGAAGACTAGCTAGCCCCATAGATTGTTACCAATTTAGGTAATTTCCTGTTTCTATCTCGTATAACGATGGTGACTGATGGCACAGCTCCCGTCATCCGGCCAAGTCATCTTAATTTACCTAGGTATGCAAGTAGTAAGTATGTATCAAATACGGTATAAATAGATATCAAGGTAGAGAAGTGATCGTCTTCCACGATGTGACGGGATGGGTGGGTAGGCTATGCCTAAACTGGTTGACACCCTAGCAAAAGATCGGCAGACAGGGGGCTTAGCTTACTATTGGAAGTCGGGAATTGGGTCAATTCGATATTCTGCAGGGTCCTAATGCGTAAATTAAACTGGCTAAATAGGTACCTGGACAGATATAATTCTATTATTCACTAATACAGTATATCATACTCCATACTTGCACACCTAGGCGGCTAGGTAATGAGAATGATTTGGTGAGATGGCGGCACCTGAGACGTTGTCAACTTATGAAGCTCTATCTGTGGGCTTCATAAAATCGGGAATTGCCTTTTGGAATTCAGAACAGCGTGTCTACCTATTCGTACACGATGTGATCGTTTCTGGATCAAGCATGTAAGATACTACCGACTCCATAGCTCTTGGCGGTTTTATAGTATTTGACGAAAAGGTGAATTATGGGAAATGCATACTTGGTATGGATTCACGACCCAGTGGATGAGGCCATCTTACTATTTCGGGCAATGTCCTATCGCCACGATGGCTTTGCATAAGTCATAGTGGATAATAGAGTCGAATGGTGATTTTTTTTTATAAAGCCAGCACCTTAGCACTTAGAAATTCAATAACACCAATTCATCCAACAACATTCACCTTCCAACTTCCAAATATCCAATCCATCACTATGGCTCCCAGCATCATCGAAAACTCGCCTGAGGCTTCCCCTGTGGAGCAGGAGTATTGTACTTTGGCACAGTTTAAGCCGAAGTCAGCTCCCAAGCCAGTCATGCAACCAAAGGAGAGACGCTCCGTTCGAATTCCAGACCTGTTCTCTTCCATAATGTCCCCCAGGCCAGTGGTGAACCCCCACTACTTTAAGGTCAAAGTCGACGGCGAAAGATGGATTGCAAAGTAACAACTTCCCGTTGAACCCAAGTATTACCAATGAACTCCACATAGTTGAGGCTAACATGATCCAAGGCTCATGAAATGGGATCAAAAAATGATTGCGATGAACACAAGGGTAGATTTTTGCTACCTTGCCTCCTTATGGGCTCCGACAGCCGACGAAGCGGCGCTACGTGTTGTACTTGATTGGGCTCATTGGGTATGTTTCCCTTTCTTATCTATTTGATCTGATAATAATGAAATTTGCTAACGGATGATTTAGGTATTCCTCTTTGATGACCGTATGTAAAACCATTCGACGATGCTTCCATGCAGCTTACTAACAGCCCCACCCTCGTAGAATTTGATGAGGGTCACTTAAAGGATGATCCCGCGGCGGCACAGGATGAGGTCAACCAGACTATGGCCATCATGGAGGAAGGTGCGGCGTTGATAAGCCCGGAAGAAAACCCGATTCGCCATGTATTCCAGACCTGCTGGTTACGGGTAAAGGAGAACTCAACTCCAGGTATGTTTCGAGTAAATCGATGCGATTCCGATTTATGGCTAAATGAGAAACAGAATTTCAACAGCGGTACAAGAACCAACACAGGGGATTCTTCGACCAACTTGTGGTACAAGTCCAGAAAGAGTCGATAGGAGAGTCCCTGAGTATGGATGTGCAGACATTCCTAGAGGTCCGTAGGGGAACGGTTGGGGCCTCCCCTGCTATTGCACTCGCAGAATACGGGGCAGGAGTCAATCTCCCGGAACACGTTTATTCCCACCCAGCTCTACAGGAAATTGTCCATATATCAGTGGACCTTGTACTTCTGTGAGTGTCAAATGACCTTCCAGTGTGTTGTGTTGTGCTGTCGCTAACATGAAAGCCTAGGGTTAATGATGTCTTGTCATTCCGAAAAGACCTGGTAAGTCTCCCTGTTGGAGAAAGACCGATAAATATGTTATATGTCCAATCCGCTAACATCAGTCTTTATTAGAATTTGGGTGTCGACCATAACTTGATCGCAGCCCTGATGTCGCAGGATAGGACACTCCAGCAAGCTGTTGATGAAATCGGTTCCATGCTCGACAATTGCTACAGGCGATGGTATACTGCACTTGCTCAAACACCCGTCTACGGAGAAGAAATAGATCTTGCGGTACTCAAATTTGCGGAGGCCTGCCGCTGCACAGCTGTTGGCAATTTGCATTGGGGGTAAGTTTATTCTTGAAGCGAACTGATTCATGGAAATTTACTAACCAATCGAACAGCTTTAAAACAGGCCGATACCTTGGCTCAGATGGCGGCGATGTAAAGGAGACACGCATCCTGTATCTTCCAGGTTAAGAAGTGTTCCTGTATTGGGGCTGAAATCCCTGTCCTGTTGACAACCGCCACGCTACATTCTCCAGGGTCTCTAAAACTCTTCAAAGGAATTCTTAAAAAGGGGTTTAGACTTGACTAGGAAATATTGCGCGGTAAAGTTAGCAACCAGAAGTTCTATTTATGGGTTCGAGAACGGTTTCTACGGGAGTTGTGTCATTTTAGAGATCATTTGGCTCAGGTAGAGTCACATCAGGAGTACTTGGGGTCTTATACAGTATATGAATATCTACTACTACATACTTGCTTCTATGTGTCTGAGTGAAAGTTTCCTGGGTCTCATAGATTACTAGGCAGGTACCTACCTATTAGGTACTAGTATTAGCACTGGCTAATAACGTCTCGTGCTAATTAGTACCTAGCAGGTAATCATGCCGTCCATGATGTGTTTGTAGGGGCTTATTACCTAGGAAGGTATCGAGAGGCAGGTATTAGGTACCTGTCATGCAAACGAATTACGCAAATGAAGATTAATATGGTCAATATTCTGTCTAATAACTACATAGATGGAACGGATTTATTATATTCCCTAGGAATGCCACGCTGCTCAAGTCCTCCAGAATCCTTTTCAGGTCAGCCTCGAGGCTTCTTAATCCATATCTCTTGATCTTGTCATTCCACCTGTGTATGTATGCGCCCAAAGTCTGGGTCCTGATCTGCAAGAGCAGCTTCAAAATCATCTGCACGTCTATGGGATCGACAAGTTCGAATGCGCCAATTTTGGAAATCCGAGCGCCTAGCCCTTGTCGATCCCCGTTTCTCGCAGGTGTTTGGATCCCTAATTGGCGGGGGATTGACCTCTCGGAGATATCGAGAGGAGATCTACCATGTTCTCCTATCCCATCCGCTGCAAGACTGAGGAGTAGCTTCGCCAGCTGTTCAACGACGAGCAAGAGGAGAAATGCTAAGTCTTGCGATAAAATGCACGCTAATGGGCAGTTTTCGGCGATTCGTAGCTGGGTCATTGACTTTTCGAAAAGGGCCAGGAAATTCTCGATTTTGACATAGTTGAATGTAACATCGTCAGTCCTCATCCCGGAATGAATTCCGGACCCGCCGCCACAGGACCAACTTCGAAGGATAGATAAAGACGAGGTCATCGCCTGCAGGCACTTGCATTGAGAAGTGGACCCTCGGGCACCAGCTGCAGATATCCAGCCGTTAAGGTCGGGGAATGATTCGCACTCGGTAGGTTTGGTACCCGCTGCATCGTTTCCACCAATTATGTCGTCCCCTGATCCTGGGAAGCGAGAGGGCGATGTTTCGCACATCGCACCATTGCCCAAAGCTCCTTCGGGTTCCAGCAGGGGGATGCGGAGGGGATCTGGGGACGTTGACGGTGGAGTCGCTACCAAGTCAATGGGTGGCCGAATCGGTTCCGTCGCCGTGGGATTGCCCTGCAGCTGTAACCAGCTCTCGAAGTCGAGGCCAAGAAGATCATCGGCCACGAAATGTGATTCATCACCGCTCGACGGACCCGGCGGAGAAGTGCCTGACGTGTCGGAGTGGTGATTATCTGAGGATTCCGAAACGGCTCCGATCGATGGTATACTCTTGTGATTTCTTTCTTTCCTTTCTAGAGGCTGACTACTTCGATTCTGGCGTTGATTCTGGTTGCTGGTGTATAAGCAGGGCTTCAAAAGGCGTTTGCACCGGTCGCATTTTTTGCCGTCCAGTCTTCCGCTGCACCTTACTCTAGAGACGCGACATTCTTTGCAGGCCGATCCCCTCCCATATCTTCCCTGGTCGGCACGGAACTCGGCAGCTGGTGATTTTTCTCCTCTGTTGAAGGAGAAGATTCCGTACATATCAAAGTAATAGGTTAGAATAGGTAATCAATCTTGAGACAGCAAAAGTCTAGCCTATGCACCTATAGACTATAGTGTCAATAATATTTATGGAATTACCTACATTAGAATTAGGTCGACCAAGGGTAGTTAAGGGTTGGTAGTCTAGTACCTGACCGCCATTTGCAAAATAGATACGCCACATACCTACATATCTTGGTATTTTTTGATTCCACAATTGAATTCTAGGCCGCAGGACCGTCTAGGTTTCCGAACATTCTGAATGACTGGTAGCGATGAATTTAGAACATGACGTCTATGTAGCTTAATCTTAAGTAACGCAATAGTGCCCCAATCCTTCAAGAGTCAGCCTGCCGGCTTCATACGTGTAAGAGGCGTTCGTTAGAAAAGTTAGTTTAAACCCACTTAGCGCGCGCCCGCGCCTCTCGCTTGTGGTGCCGAGATTAATTAAAGATGGCGGCTCATACCCGATGCCTGCTCGCTGTCACCTACCTTAAATAGTATGTATCTATAGGCTATCATACCACATCGATAACAAGCCCATTGCCGCCAATGTCACGTCAAAAAGGAGAGAATAATAGAATCCCTAGCAGCTTAGGTTAGTAGATAGTAAGAAACCTAAAAGCTTGCTGCAGATTTAGACCGAAAACCGGCAGCCAAGACTGAAGCCGCCTAGGTAGCTGTCGTGTAAGGCTAGGCGTACCGTATCATCTCCCGTCCCCACCATATTAGCTAGCGACGTCATAAGGCTGGCCATGGGTATGTAAAAGAAGTTAAACCTACCAAAAGTCGCATCAATTGTTATTCTTTTAATACCTACTAGGTAAGTAGATACTTCATAGTATGAATGAATTGCACACACCCAGGTACTAGGGACTTAATAACTGTGCAAGATATTAAAAGATGTTTAGTTAACAATCTTTCATTCTTCCTTTTTTTAAGTCGCATTCTTATTATGCTAGGTCCTTTTAAGGTTACCCCAGTTCCGAGTGAGCGGAACCTCCTTAGTACCTCTATTAATGTCCAGGTAAGTGCATTCCTAGTGGATATGTCGGCACTTGCTGTTTGGTATTACGGACTTTGCCGTCGTGCCTTTCCCACTCGGACGTTATGATACCACACCTGGTTTAAGGTTGTCCACTTTAAGGCCACTTAATGGGACCACGCTCACCTTGAAGATAATGGTTAAAAACCTTACGTTCTCTATATTCTCGGTATTTTCAAAGTGTGCTTACGTAATTAGAATGTATTTACGAAATGGTATCATGTGATTATGTAATATTATCATAAAGTTGAAATAACTTCTTCAGGATATGATTTATTATCATATGATATATTTACACAGATCCAACTTAATAACAGCCAATGATATGCATTTGCCCCGAATGCAACAACTTTCCTAATAAGTATTAAAAGTTGAAGTGCAACAAGGATGTGAGGATGTGTCATGTGATGCCCCTCGAGGCCAACATGTCTGCTTATTCAGCCACATGCACTTTGTAAGATATTACAATATTCATGCGCTTCACAAAGGTATAATCTTGCCAATTGATTTAGCTCATTGAGTGCTATGTACCTACTTATCCTTGGTATTATATACGAAGATTCGGGCCAAAATTTTGGAACATGTCTTACTTACCTACCTAATGTGTGATTAGATAATCAATTACTTCAAACTAGTATCCTAAGTCTAGGCCAAAAGCAGAGGGCCTGATAGTGATCTATCCGCTATGTGTTAGTGGATGACCGCCAAGGTTCAAGTCTTCAGGGCTCCACTTAGGGCGCTTAGCCACTAAAGAGAAAAACGCCACACGGTATTAAGATATTCCAATTTACACGTCTTTAGGCCATCAGTGTTCAGCAATTTTTAATGCGACCACGACGCCGAGATATCGACTAGCAACAATAACCATCAATCAATGTTTAAGGTCGACTCGACAAAAAATACCAACAAATCCAGGAAAATAGAACGTCAAGTCCCTACCGTTTCAACGATCAATGTTAGCTTAGATCAGCATGGATTTCTTCTTATCTTCACGTTTATTCCGTAGCATTTGACCTTTACTTCTACCTTGTCACCCACCCGGCCCCTCAATGGACTTGGGATAGTTGAGCAGTTTATTATTAGGCTATAGATTTGGGAGCGTTGGGCTGGAATCCGCAGCTTGTTCGAATCTGTATGGGTAACTAAACCAAATTGTTGGAGTAGTTAAGTTATAACTTGGAAGCCAGGGAGCAATATTTCGTATCCCTTGCAACGTGATCTTGGAAATGATATACAACTTGTTGGTGATAGGTCGAGTAGGTATACTGTTGGAAGATGAATACTCGTCGTCTATAAAGTATAACTAACATGAGGGTTTCAACCCCGCCCAATATGCCAATCCTCTTGGCGCCAGTTGTAAAGAACCAGAATTTGCAAGTCAACACAATGGTAGTAAGTTACCCCTCACATCGCAAGCAGCATTTTCTCTTTGTGCCCTATATCTAGTGCGTACTACGTGACACAGCAGTCTAAGTGCTGTGTAGGTCGGGTCCGAAGTCATGTTACACAAATTAGAGTATTGCCTAATAAATCATTGGCATGTGCGCTTTATCTTCCCTGGATTTCCTTTTTCAAAAGTGATTCTGTTAAGCCTGTTTTGAATCAGACGAATGAGCTACAGATTGATCATTTCTTCACATTTTAAGGCAGATATTGTTCCTAATTTCAGTCATCCTAAATCTGCATTCTTTCTTTCACTTGTCGGTCATACCTCTTCAGTGAAAATGGATGTCAACGGAATATCTTTAGTTGTTGGTGCCGGTATGTAACAGCTTCTAGCAATCGTGTCGACTGGACGTAAATCAATTTTAACAGGAATTTGTAGGCAGCGGTATTGGCCTTGAGACTGCCTTATTATTTGCAGAAAGAGGCGCAAAAGCTGTGGTGTTTGCAGACCAGGCATTTGGCGCAGCCTCTGAGGCTTCAGAGAAGAGCAAGTCCATAGCAACCGCTACAGATTACCAGACGATGGCTATAGCTGTTGACGTTCGGGATCGAGCATCCGTAAAGTCAATGGTGGAAGAAGTCATGAAACAGTTTGGCAGGCTAGATTATGCCGTCAATAGCGCCGGAGTTAGTAGATTCACCACCGCCACTCTCTCAAACTTATATTTATTTATCGTTCTAGACCGGAAGGAAAACTGAAGCTGATGTCACGAGTCTTGACGAATCTGAATATGACTTATTGCATGACATAAATGCAAAAGGCATTTTACATTGTCTCCAAGAAGAGATTGCCGTTATGAAGAATCAAGAGCCAGCTTATGTCGAAGGGCGTAATGGCCGTCGTAGTAGTGAGTAGCATCTAGAATCCTTTGTTGGCTCTTTCTGGCCTGCTTTGACACCTTTTATCCTTACCTTCAATGTATTTTTTCCCTAAAGTTTTGAACCCAAGGTCCTTGCTGTTGATCAAACATTCTAAAATGAGGATCTTCTAACTCTTAATGCTACAGTTGGACCCGGTTCTATTATAAACGTTACCTCTCTATCCTCATCAGTCTGCTCACCCAATTCTATCGCCTACACGGCTAGCAAGTTTGCTGCGAAGAGTATAATAAAGTGTGCTGGTAAGTTCAGTTGCCCTCTCCTAGTAGACAAAAGCAGAGCCCTATAAGAAGATCCATGGATATAGATGCTTATCCTAGCTTCTAGCCATCGAGAACCGAAGGTCCGGCCTCCGGATCAATGAGGTGTGTCCAGGCTATACCGACACGCCGATGTTGCGTCTAGGCATGAAGAGACAGCCTGAGATGATTGATCTTATCAAGAAAGCCATGCCGTTGGGTCGGGCGGCTACTCCTGAAGAAATTGCGAATGTCATCCATTTCTTGGCAAGTCCCGGAGCGAGCTTCGTTAATGGACAATCGATAATCGCCGACTCTGGGGTGTCGGCCTCTATCGTGTAAAGTTGTTAGTTACCTAGTAGCATGAGTGGTCTCTTTGTGCCGTTGAAGGTTACTGGGTACTGAAGTACCAAGGTCTAACTATGTAAGGTCAAAGATTTCGTATGTACAGTGCACACCATCAGATAAGCAATCGCCGTATACTGTATTAGGTTAGGTCAGAGCTCAGACCTAATACTGGTCAATCCGCCTATGACTCCACTGGAATATAGCGAGTATCCACTAAATTCCAAGGATGAAGCCACTGGGGAAGAATGATACACAGTACCATTATACTCGAGTTTACACTGTATCTACCCTTGACCAAATGTGCGAAATTTTTAACCCAGATCTTCGCAATGAAATACCTAATCTCGTAGTTTATTGAATACTACCTAGGTAATGTCCCATCAGAGCCCTAATGCGGCTAGCTTGTCGAGGTCTTTCTTGAAGTTTTTGGTTTTGAAATACTTCCAATGCTCTCCCGCAATTGTGTCAGTCAACTCCTCCTCATTTGGTCTGTCTACGGCCGACCTCCCATCATCTTCTGCGCTCCTCGGGAGTTGAACGCCTTGGCTCCACTTGAAAAAGTTATCCTTATCCCATATCTCTTTAACACGCCGCAACTCTTCACGATTATCCCCGAAATAAGCTCTCTCATGGGCGTTGGTACATATCGCCCCGTCGGGGAAATTGATGAACACAGCCTCTCCGTTTAGGGAAAGGGGCCTCAGCTTCTTCTTGACATTCCCTAAGAAGCGCCTCATTTCCCATTCCATCCATTTGTCCTCCCACTCTACTGTGATATAGGTATGATACACAGCTTCGCGCCAGAAGAATGCCGTATCCGAAGGTTTCTTCTCTCTCGCCTTCCCCCCTGAGTGAATCCAGGTGACTAAAAACTCAACCTGTTCTCCGGTGAAGCGATATCGGAAAGATTTCATTTCATCTCGTATGATAGAGGTGGCCTTTTCGACAACAGCCCTGTCATTCCTGAAAACGAAGGAGCTATAGATGCTGAAGGTCCTGTTGCTAGGAAACGCTCTTGTAGTTTCTTCTGACCACTGAGAAACGAGCGTCTCGTGGAGAAAACGAGTAGACTTCTCGGGTAAGGACCGTCGTTTGAGCTGCTGCGAAAGGTCTGAGTTTTGAATGTGGTCGTCAATGATTTTATCAAAATCGGGTTTACTCCCGTCATAATAAATCAAGAATCTTACTCCGTCGCCTAAGGGCCTTCGGAGGTCGCATATCCAAGTGCTATCGATGGTCATCAGTTTAGGCCATTCAGTTGTATAGAAATTGTTCATCGTAGCCATGAAGTCATCTGTCATCCCTGAGTTGGGGAACCACTGATATCTCCCCGCTACCACAATACCATCCTTACCGCGTAACTTGTGAACCTTTAGTTTCATATTCACCATGACACCAAAGTTACCACCGCCTGCACCACGCAGGGCCCAGAAGAGTCTGCCCTTATTCGACTTTGGGTCGTCGCTATCCTTAACAGTGACCAAGTTGCCATCTGCTGTGACCAGGGTAGCTTCTTTCAAGGTATCGCTTCCCATTCCAATACTTCTCGTGAATGGACCTAGACCTCCCCCAAGTATAAAGCCGCTAACCCCCACAAAGGGACATCTTCCGCCGTTAACGATATATCCATCGTGTTGTTCGTTAACCAACGTCTTGTAAACGTGACCCCACTGGCATCCAGCGTCTACATTGACAACTCTTGATTTTATATCAAGCTTGACTGTGTTCAACTTTCTCAGATCAAGTGAGATACCCCTGAAGGCTGTGGAGTGCCCCGCGTAAGAATGCCCCCCACCTTTGATGGTGATTTCGAGTTTATACGACCTTGCTTGTTTGATTATATTCTGGACTTGTAGAAATGTCTCCGGTTGTATCACGCATTCCGGTCTCGAGAAGCGGAATAGGAGATTCGGGGTCGCGACAGAACGCTCATACTCTTCTTCGCCACGCTCGTATACGGGAATTCCGCCAGCCTTCAGGAGCTTAACAGCCTTGTTCATAAGTTTTGAGGACATGACGTAAATGATACTAGGTGCTGCAGATATTCTTGTCCTTGAAATTAAGCAACTATTGGTTCATCAGAAGAGGTGGAAACCCAATCAATATCCATCCTGTTACAAGATAGAATATGTAAGGCTCTATTACTTTATTAACTGCGTTCATGAGTTAAATGAGTGGTGCGGAAATTTCAGTTAACTATATACGTGTCTCTGTCATGATGTTATCTTAGATTACCACGCCCAAATAAGGTAGATTCTACTTAAACACCGGCTTTCTAGTATAGACAAGGTTACGACTGACTATCTTGAAGCTCAGTATATGAGCGATAAACGCATTCAGATAATAGAATATCTCTTTTTTGTCATCCTTATCCACACCGGTCAACACCCTTTTGCGATGTAAGGTGACGGTGAATAAATCATATTGCTCGGTTTCATTTTCAAAAGCGAGCTGATATTTTCTCAAGTGGCCCCGATTGGTTTGCCGACAATTTATTCCCACCATAATGGACTTGTGGTCGTATTGGGTTGCAGAGGGGAGTGCTAATACTACTCAAGGTTTGACGAAATATCATGAATAAGGCAGATTTGGGCGAGGCCCTGAGAAGTATCTACTGGGTAGGCTACCTAGATAGGTAATCCGGTGACCAAGCTATGTCCAATACTACTTACCTAGTATCCAGTCATCTTTCACTTCACATAGGATATTAATATCATTGGTATCAAGCATAAAACTACCTACCTATGATTGCCTAAATGATAGCATGGTGTAACATTATAATAGAGCTGATAATTCCGTTTTCTTTTCTTTTGTATTCCCATGTCCTCCATTCATTGCATCATCGCTCAAACCCTTAATTCAGCCTCATATGTACATTTTTACATACCTAGGTACATACCTAGGTACTCGGCGTATGGATACCTTGGTACCTAGGTGTATATTTAAAGCATAAATACAATAAAACATAGGAACATTCTATAGCCTCGTGCGATGGCACGAGACACGTATACCTACCAGGTAGGCAACCTCTCATGAGAGCCCAGATGATAACGCACTGGTGTAAATTTACCTCGGCATTCGCACCATGAAACAATTTGAATATCCCTACCTCATTATGGGATGTAGAGAATTGGGCATGAATGTGACCGTGCTGCCCGACATGACCCCCTTGATGAATCTCAGCTTAGCTTCGATAAATATTTTGAGCCTCAATATTGGGGGTTTGCTGAAGCCTCTCGACTTGAACGTAGTTCCTGAAGTTCCCCAACTACCAGGTACTTATCTCATGCTAAGGGTTATAAGTAGGTACCTTACTTTACCATAGAGTAAACTGTTCAAAAAGATTACCTTGACAAGCTCAATTGCATACTTAGAATTACTGTCAAGTAGAAAGTTATCATATTTTACATGCTTTCCTCAAGTTCTCAGATTAACACGAAATTGCCATCATGGGAATCCACGAAGATGTTCGACACGGAATCGCGATCGGGGGTACACTAAAGTCCTACATCAGAAAGAACCCAAATATTCTTACCGAACAAGACCCGACAGAAGGTCTAACACCTCTAGCTGCAGCCGTAGTCGCGGGGCAGGCTGAACAAGTCAAACAGCTCCTCGATAAGGGTGCCGACGCAGATGCACGTTCCAGAAATGGCGAAACTCCGTTGCTCCTTGCCGCCTGGAAAACCAACAACAATCGCCCTCGAATCATCCAGCTGCTCCTGACGAAGACACATCCTGATTCAGTCGATGCGACCTGTACTATTGCAGATAAAAATACACCTTTGATGTTTGCTGTTACGAAGGGCGACCTAGAGTCTATAAGACTTTTACGGAAGGCAGGAGCCTCTATAGAGTTGGAGAATAATAGCGATCTAAACGCGGAAGAGATGGCTCATATGATAGGAGGTAAGGTGCCTCTTGCGCTTCACCCAGACACCGAGACATGGGCACTTGGAAAGCTCTCTAGTTCCGCCTTATCTTTCCTGCTCTCTGTGATTTCCTGGGTGAATATCCACGTCAACGGTATTGTTCGCCGGATATTTGGTCTGAACCCCACGCCCGACGAAGATATCGACAAGGTAAGAATTCAATCCTTGAATCTACATACTTACTAGACAGGTAGGTAAAGTAGAACAATCTCACTAATCCGGCATCATAGGAAATTGATATCCTTGAGGACCCTAGCGGGGAAGAGCTTATGGAAAGTATCGGTAAATTCGTCGACGAGAACCCCGTACTCGAACGTTTCTTCAAGGGCAAGGAAAACTATATAAAAGAGTTGGCACAAAGAGCAGTGGATCTAGAGAATGATACGAGCACGTGTTTGGGATGCAAAGAAACGCTACCTAAGACCATCAATGTATCCTTGCATCAACAAGTTTTGTATTGTGGTAGGTACTTCGAAGTCCAGGCTAAGGATACCTAAGGTTGCTATTCAAATCTAATAACTGATACATAGACGATAGCTCTTCTATGAGGAGAGAAGGCCGTTGGGAGTCTCAGAAGTGCCTCGTCGAGAGAATTACCAAGATCACCACACGAATCCTTCCCGAGTACGAAGGGGTCATGCTACGATTCATCAATCAGGATGTGGACCAGTCTTCCAACTTAAACTTAGAAGGGATCGGGAAAGTCCTCGAGTCTATTTCATGGAAGAAGGAAAAAAGTCACACACGGATTGGAACATACCTGAAAACCAAGATTCTCGAACCCTTAGTTTATAGCAAGCTCAACTCTGAGGGTGAGGCCCTCAACAGACCACTTCTCATTTCCGTAATCACCGATGGCATGCCTACTCAAGAGAGTCCCTCTGAGTTTGTGGAAGCGATATTAGAGTGTGGTGACAAGTTAGAACAGGCTGGGTACCCACGAAAGAGTATGCATTGATACATATTCCCCTGTCTTGCTAATAGTCTTGTCGTCTACTAACACTATTCTGTCACTATCTAGGTGTTAAATTCATGGTTGGCCAAGTCGGCTCAGGGAAAGATGCAGCAAATTTTCTTGATGGACTCAGAAGTAACAGTGAGATATCTGAAGTAGTATACTGCACTTCAGGTACGCCAAATATCCAACTTCTTGTTACCTTCATACCTTAGGTACCCACTGACACCTTCTAGATCAGCTGGATGTCAAATTCGCGGAATATCATGATAACGAATGGGATCTAGACCAATGGGTGAGCTTCTTTGGCTTCTCGCCTTACTACTAGTTTAGTTGTGCTAACATAAGTATCTTATCCAGCTGATTGAGACATTATTCTCGCCGATCAAGGATACTGACACGAAGAAAACTCAGTAAACATCACGAGACGAGTATGACATAAATCAGCTACGAGACCAAAGTCACAATAATTTACCCCTAGAGAATACCTAGATACGAGACAATGAGGATATGGTGGATTGAGATTGCGATAATACTCAAGTTTGGAGTGATGGGATGGGATGGTAGGATTTTATGGACTGGCGGCATACCTTTCCTTTGTTCTCATGGTCTCCTAGTAATCGTTCTTTAGTTGTATTCCGGCGTTCATCTTCATATTGAATTTGCAATAATTCTAACTACTAGATACTAGGTACCTACCTATTTAATTAGTCGCTCGTGTATATCTAAGATCAATACCTCCAGTTGTTTTAAGATTTCCAAGGTTTCCAAAAAAGCCTAAACCGACTAAAAAAGGGGTTAGGGGGTAAGGGGCTCAGGGGCTACCAATCTTATCGATAAACACCTCCAAGCTCGGACCACGTCGATCTTTGACTCAATTAACACACGAGAATTTCCAGCTTCAATACGAAGATTTCGGAAATATCTTGATATTCGATTGTGGTTCCTAAGCAACTTACAATCCTACCGCCTTTCCTATGCCTCCAAATACAGGACTGCGCATCGCGCGCGTCCACCCTCTACTCCTCAACCATGGTTCCGGACTTTCCGCACCCTTGTTGGCGCCTCTCTTCGCGACGACCCATATCTCTCAAGCTCGAAAGCGGTTAGCTCCAACACAGTCGAACTCCAGCTCTCAACGACGAGCCGCCTCAACGGCGTCTCGAGTCGAAGAGCCAAAGAAAGAAACAGCATCCCCAACCATCTCAGAGCTGGCCTCCTCCCCAACCCGACCAACATCTCCTCTCACCCCTTCCACAACCCTCAACCCACCCGCCTCAACACGGCCCCCACCCCTCGAGCTGCCAACGCGAGACCCGACAACCTCGACATTCACCTACTGGTTCCGCTTCGGCAAAGCCTACATGTCCTTCTACAAGACCGGACTCAAGGCCATCTTCACGAACCGAAGCCTCCTAACCCAATCCGCCACCACCACCACCCGCTCCGACATCCTCCTCCGTGAACGAGTACACCACGATATCTTCCGCGTCCCAACCTTCGGGCTACTGCTCCTCCTCTGCGGGGAACTAACACCCTTTGTCGTCCTCGCCTTCCCGCACTTAACACCCTACACCTGCCGCATCCCAAAACAAATCGATGCTCTGCGACGCCGTGCCGAAGCCCGGCGAACATCCAGTTTCTCCGCTTTACAACGCGTTGATACCCCATCTGCGAAGCTACATTCCTCGGGGCTAGGAAGCGGACATGTGTGTCGTAGCCTCGGGCTGACCAGCACGGTGTGGGATAAAGTTGGGTTAGACTCGCCGTTCAGCAAGTCTTTAGCGGAGCGAGCGGTATCGCGGCTCGCGGCAGACAACGCGTTGTTACAGGACGGGGGCGGGGTAGAGGCGTTGGTGGATGAAGAGGTGGTGCTAGCGTGCGAGGACCGGGGGTTTTACGTTCGGGAGAAGTCTGTAGCTGAGCTGAGAGGCGAGCTACGAAAGTGGTTGCGTAAGGCTGCTCCTAGGAAGGGTGGGGGCCATGAGGAGGTGAGGGCGGAAGCTGAGGATAAGGTTCGAGGGTTGTTGCTTGGGCTAGATGGATCTGATGGGGAAAACTAAGGGTTAGGTCTAACATAAACGTCTATGGATGAGATGGACTGGTGAGTTTAGTCTATACTAGCTAGTACAGGTCAAGAGTATACGTGTAATGATACGAAGATATGTACGATACGATACAATACAATATGGTAGGAAGGGTTAAAGACAGGCAAAAACGGATCAGACAAAACTTGGCTCACTTAAAAACAGCATGCAAAAAAAAAAAGACAGCAAGCTCAATTCAAGTAATTCATTGTCATCGATCGATGGCTTTCATTTATGCTATCAAGCCTATCTCAGAATTGGAAAGCGATGGCAAAAGCTGAGGCCAGTGTGTCCTTCAAGCGTACACATTGGTACCATAGTGAAAAGACCATCATCCTAGGTAGCTTTAGTACAAGAATTCCAGTACACATCCAGTAGACACCCAGCAGGCATATTTAGTCGCGCAAGAGATGTTGGTGGTGTTTGACGGTATCTGACCAAGGGGAATTCCAGATGATTTATTAGGCCAACGTTCCAGAGAATGGAACAATGAAGAGGGCATGTATTGAGAAGTTGTACTCTAGACATTCTAGAGTGGCTCGTTTACTGACGGTAACGAGCTAGCTGTGCCATGATGGTTTGCACATGCTGACTTGGATCGCCGCCTTGGGCACCTGTCATTCCGTGTGCTCCAGGGGCAGGGGCAGACGGATAGTTTGCGTTATATTGTCGATTAACTCCGTGTGCGTAAGAATGGTTGCTAGCCCCGGCACCTGTGTATGCTACGTTTGGATTCTGGTTAGGTGGGGGTCGTGCAACTGGCTGGCCAGAAGGATAACCCTGAGGGGCATTAGATGGTGTGCCTTGCTGACTATGAAGAGTTCCAAGAATCTTCTGCAAGGTGGCATTGTCTAAAGAGCCCTGAGCGTGGCTGGTGGGAGGGGCTTGCGCGCTAGGATAGGGCTGGCTCGAATACGAAGGAGGACCAGGCATGTATGTAGGCTGCGGAGCCACGGAATATTGAGGAGGGGCAGACGGATACTGCACACCACCGTAAGGAGGTAAAGACTGGACTACAGGAGCCGGAGGAGCCTGAGACCTGGCACGATTGACAAGCTGTGCCGCAATAGCAGGGGCGAGATCTCGATATTGATCATAACGAATGTTGTCACGCCCACTAGAGCGATTGAACACTTGTAGTGAAATAGTACCGTTTCGCTGTGATTGGTAATCGAGTTCAACCACTGCATAGACACCTTCCATCACCTGACGCTGGATCACGGCCTCTCGGGAGAGGTTAGAGTGTAGGAACATATCCTTCACTTTTAAGCCTAGATCAAGGAAGGATCTCTCAACCCAGCTGACGAAGTCTCTTTCGACTTCTTGAAGAACGAGGAATTGCACATCAGGGATGTCGCCTCCGTATCGACGAGGGATGTCGAGTTCTGCTTCGGAAGCGTGACGTCGGTATGGGCTAGGACTTCGACGTCGGTAGTGATCCGAGTCACGTCTTCCATAGCTAGGAGATCGAGAACGACCACGGCCGCCATAATCATCGTAATAACCGCGACCGCTATCGTACGAATTCTGTTGGCGATGACTTGATCGTCTCGGAGACGGTTGGCGAGTAGGACGATAATCGTCACGTCGGCCACGTGCGGCATCGTGACGTTCAGTATCACGTTTACTCTTATTGTTACGCTTTTCACCATCGCCATCTTTCTTCTGTGTGCGAGAAAATTCCAGGTCCACGCTTTGTTAGAAGAGGCACATATTTATACGATGAAAGAATTCACTTACGAATCTTGCGGCCTCTAACATCGATTCCCTGCAAATGGTCCATCGCAGCTTGACCTTCCATCAAAGTGTGATACTGTACAAAGCCATATGCTTGCTTCAGAGAGATCTGCGCCAAGCGACCATACTTAGAAAAGAGATCGAACACCTCTTTCTTCGAGACCCTGTCACTTGAGAGATTTCCTAATCAGAACCGGTTAGTGACTGATGATCAATGAGTACCTAGGTATCCATAGGAAGCATATGGAAAGCAGCCTACCGATGAACAATCTCGATCCCTCCGGAAAACGATCCCATTTCGCTTCGGATACGTAACGACGTTCTTCATGCAGGAACGTCTCCCATGGTTGAGACTGATCACTGGATTGGGATTGAATGCCTGCTGCAGCAACATAAGTAGGATCAAATTGTGGCACCGAGAACGGATGAGCAGGCAGCGCACTAAGCGAGGATGAGGGGGGTGGGGGTGGAAGAGTATTACGAGCTTCTAGGGCCGTCCCGGGAGCCCCGACTGAGTAGGTGCCGGGCGGAGGTGGCAGAGAGGAGGGGGCACCGGTGGCATGGGAATAAGAAAGACCCGGCTGATAGCTGAGGCCGGGAACATCTTCTAGACGCGCATGTGGCTGGGCTAGGGGAGGTTGCTGAGGCATGGGAGGCCGCGGTGGCAGGGACACAGATGACGCGTTGGCAGAAATCTGCTGCACTGACGACTGATTGGCAGATCCGGTGGAAGAATTACCTATGATCTTGTCCACGATGTCCTGGATGTCAATATTATCATCATTGGAAGAAGCACTCGATAGGGCTTGAGCTTCAGATTCAGGTTCAGTCTTGGGTTCAGTCTCTTCAGCTGCAGTTTCTGTAGGTGGCTGAGGTGCGCCCTGGGTATGAGTGATCGATGATGAGGCAACTACGGCCTGTTCTTGCGGCTCTCGAGGTTCTTGGGCCTCTTGTGGGCTCGAGTGGCTCGTGTTCGGAACAGGTTGGTGCACATGTTGAACAGGGATACTGAGAGAAAGATCATGTGAAGTGGAAGTGTTAACTTCAGAATGATCCGTCTGCGATTCAGACAGATCAGAACTAAGAGCTGATGCGTTCGGTCTGGATACATCTTGCTGGGCTTCAGTACCAGAGGTACCAGCAGCACCATTATGCTGATCATGATTAGGATGCTCGTCGTTTCTATCATCCTTAACTAAGGGCGTCTCCTCTTCCTTGTATCCGTCATCGTCAACTTCGAAATAGGTTAGATACGGAATTGGTTCACTAGTGCCGCTAGGATCGCCGCTTTGATAGTTGGCCGTTGCGGCGCTGCCATAAGTTTGATTCGATGCTAAAGCTACGTCACTGGTCCGGCCCGCGACAGCTGCGGAAGGGACTTGGTCGCCGTCAGAGAGCGACATGGTATAGAGAGTGTCGGCTTGGTCCTGGAGGGCCGGTACTACAACTGGAGACGAAGGATGGAGGGGGGCTGGCGAAAGGGGAGTTAAATTGGCAGTCGCCAGAAGTTGAGGCGATGTTTCGGTCATCCAGGTGGCATGGGAGGCAAGACAATCTAGAGAGCGTTGCCTTGGGACACCTTGGGCGATAGTTGGCAACCTTTGGAGCTGTGATCGGAATTTACCTAGGCACCTAAAGCTTCCGCTATGTTGACGGAGGTGTAATGCGATGTTGCCTTTGGAGGGGAATATTCGAAAAGGGCCTGTCCAAACTGGCAAAAAAAAATCACAGAGGATGTTGAGACGAGCGTGGAACGTTAAAAACGAGTGTTAGATGGAGAGATGAGGTAAAAGACAGAAGCAACCTGAAAAGTCAAGTGTACTCGGACATGTGGGACGACTAGGGATTAGCACGCGTAGTTTTGCGCGCTTCTGCGGTTTTTTGTTGGATTTTGCTGGTTGGTGCCAATGAACAAATAATCGACAGAGATTACCCAGGTATCGATCCGGATATTCACACAATGCTGCTCAAGCGATTCCGAAGGGTATCAGTGGTATGGACGGTATCAATGGAGAAGAACATATCATGTAAAATGGAGGTTTGAGGTTTCAAGAAATAATGGTAGATGGAGGGGTGGTGGGTTGAGGCTTTGCGAAGATGCAAGGTGCAAGGTGCAAGGCTGGTAGCTGGGATGGGGAGAATGAGATCAATTGCTGCGATCAAACTCCGATGATAAAGAATGCAGGAAATTTTCTAGAAAGGAATTGTCCTCTAACAAACCTTGTACTCACCTACATAGGTACCTACTAGCTAGGCGCTAGGGTGTTATTGCCATTGGCTGATTTGAGATTATACTACGGGTTATAGGAATATTAGAAGGCGCTAACGGATAGATGAATGAATCTACTCTTAGCAGATAAAACCGGATAAAGACTTATCCTTTACTGATAACATTTAAACCTCCAAATCTCCAACCTTGGAAACAGTCCAAGTTACAAGAAGCCCAATTACTTGGAATACAAAGGAATGGAATATGGTGGAATAATCCAATTCGATTGATTCCACTCAACCCAACTCGGTTCAATTCAATTGTATCTTGAAAGTAGTATTTACCTAGTTACTCAGCTAACTGGATAATCTTTGAAGAATCCGAGCTCTAGCCATTAAACTCCAAGGCCACTGATTCGATGCTAAAAGCAATAACACCGGCTTAAAGAAGCAAAGTTCGAGGGGTTCTCATTCAAAATCATGTTTCGATCCCTATCCACGAAGCTCGCTTCATCTCCTGTATTCAAGTATCCTGGAACATCACACTTACATGTGAGAACTGTACAACACAGGGCGTATGATACCTATTACGACCAAGATGATCTAGTGGAAGCTAGGAAATGGCACGCCTCGTTCAATGAGAACAGCTTACCAAAGGGTCATACAAGCTATTCGAGATCTAGCGGACCCGGAGGACAGCACGTTAACAAGTAGGAACTTTCAAGTCATGTTACTCTTACAGTTACTAGGTGCCCAGATCTGACAGTTCGACTAGAACTGAGAGCAAAGCTACGACAGTGTGGCCTATCGAAGAATTGTCGAAGGATCTACCCAAGTTAATGCGTGCAGCATTGCGATCTTCAAAATACTATTCCAAAAGGAATGACTCTATTACGATCCAAGCTCAGACACAACGGAATAGGACCGCGAATACCGAGGAGAATCATCACAAGCTACTTGAAGAATTGCACAGGATGTACAAGGATCACGTACCTGGAGAGACAAGTGAGGAGACGATCAAGAAGTACGAAGACTTGTACGTGAGCTTCCTTCCATCCACATTTACCTGTATTGTTTCGATCTTGAAGTAAGTACCTAGGTTGGATCTTAATTGACCACTGATAAAATAGAGCGAAATCGTACCATGAGAGCAGGTTGCAGTCGAAGAAGCAGCATAGTTCCAAGAAGGCGTCCCGAAAAGGTACTTATGAGGAATAGACACTTCCACAGTTGACAGTTGTCAGTCTGCTCAACTTCATAGGTGCCTACCTAGGTATTCATAATATTACCGATTAACCTATTCGATTAATGATGTAGCAACCTTGGAAATTAGGACCTGACAATGAATTATTACACGAGCAACCGTGTTCGATCATTGCCCAGTAGTAACTACCTAAGTACCTACCTAATGGCGCAAACTCCTTAATAGGTAGTCTTATTGCAAACTACCTACATAGCCCTACAAAACTGACGACAACTTATGTGAGATTCTATCTAGGACCTAGGTAGGCTACATATAAGAAATATCTCATTTGCGATACATAATATGAACTCCGCATCTATTCCTGTGCGACTAAAGGACTCGAGATAGGAGAATGGAATAGACATGTGGAACGAATCGGTATTGAAGAATATGTACTCTGCAGTATCGATTTAATCGCGTATGCAAATATGTACGAAGTACTTAGTCCTTAAATCAGTCCTGGATTCCCCGCTATCACGGGTTTCTATGTGTCTCGCGGCTGACTAAAAGGTTGAATGAGGGGCAGAGTTCATGGGTGCGGGAAGTTTAGTTTGGGAAGGTTTGAAAAGGTTTGGGAAGGTGGAGTGACAAGCTGAAATCCTAACGGCTCATCTTTTCCGTTTGATCGTCTCAGCTGTTCTTCATTTTTAGAATGTTACATAGTAAAAAAAACTAAACACGACATCTGTCAACTTATTCCAATTATTCTCATTTAAATTGTTTCTTTCTCTTCATACCCAATCCACGAGATTCGCGTGTACGGCAGTCATTTAGACCCTAGTAGATATCCCCGCAAGGCTGATTACCGCGCGCCATACCCGATCATTCGCACCCGATTACCCCCTACACGCCTACACGATATTTATCTGCCTTTCCACCAGCTGAAGTCTTTGATCTAAACTCGAACTTGAACTTCAATCTCCCAAACTTTTTTTTTCAAATTATTTACATGATAATATACTCTTCATATCATCAGTTGTTTCGAACATGTGGGAATAATCCACGAATAAGAGACGAATATCCCTGACCGAAACCTGGCGATTATCAAATCACTCTCACCCGCTTACGAAGAAAGACATCGATCTATCCTAGGCGGGTTGTCAAAGACTGCGCAATATCCCATAACTCAAAATATAGAATATATATCTCCATTCCATTCTTAGAAGTCAATATAGTCTTCTTAGACACGACGTTTCATTTCCGCTTTATCTACGATGGCCACTACTGTCAACCCCGCCAGTAACGGCTCTCCCCGTCCGAACCCTCAGATTCAGCCATGCAGATACAAGGTGGGAAAGACATTAGGCGCTGGTTCATATTCAGTCGTAAAGGAGTGTGTTCACATTGACACCGGTCGCTACTATGCCGCGAAGGTGATTAACAAAAGGCTTATGGCCGGCAGGGAACATATGGTTCGTATCCTCTTTTCCTGTATCACCTCTTTATCTACTAGGTAGAGAATCATGTTTAGGCTTCCACATGAGGCTTCTCGTGTAGCCTTAGGCTAGTTACCACGATAACTAACTGTATACCTTATTCCATTAGGTACGAAATGAGATTGCCGTCCTCAAGAAAGTCTCGATGGGCCACCAGAACATCTTAACCCTCGTTGACTACTTCGAGACAATGAACAACCTCTATCTCGTGACCGATCTTGCGCTTGGCGGTGAACTCTTCGATCGCATCTGCCGCAAAGGATCATACTACGAATCCGATGCTGCCGATTTGATCCGCGCGACTCTTTCCGCCGTCGCGTATCTCCACGACCACGGAATCGTGCATCGTGATCTCAAACCGGAGAACCTACTCTTCCGCACACCTGAGGACAATGCCGACCTTCTGATCGCCGACTTCGGACTATCGCGCATTATGGATGAGGAGCAATTTCACGTTCTAACGACAACCTGCGGTACCCCCGGCTATATGGCGCCCGAGATTTTTAAGAAGACGGGTCACGGCAAGCCTGTGGATATTTGGGCCATGGGCGTCATCACGTACTTCTTGCTTTGCGGATACACGCCGTTCGATCGCGATACCGACTTCGAGGAGATGCAGGCGATTCTCAACGCGGACTACAACTTCCAGCCGGCGGAGTATTGGCGCGGCGTCAGCGACCACGCCAAGGATTTCATTCGACGATGTCTGACGGTTGACCCCAACAAGCGCATGACGGCGCACGAAGCATTGTCGCATGCCTTCATCGCCGATTACAGCCTAGGCGGTGACGGCGACAGGGGTCAGAATCTACTCCCAACCGTCAAGAAGAACTTCAACGCGCGCAAAACTCTTCACGCGGCTATCGACACGGTGCGAGCCATCAACAAGTTACGGGAGGGTCAGGCGCAAGCTCACCTTATGGACGGCACCCGTTCGGCGGAACCAGGGCGGGGTGCCCCGCCTCTCAAAGACGTGGCTCAAGGCGACTCGGGGTACTCGAGCACGCAAAACGGAGACGTGGAGATGGGCGGTACGGGTCCAACGTCAGGGGTACCAGCAAGCTTAAGGCCTGGCGCTGCTGCGAATAGAGTCGTCGAGACGTCAAAAGGACTATGGACCGCGAGCCAACCTCGAAGGTAAGGAGGCACACTAGTCATGGGAGAACTCATGCTAGCATCGTTGCTAGAGCGACAAGAGGAATTATCTTATTTAGAATGCATCTCAGGAAAGCGAGCGAACAGGTATTTAAGGCATGTGATGACAGATCAGTGTAATTAACTTTATGATGAGACGAGACGAGATAGTTTCCGGTACATAAAGTGTATGAGCAGGAAAAGAAATCAGCTCGAGCAGCATCCGCTTTTTTTTTCGGGATGGAGATAGTCGGGATTTCAGCAAACAACTGAAGATATCACCGATCAGATATGGATCGCATCGAAGGGATGATGGGAGATTATCTAACCCTAACCTAATTGATATAACGACCCAATTCGAGGGTGAAATGAACAATTTGAGATGCTGATCTTGTTACCCGCATGCATAACGTCCCTTCTTGATTTATCACTTTGCTTGTCACCTACCTAACGGTAGGTATGTATATGCAGACACACACCTACATAGTACATACACAGATACAGGTACAGTAAGACTACCTACCTAAGATCGATGGTGTCGTGATATACACTGCGGGCAGGGCTTGCAAGACATGTGATGCGCCTATATGCATCCCTGTCATATGACGGTAGATGAGATGAGCTTGCTGGCTTAGGTTGGCTGCACTGCACTATTCGGCGCCGGTCCTGCTTTTTTTTTTCTTTTTCTATGGAGATAGTTTTATGAAAAGCTATGCATATGGATCTTCACAGATACCTATTTCGGTTATCAGAAGCACAGCTTCTAGATTTCTCTAGAGCATATCCACTACTTACCGACCATCCGAGTAATGTGTATGCACATACTACAGATGCAGTAACAGCTGAAGATTATTTAGTTCCCAGTTCCAGGTCAGGTTCATGGGCGTTAGTAGGAATCTGTTATCTAATGCCAACTTGAAGAGAAATTGGACTAATTGGGACGGTCACAAGCAAACATCTGGGCAGTTGAGGAAGTCGTGAATCGCAATCCGCGCGCTCCATGCATCACTGCAAGCTTGTCCCGGGTCTTACAAACGACCTACGATTATTAGGTATGCAGGTATGTACCTGGCCAGCTGGCTTGCCTGAACTTGCCTGAGTAATGCCAATGCAACAGGTCTCTTCACCTCCATTTCATGAATCATAGGCTCTGGTTTAGCCAAGCTAGAGTTAGATGCGGGCGTGCAGAAGAGACAATAGAGCTTGATTTTTTTTGGCCCGAGTGTCTTGGGGGTTAGACAAGCATGATATGCCGATCTTGGGCATAATCAGAGGCGTTAGAGTACATAGTATGCACCTTACCGGTATCGACGAGGTAGAGGATCAAAGTAGGATCGCCCGAATCAGATCCCAGCCTCGTCTTTTCATAAGGTTCTTATTCCTACTCTTTTCGGTTATTTTATTTTTTTTCCACCGCTCGTTCTCGTTCTCGTTATCCTATTTTTATGTCAGCTTTTCTACATACGTGGAGGGAGTCATCCCGAGCAGTGCAGGCGGCGTAGGGCTTAGAAGAAAGCAAATGTCCCAGGTAGATTTCAAGGCCTATGCACCATGTAATAGACGTCATTTGCGCCTAAATCTCCAGTGATAGATAGTGGCAGAGTGGGTAGAAACGGGCGACGGGTTGCTAGCCAGCTAGCTTGTCTGCTTGTCCGTGAAAAAGAAAAGAAAAATTAAGAGGAAAAAATTGAAGTACAAGTGCCGAGGTCTTCCCTGTCATGTAGAGTACAATCCATGGATATGCATCTTTGGTTGGCTTGACTGGGATATGCTCGCGTGCTACAGGCGAACTACTGGAGAAGCGATTCAAGCGATAAAAAGTAAAGAAATATTTAGATTGGACAATAAATTGTCGGTATTGGTGTAGATGCAAGAGGTATCCCATGTACCGTATGTATTGTACATACATACATGTCCATACATGTCCATTCCAACAGCCCTTTCCAAGCCCATCTAGCCAGCTAGCCAAAATTGTGATCAAAGTCGTGACTAACGTCCAGACTTGTGTAACACCTAGCGTTGTCGGGTTTGTAATGAAGGAAAGTCAAACCCGTCTGTCCGTTTTATTTTGTCCGTTGTTGCCGAATTGTCAGCCGTCCCATACATAGATGGACGGACCTGCGGACATGGGATTCTTCAATGTCGCGTGATGCGAATAATGCACATGCCGTCAAGGAGTCAAGGTCTAAAAGGAGAGATAAGTTATCGAGGTGCGGTGGACCAACATTCGCGGGGAGAGTAGCATTCTAGAAAGTATTCTGGTCAGATCTTCACATGGTGCCACTTTGACGCTCTTTTGCTTCATCGAGAGTCCATTTCCAAGTCCACCCAAGCCCAGAATACAACTGTATGAAGGAGCCGAGACTCGGATAAAAGTGTCTCTGTTTTTCTTAGTCGTTTTAATCGTTTTCCAAGTCGAAAAAAATCGCACGATCCCTTATTCGAACTTCGTCTAGTCTAAGGGGCAACTCCGAACGCCGTGGCCCGAGATGAATTGGTCTACAATTTTCGCTTATTATCTAATTCTTTGCCCACTTGGCTGCTTGGTCTTCGGCGCATAGCTTTGTCGGTGAATCGGGGGAAGAGCGGATACCGAGCCCGAGCATTTGCGGTCACTCGCGGGTTATATCCACTTTAGCTCGCCAGTACATACCTTGAGGTAAGTAGGTATGTACCCACTCCCACGCGATCTCGCTAATACGCTGTAAATTGACAGTGACTCTGATAATTGTGACCGTTTCATGGTCTTAAGATGTTGACCCCCAACTACCAACTGCGACCACAGCAGCACAGGTACTCAACCTCTCCCGTCCCTTACTTGTTTGGCTAGGCGCAGATGCGCAGACGCATCTTGATCCATCCATCCAACCTCATTCGATTAAACTGCAACTATCTAGATGCGCATAAGTATAACAAGATCGAGAGGATCGAAATCACTCACACGACACATTGCAACCTACTTACCTGTCTTCCTGTCCTCTTGTCTCCCTGTCCTGGGCCTGCCTCCCCGTCTTCCTATCTACCTAGTACCTAATACCTATAAATTGCGTAGATTGCAATAAAAACTCTCACGTGTCCATTCCCCATTCCGGATATTAAACTATCTTCTGTAGGGGCAATAGTCCATGACATATACGCGTACAATGAATCAGGATGATTGTGACAAGAGGCTCTGTGACCTCAAAAAGGTGGAAAATGCAAGAGAGTGGGTTCTGCCAAGGACCTGAGACTGGTTTAACGTCTCGGTGCCAAGAGACGCTTGCATCGTAGTCGTTACACAAGCGCGCAGAGACGTAACTGTACAGAGTACATTGCCTCGTACTGTACTTCGCACATCGTACCCGGCTCGTGTGCGAGGTACTGTACTTTTGCTATTCTGTCCAAGACTCGACTGCTGCTCTTTTCTGAATCCCGTACAAGATGATTATGCACATGTGTGCACTAATCAGCAGCTCTTGCAGCCCGATTCCCGTCCGTCTCATCCGAATTGGTCCGGCTCTCAGGTGTGCTGATGCTTGTGCTGACTGATTCGACCGGCCAGCTTCCACATGATTCTCCGGTGTGGTTCTGTCGAAATCGAGGATTGATTCTGGCAGTCTTGGTAGGTATTTCATAATGGGGAAAATTGATAGGATGTAAGATTCCCTATATATAGTGACTTCCAAGGTTCGAAGAATCCGAGGTCCCTTGCTTAAACCCTACGGATATCTGACATGAGAATCTAGCATGTCAACATGGCACGGGAAACTAACAATCGGATTTCTCTTGTCAAGGCTGTCAGGGCTGAGGTTATTTGATTTCTATGCTCGGACTTCGCAAACCCACTGATTATGTCATCGACATTTAACCCTTGCACCTCGTTTAGTTACGAATAAGTAAGTAGACTTGTATAAAAAAGACCCGGTTATCAATCATAGTAATCCACCATCCCAACCTTGAAGAGATGCCACGAGCTTCAATTAAGCTCGATACCTAATGTACCTCTAAGTACTTCGTGGGTAGCGCAGATTTAAGGTTGACTTGCGGCGAGGCTAACGATTTAGGGCGGGAGATAACATTCCATCAAGATATGATTAAAATAATTAAAATGATCAAAATGATCGAAGTGTGGCTTTAAGCTGTATAATAATATTTGCAATTTTGCTGCGTGATTAGACACAATTATTACACGGGCTGTATATGGGGGTCTAAAACACTGCTAACTGTTGCCAATATCTTGAATGTTTGTTACACCTGACCCTTTATACGAAATGCAACTGGCCAACCCAAGGTGCCAAGATGCCTTACATGAAAAGGTTTTATGTAGGATATTAAATCAACCGTCGGTTGGTCAACCTTACGTCCAGTTCATGGCCAAGCGGCAGGGCTGTAAGCTGTAAAAAGGTCTTCGGATAACACCCATACGCACCGCCTTGGCAAAACACAAATCTTCGATGAAATCCTTCAAAGCCATGAAAGCCATGAAAGCCATGTAAGCCCTGAATGCCCTGAATGCCCTGAATGCCTTGAAGTTCGGATGTCATGTACATGGATACATGTACCGTACTTATACTGCGTATTGAACTGACTAATGGTGTCTTGTTGCGAAGGGTTACCCGAAGAGATCCTAGTCCTATCGCAGTTACATATCTGCGGAAGGAGCGTATTCGGGATACAAGGGCGAGTAAGTCACCAATCCGGACCGTGTTAGAATTTAAGGTTGCGCAGGGTTGCGGTACAGCGCTTGCGCCGAACCGATTTCTTAGAAATCATGGTGCACTAAGGGGTCACATTTTCGATTCGCCTCTTGATCTTTCCGTGATGAGTTGTAATGCAATGTACAGTACAAAGAATCAGTGCGTTGTAGGTGCACCTAACTAATTAACTCCCGGATGCGCCAGAAATCGGGATTGGCCCCGCTAAGATGTGAGTGTTTGTATGTACAGTACCTAACACCTGCAGATGTACGTGGTATTGTACATATCTTTCTTAGCGCGTTTAGTGCGTTTTCCAACATTGAATGGGTGTTTTAGTGAATTCCGTAGCGATGAATGTACCTAAGTACCGGCATTATGTACATCTGTTGTATTCAAAAATCCATTACTCACAAATCCCAAATACCAATCCCACTCCTAAACGGTCTAGGCAGATCCCCACAATAAAAAAAAAGAATGATCCCTATCCAATAATTCATGACTGTAGAGACCAGATTCTACCAATGAGCAAAAGCTCCTCTTTTCACATCCCTGTCCCCGTTATATCCGGATAGTGAGTTATTATGTACAGCGACAAAGCCCTTGGCCTTGGGTCGGTAGGGTTTTTTGAGTTCCTTTATTATTAAAGATCATGTACCTGCCCTTCCCTCTCTGACTCCCGCATTCCTGTCGCATGATTTAGGAATTGCGTCGCGTATGTGATTCTTCAGTCAAGCCGGCGACCTTTGATATTTTACCTGGGACGGATAACTCTTCACCTCAGTATACTTAACCAACCCTCCGCCGCTCGCCACCCGTCTTTGGTTTAGTTTGGGGATCTTTTGGTACAACGACGACTAAATAGAGCTAGGTCAAAGCTCTTCCCCCCCGCCATCCGCTATCCGCATCCCGCTGTACTTGTGCCTGTGCCTGTGCCTGTGCCCGTGCCGTTGACGAATACGGTATTTAACTTTCTTGAAGGACAAGGGACAATACATAAAAAATAAAAATAAAAATTACAAAACTAGCTCGAGTATCATTTCTTCGTCATACTGAGACGAAAGAGATCCGATGCGGCAGACAAACACCACAGTTGTTGAAACGGAGACACAACTCCCTCTGGGATGGCGTGAGAGGTTGAGTCCGTCTAAACTCAGCTCGATACCAGGACGTTACAATCTTCCTCGAATGTTTAGAAAGTCCGGCCACTCGACAAAACAGATGCGCGAACCTGTGCCGACAAAGAGTATTTCTGCTCTCAAAACATCTTTCAAGATCACAGACACCTTCGAGGTATTGAGGACGAGGAGATGGAGTGTATTCGATGTGCAGTATGCTGTGGTGACAGCGCTATGCATCTTCTCAATATGGATTGTTGAGCCTTCAGCACCGATAATCAAGACCGCCGCCGGACTTGGATACCTTTTACTTCTTTTAATGCCCGCCACAAATCAATTCTTTCTACCGTCTTGGCCGATATGGACTTACCTCCTATTCTTCTTCTCTAGCCGGTAAGAGATTTTTTTCTCATTTCATAATACCTACAGAATACAAGGACAGAAACAGAAGCCAAAACAGCAACAGCAACAGGAGCAAGACACCAGATGAGCCCTGTGAGGCGCATCTACTCCTGTATCGCATCGCAGCACAGCGCAGCCCAAAGAAGCATCCTACATGATACTAAAACCAAATGCAATTGTCATACTAACCTCATGAACCAGATTCATCCCCTACGATATTCGCCCAGACATCTTCGTCAAGGTTTTGCCAGCCTTGGAAGATATCCTGTACGGAACCAACTTCTCCAACTTTTTCTCAAAGTGGACTCACCCTGTCCTGGACGTTATCGCTTGGTTCCCATGTAAGACAAGCCCCATTTTCGGACGGAGACTTAATTCCCTTCGGTGCCACCATTCCTCAATCGGGTTCTTAGTCGGACCCGAGTATTTTTTCAAAGAATTTAAAACATTTAAAACATTTCATCGATTTTAATCGATTTGATACAATACCGAGAATCCCGAGAATCAAAAACTAATTTCAATTCGATAGATGGTATCGGTCATTTCGGTCTTCCCGCTGTTTGCTCGGCGATCATGTTTATCTTCGCGGCCCCTGGGACGGTGCCAATGTTTGCGAAGAGCTTCGGTTGGATGAGCACGCTAGGCGTAGCGATACAGCTATTCTTCCCCTGCACGCCGCCATGGTACGAAAGGCTACACGGCTTGGAGCCCGCAAAATATGGGATGCAGGGTTCCCCCGCCGGCCTAGCGCGGATCGACGCCCTATTCGGAGTCGACATGTACACCACCAGTTTCACCACTGCCCCAGTCCCCTTTGGCGCTTTCCCGAGTCTTCACGCCGCCGACGCCATTCTCGAGGCTTTATTCATTAGCCATTGCTTCCCGAAATTGAAGGGTCTCTGCTTATTTTACGTCTGCTGGATCTGCTGGGCTACGATGTATCTCAATCACCATTACGCCGTCGATTTACTTGGAGGTGGTATTATCGCTTACTCGATTTTCGCTACTGTACGCAAATTTTGGTTACCCCGGCCGCAGTCCGGTAAGAAGTACCGATGGGAATACGAATATGTGGAGGTTGGTGAGAATAATAAGAATAAGGCGTTGGACGAGGAACTTGGATACGCATCCGTTGGCGCGGGTAAGCGGAGCGCTGATTTTGGCGACGAGTTTACCGTGCTGGATAGTTTCATGCACTCCGGATCGTCAAGCGGCAGTTCAAGCCCGACGTCTACCGTCCGCAGCGATAGGAGTAATAGGCGGACGGATTGAGGGCACGATTTGGATGGGGATGAGGATGAGGATACTTAATTGCATAGACGAGACGAGATGCCTCGGATATTATGATACCACGATACACTACTAATAGTTATTAGAAATAAATAACAAATAATAATGATACCAGATCAGTTCCTGGATACAAACAAGCCATACGTACAGACACCATACATACAGACACTGTCATTGGTTTCCTCTGAATCAAGCTTTACGATTCGCAATGGGACAATTGCGTGGTATTTCGATGCGGCGTCGATGCGGCGCGGAATCAGCGCTAGGTCCGCGATATAGATCGTGATCGGTAGATGGAGTGTTTTGAATCCACCCTGGTCCTTGCGATGTCCCAGGTCATAGCTTTTGTGCAATCGGGGATGGTGACGCGCGTCTATTTGTGCTTGCGCCCCTCGATTTTATGTCCCAACACTATCGAATTCGATGTTGTGCAGAGAGCCCTGCAACGATGTTTACTCTGCGACACCTTGCCGGTTTAAGAATGAAGGATTCGATGGCGGCAATTTTAGACGGAGACCTATTTAGCTACGGTACCTAATTAGCTACTGCAACCACTTTAAATCACCGGACGTTTTAATCCGAGCGACATCTATTTCAGCTTGTTTCAATCACAAGCCCTATCGACGTTTGGTGCATTGTGTACGAAGTATTGAGGCAATTACATGACCGCGTCGGCTCCGGCGCTGGTTTGTCCAACAGCGAACTTTCGCTTCTCGTCTGTATCCAAGACTTGAGACCCTGATAATCCCTCCTCCGCTTGGCTTTCGTTGTCGGAATTCGGTGTATTGTCTTTTTCGGTTGGGTTTAATTCGCGAACGACGAGCCATGTAGGGAAGGACGCAAGAACTAGGTGATGCTACGTTAGTATATACGTATATCTTAAGAGTTGGTAGGTATGTATATGAGGTAGGTAAATAATCGGTCAGCGTAAATGGCCATCGGTAAAACTCACCTAGCAATATCGTGTTCACAGCCAAAGGCACTCTACCTCCAACCCATTTCTTCGTATTGAGGCCGAAACTGATAGCTTGTGCGAAGCTCTCCTGTCCTCTCAGGATACCCGAGAGCCGTGTCAATTCCGAAATGTTGTCCGTCTTGCTAGCGACAAGGTAATCTGGTAGGAGTCAGCGTATTCCACCTCATAGGTAACTCGCATCCGTAGGTAAAGGCAAGTAAGTCACTCACAAAGCCAATTCTGCAAAGCCTGCCTAGCAAAATCCCACAATATCAACACAAAGAACCCCTCCACAAACCCCTTATCCTCCCAGTCGTACGCCGGCGGGTTACGCGTGTATTTCTCCTGCACCACCCAGCCGTACGTCCACGCGATGATATGCCACATCACAACCCAATAGAACCCAATCTCAACGCGCCGCTTCACAGGGAGCTTCTTATAGTCTAGTAGCGCCGAGACCAGTTGCGAGGACAGCAAGGTGCCGAAATTCCCCGCGAAGCCGACAAGCGCGCGGGCCCTGACGCCGAAGTAATACGACTGGAAGTTCCCGCTGTACTGATTAAAATACGCAGCCCAGAACACAGGCAAGAGTAACAAGATATCCCTCCTCTTACAGCTCGCCCACAACGCCCTAAACTCCGCGCCTAAGGTAGCTTCGCGACGAATCACAACCTTAGACCCATCAGCGCGCTGCACCTTCTCCGGCGACGAGAGCAGTAGGGCCAACGGCGCAGCAACACACTGTAGCGCGATGAAGACAAGATACGTCTGATATCCAACCTTGCCCTTGGCCTTAGCATTAGCATCATGATTAAGCCCCAACACAATCGCGCCTCCAACCAACGGACCCCCCGTCCGGAACCACAGCCAAATATTCAAATACCGTCCCCTCTTCCCGGGCTCCGGGTACCCCAACGCAATAGCGCCCTCACTGGCCCAGAACAAACCCGCGCTAAACCCGCACGCCACGGCGCCGACGAGTACGAGCCACACGTTGCCGTACCGGTTATTCGCGTACAGGCCCGCGGAGTAGACGGGGTAGCCCACGGCACCGAGGAAGAGCGTGCGCGAGAGCCCGATGCGGTTTGCGATGGGGGCACCGAAGAGACAGAGGAACCCCATGATACTGAATACGAGCGCGTTGGCCGCGTTGACTAGGTACGGCTCTTGAGCGCCGCCCGCGCCGAGGTTCGACATGGCGTTCCAAAGCCCTGGGGCTAGGAAGCCGACGCCGCCGATTACGATGGCGTTGAAGAGGGTGGTGTGGTACCATGTTCGCTTTTGCGGCGGGACAGAGACGCTGGTAGTGTCCGGGGTTGGAGAGACTGCCTCGGTAGCCATTTTTGCGGATGGGGGATGTGATGGCAACTGGTGTTTTGTTATGGGAGTTGTCCTATCCTGTCCACACTAGGTGTCGTCCGAGCGAGCTCGAAGCTGGTCAAGGCGAAAGTTCGCGAGATCTGACCTACGTGCGTATGACAGCCCCATCTCCCACGTGGGAGACGCAACGTTGTTTTTGTATCAATCGTTATCGTCGAAGTTGGTTCTTCTCTCCCTTTGCGCGATGATACGCTCCGATTGCGACATCTATACTAGACCCACTATCCCGGCCTGCAGCCAAGACGTCGAGCACCGGGATGTCCATATTTTCGGCTCGTCTAGCTCGTTATGGATGATGCCGGGAGCGCCTTGCCGATTTCAACCGTTAGGAAGCGAATTATCTTCTTGTTTAGGTATTGTTGAGGGTATGGGTGCGATGTCGAATATTTCAAGACTCCCGGATTGGCATCTCCCAGAATTTCATCGCCGCCTTTAAACTGGTAGTAATATGAACTGGAGAGTTCGTTCAGTTGAATTCGACAGTTCTCGTGTTGTCTATTGCCAGTACCTTTGGATAGACTTGTGGTGATAGCACTTAGAAAATTTGAAGGTAGATGAATTCCATCGTACATGTAAAGCAACAGTAAATGTTTCCAAATTCGATAAACCTATTTTGATATTATTGGTATGGATTCATGACGAAGTACATACCCGCTTGCCCCTAACCAGTATCGCTACCTGTAAACCAGGTTCCAAACAAATAAGCCAATGAATTCCCAATGTCGCTATGGTAGAATAGTCAATCCAGGGCAATTAGACTGCCCAGCGGTTGAACCACAAAATATCCTCAAAGCCCCATGCTCATACACCGAATCTAAGTCTCATGGTGTATCTCGGCTCCTTGTTTCTCGTCGTTCGGTTGCGCGAAGGACATTGTTCCTCTTGAATTTGGACTCGATGGCCGTCCCAATTTTCAATTTCCAATCATGACAAGCCCCCATATCAGAACAAGTATGAGTATAGGTATGACGATAACCGATGAAATAACTGTGAAGCTCCAAAACGTCCCCACGGCTGGGATGAAGACTAGACAGCTTCCAATAGAGAGTAAAGGAACAAAGATGAAAGCCGTGACGAGTAAACGTAGGCCGTGGTCGGAGACCCCTGGATCCTCTTCACGAATGGCCCGAAGGTGCACGGGTATGCCGAGAATTCTTTGAAGTCGGCGGATAAATGGTATAATCGTAGCCCGTTGTTCAATGACCGATGCGTTTATGAGAAAGTTGTAGCCTATCCGGAAACATCGGGCGATGATCGTGAAAGCAAGGATTTGTGCGACGTTTGTTATTAGATCCATCATGATGTTTGGTTTCGGAGCTACCACGGTGTGCTTTGGAGATCGTGTTTTGGCCGGAATGGAAAATAGGATAGTTAATACCTAGGTAAGGATAGTGTGTTGTTAGATGACCAGGTTGAGAGTTAATATTGCGATATTGAAATTGAAGTTACCAAAAGTGATAGATATGGTACCTATTTGAATGTTGAGTTTAGAATGTGAATAATATCAAGAAGAAGTTCGTGGAGGCTTGGGGAATTAATCATAAGTCGAGGGATTTCCAGTTTCAAGGATGTCACTTCCATATTGTATCTTCCAATGTCCTTGCCATCATTGACGAGTTGATCTTGCTAATGACTGCCCAGGTGAACTACCTAGTAATGTATGAGAGATAACATGAACAAGCTTGCTGTTTCCGTATGAACATTCGTGCATAAGCCAATTCAAGGAAAGATCCTTCCTAGACCTGAAAACTATCCCCTGATTTCCAAGTTGTCAATCCATTTCTTACACATGTTCCCTTCCATCTCTTCATTTTCTGTGTATCATACACTGAGTACCTAGGTAGGTAAGTAATTATTACCCTCTCAATTCCGCCTTGACAGCCTCTCTTGCCGCCGCAGCATTATCCAACGCACCCGGCAAGTCGGAATGAATGCATATACTAAACCCTTGCCGATCGACCGCTATTTCCACCATATCCCCAGACTTACTTTCCACCTGACCCTTACCCGCAAATGCGAGAATCCGTTTAGCAACCAATTCAGGGGTAGCAGGAACTGATTCCGCCACCGACATGAGCTGCCCCTCGTTGTTATAGTTGAGGTCCGCGTAGAACTCAGGGATAAGTTTAATTCCAATCCGCTTGCAGTCCTCCACCATATGCTTCGTGGGAAGACTGTAGATAGGTACGTTGAAAGCCTTCACTGCGCGGAGCACGGCATCGCGGATGTCGGCATCCCGCTGCACGTAGAAATACAGCTCACCGTGCGGCTTCACATGGTTTAGAGGGACGCCCTCTGCCGCGAGTATGCCGGCGAGGGCTCCAACTTGGTACAGTACTAACGCGTACATGTCATCGGGGGCAACGGCCATACGTCGCCTACCAAAGCCGAGAAGATCCGGCATTCCGGGGTGAGCGCCGACACGTACGCCGTGCTGCTTGGCGAGACGAACTGTACGAACCATGGTTGATGGGTCACCGGCGTGGAAGCCGCAAGCGATATTGGCGACGTCTACGTATCGCATCAGATCTTCGTCTGGGCCCTGTGATCGTTATTGTGAGTTACTAGTGAACAGGGAAGTAGATGAGTACCTACTAGGAAGATAGATACAGACTTACCATCTTCCATCTCCCAATGCCTTCCCCCATATCGCAATTGATCTCTATCCAACGTGACTCGGCCATGGCATACGACTAACTGTGTACTAGTCTTGCTTGGAAGCTGAAGTGATTTTCGGTTGGGGTTTCCCAGTGATCGCAGTCATATGCTAGTATATATCAGGGCTGTCATTCATTTGAGGATAGGGACTGAGGGAGTAGCTCTATCCGAGCAGATGGTTCCCCGCAGGTATGACTTGCAGTGGTCTTGTCTCAGTGGTCCGACTTTCGATGCATGCAGTTAGCTGCTTCAACCCCATAAAGCCGATCGGTGCTCTTGTCCACCAATCACTCCTTGGGATGGTTATCGTGATGAAGTTCGGCGGATGTGGCTTGCTGATCGCCGATATTCCTCACCGACGTCACAGTCATGAGAACTTGGAGTAGGATCGTTTATAATTGAGCCCATCTTCGATCGCGATGGTGATGTCGCACTAATTGCGCTAAGCTAGTAAGTCGGCGTGGGAAATGAATCTCAAAATAAATGCAATCAATAAAATGAAAAAAGTCTTTAAGGCCCAGCCCGAGGTATTGTTGATCGGCTCCTGGCTACTGCGCCCCTGCTATTAGGTATTTCTTTGCCACTCCATTTCAGGCCCCTTTGATTGATTGCATTATTTTGTAGTTTTTTTTTCAAATATTTTTTTCTAATTGTTTCCGAGTTTTTCTGATTTATTTTGATGTATGCTGCTTTTTTTTTTTTTTTTTTTTTTTTTGCTTTTTGCTTTTTTTTTCTTGCAATCATCGGGAATCGAACCCTAGACCTCCCCATTTCAGGGGTGTCGTTAAAAGGGGTAAGATGAGGTATCTGAGGCACATAATTAACTAGACCATTGCCAGCAAGGCCGTTAATCTAATGCCGCCGATTGAAAAAAGGTACTGTATTATGTTATTTAAGTACTGGTTCGAAACTGAATTATGAGCACTGGGCAAGCAAGACGCATTATGCGTCTCCATAGCGACAGATAGGTAGCTTAGACGCATATCTACTAATAGTACCTACGTGACTCGGCATCTCGAATCAAGGGTCCTCATGCTAAATTCATCATACCGTAGTCCATTATCCTTATCCTAACATTCATGATACATCCCAAACGATAAACTGTCACGACTTGCCTACCTAGGCAGGCTCCTCGAGAAGGACAAGATGCGTCCCGGGTGATACCAAGGTCCCTTCCTGCACCAAAAGCTCCTTAACCACCAATCCATGATGAGACTCGTCCGCGGGAACCTCGATCTCCATCTTCATAGCTTCTAACACTATGATCGCCTTACCTTTCTCGATAACATCTCCAGATTTGACGTGGAGTTTCCATACCTTACCAATCTGAGGCGACGCGACCTTGATCCCAGGTGTCGCATCATCGATTTGTCGAGGTACACTTCCACGGTTCTTCTCTTGAACCAACTTCCATTCTGAAAGCAGCTCTTCTTCGCGAATGCGCATCTTCTGTTCTGCCGCTGCTTGCTTGGCGCGGAATTCAATCGTCGTAGGCAAACGGCTGGCCTCGTGTTCTTTTGCGAGCTCAGCGTGGACATCAAATGTAGTTTCCTCGACCTTTATCTCATACGTGCCGGCTTCGAACTGTCTCAGTATCTCGGTATACTGCTCGAGGGTTACTTCTTCAAATTCGATCAAGTCGAATGGTTCGCATAGCCAAGGCTTGGACTCTCGGAACCCTGGTCGTAGCGCGTACGTATCCCACACCGGGATTGATCTGGCAAGCATCATGTAACCTCCCGGTTGGTCTGCTGGGTATACACAGAACAAGCCACCGCCGAGAGCTACGGTACCTGGCGGTGTTGTGATCCGAGTGGGATTGTACTTCTGACCAGTGAGGCGCGCAAGGGGATCTAGAGGCCACATAATCGGTAAGCCAGTCATGAATCCGACCGTCACGACAAGGAATCGTGTCTTGCGAAGAATGTCGAAGACGTCGTTACGAGAAGAAAGACCGTTGTTCTTCTGCACGTATGCGACATTATCGTCCGTATAAACGGCTTTCTCACGCTGCATAGTGGAGTATCGTTTCTCTGCTTCGCGAATAGAGGGATGGTCGAATACGATGGGCAACGTGAAGCGACGAGCTGATACTGGCTTTTCGAGGTTGCTACTCTGTTGATGTGCTGCGTTGATTAGGGCGACGACGTCTGATTGAGCAATTATCTCCGGTTCGTATTCGACATTTATCGCTATGAAGAGGTCTTAGTCAGCCCATCGAGAAGGTGAAGTCTGACGTATACTTACAGTTAATGTTCACATGCACGTATGTACCTGGTGTGTCTCTGTTTTGAATGGCTCTGGCTAGATTGTTCGCCGCTACCGAGGTATCGAGGCCAACTTTTTGAGAACTTATAGCTATGTCGATGATGATGAACCGATCTCCACCCTAAAAGTAAAGATATGGTTAGTAGGTGCGGGTAGATTTATAATTGGCATTAGATGGCATACCTGACGTAAGGTGAGTTTTGCTCCTGAAGCGGTGCTACTAGGAATGACTTCCAATACTGCGTCTGTGTCTGCGGCTACTTCTTCCACCTCTAAAAGTGAAAGCGGGTTCTCATGACTCAAAGTGCCATTAGATATATGCCCTTGAACGGCACGTAGGAATTTGGTCTTTCGTTCCGCTAACTCTCGAGCCGATTTGTAGGATATCGGTGTCAACGTCGTCTTGTCTCCGGGTTTGAGCTTTCCTAACTTCCACATATCCGCGGTGACCACCGTAGAAGAACATACAAAGCCACCTAACCCAGGAGCATCCTGCGGAAATATCACAGGACTGTCGCCAGTCCAATTGATCCCACCCGGCGATGGATAGGGGTAATCAACGACATTACTCGGATGGCTGCCACCCTCTTCTCCATGTGTTCGGGCCCATTCTATCTTCGGACCATCTAGGCGAATGCCAGTCCGATTGCAATTGTAGTCCACTGTCCACTTGGTGGAATAGATAGTCTGTCGACCAGCTGCTGTTATCAAATCATTGGAGTCATGTGGGCCATGCATCACATAGATGGTCTTCGCATCGCTGGGAGGAATCAAGCTTCGTGGGAGTTGATAAGAGTCAGGTATCTCAGATTGCTCGATGTGCTCCAGCTCGAAGAAATCCCCACTTCGAAGCTGGCGACCCTGCATACAGCTTTAGTACCTACGTAATCTTTTTAGGGTTGCTGCGGAATAACTCTTACTTGAAGACCTCCTAAAGCAAGACTTTGTGTCGTGGACTTGGATCCCAGCCATTCTGGTCTGTTTGATAGGTAAATATTAGTATTTGAATTGCGAGTCACTCATTGGAGATACTCACAATTTAGGAAGCCCCCCCTTTATTGCGATATAACATCGCCCTCCTGGAGTAGCGGATGCACCTATCTTGAGTACCTCCTTTGGTTTGACGATAATCCTGGACCACATATCTTTCGGCTTCCCGTCAATGTCAACGATAAATGGTGAGCCTGTAATGGATACTACGCATACGCTATGAAAGAGGAGTTCTGGTCCCTGGGCAATAACCTCGAAACATTCGACATTTTCCGAATTTCCAACGAGTAAATTCGCAACTATGACAATTAGTAAAGGCTGATGGGAATAAATGGGTAGATAATAGAACATACTTCTGGCAGACAAGTCATCCCCTGGCCCGCTTATAGGTATGCCGTAACCCTTCCTGGTTCTTGGTTGGGCTTGTTGGACAGTGGTGGAAGCCCCTGGTTTTATGACTTGCATACCCGTGGGATTAAAAGTGAACTGGGTCTCTAGGAATGTTGTGAGAGTTTTTCCGCCACAGAATTCTGTTCAATAAGTCAGTAATGACCGATATTGACCTCACAGTGTCAAGGTGCGGGTTTACTACTAGGTACTTACCATTCGAACGAATGATGGATCCAAGAAATGCCAAGTTTGTGACCAGTCCGCCAACTTCCGATGTACTCAAGGCCTTCTGCATCGCGATAATAGATCCCTCTCTTGTAGGTGAGTGAACTATAACTTTAGCTAATAGTGAATCTATCAAGTTCGTGATTCATTGTTAGAAAGATTCTGCCAAAGGCATCCAGGCTTCACTAACCGAAATAGGGGCTCACGAAAGACCCCAATTGTATCCAGGTATCAATACGGGCAGATTCATCAGGCCAGGAGATTGACTGGACATGACCCGAGCTAGGCATGAATGAGTCGGCTGGATTTTCGCAACATACTCGGACTTCAATCGCCGCTCCCTTGGGAACCTTTGTCTGGATTTCTAGAAGTTCGTCAGAGGGAATACCAGCTTTTCCAGCCAGTTGATATTCCGCTTGCCGCAGCATCAATGCTACTAGATCAATATCATAGCAAAGCTCGGTGACACCGTGCTCAACCTGTAAGCGCGTGTTCATCTCTAAAAAGAAGAAATCTCCCGTTTCATCGTCAACGAGAAATTCTACAGTCCCGGCCGATTGGTATTTTATCGACTTGGCTAAAGTCAAAGCAGAGGCGACGAGTCGGTCGCGTATCTCTGGCTTATCAACTAAGTAGGGGCTTGGACATTCTTCAATGACCTAATTCAGCATTAATATGAGTACATGGGTAAATGTCTGATTGGGACGTATGTAGGATGACCTACCTTCTGTCGCCGCCTCTGAATGCTGCATTCTCTTTCGCCAAAGTGGATTACCTCAGTTCCGTTACCAAAAACTTGGACCTCAATATGGTGGCTCGTGGGATAGTAGCTTTCCATAAAGACTCCAGAATCGCCGAAGAGCGCTTTCGAGCGACTTTCTACACTGGCAAAGGCCGCCGGAATCTCATCCTCGGTCCAGCAGGCTTGTTGGCCCATACCTCCACCACCGCCAGAGGCTTTGAGCATGACCTGCGTGAATCGTAAGCAATCGCGGGTCAACTTAAACAGAGACAAACAGCAATAAGTTTATACTGACTGGAAACCCTATATCTCGTGATGTAGTCAGCGCCTCCTCTGCGCTTCCGAGTAGCTTCGATCCTTGGATGACAGGGACACCCGCAGCAACAGCTAGATCTCTTGCTACATGTTTGAGGCCCATACTGTGGATTGCCTCACTGTCGGGACCGACGAAGACCATGCCGGCATCATGGACACGTCTTGCAAAGTCAGCATTCTCACTCAAGAAACCGTATCCCGGGAACACAGCTTCAACGGAATGCTTCTTGCATATATCTAGAATGACGTCACTTCACCAGCGATATATTAGCGATATGAATTAACTGAAGTAATTGTAAAGATCTAACTAATAGGATTGAATTTACACATTGGTATATGCCTTGGGTCCTTCGTCTTCAAGCAAGATGCTTATATCGGCAAGACGAACGTGAAGCGATCCTGAATCTGCTGGTGTGAATATGGAAAGACTGGTGATAGATAGTTGCTTGCATGCACGAATACATCGCACAGCGATTTCACCACGATTGGCGATGAGCACCCGACTAAGAGACATCATGAAGCATATCTCATTACATCAGATGTAAGATAGATGAGCAAGTCAAGTTAAATGAGTATAGCTAGGTACATATCGATGGGATTATTCAAACTTATTCAGACTTATCGTCCTGCCGTTGACGAATAAGGAGGAATAAAGAGGAATGAGGGGAACTGATAAGACCTCTTCGGACGTGAGGGAAGTAATTGGAGCTTAGTGTGACCCTGATAGGCTTCCCCATACGATAATCCTCAATTTCTTGCCTGGAAAAGTTAGGCTTAAAACATAGTGGAATTCCTAGTATAGAAACAGGATCTCGTGTCTCGGCAACATACAAGATCTTCAAGGTCTAGACTTTATGGATAGGTCTGTGATGAGAGATGGGAAAGGAAGATCGTTCTATTTTCGGCATGTACAAGCGATAGTAGGATATGACGGCTGTATTCTATGATTTCTATCAATATGAATCTCTGACTTTCCTAATGCTGTGAGTGAAGGCCTGTGTCGTGGGTTATGTTACCGTACCTAGACTACCTCGCATGAATCGAGACCTAGTACCTACCTAGGTAGTAGATAGGGAGGTATCTAATATTAATCCGCATGCCCAGGCACCCAATCCAACCCTCTCTGCTCACTCACCAAAGTCAACATCTTCCCCTGATCAACAGCGGCCTGCAAGTTCTTCAACACGAGCAACTCCATATCCCGCTGCGTCTCAACCGTGCTCGTCCCAAGATGAGGAAGCAAGAACGCGCGATTACTCTTCACAAGCCCCGGATGCACCTCCGGCTCATTTTCAAAAACATCCAATCCCACCGCTGAAACCTGGCCGGACTCAAGCGCATCCACGAGATGCGCCTCATTGATAAGAGCGCCCCTTGCCGTGTTAACAACCACCACACCCCTCTTCATCTTCGCCAACTCCGGCGCCGCGATGATATGCCGTGTACTCGCATTCAATGCTAGATTAAGCGACAGAACATCCGCCTGAGCAAGCAGCTCATCGAATGAGACGTACTTCGCGCCGTTCTCCAACGATGGGTCTAATCGTTTACGATTGTGGTAAATAATCTCCATCCCCAGACTCCGCGCACGGTGCGCCATCGCGGAACCTATGCCACCCATACCCAGGATCCCGAGTACCTTATTGCGGGGATCATGTCCGAGCCGCATATTCCCCTTCCACCTCCCCTCGCGTAGCGCGACAAGCGGTTCGTGGGCCTGACGTAAAGCGCCGAGCATGAGGAAGATACCAGTGTCGGCGGTGGAATCGTTGACGATGCCAGGCGTAGACGAGACCGCAATGTGACGTGCACTGCACGCGCTCACATCGATGTTATCGTACCCGGCGCCGTTATGCGCGATGTATTTCCACGACTCCGGGAGTGCGTCTACGAGTTCCTTGTTGAAGGGACCGGTGAGTAGCGTCGACATATTGGATCGGTAGCATCCTTGCACTTTGGCGTAGGTTCCGTTCCGGCAGTTTTCGAAGAACTGCTCTCGCGTTCCTTTGCGGAACTCGAGGAGTGAGTACTTTTTGCTAAGAGATGTCCATTCTGCGTTGGTGTGAGCTAGGTTCCCGATAAGGAGGACCGTTGGAGGTGTTGACATGGTGACTTAGTCTTGTGGTGCATTTACGGAATATTAAATGCTTTTATTCATCTCGAAATATGACTGTTTCGGGCAGATATTTGGGAGGTGAGTAGGTAGCTTAACCGAGGTGCCGAATTTCGGAGTAGTAGCCGACCGAAGAATTCACCAACGATCTTGCGGAGATTTCATAGCTTCGTATTTTAGTCCCACACGGTGCCGTATACCTACACGAAACTCTTCGCCCTTCTATTTTCGGCGAGACAACGCGGGAAGAAACTTACTTTGAGATTGGCAATAAAGAAACTTGTTACTGCTTATCTAGAGACTTGCATATGCATGTACCTGTTGCAGACTTCATCGTGGCTTAAGTTAATCTTCAAACGCTGCCTCATTGGCTATTTTGTGTGTCGTACAACAGCGGAAAGATGATCCTGTCTTGGAAGAATTGATACGTCGTTAAAAAAGTAAAATTTCCCTGTGATTTCTCTGCATTTCAGTTGTGAAACCGCACTTATTTCAAAAGCGATTGCGTGCATGCGTGCCTGCTTTCCCCGACCTTAACTCGGCATTGAAGATACTGACAAGGTTCTACGTTTCTGGTTTTTCCCAAATAGGGGGATGATGCTGTAGCCACAACAGCGCCATGAGTTACGAGTGGTTCACACGCAGAGACCGGCTGAATAGGGGCATCAGAAAGTTGGAACTTTTAACTGTTATAACATTAAGCTAGTACTCCATCATATCCACAGGCTACCTACACATCCATTCACGCAATCTTAATGACCAGCTTCCCGAAATGCTTCTGATCCCACTATTTCCACCAAAAATTAGCAATGCACACTCAATATCAAGACAAAATCGAATAGAACTACGTACCATGTAATTATAAGCCTCCTTAGTCTTCTCAAAGTCAAAGACCTCCTTATCGACGACGGGGTGAATATCATTGGCCTCAATCGCGGCAACCATCTCCTCCATCAGCGCCTTTGAGCCGACGTACACTCCTCGGGCTGTGCAGATGTGTCTAAGGGTGTCGACGACGGAAGCTTCTGTTTTGGCGCCGCCAAGCAAGCCGATGACGCTGATAATGCCCTCGAACCGGATGGCCTTGAGACTCTGCTCGACGGTGCCCTGGCCGCCGACTTCGACTACGTGGTGCACGCCCGCGCCACCCGGCGTCAGTTTCTTCGCTGTCTCACCCCAATTCGCATCTTCTCTGTAGTTGATGACGTAATCTGCGCCTAGTTTCTTCAGTGTCTCTCCTTTTGCTGCTGAGGATGTGGTGGCGATGACCTTAGCACCTGCGGCCTTTGCGAACTATTCGAGTGTCAGTAAATAGTGTCGTGTTGGCGCTCTGTGAGTACATACCTGCAGCGCGAAGATGCTCACGCCTCCCGTGCCTTCTACAAGGACCCACTCCCCAGGCTTCAATGGTTTTAGTCCATAGAGCGCGTTCCAACTTGTCAAGGCAGCGCAAGATAGCGTGCTGGCTTCGATGTGGCTGAGGTTGCTGGGAGACCGAACTAATCCGTTCTCGTTGAACACGCCGTACTGACGTAGCGCACCATCCAAGACGCCGCCAAGTCCCGTCACAGCCGCGGCGAAATCGACAGGGCCGAATTGATGGCCTTGGTTAAACAGCGTGACTACCTTGTCGCCTTTCTTCCACTTAGAGACTTTAGATCCGACCTCGACAACTTCGCCAGAACCGTCGGATGATGCGACGACGGGAAATTTGGTCGCGAAGGGATAGATGCCCTTCGGAATCATGAGGTCTCGGTAGTTCAGGGAGGCGGCGTGTATCTTGACGAGAACCTCATTTTCTCCTACTTGGGGAATTGGTGCTTCGGTAAATTGAAGCTCGTCAAACCCCTTCTCGGTTCCTGTGACGACCCATTGCTTCGTGGTTGAGGGTGCCATCTTTTAAGGTAGGGTTGGGGTGAGCTGCTTGTGGTGTTTCTAATGATCAAATGATGGAAATAATGCGAATGGTGCGGTGATGCTGTGATGTTGTGAGGTCTGACGATAATCTGAATTTCAATCTCAATTTAATTAGGCTCAAGTGGTATATATAGAGGTTGCGACCCCTGATTGTTGATGCTAAAGTGACGAATGGTGATTATTAAGATAGATTTACTAATATCCCTGCATAAAATGAAGCGGAGTTAACGTCATGAGTGTGTTGACTATGACAAGAATGTTTCGGGGATTAGGAGAAGACTACTCCTGGAGATAAACTAATGAGGGGCTAATTAGTAACATCCTCGCCGCATCGTGACATTAGTTTGGAAAGGAGGGTATACTTTTACCCTTATACCTAACGATTACCTAAAAGGTCAAGTATTCGATTTATAAGCTTCCACCAATGAACCAACTAGATTCTATCCTTGTGATGATGTTGTCTTTGTTGTCGTGTATGCCCTCTAAACTCAAAGTAAGAGAGGTTTTGTAATATTTTTTAGCATCTGTGGATAGTGGATGGCGGATGGTGGGGATGGAATCTATGGATCCTATTCTGGAGCGGCAAAACATCATTTTTAAACGCTTAGATCACCTCATATGCTAACGGATGAAGTCTTGGCTCGGCTGAACTTGCGGCTAAATCGAGCTCGACACATACTCTTGGGCAGACTCAATTAAGAGTAGATGCGAACTACCGATGATCTTGCTACGTCGCCAATATATCGGAAATGAAGATACAATGAGAGGCGAGAGATGCGGCCTCGACCGTCGGTGATCACTCGTGTCATTGGCTTCCTCAAGCTGCAAGATAACAGACTATCTTGGGTCGAGGGGAAGATAACTGTTCACCGAGTTAGGAAGAATATAATAAAAACATTACTCCTCCGATGGCGAGCTCGTTGGATTCTCTTCCCCAGGTAAGATTTAACAGGTGTGCATTAGTCACAATGTTTCGATCGATCGTACTAGTGTTGCTAACCCTAGCGTGGCCGGATCATGCAGTGGCTCAATCATCGGAGTACGAATATGTCGTAGTCGGTTCTGGACCGGGTGGTGGACCGCTGGCAGTCGAACTAGCGAAATCCGGGCACTCGGTTCTCCTTTTGGAAGCTGGATCCGATCTGTCTGACGACCCTATGTACCAAAACACCGGCAGAGCTCCCGAAGCGGCGAATGACGCAAGAACGAGATGGGATTTCTTCGTGAAGCATTCAGATGACCCAGAGAGAGAGTTGAAGTACGAACACATGACTTGGCGTACCACTAATGGATCATTTTACGTCGGTCTCGACCCCCCTGAGGGCGCAGAACAGCTTGGAATCTATTATCCCCGCGCTGCAACTCTCGGCGGATGCGCGATGCACAATGCAGCCGTCCTACATCTACCTAGCGACCAAAACTGGGACTATATTGCGAACATCACCGGTGATGACTCGTGGAGAGCATCTGAGATGAGAAAGATCTTTGAAGAGATCGAGAATTGCCATTACCTGGAGAATGGAACTGCCGGCCATGGTTTCTCGGGGTGGTTAGACAGTAACCAGGGCACAGACTTCTGGCTGAGTAATGCTACCGACGGAACTGCACTTCTGAAAGCTGTAGCGGAAGCATCCGGCTCAGTAGGGAATAGTACTGGCTCGGCAATATCTGATGACGAACTGAGGACGCTTTTGAATAGAGACATCAATGCACTAGATCCAAACCGTGACCAACTTACTGGGATATTCGGCATGGCGACACATACGGACGCCGCCGGACTGCGTTTTAGCCCCGCGAACTATATCAAGAGGGCACTAAAAGAGAACCCAGAGCTTCCATTGACCGTCGAGCTCAACTCCTTTCTCACGGGGATCACGTGGGACCAGCTACGGGACTTTGAGCCTCCCGCCGTGATGTCGATAGACTACGTCGTTGGACCTAGCGCGTACAAAGCCGATCCGCGATACGATCCGAATCGGAACACCACTACTGGTTTCTCTTGGGTTGGCAAGGAGCTTATCATCGCCGGCGGTACTTTCAACTCCCCTCAGATTTTGAAGCTTAGCGGTGTTGGCCCAGCAGACGAGCTTGAGAAGCACAATATTACTGTTGTAGCAGATCTTCCGGGAGTTGGCGCAAACCTTGGAGATAACTACGAGGGTGGCGTTTTATCTCTCGCTGCTAAACCATTCCAAGGTCTAAGCGGTCCCTACGTTGTCCAGTTGAAGACATCAGCTTCGGATGGTGATCGAGACATATACGCATGGTAAGTGCACCTTATTATTCGTTCAGCAGTTCCATGTCGTTGATTAGTGTGTAAACACAGGCAGTTAAATGCTGGGTTTGAAGGCTTTTGGCCTGGATGGCCCGATAATTTCGGTCCAAACGTCTTAACAATCCCATTCGTGCATATGGACCCGCGCTCAAGTGGTAAAGGATCAGTCGAGTTACGCTCTGCCGATCCCTTCGAACAACCCGAGATAAACTTCCGCTTCTTCGAGGGAGACAGCGAAAAGGACCTGCAGGCCATGCTCGAAGCTGTCAAGTTCGGTCATAGATTGAAGAGCCTTCTCCCGGAAGATTCGGGTCTAAGTCCCTTCGACGAGAAGCATCCATGCAAAGGTGATGACTCTGCTGACTGTACCGATGACGCTATTAAGGAATATCTGAAGCTGCAGGCATACTCGCATCATGCAAGCGGTACCTGTGCGATTGGTAACATCTCCGATCCGATGTCTGTCCTGGACTCGAAATTTAGAGTCAAGGGAGTCAAAGGCCTTCGCGTCGTGGACGCGTCAGTCTTCCCCAAACCACCCGGCGCATTCCCGGTTCTCCCAACATTCATGATATCAATGAAAGCGGCGAAGGACATCTTAGGAGATGCTTAAAGGGTAACTTTCTTTATGAATTGTGAAGATATAGCTCTCCTCATGCATCCACCTTATGAATACTCCATGAAAAGACATCCAGGTATTCTTACGTGAGACTTGACCTTGACTCATTGTTTCCATATACCCCATTTTAGACCTCGCGTCGAATATCTCGCTGTGTCTCAGAGCCACATTCTATGCTGTATCCCCTAGTCAATTCTGCATCGTATGAATCATAATTGACCTCGTATGTGTTAGTAACATAAATAGCCGTGTCGCTATCATTCGTACGCGTCTCATGGATTAACCCTTCTCTGGACTCGGCGCTCCTAAATTGATACCTATGGCTTGCCTTATCCACCCTCCAAGAAAGCGGTTTCTTAATGTGAGCGTTCTGACAATCTTCTGGCGCGAGGGCCAATTTCCAGCGAGGGAGGTGAGCCCTAACGAAAGGTCTGAGGCGTGTCATGCTGTTGCATACTATACCAAGGTTTAATTCCAGCGCTGCGAAGACTGCTGATTCAGCCTGTGTCCACGTCACGTCATCATTCTGCACCATCGCCTTGACGAAGGCAACTCGTGCGATAGAGATAGTAACGACTCTACAAGCGTATTAGTAACACAAGATCCCCCGTGGGTAAAGGGACAAACCCTACGCTGATCCTAGTCCCATAATTAATCCAACAACCACCTTCTGTCTCATAGGCATGTTCAACTTGTGTATTACCGGAATAGGGAGTATGATGACCGCCACCTCGGAGACAATATTCAGAACAGATTGTGATATTATGATGTTATTTAAACAGCGACCGCTTCCGACAAACATCGGGTTACATGGGCCGGCTAATAGAATCGTCAAAACCAGAGTATATGTGCCTATAAGTAATCCAACGACATAAACACAAGTATGGAATAGCTTGAAGGGGTCTATGCGAAGGTAGAGAACCAGCATTGCAAACTTGGTGAAAGTCGACGACCAAAGGTACGTAAGTCCGATGGGTAATAGAACCTTGAGCAGCGTCAGCAGGAATTCCTTCAAGATTGGCCTGATCAGGGTTTGTATGGTAAGTTACGTCGAAGTATCCTTTTTCTTGAGTTGGTGTCACGTCCCATAAATGCCTCCCAAACCCAGATAGCATTCCTGTGACCTGGTCAGTAAACGTCCACGAAGAGTATTCTGGCTACTTGAGAAAAGGGCTCTATGCCTAAAATTATACTAATGAAGTAGCCTAGCGAACCTCCCCATGACATGAGGATAAACACTATTCAAAAGTTAGTAACCAAATCTCGAGGTGAAATTATTTCCCAATTCAAAACTCACAGACATCCCAGTCTAGTTTCTTCACGATGGCAAAAGCCGTGTACAATCGCAGGGCCAAGAAGGTAGTTGCAAGTATAAGAGTGACGGCGAAAACTGATATGAGTGCGCGTTGAAGATACGTCCAATGATGAAAGTCTGGTACTATACCCTCCGGAGGGGGGATGACGCCAACTTCTGGCATTGTGGTTCGTTGTGGTCCTAAGGGATTATGCTATCCTAGTATGCTTGAATGTAGACGATTGATTCATAGGATCGCAGATGGAAAATATAAGGTGGCATAAATACTTAATGTTAACGGGGAATTATGCTATCCCTCGCATTTTCATACCTACCTAGTAGTAGGTACCTACCTGAGAATAAGTAGAGGGCCGGTATCAATTAAATGGCCCCTATAGATACCCGTGGACCCCTCTCGGATGAGGATTCTAAAATGCCTTACGAACATGCTGCGCCGTAGTATCTAGTACGAGTGCGGGGGCTGTTTCTGCACAAGTACCTGGGTATATATACGGAGTGTAACAATGATTCCACGGCGAAATGCGTACTTCAGAAATTTCACCGTGACAGTATTGAAAAAAATAAGCTGAGCGTAGTATTGGGGGTAGACGTCGGTGGGCCATGTCGAGTTTCAATTGGGCGCCTGTCAAAATAATATATATTTTATTAGAAATGACCGATATCTCTGTCCGTTGGTCAAGTAATATTTAGATCAGGACATAGATAGTAATTGTAGGGATACTTTGCTGGTGAAAGCGCGGTGTCATTGATGTTGTTGGAGGATGATGTTCTTCAGTTCTGACGTTTTTGCTTAGGTACTTGAACACCCTTAATTGAGTTATGTCAGCACTGAAGGATTACATAAGTTAAATTTGAATTACATAACATTGAATTACATAATATCAAACTGAGGACTCAAGAGATAGGCATTTCATGGTGATCCATCTGCTGGAATTGTGCTTATTACCAAGTAGCTGCCCATATTAGGCCAAACGGGTAGGTGATTTCCTAGCAGCATTTATGTGTTGGCATCATCTTCAGTCTACTGGATAGGTAGACGCTTATTCAATTACCTTAGTAGCCCTAAATTGGGACCTCTGGGGTAGTTTACGCACTGTATTTTAGTGGATAGCCACTATAATTCGGGACCATAACCACTAAATAAAAAGTTCAACTACTTCCATTCACTGTTCATAGCGACTAACTACTTAGACTAGGAACCATTGAGACATCTAATATCCATCAATAATCCGGATCTGCCCATAATGGATCGTTATCGCGATTTCTGCCCTGGTAATAATCGTAAAAACGATATCCTCCAACATTCCCCGTACCGTGCAGATGCGCATAATCGTAATCGAAATCGTCATCATAATAATCGTGGTCATAATTGTCGTCGTAGCCATAGTCGTAGTCGCCGTAGTTGCGCGCTCCAGGTGTAGGCAGAGGAAAAGGAGTTTGCTTCTCCTTCTCCTTCTCTTTCTGTTCCTTCTCTTCCTTCTCTTTCTTTGCCTTTGCCTTTGCCCGCTCCCGTTCTTGCTGCTTCAGTTTATCCTCTTCATACTTAATGAGAGCATTTCTACCCCATTCCAACAGCTTTACCGGCTCTTTAAGACACCAGAGGACTAACTCCCTAGAAGCAAGTGTGTCCTCTAAGCAGTCGTGGCCTTTCTTAGAGGTCTGTATCTTAAGACCAAGTATCTGCTGAGTCGCACGCTTCAAACCCCAATTATGCCGCAGTCTTTGTGCCCTCCCGAAGGCAGCTTCCGCGACGAGGATTCCAGAGTCGATGACCTGTTTGTGGGCGATATGCAAGACCCGGAGGTCGTGGTTCAGCGCGTGGCCTACGAGTATCGTATCCGCATCGACGAACTGGAACAATTTTGCTCTCGCAGCCGGCCATCCGTCTAGAAACTGACCACTCGCTTTGGCTATCGCCATCTTAGCCGGGGTCACGCCACTCCATCGGGTTCGCCAATCCTTTACGGGTTGGGTAGGAGCTACAAGGGAGTTGACGAGGACCTCTCCGGTGAAGAGGTCGACGGCGCAGAGATGGGCGAGCTCGTCCTTGTCCCCCGCAACCCCGACCATCTCGCAGTCGAGAGCGATGCCCCTTCGTTTCATCAACCCCTTTACTCTCGCCGGTGCTGAAGCGAACGATACGATGCTAAACTTGTGGTGCCCTCGGTAGGCCGGATCGCCCGTATAATAGCCTTGCTCTATCAAGCGAGATTCACTATGGCATTGGTTTGTGGCGGCCTTGATGAGACTGGCATCTTGTCGCCCTGATACCCATGGGTAGTTTGTCAGGAGAGGGTTAGGCGGCTGGGCCAGAGGTGCCATTTGACTTGTTGGCATGGACATCTGTATAACTCCTGAAGGTTGGCTAGCATTGGAATTGGCAGATATGGGAACTTAGCAAGGTAAGTTAATCGAATAGTTCTCTAGAGTAGGGGATTGTGGAGGGTAGTAATACCTTTAGTGGGGCTCTTCGTAGCCTTTTTCGACTTTGTAGCTGTCTTAGGTGACTTGGTTGCTGGCGCTGGCGCTGATTTCTTCGGGGTAGTTTTGGGCTTCTCCGCCTGGGATTTTTTATCGGAGAAAGAAGCATTCGGCTTCGGCGGGGTGGTAGGTTTCAGTTGATGTGTTGTGGCAGCCCTGTTATGTTGTTGAAGTCCTTCCTTCGAACCGAATAATTGATCGCACACTGTGCACCATCTATGCCTCATGTGACCGGTCTCAAAAACATGCCTAGTAAATGACGGAGGGGTGTCAAAAATCAAGGCGCAATCGCACCGCAATTTTCGATGTCCTTTGCTTTGCGCCATGATGATCGAGGGTTGCCAAGCAGAGGAGTGTTGCTACACTGATGCTCTGAGCTCCAGCATCAGTGTAGATCAGAGAAATAAGGATTTCAATTTCTACTCCGATTGATTTAATAAAAGTTAAGAAGTTGTGGAGGCCTGCACAGTCAGCCTAGGTTAGGCATTTGAGGCCGTGGTGCCACGGGCTACACGGGCTGAGCTGTCAGGTCCGACGCTGGCGCTGGTTGGCGAATCAAAAACAGCCTGATCATGCATAACGGTCCCGAACCGATTCGACTGCCCGATTAGACAGCCTGGCACTGTTTCAGCGAACCAAAGTTCTACCAACACAAAAGACGAGATTTGCCTTGTGAGTTTATGTGAGAACCGACAACATTGGCATTGTAAATGATTACAGTCGGCTTGTTGGTCGCTTTACTGTCTATCCCAACCCGCTTTAATCGGGACATGAGAACGAATACGCCGCCACGTAATATGAAGAGCGGGCTGTTTTTGGTCGACTTGCCAGCTTGACTCAATTGGCATGGTAGTCGCCAATTATCGACTTAACATAAAGACTCAACATAATGTAAGTGTTCTACAGTTGCGGGGGATCATCTCCGCATAAAGATCCCGGGATACCCAGGAGGCAACCGGATTTGTTAGCGGCGCAGCAAACAAGAACTGAAACAAAACTATCAACTAAGTAAGTAGATAACAACATGGGCCGGTATGCTGATAGAAAATTACCCATAACTGCCGTTCGAAGCTGAAAATAACTAGGTACTCCGACATTACTTAGTTTGGTTCTATACATCACAGGGTCAATTATTTACTTAGGTACTGAACGGTAGAAACTATGTTCAATTGGAAGAGTACCGGACAAGGTAAATGTGTTAAACCAGGGATATCACGTGATCTTCCGTAACTGGTCCGCCGCTTTCCTTAAACTCACCGTGACAAGTTTTGAACCCTCTTCATACCAAAAGGATTTCGGGATAGATTTAGATACTGTATTTTCTCATCCAACGGAAGATGAACAGCGCTCAGGGTAGCGACTAATGCTCTGAGAAAAAGGGAATCAATTCTGTTCAGTCCAATCTACAAAGTGATAGCTACTCTAATAATCGGACACGGACTGAGGAGAGAAAAGGGGTATCACGTGATTTGCCGACCTTTGAGTAGGTAGAAAAGTTTGTCTACAGATCTATACCTACTTAGGTAGATAATGCTTCTATCGTAGGAATCTAGGTATGTTATACAAGTATTTTATTCAGTTTGGCGAGCTTGCGTGAAATTTCGAACCTGATGTAAAAGTGAGATCCAACGAGCCTCGACGAGGAATGTTAGATGTAAAACTATAGCGCTTCTAATGAATCAAGAAATTCCACTAAAGAAAGGAGAGGAAAGAGTAAATAACTTACTAGAGCAATTAGGAACTTACAAGACTGATAGCAATATTTTAGAACATGTCTTCCATTGTAGTTTGACTTCTGTCGATCAAGGGTACTCATAAGAGAAGGCGGTCAAATAAACACACAGTCTACTTAATTGGCTAATAAGTAGGTAGGTATTCCTTAAAATGATGCACCCAACCCCTGTGAATATAATCCCTGATAGTCCCTAAATCCCCTATAAGTTGTAGGGACTTAGCGATTAAATGCAGTGTCAAATACAGTGTATCTATAATACAAACACTGTAACGCGTTGACATGCTAGATGTAGGGTTTAGATCGATTCCGCTAACTCAACTGGAGTCTAGAAGTATATATTAAGTATGTAAATAAATCACAAGCCACCAGGCCTTCTGTACCAAAAGCTAGCTATTGACGGACGTTGGTAGATTGGTATACATCGGTGTCAGGGGCCCCTATTCATTTATTTTGTCAGTACGTAGACCTTACGCAGGACCTAGTATCATAAGAATAATATCTCAGTTTGTTGAGAATATCCCCGTATTCTTAGGCCGGGTATAAATGAGTTATCAAGTAGGTAGAAGGTGTAAGGGATGCAGTGTACCTAGTGGCCCAGGAGTTGGAAGAATTCAATAGAATGCGAATTGGCTTACTGATTCGGTGATGCCCTAAAAGCACGGAATCAACTACGCTATCTACCTACCTAGGTAGGTACCTAATGAGAGATGGATATGGTCGATTGCTTGTTTTTTTGGGCATCAATACCTACTGATGTCTAATAGTACCTTGGTACCTTCGAAATGTTCCTATCGATTCGTAAATCATTATTCTCTCCTATCTCGATCAAACCTTCAGGACACTTAATATACACGGGTCTTCTGTAACGATTGTTCCAAAGTCCTTTGACGGTATCCATTATATCATACACTTAACGCCATATACTAATCCCTACAGGTTCTTATACAAGTAAATCTGCGAAAGAGCGTTGACGATGCAGCCAGTCTCCTCCTGGTCCCATATTCCCCCATTATATGACACGAACACGTACATATTCCGAGCCCTGAATGCCTGTAGAGACGGTATTAGTAGGTAGACGATGACCTTGCTGACTGGCCGTAGGTAGGCCGATAGATAATTAGACATTAATTTGTCCTTGTTATGTTCTGTCCAAACAGAACTCCTATGCCGATTACACGATCCCCGCGATAACGGCCATCACAGCGCCATAAAGACCGACGCAGGTGAGAAGTTCCCAAGTACGGATAGCCACTATCTGCCCTTGAAAGAGAGCCCCCAGAATACCGAGGCCGACTAGGATAACCACCGTCAACCTACCAAGGTACCCGGGAATAATCAAGAAAGTCAAGATTGGAAGGATCACTGCCACCGTGACTGCTATAGACAACAGGACAACTTGATTATCGTCGTATACCGTGTCGACGGTTATGATGCTACCTTCTTGACGATCCTGCCGATATGGCGAAATAGGTCTGTCATGCTGATAAGGCGAGACAGGTCGAGACCTGATGGGAGATACGGCTCGGGGTTCTGCCATGGTGAACCCTGAATGTGCGATTGGGGTTGGAACTGGTTCCTCATCAATTACCTCCTGATATTCGTCGCTAACACATATTAGGTCATCCGATATATCAAGAAAACGGCTCTCTATTTCGGCGATAGGAGCATGGGTCGCGAGATAGCCGCGGTATTCGTGGATGTCCTCTAATGACGGAACTGGCATCCCCTGCGTCTCCCTACACGACGACAGTAGACGGTCTAGGCGGTCATCCGCATGAGCGAGTTACTAAACCAAGAACGCTTTATGGAAAGGGGATTCTTACTGTATTGCTCCAACTTAAATCCAATCTTTCCGAGGATATCGGTCTTATGCCAATGGAGTTCGCCGCCTGCCATATACTCTGCTCTTCGCGACGCCGGGAAGAAAGAATCCGGCCCCGGTATTCGCCGGCTCTGCGTATCCGCCGCGTCGAGTCGATGGAGTTGCTCCTCCAGTTCACAAATCTCATCCTGGAGATACAACAACAGCCTGTGATTTAACATCTCGAATCGACGAAATATGGGTCGGAGATGCGGGCCAGCTTGATTTGCTGGTGAGATAGAAAGCTTCGAAGCGAGTAACTCATACCCCGTCAAAGGTAACCTCTCCGGCCTTGGAGCAGGTTGTGATCGACCTCGATTAGGCTCTCGTGGAGCGTGTTCGGCTGGTGGTGTGTTTGGACGTTCAGGGTTCCCTCGTGCGACATCTGGAAACCCGTAACTTCGTCTCCTATTTAGACCCGATGTCATCCGAGGTCCGCCATTAAGACGACTATCTCCCTCAACACCACGCTCGGGGCTCGTGCTTCGGTCCGTTTCGTGCTCGCCAACGTTTTCTGAAGCGTCATCCCTGAAACCGGTAGTCGCTGTAGAAGCGCTGCGGATTGATGGTGATTGGCCTTGGAGAGAGGTTGGCGATCGACGAGCTGCCTCTTCCACTGACCTTTGAATGCTTTCTTCAGTCACAAGAGGAGAGTCGGAATCTAGGAAGTTGAAGGCGTTAGGTTTTCTTTGGGGAAACCTCTTTCGCCTCGACTTTGCCTTCCCCGCGTTGTCCCCGTTTGGAAAAGGCCTCTCTGTGATGCCGCTTCTGCCAGAGCCGTTTGAGCCGTGCGAACTTGGACCACCGGTGGCCAGACTCGTGGATGCGACTGAAGCCGTACTCAGATTGGTAAGGGTGTCGTTATCTTCTGCGATATTAAGGCGATTGAGATCCTCAGCGCCAAATCCATGTCCCGACGGTTGACCATTGCCTATGCCTTCGCCGAAAGCGGGAGGTGATGTGGATTGATTGGCAGGATCTGGTATAAGCTCAGGGGAAGCTCTCAAAACGCTGGAAAATCTCCTATGAGGTTTATTTAAGTTATTGGGGTCATATTTCAAGGTAGGCTCCCATGGTCTAGCATCGGTGTTACGTCTTGGTATGCTTTTTCTCCTCGAAGCTGGAGGATATTGAAAATTCTGGGGCTCCCGTTGGATATGGTCCTGATCGTCAGCCATGGCGTCCTCAGCGGCGATGTGCCGAGAGGTACCTCGATCGATAGCAGCCGGGACGGAGGAGGAGCGATAATGTCTTTGGAACGACATTAGTAAAGATTAAGGCGCGTCCGTGGAGAAATTCTTAATAAAATGGGCTTATTTTACTTTACGGTGAGGTGAGAGAAGATGTGCGAACGCGGCGTGAAAAACACATACTTCGCAATATTGAGTCGTAGATAGCTGCAGGTAGCCGCCCATGAAGCGTAGAGACGTGAGTATATGGGTATGCGTATCTCCTAATTAGGTAATGGCTAGGTAGTAGTTTGACGAAGGACGAACAGAATAGTGACAGATATCCAAACTTGATATGTATTAATGACGAATAATCGAACTAGAAAAAGCTACCAGACGCTATAAATCATCACTCGAAGGACATGTGGCTGACGGAGATGGAAAGTACACGAGGCGCGACGACGATGGTTAAACATGATGGGATTATGCGACGCCAGTCCACACACACCATGAACTAAAGGGAGTGTATGTGGTCCTATGAGATGTCTGGTTTGATATTGAATGAGGAAAAAGAGCTGAAGAGGGGAGCTCCTCGACTCTTAAAGGAAGATTAGCTGGGTAGGGGTTTGAAAAAGGGCGATACTCGGCCATCATAGTACTCACTCGTTCTCAGGTTGGTCAGGAGATGCGACACCCCTGTTCCCAACGAGTAACGAAGAGCCCCCCCAATATCAGTCGGTCGCATGGAAGTGTCCAGATATCACACGGTAGATGATTGGTTGGCTTATGAAGTTGTGTGAGTGACGCGAAGTGATTCTGATAGTGACCGAGACCACATGGCGCGTGTGCCGGTGATGAATCGTATCCAATAGTTCCTTAATTTCACTTTGATTCGATACGTTTCGGTATTCTTCCCTTTATGTCCTCAGTTCGTTTCCATATTGGGATGTTGATATTGATCCGATCTAATTTCGAGAAGTTGAAGATTGAAAGATGCGATAAACGACGAGGATGCGCATTTAATGCACTAAATGTGAAGGTACCTACCCAGGTATCCGTAGATCTGGTTCAGTGGAGTAGGCTACCTCCTAGGTTCCAACTTTTACCGTCTAACCCGACGTCATTAGCGCCTGTAGAACCTGCACCTGCCCTGCCCTACAACCTCAAGCCTAAAGGCTGCAATCCTTCGACCCTGCCAGCCTGCTACCTACCGCGACCCTGTTACTACGACCCACTGACCCATATGATAAGATAATGGTATCCATGTACATAGTGGGGTTTTGAGGCTTCTTCGAGCTTGAATCTTCGGTCGCTTTTTTTAATTCATAATTAAGACACCTACCGCGCCTATGCATTTGCGACGAATTTGAAAGTCGATATGTCTCGACTTAGAGTCGCTTCTCTGAGTAGATATCTTCTCTATGGCCAATTCTCCACGAGAGGTTGTCTAAGATCTCATGTGCGAACTGTTCCTATAATAGTTCAGCGCTCTCCTTCTCAATGCCGAGCTGCCCACACAGAAGCCGCTTCTTCCCACCTCGAGAATGTATCCTCGCCAATTCATGTTCCCCTAAGGAAACAGTTGAAGGACGAAGCGAAGAAGCTTAAAGCTTCCGGCAAGAAAAAGAAAAAGAATGTGAATAATCAAGTAGTGGACGGTTGGGAGCTCACTGTCGGAATCGAGATACACGCCCAATTAAATACTGCGAAGAAGCTCTTCTCGTCTGCTACGACATCTTTCAACGACGAGCCGAACTCCCACGTCGCTTATTTTGATCTAGCCACCCCGGGTAGTCAACCTATCTTCCAGAAAGAAACACTCATTCCGGCACTGAGAGCTGCTTTGGCGCTTGACTGTAAAATACAAAACGTAAGTAGGTTCGATAGGAAGCACTACTTTCACTGGGATCAGCCATCGGGATATCAAATCACACAATACTACGAACCATTTGCGCGGGATGGCAAAATTACACTTCATCCTCGAGACGGAATTGCAGCCGAAGATGGCCACGGGGTCTCCGTTGGAATTAAACAGATCCAGATGGAGCAGGATACAGCCAAGACTATGGCACAACCAGGCAATGTTCATTGGATCGACTTCAATCGTACCGGTGTACCCTTAATTGAGATTATCACTCTACCTGATATTCACCATCCAGCTACTGCTGCTGCCCTGGTTAGGAAGGTCCAGATTCTACTGAATGCTGTCGATGCCTGCGTCTCAGGTATGGAGGCCGGCGGTCTCCGTGCGGACGTCAATGTTTCCGTTAGAAGAAGCGATGATCCGTCTGCCCCTCTAGGTCAGCGAACCGAGATAAAGAATCTAAGCAGCTTGAAAGCCGTTGAAGATGCCATCATAGCTGAACGAGATAGGCAGATCTCTGTTCTTGAATCTGGCGGGAGCATCGCAAGCGAGACTCGTGGATGGTCGATCGGATCGACTGAGACTCGTCGGTTGCGTGGTAAAGAAGGAGAAGTCGACTACAGATATATGCCAGATCCTGATTTAGCCCCCGTTATTATTGGTGATGACTTGGTCAGCCATCTGCGCAGCCATATGGGCGAATTGCCCGACGCCGAAGTTGAAGAATTAATTCAACGGTTCGAGCTCTCAACTAAGGATGCGCAGTCCTTAGTGGCACTTGATGGAGGCAAGCGAGTCGAATATTTCTGGAACGTCGTCGGTCTCCTCACTGAACGCTTTGGTCCAAATGCGGATTTACCTGAGCATTTGTCAGGTTATCAACTTGCGGCCAATTGGATCCTGCACGAATTGGATCGTCTGACTTCGGCACGTATTGAAGAAGACGCGTTTGACCTAGGGCTCACAGAGGACGGTCAGTGCGATCGCGTGCCTCCTAAACATCTTGCCGATATCTTATTCTACCTACACCGACGCAAGGTCACTGGGAAAATAGCTAAAGAACTTCTATGGGCCGTCTTTCGTCGAAGGATACCGGAAGATTATCCCACGATTGAAGCGGTCATTTCCCAAGAGGATCTATGGTTTAAAGAGCTTGACGAAGAAGAATATATCGAACTCGCACGTACCGCAGTCGAGGGTCAAGAAGATGTTGTGAAGCAATTCGTAGACTACAAGCACTATCCCCAGGGGAAGTTAATGTTCCTAGTGGGTCGGATGATCAAGCTTGGTGCCGAAGAGAGAATCGACCCCAAGGAAGCTGAGAGAATTATGAAGAGAGTATTAGAAGAGGAAATGATCCCGGCCATTAAAAGCTAAAGCTAGATCTGATTTAACTACTAATACATATCAATGATGCATATACCTATTGGATATATTATAACAGGATACCTCTAATGCCAACTAACCTAGATCTCTACCTCCTAAGTGAAGGCCGATAGACTACGGACTATGAGTCACGCCATTTAAGCTAACCAAGCACGACATATTAATACCACATCTACCTGACCTACCTAGGTATGTATATGCGTAGGTATATAAAACAGCGTCAAAGACTTGCTTCTCTGAATTATCAACCATCAGCTACGGACATCCAATCTAACGCAGCATCTACAAAATGGCAGCTTCCACAGCTACCACCCCGCTCGTCGATCATATCGTGATCCTAGTCCCCCACTCTTTCCTCTCGGCCCCACCCTCGTGGTTCTCGGAGGTCTTCCACTTTCACTCCGGGGGTCGCCACGCCGACGGCCGCACGGAGAATTCACTCGTGTACTTACCTGACGGCGCATACCTTGAATTCATCGCCTTCGTGCCGGGCATCGACCCCGCCGACCGAGCGACGCATCACTGGGGATCGAAGAAAGAGGGTACGGTCGTAGATTGGGCCGTCACACTGCCTTCGACTGCGGAAGATGAGGCCGAACGAGAACAGGAAGGAGCAGGAAAGGGAGATGGGAGAGAATTGAGATTGGAGAAATTGTTCCGCGAGGTTCAGCGCAAGGTCCGGGAGCAGAATACGGGGATCGTGTACGGCGACTTGAGACGTGGCGGCAGGACAAAACCGGATGGCGCGATTTTGAAGTGGAGCGTTGCATTTGCGAAGCGTGAGGACGGCGAGCCGCTTGAGTTGGGGACTGTTCCATTTTGGTGTCTCGATGTCACGCCCCGACATCTAAGGGTCCCGTTCGAAGAGCCAGGGAACGCGAAACACCCGTCCGGCGTCGTGGGTGTGGCCAAAGTCGAAGTCCATCCCGAATTATCACAGACGGCGGAACGAGCTAAAGGAGTTTATAATGCACTATTCGAAGAGAAGCAGGCTGAAGACGAGTGGAAGCTTAGTAGTCTAGCCGGCGAGAAGGTGCACCCTGGAGCTGTTGTGAGTCTGGGTGCATCGGACAACCCAGCAAAGATCGATATCACCTTTTTTACGGATGATGAAAGTTGGGCTGGGAAATCGGTAGGTGGGAAGATTGATGGGGAAAATACGCTTACATTCCACCTCGTCGCTACATCTAAAGGCAAGTGATACCAATGCGGTTTCATGGATCTCATATACTAGGTATATATCGTATGACTTATAGTGCTCTATTTCTCTATTGAGGTTATTTTAGGTATTAGGTATCTATATCAAGTATATGCCATATTATATTACATGCTATGTGAATCCTATATGAACCGTATACCTACCTATGTAGTGTATGATTACTTTAGGTTATACGACCAAATACAGAATGTGCATTGCGTAAACATATAATAGCATTGTTAGGATAGAACTTTTAGGGGTTTATAATACCCAAGTTATTCCTTATCAGAAGTAGGTGATTTGGAAGAGTCAGGCGACGAAGCGAGAGCCCAACCTTCTCTTTGTCTTAGGAAGTGCTCGACTCTCTCACCTCTACTGAGGGGTGCTTGATAGAGCTCCCGCTTTCTCATGTCGTGGTTGATAGCCTCGTGGTGCTTGTCCTTCATCTCCACGAGATTCATCGAATTCGTGCCTGCTCGTTGAGCTTGACCAAGACTTCCAACGATGACAAACATACACAGCATACTTGCGAAAAGTGAGTTAGACATGTATATCGGCTGCTGCTCCTGTTTTTTCCCGTCCCGTTCCTGGTACCACCGTTCCCAGTCCTCCCACGTCGCGTTCATGCTAGCGTTTCCGGGCATGTCCCGCCATGACTTATCGACGGAGCGGTAGATGTTCTCTGTACTCCGTACTCCGCTCCATCCCGAGCCGTACAGATCGTATGCGCGACGCTTGGTCGGGTCGCTAAGGATTTGATTTGCAGCCACGATCAGGCGATAGCGTTCTAGCCTAGTTGAATGCGACAAGGAGTGGTGATGAGTATGGTGGTGTCGATCTGGGTGATAGAGCTTGACCAATTCATAAAACTTGGATTTGCTGTAAGGCGCAGTCTTTTGTTGGTCGAATATCTCGTAGGGTGTTGGTTGCGACGACGAAGGCCAAGCATGATGCTCGGGAGAAGAGGCGTCCGGCTTCTTCGGCCCATCAGAAACGGTAGCATAGCATCGTTTTCGAGGAATTATATGTCCGTAGTCCCTATTTGGAGACCATTGAGGCCGTTGGGTGGTCGAATTACATGATGACGTTATGCAATGGCCACTGAAAAGGTGCGGCGGCGGCGAAAGGAAGGAGGGGAGATTGGAGCTGGAGCAAAGCGCGATAGTTGACTTCCTGAAAATCATAGTCTACCGATGTAGAACATTGCTCATGAATCCCTTCGGCGAGGGGTTCATGGTTGACGATGATAAATTGGTGGAATTGAGGATGTTAATAAAGGGATTCTAAGTTTATGATGGTTCGTTTGGAAAAGACCTGGATGGATAATGGATTCCAGTGTTGTACGTTTGAAATAGCTCAAATCCGCGCAGACCGGCAGACCGATGTACCGATTTGGTACGTATCGGCAGCATACTGAAGCTCCTGTAGATACCGTAGTGGCAATGGGGGGGTTTCAAAAACGGTTTTTAAACTCCAAACGCGTCTGCCCATTAACGACCATTTAGTGGAAATTAAACGTTGTTGTGTAGCAAATGGTTTTTGATTCAAAAACGATTATTTACAAAAGAACGATAATTTACAAAGAAGCTATTCTAGGGATTGCACAATTATTTTATGTAAAGTGGATACTTTGAAGTGGTTGCTATGTAAATACTACTAGTAAATACTGACCTGACGCGACTCGTTTGCCAACTTCCTTAGATACTGACTTAGATACCAACTTACTTACTTTTTTCCTTCGTATATACAGAATCTGGATCTGGATCTATTAGCTTGCTTCGTTTCGATCAGACTGGATTTGACTTACTATTACTAGAACAGAAACTGACAGTATCCTGTTGATCTGACGCGACTAGATTAGACTGACTTCAATACGTTGAATTGAGATACTTACTTGACGCGATTAGATTGAACTGACTGAATAGACTGAATAGACTGAATAGACTGAAGATACTATGCAACTGACTTGACTTGGGTGTATTGCAAAGAGAAAAAGAAGGTGTGTTTGTTGACTTGGAGAAAAAAAACTTCTAAGTCTTTTGTTTCATGATTGCAGCTGCCAGATTACAGCTGCCAGATTGCAAGACCTTGGCAATATTTCCTATTATAGTAACGATCAACACCTATTTCTATTTATCGTTTTCAGTTCGAATATAAAAAACGATTATTAGGTGTTGAAAATGATTATATAAGGTCAAAAACGATTATCTAAGGTCAAGAATCGTTTTCTTCTTTCAACAACGGTTTTTTCGCGGTAAATAACCGTTATTTGAAACCCCCCATTGCCGGTACGGTACTTTGTCCGCTACAAGGTTAGCGCTAACTCACCACCATTTAAGTCATGCGGTCATATTGTTAGGTACTTGATTGTAAGTACCTTCTTATCGTGCTATGTAGGTAGATAAGCCTGATAAGCTCTTGAGATTCCTTATCTTCATATTCCCTGTTCCCTTCAGCCTCAACGTTGCGGGGTCATCCTCCGGGTCAAAGCCGGACCGGCCGTTATGTGCCCGGATGACCCTGTGGCTCATGAGATGTACCTCTTCCCTGCATTAACCCCATTGACACTAGGTTACTAGGTTACTAGGTACACATCGGATCAGCACGATCAGATTAAAACAACTTCTTCCCAAATCACAAATCCTCTCTGCGCACCACCAAATTCTACGCTTCTACGCTTTTACGAGATGCTTCTTTTATAAACCCCTACCTCTCTCCCGCTTCCACAACAACCACTCAATTCCACACAAAACATCTTAGGTGCTTTGCAGCCTTATTACTCAATTTACACAACAAACAAAACAATCCTCGTCTGAACCGGTCTGCTCGAGTCTGCAAAGATTTGAATTAACCCACAAACTCCTTCGCGAAAACAAATCGAGAATAATTTTCACCATTGAAACTGAACTACCTCAATATTCGACTACTTTATCCGTTAATCGACTACTGAACACTCTCTACCCGCCTTCGTCGCTCGATATACCGTCTTTTCGCTACATTTAGTGATCTATCCCGAAGCAAACAACAGTGGCTTCACATTGTGCACATTAAGTGTTTCAGTAATCGCCCTCATATCCTTCATTCGGTCAAGTCAAGTTTTGCAAGCTACGGGAACCGGAATTTTGCAAAGGTATGTTTACATGTTTCCAGTATATTGGAAAGTTGCGACTACGTAACTCCGTTCTTGTCGCGTCCAGTTCTGCCTCCCTCTATATATTATCTATGTGTACCGTTTGCCTAAATACTGTCTAGAGGCCTCCTCTTGGTGCCTACCTACTACATAGCTTCATGGCCAACGGTAGTTACCTAGTTGGATTTGAAAAACTTCTACCCCTTTGAATTCTAGTCTATTGATCTTCAAGCTGATGAAGCTGGGTCCTTTTTAGCGTCATCCAGACCTTTAAAAATACCCACAGCTCCGCTGACTTTTAAAGAGCCAATCCACTTTCGACAATTTCACGACCTAGATAGGTATTTCACGAATCCACGCACAAATCACCTTTCCGCCCGACAAACAGTTGTCATACCTAACCCCGGAACCTCCTTAAATACGACATTTACAACACCGCTCTCACGATAGTTCGCTCCTATTAGAGCCTCTCACACTTTACCACATCACCCGGCGTCTCCTCACACAATCACATTCTTCCCTTGCGTGCTCACCTCTCAGTGGTACACGGTCCGCGCAGGAAGTTGATTATTAGACCGTAGCATCTTGATCACCCACAGACCTCAACTCGAGACAATTCCGCATCATCGACGCGGATCCAACAAATATAATGACGGACTCTTTAGCAGCGAAGTTAAGGGCCTCGACCCTCAACGATGCCCCGCAGACCGATGATTGGAAAAAGAGTCTAAACATCCCTCACCGCGACAACAGACACCAAACAGAGGTTTGTGCATGAATTATTCGTGAGAGCAAGAGGCAAGCTAATCTCGTCTCTAGGACGTCACAAACACTAAGGGCTTAGAATGGGAGGATTTCAACCTTAAGCGAGACCTGTTAATGGGCATCTTCGAAGCTGGCTTTGAGAAACCATCCCCCATTCAAGAAGAATCGATACCGGTAGGCCTGACCGGACGAGACATCCTAGCCCGAGCGAAGAACGGTACTGGTAAGACGGCAGCTTTCGTCGTACCAGCTCTAGAACGAATTAACCCCAAGGTCAACAAAATTCAATGCTTAATATTGGTACCAACGAGAGAACTCGCTATGCAAACATCTCAGGTCTGTAAAACTCTCGGCAAGCACTTAGGAGTCAACGTCATGGTCACTACAGGAGGTACCACTCTCCGCGATGATATCGTCCGTCTTCAGGATCCCGTCCACATAGTAGTGGGCACTCCCGGCCGTATCCTCGATCTAGCTGGCAAGAACGTCGCCGATCTCAGCGAATGTCCCATGTTCATCATGGACGAAGCCGACAAGCTGCTTTCTATCGAGTTCACCCCCGTCATCGAACAACTACTCCAGTTCCATCCCAAAGATCGCCAGATCATGCTCTTCTCGGCCACCTTCCCATTGTCCGTTAAGGATTTCTCAGATAAGAACATGGAAAGACCTTACGAGATCAATCTCATGGACGAACTGACGCTACGTGGTATCACTCAATACTACGCCTTCGTCGAAGAGAAGCAGAAGGTCCACTGCTTAAACACGCTCTTTTCTAAGTTGCAGATCAACCAGTCCATCATCTTCTGCAACTCGACCAATCGTGTGGAACTGCTGGCCAAGAAGATAACAGAGCTTGGCTATTCATGTTTCTACAGCCATGCTAGAATGGCGCAACACGCACGTAATCGTGTTTTCCACGATTTCCGTAACGGTGTCTGCCGTAATCTCGTCTGTTCCGATCTCCTGACTCGAGGTATCGATATTCAGGCTGTAAATGTTGTTATCAACTTTGACTTCCCTAAGAATGCGGAAACCTATCTACACAGAATTGGTCGGTCCGGGCGATATGGCCATCTTGGCTTAGCCATCAACCTGATCAACTGGGATGATAGATTTAATTTGTACAACATCGAGAAGGATCTAGGCACCGAGATCCAACCGATTCCTGCTACTATCGACAAGAGTCTCTACGTTTACGATAACCCGGAGAGCATCCCTCGTCCGGTCAATACGTACGCCGCTAGACCGTTGAACTCTAGCTCCCAGCCCCAGGCAATCGAGCAATCGAACAACGTGCTATCTCAGGGTAGAGGGCAAGGTAGCCAAAGCAACCGTGGCGGGCATTTCAACGATTCGCAGCCCTCTCAGTATGGTCAATCCAACCGTGGAGTAGGTCGTGGCGGTAACCGCGGTGGAAACCGTGGTCGAGGACGCGGTTACAACAATTATCGTGGCGGCGGCCGAGGCCAAGGTCAGCCACCCCAGTAAGCCCAGGCTTATACACCGACGCATTTAGACCCAGTGAGTGCCGGAAATTCGGCATCGACGCGGTTCTCATGGAGTTTCATCCCATTTCCACTGTACATATTTCTTCTGGATTCTTCTTGTGATTTGTAACATACCCTTTACGACTTCTGCGTTGGTTCCTTGATTTCCAAATCGTTTCTCGATCTCATGAAGGCGATTCCTTGTGCATTCAATCACATGAGACCGGGTGCTTTACGTTTGGACGAAATCGAGGAAGGGGGGGCAAAATACGGCGTTGGGCGTTTCTTTTTATCCACCTATGCGAGGTGGTTGGCATCGGACGAACTTTTTGGGGAAGCATGGATGGTGTGTACTCGACGAAGAGGGATGACTACAAAGAGGGGAACTTTGCCGTATCATCGACGACTCTCTGCACGCCGTCGCCTCATTTCCAGCATTTTTTGTCCAATCAACTCACCCCTCCCCTCTACGAACTTTCTTTGGTTGAATCTCATTTCCAACCCCCAAAACTTTCTACGAGCACCGTCACTCAAGCCCTTTCCCGTGGACGACAGACATCAGGACAAGGCAACGCATCTGTCGCTCGGGCTATTCAACCTACACAATTGGTACTTGCACTGCATCGATCCGACTGCAGGAGCATTGATACTACGACACGTAGTATCGTAGTATCGTCAATCTCAGCCACAATAAAATCTTCGATCTCGAGAAGAAACTGCCATTATCATATGAGCAATCCGATACCCAGCCACGAATGACCTGCATGGTGTGGAAGCTGTCTCGACCACTGGCACTCATGCCATCCACGTTAATATCAACCGTTGCGTCTGGGCATCAACGCACAACAGACCATAACTACACTACGAAGACATTTGGTCATGATTCCGATCACCTACCGCATCGCACCCACGTCACATAACGAAAGAACATTCTTAGAACCCAGGATTCCTCCGACAACGCCTCCTAATCCAACTTTGGGCGCGACAATGGGTTCAACGGAGGAAAAAAACAGAAAATATAAAAAAATTTGAAAGGGAACACTAGGTAAACTAGGAAACTTCCGAACTAGTCAGATACCCCTGAGTAGGTATAAGGGACTTGTAAGTTAGATAGTTTATTAATCAATATCTGGTGGCTATAAGCGTCACCATTTCCCTTTCATTTACGCTTGGCTACAATGTTTGTGATCATGACTACCTAGGACCTGGGACCTACCTAGGTAGTATCTACGACTTCGTTCGAACCGGTGATTTGGGATGTTTCCAACAAATTGAACTGTAAATTCAGCGGACGTTGAGAGTTTGTGGAAACGTATATGCACGGGCCAATCATACCTATTCGCTTCCTCGGAAAAGGATAAATGTCTCGGCTAGTACCTTACACTAGACCTGCACTAGTCCCACTCTAGTTAGCAATGACTGCCTACTTGATGCATCCAATGGATGTACTAGGTACCTCCCTAGGTTCCAGGAGGAAAAATCTCTGCTGGTAATGAAAGGAAGGTGCATAATAAGTTCATAACAAAGTTCAGGGTTCTCTCAAGTTTCCAACTTGTACAATAATCAACATAATAACACAATGTTGAGAACAATAAACATAAAAAGTCGAGTGCCCCGGCTTCTTACTCTTTCAACCAGATTTCTATCTACTTCATCCATTGTCACCATGCAAGAACCACATTCAACACCCGCTACCTCATCTAAGCCTCGTCGCAGACCTGGTAGAGGTAAAAGACATCAGCAGGAATATGGAAATGAATTTCAACAACAATCTGAGCCTATTGACAATGATTCGCGGCCATTCTCCTTAAGAGGTCGTCCTCAGAATAAGGGCAAAAACAAGGACCTCCAGAATGGAGCCCGCGCGTTTTCAACCTTGAACACACTACGCAACGCTGCCTCAGCTACGGCGGCAGAGGCAGAAGTTCCTACATCAGATGGAGATGCGGTAGAAACGCTCCCAAGTATCCCTACGCCGGAAGATACGCCGTTATTTACCGACCTAGCAAAGGGCAACCTCATTGATCCCGTCTTGTTACAGACAATCGCGGAGGATTTAAACTTTAAACACATGACACCGGTCCAAGCAGCCACTATTTATCCTCTCCTCAAAGAAAACTGCGATATGTTGGCACAAGCTAAAACTGGAACGGGAAAGACTATCGCATTCTTACTGCCTGCTATCCAGAAGATAATCCATAGACCTGATCATCTAAGAGGCTCGGTCTCTCTCCTTGTCATCTCACCTACCAGAGAGCTAGCAATGCAGATCGCCAAGGAGGCACGCGCCTTGATGCAACGTCTAAAGAAGTTCAAGGTGTGCATCGCTATCGGTGGTACGAACAAAAATGAGGAGGAGAAAAGAATCGCGGGAGGTTGCGATATCTTGGTAGCCACTCCTGGTCGACTCAACGATCACCTTACCACGCCAGACAGCTCGGTTAAGCGCAGGCTACAGAGTGTTGATACCTTGGTCTTAGATGAAGCCGATAGACTCCTTGACATGGGCTTCATCGACCCCATAAAGAAGATTATCCAATGCCTTCCTCCTAGGTCTTTCAAGCAGAGGCAGGGTATGCTCTTCTCTGCCACCGTTCCCCAACGCGTGAAACAGGTGGCTAGCTTAGCCTTATCCCAGGACTACAAGACCATCTCTACCATCAATGAAGGCGAGCTTAACACACACGAGCGTGTTCCCCAGAAGCTCATCGTAGCCAACACCTTTTCCGACGTAGGAGCTATATTGCTAAGTGCATTGCGCCGAGAGCGCAAACATGTTGGCCCCGATACATTCAAAGCTATAGTGTTCGCACCGACAGCACGCCAGGCCGATTTCTACGCACAAGTCCTAGAGAAATGCCCTGGTTTACCTTCTATTACCACCCTCCACTCTCGAATGACGCAATCCAAACGAACCAACATCACAGCTGCGTTCCGCGAGGCGAAAAGCCAAATCCTCGTCGCCACCGACGTTATCGCTCGAGGCATGGACTTTCCATCAGTCACAAACGTCTTCCAAGTAGGTGTCCCCTCGGATAAAGAATCTTATGTCCACCGGCTAGGACGAACTGCCCGTGCGGGCGCAGAAGGACGAGGCACTTTCATTATCACTTCACACGAACTTTACTTTCCAAAACGGATATTGAGCAATATCAAGTTCGAGGAGGAAGAAACAGCCGACGTCAGCGCCGCCGAGGAATTCCTAAAGATTGCCAAGAGTTTAGGCCCAGAAACCCATGGAAAGACGTATCAGGCATGGCTAGGCTTTTATAAATCTCTCTGCAAACCGTTGGGCTGGGACGATAATCGACTGGTACGGGAAGCTAACAAACTGGCCCTAAATGGCATGGGCGCACCCGAAATCCCGTCGTTACAGAAGAGCACGGTCGGAAAGATGGGATTGAAGGGCGTTTCGGGGCTTAACGTCCGTCCAAACGACCCTAAGGAGAAACGTGGGGGAGATGGCGACAATTCGGGTACGCAGGATCTCAAACGGCCTCGAACCGGAGCATAAACGGGAAATGAAAAATCCACCCTTAATAGGAGATTAGGAGGAATCTCGATGTGGCCAATGGGTTGGGAATTTAGATGTTCCCAATCGAAACCCTAGGCCAACGATTAACACGATGTTTACAATCTTGTTAGGGGTCGGTAAGTTCTGCAATCAAGTACCTACCCAACAGATATTTGGCGGAACTGGATGCTGATTCCACAGTAACTCTCTCAGAAGACTGACACAATGCGTGTTCGAGGATACTTTAACCATCTCGACATTATTTGATGTACGGTCTTTGTTCCGAGGCGGAAGGCAGATTTGCCTACTCGTCTACGAAACAGCTCCCCCCTCAGCCTTTGTAGATATTATAAAGCACTTGTGCTTTGATAGAGATAAATATAGACCACTGTGAGAATAGGGATTTGTTTAATGCTTCTAGAGATATTTTGTCATAGGTGTAGTTGTGGACTAACGAAGCTGAGCTCTGTTCGTCTTCCAAGTTGTCTTTTCTTGATGGTGAAAGCCTCAAAGTTGTGCTCTTCATCGCCCACTCAATCATCTCATCATACTACCTACCTAGGTACATTTTGACTCTATCGGACTAAAATCAATATCGGAAGAATTATATTAGGTAGGTAATTTTAGGTACCTACCTAGGTAGATAGGTAAGTGATATTGTGCAACGCATATTTCAGTGTATTTTATCGTATTATATACCTAGGTAGGTAAGTACACTGTGGCACGCTCAATTTTTATCTCGGCCGTCATATAAATCAAGTGTTTCGCTGCTATCGGTTCCATATTCCAAATAGCTCGCCAACTGCACGGTCATGAATGATTCGGCCGTTTCTACTCGAGACCGTCGCTGGAGGCGTGATTGACGACCATCTTGCGGATATTCCCTAGGTAACAGCAGGTCATCGAATTGATCAGAAGAGGAAACCATATGCGCCGCGCTTGGTTGCTGTAAGGGACCTTGGAGAATCACAATTTCTCCGGAGGGTAAAGCATGTGAAAGTTCCATGACAACATCGCCACCGCGCTCATTGCCGTCATGATTCCTACTGCTCTCGATTATGCACCGACGTTCGGATTGGCGGCTCTCGATTTGTCGTCGGATTGACAAGATGGTCGATGTCTTAGTTACGAAAGATGACTTGGCGATGCGGTGAATAAGGGGTCTAAATATGGGTAGACAGGCGGAAATAGTAGCGATGCAAGTATGTATGCCCGCCCATATTTCGGTCTGAGAAAAGGACGGAGCACGCTTAGGTGGATCGTATCCTAGAATAACTTTAACAATCCCAGTTATTATGACACTGAGAGATCGTTAACATAGCCGTCATTAGCAACGATAGGTTACTCCAGTAACACTCACAATGAACCCAGCATAAAAATCCCCGAAACGGCAAGTTTCTGTCTCAGTGACAGACCCATCCTCAACACCACCCCCACCGGTAAGCTTAGGATAAGGGTATCGATGAAAATCTCACATACTCCAGCCGCCATCCAGAAGACATTATAGTTACGACAATACCTAGGGTCGTCGATGGTGCCTTGCACATTTATTTCCAAGGGCAAGCAATTCGTAATCGCTAAGACAGTAGAGATTATCCACCAACATAACACCAAACCTCCGGAGATGAATAGCTGATACCGGAATGCAGCGCTTCGGGCAAAGATGCGGTAGTACATGAACAGAATCCCTAGCTTGGTAGCGCTGACAGCAGTGAAGTACAGGGTGGCTGCGGCGAATGAATATGTGACGTACAGCTTATCCGCGGGAGCGTAGAAATAATTCGGGTCTGCATTTTCCACAACCTGGAGTCCATCCGGGTCGATAGCATTTCCTGTATTAGAGCTGTTAAGCATCTAGACTGCGTGCATCATAAAATACTAGGTAGGTACGGGGAATAGGGTGGTGAATCATACCCACGAGAAGTAACACCATGATTATCAATATGGTGACGACGCCTAGTAGAATTAACCAGTCATCGTATCCCAACCCCGCCCGAGTGAAGATACGGATGTAAAACCGGAGCGCGACAAAGATAATGGCAAGAACGATGACTACTCCGCATATTGCCATAGTCGTAGTTACCGAACCACCATCGGACGGCGCCGGAGCGGAAGCCATGACCGTTCAAATTTGACTACCCAGTTTCCGTGACTTCCAGGTATACATTGAAGTTGCGGAATAATGGGTACGAGATTCTTTATTCCTCACCGGAATTCGCGGGTCTGTCGTTGCGCCATTGCCTCGAGGAAGAAATGAGGAATTGAGCATCAGGAAAGCAGGAATAAAGCTGCGCAGGGAGAAAAGAATAACAGCAACTACGCGGGTATGAATATGATATGGTCGCATCCCAGGATGCGGCCAGCCCCCAATGTTGGAGTTGCGCAGCTAATAAATGCTACCCACGATGGTTCAATGGGATTCGAAGTGCAGCGCTGCTGTGATACCCAAATATGCACGAATCGTCCAACCTGGGAAACTATATCTTGAGATCATCTCGTTCCCATAGCCTTGCCGCGTATAACATTGAGCTGGGGAGAACTGTCTTAGGTAAAGGAACCTTGGAAGGGATGTTGTAGGGAATAATCTAGGGATTTTGATATAGGCCTTCAAGGCTTGGAATAAGAGGTGTCTGGAACATGAGAAGCTGGAGAAACTTGCAGGAGGCGTCCCGATTCGATTGATTACCTAGTGTGGTGATAATTTCTCACCTACATGAGGCTGGCTGATTCTTACCTTGCTAAATGTTGTGGCGTTCTCTTCGGGCGATCTAGGGGCGCCTTTATGAAGCCATGCTACACCATATGAAGGCAGCCATAAGAAAATCTTACTGCCGGCCTTTTGGTACTCCATCTCGCATTGGTTTACTTTCGAGTAAGACTGCCTTACACTTCGGTAACTAGGTACCTACCTATGTCAATTCCGGATAGGTACCTAGGTATTCATCTATTTATATGGCTGTGATGACCACCATATTGCTCGAAGAGGATGTTGGTGACAGCCATAGGGCGTTGCGCGCCATCGATACCTACCTAGGATTTAGGACCTAGGTACCGGTGTTCAAATTGGCAGTGCTATTTGCGATTTACACTGTTGATGCGCACTGTATTAGTCTGTTCATTTTCATTCTCACAAACCAAAGCAACCAACCGACCAACATCAAATCTTGTTAGGCCTTCTTAGCTGTGCCTTGCAAGTAATCGGAACATATAACACTACGGCACCTAGCGACGTTGACTTTTAATATTGTAGATCGATCGCAATCGGGAACTACCTCCTGTTTCGTTCGGTGAAGGGAATATAGGGTTATTTCTAAAGATAGCCCTAGATTTATTACGCACGCACTATAAGCTTCGTTACGGATATCCGTCCACCATACAGCGGTAGGGAAGTGGTACGCTTACCGAGATTGAATACAAACGCGGGTGTTACCCCGACAACTGAATATCCATGGATGCTGGTGATGTCCGAAGCCGTATTCTGGAACAATTACTCCCGCCGGACATAAAAGTGCTAAGCCGACAGCGCATACGTAGGTAGATAAAATTCATCATCGACACATACGCCGACGACCGCAGCTCTAAAACATGGTGGCAAACCCAAACATCTGGGCAGGTTTGTACCTAACTCTTATCTAATGCATACATGGCTTCACGCTAGACGCGTGGCTGAAGCCATCAACCCAACCTCGGCACCACAAACCCGAGGCGGTGAACAAGTACCTACTGTATCTCGTAGACCAAGGACAAAGATGTCCCCCGGTCAGAAAAAATCCCGCCACCTCGTGTTCCGGTCTGACAGCCAACCTCGCCGGGCTCGCGGTGTGCACGCCGTCCAAGGTATGAACTACTTCCACTAGCCCGACGTCTTTCTCGGCCGCGGTGCCGATGCCCGGCTGCAACGCGAAAGAACGCGGTCGAGACGGCATCTGAAGAAGGCCCTCGGTCCCTCAATGAGGGGTAATACAGTCTTAAAACCGAAGGATGCGCATGTATTAGGGTCAATGCTGGAGGGGATTGGAGGGGCGAGGTATTGGGGTCTACCGTTGCGATAAATAACGTGGTTATGACGAGCGCAATGGGGAGGAGGGGGCGAGTTCGTGAGGTGGATTCTAGAGGGGGCTGGAGAAGACGATGCTTGGCTGGGAGAGGTCGATAGCGATGCTTTTCGTAAGAAGGATGATGGCAGGATGGATACCGGAGTCTCGAGGTGGAGATCGAGAGGATGGGCCAAACGGGATCTCGAAGAAAGAATAGTTCACATCGTACATATCAATGGCAGAGTGGATAGGACCCTTCGACGCATCCTGTGTGCATCCTCTGATAACCATGGGGAAAGCATGTGAATCCTCGACCCGGAGATCGTTACTAAGCCGAGGAAAAGCTTGACGTCGTGTGGTCGTGGTTGGCGATGAGTCTTTTGACTACTAGGTACTATAGTATGTTGGATATCCACAGAGGAGCCAACTACCTAGATCCTGAGTTGACAGGTTGATAACCACTTAGTCTTTCATCTTCCAGTCGTCCTGATTTCATATCTCGTACATATCTTTGAGCGTCGTACGACATGCTCTATTCGGATTATTTCTTTCGTAGTTCTGCAGGATTTATCGGGCATCGAAATTCAATCCGCGCCCCCTGGTGTCTAAATTCCCCGATCTCACCGCTCAGATTGGGTGAGATCAGGCTCAGGGACCCAGACTACGTCCGTATATCAGCTGAAGGAGTCATAGTAGAGGAAATACTCCGATTCGCTGCGTGAGGTCCCTGAAATCCACCCGTTCCTGTACGCGGCCTGCGCGGTTACAGGAACAAGAGAACCAGTTTGAATCAGTTTTTCTTTATGTACGCATAGTATTACAGGGCTGTCTCAGATTCTTGGCTCTTTTACTTATGCAGCCTTATACTGTCTTGCACTATCTTATACTGCCTTATACAAGAAGTTATACAGACTCGATGCTTTCCATGCTTCCAAGGTTACTAATTTTAGAGATCCTATACCCAACCCTAGATTATCAGCCAATGATAACCCTTCAAATAATCCACGATCCCGTCGTCGAATTATATGCACTGTGCGTTCGGCCATTCATGTGATCGTCGTCGAATCCACTCTCCATCCATCACACCGCTAGCTTTTCTTCTGAGGGCGCCACATCATAACGTCTAAAAGAAGGCTTTGGGTTCATCAGGCAGAAGACCTACATGCATTGTGGTAGCCATTGGTTTGACGTCCGCCAACGCCGCAAACGGTTTCGTCTTGGATACTAAGATCATATGGCCATGTCAGTGCGCGATCCGTCTTCTAATGGCAGCGAAGCGACCAATAGGCAGGCAAGTGGATCCTGAATGAGTTGTAATACAGCGCATCGCCGTGAGGTGGCCCCAGACATGTGGCAGGGCATGATGAATAAACCGCTTGCCCCTGAATATGCTTGTGAAGGCGAAAGTTATGAAGTCAATTCGAGACTTACAAGACTATAATATGTCTCGTTGGTGTCGGCTCAGAAAACTTGTGGGAAACAAATCAAGACAGCGAAGTTGCGGGTACAACAACGAAAGACTGGTTGCTTTTTGACCTCTTGCTCACGTTTTCCCACGTTTTCCAACGATACTTGACCTGGAGTCTTATATTCTTCCCTCGAAGCACATCTTATACCTGCTCCATCGCTCCATTATACTGACGCCCACACCGCCTCGAGCAGCCCAAGATGGCTTTCTCGCTGACTTCTAAGCAAGTCGAGCTTCGTGGCTCATGGCTGGCCGCCGTCTTGCAGAAGGATGACGGCTCATGGACCTTCTCCAAGCTCAACCTCAACGAACACGTCGGCAACAACGACGGCTCATTCGACGTCACCATAGATAAATGGTACAACACTGCGGAGAATTGGTCGTGCCATCTTCAAGGGCCCTTCCTCAGCGCGCAATTGAAGACGAGGGAGGGTGCATGGGCACCTGAGACGTCTATCAACCTAGACTTGTTCGTCAGGAATAAGGACGGCAACCTCGAGTTCCAGAAGCTGTAAGTTCTTCCTGCATACCTAGTACCTACCAAGTACCTACCTTGTATCCAATTGATCCAATCATGAGTCATTCCTGTAGAGAATGACATTGACTGACCTGTTATAGGAATGAATCGTTATTATTCTACACCTCCAGCTTACAAATCGAGTATGCCATCCTACGAGGCCTCGTCTTCGGCCGAGATGGCAAGCTCTACCTTTCGGAGCTCAACCTCGACGAGAACATCGGCAACATAAACGGCAAGTTTGAGGCCGCCGAGAGACACTACTCCCGGTCCGGTCGAGATTTCAAGCTCGAGCAGGGCCTAGATACCGTCAAGCTCAGCGCCGAGCTCGCCGACTACGCAGGCACACACCATCCGGCCGAGATAGATCTCGCTGAAATCGTCGTAAACCGGAATGGGAAACTAGCCTTCCTCAGACCGTACGTTCATTATCCCATACTCACAATACCTACAATAACAATGCCTACAATCAAAATACCTACCGTAAAAACATGTGTCTCCACCGCCATGTCATACGCCGTCAGGAGATATACGACTTGGAATGAGCCTGGGTTAACCGTGTCTTCTAGTGAGGAGAGCTCCAGCAAAGACAAATGGGCGACTTCCATCGCCGAACAGATTCCCCTCGTAGGCTCCGCCATCGCCGGTCTGCACCGTGTGACGGATGAGAAAGAGAGTGAGCGTCTCTACCGAAACATCGCCACCTCCACAAATTCCGCCACCGTCACGATCGGAACCGTCGTGGGCGCCTTCATTGGCCGTGCCATCCGCGGTCCCGTCATCGGCATGGTTCTCGGAGCCGGTCTAAGCACAACCCCCGGCATCTTCATCGAGGAGCGAGTCGCTGCCTCGATCGAAGACGCCGAGGTCCGAAGCCAGATCCAAGAGGCGGCATTAGGTCGCTACGTCCTCGAGACGCTGCGGGATATGATCGCCGTAGACCAGACGGTTGCCGTTGCACAATTGCTCGACGATGCCCTCAACCCCGATATCGACAGCTGGAAGAAGAACTTCGTATTCTGGCTCGAGAAGCAAGAGATCACACTCCTAGGTGATTTCTCGCTCCACACGATGCTCAAGAGGTAAGCGTCTCCTTCACGTTCATATCACATGTACATAACGTACGTGTCCCCGTATCATACTAACCCACTCGCAGAGTCTTCGCCCGATTACGCAACGAACACGTAGTAGAATGGGACCTAGCCCTAGACCAGCTCGCAGCCGTAACAGCGCGAACAACAACCCTCAAGCTCGAGCCTGAGCCTGAACCGGAACCGGAGCCAGTCCCTTCCATCCTGGTCGAGGCACCCACCGCGGACCAATTCCAGGCCGTAGAAGCAGCACAGGTGACGACGGACGAGTCCAAGGCCGCAGAACCACAGACCACTAACGAGTCTGAGGCCGTAGACTCTACCTTGGCCGCCAACGACGGAAAGCCAGCCACCTCCACCGGAGACGAGCCCCCCCAGTCCCCGACCGCAACGGCCGTCGAGCCGAACGAGAACTCCGGAAGCTCCACGCGCGCCAGCTCCCTCAAACGTGCGGCGACGACCCCGGGCCACCACGATGCCGGGCTCGGCGCCAACGGCGGCACCAACGGAGCGGCCGGCAACGGCACAAACAAGTCGGCGGCCAGCGTTTCCCGAACGGGCTCTTCGCGCAAGGGCTGGCACAACGTGCTCGGCATCACGATGTTTCGGAGCTGGTCCCGCCACCGACAGCCCAAGGCCGTGGCAGTATAGCCGCTACGGCATGTCTTGATGATCGACGCCGTTCTCGAAGCTTACGCCTGCCGATCGAATCCGACGACGACGACGAATCCGATGATGAATGGATGGATGAGAGGATGTCTCTCGATGTGGACGTAAATATCGAAATATACCTACCGAAATATACCAAAGAAAGCAAGCGGAGGAGGAGGGGAAAGGGGAAGGGATGGATACGACTTGAAATGGAACGGACCTCTTTTTGATTTTTATCCTTTTGAGCGCGAACGTAGTGGCAATTTCTTCTGACACTAGACTGGACTGATATGGTTATATGGCGACTTAGGGAGGGGAATGTATGTATGTATGTACGAATAACAACATAGCAACGGTTCAGGCATCGGGATAGGTTAGGCATATGGCAACACAGCATATCTAGAAGAATTGCATCTATTAGCAATGGCACTCTCATAAAGTGAATCAGATTTGTGCGAAGAGTGACTGGAATCACGTTGCAGTGTAATTCAATTGCTTCCTTTCTATTATCCCTTCGCCAACCACGTAAAATCAAGTCTCAAGGTCCGGTGTGACCAACCACAACCGACAAGTCTACAAGTCTACCTTGTAGTCCCAAACAAACCGAAGTCTCCGAGCGCCTATGCTATGCAGTACCAAGACCGCCGATGCCCCGTAAATCAGGTAGGGAAGACTCGAACGTAAAAGACATGAAAACTTGAAATTAATCTTCCTTGGCCCTGGTTCCAACTCGACCCATTGTCTGCCGGCTCAGCAACCACTCTGTACACCATGGACATAAGCAAAGGAGAGCACACATGAACACCGTGCAGGCTTGAGCACCACAACCTATTCCCTTAGAAATCATATCCTAGAAGTTCTTATGCTGCACCGTATTGTTGCGAGCACCCGGACGTAGGTCATGTACGTAGAATTCGAGTCTGTCGGTCTCGTAAACATGACCGGGTGGATGCTGTGCCTTTGTGTAGAGATTGTCTACGCTATGCGGGTGAAATGTGGCTGATTGTTTGCAGTTGAGGATGTGATCCAAGCCCGGTGGATGAGTCAAACGGAAGATGCCGTACCTAGAAGAATTGTAAGCCTCACTATGTCATGCTAGGTACTCGATCACAATTTCGATCCTCTAACTTAAAGACGATGGAGAATTACTTACGAAGGTTGGAATTTTGGAGCACACACAATCGCAATGCTCTCCGGTAGCATGACCTGATACCCAGACTGCGTGTGCAGGTCCCTGGAGCTCATGAAGCAGGTTTGGGTTGGATGCGTATGAATCCAACCAAGCACAAGCAGATCTTCGTTCATGCAATACTCAAACATGCTCTCCTCATTTTCCGTCTCGCACGTATCCGACGTACAATTCTGCTCGGGAATAAGCAAGCAACGCACGAACAGCGCGTTGTTAACGGCGGTACCGCACAGTATTCCGCACATCTCGAGTCCACGCCTGGTGTTCTCGGATGCGATAGATAAGAACTGGCGTCGTAATTGACTGGGTAAGAAGATGGAGCGGATAGGTTCTCCACTCTCTAGATAAGCCGCCGGCTTAAACGTGAGCCGTTGCTGTTTTTTAGGAGGTAGTGGCGGATCTTCGTGCACCTTGGGAGGTCTCGGCGGATCGTCGTATTCCTTAGGCGGAGGCGTAGGGAGTAAGTTTCTTTCGTGGCGTATCGGGTCTTCGGCAGGGAGCTCAGGTGTCAGAGGAGCGGGTACATAACTTGGGCTAGGCTCGAGTTGCCGTACAATCCCTTCTTTGGGTGGACGTGGAGGTTGAGGGCTTGGCGATGGTTTGCGGTATGGCTGCAGAGCTTCGTATTGTATCGGTTGAGACCTGGTTATTGACGGATATCGATAGTTCGAATGCCCTTGGATTGCCGGGGGGTGTGACTCATTTTGGGGAATATCGCTTCGATCCAGTTCCCTCCTAGTAGACTCCATCTGTCTCCTGAACAGCTCTTCATCTTCAGCTTGTCTATTGGCCAAATCGTCAGTCCAATGATCCCAAAACCCGGCCGTCCGCCTTGTCTGCTCTTCTTCAGGTGGCACATTTGTTCGCCTGATTGCTTTTCTATTTGCATCTCTGCGTCGAATCTCATTCCGAGCCAATTCAACAGCAAGATCTTGGTTATCACCAGCATCAAGTAGTCGATTTGACGATGAAAGAGCCGGATCTTGAGCGGTATGCTCTTCGTACGTCGATGGGGATTTGAGGTCGGCCCGTCTCTTCTCACGAAGTTGTTGCTGTCTTCTAGCTTCGGACGCATTCCATTCATCGTACTCTCGTTGTATAATGGGTTTTATTTTTTCGAGATTTATTACAATGTCCGGGACGGTCTTGTTAACTTCGTTCAGGGCTCGTTTCCCTTCCTGGCTTTTAGCATCGGGATGCGAGGGTAGGCATTTTAAAAGCAAGGTAAGGTATCGAATGTAAAGAAGGTAAGCTTGAGCAAAGTTTCCATCTTGAAGGTATATTCTTCCCTGTATATGAAGAAGATACAGTCAGTGCTGTATAGTGAAGGTAATTATTTATGATATATGACATCGGAGTCTTACTTCTTGGCTTAGAGTATTTCCAGTGCGCAACCAAGCTGTCAACGGAATGGCCGGATTGAAAGAGAACCGCTCTCCTCTGTCGGAGATCTCCTTAATGGTTAATGGACGACTAGAAGTCAAAGGCGTTAGGTCAGACGGTGCCATCTTCGCATGGTGCTGGGTGCTGGCCGTTGCCGGACAAGCTAGAGTGATTGAAAATGGTTAAAGGCGAGAAGCTTTATTCGACGATGGCGACGAATTTAGTCAATGGATAATGATCATATCGGCGAACGTCTAGGTATATTATGATTGCTCGGTTTGTGGTTGCCTAGAGAGCTTGCGTGGGAGCTTGCGACTCGGTCGGATGGTTGGGTGGTTAGATGTTGATGTTAAGGAAAGTTTTAGTAACTTCCAAGGTCGAGAATAACTTGCGACACACAGCTTTGTGACCAAGTGACCGGTTCTAAGCGATGGCTTGGGAGGTTTTAAGGCAGGCGCTTTAGAGGGGTCCAGGTACCGACCGGATTAGATCGCGGGGTACTTTACCTTGATGGTTTGGGCTTGGGACTAGGTACTCTTTGATTACGTCATGCACCCAACCTTCCCATCTGCCTTGTACCCAGTACCTAGTAGTCTCCCAGTCTACTGGAAACAAACAGTTCTGAGGTAAGTGCATCTTCCGATGATTCTCTTGCTCTTATAGCTTGATACTATTAAGGGGCATCTCATTATATTGAGTCCTGCTAAGTTTCCGTTGTACGGAATTCTAGTCTTGAGTAAAGACTAGATACCTATTAGACAGTGAACTCATACCTACTAGGTATTTACTAGATGCTCAAAGTCTCAGAGTCGTAGTTTGATCATCCATATTCATCTCATGTGAGAAACCCCTTCTTGCTTGAGAATTATCCAGCATCGTTTTACTCTTTCAACCCTTTGCAGCAACTTTTCCGGGCGCACCGGCCCCGGCTTGCAACCCTGCTTGTGCCTGGATGATTTCTCCCTTCTTATTCTCAATCTTGTCTTGGATTTCCTTGATCTGATTCTCTGTCCTTTCACTACCAAGGCGAATGTGTTAATGATCAATTCAAGCAGAATAATTCAGGAGTGTCATATCTTACAGTTCTTTGCCAATGAACTCTAACCGTCCATTGACTGTGCTCTCAGCCTCGACCTTTTCTTGTTTCAGTAACACTGGCCCAACTAATTTATAAATATTTTCACCATCCTTGAGACGTTCGAATTCCTAGGTAAGACATGTAAGTGCTGTACTTCGTATATACAGGATGTAATATACAGAATGTATACCATAAATGTCTAACTAACTTTTTGGACATTTGAGTTCTCTTGCTTCTGAGCCTCAAGTTTTTGTTGCGACTGAACAGCTGTCTGTAACTCTTGTTGAAGTTTGGTGTAGTCTTCGGATAGACTCTGAAGATGAGCTTGAACCTCTGCCATGGTTTGTCTTAGTGCTTAGTGTGCAGAGATCTTTTGTCGGGCTCAGTGAGCTAGAACTGCGTATACGACACCTAAAATGTCAGGACACTCTTTGTTATGAAGATGTGCAGGATCTCAAAATAGCGATAGGGTCATGAAATGAATATAGCGTTATATCATTCAATGTTTAAGAAAGTAGTGTACTAGTTAACTTTAGCTAAACCAATGACCTTGACCCTAGAATATCTTCAATGTTCCTTGTGGCTGTTAAAGAAATAGAAGTTGTGGCTTAAAATGTTCTAGTCGGTATTGTACCTAGCCATGCTGCCATGCCAACCAATCGATAAGTAAACGCTACTTTATACCCCTCTAGGATAAGACAATATAGTGGATCTTGCCTACGTTATCGCAGTGGCCTTCGTACGAGGTACCTCTTACTTCATACAAACTTCTTTAGAAATAGAAGTACCTCTTACCATAAGACGTCGGCGGCAATAACCTAATCGACTGGACCTTCGTTGTAGGTTCAGGGTTGTGAGTTGCGGGTTGCAGTTGCAGTTGCATTTTCCTGCCCAGTCCAGCATCACAGGCTCAACAACTTCCAAGCTTGGAAACTTGACAGAAACAACTTTCTACTCCGAATTCCTCACCACCGAACACCATTCAATTATTTCGACATCCCGAAAAGCTTCTTCCTTATCGTCTCCATACACCCCAATTCTTCTCAGATCCACCCCACAGGCTGTTGTTCCAGAGCAGTTAAGCAGACACATCCCCATCGTCATCGAAAATGTCGAATACCGATTTTCTCGGTCGGGCGATCGAGACGGTGCGACGCGCCATAGACGCCGACAACGGTAACGAATACGAAAAAGCATACCAACTATATTACCAGTCCCTCGAGCTATTTATGCTTGCCTTAAAATGGGAAAAGAACCCGAAGTCCAAAGAGATGATTCGCCAGAAGACGGGCGAGTACATGGATCGCGCCGAAAAGCTGAAGGCTCATCTCTCCGACGCCGATGCGAAACGTAAAAAGCCAGGTTTGGTTGGCGCGAACGGTTCGTCGACTGGTGGGACGGGGAAGGGAAAGCAAAACGGCGAAGAGGTCGACGAGGATAGTAAGAAGCTTCGAAACGCCCTCGCAGGTGCTATTTTACAAGATCGACCGAACGTTAAATGGGATGACGTCGCCGGACTAGACGGAGCAAAGGAAGCATTAAAAGAGGCCGTGTTACTGCCCATTAAGTTCCCGAATCTATTTCAGGGGAAGCGCCAACCGTGGAAGGGCATCTTACTATACGGACCACCTGGCACGGGTAAGAGTTATTTGGCAAAGGCTGTAGCTACTGAAGCAAACAGTACCTTCTTTAGCGTGAGCAGTAGTGACTTGGTGAGCAAGTGGATGGGTGAAAGTGAAAGGTATGTCCCTAGGATACGTCCTACCCAGACCCTCCTAGAGTTATGATTGACTTTGTCTTGCCTCAAAGGTTAGTCAAGCAACTCTTTGCTATGGCGCGAGAAAATAAGCCTTCTATTATCTTCATCGATGAAGTCGACGCTCTCTGTGGCCCGCGAGGGGAAGGAGAATCGGAAGCTTCACGAAGAATTAAGACCGAGATGTTGGTGCAGATGGACGGTGTTGGAAAAGACTCGACGGGTGTGCTGGTATTAGGAGCAACCAACATCCCGTGGCAATTAGATGCTGCTATTCGAAGACGATTCCAACGAAGAGTACACATCAGTCTACCGGACGTCGGCGCAAGGACTACCATGTTCAAGCTTGCTGTGGGAGAAACACCTACTACGTTAAAGAGCGAAGATTACAGGAAATTAGCAGCACAGGCAGAGGGTTATTCGGGAAGTGATATCACCATTGCCGTGCAAGACGCCCTAATGCAACCAATACGGAAGATCCAACAAGCCACACATTTCAAAGAGGTAACATTTCGACGATCCTTTTACTTATAGCCCTCCCCTTTACTGATATCCGTATTATAGGTAGAAAAGGATGGACAAACGCTTCTGACACCTTGCTCACCTGGCGACCCCGGCGCAAAAGAGATGACATGGGACGACGTCGATTCGGAAAGGTTACTCGAACCCCTAGTCGACTTTAAGGATTTCGTCAAGGCTATCAAATCATCAAGGCCGACGGTTTCGGGAGAAGATCTCCAGCGAAATTCGGATTGGACGAAGGAGTTTGGAAGCGAAGGAAACTAGATAGGTACTAGGTAGTTGGCTAAGGGGGAAGATCACGGAGCGTAACGGCATTACAAGGCGTTATGGGCGCGAAACTTTTACCATCGTCGTTTTGATCCGCCACTTTCGTGGCTAGATTATTTGAGCTCGTTAGCCATTCCGGAACACATATGGTTGGTTGTTTGTACTGCCTAGTAGGCACAGAGCAATTGATAACTGTTCATTCTTCGATGTGGAATACGGAGACTCGAATTCGGTCGTATTGTACCTCGATTCGAATTGACTCTAAGATTTATAACTGATACCCTGATACCTACAGCCTCTAGTTGACGTGAGTCTGGAAATCGTAGTTCGTTGACGACTGACAGGCATTGAATTGTGATCCTTGGGTAATCCTTGGTGGGACCAAGTTGGTACACGACATTCCTTTGTCTAGTAAAACGTATATCAAAATATCAGAATACAAGAATATCAGACCTTACTGCCCAGCCTAATAGGTCAGGAAAATGCCTACCTACCTAGGTAGGTACCTAATGTACTGAAATAGAACCATCACAAACTCAACGCTAGATGGTTCAACTGGATTAAAAACTCATATTCACTTCGTTTTATCAATTCGGCATAAGAAGGACGGGTATGAGCCACCATATATACAACCACACTTAGAGAGAGAGAAAAGATAATAACAGACAACACCTGAACCCTGAACGCCTAGCCGATGCCTGACCAACGTTGAACCTTTCGACCCCTATGGATGAAAACGTCCCTTATTCATCAGCGTGCTTCTTCTTCTTTTTCTTCTTCTTCTCGCCGTCAGCCACCTCTGGTTCCACCGTGCCATTTACATCGCTATGCTTCCGCTTCTTCTCCTTCTTGTCCTTCTTTTCCTTCTTCTTCTCTTTCTTGGGGGTGGCGTCAGTAGTTGGCAGAGGGGCGTCGATCATTTCGGTGTCGATGGCCAAACTCTGACCATCTGCGAGGATGTCGGCCATTGCCTGGTCCTATACACGAATTAGTACATCGTAGTATCATAGTTTTGCGATTATGCTTACCATTGCATCTGCGTTTTTGGTTGGCTTCTTGCCGGTGGCGTAGAACTCTAGTCGGTCTTCGACCTGCTGTCGCAGAGCATCACCGAATTTCTTGGACGGCTGTTCGGCGAAGTTGTCAATTCGGCTGGCAATACTGCACTTGTTGGCAAGGTATCTAGAAATGCGACCCTTGTCCTTCTGGTTTGCTCGGCCAATAAATGAGCTGTGATAAATAAGTCCAAATTTAGGGGTGTTTCCTTTCGTCTTCAGAGCTCGGAACAAGGCTTTCTCGGCACCAAGAATTTGGAGGGTAGAAGCTGGGTATTTGGACAAGTTGGTCAGGGAACCAGCCTTCTGGATGAGGCGGGCAGCAACGACCTCTCCAATGAGCGCCGCTAGATTTGGCGCGACGGTGCTCATCTTGTCCACCAAATAGCTGTAGAGTGTCCTTCGGTACTCGGCAAGCTTAACAACCTTTCCGGCGAAAGTAGAAATGTTACTCATATCAACTTCTGACAACTCGCGTCCCATCGAGATCTTGGCTTTGGTGATAATCTCCTGAGCCTTCTCTTCGTCTTCGTTGACCAACGCGGCAATCTCGTGGAGCTTCTCATCCGACAAAGTCGACTTGTCACCGATGAAGAGAGCCAAGCGCGAGTAGGTCAGATTGTCAGAAGCGATGCTGTAAAGCTCGGGGAAGTGCCATCCGTACCACTCGCGCACTTTCTGAGAGAATAGGTTGATACCTTTGTCGAGGTTGTCTAGGGTCGCAATGGCTCTGATGATGTGGTTGTCGTTCTTGTGAACGTTGAACTTGACCTTTCCACGAGAGTAAGCATGACCGAGACCGAGTTGAGCTCTTTCTACATCTCCCTCCTGGAGACCCTTCAGTAACTTGGCGGCGTGGAGTCTGATGCCTCGTAACAGGTCGGCGACGACTTCAGATGTATCACCAGTCTCGCATTCGACTCCAGGGAAGACAGCCTTGATGGAACCAGCCAAATTCTTGTCGGCGACACCAAGCACGATCTTGCTCTTCTTCGATTGGGGAAGGTTCAATTCGAGGTTGGACTTGAGGTAGTCAGGAAGAATACCCTCCGAGATAAGATTGATGTTCTCGAGAGCGTCGGCAGCGTTTCTAAAAGTGAATATCGTTAGAAATGATTGTAAGGTAGTACCGGAGAAATCAATTGATCGTACCTCCAAGGCGCAAAGTTGACCAATTGAACCATTTTGCCAAACTTGGAGAGGTCCTGGCCGGCTTTTTGAACCTCCTTCAAGTGTAGGCCAACAGTGTCCTGCTGGTGAACAACCTTGAAGACGGCATAGCCCACAGCGGACTCGTGTAGCAAGAAGTCTACGCGCGTCATTTTGTCAGTTGTGTTAATCTCACGTGGACTTGCGCATAGATTATTGGACTGTATCGTGTGTAGTGTTAAAAAAATTGAAGCTTGAAAAAAGATCCAAAATTTTTTGTCTTGGAGAAGCTAGGTCCCCACTCTAGTACGTACCAGGACGGTAAAAGTTCGGCCAATGCTCAAACGCTCTAGAAGTCTAGAAATCAAGCTTACCATATCAGGGCTAGCGTCACAAGGTCGGGATTCGACCCATTGAAAGGAATGGATATCCGGACCCGACCCGGGTGTATCAACCGACCAGAGCAAGAGCAAGTCATAATATTAGGTACCTAGTACCTGTAATGCGATATTAGAAGAGAAATCAACCAACAAGGTACCTTTTTAAACACTTGCAATGCTTTTCTATTCCTAAGAATAATAATTTTCTTGTGATTAGGATGCCATAAGTCTTAACATGCTAAGTGGAGTGAAATGGAAGTGAACTTTATTAGGAAAGGGTGTAAATCGAATACCTTGGTCCTTCATTAATCTATACCTACAAGACGCCTTGGTAGTTAGGTGCTCTACAGCTTTTCATGGTAGAGTTTGACTGAAAATACCTGTTATCCCATAGAATTCATGCATTATTAGATAGGTACCTAGTACCTAAGGTTTAAGGACAACTAGAATGCGGCTCATCTTGTCTAGAAATGGTTCATCGTAGAATGATCACTCGGCAATGACTCAGATCCTAGTATACTGAACAGATATAATTTCATTGGACTAACTCTCTCTTAGGTAGGGCTCCTTGTATGTATCTAATTTCTAAGTTAGGTAATAACGTAAGCCCACCAAAGCCTCGTGCAAGGCATTCTCCCAATCACATCCATATTCAAAAGTCGAGGGAGATAGCTACTGGTAGAAAGGATATGACATTCTTCTGAATCGAATCATCGTGTGCCTCATTCTCGGAGGCATTCGCATCCACGGCTCTCTCAGATTCGACTTGACCTTGGATAAGGTTTACTTGCTTCCCATTCTTGTACGTCTTGTTTTTACCTATAAGGTACTTCTTATTAGCAATGTTACATTCAATGCGTGCCTATATAAACAGGCGGGCGTAGGCTTAGCAGGGGTGATGATAACTTACCCACGAAGAGTTTATGCATTTGCTGCGTTTTTGGCCCCTTCGGCGCCTCTTCCTCATTTGCATGTTCATCATTGCTTGCCACGAAACGAATCTTTCCCCCGGAAATATGGTTCAACGCAAGCGCATTCTCGGGCACCTTTTCAAGTAGGCCATGAATCAGAATCTTGGTTGGATGCTGCAGTTCAAAGCTGTGGATGATCTTTTCCTTCAGACCGCGGATGGTGAGGTCCTTGTCAATCAAAAATTGAGCCGGCTTAATAATGTTTCCGGGACCTTTATACACTTAATCAATACAATGTAAGTTAGTAGATGATCTTATCATACACTCTTCACCAAAACTCTATCCAAAAGCGTTGGTCTGCCTTCTATACATGGCGAGGCTTACCAGGTTCAACTGTAAATGTGGCCATGGCTGCAGCTAATGTGGAAATTGAAAAGTGAAGGAATAGGAGGAATTTGAATTTGGACACAGCCTCATACCTAAAACTCCGGGGAATAAATTTGGGGTCAATATATATGGAAGGATTGAGCCTCATCTACCGAATGGGGCGTCCTAGGCAGGCAAGGCAGACCTTTGTTCGGGCGATCTCGGCCTGTTTAAGGTTGCCTTCATAGATAAATATCTAGCTACGTAGATGCCTCTAGGCACCTTTTCCGAGAAATCGATCTGTCAAACTTTAGTATCTCAGCATAATAAACGACGCGGTTTAGTACTTGCCGTTTACTTGCCGTTTACTTGACCTACTGTTTGGGGGCTATAAGCTGCAAGGTGAAACATGCAAGGTGTGAAAATATATGCATTCATCATTGGCGCGGAGTTTCTGGAACTGGCACCATCGTTGCCAAATATCGTTCGCGCACCGTTTCTAAGCCAGCTGAAGGTTACTACCCACGCTGCCCAGGCAGGTATGTACATGCGCCACATTGAAACGCTACTCACCTAAGTAGGTAGGTCAGTAAGTAGTATTGCTACATAGCATCGGAGCATCCGTGGGGTAGTTCGTATGATCATAACTGTCAGTATCTAGTATTACTATAAAAAGGAGCTTAGGTTATGTGATTATGATATACTTAGTAGCATAGAATAAAGCTTTGACTCAGCAGATACAATGTAGGTTGTCAAAGGCTTTCGTATTGACACGCAGACACGATATCGACAAGTTAGGTAAAGCGCTTACTTAGATGTCGTGCTTATAGTAGTAGATAAGATCGGTATGTTATGCCTACTACGTAGCACTCACTTGTGACGCTTCATGCCTACGAGGTGTCACAAACTAGTGCTAGTATATGCATATAGGATGAGTTAAGACTATGTACGATGCAAGTGATTAAGTGTCCCGAAGCTACCCCTGGTTTAAACCTCAAGTAATTTTAACAACCCCGACCCTGCTAATATGAGATTCTTCTGTTGACTATCCCCGAAAGCTTTATTGTCCAGAACACATGCCGTAGTCGAAATTTTCGAGTCCTCTATGCCGATAACTCCATTAATCTGATTTGCGTTCCCCCAGGATTCATTTCTTTCGAGAAATAGACGGTTGCTTGGTTCTGGAACCTGGCTCATTAAGGTATCCCTTAGTTCCCCTGCAATACCAACGTTAACTACGCCGATTTGCAATATCAAGTCGCCTTTTGCCATATCCAGCCGTTTCAACACGTTGTTCAGCTTTGCATCATCCCTCTCTGCTCGGACTAAGGCATATAAGCCCTGTCGCAAAACGCTCTTCCGTTGCCGGAGAGCCATAACCTCTAGGATCTTGTGAAGTTCAAGGGCGATAGAATTGATTCGTTCCACTCGCGCGTGGATCTCTGCTATGTGGAGTTCAGGTCTGCGCTTTACTGTTTGTATAATATCAAACAAGCTGTGAGCTTCTGTTTTCGTATCTTCGAAGACTTTGGGAGCAGACTTGACGCTCTCGCGTGCCATATTAATTTGTTGCCAAAGCTCAATCACTTGTGCGATCAGTTGTGCAAGGGCCGCAGCCGACCCGACCACATCCTAAATCATAAAAAAGAAAGTGTAAGCAGGCGTACAGCACTAAATTTATAGAAATCCACAGAAATTTACAGAAAAGTCATTACTCACCATCGGGAATGATGTATAAGATATGTCAGAAAGAATCGCTTGCCAGGTAGATTTCAAAACAGGGTGGAGACACGAATGCTTGGGAACGCTTGGGAACTCTGGGGAACTCGAGACGTGGGCATCGATAATATAGATATACTTAGACACTGCCCGCTGCCCAACTAATCAACTCCACCCGGCAGGCTGTCGTGGATGCGATTTCACCTAAGTCTTGCGACGTTTCACTTGATATTGATTGGAAAATTCTGTGGCAATGAAAATTGAGAGAGCAGAGTCTGTATTTGAATTGGTTGAATTTGAAATATATTTGCCCCGTGAATCGCCTCGCTTAATAGGAACCATAGATTTCCCGTTGGATCTACTAATCACAGTGTCGGTGTCTTCCGACTGACAAGCAAAGCCGGTAAAGATAGGTATGTACGTTTTTATGTACATTATACTCAGGCATGTACAATGCTAGGGCTGTGTATAAAGGCATAATAAATATTTAGGAAGTATGTACTAGGTATTTATATAAAATATTTGGTTTACTTACCTATTTAGGGAAAGAGGACTCGGATTAACGAATTACCCAGTCATCTACTGGAAGCTGACCTAATTGGGATAATTGAATGTAACATCCACAATAACCTTGACTCCTTTTTCCACAATGAAATCCGAACTGCCATTCATCTTGCGGCACGACGAACTTAAACCAAACACATCCGATAAGTCGTCCTTTTATATTCATTGTATAACCACATACATACCTAGTACCTTGGGTACTTTAGGTATTTAGTATGCTATTTACTTAAACCAAGAAGGTATGTCTACATCTCCATGATGAATCCCGAAGGTGTACCATGACTCTAACTATATAATAGCACCCAGGCCCCAAGGCACGAGAGAATCGAAGCCACGAAAGAAGACTTCGGTATGGAAATATGAATCGCAAACTTGCATACCGCCAACTCTTCCGACTAGAAGACTCACGGTACCCTTAGTAAGGATCATCCAAGCATCGGAGACGGGGATGGTGCATGAGTCGACTCGAGATATGGCCCGACATGCCAATGACCAGCACCTCTAAAGGGTGTCCTAACGTAAGAGAACGATAGTTCCACCCTCTACGATTGGCAAGCGGCACGGACGGAGTTGATGCTGCATCTATCGTACGGAGTATTTACTCGAAAAGGAGATGTTGGGTGTGAAACCCCTCACACATATCGACTGGTGACGGCATCAGAGCTGCATATAATGATCTTGTCACGCTGCATACCGCTCCGTCCTTCCTATAGTCGACTAGGGTAATATGTGCAGTATCAGCGCAGCCTGCAGCAGAGGGAGCGAGAACGGGCATGCCTGTCTAGTATGTAAGAATATCGAAGCCACGATGCTCATACCAACCCCCTATTGGATATGAACGAGGTCGGTCGTACCAATATATGCTAGTTCCTCGGCCTCTAGTCACATTGTGGGTGTGGTGATCATATGAACACGACAGGAATAGCTGCTGGTTATGTCTAATGTCATGCTCGCCATCCTCTACAGGATTTTCGCGGACGCAAGGTTCCGAGATAGGAGAACCTGCATCCCATGGGTTACGCGGATGTCGATGAGGGGGGGATGAAAAATTTTAGGAGGCGTTCATTTTGCAAGGAACCAGCAGTATCAATTATCATTGAGTCCACTAGTTGTGCAAGGTACATTTCTGGACCGAATTTGTACTTGAGTATGGCCATTGAACACTCTGGGTTCACCCACTTCGCCTCTACACTATCCCCGGAATTTTCTCTTCCATTTGGTCAAAAAATTCCATTTTGATTTCACAACAGGAACAGGAATATGGGCCAAACCAACTCGAAACCAGTCATGGGACCGGTAACACCTAATATCCTCAAGGATCGGATACATACACCAGTTCCAAATGTCAGTCCTAGTCTGACGGCTCCTACTCCTATGGAAGACCCTCAAATCAACTCAGCGTCCCAGAACTTATCTGAGGTAGAAGACCAAGTCACCCTCTTTCCCTCACCTAGACAAAGGCGAGACTCAAACAGAGCTCCTTCAAGCAACGGCTATACTGCAGTTGACCCGGATGAATCACCTTCGAGTTACAGACAGCAACAATGGAACAGAGCATATCCAGTCAGTTTCGAATCTCCCTACATATCACCATTCGTGGCATTATTAACTTCAACTAATTGTATATTCGTCGTAGCCCATCCATATCCCAACTAATCAGCGTAGCTTCTTTGAAGACGAGCCTGCTAAATGTCCATGTTCCCTTATCAACGACGAGCTGGCTTTCCGGAAGCTTCCCGGAAAGTCTAGCCTGGAGATAATCTGTCCCAAACTAAACGAGTCCCTTCGAAATATCATTGACCCATCAACCAAGTATCAGGGATCCGGTCGAATACCAAGATTCATTGTCGACGAGCCATATAAGCCGATCTTCTATATTAGGAAGAAGTTCTTACAAGGAAGGCATGGAGCTATGGATGGCCATAGTAGAGAGCATATACAACCCCTATTCGACTTTGTTCGGAGAAAGAGTCGTCTGGTCTGGGAAAAGCTCAATCAGATAGATGAAAGAATATGCTACGATATTGCCTTCAAGGAACTTTGGCTCCTATACCCACCAGGAGAGACTGTGCTCAACAAGGACGACGGCGCGTGGAGAGCATATAAGGTTGATAGAGTGGAGATAAATTCCGATTCTAGTTCGGCAGATATGACGATTCACTGCTGGTTTCTTGACTTTGACAAGACAGGGAAATGGCTAGTTCCACACTCCAAGGTGTTCTACGTACATTCGTACTCTTCAGAGCGGCCAATAGGAGTCCTTGATGTCATCCCTGAGTGGTACTGTGAGGAACTCGGGGCGAAGTTAGTCGAGCGGGGAAAGAAATACTGGGAATACGGACGTGTTGTATCTCATAAACGATATGACGGTGATGCCTGGCCAAGAACTTCGCAAGAAGTGAGAACGCTCCCTGCAAAGTACAACTTCTTTACTTAACCAGTACTGACAATTACCTAGGACCCGGTGAATGTCATTATAGATTACGTGACATCCAGCAAGCACCCACAAGAAACTGGCCTGCATGGGTCGCAAAGTTCTGGGGCCGTGTGTTCTGTTTGCCGAGCAAAAGCTGTCCAGCTTGAATCTTACTCCGGCGATGTCCCTCATGAAACCAGACCACATGATGATGAAATATGTGGTATAAGACAAACAGCAAGCTCCGCCGACGACAGCATAGAAAAGTTCGATACAGGTCTCCTTATGTTCTGCCCCTCTCAGATATGGGCTTTCTCCCTCCGGCATAAATCTTGGAAGATGATTCAGCTACAAGAATTGAGTCAGATCCAACCTCAGGATGAGTCGTTCAGGACGCTACAAATGGATAACGACAAGAAGGAAGATCTAGAAAATGTGCTGTGCGGTTATCTGAAGAACAAGCATAGCAATATAGACGTTATCGAAGGAAAGGGACAAGGCCTTAACGTGTTATTACATGGCAATCCTGGAACTGGAAAAACGTTGACTGTCGGTGAGTTTCACTTGCGCTTTATCATTCCAACATCTTCCTGTGATTGCTGCAGGTGGGTACCTACCTACTAAGTAGGTATTCATTGCCCCAAACAACAAGCTAACCTGACTTCTTATTCTCGTAGAGTCTCTGTGCGAGAAACACGTGTTCCCCCTATATACTTTGACGTGTGGTGAGTTGGGAAACGACGCAGATGCTTTCGAGGATCGCCTCCAGATGGCTTTCCTCCGCGCTGCAAACTGGAGGGCAGTCCTCCTACTCGAAGAGGCCGACATCTTCGTGCGGCACCGCGATCGCGAAATACAGCGTTGCGCGATAGTATCCAGCTTTCTTAGCAAGCTCGATTATTCGCGTGCTGTGGTCTTCATGGCCACTAACCGAGTCAAACACTTGGATAGTGCACTTGTGTCCCGAGTTCCCTTACAGTTGGAGTTTCCGGACTTCGATTTGCAGGCCCAAAAAGAGATTTGGAAAGACGCGATCAATCGTCTTCAGGATGTCAAGTCAGATGACAAAGAGGCACTTGCGTTCTGGGTGAGAGAAGAGCTTGCACAGAGTAAAGATAGATATGGGCATCTTAGTATGAATGGTAGGCAGATTAGGAACTGTATCAGCGCTGCTGCTGCATTGGCTCGTGGGAAGAGAAATGATAGTAAGCTATTTCCCGTACTGTTATGAGCGACACAGACCCTTCACCTGTGTATGTTTTACACATACCTACCTATAAATACCTTTACTTGCCAATTATTATCTAACGTTGAACCTCCAGGCAGTCTCAGAGTTGTTCACATCGAGAAAATACTTAGTCTTGGGAAAGACTTCATGGAGTTCCTCCGCCAAGGGGACAACCCCAGCGTCCATGCAATAAAGGAGGAGAAGACTAGGCAGGAAAGGTTGGGACAGCAAATGACTCCTTAAGCATACGCCTCACATATAATGATAACGACTTTATTATTAAGTTCCTTAGACGCAAATATTAATTTACCGTCATCGTACCTCGCTTTATCCAAACACCGAAATCGATGCCGTATCTAGGTACTTATACGCATCCCTTGGCGTGCCATTCCATTAACTACCTACTAGGTACGGCTACCTAGGTAGGTAGGAGGGTTCCTAATGAATCCAGGCACTTAAACATTTGAGAGATCTAGGTATCTAAAAATGTGTATCAAGTAATCTGATAATCTTTAAAGCCTTCGTCTCTTTGAAACATTCCACTACTTCGAAATCTCCACTCGTAACCATCACTCTAACCAACACACTGTCACCCCAAAGGGTTTCCGAAACGGTTTCCAGAGCTTTCACAAACTCGCCGAATTCCTCGTCGCTACATTTCGCGCGTAAGTAGTCGACCCGATCGAGGATGATCAGAAGTTTGCGTATCCCGGCTTGTTGAACGCACTTGATGAATAGATCCCAAAGCTTCTTAACACCGATATTACTGTCCTTTGGCTCCTGTGTTGCCAGCTCGGATAGTATATCGTCAAACTTGCTCCGGTATACTTCGATGAGTTGACCAACAAGATCTTGTATTAAGAATTCCTGTCGCGCTCCTTCTTTGGCATTGAAATTGCGACCGCAAAGATGAGCTGTAAAAGGGACCATCTGTTCTCTTGGCTTGTGTAAGATTTCTAGCAAGAGATTAGTCGTCCAGGTACCGTCGCCCTCGTCCCCAACTACTACCAAGATCTCGGGATTTGGCGCCCCCATCCATTTGTAAAGAGTGTCAAAATGATCGTCGCTTAATTGGTTCAAGACTGGTGGTCGGTCCTCGTTATCTTTAACATAAGCTTGGACCTCATATTTAAACATATTGAGGCCTTGCAACCATAGATCGGGGCGCTGGCAAGACGGGGACTTTTCCTCAATCATCCCATTTACCTCCTCTGCCCCTTTCATCTCGAAGAGGCTTATGAGAAAATTCCGAACTATCCTTAAGTTAGCTAGCCCATGAGAGAATATCTGGACTCAGCTGCTGACATGAAATACTGAACTCTTTCGATGTTGGAAGGGATTCCATTCCTTGTATTTGCAACATAAACTTTTGGTAGATGATACAATCTTTAAAGCTGAGGTCTGTATTATTACTGATTGCCACGTTTTGCTGCTTCGAATTTCCATTAGATATATTCTGACTAGACTCGATCCCCAACGTGTTAGGACACATTGTTTCTAGGCATAACATAGGGAGGCAATCAACGTGGTGGATTCTAACAGGACCGATATAATTCTGCCACGTAAAATTGGTGAACGTTGAACGAGGGAGCGTGCAGCTTAGAAGAATCCTGATTAATCCTCGGCGCCACTCGCGACGAGTCGATAAGTAAAGAAATATAACGCGACGTGAGATGCAATTGGATTGAGGCGATGTCAGAGCCTTGGGGAAGTGGATGATAAGAGGTCCCATACTAAGGCAGGTACCTACCATCGGCGCTGGGGCTATGGTAGTTCCCCACGTCTTCTCGATGCGATCTCTGGCAATATCCGAAACCCCGATGCGGCTGAGCCATTTATCAGCAAAGCCACTTACGTGTATTAGGTCTACTCCTGGTGTGTAAGTACATACTAGGTGTTGGTGTGTTTATTATACGGAATGAAACGTATATTTATTCCGTCATACGCCATACGGATTACCTCCGTTAGGTAGGTAGCATCCATTTTCCCTTTCGGTAGCTGACGTAAGTGGGAATATCTTCATGATAGAAGACCCACTCAAATAAGGCAAACCGATCGGATGACTTCCATTTGCGTAGCTCTATTATATACCTAGGTGGACACCCAATCTAGCTGGTAGATTTTTAAATGGTTTTAGCACAGCCATGATAGTTAGATCAATGGTCGCTAAGATTGCGACAGTGAAGTATGTACTTCATCTGGGGTTGGGCTGAGTTGGGGTAAAGGGCTTAGTTAGATATGAACCTGTGGGCCCACTTATTCGATCTTTGACAATCAATTGTGGAAGTTAGGTGCTGGCGACACTGCATCACGATACACGTCTTTCTTGGTAGCAGAATATCAACCCCGAAACGACGGGTCTAAATGTTAGAAGTAGGTGGTTCGGGTAAAAGCTGGCCGGTAGGAGGGTGATCATCTTATCATAATGAACCAATCAAAACGAAAGACTTAGCTAAAACGGGAAATGCCCCATAACTTACGCACTGACGTTGCCGTGAAAAATACCGGCGCCGGCCGAGATACTCGGAGGCTCAAAGCTAATATCGAACCTCAATGTTTCCTAAAAAGTGTTCATGTAACAAAGATTGCCATGTTTCAGATTTCAAGAAATAAAAACCACCCCAATTCCTACCTACATTATAGAAAAATGACAATATGAGTCAAATGCGTAAGGTTGGAATTGTACAGAAGCTAGACTGCTAGAGCAATTAAGAATCTAATAAAGGTCTAAGAACCCTTAGAGGCTATCTCCAAAGCTATGCAGACCTCGAGAGTCAAGTCCATAGAAACAGAAGAAAATTGGGTATTCATTCAATAGTCATTATTCAAAAGATGTGGAAAGTTACACCTACAGCTCCAGATAAATAGAACTTGCCAACGGCTCATATCACACTTCGTGCATAGGTAGGTATGTTAGGTAACCTTGGAAGTCAACAATCCTGTCATAATGTGACATGAATTCACCTTATCGAGGATATTCCATTATAGTACGCGAGCCGTGGGGAAGTCAATACTAAATACCTACATTTCATCGAGTCAGGTCTACGTTTTTATATATTTCGCTACTCTCTTTGATGACGGAAGCAGCTAGTGTTGTCTCGAGTTCAACAAAGACCTTTATTAAATGTTTGAAGATATTTAAACACATTCAAGCCATAAACAAGTCTTTATAATAAATGCGAACCTATTCAATATGATTTTTTTTAAAATTTGTTTTATAATTTATTAAACGAAGTTACGAACTATTACTCTGTCTTATGACGTACGGAATATTATAAAATATATACCCAGTACATATTAAACTATTAAAAGTTTTTTAAATTAAATATACTATATTCTTTCCATGCATTCCTATTCATACTATCCAGATTATTATTATACTTTTCATTGTATTGTTACTAATGTCCGTGCTCCTTCTTATTTTGTTGTCATTTAACCATACTATCGTCCTTGCCTTGCCGATTTATACCAAGCTATGACTCACCGTTCATCGATTTTGGTCCTTCGTCCAATACCGACCTCTCATCGTCGGCGATAAAAATTTTCTTAAACTTTAATTCTTAATAGTAGTCATGTCCTTGACGATAATGGTAATTGACACCTCCATCGCCGACACTTTGCTCCAGTTTTGGAAAAGCGTTCTTTCCCTGGGCACCCTTCCTTCCGCCGTTCGATGTTTCCCTCCTATTGACTGCTCTTTCGCACGGCGGTATCCTCCTGTTGACTGCCCTTTCGCACGGCGGTACCCTCAATACTCTTTTCTATATAACACCACCAATCCTCCGCCGTTCTTTTCCAAAATTTCTTTCCCATCAGTTACTTGATATCTACTTACAACTATCAGGTATTCTCTACTATTGAACATTCTGATTCAACTCCTGCTCTATTACATACCAAGCTTCTCTTCACTAACATAACCTTTCGTTATTAAATGACTATGGCTGGAAGATCGGTGAACCAACAAGTCCGCCGGGAGGTCCGTCGACAGGTCCGACAGCAAATCAAACGCTTCCGCAAGTCCAGTCGCCGTCAGATGGTTAACATTATTCGACATGAAGTTCGGCAACTTTTCAACTTACCCGGACGCGTTACTGCTAACGCTTCCACCACCACCGGTGTTGTCGCCGACGGTAGTGTTGTCGCCGATGGTAGTGTTGTCACCCATGGTAGTGTTGTCGCCGATGATAGTGTTGCACCTGTTCCTACTGCTCCGGCCATTCCCGCCGTTGCTGGTGACGCCGAATCTAGCAACTCTGGCCCAAGTGCCAAGACTCACTTAGTAAGTTTAACATTTTACCATATTATTATCTTCATGGTCTATTTGCCTATGGATAATTTACCTACCTAAACTCTATACATTGTTTTATTGCAAGATATTGCGATATAAATTATGCATCAATACATTGTAATGCACTATTTGGTGCTAAGGGCGAAAAGGATGACAATTCTCAACTCTTTGTTAGGTAGATTGAAGCTAATACATTCTCTTTGGCAGGACGCCAATGGCCGGGTTATCAATCACCCCACCGCTCATGGTGAGATTACGGATGACTTCCAGAAGTTTCGTTGCCTAAAGGATGGTTGTGGTGCTGAGATTAAAAATGTTCATCGGAACATTCAATCGCACTTGAGTAAAATCCACAACGCAAGCTCAACACACCAAATCAAGAGCAGTAAGATGGTGCGACATTGCAGTATTTGCAATAAGGAAACCCCGAGTTTCCATGGTCTCGTATGCCACATCAGAGATCATCACAAGTTCAAGGGAAATACCAGTGCCATCTGGGCACAATACGAGACGACGGAGGATGGAGATGTGATTAACGTGGAAGGTCAATCAAAGGAAGATTAGGGACTTATGGATATTCTTTGAGAGGAATTATGAATCATATCTAGCTGTTGGGCTGTGAGCCCATTATGAAGAGACGAATCTCACAATGCAATGGAAGCTAGAGTGAGATAGGAATGCGGTACTGCTCGGACGATATCGTCTAGCAAAAATTGATGAATTTCACCAGTAATATGGATATCATGCCTTGAGTGAATATACACCTTAGTACCTAGTAGGTACCTGTGCACAGCTCGTATCACTGTCTCTACTAGGTAGATGTGTAGCGTGATTGAGGGAATACTTACTTACCTACTTACCTACTTACCTACTTACTTACCTACCTACCTACCTACCTTAGGTACCTAGGTATCTAGGTAGATATACTACTTACCTAGGTACATAGTAGATACCCTCAAAGGTGACACCAATCGAAATCCTATGATGACATCTAAAGAGGTGATGAGCATAACATAATTCCAGTAATCTCAACAGCACGCCATAAATACCAAGCTTTCAAGGTTGGAAACTCCTCTATTAATATTAGTAATTGGGTACCTACAAGTGGAGGTTTATTTTCCCGTCGCAATAGCTCGGCAATCGCATCCAACGTTAAACCCCGCCGCGAACCCAATGACAGATCATCACTTTCCATTTAACTCAAAAGCTTCATAGATCACTAGAGCCCAAGTCGAGAGATCATCGCGAAAATGACTACCGATCAGAACTCGCCCAATCGTGGACAACCCAAAAGTATCCCTAACAAACCAGCCGATGGCGTCCCATTCTTCACCCCGGCCCAAGAACCTCCGGCTGGGACTGCGCTGAATCCCCAACCGGATGGCAGTCCTATCCCGAAACTCTTCACTCCTTTGAAGATCCGCGGCGTCACTTTTCAAAATCGAATCATCGTCTCGCCGCTATGTCAATACTCAGCCGAAAACGGGTTGCACACTTTATGGCATACGACTCACCTAGGCGGCATCGTACAGCGCGGGGTAAGTTTCTGTTTCTTTTCCAATCTCCTCTTTTCCCGCCTCCTTACTTTTTATTTTCTCCCCCTAATTACGCCACCACCTCCACCACCTCCACCGCCTACGCACCTACCCGTATAGTACATCCATTCACAAGTACTATACCTACCTACCAGCCTACCTACATGATAAAGCAAGCCACTTACCTCACCACTCTCATCTCCATAGCCCGGCCTCACAATCGTCGAAGCCACCGCGATCCAACCCCGCGGACGCATCACCCCCCAAGACAGCGGTCTCTGGAATAACACCCAAATCGGTCCCCTACGCCAACACGTGCACTTCGCACACTCGCAAGGCCAGAAAATCGGCATCCAGCTCGCCCACGCCGGCCGCAAAGCCTCGACCGTAGCGCCATGGCTGAGCCGCGGTGCCGTAGCAACCCATGATGTAGGTGGGTGGCCCGACGACGTGGTAGCCCCGAGCGCAGTCGCGTACGCAGATGACCACGCTGTTCCGCGGGCGTTGAGTTTGGCGGAGATCGCGGAGATCAAGGTGGATTGGAGGAATGCGGCGAGGCGGGCTGTGGAGGCGGGGTTTGATGTGATTGAGCTGCATTGCGCGCACGGGTATTTGTTGCACAGCTTTTTGTCGCCGGCGAGTAATCATCGCACGGATGCGTATGGAGGGAGCTTTGAAAATAGGGTCAGGTTGGTCTTGGAGCTGGTGGATGAGCTGAGGGGTGTTATACCGGAGACTATGCCACTGTTCGTACGTATTAGTGCGACGGATTGGTTGGAGGATGTTGAGGGATATGAAGGCGATAGCTGGAAGCTAGGTGAGGCGGCACGGTTGGCGGAACTATTGGCGGATAAGGGTGTCGATGTGATTGATGTGTCGAGCGGAGGGAATCATCCGTTACAAAAGATTAAGCCGGGACCGGGATACCAGGCGCCTTTCGCTAAGGCGATTAAGAAAGCGGTTGGGGATAAACTTCTTGTCATGACTGTGGGAAGTATTACGAGCGGAAAACTAGCTGAGAAGTTGCTTGTAGGTGATGTTACGGATGATAGCCCACCTCTAGACCTTGTGGCCTCTGGAAGATTATTCCAGAAGAACCCGGGACTGGTCTGGACTTGGGCTGAAGAGGTATGCAACGGTTATTTTCTACATGACATAGACTGTACTTGCTAACTACTTTCTAGCTTCACACTTCGATATACATCGCAAGCCAAATTGGATGGGGCTTTGGAGGAAGGGCCACCAAACAAGAAACAGGGCATCCCACAAGGGCAGAAGAAGAGGAAGCTACTAAAGCTTCGGTTGTGGCTGAAAAGAAACATGATGACCTAGGCGCTATCCCTAGATAAATAGGTAGGTATCTGCAATGGCGAAGTCGGCGATGGCGACGGCGACGGCGAGAATAGCATATAGCGATAGATGGGAATAGAAGTAGAGTAGCGTTAAGGGAAGATTAAAGGGGTTTTCTGCTTATGCCGTAACATGTTTAGCTCCCTTTCCTACCTACCTAGTAGACACCAAGCTACTTCGATATGAAATCAAACGACCAAATGACCAAACGGCGATAAATAAGCATTATATCCTAGATCCTCCAAGGCTCCTAAAATACCTCCCTACTATTCATTTGACTGGTACCCAACCAGACTACGCCAAGTAACAAAATCATCCATGTCAACCCAAATTCAATTGCACAATTGAGTAGAAAAGTGAAGAGGATTGTATGGACATCATAATGTATTAAGTTCTATGGTCATATTAAACTGTATGCATTATCGGTTGCACTGAATGTGGTGGTGCTTGTCTTCTTACACGCTTCAATTCCGTCGCTTCCCACATTATCTGTTGAAGGGATGCCGACGTCAAAGTTTTATCCCGCCTCATCAAGTAAGGGAGTATAGATCCACGACATCTGATGGAATCTGGGTGTATGTCGCGGGTTTCGAAATCCATATGACCTCGCACATATTTATCTGCCACCATCTGCCAAGATCTTTTGACCGATGGCCCCAGAGCCGTGAAGGAGAGACCTGTTTCCAACCATTCGACTAAGGAGTTGTCTTTGTAACGAGTGTAGCGAAAAATACGAGCTTGGGATCGCTTGCCGGACCAGAGCTCCATCATTTGAAGCTTTGGCATGCTTAGAGCGACCTCAGCAGCGGATCTCAGCAGTTTGTCAACTTCTGCCGGACTTGCGTTCAAACGTAACGAATCCGATGTCAACGTGAGACCTTCCAAATTGTCCCACGAATCCTTCTCCTTGTCTTCGTTAAAAGGGGCGAAGAACGATTTGGCATCTATGATAAAGGAAAGATCGAGCTCTATGAGTCTTTGACTTATGGAGAACACCTTCGATCCCGCATTTTCGGCGAACGATCCGCCGTTGCTCCTGTTAAGGACATCGTTCGAATCCTTGTATCCCGAGAATCTCGTGACTGTCGGAGGTAAGGAATCTAAGATAGCTAAGAGGTCGGCCTCGTGAAGCCATGCGCGATCAGTTGAGATGGGATACCAAGGTTCGTATCGGAATATCTCCAGGTTTGGTAGGCTCCTGAAAATTAACTCTATCTTTGGGATGGGCCTATAGAACTGGCGTGGGATGATTAGGCTTGTGATGAAGTCTACTTTAGGAAGCGACGGCAAATCACGCGTGCCGATGTATCGGAAGTCGAAATAGAGAGGCCTGCCGAATAATCTATGTTTGGGACCGGGGCCTGGAATGACCTGTTCGCCAAAGTACCAGCCGTGATATGGGTCAAGATGGTTTATTCGAGGGGAGTCATAATACGTCTTGTTATCATCATAGAAGCGATGATCTCGAAAGTGATGGTCTCGGTCACTCGGAGAATAGACACTCAGCTGCAGACTTAGATTTAACATGGACTTCGAATAATACGGCTTCGCGGTCCCCCATTCGGTTAAAATGGAAAATAAATTCCACATGGAAGCCGTAAAAATCCTGTTATTTGTCCGTGCCTCTTCTCGCGTCTCCTCCGAAGTGCACCGGTCACAATTGTATCGTGGAAGCTCTATGCGTAGCCATACCTAGTGGAGCATCGATCTTCGCTTGTCGGTGACGATTGTTTTAAATAATGGGAGATCACGTTGGCGTAACACCAGACCGTAGAAAGTAATCCGTTCGAAGTAATCTTGCCACTTCCTGGAAACAGCAGCATACGCAGAGGTGTGGTGCTTACGACGATTATCCTCATGTCTCGGTATTATAGAATGATGACACTGTGGGATAAGAAAGCTAAAGATGAGCAGCTTCAGTTCGACTGGTAGATTTTCCTAGTCGGCCACCATCTTGTCGAAGGGTTGCGTGTCAATAGCAGTGAATAGTGGTGGATAGCGGTGGATAGCTGTGGTGAATATGTATCCACGTTGACCTTTAGACCAAAGAATGGTTCATATTGATGTTGTAGATGAGAAGTTGTGAGTTCCAAGGAGTTGTCTCGATGGCAAATACTTTACGCCTAAGTCGCATAGGGTCCGGCTTTCCTCATATGCAATCTTTCTATTGAATACCTACCTAGGTATATATGGAAGGCAGACCTCATTGATTCAGTGGTGAAGGTAGTTCGTAGTTACTCGGTGATTATAAAAACTCGTCACCTACCTAACCTGCTAACCGAACAGCAGTTTTTGCCGTATAAATTTCTAGGGGAAGCGTTATGGAAATATCACGCATATCGACCATTTCTGGAAAGATGGGCGCCGTCAATTCGCTTTAGACATATACAGTGTCGGGGAGAAATCTTTGAAAGAAGAAAAAATGAAATTAAATTGAGGAACACCACAGGTGCGCCACAACACAGCCACATAGAATGTAGATCCCATATAGCCACAGGTCTCGGCTATTTCTTTCAATCGTCAGAGGTCTCCAAGTCTCCACCCAAGCAGCCAAGCAGCCAAGGTAGATACAGTCCTCTTCATGGAGTTGCTTGGCTGCCGAGCTATCCAGACAGCCGGACGGAAATCTGACAGGCTTGATCTGACCAATGAATTTAGCTATGACCTAAGTGTTTGCATGAATCCCAAACTTGATTGGGATACAGCGAAACTCGCAAGCTATGAGGTACCTATTCTGCATCGCCACCGCCTAGGTGTACAGGTGTACAGGTGTACGAGTGTACGCAGCTCCAAGCCACACAAGTCGACCTGAACCTTGAACCTGATTCTGTTCGTTAAGACAAAAGGGAGAAGCTACATCTCACTTTTCTTAGGTAGAAATTTATAAAAATCATCATTCTCCCCAAATCTAATATATGCCTAGTCTTAGACCTCTTTTCCGTTACGTCCTACCCGTAACGGCATTATTAACAGTCATCCTACTTACACATTTATACCCCTCCCTACTTTCGAACCACATCTCATCCGACCTCCTGACAGCTCCCCATCGTCTTTTTTCGGATTATTTTACTTCACCTCCAAGCGCAGAAATAGAAATAGAAACAGAGACAAAAACAGAATCCAAGATGGGAGGCGGGCCAGAACAATTCCGCACAGTAGCCTACTTCGTCAACTGGGCCATCTACGGGCGTAAGCACCGGCCGCAGGATCTACCCGTCGACAAGCTAACCCACATCCTATACGCCTTCGCCAACGTGCGTCCTGAGTCCGGCGAGGTCTACCTCACCGACACCTGGGCCGACACGGATATCCACTGGGAAGGCGACAGCTGGAATGATGTCGGTACGAACCTGTACGGGTGCATGAAGCAGCTAAACCTACTAAAGCGGAGGAACCGGAACCTCAAGGTGCTCCTGAGCGTCGGTGGCTGGACCTACAGCAGCAACTTTAAGCAGCCCGCCTCGACACCACAGGGCCGCGCTACATTCGCCAATTCCTGTGTCGAGCTGATCAAGAACCTCGGCTTTGACGGCATCGATGTCGACTGGGAGTACCCACAATCACCGTCCGAGGCTTCGGACTTCGTCGCGCTACTCCGTGCCGTGCGCGAGGCCATGGATAACTACAGCCGCTCGCTACCGGCACCGTACCACTTCGAGCTAACCGTCGCCTGCCCTGCCGGTGCGCAGAACTACGGCAAGCTCGACATTCCGGGCATGGATCGTCTGCTTGACTTCTGGAACCTGATGGCGTACGACTTTGCGGGGTCATGGGACTCCACTTCAGGTCACCAAGCGAACCTATTCCCCAGCCGCACGAACCCGCGATCCACGCCTTTCAACACAATAGCCGCCGTAGACCACTACATCTCGCGAGGCGTCGCACCCTCCAAGATCGTATTAGGCATGCCCCTATATGGACGAGCCTTCCAAGGAACCGACGGTCCAGGGGCGCCGTACTCGGGCGTCGGCGAAGGGACATGGGAGAATGGAGTGCACGACTACAAGAAGCTACCCTTACCAGGAGCATCAGAATACATCGACCGTGAGGCCGGGGGTAGCTACTGCTACTCGCCAGCGACGCGGACGCTAGTCAGTTACGACAACGTGGATATGGCGCGACGCAAGGCGTACTATGTGCGACAGGAGAGGCGGCTCGGCGGCGCCATGTGGTGGGAGAGCAGCGCCGACAAGGAAGGCCCGCAGAGTCTAATCTCGACCGTGGTGGATGCGTTTGGTGGGCCTTGGGCCTTAGATCGCACGCCGAATTGTATTACGTATCCGCATACGAAGTATGAGAACTTGAGGGATGGGTTTCCTAATAACTAGGAGCGGGTTGTCTTCGGGAACGGGAATGGAACTGGGGGTTGGGAATAGGAACGGAATTGGAAATGGGGGGATTTGAGAATAGAATGGGTAACGGATTATGATGTATGGACTATGGGATACGTACAACCAATCCCTGAGAGGTAAGACGTGGGTTTCACGATTGCATCCTAGATAGGTAGTCATCGAGATGCTAGTAGATATTGAGCTATAGGTGGTTGTCATCAATAAGAAAAAATATTACCAGTAACTACAAGCAACTCGCATAGGCCACTAGTCATTTCATACTTCACTCACCCGTTTCAATACTACTGGAAAAATGTGGATGGTAGGTAGGAAACATACCAACACGATAATGCAAGGACCTACCGTCGGAATCGAGAAAAGTGCAAAAAAATATCACATAAATTGACACACGCAGAGCTTGTTTGTCTTGTTTATTCATCTGAACCGAGCCGTGTCATCTATGTCCTGTCATGATAACACCGTAAGCCCCATTCCCATGTCCTGACCCGAAACCCCATGAAATCGTATAACCGTATCAATAGGCGTTTACTGCTTGTCGAAGACGTAGGTGAGGTGGCATCGGCCACAGTACTGTCGGTCCTGCATGGCGGCCATGAAAACACCGGCACCGCACTGTGCGAATAGAGTTAGCATCAACAATAATAGCTAGAAAGTATATTCATGACAAAACTTACGGTGTCAGCAGGGCACTCGCGGCGAAGGCGCTCGATCTTTCCATCACCGTCGACCTTGTAGTACTTAAGCACAGCTAACTTGGTCTTCTTGCGCTTGTGCTTGATCTTCTTGGGGGTAGTGTACACCTTCTTCTTGCGCTTCTTGGCACCACCACGAAGGCGAAGGACGAGGTGAAGAGTGCTCTCCTTCTGGATGTTGTAGTCGGAGAGGGTTCGTCCGTCCTCGAGTTGCTTGCCGGCGAAGATCAGTCGCTGCTGGTCAGGGGGGATTCCCTCCTTGTCCTGAATCTTGGACTTGACATTGTCGATAGTGTCGGATGACTCCACCTCAAGGGTGATAGTCTTGCCCGTGAGGGTCTTGACGAAAATCTGCATGATTGCCTGTTGTTGAAGTAGTGTTAGAGATATGTGTACCGGAGTTAGAGTGAGTGAGGATGGTCTAGTGAATGATTTTGGGTGATAGTGTGGTGAATGACGATTTGGGGGATATTTGTAATGTGTGGGAGATGGGAGATGGGAGATGCGCCTAAGCACCGCGATGCGATCAATCTGATTAATATTGCGATCGCATACGAATTCCAAGATGTCGTATTACATAGAAAATTCAAATGAAATGAACGTGAATGTAGGGTTATTTTGGTGAATATTACACGTACCTAGACAATACTGCTATTGCCGTCCTAAGCACCACGAAGAGAAAGATTGGTTTGTGGAAGAGAAGAAAAAAAGTTCGTGGTGGGAGAGCCGCAAGATTTGGATAAGGTACGCTGCAGTGTGGTGGGTCCTGGCAAAACTTAGGTAAATCAGCACGGACAGCTATTGATTACAGGGGCTATTCAATAATTCATCACGTGCTAGGGTTTTATCATACGCTAACCCTGTGGCACTTGCTTGCAATTGTACAGATACCAAGGTACAAATCTTACCTACCAAATTCAAATTCTTTTCTCATTGGCCCGTTCATTTTCTTGTGCAGTGGGGTTCTCTTAGACCTTTCTGACCAGCCAAAACTTTGCCCACCAAAATTCATCATTCAATTCCAAACCACGAACCACTTTCTTCCTCCTTGACAACTTTAAGCAACCACAACTTGTACGTGCAATCCCCTCGACGGCTCCCCAATTTGACTCTCAATTATTTGGTGAATCGAATTATCTCAAATAGAATCACACATCTAACATTACATCAAATAGAACACCGCCATCATGGTCAAGAAGAGAAAGAACAACGGCCGCAACAAGAAGGGCCGCGGCCACACCAAGCCTATCCGCTGCAGCAACTGCTCGCGATGCACTCCCAAGGATAAGGCAATCAAGCGCTTCACCATCCGCAACATGGTCGAGTCTGCTGCCATCCGTATGTTTATTTTCCCTATATTTTGCGTCTAATTTGCCTGTCGTGTCACACACTAGTATTAATACGTACTATTTTACCCAAAACGCGAACATGCGACTTCGTATGAATTAAGCTAATATTTCTCAAACAACAGGTGATATCTCGGATGCCTCCGTCTTCTCCGAGTACACGGTTCCCAAGATGTACCTCAAGCTGCAGTACTGTGTCTCTTGCGCTATCCACGGCAAGATTGTCCGGTACGTCCTCCCATCGGGAGTTTTGACTACGCGCTCATCAGGGCTGCGTATGCGCCTGAGAAGAGCCTTGGTCGAACCTCGAAGCGAATTATATCGCTCCTCCCCTTCCTTACCGAACGTACGAACGAACGAACGAACAGTATACGCTAACATTTATATCTTCTAGTGTCCGATCGCGCGTAGGTCGCCGTAACAGGGCACCTCCCCCTCGTGTGCGGTACAACAAGGATGGCAAGAAGGTGACCCCCACTCAGACTGCTAAGGTCGCCTAAATGGTTTCGTTACGGTGTCTTGGGGAATGAACAGGGTCTGGGATGAATCAGGTCATCGGAAATGGTTTCGCTTTGCATGAAAAACGGTTTTCGGCATGATTTCTGAGATAATGACTTCTATGAATGAAGATCATACCATGATGAACAACTTACATCTTCGACTTTGCCTGTGATGATTCCACCTAAGTGACTATTTCTCCAGGGTGGTAAGCCGAGACGGATTCGCCCATTCTCCACGTTTATTAGACTCCAAAAATCACCCGGCTGTATTGAAACCAAGTTTCCCTATCCTTTGGCTACTATCTCAACGTTGTCCATCTAGTTAAAATCATTCGCAATCTACTTCCACAGCACTCTTCGTATTTACCACTTTCACCAATGCACCGTACGCCCTAGCATTCCTATAGTTGTCCAGGCTGCCAGAGTTCTAGATATATGCGCAGGTGCTTAAGCCTCAAATAGATCAACCGTACCTATCTAACTTCGTTTACTAAGAATTTACCCAGGTGCTATTTCATCTATTCGAGATCTCCATTCAGGGCTGCTGAGTGCCAATAAGTAAATGCAGGGTCTACTACTTTATAACGCCCACAATTCCCGCACTTCCAATTAATGAAAAAAGAACAAGATAACCGAATTTCAAAAAATAAATAATAAAAAATACAGCCGCCAATTTATTTTCACAGAAACAAGCCGAACAAAAATTTGGACACGCGGGGAATTGAACCCCGGACCTTCAGCAGACCACTGTAGATCAGTACATAAGATGATTCCTATGTTAGGGGTCATTTCAATACTTAATCAGTGCGAAGCAGACGTCATACCCCTAGACCACGTGCCCTGGTCGATGGTTAATAGCCTCCTTAGTTGACTTATATTCTAGACCCTTTTCTCTTCGCCTGTTTGCGGGGAATAGCTAAGATGTGGAGGTGTAAGGCAGTGTGAAACGAGTGTGAACACTGTACGGACCGAGAATACTACCTAGGGAGGTTTAGGTAGGTATCTATCATAAAGTCCCATGAAACTCTCTAGATTTGTTCGAAGCAGGTAGATAACTAGGTAGGCATCTAGTTAAAAAAATGTTCTATTTAATCAGTTGATCGTGTTCCTCCTTTACAACTAGCGATCATATCCATGGATAGGTACCTTGACACCGTGGTGTCTTGTGGACCCTTATAAGTTCAACAAGATCGTAGAATATCAAGATTCAACTTCGAATAGAATCATATCATGACTTTAAAAACTTTCTAGTCAGAAGTAGAGTTAAGTAAAAATGTTTATTTCAAGTAAACCTCGCCTAGGTCCGTCGTTGGATATTCATTCGTTTTCATTACATGCCTTCTATGTCGGTTTCGTGACCAACCAGACATCATTTCATTCCCCAACCTAATCATCATAGCCCGTCCAGCCCATGTCCTGCGCGGGAATCGTTCATCATACACATATCAAGTACCCAAGCCCAGCCGGATTTCATCTCTCATCAACATCGTCACAAGGCTACCGTTTGACCACCATTGTGCTGTTGCCTTGGTACCCCGCGGGTAATAAAATCGCGATTCTCGATTGTTACGCTCTTGGTCATGTGGTTAACCTTGTAGACGCCGACTAGCCGAGCGGCAAGCTCGAACATGTTGTTTCGTAGAGAGATGACGACGAATTGGGCGTTCTTGGTACGCTCCTTGATGTAGTTGGCCACGATAGACACCTAATCATATCATCGTTAGCAATGAATGACATAGAAGAAACATTACATAGAGGGTAAAGAAGAACGGGAATACTCACATTTCTGAAATCCAGAGCAGCGTCAATTTCGTCCATGACGTATAGAGGCGTTGGCTTGTAATGATGCAGAGCAAACACCAGCGCAAGACTAGATAACGTCTTCTCGCCACCACTGAGGTTGCTGATATTCTTCCAACTCTTCTTGGGTGGCATGACGGAAAATAGGATACCCTCGCTGAAGGGATCCAGACTGTCGACAAGTTCTAACTCGGCGTTTCCGCCCATCGTGATCATCTGGTACATCTCTTTCAGGCGGAGAGAGATGGTACTGAAGCCTTCCATGAATCCCTCTAATCTAAGACGTCGCAGATCGTCGCACCGCTTCTTGGCAGTATCGCGCTGCTGGACAGCGGTTGCTAAGTCGGATGACCGAGCGGCATGTTCTTCGACTCTGCGACGATACTCTGATAAGACACTGACATCAACGTTGACGTTCTGCGTCTTCTCTTCGAGAGCTGCGATCTCGGCTTTTAGGGTATCCTTGTCCATATCCTTTAATTCGTCATCCGTAAACCGCGGAAGTTCTTCGGGCTGCTGTTCTTGTCCCTGTTCCTGCTCCTGCTCCTGTTGTTCCTCCCCTTGGTTCTCGGTAGACTCATCTTGGCTTTCCTCTTGAGTCCGTTTCTTGGCAGGTGGCGGGCCACTAAGGTCGCTGACGTTTTGTAGTACAAGCTTGTTGAGTTTCTCATCCCAGTAACGCAGGCGCTTCTGATTCTCGACGAGCGCTTTCTGGTTCTCCTCTAGCTTGTTACGCATCTCGATTTCGACTGCTCGGGTTTCGTTAAGTTCTGATGTCTTCTCATCTAATTCGGTCTTTAGTGTAGACAATTCCTTCTTCTTATCGGCAAGTTCTGCTTCTGCCTCCTCAACACGAGCATTTAAAGATTCAGATTTGCTACCTTGGTTTTCGACCTCTTCCTCAAGCTTTTCGAGGTCGCGTACAGCAGTCTCCAACTCCCTGGTAGCCTTGGCGTGGTCTTTTTCGAGTTTCGTCTTTAACTTCTCTGCCTTCGCTTTCTTCACTTCGGCATTAGAAGTCTCCTCATTGTTGGATGATATCTCTTCCTTGATGGCGTCGACCTTGGCACGCTGAGCACGAAGTTTCTCACCACCAATCTCCATGATTTTATCTTGCAACTCTTTAATCTCCGCCTCCACGCCTTCGGTTTCGGCATGAAGTTTCGTTACTTCTTTGTTCAGCTTGGCAATTTCCTTCTGCAGTGCGGCCACCCTGTTATCGTCGGTTTGCGACGGCTGGTGTTCCTTGCTTAGCTCCTTGATGCGTCGTTGGGCGTCTGCAATATTTTTCTCGGCACTTTGCAGTTCGAGGCCGATCTTCTGCATCTTGGTATCTAGTTGAGGGATCTGGCCTTTCAGAACTCTGAGGCGGGACTCGAGTTCTCGTTGGTGATCCTGGAACTCTTGGAAGTTTGCCTCGATAGAATCTCGATCGCTTTCGAGCTTGGCGACATGCTCCTTAGTCGTATCAGCCACAAGCTTGCTCGACATCAGACCTTTCTTGACGGTATTTCCACCTCCGGACAAGGTACCGCTCGTATCGAAAAGCTCTCCGCCAAGTGTAACCACCCTCCATCTAGTATCGCCTTCAGCGATCTGCTTCGCCTGAGCTAAGTCCTTGGCTACAAGGGTATTTGTTAGGGCGTGGTAGAAAGCAGGGCGGAATCTTTCTTCTTTGGCCTTGATCAGGTCAAACAGGCGTGGCACATTTTGGGGAGTCTGGATGGGCTGTAAATTATACGATCGAAGTTTGTCCAGACACATGAAATTGCCTCTCCCAAGGTTAGTCTTTCGGAGATATTCTATGCATTGCTGACCAGCCTCTACAGTATCGGTGACGAAGCTGTCAAGAGAAGGACACGCTGTAGAAATAGCAACATCGTATTTCTCATCGATCGTACCAAGATTTCCGAGGCGACTGTGGAATCCGTCAATTCGTCCAGACTCCTTCATTCGCATCAATGCCGTAAGTACATTGCCTCGGTTCTGGTTTTGCGAGAGGCTGGATCTCGCCTCTTCTGCCTTTTGTCTAGCATTAGACACTTTAGACCGAACGTTTGGCTCCATCTGAGCTAAGCTCTCAAGATCAGCCTCGATTTTCTTCGCCTCCTTTTCTAATTTAGCCTTCTCAGCCTGGGACTCTTTTAGTTCCGCAAGTTTGGCCGTACGGCCTTCTTCGATATTTGCAATCTTTGTCTGCATTTCTTCGAGGGCGACAGCTCCAGCGTTAGCTTTCTCCTGGAGGATGGCCATCTCAGACTCGGCAACGGCAATAGCCGACTGCTTCTGATTGATCTTCTCTTTCCAAGGCTCGAGAGATTTCTGTTTGACGGCAATTTGATCCGAGAATACTTGCGTTTTGCCTTTAAGGCTATCTCGTATCTTCGCAAGTTCTACTTCTTCCTCCTGTACTTGTTCTTCGAGGGCTGTGATCTCCTCAGCGCGTGAAGCAATCTCCTCGGTGCACTGCTCAATGGTTTCCTCGGCCTCGGCAGCAGAATTTTCGGCATTGGTGATCGTCTTTTCAAGCTTCTTCTGTTTGTCGGTTAAGAACTTCCGCTTTTCGTCAAATTTTACTCTCTCCTGTTCGAATTTGGCGGCTTCCTTGACGAGGGCTTGGGCATTCTTCTCTTGGGACTCAAAGTCTTTGTGTCCCTTAGCATAGGCCTTCTGCAGCTGCTTTATGACCTGTTCACTGCCCTGATGTTTCTCAAGCTCGTCATCAAGCTGGGCTTGCATCTGACTGATAGCTTCTTCGGTCACGTCCACGTTGTTGTTGCATTCGCTGATGTACAATTGATAGAGCGCCGACTGCTTGAGCGTCAGATCGTTTTCATCTCGAATGTAGGCTAAAGCTTTGTTCTTTTTATCCTCGAGGCCGTTCTTCTCTTTTTCGACGTGCTGGACGCGTCCACTCTTCTCCATGCAGATTTCGTTGAGAGTTTCTACTTCCGTCGCCGCCTCTTCGATAGGAGTCTTGTACTTAGATGTGCCAATAATATCTTCGAGATACTCTAGTAAACCATCTTCATGTTCGTTGGCGGCTTTCGATTTCATCTGGGCAATCGATTCGACTTCACCCTGCAGAATGAGGAAACGCTTGTGGTCAAGATCGATTCCTCGATCTCTGAGGAGCGTGGTCACTGTCGTGAAATTTGATTCGCCACCATTGATGTAGTATTTGCTCGAGTTATTCTTGAAAGCTTTTCTCGAGATGATGATCTGAGAGTTGGGAATTACTTCGGTTCCACCGCCAGGCTATAGATGGAGTCAATATAAGTTATCTAAGTACATAGTACGCAGGGGTGCATCACGTAAGACTCACCAGGTCCATGACCTCTTGGAAATGTACTGCCACTTCGCAATGATCTAAGTTCGGAAAAGCGGCGGAGTTATGGATCAAGGCCGAGATCTTGCCCTGTCGCATCTTACTGGCCCTAAAACCGAAGACGAAAAGAAGTGAATCGATAACGTTCGACTTGCCGGAACCGTTAGGTCCCACTACGGAGGAGAATGATGAGTGGAATGGTCCGACTTCTTGTCGTCCGGCGTAACTCTTGAAGTTGTTCAAAATCAAATACGTGATAACGATACGAGCCTTAGGCCCTGTTTCTTCGACTATTGGCATTGCCATCTTGCGTGACTTTAGGACAATATCCATAGGTCTCTCTAGGATGGTATCCATTGGCCGTATGGGCTTGACTTGAGTGATGGTCTCATCTGCGGCTTCCAGTTGCTCGTCGATGCTCTGGCTGGTAATATCAGCTAGGGGCGTACCGTGCAGCTCGGATGGTTCCTCAGATTGAGCGGGCGTGGGCATGTGAGGTTGGCTATCGGGTTGGCTCTCAGGGGTATCCGCTTTTGTAGGTTGGCGAGGCGCAACACTCTTCCGTTTCCTGGGGGCGGGTTTCTTAACAGCTGAATCTGGGCTGAGAATGGTAGCAGCGGTTTGATCCGGATCAGCGATTTCGCTGGATTCGAGGGGCGTCTGCGGAACTATGCTCTTCCTTGAACGGTTTGCGCGCGGTGTTGCCGGTGCTGTCGACTTCCTTCTACTTTGTGTTTGGCGACGCGAAGCTTTAGCGGTCGAAGTCTCAGGGGCAAATTCCTCTTCACTTTCTTCCTCCTTTATTCTCTTAGTGGTGTTTCCGACCTCTTCGTCCTCATCTTCCGATTCAATAATAGCGGTACGCCGCGCTGCGGCAGCGCGACGAGTTGGTCGTGCAGACATTTTGATCGTCGTCGAAGTTATCGACGTTACTTAGGTACCTAGTAGCTGTGTAGGTTTTCCGAATTTAAAATAGTGTCGCACGGATATCACATCTACTTTCGTTACAAACTGTCGTCGTTCTCGTTCCCGCTATCGTTGTCGTTGTCGCTGTCGTTGTCGTTAGTATTACCGTTGTAAAAACAATTATCACGGATTCATAAATAGATAATGATGAAATGTGTAAATTCAGGTACCAAATACAAAATACAGGGGAAGTAAACATAAACAACCCTCACCCCCACACGGCCCCCGCCAGAATTAAAGTTATTACTAAGCCAATCTGCCATCGCGTCGCACCTACTATGCGTACAGTACTTCGTAAAAAGACGCGATTGCCAAATTAACCCGACGAATTACCGGCGCATCTCAAGACATTTTAATGTACCCAAGTATCTAATCGTTGATCTTAAAGTTGGAACATTTCAATGTTGAACTTCCAGTCTTTCGCATTCATAACTTCCAATCCAGTCATATAACCTTGGTATCTTGAAACACCCATCTTCAATTGAAATCTAACTATGACGAAAATGCTGGATCCCTCGCAATTCGACCGTATATTCGGTTCTCTAGAACCGTTTCCCTACAACCGCGCTTTCGCTCAACATCTCGAAGCTTCCCGCCGAAGTCTAGAGGGTTTCTTGTTTATTGACAGAGTATTGAAAGCACTCAATCTTTCTAAAGGTACACACTCTTCGTACAAGCACTTTGACATATTCAATTTGACCCAAATACTAATTATACGTCCTCAAATACGTAGCTACCAGCCACTATCCTCCTAAGAGTAAGGATGCGCTCCGACAGCTTTACGAACACATCTGCGAGAGCAAAAATGCCACCATTCACCATAAGCTCTCGGTAGTGTACTACATCATCCTAGATATCGACGAACAGAACGGTTCCAGCCAGGCCGAAGCCTATTCACAACGTGCTAGCATACCCAAGAAATACAAGATCTTCATGAAGGGCTTATGGCACATGGATGCATTACAATTCGACCTCGCATTGCAATACCTCACCCATCCCTCGCTACAGCCCGACTTCGTAGACGACATCATCACCGTCCTAGTCCGTCACGCCAAGAACGACGACTACAGCTTACCACTTGCTTACTACCACACCGTCCAGCCTATGATCCAGTCATCCCCAGCATTAGAGCTACTATTCGACTCCCTTGCACGATCTAGCGTTACCGACGCCTTTCAATTTTCGCGATCGCATGCCGATTTCATGCGTCGACAACTATTCCAACGTCTCATCCTATCGGTACTAGAGTCCGCCAACAGTGACGGAGCAGCTGAGAAAGCGCTTGACTTAACTAGTCTACCATTCGATGCACAGGAAGAGAAATGGTTTAAGGAGTGCTTGGACAGCAGCGAAGGGAAGAGATTGGCAGTGGCCAAAGACACTCTTCTCATGCGTAGAATTGCCACGGGCCAGACCGGATACGGAGGCGAACCTGGTACATGGGCTGTTGTGTTAGAAGGTGTCAAGACGGGAAGTGGAGGTCGTGTGCAAGCTTGACCAGACCAACCTGTCAACCCAGAATACGAATTCATCGGTATCGCATAGCGTAGGCGTCCAGGTTTTGTTAAACTACATGTTAGTCAATTGTATCAAGGGTCAATTATCGGAAATATGATACAACTAATACCATCACGTTGGTCTTTACCTACCAACGAGTCACACAGGCAACATGTCTTATTCCTCAAAAATACTTTGTTTGATTCATTCATTATGGTTATAAAGTCTCACGTCTTAATTAACAAAAGGGAAATGAGTTATTACCTACCTAGGTACCTACACTTACACATGATTCCAATGCAGCCATTTTATCTAACGCATTGACAAGATAGTAACTTTCAGGAATCTGGACTGAAAAAAAGAAACTCCGAATCGGGGAATCGAACCCCGGGCTTGACGGATCATTTATCATGAGAGCGTCAAATGTTAGCCACTACACCAATTCGGATTCAGGCACGTAATGTGTTGTGCGCATGTCTGGTTGGGAAAAATCATGGTCTATATACATAGCGCCGACTCTAGCCCGAAATCGAATGCTGATTGGACATTGCTAGAAGCGCTAAGCGTAGAAAACATTGCACAGCATTCAGAGAAGGATTTCGAAAGCCTTCCTCTTACGAAGTAAGTTTGTCATTATTCCCGCTGTTTTCCTTTAAGATAAACTACCTAGCTAAAACATGAACGAGAAGGACTAGCTATGACTAGCTACAATCCGATCATATGACTACCTCTGTTTAAAGACGCGATTCAAAGATTTAAACTACTGATAGTTATATTAACTTTGCAATGAGTTGAATGGCTAGGTAGGATCCTGTCGACTTTGTTTAACGCCTCCTCGTCATAAAGTAAAATCTTCTGCCGCTATTTACGCCACATCAATCCCAACCCCTTCAATTATTCATATTAACCTTGGTGTATGTACGATAATTAGAATCCAACGAAGTTTTCGGCAGACTATTTAGAAACCCCTAATAAGAGCTTATCAGTCTCTAGCAAGTTCCCCAAACCGTTTGATTTAGCATCAGCTTATCCTTCCATGCGACTGGTTTTCTCAAGATTGCTACGGCCATAGTCCCTATATCGAAGAAAGATGTGGGTTTCTTATGGAAGCAGTGTGAAGCCATATCATCGGTCAAGGAGAGAATATAACAGCACCTGGATGGTATGCAGAAGTGAGAAACCTAGGTCGGTTATCGAGAAAAGGGGCTTGGTTTTCCGATGACCAACCCCTCTGATTACATCAAGGCTACCTAGGTAATCACTAAAAGACTTCTATTCACCTTCCCAAGCCCCGAATCAAGATAATGCGTTTTCATTGATTAAACCACACGCGGAAAAGACTTGGCCATATCTGAATGAACCGATGGCTACCACCAAAAGCCTCATTGCCTACCTACCTACCTAGTACCTACTCACAACTGTTGCTTAACATGAGGCTGACAAAGCTAATTTCCAAGGTTAGGACTCATATATAACTGTTAGAAAGTTGTCATCATCATAATCATCACATTCCCCACGATATTTCTATGATGTGTCTGTTCAAACTATTGACTGTAGCTTGTCTACTAGGTACCTAGTAGGTACGCTTTGCAATTGATTGCCAGATACCATATCATTCATATGGAACAGTGATCGAACTCCATGATTAATGCCCAGGAGGCTTTAAACTTTACACGATTCTCGAGTTCATTTCGCATAATATAAAAAATGAGTCTAATAAACTCCAAGGCTACTAACTCCATGATTCAAAAGTCACAGAAACACGTTGCACGCCACGAACTCAAATGCCAAAACTACATTCACTACAAACTCTAGTTCATCAAGAAATTAAATACATATACATCATTATCTGTCTAACAGGATGTCAATATCCAGTGCATCACCTCTATTCAGACAAGTTTCAAAGAAAATCCCATCGTCTCGTGAATCCCTAAGAGACCTCGATATCAAGACAATAGGTACCTACTCAACAACAATCATTCTATGGAACCAGTAATCCTTTTCATTTTTATACCGATTATATCAATAATCATCATGGCCAGTATACTCATCGGGGCATTCCTTTTGACTTCCGTCATGACGTCGCTGGCGAGTGGCTTCCTTACCCGACGAGAATCACAACATAGACGGGAGGATAGAGAGCGACGTGCTCGAGAACAACAAAATTCTAAGTCTGATCTTTACTTTGTGGATCCAGAGAAATTTCAACTTGTATATCTCGGTGATGAGCTATGGGGTTATGTTCTTGAGCGCGATGATCCCTCTGAAAACACATCGCACCGTCGTGGTTAGATGTTCTAGGTTATGTTACTCTCCAGTAGCTAAAGCTGAGAAAGCGACAGCCAGAATTCAGGGAGGTCTTAGAGGATGTGGTAGATGGTGTTCTTGATGATGAGGTGGAGATTGTTAGCCAACAACCTGATTTCAGCGCTGCGAAAGAGGTTGCGGAGCTAGCGAAGAGGGCCATTTTCCGGCAGATGAAAGAGCTAGACACTCTATCTGAATTGTAGACTTGTTTGATTACATTTTTCTCAACATTTTGAAAGAGAGAAATATCCTTCGATTGCTAGCTTTTTGCTCATGGGGAGGCATGTTTCTCATTATCATCAGTTACCTACCCCTACCTACGTACCTACCAAACATGCACGATTCGTATATCGTGAGCTGAACTCCGGAGGGACCCGCCTAACCTCATGCGCTTACCCCGACGATAGGTACACGTACATACTAGGTATAGCTAGCTGTACAATACGGTAAAATTAGAATATACAGGAAATTTTAGCCAATAAAGTACCAAGATTATTTCGCCCCCAACCCGATCAGTTACAGAAGCGATCATGGCCTGGCGATCTGACACTGCCGCAATCCTTCCTTCTAAGCCTCACAGAGGGAGGCGAGTTAAATGTCACATCAATTCGACTCCATCTCAAAACTGGATTACTCATTGTTCGACCTTTCGACCTTACATTCTTGAGATTGGCGAAACTTACGAGCTAGAATTATGCCATTTTGTCATCTTATGAAGCCTCTTTAATTATGGCCGACCCTCTATCTATAATCGCTAGCGTCACAGGCGTTGTCACCTTTGCGGCATCTACAGCAAGATCGCTCATTTCGCTCATTCAAGAGGTCGCCGATGCCCCAGAAGAGATATCGCATATCCGTCGCGATGTACAGAATCTATCCGTAGTACTTGGGTCCATCCAAGATATATGGGCGAGATATGATCTGAAATCAGAAGATCTTGCGCTGGTGGCCAGTTTGACGGAATACCTCAGCTTATGTCAGGACAGTATGCAATCCATCCGAGTGCTTCTGCTGCCTTTGGCTGCAAAGGGGAGTGGCAGGAGGAGTCCGTTGAGGATGGTTGGGTGGGTCATGAAGAAGGGTGAAATAAAAGCATTGAGGGAGAGGTTACAAGAGGGCAAAGCAAGTTTGAATATCACCATTTTAACACTGAACGGGTTCGTACCTATTCTTCAAAAACTAGCATACCTACCTACCTACCTAGGTACTTAGGCTACCCGAGAAATTATTCGTACTAACCGAAGCTACAGTGTTCTTGAGGGGAAAGGCCAGGATGAGATCAAAAGCGACGTGAACAAGGTTTATGTAAAACTTGTCGCTGAGTTACGAAATCGGGATAGCGGGAGAAGAGTTCGAAAAAGGATGGAGGATGATGTTGCCAGTGTATCAGCATTCGGAGGACGACGTCAATCTATATCTGGGTCGACAGATGTCGGATTTGCGTTGAACAGATACTTCGATCAATTGCCAGAGTCTTCAACGCCTGAGTCACCACAAACGTCACAAGTCAATCCTCGCATATCCGGCGAGACATTACTCGGTCCGTTCTCTAATGAGCCGACTACTCTACTAGAAGCAGTCAGGGTCAGAAACAAGGATTGTGTCTTACGTCTCATCTCAACCGGTCGCTCTATGGTCGAGAGAACACAGGATGGCCAGACTGCATTACATTTCTGCGCAATATATAATGACTCGGAAATCGCGAGTCTTCTACTCGATAATGGCGCTGATATCAATGCACGGGATAATCAGCTACGTTCACCACTCAACGTTGCTTTCTCGTCCGAAGCTATGGATGTAGCTAACCTTTTACTACAAAGGGGTTGCTCACTTACTGGGACCATTGATATGATTTTCCCTCTGATTCAAAGGACAGATGAAGTACCTGGCTTGGGTACACTACTCAAAACTCTAGCACCGAAATTCAACAGGTCGGTCAAAGGCCCGTATCTTGTTCACCAAGCCATCGAATCGAACGATACACAAAGTCTGGGTCTTCTACTTCTAGCTGGATTTGACCCGAATGTACGGAACAAATATGGTAAATTGCCCTGTAATTCATGTAGGGATATTTCTATTTTATTCGTCAGAACTAATCAATGCACTTCAGGACTCCCTCCTCTATATCAAGCTATAATTTACCAACAAAAAGAAGCTGTTCGGCTGCTCCTGAATCATGGTGCTAAACAGGATGACTATGTCCCACCAGAAGCACGAGATAAATTTGACGAGAATATCCGCTTCTATAAACGATTAGTGGCTCTACTAGATACTGGAGGTACACCCTTAGTGGTCGCTGCGAGGGTGGTAAGAGATGCCGAAATAACACGAATTCTACTCGAAGGCGGAGCAGATCCTAATTTCATTTTCCCGTCTAATAGTGAGTGAAGCCATGATTCCGTATACCTACTAGGTACCTACCTAGGTATGCCTTCATAAGTGATGGAAATGACTAACAGATTTTCAGACGGTGTCATGCTCGGCGGTTTAGGCGATGAAGAATATCTCCAGTGTGCCAAGGCCATAATCGAGCACGGTGCCGATCCCCACGGAGGTCATGGAGTATTAGATCCTTTCTATTGGGCGAATGCATGCACAAATTTAGAACTGATCGAGTTCATGCTTGCTCACGGAGCAGATGTAAACCACAGATATCGCAAAGAGTCGCCAACAGTGCTCTTTTTCAACACCAGATGGGAGCAGGAAGACATTGTCGAGTCTCTACTTAGACATGGGGCCGATATTAACGTGAAGAACAACTCTGGAGAGACAGTATTAGATATCGCTCGATCTCAGGAAAACCTTAGACTCATTACGATGCTAGAGGAAGTTAAGGCTAGAGGAAATGACCAATGATAGAATATACGTGGCGCAGGATTATACCCCGATGATTAGAGTCATATACCTAGATACCTACCTAGAATCTAGATGTACTTAGGTATAAATCACAGAAGTTTGCAGGTCCGCAGGTTCAACGAGCACGATTCGATTCCCTCGACCCATCGCCAATCGAATCAAAAAGGACTCAGGAGTCTTATTCGCCAGCTCCCTACAGCTCGACTTGATATTACCTAGGCACCTATATATACCTATCTATACCTAGGTACATAATGCAAATATGGGTATCATTATATCCAATGCACTCTACGCAGTTGTATGCTCTTAAATCCAATTTAAACATGACCCCAAGCCCCAAAGTCTGCAGCCACGCCTCTATCACCATACCCCCTAGCACTAAGGTGAGTTGGTCTCTACCCCATAGCACCTAGGTATGCATACACCCATTACAACATCATCACAGGTATGCCGCAGTCAGCAAATGAACAGCCGCCTCCTGAGTCCCAATCGTAACAACATCAAACGGACCCATCCAAAGAAACCCGTAGAAATCCGAGTCGTTTCGCGCATTGGCATACGCCTCTTCCGCATTCGTCTTGATCAAGTCGGTATAAGGGTGATCGTCAAGTGCGGCATTCAGCTTCGCCAGCTCGCGCACGAAAATGCCCTTGAAGTTGGTGCCGTTGGGCTCGCATTGGGTCTCGCTCGAACACGGCTCCGTGATGATGCCGTCTTGGATCAGCAGCGTACTATTGACTGCGGCATCTGCGATCGAGCGCGCGGAGTTTAGGTACGACTTTTCGCCCGTCGCTTTAAAGAGCTCGACTAGCCCGCCAAGAACTACGCCTTGATTGTAGGTCCACGTCGTGTCGCCGTTGTTCATGCAAGTGATGTCCTCCGTGAGCCCGTCGTTAACGAGACCCTGCGGGTTTACCATGCCGCTGTCGGTGAACCACTGCCATTCCTTCAATGCGCGGTTCAGATACTCCGTATCGCCATCGACGAGATTGTGCAGTTTGGCTGCCAACTCTAAGTAGAGCTCGTTGCTTATGGCATTGTGGTAACTCAAGGACGGGATGTTCCAGATAAGGCCACCACCACAAGTCGTGGTGTTCCAATACTTCCACATATATGCTTCATCTTCCTTGGCGATATCAAGATACATATCGTCACCGGTGAGCTCATACATGCTTATCATTGCGAGAGCCCACCAGCCCGTATCATCCGTGCTGTCGGCGCGGAAGTCGCCTCCTCCTTCCGGCCACCAAGAGAGTGGCGCTCTTTGGACCTTGACCGTGTTCTTTGCTTGGTCGAGATATTCGCGAGACCCAGTTTTGAGCATGTACTCTGCAAGAGCCCAGAGCGCAACACCGCTCTGCCACCAAGACGTTAATTTACTATTGGGTTCCCAAAGACCGGTCTTGTCGTCGTATAACATCATCATGGCGTCCACGGCCGCCGCTGTCATATTCAGCTGATCGACACTCGAATTACTCCGAGTATTTATCGCAGAAGCTGCGGAAAAGAGTGAAAAGCTCAATGTCATCCATCGAGGTGCCAACATGTCTGTAAGCTGTCTTGAAGCGGAAAGGAGTAAATTCCTAGATATCGTATACTGATAAAGAATGTCTACCTAGGTAGGTACACAGTAATATAAAATGTTGATATCCAAACGAGCGTGGAAGGTGAAGACTGAAAGGTAAAGACTGAAAAGTAAAGACTGAAAAAGACTGAAAAGTAGAGAGAGCGTATGCTACCTACCTAGGTACGTACTAGGTAAGAAATCAATAAGCGGCGGCGTCTTGCTTTGAGATGTAAACAAATCTAAAAGTAAAGCTAGAAACTTTCTTACCTATATAACGAACTATCATTTCCACAATCTGAAAAGGGCCGTTAGACGCGCGATACCTTACCTCTATAGTTCAGCTCAGCTCTATCATATTCTTCTCAATGCCCGGCAGCGCCTCGGTGGTTTCCCTCCCTCGATCCGATGCGACATTTAAGCGCCTGCACAGTAATTTCCACCCCCTTTTCGAGTCGAGAGTCCCGCCAACTGTCACGATCCAAGTCATCTGAGAATTATCTCGCCAAGGATATAATCATATATACTGCAAACCCGTAGCCTGTTGACGGGGGGTACGAGGGAAAAGCCACCCGCCTTAGTTGTCCCCTGTCTGCCACGATCGAGAGAATTTCAGGTAAGTTTGTGGTGGCTTTTAACTTGTCGGAGTTTATCGCTTCTGCGGGGACATATGATTGGTTCTATCGACAGGGCTTTTAACGTAGGAGGCGTCATGTTTTCGGATTACGACGCCACGGGATAAAGGGGTGGATCATAAGAAACAGGTCGGCTCGAGGCTTGCCGGACTCAACACTCGACGTCTGACAGCGTCAATACGGAGTGACACGACCCCTTGCATTATGCTTTCTTTTCTCGATTTCCTCGATTTTCTCAATGTCGGGAAAAGGAGATTTTGAAGTGTAGATTTTGAGCTATGGTTTGACATATAAGACATGCATATGAAAAGTTACAAAGGAGTGGGTAGAAACACATCAATCGGATCGATTCTTGCTAGGCATACGTAACTAAGCCACACGTGACAATTCTTTACTTCGACGGTGTCTGTGGCAGCTGTGGTATTCAGGGGTTGAGGGGCTTATGCGGGCATGGGCATGATGATGAAGGTCGATCTTCAACTCCAATCTTGATGGCCAGTTGGTCGAGACGGCGGGAATCATCCGCGATCTGCTGCAAGTCATGCCGGTAAGCGCCTGTAGAGGAAATGATCGACAGGAATAGAAGGTATCATCTAAAGTGGAGCAGCCGCTCCTGAAGGTATCCCAAATCTGAGATATCAATGAAACGATGTTTTTATTATTGTTTAAGATGTTAAATCTAGGTAAACAGGCTGACAGGGCGGCTAACTACTAGGGTCAGATGACATAACCTTCCAAGGCTATCTTTATCAAAGTTTCTGTACGAAATTAGAGTAAGAACGTAAATAACTTTATTCTTGTCTACATGGTACTTACTAGTAGGTAGCCCTAAGCCCCCAGTACCTACATATCCATGTATTAGTTATAACTTAGAACAGTAAATAAACGGATCACTACAATCTACAATCATCAAAAAAAGAAATGGTTCTTAACCAATTTATTACACCCTCATATTAAAAATAAGCCACGCAAAGTCTACGCGTAGACGTACAAGAATTAGCAATTAAACCCCAAGGCCGAATTTTTCCTGTTGATACATCTCCTTTTAACCTTACACATTAATACGTATTCGCGTTTTCTCATCCCGTAACCCTTGCCCGTCGCTATACTTCCGTCTGTGACGGTTTATAGTACCAAGGCTCATTGAAAACGTGATACCGATGTCCCCTGACGCCGTTACCCCTAAACAGAGCAGGAAATCTCCAACCCTCCGGAACTTCCTTCTCACCAACCTTGCGGTTTCTCTCTTCTGCATTGTTTTCTATTGCCGCAATTTGTGCCTTTTCTTCCCCGCTCTTCGGAACAACGAATTTCGCCACTTGTAATTCGGTATCTGTGATCGTACTTCGAGACACCCTCGCGTAGCCCACTCTCTGGAGTTGCTTGTACAGGATGTATTCGCACCACCGATCCCAATCCCTTGGCTCTACGTCATGCATCCCCGAAATTTCGGAAACGTACGTGTTATAGTTTCCTTTGAGGGGCTCAGTGACTAGGTAGGAGAGTAGTATCGACGGTCTCGGCGAAGAACCCATCAACTTAGCAAGGTATTCAGATTGCAGGCGGCGATCTTCCGGGTCTTCCTCCTGTCCGGAATGGAAAACGAAAACATCCACCAATTCGCCATAGGCATCAAGTGTCGCGTGGATAGCTGGGGCAAGTTCGCCTACTGGTGATGGAAGTAGATGATGCGTCGAGTTCACGATCGGGAACTTGGATAGGAGTGCCGCACCCCAGGTATGCTTGTTCGGACCGGGACCGTAGTCGACATACATACCCAAATCCTCGGCGAGGAATTGGGTTGTATCCCTGTTACCCATGATAACGCGTTGCAAGTCGGTCTCTAGCAACCCGACGACATCGATTTCGAGCTCTTTGATAAGGTCACGTAACCGGTACTCGGAAGACCACATGTCATTATCGAGAGAGAAGTGGATTGTCCAGATACCGGCTGTTATGACCCTCGAATCTTCGTGGTAAGGTTTATAATCGTTAGTGGGGAAGCGTCGGAACGCAGCGGCGACGAAGAAGAGGTTGATGATGCCCAGCCCCAAAGTATGATATTTGCGATGTTGCGATCGAGATGGCCGCATACGGGTCTCGCGACGACGCGAATTCAAAGATGTCAGGTTGAAAACGCCAGCACCAATAAGCAACATCATCGTCGCCATAATCCAATCCGTATGCTCGCGAACGAAAGGCCCTCCGGGGACGAAAGCGTAGGCAACTACCCAGACATGAAACAGGACCATGAAGCTATAGATGAAGAATCCAAAGCCGAAAGTTGTCGCCGGACTCTTCTTGGAAGCTACTGTGACGAGGGGAAATGCGACGGCTGTTAAATAGAAGGCGCTGATGAGAGCACCAAGGTAGCCAAACCAGTTAGAGTACAGAGTAAGGATAGCAGCTCCAATACTCCCAAGACCGTATACCGACCAAGTACTAACGAGTTTTGGGTAACGAACACCCGTCAATAGCCCAGCTGTCATCGCCGCCAACGTGAACCAACCGTGGGGGGCGGAAATAGGTCCTCGTACTGGGTAGCCCTCCCATACCCATAAGATCATAGTACTCGTATCAGAAAGAAGGGAGTGTAGGCCAAAGAATAGGCCGCCAATACCTAAAGCCGATAGAAGCGATGAGCCGCCTAGCGTCTCGTCCATGGCCACCCCAGTATTTAAAGGCGCTTTCCGGGTAAATCTTAAAGTTGCTAGGACCGCCAATGCTAATCCGATCTCGTTATAGCCACCGTTCGCCGTGTGCATGATTGGCCATATCGGGTTGTTAGTTTGCCATGCGAACTTCGCCGTAGAAGACATAATCAGGCCAACGATCCAGGCCAGTATCTTCGACTCGAGCCGAGCCTCGTGAATCGACTCGGAATATAAAGTAGCGGTCCATGATAAACATGACATAGCGACGCCGAAGCCTACAGTAAAAAGCCTGTAAGCCGGGTCTTTAACCTGCCACGCAAGGAGCCCGGCGAGCGATAGGAAATGGCATATGCGCAAGTTGTGGATAACCAATGAGCGGAGCGGTTTGATGCCAAGAAACAGGGGTGAGATCGTCGACATGACAAAAGCTTCGTAGCCCGAGATACCCATGTGCCAAAGCGGGAAATACCAAATGACAACACCCAAGCTCGTAAGCATCGACCAAAAGACGAAGCCATGATAGACTTCGGCAGCCGTATCGAATATTTCGGTCCAGGAAAACTTGACGTCGAATATGCCAGCTGTAATTTTCTCCTTTTCTTTCTCGACGACGGCGGTCGACTTAGGTGATATGTTGGCTCTGCAAAGCTAGTCAGAATAGTGAAGCGGCGATGCAAACTATGTCAATCATAGGTAACAAATATCGCTCGGGCCGGTTTGATTTAAGATTCTTGACTTAGTCGTATACTTAGTCGTATTAGGTATAAGATGATGATGAAGGCAGCCAGGTGCCGACCAATACTTCTAAGTCTAGTGTCCCTATGCGATAGATTTTCTACACTGACTTGATAAACTATCGGGTTCTAGAATCAAATCTAGAATCAAGCAAGGTCTTTTTCCTAGGATGTCGACATAGGTTGAAGATCTCCCCAGCATCACAAAAGCCTATGGTAGTGATATTTCACTCATCGAAAATCTTGACGGTTGCAGGACTTTAGTCGCGAAAAGAATGCGACGAAGTGAAAATGGTGGGTGCCGACACCGCCGACCCGCAAAAGCCGGCACGAACAATCGGTAGGATCGGTTACTTCGGGAGCATGAAGCTCGAAGTTCAAATCAGGAATAATTCGAGAATCTCATCCAGCCCGAGCGAGTATATACGATATGCCAAATCTATCTGGGGAGATATTGTACGTACCCCTTACCCAGACCTTTTACATCCCTAATCACAATCTCAAAATTTTCGAAGTCGAGTGCGGTGACGGCATCAAAGGCCACATCAAATAATATGAGAGACCATTCGAAGAAGGAATAAATAGTATAAGCTACGATTAGTAAGATACGTGTTATTCAAGATCTCGAAGTAGGTAGTAGGAAATAGGTAGCATAAACTAACCTCCGGATATCCGGTGAATCTTATGCTGAATGAAGAAATATACCATAAAAGGGATCGTGCCGAAGAATGCAGTAGCAAGATATCTTCGATACTTGATCGCCTTCGGGTTAGGTGGACTTAACACGATACAGCCAGCTGTCCAGGGAATCGTAGCTACAAGGTAGGATATCATGAGTATATCATGCCAGTCATGATCGTCGGTCGAGGTGATAAACGTCCAACCCCCACAAGTGAGGGTCCTAAAAAGTCCCACGCCAGCGACAAATTTAGGGAGAGCCTTTCCAGGCTTCGCGGTGAGAAGGTACCAGAGTGCGACGAGAGCGAATCTAGGACCTGAGGTTATAGCTATGAAAAGCTGAAAGAACGAGCGCTCAGGGTATCGATCACCGATGGTGGCGGAGACAGAAGGAAACCATTCGTCGGGATAACCGTAGAATTCGTTCTGGACGATCTTGTGATAATGAAGATAGATGCCCACGGATAGGGCACTCAAGAAAGCGGCTATAGTAGCGTCATGAACATTAGTACACGATCTTTTCTTAAGTAACATCCATATCCATGGATAGACCTCTAGCTTCCTAGGCTTCTAGATAGCTTGCTATATTGCTATATTGATACATTGACACACTGATACACTGGTATATTGCTATTGCTAGGTAGGTAGGTTATGGGGATATTTCACTGACTATATGCGACAACGGTATGAGCCCACGATATCCATTTCGCATTCAGAGAGACTACCGTCGTCCCACTCTCTTTATCCTTGTATTTCGACATGGTCGCATTCCCGTACCTGGTACAGCGTAGATAGTTGAGAACTAGCACATGCGGACCAAACGGATATAACTGAAATACTTCAAAGAGAAAAAAACGCCAAAAATAAGTGGTGGGATGAACACGGACAGAAGATGGTAGAGAGGGAAAAGGTGGAAGAAGAAGAAAGAAGCTCTAAAAAGTTGTGACTACATAAAAGTTGCTTATTTCGGGTTTCTTCCTTCCCTTGAGATCCGGACTTCTCGGTAGGTTGCGGGCGCGATCAGTCAAAAATTTACATGGGTCGATTGGTAGCTTCGACCCCTGTTATCCAGGTTTATCGCGTGTCGTGCTTCATCGGTAGAGGGACTCCCCGCAGCCAAGCAGCCAAGATGGTCCAAGCTGTACCTGCCCCTGCCTGCCTAGACCTTTAAGCTTGTAACCCACCGGCCACCAATCAACAGCATATAATGTCTTAGATGCATATTTGCGGTCCGAGAATAGACTCACTTGAGCTTAAAACACGGATTAGAAACTATCAGGTATCTAAGTATCTTATCTTTCAAAAGTTCCACTAAATTTTTCTCAAGTCTCTTCAAGGTTCCTCTTCAATTGAACATTGACAATGCGCTATGAAATTTGTCCACTCCAATTCCAACCTATTCCAACATCTTGATGGTGCAAATTAACTTACCTAGTACCTACCTACCTACCTACTACCTAGTACATAAGCATTCGACCAATTCTTAAGGATCTGCTCAGTACACAGCCTCCAATATGGCTGGTGTTCCTGAGAAAGCCAGGTTCTTCCTTGAGCGTGCCGTTCCCCAACTACGCGAATTCGAATCCAAAGGAATTTTCAACGCCAACGAAATACGTTCCCTCGTACGGAAACGCACCGATTTCGAACATCTTGTCCTATCGCCTGGGAACAAACCCACCGACTGGTTAAATTATGCGGCCTGGGAGAAATCTTTGGAAAAGCTCCGCGCAAAACGATGTAGTCGTCTACAGATTCGCACTTCGTCAAAACATACAGGACAAGGAAGAATATTCGGCATACTAGAACGAGCAGTAAATAGGCATCCCGGGAGCATCGAGCTATGGAAGGCCTATCTAGCCTATGCCAGAGACATGAAGGCTACTAAGCGGTACCGAAAGGTGATGAGCAGAGCGTTAAGGATGCATCCAGCTAAGCCCGAGCTCTGGGTGATGGCTGGTAAGAGATCAGCAAATAATGGCGATATGCAAGCCGCAAGAGGATTCTTTATGCGCGGTGCTAGGTTCTGTACTAGAGACGCCACGGTATGGCTCGAATATGCTCGATGCGAAATGGAGTGGTTGGAGCGGATGGATGCGAGGAAGGGAAAGAAAGGTGGCGCCGAGAAAGCGCTTGAAGAACAAGCCGAACAAAGTGATGACGAGATAAAGCTCATCGAAGAAAACAGCGATGATGAGGAAGCCGACGAAAACGATCAAGAAATTCTCCCGGATCCCGGAAACGCGCTTGGGAAAAAAGTATTCGATGAAGACACCGCCAAAAAGTTGGAAGGTAATCCTGCTCTAGACGGCGCTATCCCTCTAGCTATCTTCGACATCTCCAAAAAGCAGCCCTTCTTCAAATCATCCGTGGCGGAGCAATTCTTCGACCTTTTCGCCAGCTTCACTGCCGTCTCCGCACAAGCTCGCATCATCCAGCATATATTGGATAGTATGACCGAACTCTTTCCTAACGACCCAGCAACATGCTTCTGTCACGTTCGACAGCCATTAATCAACGTCGATATAAACACCGCTTCATATCCCAAGGCCCTACGAGAAGCGCTTGTCTGTCTCAAATCATCTTTATCCACAACGACCAACGCTAGCCAACTAGCTGAGAAAACGAAGTTATGGATGCAACCGATACTGGCATCTGAAGATCTAGATCCGGGTATCCGAACTGTGTTAGAACACACACAGCGAACTTTGCCTAGCCCATGAAACCGTTCATTATTATCTAAGGCGCAATGCCCCTAGTCGGATAGGATTCCATCTCACAGCTAACATGATCCTACGCTATCTCGCCGCCTCGTTGCTTTATTTCGTCCATCAAATACTCAAATTCAGTAGGACTCACGCGACTCACACTTAGCCGAGTTTGTTTGAGCATCTGCATATTCTCGAGCGGTCGTCCCGGTTGGCCCATATCGCGAAGCTCCTTCAGCCCAATCTGCTGCTTGAACTTGCTGCGAAACACGACATGTACGACACTCCATTTCGGGTTGTCAGGTTTCGAGCTGGCGTCGTAGTAAGGCGCCTTAGGATCATGTGCCGACACTAGGGTGGGATGAGAAGCCGTCCACAAAACTTGAAATTATTGAGGATGGATGTACTTACAGTCAGGGGAATGTTCTTGCACGATTTCCATGGTACCTACGATACCCGGCTCCTTGCAATTTGAATGGTAGAAGAAAGCTATATCGCCCTTCTTCATATCCCTAAGGTTATTGCGAGCGACATAATTACGGATACCTGGGAAACATCATAAGAATCTAGCTGAGTATGTTAAATAGAGAAAGGGTATAGCAAGTCATCTTGCTGACCAAACTGACAGATAGATAGCTTCTATGAAAATGAGATGAAAATGAAAATGAAATCTTACCATCCCAAGGCTCGGGCTCCGTTCGTGACTTGAGGTCGTCGATGGAGAATTTTACATCGACGTCCCTCTCAATCCGTGACTCAGGCTCAGCTTTCATGAGCCAATATGACTTTTCCGAAGAATCTGGTGTTTTGTCTGTCTCCGGTTTCGAGACAGAGCTTGACTGTGTGACATTTTTTGTCTTTACCTTTGCCTTCAAGGGTTCCTGGGACGAGTCTTAGATCGAGATCGAGATAGTTCGTAGGATTAATAGAATTCTTACCGGAGACGTTTCTGATTCTAACTTCTTAGGTGCGCTCTCTTTTCCTGACTTGGAAGATTGAGGCGCACTTTTGTCTTCTGATTTGACCTTGTTGACCTTGTTGGTCTTGCTAACGTTACTGGTCTCGATAGTTGATTCTGGCGCTAGTGGTTTTCGACGCGTCGACCTTCTCAGATGCGTCACATCCAAAGCGGTCTCAAGTTGGTTTGCTTTTCTCTTCACCATTTTTAAATTGTTGACACCACCAAATAAAGGATTTGATAACACTGTGAGGTACTTGAATTTAAGGGATCGGATTGAAAGAAACATGAGCAGTAGAGGAAACCGAACCACTTGGGCAGTCTATAGGTTAATGTTACTCCTAAGTACCTAGTACCTATTATGGTCACAGGCTTGGAGCACAAATAAGCACCCCTGCAGCCCTAGGTAGGTAAGCACAGACCACATTTATAATGCCCCTAGAAAGGGGGAACCGCTATTACTTCCAGGGAGTTTCTCATCCAACAGCTCTCCATGGATGATTGTACTGGGACTATTCACAAAATTTGTTCACAATAAATCTACATGCGATATATCAATAAGGAGCTCTATTCATCTAACTATTCAATCTCTACGTTTTAGGTACTAGAGTAATCAGACAACACCTACCTTGTTCATCTACTTCCTAGGACCTATATAATAGGTAAGACTAGTAAGTAGCCTCCTGCCCCTGACAACCTTATGGTTATCTAACAATGATCATCATCGAAACCGATCATGATATTCCAATCTGCGGAGGAGAACTTTTGGCCTCTGACCCTATTAGAAGCGTCATTAGACCGGCATGAATCTAGAATTTCTTGTGCATAATGCGACCAGAGCAGGCAATTCTCCTCGATAGGATCCGTGTTGTCGTTACACCACCAAATTGCACTCTTATAACTACAAGAGATTCGGGTGCAGACCCTCGGGCCGGCATCCATATGGCATTGACCCGTCTTCTTCGAGAGATAATCGATACCTTCCTCGATCCGGAACGCTTGAGCGTACCAAATATTGTTCGGGTCACAAGTGAGCCAGGCTTCTGACCGAGAGGTAACTGCTGGATCAGTACCGTTTACATCAGGCCATGTGAAATCTGGATTGACATCGAGAATCTGTGCATCAATGTCCCGGAAGCTAAAGCCAGTAAACGACATCTCGGGACCATCTTCAGTGATGTTTCCTGTCCAAGTAAGGTTAGATAAGGAGTAACCGCTCGGAAGACCGGCGGAAGATCGAATAGAACCCCTACCAATAGGGATAGCCAATGTGGCAGCTGCAAAGATAGCAGACGCAAAGATGCTAGAAGTCTTCATATTGATTTGATTTGGATTATGTATCCTTTCAAGTTTGGAATGATGTGTTTAGAGATGAGTAGGTAGGTAGATGATTGATGGTGAGTGGTAGATGAGTGAGAAATATGCCGTTAACTCTCCGGATATATATACACGTTAGAAAGTCATGGTTGTCTTGGGTGCGTGTGAAAACACCAAAACCCGTTACTACACGATGGTAGAATGTAGGGTATAGTTTAGGTATCATGCTGTTACATAGGCGATGGTGAAAATATAACTGAAGTGTTTGTAAACAATCATTCGAACAATCATACATTAGAATAAGTACCAAGTATGTTTGCTTTAATTCTACATGACATCTGAGGCCAACGAAGTCGAATATCGCGAGTCTAACTCCCTACCTAGGTACCCAGGTATGTGGGATTCAACCTAACGAATTCCAAGGAAGTACCTAAATAGTAGGTAAGTAGGTAGGTAAGTAGGCAGGTAAGTAAGTAGGTAAGTACCTAGGTAGGTAGGTATCCAGGAAGTGATGTGCTTTGAAGCAATCCTTACCTAATGGGTATAACAAGGGCCTTGTTAACCATCTTCAACAATTCAAAGGATATCCTTTGTCTATTCCGAGCTACCTGTTAACAAGATCATTGGATATAGATGCTGAAGCTTCATTTCTGTTTCTGTTATCTTTATTCTCAAACTTGTCAAGAATCCAGTACTGAACCGCCAGTGTAAGGTTGTGTAGCTCAATATTTGGGGCCATAGAAACAACCTGTTTCTCTCTACCTATTTAAAACCTCAATGACACAGGTTTGATTTGAGGTGTACCTAGGTATCTGAGGATCGCGATTCAGCTTCGCTCTAGATCAGTGCAATGGATCAAGGCTGATGAAATACCCGACAAAAATTTGTCATCCATGTCATGGGAATATATATCAAAAGATGCACCAAGGTACTAGAACGTCTGTATGACGAAGCCTTACCAGATACATGCATTCGCGTCTTCTTACTCTTCATTAACATTACTTGTGCGATTCTCGAAACCATCAAACATCCCCTATTTGCTCTATAGAGTCTAAAGTGTCTCGCGCCAACCGAGAGCAATAATTGGCATGCCGCTAGGATGAGAGAGCACTTGACGGGCGAGCTCCGTTCCAACAAATCCAGTCATACATAGAAATGATAGAGCTAAATAGCAACCGATAACCTATGACTCTTGTGCGTCGAACTTCTCTTATGCGGATGAGGGCTTCATTTTGTGTTTTATGAACGGTATATACCTACTAGGTAGTACCCAATGAGTAGCGGCTTATGGAAGGTAGGTATCATGGAAAAGATCTGAAAACTACCTACCTACGTCATAATAATGGTCGATCGAATGTATTTAACCCGTTGGAGGATTAACTAATACCGGTGGTTCGTCAATACTGCAAGCTCCATGTAGGCTGAGATCCTAACCCCGCTAACCTCGTCGCCCGTCACTATTCTTAACGCATAGACGCTGATTATACTGATCACACTGATGCCGAAATAACTTGACGAATCGCAATTCCTACTCGAGAATATTGGTCCGACTTAACCAACAGCTCAATAATAACCTATGGATATCAAATGATTTCTAATAAGCAAGGTACCAAGAGGGGGTATGGTGTGGGTAAGTCTCGAAGAAGAGAAAGTGATGGATCATGTGCATTACACGGATAATGGAATCTTATGGTACAGTACTTGACCCGACAAAAAGCAATTGTTGCATTGTAACACCTGGACAGTACCTATGATCTGATAAAAGCCCGGGAATCTTACATACCTGTATTATTCATGGTTGTGTTGTTCCGCCATATTGGTGATTGTCTTACCTCCATCCAATTCAAGAACCTCGTCCTTTTTACCTGTAGTCTTGGCGAAGATTGAGTACATTGGAAACCCTTCGGCACGTCAAAGACAAGAAGATTTGATCCATACCTACTAGGTAGACAAGTCCATAACACTAGAGAAGGTAGTCTGTACGTATAGACAAACATACCACCTATTAATTACAGCTAGATTCCCCTCTCTACCTGTGGTCCACGAGATGTGGAACCCGTGATGGATATTTAACTAGGCGTTATTCCGTATTTATAACCGATTTCCAGCCTCTCTTCTCATCTCCATATTTACCTACCTAGTACCTATCTGGGCACCTGGGTAAGTAGGTACCTATGTACATCTGTACCTGGATGTAGGTAAGTATTAGAAGAGGCTTATTCACACAAGTATTCCGTTACGTGCTATCCACGATGTCAGGATGTCAAATGTGTACCGTACACAAATTGGGCGTCTGCGAGTTGGTGGAGCCAACCGACCTACCAACAATGGGTAGATTCCGATTGAGATGAGAAACCCTCAACGTTATCTTCTGGGTGTCCAGGTGTCGGACGAAAGTATGTAAGTCTTAATATGTGTGCGCTGTAGGTGTCGTCGGTAAAGCGCCGGATTCCAAAGTAAAGCCAGGCTACCAGGTCGAGTCAAATGAAAAGTCAAATCTCAGGCCCCGAGTTCTCATCGCCAAGTGGCAAGGTGGTGCGCTACCGCAATTCCAACCCATCTACCTACCTACCCTACCTCGCAATTTACGCCATTCGTCGTCGGCTTGCTTGGGGGTCGATTCGTGGAATTCGACGCTCGTCTCAATAATCTCGTCGTTGGAGACACAAAGAGTGACAAGGTGACAAGGTGACAGACAAGATGACGCTCGCTCGAGTGGCGGAAAACAGAGTTTTGATTGGCCAAGACTCAAGAGATAGTCTGAAGTCTCTCTAGCTGATTTACCTACCTAGGTACATACGAGATCAAGCCGTCCATTGACTAATGGACATTGGAGGCTTTTACGCACGAAGCTTATCTGCATTCTATTCCAAAATAATAATAAAAGACGACCCGGCGAAGGAAGCTTCTGACGAATTCGGCTGTCCTGTGCCAGACTTTGCACTACACAAAGCACGCCCGTCCCCATTGGCACATGGGGCACCACTTAGCGGACAATTTCGGTACTAGGCTGGAAGCTCGAGACATGATCAACGAGCGAAGAAAAATGGCGAGACGGAAAAGAGAAAAAAAAAATACACACCCGAAGGAAAGTTCGTTGGTGGTATTGGGAAAGTTGAACAACAACCCAGTTACATAAATATCAAGATAGACGAATAGATAGATAATTAGGTAGGTAGAGTAAGGTAGGTAGGTAGGTGACAATAATTCGATCGAGGTACGGTACATGTAAAGGTAGAGGAAAGAGAAGTAGGCATTGTAACCGATTTTCCCTCAGGCCCTCTCTCTTACTCTCCGTCTTCCCTCTCGCCCTACCGTACCCAGAAGGCCCATCTACCACCCCTTGCCCGTTCCCTTGTGACCGTCTGTCTTCTCTTTTCTCTCTTCTTCCCTCACTCTTCTTTTCTCCTCACACTTTTCTTCCTATTTCTCTTCCCTCCCCCATTCACTCGTCTTGTTTTGCATCCCATATTTTAAGTCGTGCGGCCGTTGTTGTTATGTTCTAAAGTCGACCTCGTTTCCCACTTACATGAAAATACCCCAAAACGGTATTGGCGCGGATCGACTGATTGTACCTATGTACTATCAGAGATCAACGACCAACGAGAATTTCTTAACCAGAAAAATCCGAACACAAGCAATACGGGAGATCTAAGCAGGCTGTATTTGTTACAATTCTTACTCGGCAAGATAGAGCCACGAAGCCATCTCCCTTTTTCCTGACCAACTCCTTGAGACAGGAACTGGTGGAAAATGATAGCCCTGTACAATATGGATGGGCACCTAACGTTGCGCAAACGGCCGTGACCAACGATGGATTCTCGACCAGGATGATAAGTCTCCATCATAAAGCTGCAAGGATCAAGTCATCAGAACACCCAGCTATTAGCGACCTACGACCTGCGACGACCACATCAATCTCTACAGAAATTAACGTAAGTTTGTACGGGTCAGCGTGTATTTCTCTAGGTCGCCGCAAATCCTTTGGCGTGGACAATTGCTCGGGATCGGAATTTCGACGTATTCAATAACTTGGAACTATGCATACATGCAGTAGGGTCGAGTCTAACAACACCATAGGTACGCAGCATACGCCACTTATACTCACGATACATGGTACCTACGCCTAGGGTTTCAAAGTTCTTGCGGCGTGGAGGTTCCCATTTTATCCCCCGTAGCACAAACGTACGAAACTTGTGTACCTGGCAATTGTCGGGACGGGACAGGACAGGACAGGACAGGACAGGACAGGACAGGACAGGACAGGCTTTTCATACTGTCCGAGAGTGACAGAAGGAAAGAAAAGAAGAGAAGAGAAGAGGGGACTTTACTCTATTGATCGGCAGGCAAAATTGCAGGTCGAATCACTCGCACTTTTACCTACCGAAAAAGTATCCTCTTTCATCATTTGGCCGGCAACCAAGGGACCACCGCATTTTTTGTCGACCCTTGCAACCCGTAGCAATGGATCACCGGAGCTTTCCCATTGGTCCCACATGCAGCCATCACAAGCGGGATCGCTTGCGACTTACATGCATTCATACAGAGTGGGATGTCAGCATACATAACTATTGTACCTAGGCATCATACATATGTACTGGCCTAGCCCTGCATACCGATTTAAAGTCGTCATCTGGGTGTTCGCTTCTTTCTCGACGAAGACCTGTCGAAGAACGTAATCTATGGCGTGCCTAGCTATGAGCATTGCAGGTTCATAGCCCTGGTGACTACCCAAGTCTCACGCTGACATATAATCCCATCGTCCGGGGGATTCATTCCGAAGTCAGTTATGCAAACCCTTAACGATGAGTAAGGTATGCACGCAACATTAGGCCTCCAGGATAGCGTGGGCTACACCAACCTCGGACATCCTGAGTGGCAATCGCCAAGTTGAGGTGTACGAGGCAGGTTTCCGTCGGTCGTCGGAGGGAGTACAACTAACCGCGAAGGATGAAAATGGGAAAATGAGAAAATGGGAACAATAAGAACAATGGAGAAGAAAAAAAGAAAAAAGAAAAAGGAAAAAAGCCCGGGTAGCTGTCAGGCTAGCTTCCTCCACACCTTCGTTTGGATCTGGACTAAAGATGCGGACTGGAGATGCGATTCTTTCTGCGACAACCGGCGTATGATATTTGGATGTGTATTGGAACCTGCACCGCATATAAAGCCATCCGGTGATACTGGAAACGTGAAATTGGTTGCCGACGTGGTCGCCTTGCCAAATAATCGACTGAACTTTCATTGAAGCACTAGCACCTTGGTTTTCTGTACTGATACGTGGATCCTTCTAAGAGGCATAAGGGATCAGGCGTGAGCGCATAGCTGGGACTGGGGATAATCTAGGACAATCCAGGACAATCTTCCTATGGCGTATTTGAGCCCTGTCAAACCTTGTCCTGGTATTTGATCGGGAGTTATCGTTGGCTCGATATGCAAATAGGAACGAGATCCTAATCCGATGAGATGCGGCAATAGCTTAGGGATGATGATAATGATGAGAGTACACTCTAGATGTCTCGGCTGTCGAGATCTATCTAGCTTGATATCTCTTTTCATCCCCTGATTAGCGGCTCGCCATTTCCTACTCCCGTTCGTTGACGCGACGAAACCTCCGGTTCGAAGTCCCTTGAAATTCTTTCGTATTAGAATACCGGAAGACGTTGAGGTAAGTATCTACTCAATTTCCGACCTGATATGACACGATCTGGTCAGATAACATTCTTATTCTCATTCTCACCCTTACCCTCATCTTCATTCTCATCTTCATCCTCATCTTCATCCTCATCTTCATCCTCATCATTTTCAATATACCTTGTCTGATCAGTTTCCTCTCTTTATTTTCTTATCCAATCACCTACAACATAGCTATCTACTTTGTAGATAAGTAGCTAGGTAGGTAATACCTAGGTGAGTGTTCATATGTTGATTCAAGACATCAGGCAAGGGATACTGAAAAATGAAAAATGAAAACCCAAAAATGAAGATTGAGAATTGAAGCTCAAAATGCGCTGATATCTCATTGGCTTACATGGTCTTAGTGGAGACCGGATGGTAACCGGATTTGTCACATCCTCGTGATTTGTCGGGTACCTAAGTACAGTACCTAGGCAAACTTTACGTTATCCGACAAAGTCACCCTTTCCTGCTTTTTACCTTTTTTCTTAGTATCGATTTATCCTGGAGGTACTTATCTTTGTATCGAGTTGATACTTCACTTTTTCTACCAATAGCAATACCTTCCGGTGCATTAAAGTGGACAACTGGAGTAGATCATTTAGCTTTGATCTAATAACCAATTAACTTTCAATATTCTGCCGGGTTCCACATCATCCGTCTCCTTTTCATTCTGGCCACTGAGCTTCATCCATTTTTTTCCTCATTCATTTTTCTTGAACGCCCTGAACGCCCTAATCGCGCATAGACAGACGCAGGATTTCTCGGATTTCTCATCGTTTCCCATCCTAAACCCGTATTGGTCTAGCTCGAGTGGGTCGCGTAGCACTTGTTGCTCCTCTCGGATTGAAGGAGGCCAGCAATCAGCCAGAAAATTTCTTGACCTACCCAGACCTTCAATCCCATCCCACAGCTCCCAGTCCAGTCCCAGTCAATCGCCAGTCGCCAGTCCCAGCTCCAGCTCCGGCTCCTAAGAAAAAAAAAAGTGAGGAGCGCGTGTCAAGCAAGCCTTCTAAGCAAGTGAGCACACACGGCCCATAGACCGGAGTGCCTCTTCCTTTACCCTCTACCGCTTTGCCCTTTGCCTTACCTACTAACCGCCTACCGCCCACCGCCCCCTTCTATCCCTCTCTCGCGCGCCGCAGCAAACAAGAGAAGAGAACTTGGAACTGAGGTGTGTCGTCAATCAATCATTAGTTTTAGCTTAGGTAGGTCAGACCCTGTTATTGCTATCTATCTCTATATCCCTTCTTCTCTGGCTATTCCGATATTGTCCTTATTTTTATTATTATTCCGCTATTATCATTGTTGATGTTGTTGTTGTTGTTGTTATTATCATTATCATCGTTATCGTCATCTCCCTCTTCACCTGGGGCAGTCTATCCAGTCTAACCATCCACCCATCCATCCGTCCGTCCACCCTATCCTGTCTTAGGTATTTGGGTATTTCCCTAATGCCGTATGCGTGTGTGTATGTGTGTTCAAATAACGCTACCACTCAAACGATTCGGGTCGTCCCCGTTGTCCGTTGTCCCGTTGCCCGTCACAACTTCGGTCGGCATCCTTCAAGTGTCGGATGGTTGATGCGCAATGCTGCATCGAAGCGATCGGTCTCCCGTCACTAGCATCCATACAAAGCGACAAGGTGCCCGACACACCTGACGCGGCGCTCCATCCGTCGTCCGTCACCCATTACCCATCATCCGCTTTCCCGTTATTCCGTATTATTTTAGAAACAGCCTCCGTGTCCATCTAGGTATCTGCCAGGTGCCAGGTATACATACCTACTATGGCTCGGCTTTTACCATGTTGCCTATTCCTAAGTGGGCGCGTGGCTTTTGCGCCCATAGAGGTTTTGCTGCTTCTTGCTTTTTGACACTGCCGCTACTAATCCTCCACCCTTCCCTTCCATCCCTTTCCTGTCATATGCTTTACCTAGTGCCTAGCTGCCTAGTAGGTATTTTGCTTTAGAGGATAATTGGAAGTTCCAAGTTGTCCGGTACTGCTGCCAGGTGTTATCGCTACCTAGTATCATTCTTACCACATTACACGTACCCTGTTTAGGTACTAGGTACCTATGCATTCTTTTTCTCCTTCCCTAATACAGCGCTAAAGGGCGTATTTCCCTCTGTATTAGAGAACACAGTCTTCACAGTACCTCTTGTACAGTACCTGCAACCCCTACAATCATAGTAGCATAGCGCTACGTCTCAGCGTCTCTACGACCAGCACCTCAGACAGCACAGTATTAGGGATTCATCCCCTGTTACCTACCTAGTAGCGAGCCCTGGAGCCCTCAATCCTCGTCCAAATTCGTCCAGTACCATCCATGGATCGGAGCGATTCACAGCGCATCGCAGCGCTCCGCTCGCAGCACTGGACTTTTTTGGATTTAGTGATTTAGTGATTCCAAGGGTTGACTTGATCGCGCTGAGTGCCTTATGCGGCCATGGCCCCCCCTTCTATTCTAAACATTGAACACCCTATCTTCCCCCAACCACCGAAAATCTGCGACAGCACCAACTCCATTTCCACCGATCGCACCGCGACAAGTTCATCCACCCAAAAATTTCCTAATCGACCCGCGACGCGACTTTTTTTTTAATCCATCGCGACACTCGTCGCCCGTAACACTACTATTACTCATTTATTACTATCTCATCTTAATGCACATGTCGCTCTTTCTATATATATTTTAATTGCTGACATAGTCTGAATTATAGTCAGATGGGTTCCCATTTGCGTCTCCATCCGTCATGAGTACTTGGTTGAACGAGGCCGCTGCCGTCCAAAACCACAATGGCAACGGCTTCCCACATATGAACGACCCGAATAACATGGGAGCAGGAGGAGGAATGGGCGGAGCGCCGACAGGCATGATGGACCCTTCCGCCTTTATGGCTAATGCCGGCCAGTTCAATCCTGTCGCTGCTGGCCAGTTTAACCCTCAGCAGATGGCCGCTGCGATGCAGAATGGCCCGATGCGCAATGCCTCGCCCTCCTTCTCGAATCCCGCATATCAAACAAATCCCGTCATCCCTTCTAAGCGACCTCGTCCGAGAGAAGATAGTATCGGCGCGTCTCCGCGACAAAATCCTAACATGCTACCGACTTCGCGCGCCGACACGCCTCAACAATCTCAATTCCCAGGTTTCCAACCGAATGCCATGCAGCAACAGAATCCCTCACAACCTCAGCATTATCCTCACCTACAACCCAATGGCTCGACTACCGCGTCTCCTTCGCCAATCATGGCAGGGAATCAGTTAAGACCAGGAAGTGTCCCACAACGCGTCAATACCGCGTCGCCTCATCCCTTCTCCCCAGCTTCTCAACAATTTGGTCCCCAAGCGTCACCAGTTCCATCAGATCACGGTAATACTCCTCAGCCAGGCATGTTTATGGGACAGCAAAACTTCCCTCAAGGCTTCAATCCTGCTTTCGCCGCCGCCAGTCCCTCCCCAGCTAGACCCCCTTCGGCGCAGAATCACATGGCGCAATCCATGATGCCTCAGTCGATGGGTCAGATGCCGCAACAGATGCCGCAAATGCACCCGGGCCAGATGCTCACCCCCCAACAGATACACCAGATGCAACAAATACATGCAGCTCAGGCAGCCCAAGCGGCGCAGGGACGCGGCGCGATGGATCAGCAAAAGATTATGTACCAGATGCGCTTACAACAACAGCTTCAGCAGGGCGGTATGCCGATGGCTGCGCAGATGCAAGCCCAGAATCTAGCCCAAGGTCGAGGTATGATGCCTAAGCAACCGATGCCGATGCAGAACGGCCAGATGCCCCCAGGCACCATGCACCCTCAGCAACAACCTCAAATGGCGCGAGCAACCAACCCCGAAGGCTTCCTCAAGAACCTCACGGCGTTTATGAACATGAAGCAACTTCCCCTCGACACGAATCCCGTTATCGAAGGCCGACCATTACACCTCCTACAACTTTTTCAGAATGTTTCCAAATTTGGTGGATATCGGAACATAACTAGTCATAATCTCTGGATGCAGGTTGCCGCTTCGGTCGGCTTCAGCCCGCAACAAATCCCATCAGCTCCGAATCAAGTAAGGTCTATCTACGAGCGCAACCTGTTGAAGTTTGAAGAGGCTTGGGCGATGCAACAGCGAAGTCAGCATATGAAGCAGCAATCAAGCGGCTCAGTAGGCATTCCTGGTGTACCGGGTCAAGGCGTACCACAAAGAATTGGACAAATGCCACCTGGTCAACATATACAACCCAGTCAAATACCCCCTCAAATGCCACAGCCACATACGCAGACACCCGTGAAGCAGATGGCTCCGGCAATACAACAAGCAAATGTCAACGGATTTTCTACTCCGCAACAACCTCGAATCGCCCAACAACAACAGCAGCAGCAGCAGCAGCAGCAACCCAACGCAGGTCAAGGACACATTAGAAGTAACATGTCGCGAAGTATCGATGCGAGGCCAGTAGTCGGCGATTTTGCAATGCAGTCACCGGCATCGACGGGTAAGGGTGGTAACATATCTATACAGCCTCCAACAAACCAACAAGTGGATGGTGCGCATGCAAATGGTACTACGAACTTACCTTTCCCCGGCCCGTTTTCGTCAGACCCCGACGAGTACTCACCGTGTTCGCGGGAGATGCACATGTATGGAGGCTTCGATCTCGACTCGATGGCTAAGCTAGGCAACGACTTGGAAAAATGGAGACCGAACATGCCACAACCTCCAGAACTTGGCAACATCGATCTCCATGCTCTTACGAAAAGCATACAGTGCGGCATACATGGAGAAGTACGGTTAGCTCTCGATACCCTCGGATCCGTGACACGCGCGGCGGAGTATTTGCCAACACTGTCGATCGACCTGAGAGCTTGCGACGATCTGGTGGAGTCCCTTATAGATTGCGCCGAAGAGCAGGTTGATCTGCTTGCCGAAAAGGCGGATCCTGTCTCGGATGAGATAGATCTAACTTCCTACGAGGACGTCATGAGAAGTTGTCGTCTCGAAGCCATGAGCTTACACAAACCAAACGTGTTTGGGGATGCCGACTACGAGCTCGAACACGCCGCGGATCGTTTATTGGCGATAACGACGATCCTGCGGAACTTTTCCTTCATGGACGTAAACCAGGTGGTCCTCGCCGACGAGATAGTGATCAAATTTCTTTGCGGCGTGATACGATCTTTGGGTACGCACGAGAATTTACTACGAGCTCCGAGGAATACGCTCGATTTTATGAAAGATGTCATAGTTTTGCTATCTAATGTTGCTGGATCCATCGAGATACCCGGGCGGGAACAAGCGTTGTGTCTCCTTCAGTTTCTGCTTGCTTTCGCGCCGTCGCCGGCCCCTTCTTTGACAACCGAACGGGTTGTCTTTTCACCATATGAACCATCGGTTCACTTTTACCTACCACACGCCGTCGACTCCTTAGCGAAGCTATTAGCGCGCGACGAGCCGAATAGGTCACATTATAAAATAATCTTCGCCGCCGACGCCGCCACCTCTTCCCCCCACGAACTACTTACGCGAACCTTCGGCCTCGCCGTCTCCCCGATTCCCGACCAGAACAAAGAGAGCCGCCCGGCGAATCTACCGTCGTTCGTCGAAGCGCGCAAGGCGTTGCTGATGCAAGGCTTGCTTTCGGCCGACATCATTGCTCAGCTCGCCCCGGGATACGAATCGGGTGTAACGCGAGCATGGCTGTCGTCAGGGGAGGGGTTCGCACAGAATCTCTTCCGCCTCATCCGCACACTCTGCACCCAGGCAGAGCCGACACCTCGCGTGGGTGCCAGTTCAAGAACGCAACCACGCGAAGACATGGACATACTGTACATAATTACCTGCGGCGTATCTACATTAAAGAGACTCGGCGAGAAGGCGAGAGATCCCAACAACCCAGCCAGCATCCCGCCGAATGCTCTTCCGACGAGGGAAAGCCTCTTCGGTGCCTTACAGAGTCTCAAGAGCCCCAAGTGGACATTACTATTGAATCAACTAAGCACCTACGCGGGGCTCGAAAGTTGAGTGATAAGGGATACGGGATATGGGATACGCGCCGATGTAGACAAATAGTCCAGGTAGTTCGAAGAGCGGGAGAGTAGCGGCTCAAACAGGATAGGTTCATTAAATAAGACGATTATCTAGGAAACGGGTCATACGGATCTTAGCGGTAACCGGAGACTAGGTTTCAAGCACCCAAGGCCCTAATCGGAGCGCGGCGTTCAGGAATTAGATGGTCAGCATGAGATGTACAAAGTAGCCCAACATAAAGGAGATGTATAAATGTGTAGATTATGTGTTACGGGCTCAACGTACAATGCGAAGCATGCTCAAAAGACGCATCTTATCTTTCAACTGGATATTTCCCTTATATTATAAAATTGGCTCAGTGATGAATTATGAGCTTAGGGTAACGAGTGCTTACGAACTGGTCCTGATATACTGTGATATTAACCTTGGACTTTGGGCTTCAACTTTCGAGTCTTCGGGTTCTCTTTGATAGCAGCGAACGTACCTCTTACCCAGGAGGTATACAACCAAAGTAGAATACGTTCCCGATACCTACTTAGGTAGGTAGGTAGGTAGGTAGGTACTAGGTAGATATGTATACATACTACTTGCCTACCTAGTAGTATTTAGCTCACAAGGAGAATGTCGTATAGGTACCTACATATAATGACTAGGTAAGTATCACCTATTGTCAGTCTATGAAGGAGGTCAATGGCGGAGATCACTTCTAATGTATAAGAGAACAGGTAGCTTGCATACACAGTCTATCCCCACGAACCAGACAGACAAATCAATATCAACGCAATGATCATGATAGCAAAAATTTTCTTTTGGTGGAAAATGACAGAACCAGCTCTGTTTTGGTTTATTGTATTCATATTCTTGTTCTACGCGACTTCGTTTTCGTTCTTTTTTGCTTGATTGTTATAGATCCCCCCTTTGCTAGATTCGGTGACGGGTATCATCCTCCTCTCTCCTATCTCCTCTCTTTCACCTAACCCCTACCCCTACCCTTCCCTTATAACTATAACTGACTTGTCGGTTCCACGGCCTTCATATCATGCCTAGTATCGTCAGGTCGCGACCTATACGCATCGGGGTTACCCCGGATCGACCGCGCCAGCGACTTCAGCGAGTCCCGACGACCGGGTGGCGGAAGGTGCGTGGAGTCGGATTCGACGTGTGGTTGGCGATACGCGTTCTTGGGTCGAGGAGGGGCGCCGTTGTTGCTGGGGGCGGAGGGCATGGGACCAATGCCGTAGTCTTCGAGCTCTTGTTGGCTTTTAGGCCATTCGCGCGCGTCGCTGCGTTGGCGTCGGAGGTGGAAGACTATTAGCGTGGCGATGGTGCCGACTACTAGAATGCCGCTGGAGAGGGGTGATTGATTAGTATTTGGGTTTGGGTTTGGGATTAGTTTGACGTCAGGGTCTCTTGCGAAAGAATAGGATTGAGGATGTAAGTTGCTAAGTAAGTAGAGAGGCTTACCCGAGAACGCTGAGCACGATGGTGGTCGTATTACTGGCCGCCTCGGGCTTCTCGCAAAGATCAATATTCGGCTGAGGGTGGCATTTGGCGTAGGTCTCCTCGTCGTCGCGTGTTCTCAGGAGGTTTATGATGGTTCGGGCGATGTTCGACGCCGACGACGACTGCGTCACCTGATCAACTGGAAGAGGGCTCATGGTGCGTATATGATATCCGGCACTCTCGATACAATTGCGAAATCCAATTCCAACGTTCTAACTTCTCGATCGTCCTCTTCATTACCCGAATGATCTGTTCAGTAGGCTCGGATGTTGCCGAGCACGCGAAATTGAAGTCGAACTAATGTGACCCCGTGGCGTGATCGTGTTTGCTTGTTCGTATCTGCTCGGAGGGAAAAAGGAATGTTCGGTAGTTGGATTCCGAGCAAACTGAACTGTTTAGAAAGGAATGTATGGGTATGAATATGAGGATGGGATGAATGACTGAATGAATGAATGGCGTCGTCGCATGAAAGGAGTGTTTGAATGAATAAACGAATACTTGGAGGGAAAAACGATAGGCTACATCGAGTCTCTAGTGTCTAAGTACGTAACATGTAACTACAAGGAGCAGAAGGAGGCACAACCCATGATACACGATGTTTCAGTGGGAGATGGGCACGCATCAACGAGACCCCTGACGATCCAATCTACCCAATTGGATTCCTTACGTACCTATGTAGTAGGGACCTTGGACGTTGCATCTTGATAGGCAATGAGCCGGGGTGCAGCGTGTGATGGTACAGTCTGAGTTGATCCGTTGAACTGTAGCATCTTACTGTGTTCGCGATTCACAACAACGGCTTTTGTACGACTTCAGCTTCCGAAGTTTGCTATTGGTGCTATTGATTTCCTAGTTGAACACTATAATACCTATATCTCGTGTGATACGAGTTAGGGTCTAGTGCACAAATAAAGACACTAGAAAAATAGGATTAGCTTAACCTTGGAAGTATAATAATATAGTACATTCTAGGCACATACCTATAATATACATATTAGTACCTACGTAGTTTAGGTCGTAATTAGGGTCGTGTGGCTATGATCTTTGCGGTGTAAAATATGTCTTAGCTTACCGAAACTCTGGAGAAGTCATTCTTAATAATTTCTATCTCGAGAAACTATGCAGATGTTCACAAAAGCCTACTTAAATATACTAGATAATTACTGAGTATGTCAATAGGCTGGTCCATGGAATAGGATGGCTTTAATTAGGAGAAATCATCGAAATCATCGATGTGGTTAGTGGCTTGGAAGCTGAGACCTTGAATTCTTATGTAAAATCTGGGTTAATAACAGGGCTAAATGAACAGACACAGACCTCACAGATATTTCCCAACTTACAAGATCTTATACTGGTACCTGTATTTACCATTGATGGGGTTTATGAGAGAATAATGTCAGGATGGTTACCTATGGATGTATTTCTACATCCACATCCGCTCTACTATGTACGCACGGCATTAGTAATCGCACGGTTGCTATTCCACGCAACACGAGGGAAATTTGGAGATACCACGGAGATGGTTTCAATCGGAATGATAAAGTCTCGGAACCATCGGGTCACACAGCTTTCTAAGGTTGCTAGTAATAATCGATACTTACTACCTACCTAGGTACCTAGTAGGTATGTGACAATCGGTCATTACCTACTCGCAAGGCAGGACATGAGTTTACATTACCTGATATAAATATTTTCATATTCAGAATTACACGTAACACCGGCTTTAGCTCGCGGGTCTCAGAGAGCGGAAAGTTGCAGGTTTTATATGCGGAATTATTAAAGTGTCTTACCGCAGCGGTATTGGACGGCTAGGACAGCAATGGCTCGGCAATTGGCTTCTCCACACGGCCAACCGCAGCCGGGAATCATCACCTCAACCGTACCCGTGACGGGGCGCTTACATTAGTAAAACTTTGATAGGTGGTGGAGTTGATGGGTAGGATAAGGTTAACTAATGAGAGTCAAGCAGAGGAGACGAAAGGAGACGAAAGGAGGCTCTGGCCTTAGGAAAAGGGTCCTGTAACCGTTCCGTCGTTAACCGCCACCCTCTTGGTCTTCCCGATCAGGAAAGTATACGACGTCAGAAAGCGTCAAAGTACCCATACTCTCGGTACACCGATGCATAAGTACCCTACCGCGAAAAGCCGAGAATTGCACTTCAGAGTTTACGACTTAGTAGTTGAACTCTTATAATACGACGGTAAAAATTTGTAATTGAGAAAGATGCAAGAAATGATAACGAATATACACACACGATGAAGCTATAAATCAGTGCTGCTGTAAGCAGTCGTGAAAGTATTGCCCTTACTACTTAGGTAGATACCTTTCCAAGAAGAAGAGCAGCAACGGGAATAACCACAATGATATCGGGGGTTAATCTAGCATATCTTGCATCCGGTGCAGCGGCACTGGGGCTAATCTATGTGAGATAGATAGACCCGAATCCCAATTAAGCACGCTGAACTTGATCGACTGACCAATACCTACCTATCTACTAGACTCTCGGAATCGTAATATATCGTTTATTCTTCCATCCATTAGCCAAATATCCTGGTCCGTTCCTAGCAAAGATCACAGACGTCTACCAGCTATATCATGCTTGGAAAGGAGACCGACATCTGGAGTTTTGGCGATTGCACGAGAAGTATGGCAAGGTCGTCCGATTTGGTCCCAACAGTGTCTGCTTTAACTCAAACACTGCCTTGAAGGACATATACGGGTTTAAATCCAACGTTCGGAAGGCCGAATTTTACGATGCCTTCGTCCATCCGGCACCTAATACACACAATACGAGGGATAAAACCGTACATGCTCGGAAGAGGAGAGTCCTATCCCAAGGATTCTCAGATTCGGCAGTTAGGGAGATGGAGAAGTATATTCTAGCTAATGTGCGATCCTTCTGCGAGCAGATCGGACTTGGTGCCAGTGACGAGAAAAAGGGATGGACGGTTGCGAAGAATATGGCTAACTGGTGTAACTACCTTGCCATGGATATTCTCGGAGACTTGTGCTTCGGTAAGGCTTTTCATATGTTGGAACGGCCTGACAACCGATACGCGCTTGAGCTCGTATCACTTGCTACTACTAGACACCTAGTCGTAAGTACCTAGCCAGATGCTCTTCCTTAAACTGCTGTATACCTAGTAGTATGCTAGGTAGGTATAATACTTACTAACAACAATAGTGCGGAACCATGTCTCTCGTTGGGAAGCTTCACCTCGACAAAGTGTTATTCCATAGAATTGCCACAGGCCGAGAGAAGTACATGGCGTACAGTAAGGCCCAACTTACGGAACGTACCAAGCTTGGCGACGATACGGACCGTCGCGACTTCTTCTACCATCTGCTCAAGGCAAGAGATCCCGAAACCGGAATCGGATTCTCGACACCGGAGTTATGGGGAGAATCAAATCTACTGTACGTGTTAAAATTGGTAGAACCTACCTAGGTATCAGGGTACCAGAGTATTAGGGTATCAGAGTATCAGGGCAGGGTACCAGATATACAATTGACGTAGACATGGCTAACATTATTGGTAGTATCATAGCAGGAAGTGACACGACGTCAACGGCGATGGCGGCGACTCTGTTTTACCTCGTTCGCAACCATGCTTCGCTACAAAAGGCAAGCGACGAAGTCCGGGCGAAATTTAACGACGTGGAAGAGATCTGCCAAGGCCCAGCACTTAACTCTTGTCACTACCTCCGTGCATGCATTGATGAAGCGATGCGCATGTCTCCCTCTGTGGGCGGGATCTTGCCTCGTGAAGTTCTCAAAGGCGGTATGACGATCGATGGCGAGTTTATTCCCGAAGGAATTGTTGTTGGTACTCCCCATTATACCGTTCAGCATAATTCGGCGTACTATCCTCAACCATTCTCATACATCCCCGAGCGCTGGATTGCGGGTTCATATAAGAGCTTCGGTGGTTATGATGGAAACGTCGTAACCGAACAAGATGTGACGCTGGCGCAAAGTGCTTTCTGCCCCTTCTCCATCGGACCTCGAGGATGTATCGGGAAGGGTTTGGCGTATATTGAAATGATGACGACGTTGGCTAGAATGTTGTATCTGTATGACTTGCGCAAGTCGGCTGGTTTTGACCCCGCCGAGGGTAATCCGGATCTTGAATGGGGTCGGAGACGTGTGGACGAATTCCAACTCATCGATCAATTCACAAGCTTAAAAGATGGACCGATGGTTGAGTTTAGGAAGCGTGCCTAGGTAGATACCTAGGTAGTTGATGCTCCTAGATAGGAAGACTAAGGTGCTAAGGTGTAGTTGATATAGGCAGTACCTGGCTGTGATAGGTGCAATTTCTTGCACCTATTTCGTCGACGTCGTATGTAATTCCAAGTTCCAAGGTTGTCAGCTGAAGGTCTATTCCACCATTAACATGCTGTGCTGTGCTAGTACAGGTCTTGAGAGGCGGCAATACGTAATTCGATTATATTTAGAACTTGATATACTTGGTATGAGGGATCGGATCCTTAGGGTCATCCTTTCATTCGCTCTCTTACAGCGAGGAACGCTAGTTAGCAGGTTAGGTGGTTAGTAGGTACCTACTTTTTCTCCAGAGTCCAGAAAATTAATTCGGTACTTGGATATATGACGATTGGTTGTGCTGGGGTAAGATGGGTCGAATCGGTTCTAGCCCAGATCATGATTTCCACTTCTGGAAACCGTACATAACAGTACGATTACTGGCTGAGAGTATGAATGTGGGGATGATATGCCGGCTATCTGGATGAAGGCGACGGGATTATTCGTATTTTCTCCATCGTCTCCGGTCTTAGCATTGACAGGACTAGACAAGACTAGACAGGACATACCCTAGCCCCCACCTTTAATGATCATTCATGCTCTCTTCGTTCCTGGGCGAATGCTACGTAGGATAAGATCATAAGATAAAGACCCCATCAGTCGCAACCTGAGAGGTGGTGAATACTCGGCCCGCTCGGACGGATGTTCCCACGAGCTGCCCAAGCTTGATTTTCCCCTGGTTCGTCGGCCTTGCGAACACACAAACACAACACATCCTAGCTTCTGATGATGTTCCGGAGCACCACCAACAATATCCTCGGATGATACCTAAGCCTTTAATTTTAGGGAAATAATGATACTTCGCGGCTGGCTTCCGTAATGGATCTTCTCTCAGCCGACTGCATATAACCTGGCGTCTCCCGTGGGACCTGGTACCTTGCAGCGAGTGACATGATCGTCTCTGTAGGAAGTGCACGACTCGTCATAATGCGTTCTTCTATCGTGTCTCTGCTTGCCTTGGGCGGCAGCTTATTCCAACCCTTCTCGTCAGCTACTCCGCTGAAGGTACAAAATGAGATCCGAGCCGATAGCTGGCCATTTGGTCCGCTAGTAACGTCCGGCCGCGACATTAAAAATACGCAAGGGGGAAATGTCGTCTACGCCGGCGCCAATTGGCCAGGTCACGGCGAAGTGATGATCCCGGACGGACTGCAGCACCAATCCATCGAGACCGTCGTTTCGAAGATTAAGAGTGCCGGCATGAACGCTATTCGTCTGACGTACGCCATCCAGATGATAGACGAAATCTACGCCAACGATGGCAAGGATACGACAGTGAAGGCATCGTTCACTACCGCACTTGGCTCGACGAACGGACCTGCAGTGTATGCCCAGTTCCTCGAGAAGAACCCTTCTTTCGACGACACCACCACCCGTCTACAAGTCTTCGATGCCGTCGCGGCGGAATGTCTTAAGCAGAAGATCTTCGTTCACTTGGACAACCACATGTCCAAAGCTGCATGGTGCTGCTCAACGGGAGATGGTAATTCTTGGTTCGGGGATACCTACTATAGTATGTGCAAGAAGTTGCGAGCTTTCCACTTACGAATCTAGTATCTAACATAAAAATGTAGACGTAGACAATTGGGTCCGGGGTCTCTCGTACATGGCAAACCACGGGAAAAACTGGCCGGCGCTGACTTCCATGTCTCTGCGCAACGAGCTCCGTTCGCCGGACGACAACGCGACGCTTAAGAGCCAATCCTATAACTGGCGCGATTGGTATATCAACATCAAGAAGGGCACGAGCGCGATCAACTCGGCCAACCCCGGTTTGCTCATCTTCCTCTCGGGCTTGGACTTCGACACGTACGTGACGCCGATAGTTCAGGGTACGTCGTTGACGCCGTCGAGCGACAAGTTCAGCGCGACCGACTTCGGGGGCTACAGGGACAAGCTCGTGCTGGAAATCCACAACTACCAGAACAGCGCGTCAAATTGTAACAGCCTCCAAAGCTCGTTGTACAACAGCGGGTTCCAGGCGCAAAACGCGAGCGACCCGAAGACGGTTAACGTATTCCCCGTCATGCTGACAGAGTTCGGATTCGACATGAGGGGCACCACGTATCAAGGGACGTACGCTACTTGCATCGCGAGCTATCTCAAAGCGCAGAAGGCGGGTTGGTTCATTTGGGTCATCGCCGGTAGCTATTACATCCGCTCTGGCACGCAGGACTTCGAAGAGACCTGGGGACTTTTGACGCATGACTGGTCGGATTGGAGGTCGTCGGCATATGTCTCGAGTGGACTGAAGCCTCTTGCCGAAGCTACCGCGCAAGGATGAAGTGGATGACGTGGATGAACCAGGACTCAAGCAGAGATTCCGTAATGGCTAGTCGTCTTCGATGCGTACTAGATATATCTAGATAGTCAATGAAAAAGGCCAAATGAATAATTTCATGTTAGTCGATTTGTGGTTTTGCAGTATCAGAGATTCAGAGTATGTAGGGGTATGTATCCATGGATGGACATCTGCGCCTTTATTATATTTACGTCTCTTCATATTTCGTATTCAACAACACGACGTCGTGATAGTAATGGCAAACATAGAAAACTAGAGGCTGCATATGTGTACTATGTATTAAGAGCATTTTGAACTTGGAAGAAACCAGCAATCAAAGGTACCTAGGCAGCTAGGTAGGCACCTATTTAGATAGTTACATAATACCTTTCTCGTAACGGATAAATGCAATACGCATTGACGCATGTTTTAGTTAGTCGCATTAAGCGGTATCAAAAACCAAGCAGGGATTTCCCGGTAATTCTCCACTAAGACCAAGCTGTAATCTGCAACCTGCAAGGCTGAAATTTCCAAGGTCCTTCACTTCAAGGCTGCTATCTTTTCTAGCTGTTCGTCAACTTATCATATTTACCACACCTAGAAGATGCCGCCTCTTTGCAAATTCTGGCAACAAGGCTATTGTCGGAACGGAGGTAGGATAAAATTGAATTAATACTCGTTGTTTTCTATCGCTGCCATCCATTTCGGGAAGCTAACACCTGTCAATGTAGCATCCTGCCGTTTCGATCACCCAGGTGAAAACGCACCCTCGTCGAACCCGTTCGGAGCCCCAAATTCGAATACCAATCGATTCAGTGCCTTAAATTCCGGAGGAAATAAGCCACAGGAAAATCCATATAAAATCACCGCAGACGTCATCAGAGGTGACCTATTGGCAGAGCGACCGCCATGGCCCCTATCGTGTTACGGCCCTGGGAGGGATGCCCCGGAGCAATTGTTTGGTGGCTATCCACGAGAGCAAAGTCTTGAAGAGGTGATGGTATACATCAAAAGTGCGAGCAATCAGCAACAAGCAGTATGAGACACCCGGAATTCGCCATAAATTTCATTTCGTTTCATTAACCATTAGAGAAGGAAACAGAGGTCATGGGCCTTATCCAGCAGGCCGAACAGCAGAACCAAACCGCCCTAGGCAATCTTGATGGTGCTATACAATTCGTGCTTTCGGCGGAGAACAAGCATCCAAACCGTGTAGACATCTGCAACCAGAACAACAACGCAAGCGGTGTCTTCGCTAGAGAGGCCGTTGCTGGTCCTCAATCGGGCTTCTCAAACCCACTTGCTTCAGATCCATTTTCATCAGCTCCTAAGCAGAACCCATTTGGCGGTGGTACACCTGCATTTGGTCAACCGTCGGCGATGGGACAGAAACCTAATCCTTTCGGTGCTGCATCAACAACATCAACTCCGGCCTTTGGCCAACCATCCGCCATGGGAGCATCGAAGCCTGCGTTCGGGCAGCCTTCACAGATGGGCGGAGCTGCTCCCGCGTTCGGACAACCGTCGACTCTAGGTCAGAAACCTAACCCCTTTGCTAGTGCTCCCTCTGGTCCAAGTGGCTTCGGCCAGGCTCAGACTACTCAGAGCGCATTCGGACAACCATCAGCTTTGGGACAGAAGCCGAACCCCTTTCTGGCCTCTGCGCCGTCATCATCATCTGCTCCTAACCCTTTCTCTCAGCCGGCAATGACTTCGGGACCTAGCCCATTCAGCCAGCCAGCAATCGCCAACCCATTCGCCCAAGTCACGAGCCCTCAGCCGAACGACCAGCCGATGGATACGTCTGCTCCTACACCAGTTGCTAATAATCCTTTCGCAAAGCCGTCTGCTCCTCCCTTCGGTGTCCCAGCTAAGAATCCGTTTAATACCCAACAGTCAACAGGATTTGGAGCCGTGGCGGGAAATCCTTTCGCTCAAGCTCAAACGCAAGCACAGGCACAAGTACAGGCGCAAGTACAACCACAAGCACAACCCCAATCTGCCCCTGCGGCTGCGGGCACAGCCAACCCCTACGGACCAAATAGTACCAAACAACACCAGCCTCCAGAGAGCTATATCAACAAGGCTATGAACGGGCAGATCATGTCATTCAACGGGCAGCAGGTGATCTACAAGTGGAAAGTGGGCGATAAATACGAAGACGAGAGGCCTCAGGGTCTACCGATGGAACCACCAGTACCCGGTGTGAGAAATTCAGACGGTTCCTGGCGCAAGATCTTCTTCCCCAACGGCCCGCCCCCATACAACCAAGATACCGAACCGGACCCTTCGTCGTACAATGCTACGATTAAAGCGATCTACGAAAAGACGATGAACACAGGCAGGTTCGACGGGGATATGCCTGAAGTGCCGCCGATGAGAGAGGACTGCATTTGGTCCTTTTGAAATAGATGACAGGGGTTCGAATTGAGAATCAAGAATTGATCCGAAATCGATAGACATGCATATATTGGTTAAGGGGTTAAGGGGAATGGCGTTAATTGAATTGGTATAAGCGAATCGACGAGAGCCACGTTTTGTACATGACAGTTAGATACCCCAGAATCGCACTGGATCACGCAATCACGGCAGAAACGAATGATTAGAATGTTTCATCTTGCATATCGGTTTTTGTTTGTATTCATCTCTGCTGTGCTCCTGAACCTATTCGGTTGCAGGCCACCTCTAGGATATGGGCTAGGACGACATGGGTATCTGTAAATCCGTGCGATCCATCCAAGACTCCGATTTCCTCGCCCTTTTCTATTTCCCAGCTTAGGCAGCGATGGTGACTTCGACCTCGACACCAGCCTCAATGTTGACGATGATCTGCTTGACGGTCTCGGTAGGAGCGTTGAGACTGTAGATGTCAGTACTGGGTTATCTTATATCGGTGATGTAGACGATTTAGATGACTACGAAGAAGACGTACTCAATCAGGCGCTTGTGGATGCGCAGCTCGTAGCAGTCCCAGGTCTTGGAACCCTCACCACAGGGGGTCTTTCGGGTAGTGACCTTGAGGGTCTTAGTGGGAAGGCGGACGGGGCCCTTGACGCGGAGGTCCTTGCTCTTGGCACGCTCGATGAGCTCGCTGCAGACCTTCTCAAGGGCGGTAACCTTGCGAGAGGTGAGAGTGATACGGATTTTGTGCGTCTTGGCCTGCTCGCCAGCGTAGTCCTTCTCGGGCTTGTTGTACGACATCTTGGCTGATATTCTTGGTGGATTTGGTCAAGATCGATATGAATGATCGAGAGTATTGCGTGTGTTGAGAATTTACCTTCACGACTCGAACGTTTACGTTACGGCAAAGTGATGAAGGCGACGTGAGTTGGTAGTTTGGAGTTGTAGGAAGAAAAGTTCGCGACTTGCGAAAAAGTTAATAGGGTCTTAGTTAGAAATTCGAATGTGGGCTCGGATAAGGGCTAAAGTGGGGTTATCTTATATGTACCTAAGTACCTAGCCTTACGACTTCAACCAGTTACCTAGCGGGTTGATTGGAGAACCTGGCACTTAGGTCGTACCTTGCACCAATACCTAAGGTTAGTGCCAGGTATTAGTCCTTGGTTCAGACAAGATACATACCTAGGTACCCATCTCATGTCATCAAAAGACAGCGAAACTTTAGAAAGAGTCATCCGGCCAAAATCACTGATGTGGATCTTATAAGTGGTCACCTCACTCTACTACCTTAGGTACCTACTAGGTATTTATTCCTCATCCTGGTAGAGAATGGAAGAGTCTAAAGAGGCATATATCCAATGCATCTCATCGATATCAGATTCTGAGAAGTTTTGTTCACTTCTTCCTTTTATGCCTAACGACCTTTAACTGAATTGGACTAAACAAGATATCATGACGGCCTTACCTCCTTTTGCGCCCTTTCCCGAAGCGCCATGGAGAGATCATATCGTTCCAGTCGAATGGGAGGCTTGTCTATCTAATTGGGTCGCCTTAGCAGAGGCTCATCTGTCTCTATCTGCAGATCAATTTTCTCTCGCTTCCTCTAAGGATGAATCGCTCTTGTCTTTTCTCGTCTCTTTTATGAGAGAGACCGCGTCGGGTAGTGCTGCTGTTCTTGGCACATCGCAATCAGCGCAACTTTTGATTCGACAATCCTTTCTTCTTGTGGCCAGGTTTTTACGAATACCTTCACCCCCTCCCCCTTTACTTCAATGGGAGGTCTTATCCGATTTCTGTCACCTATATTCAAAAAGGAGAACATCTAATCTGATAACTCAGGTTTCTCAGAACCTACAAGTGACCAGTTCTTTAAATGCCCTAAAGAAGTCTCTCATTGTCTCCCTCGATGCCGGACTCAAAAGTGATTTAAACAATTTAGAGTCTCGCCTGAAGAGACTCAACCATCTAATCCATGCATCCCCGGATATAGCTGCCTTCTTTTTGGCTGGAAGCGATTTTGTGGATGGGCTTATCAGCTGCTTCAAAATCATGAACCCCCCATTGAGAAAAGCTATTGTTACAACAGCTTACCTAAGTCTCATTGGACTTACCGAAGGGGACTCCCCTAAATTTTCTATGCTAACTGATCAACTCTATTCTTTGAAAGCCGCAGCCGATGGTCATAAAGCTGGCCCTTTAAATGTGAACGATTCTATGGTAGCCGAGTTGGTCACCGTTACTCCTATCCTCAAGCAGGTACAGCGCCGTTTGGAGGATTCCGGCTCAAATACGACGCGAGGAAAATCGGTTATCACTGCATTGGGAAGTTTCCGAAAACCTGGCGGTGGCAGTATAAAACCAAAGAAGTTGGTTAAACGAAAGATTGATAAAGGGAAAGGAATCATGACGGAGGACGATGAGGTACCTGGGGAGATGAAGATGCATCGCATGAGCCAGATATCACAGATACAAGACCTGTTTCCGGATCTAGGGTCTGGCTTCATCTCTAAGCTTCTAGATGAGTTCGGAGACAATACCGAACAAGTCGTTGCCCATCTTCTCGAAGATGATCTGCCACCTCACCTAGCTACCGTTGATCGCACCAAGGAGCTGTTGGTTTACTCAGTTATATTCTCTTTAGTATATGTACTAATTTAATCATAGGTCTCCGGAGAGAAGTAGGAGAAAGAGTCGTGATATCGCTCCCCGGCCAACGCCACCCCAGGTTCCTATACGCCATAACGTATTTGATGACGATGAATTCGATAAGTTGGAAGTAGACCTGTCTAATCTCCACTTCGGAAAACGTAACCCAGACAAATCAGCGGAAGATATCCTAAATGATCGATCCTCTGCTCCAAACAAAGCCGCTATCCTCTCCGCACTCTCCGCATTTGACGCCGATGATGATGAGAGGGACGACACGTATGATGCTGCAGACGCTGGGTTGGTAGTGGATGATGGGAATGCAAATGACCCAGAAGACCAGAAAAAGAGGGATGCAGGTGAAGAGGCTCTTTTCAAAGCTTATCAATCGGACCCGAAAGTTTTCGACAGAGATGCGGTCACAAGACGAAGCCAACCTAGAAATAGGCTAAAGCAGCAGACGGGCATGACCGACGAGGCTATCGAGGGTTGGGCCTTGATGTTGGCCAGAACTCCGAACCAGATGAGACAGTTGGAGATGAAGTATAGCGCATTCGGTGGCGACCAGCCTGTTTTAGCCTCGACCGCTTGGCGTGCAAGCCCGGCAGAATCCGCAGCGGAAGACTCCGAAGTTGATGGTAGAGGTGGTAATACTCGAGGGGGACCTCGTGGTCGTGGTGGTCAAGGTGGCCAAGGTAGTCAAGGTGGACGTGGGCGAGGTAGAGGTGGTCGCGGAAGGGGAGGAAATGTCGCCGGTCCACCAGGTGAACAAGATACTAGAAATGCCCAAAGAAACAAGGAGGCGAATAAGGGATCTAGGGCCAACCATAACCGCCGAAACCAACGCGCAAAAAAGATGGCTCGCGGGGGATTCCCGGGGTGAACCACTATCGTGGTCTAGAGAGATTTATCATCCAAGGAGAATAGGATGATAGGACGACAGGACGACAGGATAACAGGAGGGGGAAAGGGAGGGAAGGACAATAGGGGGGAGGGGGGAAAGAAGGGAAGCATCATACCCAGACGTCTAGGCAATATGCTGCTACATTACTCTTCTCCTCTTGGCGCGCTGTTGACTCCCGCTTCGTGCCATCGGTGTCGGTAAGATTGGACGTTTACCTAATGCAACTTCGTTCGTGCTTGGGCACTTTTCGTAGAGATCCTCTTCATTCAGAGCTTGCGCATAGGGACTTCGCAACTCCGAATTTCCCGGAGATGGAGCATGTGTTACAGTATAGAGAGAATAAATTGGTGCTGGGGATACGACTCCCCCGAATGATGGGCTCGCCACGTCAGGTCCTACGTGACGGATTAGGTGGGATTGGTCTTTGGGCGTTGCTAACTCCGACACAGACGTAAGATCGTTATCTATATCTCCAGCTCTTCCTTCGTGCATACGAATTGACAATAAGGATTCGCGTGAGCTCCGCCGGCTTTGGGATTCGCGAATATCGAAGCACTGTCTGCAGACCGGATAAACCGACCACATGTCCTCTTCGTTTCGGTATTGTGGTAATTGAGGCCTACGTTCCTGACCGCATCGTTCTTGGATATCGTCAAAGATGTCGAAGATGGGCGTGAAGTATGTGTATCTTGGGCCAGGACCATAGTACTTATTCCGACCCCAGAGCTGACCGACGATGGAATTGGTCTCATAATCAATAATGGCGGCACCGCTATCACCCTCGACTCCTATACCACCGGATATCCACTCATTATCGTTGTCGTAGGGATATGGCTCTTCTATGTACCATTCGCGAGATGCCCTCCCGGTTCCGTTCTCGAAGCCATCTAGATATGCAGGTACCTCGCAGACCTCGCCCCGTTGGAAGCCTGAGCTACGTCCTGTCGAACATACGCTTGCGCCGGGTACAACTGTACTCATCGAAGTTACCGGAGTTTCTCGTTTCTGAAGAGGAGTAGGAAACCTCCGCAACATATTGGCTTGATGACCCTTTGCGGAGACCAATGCCCAATCCGTGACAACCAGCGGAGGTTCCATGCCACACTCCTCCCAATATGGATCGTGAGATATTCGAGTGGTTTTCAAGTCGAAGCCGGATGTCGCAGTCAAATTCCCAACACGGAAGTTGAAATCACCATTGGTCAGAATATCGTGTCTCTCATCTATACAACTCGCACGGTCCGCCGGAGACGGTTGCTCTATAGAGACTGGCTGTATTCCACCTTTACTTGCGTCGACAAACGGGTGGAAATTTACCAACCAAAAACTGGCGCCATTGATGGTAACGCAAGGTCCTAATGTTGCCGTGATTTCATCTCCATCCTCGGCCGTAGTTCCAATACTGTCTCCCATGCATGGACTTATATAACAAAATGGATTTCGCGGAAGACAGATCTCATCAGGCATCTCCTTGCTGAGACCTCGCGACCACACGAGCCGATCTACTTTCCCGACAGAGAATACGAATGTGATCGAATTGCGATAGGCTTCGGGGAATAGGTCTAGCACATGCCATGCGATGACAAGTTTGCGAGGTCTCGAGATAGGTTGTTTCGTCATGATACAGACCCGTCGGGCATTGGGTTTCCTGCCACGCATCACGCTAATTACATGGCCGGGACCGCACCACTTTGGCATAAGATCGATTAGGAACGGAAGGATGCTATGCTCCCAAAGAATCGGAAAAGTTGCCGACTCCAATAATTTAGACGCGCGGTTTCCAACAGCGGCAGAGCTTTCACCAGCTTTTGGCGTGCCACCTTGATCTGGTATTAGTCGCCGTCATATCGGAATCATGTCACCATGGACATACCGTTGACCCTTTTGATCCTCTTCTCGAGCACCGTCTTGAGCTGTTCTCGACAGCGTTTCTTCGACGTGCCGATGGACATCTCTATTTTGAGTGCCCTATCCTCAATAGGTTTGGGCGTCGTAGCGGAGGTTTGCACTTGGCAACTCGCTGACGATTGCTCTGGTGCGTTTGTCGTAGCCCCGAGAATATCAATGGGCTGGATAGACGTGTCCCTATTAGTTGTCGCGATGCTATGAATAAGTTTCAAGTGGTAATCAAGAAACTCCTTGTTCAAAAAGGTACCCTCAGTACAACCAGGGACCGGACACAGAAGTAAGTGTTCCCGTTTGACATGCCAGTTTAGCTCCTCTCTCGTTGCGAAGCCTGCGCTGTCACATGGACCATTGTTGCCCCAGAGACATATATGCGAGTGCCCGACGCGGAAGTGGAGCCCCAGGTCTTTTTTGCTAGAAAATTCCGACGCGCAATTCTTCCTCGGGCAGACGTACTCGGCATCCACGTCGACCGGCATATTGGCTATGTTCATGTTCCGTAAGGGACTTGGAATCCGTGATCTAGGCATTCCTACGGCGGCGAGTTCTGTGAACTCCGTCTGGGTGGGGGACAAAACCGAGTTCTGATATGACGAGATAGGAGAACATGTTAGAGAGCTGGCATTGTCAGGATAGATTGGGGGCATTGGTCCATGCGAGAAGTTGGCGATTTCGAAATCCGGAAACTTGTCGCACGCACTATACATGCCTCCCATCCCCAGAGACGAAGTTTCATTGCTGCCGTCTATCCACGACGAATTCCGTCTCGTAAGAGGATATATTAGTGGCGGATCGTCGAATTTAAAGTTGTCATTCCAACCGCCGACCGCAGCTGGGTCTACACTATTATATTGGAAGCCTCCATTGTTATGAGTCGTGGGCCGTCTAGCCTGGATGGAAGATGTCGTGGGTCTGAAAGGGGAAGTAGACGTTGGCTCAAATCTGGATGTTGATTTTCGATCAGGATTCATTTTTGGTGATAATTCAGAACGCCACTGCGGTACCGACTGAATTATCATTGCTCTCAAAAGAAAAACGAGAAAAAAGAACGGTAAAAACAATGTTAGTTTCTCAATGTATCTCCAGGGCTATCTATAATATGATGTGCACTTTAGAACGAAGGGTCTAGCAATTGGACGTTTCTCCTTTTCTCACCACACCCTACATAGGTAGGTAGCCGAAGGGATTAGATTGAATTCGAGTCAGCTTGGCACTTCCGATGGGGAGATGGGAGCCGGCTGCTGACAATAGGCCTCCTGCAGCAAGGCACCAAAGTGTCAGCGAGGCGCAGCTGCACGTAGTTCGCCTACCAACCTCATCACATGTCTATACCTATTTGGGGTGCTTTGGTTGCCTTACACGGGATTCACAGTGTTGAATTTAAGCGGTGTCTATTTTCCACACTGGTACACGGATAAGACCTGGAATCTAGGACTTATTCGAGATGGAGGCCGATGCTTCTTAATCTAGCGTGCGCTGCCTTTCTTGTTAATGAAGTAGAGCCGTGGACATCTACCTACCTACCTAGGTAGGTAAATAACAGCAAATATTCCCAAGACTGAATACCTACCTAGTAGGTAACCAGTAACTCAACTTACTTCTACACTGCCCGTTGGCACTTTATAAAATCAACCTCTAAAGTTTTCATCTTGATATAGGTAGGTAGGTACCGAACGCACCTGGACATGTACCTAGCTAAATAGTCCTGTAATGCTCCAAGGTCTATTCGATTTCTTCCACTAGAAAAAGAAAAAGAAGAGCTAATCTTTATGATGACGGCAAGGTAGAATGGATAATTACGGCTTTCATGAATTGGGATCAAGTAACACTGCATATGTGGTGTATCCCTAATATTGCCTGTCCCTACCGATGTAAGTATCGGTACCTGGTCTCTTGCATTTTCATCAGGTGGTTGACAACAACGCCGAGAGCGTCATCGTGCTGAAAAATAAGAATAGAAACTACCCTCATCAGCCTCATATAACTTGGCGGTCGATGTAAATATGTAATATATCATTAATCATTTTTAACCACCTTTGTAAACAATAACGGTTACACACTTTGACTAGTCCTCCCTTTTCGCATCTGGTCCTACAGGGAAAATGCTTCATAAAACTGCCTTGAAAAAAAAAAAACGCCACGAATGCGTATTCCTACTAATCGCATTCCATAGGAACGCCGCGCGCCCATTGCGCCCATGCACCGATATAGGTACCTCCTAGGTAGGTAGTTACAAGGTACGATATATTCGTATTGAACGCCCTAACGTCCTTCGAACTCCGACAATTCTCCTTGTCCTCTGAACGATGCCTCGCCTTCTCTTCCTATATTTCAAGATATTAACCGTAACAATTCCCACGTCGTGTCGAGTGGTTTAGGTTGTTGGCGACGATACATTACTCCCCAGTACCCTTTCTCTTGGCACGGACTAACTCGGCGGCGAGCTCGTTGTTCTGTCGTTCGCTATCTTGTATCCGTTGCTTTGCCGCGGCCCGGTCCATGTGCCTGGCTTCCCTTTCCTGTTTGAGCTTTTGCTCGAGCTCTTTTAATCTGAGCATCCACGGATAATCAGTCCCACTCTTACCGGAACTGTTCTCGCTATTAGATGTGCCCAGTCGTTCCATTTCGACTACGCCCAAAGTAGACGCGCTTCGAGTTAGAGTACCCGGCCTGGTCTTTTCGTTCACCTCCAATCCGTTCGTCTTGGTACGCGGGATCTTGGAGTCTCGACGGTGCGGCCCTGTCGGGACAGACGGCGAAGGGCTACCTCCTTCGATAAGATCTTCGTGTGAACCGTTGCTGCTGGCTTTCTTAGAGCCGGACCACCCGGAACCGCGAGTACGCGCATCGTTTGCACGCTGGAGAGTAGCGTTCTCGATCTTAAGAGCCCGGTAAGCAGTCTCCAGCTGCGATATCTTGGCCTGCGCATCAAAAGTACCGGCTGCGATGCCGGTACGGACTATAGTTTCAAGACGCTCGAGCTTCTTAGATTTAGCCTCGAGGCTATTCTCGAGAGACTGATATTCTTTCCAAAGCTCGCGCTCAACCGATTTAATACGTGATTGGAAATTGCCTACTATAGACTCGATGGTCTTGACGGCGCCCATGAGGTTCTTAGCAAAGCCGGGTAGCATGGTAGATACTGACTCTAGCGAAGGTAGAGCGCGCCCGTTTATGAGACTATTGTCGTGGGCCCAGTCGGTACCGCATAAAGCCGAGAGACGCGTCCACAAGACGAGCAAGAGATTATTGCGCTCGTTGAGCTGTTCCTTAAAAGAGGCTTCCAGCTGCGCGATCCTCTTCTTGTCGGTAGCACGACTAGTCTCGAGCTCTAGGATGCGTGTATCTTGGCTTGTGACTGTTCGCGATACGTGTTGATGCGTACGCTGGAATGTCTCAAACTGATTCTTTGTGTTACGGTGGGCTTGACGTTCCTTATCCAGCATCTCCGCTAGTCTGCGCGATTCGAGGCCGTGAGACTCGAGAAGGCCATCACGTTGCTTAATTATGCGGTCCTTCTCAAGCATGGAATTCTTAGTAGTGTCAAGCTCGCGGACGGTATTCTCGAGCTCCCTCTGGAGTTTAGCAATGGACTATTAAATCATCAGCGACGTGTTCCCAGAACCTATACTCCGTCTTGTCTGTAGCGATACGTACCTTGAGTAGACTAGACCTGGTTCCATTCAAGTCTCCCAATGCTTCGCGTAGGTTGTTCTCTAGCTCCATGAGCCTCTCCTTCCACTCGGTAGCCTCGACTTCTCTACTAGTCAAGTTCTTACGCAGTCGCCTAGCCTCGTCCTTAGAAGTGGAAACCTCGCGGTTGAGCTCGTTGAGAACATGCTGGACCTCTTCCTTCTCTCGAGTGGCTACGATCTCGCGTTGCTTTCTCTCGTTAGCGAGGCGATGCTCTATCTCCTTAGTTCGATCACGCTCCTCCCTAATCGTCTGCTCGGCGTTGGCGAGTGCGGCCTCGAGATCGCCGATTCTTATCTTGTCCGCTTCTTGCTCCTCGCGCAGGAACGCGATCTCGCCCTGGCTAGATTCTTGCTGAACGCCAAGTCGTTGAGCTTTATCGTTCGACTCGAGGAGTTTAGCTTCAAGGTCCTCGGACTCCTTGTTTGATTCGGAGAGCTCTTGTTCGAGCTGCTCTATCCTCCTGAGCTTCTTCTCTTGTTCGTCCTCTAGTCGGATAAGCGCCTCGCTCATCTGCCGCATCTCTTCCTGGAGAGCGTCGAAGTTTTCGGAACGATCTTGTAGCTCGATCTGCAACCGTTGGATTTCCTCGGTCTTTTGGTCGCTTTCGGCCTCGAGGGAATCGATCTCGTCTTGAGCTTCCTTTTGTAGAATATCGAATTCGTTTTCTAAATCGGCATGCTCCTGCAGCACCTCGTCACGTTCTGCTTGAATTTGCATCAAGTCATTCGTCAATCTCTGATATTCTTCTTCGAGAAGGTTATTCTGTTCCTCGAGTTGTCTTTTAGCCTCGCTGCTAACGTCCAACTCTTGCATGCATGTTTGCAATTCGCGCTGGAGTTCTTGCTTCTCGAATTTGATCTCGTTGATCTTATCGCGATGCTCGGCAAGCTTGTTCTCCAGTTCCTCGCGGTCAGGATCTTCTTCAACCGTCATTGTGAGTCGTGTCCGACCGCTGCCGCGCGAAGTCGACCGCTCGTGACCGCCAGCACGCGATGCCGACCGATCGAGAAGACTATCGATGGTCGAAGGCGCTGGCCCTCCACGACGCTGTGCTAATTTGAGATCTTCGATCTCCTGGTATAACCTCTCCTTCTCGCGGTTCCGCGAAGTGAGCATGGACGTCTGCGCGCCGACTTCTCTACGTAACTCGGCGTTCTCATGGCGTAGCTGCTCACTCTCTCGGCGGAGCTCGTCGACGAGCGTTGCCGATTGGCTAGATACCGTGGTAGGATCAATTTCCCCGGACAGACCAGAAACGGGCCGTGATCTCGACGGCGACGTTGGTCTGGTCTTCCGCGTAATGTTGTAAATGTTAGTTGTATGGTGCATTCCGCCACCGGGGGGAGCCGTCCCGTTGATTTCTTGCTTCATTCGAAAGATCTCGTCTCGAAGTTTTCGATTTTCGTCGTCTGATTGTTCACGACGGGCCGTCTCCTGTTCGAGAAGGTCTTTCCACACGTCAGCCTCCTCTTGGCGACCAAGACCCTCACCGACGCGTTCACCGACCCGATCCCCCATAGTCTTAACGGTCTCCGCCAGCCTCCTCTTCTCAACCTGGTTAGACATATTCTCGTTACGCAACTTCTCGATCTCGGCGACGTATTCCTCGACTCGCTCTCTCAGGTATATCAGCTCTTCCTCCCGTTCTTGGGCGTCGGGGTCGAAGGCCGGAGTCGTCGCACCGTCGGAGGAGTATCCGCTTCTGGCGGTGCTGGGTCGGTCTTCCTCGTCGCGATCGCGAAGCCGCTTCTCTAGCTCCTTAACCCGTCGTCTGAGGACTTTGTTATCCCGCTGAATAATGGCCAAGGAAGTCCTTAGCTCAACATTCTCCGAGATCATTTCCTTAATACCTTCTTCAGAGAGCTTATCTAGGCGGTCAGAGAGGAACATAACCTTTAACTTGAGATCAAAGTTCTCCTTAGACAACCGCTCAATGGTGCTGGATTGCTCCTTGAGCGTAAGATTCTTGCCGCCGCGACCGGTCGTCGCCGTGCTGGGGGCGGGCGTGTAGCTGGACACTTTCCTATAGGGCTCGCGCATCGGTGTCGTCAGCCCACCCTTGTTCTTGTACTCCTTCGCCAGGGACTCGGGCACTTCAACATTCCGGACATGCCTGGCGATCACAGTGTCGGTGGGTGCCATAAGAGAGTTCCTCTTCGCCTTCGGAGTCGCAAGGGGGTCAGCGCGGCGGTCAGGCATGGGGCTCTCAACTTCTTCTAGGGGCTCTAAAGCATCCGGTCGGATGGGGTCCGGAACTTCGTCGAATCCAGAGGCCATGCTGCCGATACTTACAGAACGAGATAGGCTCTGGCTGATGCTCCGCGATAATGCCGGCAGGGCTCCTCCGGACTGGAGGGCGTAGTCGGCACCCAAGCCGACGGTGGCGTCGCTTTCGACATCCTCGTTGGAAAGGAAGGAAGACGTGGAGGACCGCTGACTCGCGTTCCTGCTACGAAGATACTTGGGACGCTTACCAATTTTTAGAGAGTTCCCGGGCGTATGTCCAGCAGCAGCATCGGTGGGTAGCTTGCTCGAGTTCTGGTCGGATGTCTGGTGGTGAATCGTGGAAGCGTCGGCGGAGGAGTCCTCTAGGGGTACGTCAAGGGCCGAAATCTCGTGCGACGAGGCCGAGTCGTCATGCTCACTCTTCGGGTCTTCGTCGATAACTTTGCTGGCTCTGGATATGGCCCTGGACACGGTGCGAGCGGTAGCGGCAGTAGTAGGGGAGGACAGATTCTCTAGAGAAGAAGTTGTATTGCCGGGTGCGGTGGTATTGGAATCGTCGGGTTGGTGTCGCGAAGTAGACTCGTCTATCGGTGTGGAGGGATTCGCCGAGTCAGGTTTAGTCTCAGAAGGTGTTGGTTCGATATAGCGGTCTAGGTGTGGTTCGGGTTGGGTCTGCACCTCGGACGGGCGCGGTGGGCTGACTGCAGACGCGGACGGTGACGATGGCGGAGGCGGTGTGAGCCTCCTTATAGGCTTCTTCGCGGTCTTATCAAATAGGAAAGTATCGTCAATGCCAGCATCACGACTACCGACCTGGATTGGTGATATGGGAGGTATAAAGCTGGACTCGAGATTCTCTGCTAAATGTGCTCTTACTTGCTGCTCTTCAGTGACAGAGTCGAGATGCTTGTCGTCATTATCGAACCGTGTAGTCTCGACAAAGCTACTATCGTCGGGTGGCGTACGAAGGTGAACAGGATGTATGTTTTCTTTCCTGGGCAAGGGAGTATTTGCGCCTGTGCTTGCGATTGTTTCTGCGCCTCTATCCGCGTTCGGGTCCGGGTTCGCGGCTGTAGGATTCTGAATAGTTACTTCGCTCTCGGAATGCGGTGCAGTTCCCTCGATAGAGCTCTGGTCAATGCGACTTTCGTCTTCAGCCATTGTATCAGCGGCCAACTGGAAATCAAATAGGATCTCGTCTATGAAGTATCATGTATATGTCCAAACTAGGAGTAGGTAAAATGAGGATATGTAGTGTTGTATTTATTGCGAGCCGATGTCGTCAGCGGAGTGAGTAAGGACGACACGTTAGCGACGCGAAGCAATGTCATATGTGTTGATTCGTATTTAGTGAGGATCGGATTTTCATATGTTGAGGTCTGCGTGAAGTTCGAATATTGAGAGGTGGAAGGTGGATGGGGATGGTGAACGAAATTCTTTGACGGTGTTGAAAAAAAAGAATTAGCACTGGCAACCGGCAACGACAACAATGCGCTGTTGCTTCTACTGCTGCTGTTGCTGCCACTGTTACTGCTTCTTCATTCGACCAGGGTACTAGGTAGTCACAACCTGGTTGAATTGACAAGGCTAAAAATCTTATGATACCCGGATAGCGTTGATAAGTAGCCTTTTAAGCTTGTGCTCAGCAGCTTGGAGGGGCTCTTAGTGTATTCTTTTTTAGTGATTAGATTGATGTCACCGATTCATCTGTCTAATTGATGATGAAGAAGGGAGTAAAATATGGTATGATGGCACCTACATAATACGTAGTACTACCTAGGTATGTAGGTAAATATGTAGATTTTATTCACTCAGCAATTGTTACACATTTTCTTCCTTTCCCTTTCCTTCTCCCTTCCCAACTGGTACTGACAAACTGATCAATTAGACTGACGCTCAGATACTAGATCCATTAGAAGACGCGCTCGGTCCCTCGTAGGTTAGTATCTTAGCGTAAAAAACCAGGGGCAATTGTTTCTTCGTTGCTAGGGCACCAACGGGAAGATCCATAATAGAGAGGACCCGTCCAGCTGCATCCACGTCCTGTACATCAAATATATTACCCACATATCCGAAATCCCTGGAGTTTGCTATTTAGCTGATTCTATCCATGTCAAATCAAGCCTCGAAATACTCTACGATTGATAGATGTTGACTTGCAGCAAGCTGTGCGACAGATTTGAAGGCTGAATAACCGACACGTATGCAATTCACATGCTCATGATCTGATCCAAATGCCTGATCATGATGATCGATTTGCTTACTCTCTACGAAGCACCAAGTTGCACGTAATCGACATCTATGCATTGCATGTGGGTGTATGTATATGTACAACAGATAGGGTCCAGATCTATGTGTTATTCATTATGTACCTATCTAGGTATGCTAGGTATTCCCTTACAGAGTATAAACCGTCAACAGTTAGGTACCTGGTAGGTACTACGTACGTTATATAAGGGATAGGTAATTTATACCATCTCTCACACAGATCACCTACGTAGGTAGGTAGGCGGGAAGTACGATACCTAGCATCCAAAGACACGCACCCTGAAATAATTATAGTAATTTCCACCGTACCTAAAACAACCTCTAACATAAATCTTGGTGAATATTCCTATCAATATCGGGTCGTAAATTCCATTGGGTACCGACGGGTAGGAACCCATGTTAGTCAACGATTACCTGGATATTACTAGACGAATCCACATTACCATGGTACATACGTATTCATTCTCACTGTACGAAGTAATTGTCACAGTAACACTTTGCTCCTGTTGACCTTGTATTAGAGACTTCATCTTATAACTAAGTTCATTAACCTTTCTTTACACCAGCTGGCCAGACAGGTAGGTATACTGCTCCAGCATCATCCATCGATCTAGTTGGCTGCTTGTCAAGAAACCTAATACCTGATACATGCCTACAATAGATGTTACTAGGTACCTATGTAAAACGTAGAAGATAAAGAATCGGGAGCCTGGAATCATGTTAGAGTCGGAAAATAAGTAGTACCCGTGGTTCGGGTAGAGACGTCGTACCATGTGTCGAATTATAAGGTTGGAGCTATTAACTGCCCATATTGGAAAGTGGGGTTGGTTAGAGATCCCGCCGTGATCCACGGATGCATCAGGTACTTGCCCACTGTATTGTCTAGCCGTCCTCCGGGCTGTGACTTCCTTATCGGAGCCTTATCATTGAACCTGGAGTTCAAGGTTGCAGGTGACATTACGGTGCATTACTTAAGCGTAAGCCATTAATGATTAGCCACCTCCAACTTGGAAGAACAACGGCGATAATTGTTACCTCCATCTACCTATGCTCATACCTCGATGTAGGGCATGTCGTGTTCACCTATCCCAAGTATTTAATTATACTAGGTAGATATAACCAATGATGTTTAAGTGGTTTTTTCTCGCGGAGGTAAGTCGAAATAGTTGACTCGAGTACTTCGTATGTAGGTAGCGAACGGTACTGACCATCGTCGATAGGATTACGTGGTTCAACTGGTACATCTACTATTACATAGTCGAATCATCAATATCTTAGCATCTAATACGATTTCCTCTTTTTCCAGATCCTCCGATCTCCCTCTTTCCAACGAGGCGTTCGGCGTATCCATCGGACCGTTCAAGATTACAAGCACGGCCGAGATCCTAGCGAACCGTTACGAGAAGGCGAAGCTACCCGTATGTATGGTTATCATACATAAAATGAGCGAAGGCTCTAACTGGGCATGTATAGGAGATCCTACCAACTCGAGCGGGTTCCTATCCCATTTTATTGATGAATTGCGGAATCAAGCGCGAGGAACAACGACGAATTCAACAAGTAATCGACCCAAGAAGTGAATGGTAAATTTTCCTCGTCAAATAATACGAGTACTTAGTATGTTATTATACCTACCTAGTCTATCTCATTCAATTTGCCATTTAGGATTAACACTTCCGAAGTTATCTATACTATAGACTAGCATGTTCTATCTAAGGAACGCGACATGGACATATCCTACTCTACCTCCTTCATTATACATTCCAGATCCAATACGCCCACCTTACTTTTAGATACCCGTAACTTCAAAGAGGAGGCGTACAGGAAAGGCTTGTGGCAATGTTACTGTCGAATGCCTGACGTAGGCTTTCGATGCTGCTGTAGCAGCCGAGACCGCACGTCACCAAGGCGCCAAGAAAATAAAAAATGTTGAATGAGTTGAAGAACGGTTTCTTCATAAAACCCCGTCTCCATCGTTTCCAGCCATGGTCCACATAGTTGTACGTGTTGGTCGTCGGGTCAAATCTCTCCTCAGCCTCGATGATTGCGTCTTTCTTAATCCAATAGCCCACGGCAAGCCAAGCTGGAAATGTGTAGGTAAAAGATAGAATGAAGAGCGCACCGACCAAACCAACGATGTACGAGAATTGTGGCACGGTCGCAGCTATGATGAAAGCAATCGCCCAGTATACCGGAATGAGCGCGGCCCACCAGATCTTGCCCGGCCTAGTCGTCAAGTCCGGGAACTTCAAGAGCTCGTGAAATACCTCGACGTATACGACCTTAAGGCCGATGTTGCTGTATAGTACCGCCGCGATGAGGTTACTAACTAAGCTCAAGATATTTCCGGCTGTCTGGATGCCGTAGACCGCAATTCCCTGGACCACCGGATTGTACGTATACTGGCCTTGATACGAATAGATGAAGATGCCGAAGAAGATGTACATCGAATATATGAATACCTCGGCGACGAGTAGGCTTTTCCAGAAATCCATCGGGTGCCTAGGTAGATATCGAACGTGTCAGCAATTGCCAGCAAGAATCTATATCACGATATCAGTCTAGCCGACCTAGGGTATAGATACCTCATCTCGGCCAGGAGAGCCGCAAAGAGCAACGCTCCTCCGTATGCATACACGGCCACATTTAATCCGTTCAGAGAGCCGATGAATCCTTCACCACCTGTCGCTAGTCCTGGCGGAGGTGTCCCGGCAAATGTTTGGATAGGCATACCCGGAGGCAAACCGAAACTTGTCTCTATCGCGGCGTAATTCGGTCCATATCCCACAGAAGCCATACTATTCCAGTTTGGTTAGTACCGGCATTGCTCGAATTACCTACGATGGATAGGTATCCATAGGTTTGGTCACTTGCACTTACCACATCAATACGAGGGTTACTGTTAGCCAAACGGAAACATTGGCAAGCCAACCAAGCCGTTGGAGAGTTCTAATCTGTCCTAGTATGAATCCGGCAGCCATAAAAATGAGCATGCATGCTACGAAGCAGATTCCCATACTATCTCCGGAAGAGCCGCGACTAATTTGGGAGATGCTCTGCCCATTGCTCAAAATAAGAACCGACACGGTGAGCAGAAGCTGAAGGGCCTGTGCTACGTTAACGAAGTGACGAGCACCAGCGCCGAATATGCGAAAGAAGAAGTCGCCGTATCCCCTGATGGGAAACTTATTGGAATCTAGCCCGCAGAAGACCTTCCAGAGGATCCATCCCGAGCTGAAGCATCGTTCGTTAGACAGGGTAAAATGTGACGGGTACCTATTAGGTAGATGGTGAAGACAGGTCTCAACTCACTAGTACGACATAGCACCAAAGACGGTATACAGCGCGACGCCTGGGCCATAACCTAATTGGGCAAATGCCCAGCTAGAAGAGACTCAGTTATGATTCCCATATCGAGACGGTATCACTACTCACGGAGCTCCCGTCGGACCCAAGATGTCGGTCGTAATGAGATAGAAGATCGTACCCCAACTAGCAGTTCTCAGCGCTCGATCGGCGGTCTGCCGCTGGGCTTCTGTAACCCCGTAATTGCCATTGCTAGTTCTCTCCGTGGTTTGCAGGGCGCTGTCATGGTGGCCTTTCTCTTCGGTTCCCTTCGTAGAGAGGGAATCCGCTATCTGAGGCGTAGATGCGGCTTGTTCTATCGGGCCTTTGACGAATCGCCCCTTAATTATATTCTTGATTGTTCGGGGACCACGAGCAGCTATAAATCGAGCATTGGCCTCTTCTTCCTCGGCACGCGTGATCGCAGCGTAGTACATGTACTCCTCGAAGCTTACTACTCGGTCATTGAAATGTTCAATTCGTCCTACTCCATCGGCTGTAATGTTCTCTGTCTGCAAAGACTTTCGAGGATCGCCGCCTTCGAGGGCGAGGTTCGCTTGAGGAATGCTAGCCATCATAGACAAACATCACCGACCGAAATCGCGACAACGATGTGTTGAATCAGAACGACGGTTCTCGCACAAGTGGCCAACGGCTGCTTTAAGACCGCCCGCAGCATGGTAGCATCGGGCCAGCCCTGTTATCTATCAGCTGCAAGTGCTCTATCATGCGAAAGATGCGGACTCTCCAACAACACGGAAAGCTGCAGGGCCTAGAAGATAGGGTCGCCTTGACCCCTGTAACCTTCTTGTATTAGTCCTTCGCGCCGGCTTATGTTGAGCGACACCTTGGCAGAATTGGTCGACCTCTTGAAGAACAATTATGAAGCCCCCATGGCAATTCCAAATCAGAGAGGGAGCCATCTTATGGTTAGGACAGCCACCTTCGCGGCGATTACTATGTCTTGAAAATATGACGAGATCAAGATAAATCATTTGCCACATCCCACAAAGTGTGATCCTCCAGTCGCATTCAGCTCAACCAAGGTTATGGGTTACGGAGGCATCGACATTGCTTCCGGTTCCTAGAATCAGGGATTTTCAATGTGCGCATATCATAGCACATATGCTATGCTATCGAGCACTTGAAGAATCCGAATCTAAGCATGTTATCTTCTAGATTATCCTTTATTGGTCCAGATTATGTCGTGCGCACCTACTAGGTACCTAGGTAATTAGGTATGCTATGAGTAGGTAATATCATTAACAAGGGTAATTATGGAGCGATCGATTCCGTATCCCAATGACCCAATGACACCTTCTACATCTAACTTAGCCATTCAAAATCTGGGGAGATGGGCTACCCTAAAATCATTCGTGATGAAAGTGTTATAGCACACCACCAAGGCCGGCGACCCAATAACCTACCAAGACCCTAAATGGGTTAGACTATAGATTTCTGCTTCTCGACGTCTACTGCGTTTGTCTATTTGACCAAATTGTACCTATATAGGTAGGCAGTTATTAAGCACATCGCATCGCATCGAATCATGTTCCCAACCAACAGATACGACCTAGGTGCTAGGTAGGTATACGGGGCGCATTGATTGCTGCATCAATGTTTTCGGGTGGAATATCTTCCTGAAGGGCTACCAACATGGAATCTACCAACATCCCCTTTTACCTTCAAGGGGATTTCATTAGGTAATACTCACACCTAGAGCTGACTCTGACTCCTTAATATCTTCTCCAACCAGCAGGACTTCGATCACAAGCGAACGGATTAATAAGGACAGACTACCGTACCTAGCCAGAACCAGTTTCATAAAATATTTACACTTAAGACATCAATAACACAAGACATGTGTACTACCTACTAGGTAGGTAGCTGCAAGATAGCAGCCAAGACCTATGGCAGCATTATTTACATATATCTCAGTCTGCGTACCTTCTGCATTAGGGAAAGAGTACCGCCATCGGAGATATAACGCAGAGCCTCCTATAACCACCATAGTTTGTCGGCAGTAAAGAGTAAAGAGGTCGCTCGATTCCCCACCTACATAGGACCCAGGTACCTACATACCTAGGCAGCGCATAGTACTGGGTACTTAGGCACCTAGGTAGGTACTGGGTATAAGGTAGCTGAGTTGAGACAAGAGCCTAGAAGCTTAGGATTTCATTCGCTAACGAAGTAACATTCTTTGCTCCATTAGTGTCCGTCTCAGCTGGGACAAGCTTCTCGAAACCAAAAGCACGTAGGCCCTCAGCAGAAGCATATGAACGAAGGGATGATTCCGTCTGCCTGTTTATATGATCGGCCTCACCTCGACCGCCGGGGAAGTCTGGACCAGGAGTACCATTTAAGAACGCAGCTCTCTGACGGGCGATATATTTGGAATTCAGCTCCGTCACCGGGCAAACTGGGATGTACAATACGCTCGAATCCGAATCACCCTTGTGTACCTTGTCGACGGCATGAATAGCTAGATGATCACTCGTTAGTCTTCACGTGGTTGAGGGGATACCTGTCTCACTCACTGTCGCAGTGCCACACCACGTAGTCGCCCGGCTTAATGGATGGGACATGCACCATGGTATTGTCCAGATCTAGGTGCGGATGAAGAACTGTGTCTAACTCTTGTCCGTGCCCGGGAGTCGCCCCCTGAAGCTCGCTCGTCATTTCGGAACCGGTAAATTTCCAGTTTTCGGCAGCAAGATACTCATCGGGGAAGACCTGGTTGACACCTTTAACCGGCTGAAAGAACGGACGAAGTAGATAGTACGCCGTCGAAAGTTTCATCGCGGGATTCACCATAAGAGTCCCCTCGAACGGATTCGTAGTGCTCATACTGAGCCAACCTTGAAACATACGGAACATCGAGGCGGCACCTAGCCCGTTATAATTATCCATGACGGCAGGCACACGCGCACTAGCATCCCACGGATCGAAGTCTTCCCACGAGCCATCGAATATCTTATCGTATACTCCTCCAAGACCATAGCCATTCAACTCCCATCTTTCTACGCTACCCCCGTCGACGTGTGGACCCAGCGCAAAGGTGGCATCGCCGGGTTGTCTTATACGAAGGCGGTCCGCGTAAGCCAAAGGCTGCGACATTGATATGGCACTATTGGGGTCAGACATGTGCCATAGCTTCATGAGCGCCGCCTGAGCTCGTAGCAAGTTTGGATGTGACCTAGCGCGGAGCTGAGGCGCCGACCAATATAACTCGTATACCTGCGGATTATCCGGAGGGAATGCTATTCTCGTAGTTAGCCACGGATTTATGCCAACTTGGGGGGTGTATTGGTGGTAGGAGGTAGGTAGGTATGGGTAGGTATGTAGGTATGTAGGAGGTATGTATGTAGTAGGTGGGTGAGTAGGTAGGTAAATTGAGGAGGTTACCATTTGTATGAGGATTTTGCCTCACATATTCCTCTATTTCGTCCTTAAACGAGCGGGCCTCGCCTTCTGGAAGTACTCCCCTGACGACAGCAACACCTCGCTTCTTAATCTCATCGCGAAACCTAGCAAGGTCTGCATCTAGGTCCTTAAAATCGAGACTGGGAATAATCCTAGGACCTTTCTCGACGATAGTCTTGTTCTCACGCTTAAGCTCGGCCAGAAGTCTATTCCAGCTACTGACTACTCGGTCTTCATGACCATGAACCAGAGTTTGTTTGAGATCGAGAAACCGTCGAGGTAGAGGCTCTCTTGCTCCCCCAGATAACGATACAAAGGAATCAGCTATGTTACCCTCTCTCTTGGGTTGTGTGTGTGTTTGTGTCTGCGTCTGTGTCGCCGACATCGCGATCGACCGTGATTGTGAGATATTTCTCAATGCTAACCGTGAAAGAGTGCGGGACATTGGGGCGTAGACTGATCACATAATACAGATAGATAGGTAGGTAGGTAGGTACTTAAAATCAGGATATACAGAATTCCAAATGGAAAGAACACGAGAGGAGGGATATGAGACTGCTCTTGTGCCTCCTAGATACCTAGGTAACTAACTACTAAGTTCTAGTTAAGCACGATACTCACTATAATTATATAAATACCTACATCATGGAAGTCAAGACATGATTGACATCTTCATACATGTTGATGCAACTGCGGAATTGCCTTGAAGGTATTTAGCAAGACGGCTTTAGCATGGATACCATACCTGCAAGGAGGTACCTAGATGAACTCTAGACGATCATAGGCTTCGTCATCATCAGATTGCCCGCCTAAGGTTAGGTAGGTACTCACCTAGGTACCTACCTATATTCGTAACACCATCTTCTCCAATTGTTAGCCTGCTATCACCTGTTTTAGTGACCTCGAAGTTTCGGAATTTCCGTTTACATTTTTTACTAATTAGTAATAATCAGCTAGACATCTTCCTAGGTGGGGAAGCCCGGTTCAGATGGTGATCCCGACACGAATAAGAGTGACGGAGATACCATATTAGGCTAGTCCGCTTATGCTCTTTGCTGTGCTTAGCTGCAGACCTTACCTACCTCGGTATACACACGAGACTTTGACTACGGGACCTCATAGGACCTCGATGTGCCGAGAATCTGTTCCCCGTTCGCTCACGATACGGCGTAAACGTTTATCAATGACTTTGCAAGATCTTCCCTCTGTTTTATACGCATTGGTCGTTATGTAATGTCGCGACAGCATCTCGATAACCTTGCAGCTTTGTCGATAGTCGTTCTTCCTTTTTACCGCTTCTCTAAATGTTTTTTTTTTTCGAGGATGTGGCGCCGCAAATCTTCTTCTATTAAGGATTGACATTACTCAAGATCGAGTGTCGGAGTTGACATTTTTGGAGCTTTGCCGCATATTTCGGTCATGGTTAGATTTGTTGAATCCGACTCGACGGGCTTGCCCCTGAAGAGGAAACAGGTCGCTCAGGCCTGTGCTAGATGTCGGCGACGGAAGAAGAGATGTTTTCATAACCATGACGAACATCACGCCGCTGACGCGCTCAACCTGGCATCCGGGGATGGAGACGTGGCGGCGGCAGGTAGCCCAACCGACCTTCCAAGCCATCCAAGCCATCCAAGCCCTCCAAGTCCGCCAGAGGCCGAGCCACTTCCAGAACGGCCTACCTCTCAAAATAAGCAGGGGCAGGCATCTAGGTTCATCGGTGACCTAAGCCCCGAAGTTGTCTTGATGGAAGCCACAAGCCTCTGCTCTCACCGTGATGTGTCGGTGAGAGGTGGCTTGGGAATATGGCAACCTCGAGCACCTGATTCGACCAAATCTGCCAGCCCCTTCATTCTAACTTCTCCGTCGCGGCAGGCTGTCCAAGATATGCTCAAGGCATATGTATGGAGCCATTGCATAGCTTGTTGTCCTCCGCCATCAGATTACGCCGTTCTCCGTCGAATCTATCTTGAGAAATTGGATCCGATATTTCCTATACTCGGTAACCATCTAACTCTTCCCCTCCAAGATGAGATAGAAGGAAAGGTACTTCAACAGATCGTCAGTCTTGCAGCCGCTGCCGACCCAGAGGCTAGTCGCCACCTTCGCCTAAACGTTGAGGGTCCCCTCCTCTCGCGACATGACTTCTGTGATTCGTTGTCAAATTCAATCCAGACTATTATCGATGCTGGACTCATCACGGACCGAGTCTTCCTGGTTCGCATACTAGCCGCTTTGTCACTGTATATGCAACCTAGTTCACCCGACGAAGCTGATGTCCCCGCGCTCCTCAGTAGTCGTGCGGTTCACCAAATACACACCTTGGGACTGCAGATGGTCTCCGTAGATAGTCAAACAAGTAACAAAACGAGGCGTTCCCTATTTTGTTGTACCTGGGCGCTTGATCGAATCAATAGCGCATTTTACGGTCGGGCTTGTTTGATTCATGAACGGGATATCGGATTGAACATGGATGCTTGCATTGCGGAACAGGCGCCTCCCTTTCGCTTATTCCTGATGCTCATCGGTTTACTCGAAAACGTCATTGCTCTATACCGCCCGGGTAATCAACGCGAAGACGAAGTCATTGTCGAGCTGCCCATTTTCGAGCAGATGATACTGGATGCAGGGGCAGCTCGAGTCTCAAGTTCATGCTTAGGTGAGTAAACATTCGACTCCCATACCCAGTACTTACCCCTACCTAGGTAGGTAGAGGTAGGTACCTAGGTATGTAATCATAGACAAGCGTATTCATTTCAATTTCCCCTCAGCTTCGCTCGAAATATTCTACCACTCGATTGCCATACTGTCAAGTCAATCCCCATCCGAGAATCGCTCGACAGCTCTACCAGCTCCAGCAACCAATAGCCGTAGATCCTTAGCAGCTGATCGGATCACGTCTATCGTCGGACATGAGTTTCTCGGGCAGCTTTCCTATTTACCGATAATTCCGTACGGCGTTTCCCTATCTCTCAGCGTCTCGTATCGTAAGATGCGTCACAGCAATGTACCCATGTTTCGAAACAGAGGTAAACAGGCTTTCATGGCAAACACCTTTCTTTTGAAGTCTTTGGATGATACCTTCTGGACAGCAAAAGCTATGGTGGCTATGGCCGAGCAGGTTCTGCGGGAAATGGATAAAGCCGTGGCATCGATAACACAAGAAACTGGTCTAGGGGATGCCTCCAAGAAGGCCGAGTCTACGTCGCGAGGAGATCAGGAAATCGCATCGTCAGGCCCTGGAGATTCTATCATCGATTATACCATCCAAGGGAATACTGATATATCAATTCTTGAAACCATTCCGGATCTAGACGTATTTGGCCATTTCGATCCGACTTTCAACCTAGGTGCCGTAGACGCTATTCTCGAAGGAAATCTGGATTTTGGGCCTTCTTCGAATTTGTTTGAGTGGCAGCAACTAAGAGGGTAAAGCCACCAATGCCGTTAACTATCTCCTTCCTCCTGCCTCTTCCCTAAGAGGGATCTAGTTACTATACTTACTAGATACCTAGATGCTGCTAAAATTGTAGGCACCTGGGCACCTAAAACGTTTACGTGAGTCTACGGAGAATTTATGAATTGGAGTGCTAAGGGGAAAAGTGAGTGGCCTCCATGACCGGACAATGTTATAGTGCGGGGGAATTCGAGAATAGGATCAGGAGGTATGTATGCATATTTCTAACCACATTATATCCTGTCTCCTAAATTCAATACCCACCTGTTCTCCCCATATTTGTGGCATACGATATTTACAGCTAATGTTCACTGACTTATGCTCTTGTAGAAGCCTAGGTATCATCTCAAAGCCTTTGGTTTATATACCTGCCTCCCTACCTGTACGCTAGGTAATATGTCAGCACTCTCTACCCAGATGACTATCCGGACTTGGCCTCGCTCAAATACCCCCATGGGCAACTCCGACCACCACCCCACCTCACTCCAACCTTTGGAAGCGAATTCGCCCCGTCAGATACATCTCCGCAATCTCATTAGTTCGTGAGATTATTTTAAGCCAACCAAATACATCCATACCCCTTACTTACCTCCTACCTAGGTAGAAAGCTCCTCAATTGCTTCTCCCCCATGAAGTCCATCTAGTCTTAAAACACCATCACACTTCAGTTCTCGGATCGAAACTTGATAGACACCAAGATGGCGACAGCAACAGCCACAGCGATGACTTCATCACAGATCGCTAAATTGATCGATCATTCCTTATTACACCCAACCATGACCGACAAGGAAATCCTTGCTGGTCTCGAGGTGGCTAAAAAGTATAAAGTGGCGGCCGCTTGCATCAAACCATACTGTATTCAGATGGCGAAAGATATCCTCAATGGCTCAGGGGTTCTCATCTGTGCTGTTATTGGGTTTCCCCATGGAAATAGCACTACAACTATCAAAGTGCTGGAAGCGGAGGAGGCCGTCAAAGCAGGGGCACAAGAGATTGACATGGTTGTCAATGTGGGCAAAGTCCTCGGTGGTGACTTGGAATACGTGACGAATGAAATTCGGGCCATCAACGAGGCCGTTGTCAAGCACGGTGCCGCCCTAAAGGTCATATTCGAAAATGATTATCTTGAGGATGACCATATTATACGTCTATGCAAGATCTGTACCTCCCTCTCTGTCGCCTTCGTCAAAACATCAACAGGTTACGGCTTCGTGAAGCAGCCCAATGGATTATACTCATACAAGGGTGCCACATTACCCCATCTCGAACTGATGAAGGCGAATGTCGGTCCGACCGTACAGATCAAGGCAGCCGGCGGGGTTCGGACTCTGAGTGAAGTTCTGGCGATTGCATCGCTAGGTGTTGCCCGGATTGGTGCTTCAGCTACTACTGCCATAATGGAAGAAGCGATTAGTCGGGAGACTTGAGCATCTCTTCAATTACCTACCTGAAACCTACATACCTACCTAGGTACCTAGGTAGGTACCTCCTATCGGGGTATCCACTACAAGCATCAATAATATGAAATCTTTGCAAGACCAATACCAAGTTCCAAACTAATTCATTTTCTCTACTGAATTCTACAACTTTTTTCTAGATCCCGCCTCATAAATCCAACTCAGATGTACTGTCGTGAGCTATATACTACACATATCCGCTCTTAGCTGAGCTAATAAGGAGTCACCTGATATCCCTACTTGCTGGGCTCTGAAAACGTCCACCCTTCAATGAAATGGGTCAGATAGAGCATCTTGCCAAGCGGAACGCCTTCCTTCCTTAGGATGGAGTAAAGAGTATTCAAATGGAAGTACATCTGAGGCAAAACAGATTGTTGCACAACTAGTAAACGTTAGCGTCTTTGGTCTTAGGCACGTTTCTCATTACCTATCGTAGGACAAGCCGGAAGTAAAGGGAGGGATAGGTAGGTAGGTAAGTAGATAAATATATAATCGCTCAGTTCACATACTATCGATATAGTTAGTACTCCGGTCAAAAAGGGGGAAATGCGAGGCTTGAAGAAACTTGAACGAACCATTCTATAGCAGGAGCTTTGGTTGTTGGTTTGCCGACGGAAAACTCGATGATTTCAGCTTCTCGTCCGTTGATGGCCTCGGGCTTGACAGTTGCCAGTTCGCTGAGGACTTCCTGGATTTGAGCATAACTTTCCTCCAGCGAAGCCGGCTTCACACTGTATTCGATTTTACTCCCAGCCAGTAACTGGAGGACCTTCCTGGAGAACAAGACTGTGATCCCGATTTGTATCGTTGCGGCATACATGTCAGGGATAAGTTGGGCTTTGAGAAGCTCATCTATGGATTTGCCGTTCTCCTTGGCGTATTTCTCGGCATCTTTGAGTACGTCTACCTCAGTCTTGAGGATCTTGGTCAAGATCGGAATAGTCAGGTCGTATAAGGATGCCATGGCGATTTCTTATGGAGTGTTCCGTGTTTTCGTGCTTTCGTGTTGGATGTTGGATGTTGGATGCTGAATGTTGAATGTTGTAGTTCTTGTCTTTGCGAGGTTGTCTGAAAAATCACATCATTTTTAGTGCCAGATTGTCCACCTTTATATGAAATCCAGTGTCAATGCAAGGGAGGGCTGATAAATCGTGACATTAGGAATCAAATGATATCGATGAAGCCATGGTACTGAATGTCTATGCAAAGTGGCCGTCCAGAGACCATATTGGTCATTCCATTTCTAAGCTACGGAGTAATAATTACACCGCTCACGGTCACATATTATTAATCCTGTGATAATCGTATCTTATTCCTATATGATCCTCACTTAATTGGTTTTATTCTCATCTCGCTTGCGTACGATAGAGAAGTTGCGTGAAGCTGCGTGAAGCTGCGCTAGTGTTAGGAGGATTGTATAGTGATTCCAAGTGTATGGTGTATTTGGAATTTTTGGACGTTACACATCTGTACGCCCTTTAGGTACCGTGGAACATTCAGAAATCGAAATTCCACGTACGAATAAATTAATAGAATTTACCTGGAATGCAGCGTAAAATAAAACTATGGGTATCTTAACTAGGTAGGTACCTACCTATAGACTGTGCAGTCCTACGCCCTTGTCTGAGCATCATGGGTCAAAGCACGAAACCCCGCAGTCTATAGGGTATCAAACAAAGCCGAACGAGAAAACAATGCGCGACCAATCATACCCATGTATTTTGCTGCCTAATCGCAGCATACCATACTAGCCCATAACTAGCCCATAACCGGCATACCAATTCTAATCCTTCGTGATCCATAGCCAGATCACCGGCTTCTCTCCCGGCCGACCAGTTCGAGTGCGGTCCCAGCCCATGTCTCTGAGCGTCTGGCTCATCGTAGTCTCCTTATCGCCCGAAAAGGTAACGCCTCTGTACCACTTGCCGTTACCCCCCTGGATCACCTCAGTGATTCTGTTCTTCTTTGGGCAGGGATTAACAGCGCCGAACCCTACTAGCAGCTCGGCCAAAGTGGTATTTACGGGGACATGATATGCACCAAAGTGCATCGACATGCCCTCCGGAAGTCGCCAGGGCGCAGTTGACGACTTGATTACGTGGAGCTTGGTATGTTCGGGCGGGAAGAAATAATTGTAGCCGGGTTCGCAACCAACACCACCGGTGGAATTAGTCAAGTTCAAGGATGGTGCATCCATGTTGACAACGGGATGGGGGTTTGGTAAGCGATTCTCCTGGCCAGGAAACATTGGGACGGGGTGATTGTACCCGTTCTGGGGGATTACGTATACCGGTCCTTGGTTATTGGGTCCGGGAATGGTGCCGCTAGCCGGTTGAGCGAAGGGGCCACGGTTCATAAAGTAGCCGGCGTTGTTAGAGGCGCCGGCAAAGGTAGGTCCGACTAGTCGTCGGGGGTTTGCGTTTGGGTCCACACCAAACTGCGGGTTCCAACCCTCTCCGAACGTTTGGGTTGCCATCCTTGGTGGATAGACTAGGAAACGCTGGGGATTGTTGATGGGAAAGGGGAATTGGTGATTGGAGGTGTATGTAGGGGCCTCTCTTCGATGTTCAGTATCACTCCCGTCTTCTGACTCGTTGTTGGTGCTAGTGTGATGCGCTACAACGTCGTTGTCGTTGCTGTTACCGTTACCGTTGCCGTTGTTTTCGTTGCTATCAACAACTGTAGTAAAATATAAATTAGTTGGAGTTAAAGAAACAGAAGTTGGTTGATCATAGGATGTATATATAGACTTTCGAACAAATGATTACACAGGCACGATGAGTAAGGCTACATGAAGGAAAAGTCTAACTCACTAGTTGTGTGAGGTGTGTCAGGCTCTGATGATTCAATCGAGTCAGGGAGCGTAATATCTCGACACCCGAGAATGATCTGGATGCGGTATAGTTCGCGGTTCTTGTTGTCGTAGAACGAACCGATAACCAGCCAAGCCCAGGAGCGTCGCGTTGGATGGATCCAGAAGTACTGTCCGATAACAAGCTCTGTAGCTGGGCTAGGCAAGTCAACAACAACTTGTCGAGAATCCAGCTTGAAGACGGTCTAGCTGAAAGTGTAGCTAGGTAGCTAGGTAGCTAGGTCGAGTGAATCTTTGGAAGGCTCAGTGATTTTCAAGTTTAGTGACAAGCATGGAGAAAGAAGGAATCTCATGGGGGAATCCTAACGGTGTTATATAGAAAAGAGAAGGGCAATGATGTCCCAACCAAAACCAACTTCATGACTAGCGAAGTGCCTAGACGATGCACTGTTTGTCCCAACAATAGTACGCATGGCTCATGAGGGACTGTGTTCCTCTAGGACATCAGACAGTAGGGCAAGATGGCCGAATAACTGTGGACGTCAACATCCAAAGGCATAAGCCTATTTGAGGCTAACCTCCCGTGTATAGGATTAGGGGTGGAGTTTAGGAGGTGAATCCCTTTGTTCCCCAGCTGCCCAGGTCCCCACCAAGTCATCTCCCACCTAAGATTTTCTCGAACAATCATCGCGTCTCTTGGGACGGTAAAATCTGGCCTATTGTTCACTGCAATTGGTCCCAAGGAACCCCTGTGCGAGATCACACCGTAGATCTGGGTCCCGATGAAATCCAACGCAGGTTTCACCAATTTGAGTGAGCCGAGCCGTAGTTCCCACGCGTTCAGGTAGTGTACTGTATTGTACTGTACTGTACTATGCCTACTATATCGGAATACAGCGGGGCGAGATCTGGTATTAATCTTGGTCGGGAACCCGAATAACAGATCGACCCAATAGAAATAATTCGTGGAATGGGTAAGGCTTAGCTCAGGCAGCCTAGGCTATCAGGTCAAGCTCTGCTCGGTTATGATAGTGGATCAGAACCATTTAGTCACATGGAATTATTGAAGAAAAAAAAATAGTGACGCATCTTCGTGATCTAGGTTACACAGTGAATGTTGAGAGTTCGCTTGCGAAAGAGACGGACTATGGCGAAAGTCATGCTGGGTCTAGCATTGGCGACATTTGAGATGAGAAGCCTGTAAGTGATCTTGGCATCCATGACACCAATTCGAAGGTGGAACTATTCCGTTGAGGATGGGGCTCAAGCCATCATTTTGGAGGTGGCACGAGACGACACATCCGATGGAATGTTTGCCTGAGCTGCCTGGAAACCACATAGTTTGGAAACCACATCGTAGGTAAGATCCGAAGGGAAGATCGGGCGGGTTGCTGCTTTGCTGGGTCGCGGGTCGTGGTTCGTGGTTCGTGGTTCGTGGGAAACGTTTTACCCTGTGGCACGTGCATCGTTAAGAGCCTTACGGCCCTTACTAGTACTTAGTAGGTGTTGCTACTAGGTAATAAGTACCTACTTGGTAGGTAGGTATGAGCCATAGAATAGACAACCTTGGGGCTAGAATGTTTGTCGGTAGGTATCGTGAGATGTAGCTAGAAGGTAGGTACCTAGGGTGTGCATATAAGAATCTTAGAATCTAAATGTTAGAATCTAGAATCTAGATGCTTGCACCCGTCATCGGCCTCATCCAGCTAAGCCAACTTCATCTTCGACTAACCGGACTGTACCGCCCTTCTTCCCTTCAATCGTATCGCTCTTGATCCGCCTTCGCTTCTCAACCTCGGAGACTAAACCTTTAAGGTAAACCTCTGCTTGCACGGTCGCGCTATAAGCCATGGCGGTCCAGCTCCAAACATTTTCCCTTCTCGGGTCGGCTCCGGCTGCGAGCAAAGTTCGGAGAACAAGTAGGTTTCCATTGCTGCTGGCAAAGTGTAGAGCGGTGTTCCCGTCAACGTCAGAATTCTGGACGGCATTCTGAGCACCTCCCGGGGCATAGGTGAGAAGAATCTGCAAGACAGTATCGTGACCTCCCATGCTAGCCTCCATGATGGCATCTCTACGTCGGGAATCGGGGCGAAGAATGGAGGTGGGATCGTTCTCGGCGAGGAACAGAACGACTTCTGTATGACCGGCGGCTGCGGCTAACATCAGGGCTGTCTTATGATTGTCATTGAGGGCGGGCGTCGGAAGTTCGTGGCCAAGACTAACTAAAGTCTTGCAGACCTGGAGATGACCTAGACTGGCAGCGAGATGGAGGCTTGAGTTGGAAAGACCGGTAGCGGAGAAATCGGGATTATGGATCAAGCCCGGGTGAGATTTCACGATGCGACGGACGAGAGAAGCATCGTTGCTCTGGACTGCTCGCCGTAGCCGCTTAGACGGCTCAATCCTAAGACGGATAACACATGTCAGCCAGCTTTCGTAAGCGGATCGCGGGGACTCGGGACAGGTTCATCTAGGTATTGATATGTGTACTAACATTATGCCACGAATATGATATGTCGACGGTTATCTAGATTCTAACTTGAGTCATGGAAATGCGGTAACAGCGGTAACGGGCATTCGGTAGGCTAAAGATCGCGGTACTACGACGTCGCCGACGCATAGACCGGCTTAACCTTCTAATGCCGTTGAAACTTGAAAGTGCCAGGGTGTAGATAAGCAGACAGGCAGGTGCTTTAAGACGGAACCGGAACTTTAATAATTATGGACAATTTGACAAATCACCGAGACGCGAGACGCAGAACAGAAGACAAAGCAGGAGACGAGGCGAGAAGATTGATGATGAATTCAAGAAGATATCGTATATGTAAGATCTAGGTTTATAGGCTTCTAGGTGTCGCTCTTGTCGTATCTATATTTATAATGTATATTGATGTATCTGCGTAGCAAGGATCTGACGTCGTTTAACATAGATTGCCTACGCTTCCGTAATGGAACCTTCCCCAAGCTCCAACCCGCACTCTGGTTTAACCAAAACGGGTTACGTAAAGCATAGCCAGGTACATTCGTACAGTACCGACCCCGCATACCCCTCCAATTCCTACACACCTCACGATATTCATACTAACAAGCAATGGCAAACACCATAACAAACTTTGGAAAATATCAAAACTTCTTCGATTTATTATACACTCACCGATTGCACAACTAGGTCTCAAGTAACAAACAGCGAGTAATGCTAGTAATGCTGAATATACCGTGCAGCGAGATCGTCCATGGATAGGTACCTTGTATCTACTGGTAGAAAAGCAATACAGCCTCAGAGCACAGCCTACCTACTGCGCCCATGCTTCGGGATTGTTCAATAAAATACGAGTCACTATATCCCGTCCACAAACTACATGATAGGCAATCATACAAACTTTGTTTCGTAGACAATTACCTTGTAGGTAGGTATTCTTCCCGTTTATCTAGCAATATGACATTTGGTGCACAGCCTTTACACTGTTGTGTTCCCTCACTTTCTCTACAGCTACATTTACTCGTTTTCATGTAGCTATATTATGTTCACCCATATGTTCGGCATGATTTTATTACTGCGTAAACAGACAGAAGTCGAATTGAGAAATACCGTTATCCCGATACGCTCCTGTCGTGGAATTATCTTCTAGCCTGAATTGAATCAAGCCGAGATGTTCATTTCCAACAGAGAACATATTTCACTGTCTGAATGGGACGTCGATGGCATTACTGCAGCAATTGCACCTACAATCTTGATCTCTGAGAAATAGGCTTCTGAGGTTGTCGAGAGAGATGCTAGCTTTCCTTTAGATCTACAAGGCGCTTTTCACGGCAAGACTGTCCAATACCTAATATCCGCGATCAATGGGTAGTTCATTGAATTGTGAGGTTGACTGATTCGCTAGCTATTGGGTGGTACTCGTTGCTTTCGGTGTATGTCGTATCCTATATTTCGATCTAGGATTTTCAAAGGAATAAGAGATATTGATGTGACTTTATCAATTATATAACGACCAGGCGGGTACCCATTACTACCTAGTACCTTTCAGCCTGTATGATTCCTGTACGGAAATTCCCGTGGATGTGACATGGATGATGGAGATCTACTAGGGATCACCCCGTCCTGATCCACCATAGTGGACGGAGTTAATGTATGGAAACCTTCTATCGTTATTCGAAGACTTTACGATATCAGGTCGCCAAGAATGTTATACTACACCTGAACCGAGGTATTGGACAGAGAAAGCGAAGTTAAGGTACCTAGACAATGGAGATGGATATTCGAAAGGAGTTTGCTACAGCGTAAGTGGTAACGATTAATGTAGGTAGCTAGCTAGTAGCTACTGGGTACCTAGATAAGCTTCACGAGCGTTATATTGTAGATGCAGCAGGATATATGAATATATCAGTGATACATGTTTTCTAGAATTGATCTTATGAGACACAGATATTTCTCAACTTCATGATACCTACCTCCTACCTGCTAGCCTTTGAATCCACAGAGTGGGCGTTGAGACACGATGGCTACGATTGAGCTGATGGTCGTCAATAGTCAACTAGATCTCTATCTATAGGTACATACCTAGATAGGTATCAGGTAGGTAGGTAATCCAAACTCGATAATAGGAGGTCATGAATTAGTATAGAATAAAAAAAAAGTTAACACGCAACATGGACATCTATCAACCCGCAATGTTTTAGCGGCTGAAGTCAATCGGACCGCTCAAGTTTACGTGGGCTATCTCACATCTCGCCTACCGGACTTCCCGATCCGGATAGCCAGGGGTAAGCCTTGGTTCTCCCCTGGCCGTCTGGCTGACCCATCAATCGCCTTGGCTCCCTAGTAAATCTTCTTGTATGAGGGGAATAAAGACGATTGACTAATGGATTGAAGGGAACACAATGCTATTACTTAAGAAGATGCTATAGTAGACCGCCTTGACGGGGATCATGAGTCGAGAGTTGTTGGTAGATTACCTAGGTGGGCGCAGCGAAAGGAAAGCATCGGGTTGACACGGCCTTTCTCCTGACCGAAGAAGATCATCGTGGGATTGAGGCTCGTAAATTGACGTAAATTGTCAAGTTTTTATGCGATTCTGTATAAGCCGATGCCGGTCATCATCGGAATGTGAAGGCATTATGCATGTAGCAGTTAAAGGGAAAGACGAAAACGAGATAACTGCTCAGGTATCGTGTTCATAAGAAGAAAATGTAATGGTTCTAGGTACAGCGCCTACTTGCCTATTATTTTAAGGATAAGACGGATGGGGTTTGATAGATAAGTAGCCCTGGAAGTATCCATATGGATTTGTTAGGTCTTAAAACATTTTACCTAGGTGTGTGCTACAGCGCATGTAGGCGAAGACCCGTTCTACCATTGTGGCTGGTTTAGGTAGGTCTAGGGGGTTTTCTCCCTCCACCTCTCCCCATTTCTCCATTTCTCCATGTGGCTATCCGCATTGATTAGCTGTAAGCCACCGCTACTACGTAATATGCGGCACGCGTCCAGGCCTTGATATTACTAGCTAGTTCGCCGGTAGTTCCATCTAAACCCCCACTACATAATACGTCGTCGTCTTAGCTTTAACCTTTGGAGGTAGGTGGGCGCGACAAAGTCACAAAGGGGAAGAAAACAAGCGAATAGCTCCGCTGTCATGTGCTAAGAAAAAAAAATGATGACCTACTAGGCCTTTAAAGTGTAAGACCAACATCAAACTCCTCACTTATAAATAATAACAACTTCGGGACATCTGCAATACGCATCATCTACTTCGAACGACTCTTACCGGACTCTACTAGGCCAACTGGTTTACCTGTAAAGACAACAGAAACGCTCGACAAGTATCCTTCGACCAGCACACTTGCGAAAGTCGAATTTATCTTTTCTTTAGACAAGTAGAACAGACGTACCTATATATCGACTTATCAAGTTTCAATTCGACTCCCTTGCCTCTATCAGACAAAGACAAAGACAAAGACAGGGACAGATAGAGACGGGCAGAGACAAGCAGAGACAGACAGATAGACAGAACCTGGAAAGGAGAAAAGAGAAAAGAGAAAGAGAAGAGAAACTACTTGTCACAATGAACACCTCAATGGTCAAGTCTAGATTTCTGTCTCACCCCGAGGACCTCGGCGTCGTAGCCGTTGGTTTCTCAGGTGGTCAGGTATGATGATTAACCATCAATTCCCTCCCGCTCGTCACCTGGATATGTCAGCAGCTTACAATGTTGGTTTCGTTCCATCTTGTAGTGTAAACCTGGTGTTGACGCCGCCCCCTCGGCCCTAATCGAGTCCGGGCTACTCACACAATTGCGAGATGAGCTCAACTACAACCTCCACGGCCACGACACCGTTCACTCGTACCGCGATCTTGTTCCCAAGGACGACCCTCCTTTCCGAAACATGAAGAACCCCAAGGCCGTAAGCAGCGTTACCGAACGTCTATGCGACCAAGTATACGAACAAGCCAAGGAAGGGAGAATGGTCTTGACACTAGGTGGTGACCACTCCATCGCCATCGGCACCATCGCCGGTACCGCCAAGGCTGTGCGGGAGAGACTCGGTCGCGAGATTGCCGTCATCTGGGTAGACGCCCACTCCGACATCAACACTCCCGAGACGAGCGGATCCGGCAACATCCACGGCATGCCTGTCAGTTTCGTGACAGGTCTCTCGAAAGAAGAGAAACCCGAATACTTTGGCTGGTTGAAGCCTGAACACATGCTCAACGTAAAGAAGCTCGTATACATCGGCCTACGTGATGTGGATGCCGGTGAGAAGAGGATCCTTCGCGAGAATGGGATCAAGGCATTCAGCATGTTCGACATTGACAGGTACATCTCCCAATTTCGTTACCTCACAATCTCACCGTCCCCTTATCTCCCAATCTCACCATCCACCTATCTCACTACCCACCTATCTCCATATTTCCCTTAGTTTTGTTCCGGAGTCTAAACTGACATGATACTTCGATATAGGCACGGAATCGGTCGCGTCGTCGAGATGGCGCTAGCACACATCGGCGCCGACACGCCTATCCATCTCTCGTTCGACGTCGACGCGCTCGATCCGATGTGGGCGCCCAGCACGGGCACACCGGTTAGAGGAGGATTGACGCTTCGAGAAGGAGACTACATCTGCGAGAGCGTGCACTTGACGGGAAGTCTCGTCGCCATGGATCTCGTCGAGGTCAACCCGAGCTTAGCGCCGGAGATCGAGTTGGGAGCGCACGAGACGGTTCGCGCCGGGTGTTCGTTGGTGAGATGCGCCTTGGGCGAGTCATTGCTATAAGAAAGCCTGATGAGGGGAGACTTCGCCAAGGGGGGGTGGGGGATGGGGGGATTAGGGATTGACAACGGGGAATTACGCATCGGTTTATATTAGAGATGCGACTAATGCCGTTTTGCAAGATCACACCTAAGTTAGGTCTTTGCGAAACGATGTTCATCATAGCTGGGGTTCGCTACGTGTACGAGTTACGCACACTTTTCACAGGAACATAGAACTGTGTTGGCTAGACGGCGGCCGTCTTTACGAGATACCATTACTAAATAAATACCAGCAAAATGGATGAAATAAAAACAGAATATCGTGAAGTTTGAAGTGGCCGTGATGGGAGCGTCGCATTTCTGGTATCGACGCTGGTAGGTCATCGAAGGAATTGAAGTACAGGCAAAGAGATCTTGGGTATCGAATGATTTGAATCATTCTCCCCAGAAATCAACATATGAGGTCCACAAGTAGGGCAGAGGTTTATTGATCCATATAGATACCTAGACCATCCAGGGGTAGTCCGAATTCAGAGTAAGGAGACTTGGCAAAGAGTGCTCTCTGGTCTTATTCGTCCTTCTATCACACAGTATCATTTCCAGCCACCATGATTTTTCAATGATTTTCTAATCAAGCGATAACCTTGGATAATAGGTATACTGGGTAATTACTAGGTAAATGCTAGGTACTGTACTGTGTTTTTCAAATTCCTCAATTATTACTTAAAGCTCATGTTCACGATTAGACTCCATCGCATCCTTGGATTGATCGACCCAAGATACTCACGATACTTACATACGTTCTTACTGCCCATAAAAGTAAAGTATTGGTCCTGTCGATCCTGCACTTACCCCGGTTTTATTCCCTGATATGGCTCGTGTCCCTACAGGTTTATAGTGCATACGCCCTGTACAGCTTGCATATGACAGCTATCTCCCCCTCCCATCCCGCTCTGCCGCTCAAGTCTCGCAGGTCTCGGTGGGATACTCAAGACCGTTCCAAGGTTACGAGTCTCATGTGTCAGGTAGCTGCATACATATACTACCCGGCGTACCTAACTCTATGATTCGACTCTATGATTTGTCACTTGGGACATAGTACGACGACGACTAAGAGAGCTTCCACGTATCTCGCCCTGTGCGAGCCTGTCTGTCTGCCTGTCTACCTGTCTACCTGTCTGACAGCGCACAGCGCACAATCCAAAGTGGATGCGCTCCCAATCCTAGTCCTGGCAGCCCAGTCTTAGCAGCCCAGTTCCAATCCCGCGGGGCTCCGGCACATGCATATCGCGCAGACACTCAAAGAAAAACAGACCCAATCATTCCTCTAGTGAATACTAAATAGGTCGACCGCCTGGATAAAAAGTAGCTCTGAGTTGGCAGTCGCTGTGGGCTCTGCTTCGTCAGGCTTCTTAACTGACCTTATTAGGCGACACCGAGAAAAGAATTCCCAATTGATCCAAGCTGTGCACGAAGACGTCGTTGATCGTTGGTCCGTTCGATATATTCCCGTTAGAGCCGCCGTTGCGATCCAATTCCACACCTTGGCAGCTACAAACGCTGTTTCTGTTTACTTTCCAACGACTTTCCGACGACTTTCCAACAACTTTCCAACAAGTTCCCAAACTCCATCACCAACCGAACGAATTCGGGCAGCGCGTAAATATTTCTTATATCTAGTTATCTAATACGTACCTAGTATTGAGTACCTAGTAGATATCGGAGCGACTAGCAACTATTGGAGCAACGGGTAGACTTTGAGAACTAAACATATTCGACTTGAGGAAGGAAGACAAAACGTCATCGTCGAAAAGAGTGCGAAATCAGTACTTTGTCAATGTGGTGGATTCCCCCGGGTGAACAGGCGAAGTCAACAAACTACCGGATCCCTTCCAAGGTTCTCATTACGAAATCCTGACGCGAAATAAGACGAGGACGACTTCGACTTCGACTTTGATTTCGGCTATCCCTCTGACGTTACTGTAACAAATAAGCGCTCGCGCATACGGAAACAAACGTAGCGATGGTCGCGTCAATAGTCACGGGCTCCGGCTCACTCGTCTACGAACGTCGCATAGCGCGCGTCCATCGATATCACTGGCCTGCTATTCAACTGAATGTTTGGATGCTCGTCATGCTTGCTGCTTCATGCTGCATCATAGGCGTCTTCGGAACATTTATCGGTGTTCAAAATCAATTAGACCTCTACATACCATGGTGAGTGACCTTCAATGGCATAGGGTTGCGTGATTATATCACGGCGAATAAATTCTGATTCTTGTTCATTTCCCTCTAGGTATTTCCCATACTTCATTACCGTCGCCGCTTTGATGATCGTCTATATCGCGGCGCTTCTATGGCTGATAGCCCAACGACGACTCCTACCCTCTATCGTCATTCTCGGCTCCTTCATGTTCTTCGTTCTTTGGATGGTCGGCCTCATAGTTGTCAGCATAGAGCTATGGGGACCCGTCGGATCCGTGAGCTCGAACTGTAACCTCCTAGTCTGGAGTGAGTCGCCGATAGGGAATAATCAAGCAACATTGGCATGGCTCGAGCAAAGGTCCATATGTAAGTGAAGCCGAACCAAACACCGTAACTGGGCTGGGGTGGATCTATCGAGATAGTTGAGCTAATGAGATATTATTAGGTCAATCGTGGCAAGCGGCCTTCGCGTTTGCGCTGATCGGATGTATATTTTTATTATGGATTATCATTATGGCTGTACAAGTCTTCTATGACGACGCCTAACTGCGTATTTCACATGACGTATATCTTATGGCGAGGAGTAATCATACTTGTTTACCTACCAAGGTATCCACCAAAATTCTTCCGCGTGCGAATGATTTTAAGATGTCTCCGAGTGAATCACTCTTTGGTCAATATCGACATGATGATATTGATACGAAAAGATGAGTAGAGGCGATGGTGACCAGGGAGGTTTGCATGAGGTAGATGGTGAGTGGGGTTTATGAATATTCACGACGATTACCTAGGTGTATAATGAATTGGGTCGTGGATTGGGTTGTGAATTGGGTTGTGAATTGGGTTGGCGCTATATTTAAGGATTGGACGTGGATTATATTCCCTTATTCCCCAGGAGGGACCTAGGAGAGACCTAGGAGAGATCCAGGAGTCACTTCAACCGTTTAATGGTATCGGTTGGATGTTATATCGAGGAATAAGATTATGACTTGAGTGCTTGTGTCTTAATAAAGGAGTAAAATACTCCTACCTAGGTACCTAGGGATGATTAAGATACTGTTTTACAAGCTCATGCTACCTTCAGAACACCAGAACCTTGAAAAGGACCTTTATTCATTATAGAAGTACATGACGAGTTGATACCAATGCTTCATATTGGATCCCATCGACCTTCGCCTGTCAGCCTTCCATCTTCTACAGTCTAGTTCGAAATTCTAGGGTCGACCTTGTTTCTACAATATACGATTAGCTTATTGACTGGTAGGTAATTCATTTAGAGTGACTTACCCAGTGGTCTTCTCGTACAGCTGACGCGCCTTGTCTGTACCAGACTCGAGCTGTTGGTCAGAGAGTTTCCCACCCTCCTTCTTGTTGAGAAATCCAGCAACTACAGAACGAATATTTGGTTAGATATGATTGAGATAGACCTAGTCAAGGAAGAGAACCTACCTCTGTCTCCGATATCTTTCTTCTCGCCAGATTGTTGGGCGTTGTTGGTGTTGCCAGTGGTTTCTGACTTGCCAGCGAATTTCTTTAGTGCATCCATTTCGATAAGTAGTTTAGGTGAACGGAGTTATTCTAGTAAAGTCTTGTATCTTAGAAGATTATACGTGTAACGAGGTGTAGAGTGAAATAGGTACCTATTCATAAGTCTAGCAGTTAAAGTAGATATTTTCAAATCATCTAGAAGATCCTGAAAACCGGGAGATCTACTTGAATTCTTATACTACAGGTCCTGCACGCCGTAAGTTCTCGTTGCTTCCCATTATCGACAAAGCTCACCTCACCGGATTCGGTATACTTCGACATGTGCGATGACGTCTACTAGACATAATGTACGTAATTCGGGTCCCTTGCCGATCTCGATCGGACCCATCAAGAAATGGTCCCAGCTGGAGGTTACCTACGCCTGCTATAAGTGGTTGGTAGTACCTGTTTTTAGCCTTTGTTCCGTCTTGTCTCGGTTTAGCCCGGTAAGTCCGGTCAGAGCAGGATCTCAATAGCGAGACGTCGATGCTGTATGGCTTAAATTTACCCGAGACATTGACTAATGCACTGCATATTACTAGGTATTACCTAGGTGGTGGCTTGTATCATCTACCTAGGTAGGTATAGTAGGTGTAACCTGGAGGCGTTGAGCCACAACGTCATACTTTACTGGCAACTACTGCATAGTCGCAGAGTAGGTACCTAGCTACCTTGTAGGTGGCCCCCTAGCAGCCTAGTAGTATCTTTGCTTTGTCTTCCTAATGTGGGTGGAGTATGCGATACTCCAAATCATGACATATGAGGCATCCCTGGCAGCCTGGCAGCCTGGCAGGAGGTGTGAATATCTAGTATCTACAAGTTTTGGCCATTTTAAGCTACCGTTATGAGAAATGCGTGCATTAGCTTCGAGTGACATTTCTTGTTTTACTGCCCAAGAATATAAATCCTATCGTGTTGCTCATCACCCCGCTCCATCCGCCCGAACATGCTCTTTTGAATGTAGCAAGAGTACAACAAGACTGCAGGAGTATAACGAAACTGCAAGAGTGCAACCCGAGCAGCAGATATACCAGAGACGCAAGGAAGAGATGCTTAGGGTGTCAGCGTTCTACATCGTCACATCCAAGGCTTCACACTTAAATCATATCAACCGCAAAACTCAAGATACTTAGTATCTAGTGAAATCAACGCCCTGGCGTCTTAATCATTGGTCCAAATCCAATCTAAGGTAAGCAATTAAACTAGGCGTGTCTCGACGACGGAACGATGGATGTCCTATTCGAGCTGCTTCTCTCCCTTAGAACAAGAAACTCTAGGCGGGAGGCCTCGTTTTGCTACCAAGGAATGTCGCTTGGAAAGACCCTTCAATGCTGGTCTTAGAATACACCATCCAACGCCGGTGCCCAGGGCCGATCGGCCGCATGCTAAAGCTCATCCGCGGATCTGCTTAGTGCCCTCCACGTCGGCATTCCCAGCCGTTTCCAGCCGTAACCCGCCTAAACGCCGTCCTCATGGTATACCGACGATGCTATACACTATAGCTCGTCGTCTTGGGGTATGTGTCATATTGAACTGCTCCCAGCACACGCTTTTCTCTCACGACACCAAATCGTCTACCCAGCCCATGCTCTCTCTCCTGTCGTCGGCAATCCGCGCGTACTCGAGCAGTAATCGTAAGACGTAAATCTGCATGTCTTCCTTCCTGAGCACCTTCTCCGCCCAGGCCTTCCCGTCCATCGCGATCCTCTGCGCGACGTCGTCGTGGCCGGGAACGCTGTCTTCGTACCCGAGGAAATACTCCATTATGCCGTAGTAATCGCCGAAACGGTTGTCCATCGGCACGAAATGCTTCCACGCCACTAGGCGACTATCGTGCCACTCGCGCCAGAGCGTGCTCTTGATGGGAAGACTCGTACTCCGCAGGAAACCCAGGTACCGTCCCGAGAAGGAGTTGCCATCGATATCAGGGAGATACTTGTAGAAGAACTGAACTGCCAACTTCTGTCCGAGTACGGTCTCGTAGTGCTCGTCGGTGTAGATGCATTGCCCGTCTTCCTGCTGCGGCTCTACGTCGGGATCGCAGAACAAGTCGGTAAAGCCCACATCCGACCACTGCGACACCCAGGTCCCGAGCCGCTTCTCCTTCTGAGCCGCGAGACTATAGGTCGTACTGGGTAGCTCAAAGTTGGTCGGCTGCTCCGCCCCCTCCTCCGCACGCGTAAGCTTTGTCGCGTTGTTCATCGAGACGAACCGATGTCTCTGAAAGCCCTTCCAGTTAGATTCGTTGTTCCGGCCGCCGGTAGCCACGCCACGCCATATCACGGGCCCGATCTTGTTATCCCAAGAGGGACCGTGGTCGTCTCCTCCGGTAAACCGCTCTTCCTCGTTCCAGTACATCGGAGCAGGAAGGAGAATCTCGTTGTTCGTGGCCAGCTTGCTTCCCCCAAACATCGGGAAGAGGACTTTCGTAGCGGACGTAGTTAGAGGTTTAATAAAGATACCCTCCAGTCCCTGCAGATCCGGCTGGTGGCAGAATTCGGACGAGAGCGAAGCGTTGGATACGTATCCCTGGTACTGGTGGGGTGTCGCCCACGACGGGGCGAAGTTGGGCTTGTCGTTGAACGAACTCATCGCAGGCTGCTTCCGAGCCGGGCTATCGGGAGGACAGCCTCGACGAGCGATGAGCCAATACGGATCTGACACTGGTTAGCAAAACAACTACACCTCACGTCGATATTTAGTTTAGTAGTAGAAAAGCGGATGACCCTACTCGTATCTTCCCAATTTTTATCAATGGTATGAAGTGACTTGTCATTCTCGTCGTGCTTTACGGGAGGCGGTAATTTTTGGAATTCCTTGACGATGCTCTTCGTCGGGCTGAGAATCCGACTTTGCTTTTCTTTCTTCATGTTGGCGTTGATATCCTCCCACGGAACAACGAGCCGAGGTTCGTCCATTGCGTTCAACGCGATATCCATATCGGGCAACAGGTGTTCGATAGTCTGGATCATGTCTAGCCAGATCTGGGTCCAGAACCAATCACTCTCGGCGCTCGCGTTGCCATTGCGCACGTTGATAACCATCTCATAACCCATAGCCTCAGTACGAATGGTAGCGGCGTCCAGACCCCAAAAAGGATTTAGGTCGTGATGGATCTGATCAAAGAAGTCTTCGACTATGAGAGCATTATGCTTCTTGGCGAACTCGTACCACTTGTCAAAACCGGGAGGTGGATGTCGACCGCGACGTTTGCGATAGGCCTGCGCAGCTTCGGCAAGCGTGTTCGACTCCTTGGCAAGCAAATCTTTAAAATCATTATCGGCAATCTTGATGAGCTCGTCGATCGGGTGGGCGACGGCGGGTTTAGGAGGTACAGGTTGGATAGGTTGGACCGGCTGATCGGGTACGGGTGCGGGTTTTGGATCGAGGATGGGCTGGTTCGCCCCATCGGTGTTCCCGTGAACGGGCTTCTGATTCGAAGCGGGATTCTTGGCAGGTTGATTAACTACGTCAGGCGTCGTCCCTTGCTTGTGTGAGTTCGCGGACGAAGAAGACGAAGAAGACGACTTCGAGTCATGGCCGGATGTTAAATAGGTATTAGGAACGCCGGGATCTCGAGGTTTATGCGAGAGATAGTAGAATAAGCCTATTAGGAGAAAGGCGGGAAAAATATATCGCACGAGGTGAGAAGGTCGCCTCGGAGGAAAAGCGGGCGAGCGCATGGCGATGCAGAGACGTCGGCCGCCCTGAAGACGGCGCCCGGACGTCAACTTGGCTTCTGAAATAGGACGAACCGTTTTCGAAGGTTATATCTCAGACGAGATGGCGCGAGTTAACCCGAGGAAACGTGGAGGCGCCCTATGCAGCCTAAAAGTTAAATGTGTCAGTAACGATGCCTAGGGACGACAATAAAGACAATAGCAACGACAATGGTAACGGTAATGGCAATGGCAACGGCAACGACAACGACAGATGTACAGGATCAAACTTTGCGTCGGAAGTAATAAACGACGACGCTCAAGAGTTCGAAAGAACTACAAGGGAAATAAATGAGTGTTTAAAGACAGAAGGAAACGCTAGCAGGTACCCAGTAGGCAAGCTAGTAGGTAGTCATCAAAATTGAACATGCAGTAGAACACCGAAAATTGTGAATCCGTAGGTGTTAAAAAAGAGAAAAAAATTGAGAAACCAAAAAAGTTACATAAGACGAACGAAGATAATACAGTCAGTAAGATGACAGTAACAGGGAAATGATGAATAGTAAAAAGGCTATGTAGCTGACTGACTTTGAATGATTTGATTATCTCATCTTAAGCACAGGTCGTGATCAGGCTGTTGCCGAGAAAGCGATCCTCGAAGATGTTTGTTCGATGTTGATATGATGCGAAAGTAGGACGAAGTAAGAGGAGACAAGAACCAGTCGATTGGGGAAACTGGCTACGAGATAATGTGCCAGGTGCAGAGGTGGTAGCGTGGTGTTAGAAGATTTGCCCTTTCCATAGAATGAATGTACTTGTGTATCCCGTAGACATGTAACTCAGTAACCGAACGCAGCTCCTTCTGTACCTGTTACGGAGCGTGGGTCTAAGGTAAATTAGATTCCGGTTCCTTGGGCCTTCCCTGTCCCGAATCCTGCCAGCCTGTCCGCATGGCGACAGCAAATCTCCAGGGCTATTAGCGCATCGATGTCGCTAGCTACGAATCGTCAACCGTGATAGTTCAAGCGTGGTAAGGGTGTCTATTTTGCATTTATGTCTCCTTACTTAGTAATTTACCTAGTTCCTAGCAGTACGGATAGCTACCTGCATACTAGGTAATATACTTACTACGTATTATAGATATACTTACTGCGAACTATATAGTACTAGATATACATACATACATAGTATGCATAGCATGTGCAGATAGTTATTATGGATAATGTTGGACAATTCAAAGCATTCAACGTACCGGCACACTAATTTCATACGAATAATGAATGCGATAAATACAGGTAGGTAAGGTGATTGTGGCTACTCCACTTTGTGTCTCGCATCTACTACCCAGTAGATATCTCCTGTCACAACCTAGGAAGAATAAAAATACAAGCCGATCACTGATCTTCTTTCAGCTGACAGTGGCGCAGCGTCTGAGAGTCGCTTGATACTGTATGTACCTACGCTGCTACGATACATTTCGGTATGCATTGTTCAATAGGTACTTAAAACGATAGCAGATCCGTCTACCGTTTTCAACATAAAAATATCAGTGCGAACCTTCCCGTTCCCATGTTCGTCCCATCTACTCTTCCGTGCATTGTACCACAACGGACCGATCAACTTAAGGTCGTCATACCAGCCCGGTGGGAAGTGGATACTCTTCCTCTAGAAACTCCTATCGTCATCGGATTCAACGAGTTTCTATACCTACTTAGGTCAAGAAGATTGGCATATTGAAAATCTTCATGACAATCTCTACCATAACAGCTGTTGCGCTACGATGCACACGATGCGCCTGGCATTCCCCTTTTTTCCTCTAAACGACCGGAGGATAGGATGAATTCCTCATGTGTACCGGGTACCTGTCTTAGTTCAGCACTAACATTGAAAACGTATCTCGAAGCAGCTAGTGCTGAGCTAACCCCGCGCTAAATCTCCATTTTCAGCGCATCCCTGTCCGCCGGACAAGACATTCCAGAAACTCGATAGAACGGGTTCATCATAATGCGCGTGCTAGGTAGGTGCTAGGCAAGAATCAGGAGTATTATAGGTAGGTCAGTAGCAAGCCCGGGCTGCCGAGGTTCAGAGGATAATGGATCTATCGATGCATTATGATACCTCTCCTTACTAGGTACCTACGCGATACGTACATAGATCGATTAAAGTCGCCAATAATACGACTTTGCAACGTACTTAGGTCCTAGGTATTAGATAGGGACTAGGTAGGTATGGTTATCCGATGGGATGTGACATGGCCACACGTACATACAACCGAATATTATTACATAGGTACCTAGGTAGTATAACATTTACGCCGCATATGCGTATCGTATGCCTAAGCTGCTAGGTAGGTACATCCATATGATAAGCCTATCACTAACCAATAGACTCCTAGGTATCTCCAACGTCGGTTACAGCTGAACACCTAAAAAGACAATTCAATCAGCTTACAATTCATAATCCTCGAGTCTAAACCACCATAGGCTATTACTCGAGGAACCGATTCATCTAGTCGTACTAGGTATGATGATATAGGTAACTAACATTATCTGACTACCTACCTACCTAGGTATTATTAGCTGAACGGGAACACGATGAAGTTCGTAGTCGTTAAAACCTCCCGTATTCGAGCCTCGAATCTAAAAAATTGAAGAGTTTAGTATCGATTGTCTTCTACAAGGTATAACTCATGCTACGGTCTACCTCAATAATAATTAGACGAGCCCGCATTATACGGTTCCAATACAGATACCTCTAGGGCTACAGACATAGTTAAAGACACAAGAACAAATCTCACTGCATACCTATCAAGGTGCTAGTGCTGACCATTCATGTACCTGTTACCTGTCATCACGCCATAATATATTAGTCTCGCCACTATGTATAAATACGATGATACTGTCACTAGTGATACGAAAAACTAAGCCATATGATTTCGTATTCCGATAAATAATTTATAGGCATGTATGTATATTAAAGTTGGGAATTCATAAGTGACCGATAGTTTATTAACTATCGCTCGCCAATTATAGGGTTACATGGTACCTACTTACCTTGATAGTAGGTAGGTATCTCGCGTAGGTAGCTCAGGTAGATATAGCGGTAGGCTGTTGTTCGACACCGACTCGCCAAATGACACATTAGATAATATGACCAGATGTGACCTATGAGAACGTTCATTATACTGTGTTTCATGAAGTAGTATTTTTTTTTTTGGAATAACTGTTCTGCTTTTCGCTCGTATAGCCGCAATTCGGCTTCTCCTATTCTTAGTCGTTGGAAAGAATACTATCTTCGTCTAGCTCCTCATCTTGGGTACGAGCGACAAGTTCGTGAAACTTGGGGCGGAATGGCCATTCCATCCAAAGCTCGAGAAGCTCTTCCCACTGTTTCGAGTTTAACATCCTCGGCGTCAGCACCGAATATGGCGAGTTGGCAAGCACACCCCCGCGATTCAAGTCCCTGGCGCTCTTCCAACGAGGCATAATGTAGTCCGCAGATCCCGGCATCAGGGAATCCAGAGCTTGGCTCACCGGTATAGTACTCTGGGTCATCAACGAGGACAGTATCAGCTGGAAGCAATCGCCCGCACGATCCGTATCGGGACCCGTCTGACGAACGAGTGGGTGCATCGCTTTCGGTTGGATGTCGAGGAGGCTGCATTCCATGTTGGGGAAGAATTCTTCGGGCTGCACAACCATGCTATCGTACGGGCGACGATCCCAGTTGAGCAGCGGGGGGTCTTGCCGATAATAATGAAGGTTATCCTTATGGGTGATGAGCTCGTCGACGAAACCTTGAGAGCGGGCTCGCAAGTTCTCCGTCCATTCCGCCTCGAGCCTCTCAATCTCCTCCGTAGACGCCTTTCCCGATTTACGAAGGGCCGTAATGTTATCTAAATCTTCTATCAGAGTTAGCATCTCGCCGTATCTGTTCTTGTTCGCGTTGGTCCTCCATTGGAGCTTCTTCATCTTCTGAAACTTTTCCGAGCCCTTTTCGAAGCCGTTCTTCTTGTACTCCGCTTCGAGCTCCCGCAGCTCTTCTTGATAGGGTCTCTTGAAGGAAGGCATCACACGTCCAGGTTCGTGGTTCTTCTGCCACGGAGCTTTCTTAGCCGCTTTCAAGGAGTCGGGTTCTCTCCCTTCGGGCATCTTTATCTTGGCTTGTCGCATCCTCCTCAGCGTAGCCAGGTCGCTGCTTAAATTGATAACGTCGTCGCGAGCGTACCAGAGGAAGTCGGGGTCGTTGCGCCCGCACACCTCGTTCACCCATTCGCAGGAGAGCTCGGTATCGACCGCCAACTTCCTGCGCCTCTGCAGCACCTTAGGAAGCAGACCAGCCTTGTCGTCATACCTAGTCCATATCAGCATCCGAACAAGCCCGTACCGCTGAAACAGATCGCTGGTGCGGATGGCGTCGATGAACTGGTACAAGACTAGGTTGGCCATGGATCCGAAGCCGAGAAATCTCTTCTTCGGGTGGAAGGCGATGTTCGCGGTGACTAGCAGTTTGTTGTTGCGGTGGGTTTGCCGAGGCGGGGTGGCGACCGTCTGGCGAGGCAAGTAGTCGGGGGTCAAGATCTGGGAAAGCTCCCTCCAGACGAGGCCGGAAGCGGGAACGAGAGTCGTGTTATGGCGGCTGAGCAGAGGCTTCAGGAAAGGCTCGTATAGCTGAGCATCCGGTTCCATCAAGATATGCGACCGGGGTTTTAGAAAGTGGTGAAGCTTCTGGCTCCAAAGCCCCGCGCCGGGATAGATATCGATGAGATCGCATCCTTTATGCCGAACCAGAGAAGGGCCGATATAGGAGAGGACGTCGTCGCATAACTTTTCGCTGACGACGTTGACTCTCGTCTTATCGCCCTTGGGTTCCTTCGCACTCCTCCTCCCTCTCCGGGGTATCCACAATCCCGTGGCAGAAAGCTGCTCGGCTACCGGTCCCGACGCTTCCAATTGCGATTTGTCAAGAGAGTTTGAGGAAGCGGCACGCCTTGTCGAGGGGGCGATCAAGGGCCGACGTAGGGAAGGGAGACGAGGAGCGAAGAGATTCCGTACATTGCAACGGACACTAGACATATGAAAGAGCACCAAGCGGCCAGAGTGTCGCGTAGTTCCGGATCTTAAATACACACGTGTGTTGTATCGTATCGGTGATGGATCTCTTGCATCTTGAATTTTTCCATTTTCTGCCTTCTACGACCGCTAAAATTTGCGGAATCGACGAAATAGTGAAGTACCTAAGTATCTACGTACTTTCAGGTTCTTTTTGGTGCCGAACGAATCATGGATGCGTCTGTGCGTGTACGTCCCTGTCTGATGTGAAAGCCCCGCTCTAATTCGGTTCTCTAACCGCCTAATTTCTATTTCAAGTTACAAGGGTCTAAAGCTTAAGCGGGATGACGTTTATGGGCGCCGAACTCCATGGTGCATGGGTAGTACATATGTATTAGGTATTCTAAGACGACTCGGGAATTACTACCTACCTAGGTAATGTGCTAGGTGGCCAGTTATGTATAACCCCTTCCTTTCTCCCTTCCCCCTTTTCCTTTTTAATGGTACATCATATATTAATGTGGAGGTATTTACATATCATAAAATCATGAAACCATCATAACATCAAAGCCAATCATTTTCTTATCATACAATTGGTAGGTCTCCTATGTGGCGCTATCACATCAGATTTGATGTAACCCTACCCGGCACCATATGTATCTACGATTCCGGGGCTGTGTATTCTATCAATCGTCGACCTATGACAAGCAGGCTGCCAGGTACCTACAACAAATCGACCAACCTTAAACATACGATACGCGATAGATCTTGGCTGCTTGGCCACATCGGAATGCAAATCAAGTTAATATCGAACTAAAGCTATCCATGGATATGCGTTTCATCGGATTGTCCAATTTAATTTATTTCGATATTTTTCGCGAAATACGTTTAATATAATAACATTAATTATGTAAATTATTTATATAATAAAAGTTAATATAAAAGTTTAAAATAATATTTTAAAATTAATATAATAATTTTTTAAAGTTTTAAAATTCGTAAATTTTTTTTTTTTCGAAAAAAAATTTACGTTTTTATTTAATAATAATTTATTTAATAAATATTAAAATTATATTAAGTTTTAAACGTTTAATAATTTCGTATTAATTTTAATATATAATTTTTTTATATATTAATATATTTTTTTAATTAATTACGTTTTTAATAATATAATATATAATTATTTAATAATATTTATTTTAATATTAATAATATTTAATATTAATTTTCGTATAATATTAATTTTTTTTTTTAATATTTATTTTTAAATAATTTTATATAATCGAAATTTAAAAGTTTTAAAATTTTCCGGGATTTTATTAATAAAATTATAAAATAATAATTTTAATTTTTTCGTTAAATATAAATTTTAAATAATTTTATTTTTATTAAAATATTATTAAAATAATTTTTTAAATTATAATTTATGTAATATATTTAATTAATTAAATTTATTTAATTATTTTAATTAATTTAATTTATTTATTTTAATACGTACGTATTTAATTTATTTAATTTATTTAATTTATTTAATTTATTTAATTTATTTAATTTATTTAATTTATTTAATTTATTTAATTTATTTAATTTATTTAATTTTTTTATTTTAATAAATACGTATGCGATTAATTTAATTAATTCGATTTAAATTAATTTAATTAATTCGATTTAAATTAATTTAATTAATTTAATTAATTCGATTTATTTAATTTATTCGATTTATTCGATTTATTTAATTTATTCGATTTATTTAATTTATTTAATTTATTCGATTAATTCGGTTTATTTAATTAAACGAATTTTCCATTAAAATTAAACGGATAATTTATTTTATTATATTTAATTAAATTAATTTAATAAATATATAAATTAAAATATAACTTTTATATAAATTTAAATATTTTTTTAATTAAAGTTTTTCCATCGCGAATTTTATTATTATTTTTTTATAATTTTTTTTAATGTTATTTTTATAAAACTTTTTCGAAAAAAATTATTATTTAATTATAAATTTTTTATTAACGTTTATTATAAATTTTAATTAACGTTTTTTTTTCGTAAATAATATTAAATATATTTAAATTAATATTATATACGTATTTCGTATATATTTTAATATATTTTATACGGTTTTATTTAAATTAATTTATATTTTATTTTTTTAGTTTTTAAGTTTTTAAAAACTTTAATAAAAATATTATTTAATATTATATCGAAAATATCGAAATTTTAATTAAATTTAACGTCGTCGTTAATAAAAAATAATAATTTTATATATTTATTTAAAAATATTAAAAAAGTATTTAAATTTATATAAAAAATTATATTTTAAAGTAAATATTTTAAAAATTAATTTAAATAAATATAATAAAATAAATTATTCGTTTAATTTTAATAAAAAGTTCGTTTAATTAAATAAATCGAATTAATTCGATTTATTTTAATAAATAATTAAAATTTAAACTTCATACTTAATTTTTTTACTTTTATTTTAACGATATTTTTATTAAATAAATATTTATTTTAATATTAACTTAATAAAATATATGGTAAAATATTTACCGTTTTCGTTACTTTTTTTTTTATTTATTACTTTTTACTTATTTATTTATTTATTTTTTTTTATTAATTTTTTTATTTTTATATTTTTATATTTTTTTATTTTTTAATTATATAATTATATAATTTATTTATTTATTTATTTACTTATTTATTTACTTATTTATTTATATATATACATATATATATATATATATATATATATACGTACGTATTTATTTATTTATTTATTTATTTATTTATTTATTTATTTATTTATTTATTTATTTATTTATTTATTTATTTATTTATTTATTTATTTATTTAT